CCCTAACCCTAACCCTAACCCCCTAACCCTAACCCTAACGTACTAACCCCCCTAACCAGTAAACTTGGTGGCGTAATATTTAAATTCTAATCTTTCGTTCGCTTGTTTCAGTTTTCTCGTATCTTTTCATTCCAAAGTCACGTGACCTCAACCTCTGTCTACATCCGCTCTACATCACGTGATCTACTCTGCGTCACGTGACTTCTTGCTTACGTAATCAACTTTCATCACGTGACTTCCTCTTCATCACGTGACTTCGACTTCAGGTCACGTGACTTTGACCCCACCTTCATAACACTTCTTTTTGCGTTCACTACCCCTTCTACGTCACTTACTACGACTCGAACTCACCTACTACAACTCCTCCTTCGCTTACTCGACTTCTACTGGTCACGTGACTTTGACCCCACCTTCATAGCACTTCACTCTGCGTTAACCTACTACTAGCACTTTGTGAACAGACGTCCACCTACTACTACTTACACCCACCTTCTCTACTTACCTCACCTACCCGGAGCACTTTGTGAACAGACGTCCACCTACTACTAACACTTTGTGAATTGACGTTAACCCAGTACTTCTGCGCCCACCCAGTACTTCTGCGCCCACCTCTTTCTAGCACTTCCCCGACTAAGTACTCCCTCCGCTGACTGACCCACATTCTGCGTACACCTACCCGGAGCACTTTGTGAATTGACGTTAACCCTGTACTGCTTACATCACCTTTTCTACTTGCGTCCACCAAGTACTAGCACTTTGTGAATAGACGTTAACCTTTCCTACTTACGCCCACAAAGTACTTCCTACTTACGTTAACCCAGTACTTTGCTCTACTTCCTACTCCCGCTTATCGCCACGTGACTTCGTCTTATCTCCACGTGACCGTGTACTCCGTCACGTGACTTTCGACCCCCCCCTCTTATTCTTTTTTTCTACTCCCCCCTCTTTATTCTTTTTTTTTCTACTCCCCCCACTTCTTCCTAACCCTTTCTAACCACCACCAACCACCGCCCCACCCACCCTATTTCCTTCCCTCCTATTTATACTCCCACGCACCCCTGGACCCTGTACTCTGGACCCTGTACATTCCTCCCACGTACATTCCTCACTAGTCGCATTCCTCACATCCGCCGATCGATTCATTGGATGTTACCCCTTTTTAAAACAAATGATCTATTCAATTGACGTTTCTCCCTCTTAATAATTCATTCCTTTTTATTTTAAACAGAAGATGTATCTCTCATCCTACTCTCTCTCTTCTCACTCTACTCTCTTCTTTCTGAAAATAATTCAATACTTTTTATTTTAAACAGAAGAAGTATCTCTTATTCTAGTCTACTCTTTAAAAACTAACTCTACTCTCTACTCTCTTCTCACTCTACTCTCTTCTCTCTCTTCTCTCTCTTCTCTCTTCTTTTTAATTTTAATTTCACTTTTAATTTCACTTTTATTTTTAAAATCCTTTTAAATTTGATTTAATTGTAGTTTTAACAAAAATATTTATGAATTCTTATTTTTTTTAAGTCAATAAAAAATCAATTCTACTTCATTTGATTAATTGTTAAAAATATTTCTAAATTTTATTTTCAATTTCACTTTTAATTTCATGTTCATTTTTAAAATCCTTTTAAATTTCATTTAATTCTACTTCTAACAAAATTATTTCTGAATTCTTATCTCTTTTTAGCTGATAAAAAATCAATTCTATTTCATTTGATCAAGTGTGAACAAATTTTTTTACATTTCATTTTAATTTCACTTTCATTTTAAATTTCATTGAATTCTACTTTTAATAAAAAATTCTACTTCTAACAAAATTATCTCTAAATTCTCATCTCTTTTTAGTTGATAAAAAATCAATTCTACTTCACTTGATTAATTGTTAACAATTTTTTTAGATTTCATTTTTTATTTTTTTATTTTAATTTTTATTTTAATTTCATTTTAATTTTAAATTTCATCTAATTCTACTTTTAACAAAAATATTTTTAAATTCTCATCTTTTTTTAGTTGATAAAAAATCAATTCATTTTCATATAATCAACTGTCAACAAATTTTTTTATATTTTATTTTCATTTTCATTTTCATTTTCTAATTTTTAAATAAAAATCCTTTTAAATTTCATCTAATTCTACTTTTAACAAAAAGATTTCTAAATTCTTATCTTTTTTACTTAATGAAAAATCAATTCTACTTCATTTGATCAACTGTTAACAATTTTTTTACATTTCATTTTTAATTTCATTTTCAATTTCACTTTCATTTTTAAAATCCTTTTAAATTTCATTGAATTGTACTTCTAATAAAACCTACTCTAACCCTTCATTTCTCATCTTTACTAATGAAAAATCAATTCAATCTTATTTGATCTATTCAACAAATTTTTTTACATTTCATTTTTATTTTTGATTTTATTTTTTATTTTTAAAATCTCTTCAAATTTTTTTAAATTAAAGATATTTTCAAATAAACATCTTTTTTTAATAAAACCTAGTCTATGCTTTCATTTCTTATATTTATCAATGGAAATTCAATTCAACTTGTCCAATTTATTCAATTTTTTTAGATTTTATTTTTATTTTTATTTTCATTTTTAAATTTCATTTTAAAATCTTTTCTTTTTTTTTTTAAATTATTTTTAAATAAAAACATCTCTCAAATCAATCTCTTTAATTCAATTCAACCTTATTGAATAGCTTACTTTTATTAAATCACCACTAGCTTCGCCCTAACGACAGACTAATTTTTGCTAAACAGATGGATTCGTTTTTTTTCACGATAAGCAATCTCTAACTCTTTTTTTATCATAATCATAGACTCTTTTTGATAAACAATAGATTTCACTACTTTTTTTTCAATCATTTTACTGGTTTTTTACAACAAACTTGGATTTGACTATTTTTTTTTTAAAACAAGTAATAAATTTCACTAGTTTTTTTAAAATAATAAACAGATTTTATTTTTTTTTTAAATAAACAATAGATTTCACTAGTTTTTTTAAAACATGTAATAAATTTCACTAATTTTTTTGTAATTAGCGTAGAGTTAAATATTTTTTTTACAACAAACTTGGATTTGACTATTTTTTTTAAAGTAATCATAAAGTTTTCTCTTTTTTTTTAAATAATCATAAAGTTTATTACTTCTTTTATAATTATTCTAATCGTTTTTACAATAAACTTGGATTTCACTAGTTTTTTTCAATGATTTTAGAGTTTATTAATTTTTTTGAAATAATCAATAGATTTCCTAGTTTTTTACAACAAACTTGGATTTTAGTAATTTTTTTAAAACAAGTAATAAATTTCACTACTTCTTTTGTAATTAGCCTAGAGTTAATTAACTTTTTTACAATAAACTTGGATTTCACTATTTTTTTCCAATGATCTTAGAGTTTAGTGATTTTTTTTAAATAAACAATTGATTTCACTAGTTCTTTTGTAATTAGCGTAGAGTTTACTGATTTTTTTAAAATAAACAATAGATTCTACTAATTCTTTGGAATAATCATAAAGTTTACTTGTTTTTTTTACAACAAACTTGGATTTCACTAATTTTTTACAATGATCTTAGAGTTTAGTGATTTTTTTAAAATAAACAATAGATTCTACTAATTCTTTGGAGTAATCATAAAATTTACTTCTCTTTTTAAAATAAACAATAGATTTTAGTAATTTTTTTAAAACAAGTAATAAATTTCACTACTTCTTTTGTAATTAGCGTAAAGTTAATTAATTTTTTTACAACAAATTTGGATTTTACTAATTTTTTAAAACAAGTAATAAATTTCACTAGTTCTTTTGTAATAATTCTACTGGTTTTTTACAACAAACTTGGATTTTATTTTTTTTTTAAAGCAATCATAAAGTTTTCTCTCTTTTTTTTAAATAATCATAAAGTTTATTAGTTCTTTTACAATCATTCTAATCGTTTTTACAATAAACTTGGATTTTATTTTTTTTTAAGTAGTTATAAAGTTTCCTCTTCTTTTTAAAATAATAAAAGAATTGAATAAATCTTAGCACTTCTTTTTAAATGGACATTCAGTTGACTGATTTTACAATGGGATTCTAATGGTTTTAGAAGTCTGATGATCTGGCTAGTCACTTTAGGGTTAGGGTTAGGGCTACAACTTTTCATGATCATTCCATTTTCAATCGATCTAATGTTTCTCTTTACATGAACCATCAAGTTCACCCATTTCAAATCGTCTTTTAATGGGTTCAACATCACAGGTTTCTCTGGTTAGTGGGATTAGGGTTAGGGTTAGGGGTTAGTGTTTCATGATAGATCCATTTTACAATCATTTTAGACTTGATTAGTTGTTTATAATGAGATGAGATGGACTCGTTTTACGCTGGTTTTACGCTGGTTTTACGCTGGTTTTATACTTGACTCTTTTTTTTTAAAATAATGATAATCCCTACTAATTCTTTAAGATACGCAGAACTCTCTTTTTTTCACGATAATCCATTCATTCAAGTGCTTTTACAACAAACTTGGACTCGTTCTTATCATAAATTTTATTAGCTCTTCGATAAGCTTAATCTTTACCAAATAAAGCATAGTTTCGAACTAAGATGGTGTATTAAAATTAAAACTTCATTTCATTCATTTACATCTATATTATATATAAACAATGGATATATGCACATTTTCAATCTATTAACATTTTTTTCATTCATTTTACATCATCCCCATAACAATCACTCCCAACAATATTATTTTAATCATATCAGGAACTCTTATTTTCATCCCATCATTCGGTTTCACTTCTTCTTCTTCTCCCCCTTTCTGTGTCTCTCTGCTTGAATCGGTGGTACATTTGGTAGGCTTGCACTTGCGCATCGACGTCAAGGTCACTGTCGACGTCACTGTCGACGTGCTCGTTATCGTACTCGTATGCAATGACGTACTCGTCACCCATGTATCTGTCGTCTGTATCATTGTACACTCTTCTGTTACTTTTCCTCCACTTCCCGGTTTGGTTGTAGTAGTTGTTGTCGTAGTAGTTGTGGTAGTAGTCGTGGTAGTGGTCGTGGTAGTGGTCGTCGTAGTGGTTGAGATTTCTGTTATTTTCTCTGTATGATGAGGCGTAACTTTTAATGGAACCAGTTCACATAATGTGTCAATTTCTTTGCAAACATCTTCAACACTCGAACAATCCTTTCTAAAACCGCAATCTAGTTCTAAAGCTTTACATTCTTCTTTCAATTCCAAATACAGCTCCAATGCTATCGTCGTTGCATCAAATGCTTTTACTTCTGCTTCTGATACTCCTCCATCTACATATGCTCTTTTAACGAGTCCAAGTTTTGCATTATTCTTCGTTTGACCTGTTGTGCTTGGTGTTCCACTTGGTGTGCCTGATGTTCCATCTGGTGTGTCTGGCGTTCCATTTTGTGGCGGTGATGGTGGTGGTGGCACTGCTGGTGATGATGGCGACCCTGATGATGAGTCTGGTGACTCTCCTGGTGCTGGCTGTACCTGTGCTGGTACAGAACCATTGCTATCCTGTCCACTTGGTGTTGCGGCTTTTTTAGGCCTTGATAGCAATAAGCTAGCTTCCTTTGTAGAATCTTCTGCCGCCTTTTTGACCTTATCGTACTCAGCCTTCATCTTTGTCAACTCATCTTTCGCTTTATTCAGTCCGTCTTTTAAAGTAGGACATCTCTTTTTTAGTTTTTCAACTAATTCTTTGCAAACAGTTCCCAAAGCATTAGCTTCACAATTAGTAAGCAGAGTTTCGAATGTTTGATTCTTTTTCAACTCAGCGCAATCCTTTTCTAATGTTTTTTTACATTCCTTATCATCCTTTAAACTGCCTTTCAACAGATGACTCAGCTCATCCTTCGCTTTCAACTTTTCAAAAGTATCCCTGCATTTTTCATCGAGTTTTTCACAGTTTTGATCATTGTTATTTTCTTTCAATTGATCCGGACAATTCTTCACAAGTTGGTGACAATGTCGGCCCCATGTTGTGCAGAGTTCTTCAAGTGCTGTTTCATTTTTATTTGCTTTTTCAATTTCTTCTAGGATTTTTTCATTCTTGATATTGGCTCTTAAACTACTACATTCATCTTTTGTACGGGCTACCATATATTCACATGTTTCTTCTGGCAAAGCACATGAAAACCCAAATGGATTCCTCCTTTTCCTAAATAAAGCTTCACATTTCTCATGCAACACCTCCGTACAATTTTGCTCATTATATAATGCATGATCTTTTCTTTCTAAAAATACTTTTCTAAATCTCTCTGAAACTCTAATGTATTCACAGCGCCTTCTCAATGTTTCACACTTTTTAGAATTCAAATATGAATAAGTTTGAAGTTCATCACACTTCTCCTCCAACTCAAGACAATCCTTTTCAAATGGAAAATCTCTATGATCATCCAAAAGCACACCTAACTCTTTGGATTGAAGAAAAATATCATCTGAAAGAAGATAACATAGTTCTTTAGGGTAAAGACACTTTGGAAGGTATTTTTTATCAAGTTTTTTACAGTTTTCTACCACAATTTTTTTGCAATTCTCAGGATTGTTATAGTATCTTAAATAATCAGGATTCTCCTTCAACACCTCTCGAAAGTGTGTATTCAACATCCTATTTTGTCCCATTTTATAGCACGCTGCTCGTACATTTTGACATGCTTCATCAATCTTACTATCTTTACACGCCTTTTTTAAATAAAAACATTCCGAGACAAGTTCTGCACACTCTCCCTTCGTAAATAAGGTTGGCAGTTCTCTCCAGAATAAAAGATCTGATTTTTTATCTTTTTCAAATTTTGTAGACAAATCTTTCAGATGAAGATTTAATTTGAGATGTGTACATCTTTCTTCTACATTTAGTAATTTTTTGCATTTTTCTTGTTTATTTCCATCATCGCATAACTTTTCCAAATCATGATCCAAATGCTTAAAATCATTACATTTTCCTAACAGTTCAGTGCATTTCTTCCCCGCATCATCCTTCTCATTCACATTTTCGCTCAACAGTAGCAAGAGATCTTGCAGAAAATCATCACCAAACCTTCTTGGTAGATCCACTCCTGCTTTTCCAATAATAATTCCTTCTTTTTCAGCCTTTTTATACACATCTTCCAACCCAATACTTCTCAACAACGACGCCTTCGGCTTGACAGGACTAGAATCAGATTCCGGCGCTTTATATATAATAATATTTTTCTCACATTTCGTCTTATACTCCTCACACTTTGAACCATCACACGCTTCTCCGTAAAAATGACATTTCTCAAGTTTTTCATGACACTTTCCGTCTAATTCGCCATCTTTAAGCTCTTCTTTTAAAGGCCCACAAACAGTATCCAATTTTTTTTTCAGCTCTCCACACGTTCCACTCGGATCAAGGCAGAAAGACATCAGCTCGTCGCTTTCTCGGCTTAACACTGGGCAAACATCTCTCATCTTTCCTTTACATTTAGCTTCTTCTTTAGCATCCCCTCCGAGCGCCCTGAAAAGAAGCTCCTCTGCCACCTTTTTACGCTTCAATTCGTAACATCCTTCCCTCAATTTGACACACTTCTCCTTAAGACTATTTGGGCCTGCTTCCTCTAAAAGTATACATTTTTCTTCATGTTTTTTACAATCTTCATCTTCTACGTCATCTTCCAATGCTTCTTCAAGTTCTTTTTTAAAAGCTTCCAATTTTTTTTTAACTTCGTCTTTCAGTTCTTGGCATTTTTTCTCTTGTTTTGTTTTATCACCACCACCACAAAGTTCTTTAACTTTATCATTCACTTTGAATTGACCATCTATTTCCTTCAAGTCTTGACAATATTTCTCGAGTTCTCCTTTGCAATCCTTCTCATATTTGTCCTTCACAATGAAAGCCAAAAGGTGTTTCTCATCAATGTCATCCGCTGCTCCCCCTGCTCCTTGTGCTTGCCTCTTAACCGGCCGTGCCATTGCCACCTCTTTTTAGGGAGTTTAGTGGGTAGTTTCTAAATTGAATATGGGTAGAGTGAAAAGTTGTTTTGAAACGATTTTTTACAACTTAGAGTTGTTCTTATCATTAATCATAAATTTTAGCTCTTCGATAAGCTTAAACTTTACCAAATAAAGCTAAGTTATTAATTAAAATATCGGACTAAAATTATTAAAACTTTATTTTTCAATTCATTCATTCATTTACATTTCTATTATATATAAACAATGGATATATGCACATTTTCATTCTATTAACATTTTTTTCATTCATTTACATCATCCCCATAACAATCACTCCCAACAACATTATTTTAATCATATCAGGAACTCTTATTTTCACCCCATCATTTGGTTTTACTTCTTCTTCTTCTTCTTTCTGTGTCTCTTTGGTTGAATCGGTGGTACATTTGGTAGGCTTGCACTTGCGCATCGACGTCAACGTCACTGTCGACGTCACCGTTGACGTACTCGTTGTCGTACTCGTATGCAATGACGTACGTGTTACCCATGTATCTGTCGTCTGTATCATTGTACACTCTTCTGTTACTTTTCCTCCACCTACTGTCTTGGTTTCTGTAACAGTTTTCGTACCGGTCTTCTCATCAGCCTTGTCATCAGTCTTTGTTTCAGTCTTTGTTTCCGTCTTCGTTTCTGTCTTCGTTTCTGTTATTGTCTCTGTATGATGAGGCGCAACTTTTAATGCTTCCAGTTTACATAACTCTTCTATTTCTTTACAAGCTTGTTTAGTATCTGGACAATCCTCTTTAAAACCGCAATCTAGTTGTAAAGCGCTGCATTCCTCTTTCAATTCCAAATACAATTCCAATGCTATTGTCGTTGCATCAAATGCTTTTACCTCTGCTTCTGATACACCTTCATCTACATACGCTCTTTTAACGAGTCCAAGTTTTGCATTATTCGTCGTTCCACCTGCTGTGTCTGTCGTTCCATCTGGTGCACCTGGCGTTCCATTTTGTGATGGTGGTGATGATGGCGACCCTGGTGCTGATGGTGGCCCTGCTGGTGCTGGCTGTACCTGTGCTGGTACAGAATCACTGCCATTCTGTCCACTTGGTGTTACGGCTTGTTTAGACCTTGATAGCAATAAGCTAGCTTTATTTCTGGATTCTTCTGCTGCCTTTTTGAGCGCATCATATTCTTCTTTCTTGACCTTCAACTCTTTTTTCGCTTCCTCTAGATCGGTTTTTAAAGCAGGACATCTCTTCTGTACTTTTTCAACTAATTTTGTGCAAACATTTTCCAAGGAATCTTTACAATCACTAAGCAGAATTTTGAATGTATCATTCTTTTGCAACTCAGTGCAATTCTTTCCTAATGTTTCTGTACATTTTTTTTTATCATTTAAACTTCCTTTCAACAGATGAGTTAGCTCCTCCTTCAATTTCAACTTTTTAAAGGTATCTCTGCATTTTTCTTCGAGTTTGTCACAGTTATGATCTTCGTTATCACTTTCTTTTTTCAACTTATCTGGACAATTCTCCATAAGTTGGTGACAATGTCGGCCCCATGTTGTGCAGAGTTCTTCGAGTGCTGTTTCATTTGCTTTTTTCTTTCCAATTTCTTCTACAATTTTTTCATCCTCCATGTTGCCACTTAAATAAAAACATTCATCTTTTGTACGGTATACCATATATTCACATGTTTCTCCTGGCAAAGCACATGAAACACTAAATGAATTCTTTCTCCTCCTATATAAAGTATTACATTTTTCTTGCAACACCTCCGTACAGTTTTGCTCATTATATAATGCATGATCTTTTCTTTTTAAAAATACTTTTCTAAATTCCTCTGAAACTCTAAGGTATTCACAGCGCCTTCTCAATGTTATACACTTTTCCGAATTCGAATGTGAATAAGTTTCAAGTTCATCACACTTCTCCTTCAATTCAACACAATGCTTTTCTAATGGAAAATCCCTTTGATCATCCAAAAGCGCTCCCAACTCTTTGGATTGAAGGAAAATATCATCTGAAAGCATATAACATAGTTCTTTAGGATAAAGACACTTTGGAAGGTATCTCTTATCTTTATTTTCAAGTTTTTTACAGTCTTTTACCACAGATTTTTGGCATTCCTCAGGATGGTTATAATATCTTTTATGACCAGACTCCCCCTTCGATTCCTTTCGAAACAACGTACTCAACATCCTATCTTTTCCCACTTTATAGCACGCTGCTCGTGCATTTTGACATGCTTCATCAATCTCCTTATCTTTACACGCCTTTTTTAAATAAAAACATTCCGACTCAAGTTCTGCACACTCTCCCTTTGTAAATAAGGTTGGCAGTTCTCTCCAGAATAAAAGTGTTGATTTTTTAGTTTTTTCATATTCTGTAGACAAATCTTTCAGATAAAGATTTAATTTGAGATTTGTACATCTTTCTTCTACATTTAGTAATTCTTTGCATTTCTTTTGATTATTTTGTTTATCATCACATAACTTTTCCAAATCATCATCCAAATGCTTAGAAGCATCACATTTTCCTAACGCTTTAGTGCATTTACTTGTTGCATCCGTCTTATCCTCATCTTGGCTCAACACTAGCAAGAGATCTTTCAGAAAATCATCACCAAACCTTCTTGGTAGATCCACTCCTACTTTTCCAATAAGAATTCCTTCTTTTTCAGCTCTTTTATAAACATCATCCAACCCAATACTTCTCAACAACGACGCCCTCGGCTTGACCGGACTAAAATCAGATTCTGGCGCTTTATATATGACTCCATTTTTCTCGCATTGCTCCTTATCATCCTTACATTTCGCACCAGTACACGCTTCTCCGTAAAAATGACATTTCTCAAGTCTTTCATGACATTTTTCCTTTAATTCGCCATCTTTAAGCTTTTCTTTTAAAGGCCCACAAACAGTATCCAATTTTGTTTTCAGCTCTCCACACGTTCCACTCGGATCAAGGCAAAAAGACATCAACTCGTCGCTTTCTCGGCTTAACACTGGGCAAACCTTTTTCATCTCTGCTTGACATTTATCTTCTTCTTTAGCTTCCTTTCCGAGCGCCCTGAAAAGGAGCTCCTCTGCCACCTTTTGACGCTTCAATTTGTAACATTTCTCTCTCAAACTGGGACAGCCATTCTTAATATCATCACTATAACCCGTCTCTTCTAAAAGTATACATTTTTCTTCATGTTTTTTACAAACTTCTTCATCTTTTATGCCATTTTTCAATGCTTCTTGAAGTTCATCTTTAAAATCGTCCAATTCTATTTCAATTTTATCATTCAGGTCTTTGCATTTTTCGTCTCGTTTTGCTTCACAAATTTCTTTAACTTTTTTATTCACATCGGAGCCACCATCTATTTCCTTCAACTCTTTACAATATTTCTCGAGTTCTTCTTTGCATTTATCCTCTTTATCATATTTCTCCTTCAGAATGAAAGCCAAAAGGTGTTCCTCCTTAATCTCATCTTGTTTTTGTGCTGCTGCTTGCCTCTTAACCGGCCGTGCCATTGCCGCTCCTTTGTAGGGAGTTTAAACTACTGTTTCTAAGTTGGATGTAGGCAGGTGAGTGAAAAGTTATTTTGAAATGATTTTTTACGACAAACTTGGACTCGTTCTTATCATAAACTTTAGTTCTTCGATAAGCTTAAACTTTACCAAATAAAGCTAAGTTATTAATTAAAATATCGGACTAAAATAATTAAAAGTTCTTCTTTCATTTCATTCATTTACATTTCTATTATATATAAACAATGGATATATGCACATTTTCATTCTATTAACATTTTTTTCATTCATTTACATCATCCCCATAACAATCACTCCCAACAATATTATTTTAATCATATCAGGAACTCTTATTTTCATCCCATCATTCGGTTTTACTTCTTCTTCTTCTTTTCCTCCTTCTTCTGTCTCTTTGGTTGAATCAGTGGTACATTTGGTAGGCTTGCACTTGCGCATCGACGTCAACGTCACTGTAGACGTCACAGTAGGCGTACTTGTCACGGTGCTCGTATGCAATGACGTACTCGTCACCCATATATCTGTCGTCCGCACTAATGTACACTGTTCTGCAACTTTTCCTCCACCTACTGACTCGGCTATCGTAATAGTCTTCGTACCGGTCTTCCCATCAGCCTTGTCAATGGTCTTTGTTTCCGTCATCGTAACTGTCATGGTTTCTTTTATTATCGTCTCTGTATGATAAGGCGTAACTTCTAATGGTTTTATTCCTTTGCATAACGTGTCTATTTCTTTACAAGCTGGTTTAGATTCCTCACAATCCTCTTTAAAACCGCAATCTAGTTCTAAAGCATTGCATTCCTCTTTCAATTCCAAATACAACTCCATTGCTATTGCCGTGTCATCAAATGCTTTTACTTCTGCTTCTGATACTCCTCCAGCTACATACGCTCTTTTAACAAGTCCAAGTTTTGTATTCCCTTTCGTTCCATCTGCTGCGTTTGGCGTTCCACTTGATGTAGAAGATGATCCTGCTGCTGGTGCTTCTGGTGCTGCTGGCGGTGCTAGTGGTGGCTGTGCTGGTACAGAACCACTGCTATTCTGCGCACTTGGCGTTACAGTTTGTCGAGGTATCGATAGCAATAAGTTAGCTTTCTTCCTAGATTCTTTTGCCACCTGTTTGGCCTTTTCGTATTCAGTCTTCATCTTTGTCAACTCATCTTTCGCTTTCTTCAGATCGGTTTCTAAAGTAGGACATCTTTTTTTTAGTTTTTCAACTAATTTTTCGCAAAGTTCTTCGAAAGTTTTATCTTCACATTTATTAAGCAGAGTTCCGAATCTTTCATTCTTTTTCAACTCAGCGCAACGCTCTCCTAATGCTACTTTACATTCATCTTTCTTGTTTAAACTGCCTTTCAACTCATGAGTCAGCCCATCCTCCAATCGTTTTTTCTTCCAGAATGGCTCGCAGTTCTCTTTCAGTTGTAAACAGACTCCTTTCCCATCAGCGCTACTGGAATCATTTTTTAATGTCTCTGGACAATTCTCCATAAGTTGATCACAATATGGATTCCATAGCACGCAGGTTTCTTCAACCAATGTTTCATTTGAATCTTTAGTTTTATTCACAATTTCATGTTTTTCCACGTTATTTTTAAAAATATTACAATGATTCTTAGCTTCTGAAACCATAAATTTACATGTTTCTTTTGGTAAAGCGCATGAAACATGATATAACCCCCCCCCCCCCCCCCCATCACTTTAGGTAATTTATCACATTTATCCATCAAGGCTTTCATGCATTTTTCATTATCCGCTAATGCATCACTTTTTTCTTTCAAAAACGCATATTTCAGTTCTCTTGTAACTTTAAAATATTCACATCGCTCTTTCAATGTAACGCATTTCCCATTATTTAAACCTAAATCTTTCAAAATACCATCACAATCCTCTTTCAATTTAATGCAGTCCTTTTCATTAGGAGAATCCCGTACTGTATTCAAAACTTGTTCTAGATCTTTCAATTGAGACGAAATAATTTCTTCAAATCTAAGACATATCTCCTTTGGCCGAAGGCATCTCATAAAAATCTCAACATTATTATTTTTAAGTGTAGCGCACTTTTCCAATACTATTCTTTGGCATTTGTTAAACTTTTCATCATTCGATTCTAATTTATTAAGGTTGTACAACTCACTTCCAATTAATTTAATGAATAGTTGATCTTCTTTCTTTTTATGACATGCCTTTTGTAGATTTTGGCATTCGATAAGAATTTTAGGTTCGCATGATCTTTTAATATACGTACATTTCGAGATAACCTCTAAACATTCATTCTCGGTAAATGATGTCGAAAGCTCATCATAAGACAATGATTCCGATTCTTTATTTTCAAATTTTGTAGAAGTTCCATCTATATAAAGTCTTATTCTAAGCTTTATACACCTATCCGTCGTTTTTGATATATCTTTACATTTTTCTTTTTTGTTACTATTTTCACATAATTCCATAAATTTAGAACTTATAGTTTTAAGATAAGTACACCTAGTATTTAGTACGTTATTGCATTTTTCTTCCATCTCATCAGGGTCAGTATTCCGAGAGAAAAAGGCTAACATGTCATCCAACGTTTTTTCTAAAGCTCCAAGAATTAGTCCTCTATTTCTTCCTTCTTTATAAAGATTTTCCAGATCAATCATCTCTAACAATGTCATTTCCGGCTCAATCGGATTAAAATCTTTAACTGGAGGCCTATATGTAATATTCTTTCCCTCGCATAGTTTCTTCAATTTCTCGTTTTTCTCTTCACATCTTTCTTTGAGAAGAGGATATATTCCGAGTTTTTCATGACATACTTCTTCTTTTTTATCATTATCAATGAAATCTTTTAAAGAATTGCAAAACTCATCAATACTTTTATTGAAATTTTCAAGTGAAGTATCTTCAAGGCATAATAAAGCTAGATCATCACTCTGTTTAATCAATGTTGGACAAATTTCCTGCTTTTTTTCCGCGAAATCTTTAGATTCAATATTACTAATAGGAAAAGCTCTAAGAATGACTTCATTTCTCATCTCTGTATCCCTGAAAAAATAACAGGAATATCTAAGGAGACTGCAGAAACTTAAAACAAATTCCTCTTTTGTAGTTTCATAAAACATACATGTTTGATAATATTGATCGCATTCTTTATAAGAGATGCTTTGACTCGCATAACTAGTGACTAAATCAAAAAATTCATTTACTCTTTTTTCAACCTTTGCTTTTGTTTCTCTGCATTTTTTATCTATATTATTACAAATTTCTTTAACTTTAGTATGAACTTTATTTAATTCTGAATCTATCCCTTTCAATTCTTCACAATATTCCCCAAGCTTTGATTTGCATTTCTCTTCATCTTTTTCATAATCTTCTTGCAAAATATAAGCAACAATATCATCATCCTCAACAACAAAATCCTTAAACGGCGTAAATTTTGCACTTACTTGAGAATTTCTGGCTTTCAAATGCGTACTTTGATTGCCATAAGTAGGAACTATAAATAGTTAAAAATAAAAATAATCTAAAATATAATTACCAATTAAAATCAATATTCCTAGAACTATAATTTTATTAATTATGGAAAAGAACATCTTGTATTATTTCTGGATCCCAATATATAGCATAAATATTAACAATATGCTTCTAAATTGGGTCCTTTATTAAGCTTGATAGTTATTTCATGAATAGGTTTTATTTAGACGGGATAAATTTCACGATTTCTATAAACCCTAGAAAATAGGAAAAACTATTAAAAATAAAAACCATTACAAATATTGATTATAAATTTAAATGATCTTTCTTACTTTTTTTCTATATTTCTTCTCATCCAATTCAATTGTTTTTTATAAAATAATATGTAAATTACATTTTATTTGCCGACTTTTAACATTTATTTCGATTGATTCCCCGTTTTTACTACTTTTAATACTATATTATTATTCTTAAATCCAGTGTCTTCCTTATTTTTAACTTTGCTTCATTCAAATAACTAATTCTTATACTTTTTTCTTTAATCAATACATTGTTTTCAATATTGATTTATAATCAACACTTTTTTTGATCTTCATTTTTAATCAAAGAATACTCGATTAATGATGTTTGACATGTACTTTTAGTTTAATTGAACACATTCTCTTCTCTATTTTTTCTTATATTACTTTAATTTTCCAGAAAAGCTTATTTTTTCTGACTGCTTTCTAAAGCTTAGATTAATAAAAGATCCAAAATACCATCAGAAAATCCCTGATAATTTTCTACATCTCTTCTATGTTTAAAATATTAATAAAGGGTTATCAGATTCTTTTATTCCTTTATTCTATGTTGTTATTTCTCCATCTGATGCAATACCATTAGATAAGATTCCTTGATAAAGAATTGTCTTCAATTCTGCTCTTTCAAGATAAATAATTGCCATATAACTAGAACTTTATAAATAAAGTTCATATTTAGTTAAAATATACCCAAAAGGCCCTGATCCAATGATCATCACCTTTTTTATCAGAAAAAAACCTCTATAAAATATACTAATAAATATAATACATTTGAGCGCATTCTTTAAAAATAGTTCAAGAAAATAGGATAGGCTAACTGATTAAACACTTTTTTAAGCAATTCTAACTTTATATTTTTAATGTTAAGATATAATATCAAAGTTGGAGCAAGAAAGCATAAGGTGGATGATAGGTGAAGTAATATATACATAAATATATTAGAAAAATATATACATAAATATATTAGAAAAATATATACATAAATATATTAGAAAAATATATACATAAATATATTAGAAAAATATATACATAAATATATTAGAAAAATATATACATAAATAGAATTAAAATTAATTATTAAAATATGAAGAGTATGTTGTTCATGCATATCAAAATCACTAGTATCACTAATATTGAATGAATTAAGAGTTTTTTTCAACATAGCAGCCTTTTCGATTTCTTAAGATATATTTAGATTAGACTCCTCATTAAGAGCTTCAATTATAGAAAGTCTATCACTGAGATGTCCGTTTTCTTAAAAATCCTATAGGTTAAAAAGAGTAACCCAAAAATAAGAAAAAGAATAACAATAATATCATTTGAAGTAACAAATGCCTTTTTTCGAAGAATGAAAGATGAGAAGCACCTGATCCAGTAGAAGTGCCCTTAGTAGGAGACGGCCGTGTAGAAGTTTTTGTAGTAGATGAAGTTTTAGTAGATGAAGCTTTTCGAGTGGTTGATATTTTAGTTTTGCTCGATGAAGTCGTAGATGTAGATGAAGTTATTGATGTTGGTTTTTGTTCCGGTTGTGGTTTTGGTGGAGGTGCAGGTGGCTCTGGTTGTGGTTTTGGTGGAGGTGCAGGTGGCTCTGGTTGTGGTTTTGGTGGAGGTGCAGGTGGCTCTGGTTGTGGTGGTTTTGGTGGTTGTGGTTGTGGTTCTGGTCGCGGTTGTGGTTGTGGTTCCGGCCGAGATGGTGGTGGCGGCGGCGGTGGAGGTGGTGCAGGTGTAGGTGCAGGTGGCGGTGGTGTAGGTGCAGGTGGCGGTGGTGGCGGTAGTGGTGGTGGTTCTGATGAAGATGTAGAAGTTAGATTTGATGAAAGCGAAGTATCTGGATCTTGCTGAGAGCTAGGATCTGATGGAGGGTTAGGATATGGTTTTGATGGAGGCCGAGGATCTAATGGAGGTTGAGGCGGAGGTTCTGATGGAGGTTGAGGCCCAGGTTTTGATGGAGGTTGATACCCAGGTTCTGATGAAGGCGGAGACTCAGAATCTGATGAAGGCGGAGACCCAGGATCTGATGAAGGTTGAGGCTCAAGATCTGATGAAGGCAGAGGCTTAACATCTGGTTGAGGTTGAGGGTCAGCATTTGAATCTGGCTGAAGGTTAGCATCCGGATCTGGTGGAGGCGTAGCATCTGGATCTGGCGGAGGCGTAGTAGTTGGTTGTTTATGCGTAAAAGGATATGAAAGAACTGGTACTTTATTTGAATCAATAGACTCTCCGAAAAAATGAAGTTGCCAATTAAAAATATAACCTTGTTCATCCCACATATTTTTATCTCTAACATCGATAGTCCATTTACCTACAATGCCTTCTCCCCTAAAAATCATTAGTTATTATTTCATAAAATGAAACAAAATACCAATGCTTTACAGTCGTAAAAATCCAACGAAAAGTGCCACTTTTATTATCACGAAAACGTACACGTGTTAATTTTGAAGTAACTCCAGATGGACTGGTAATTTTAAACTCCAGAGAACCTCTTATTCGGTGTTTATAATAAAATGAAACACCAACATATTCCAAACTTTTAAAGTTATAATGCTTAGGATATCCACGATGAATATAAAAACTGCTCGTGATACGTCTACTGGGTTCAGGAAATTTCATATTAACATGTATTAGTTGAGTTGAAAACATTGTCTGAGCATTTAATGTTTTAAATGTTTTTGCTTTTTCGACCATTCTATATGCATCTAGTTTTCCATAACCGAAAAAATTATTATAATAACGTCCAGAATGAAGTTTATCCCATTCATACTCCTTCATATTAAATGGAACAGCTGTTTCCACAATCAAAGCTTGAACATCACGCCATGTAAGATTAGGACTAATCTTTTAGTTAAATAATTTTAATGATATTCTTACTTCACTGAAAGAACAAGAGCAATAATACCCGCAGCAATCGCTGTAGAAGCAGAAGTTCCAGAATGTTCAGTAGTGCAATTTGTCGTACCAACATCCGTAGTATACTAAAACGATCAATTTATTATAAAAAAAAAAGAAAAGATTACAATATATCCTTTTTCTCCGCCAGAATATGTAGAAGCCAAAATGCAAGGACATGACTCTGAAAAATAAAGATTTTTATCTTCTGAATCTATAGAAGCGATAGTAACAGTATATGGACTATTTGCATATCCATCGTAATTACAATCATCAAAATGCCCACCATTTCCTGATCCGAAAACATATATAGACCCAAGACCGTTCCTTCCTTCTTTTATCCCTTTAATAATTGCAGAATAAGTAGTAGGAAACATTGGCATAGCTACATCTCCATTATCAGAAGGTCCCCAGCTACAAGAATAAATATGATTAACATCCGGTTTATAACTAACAGCATCTTTCTCAAGAATAAACGCATGAGAAGAAGACAAAAATCGTATTCCTTAACAATATTAGATTGGTCCCAATCAAGGAAAAATACCTGAAATATTAGATTCATATGCAACACCAAGCCCACACAGAGTATTCCTGGCAGCCGCCACTTCTCCTGCACATTTAGTAGCATGACTTTCATCAGGCTTCTCAGGTTTTGGGTTGAAATCTTTAGAATCAAAATCATATGAAGCGTTAGCATTCTGAAAAAAGTTAAAATAGTGATTTTATAATAGTTTTTCAAACATAATTTGGTGCCAAATCCTGGTTAGTATAATCTAGACCATCATCTGCAATGGCAACTGTTACATTTTTTCCCGTTATTCCTATAATCATTAAAAGGCAACCAACAACACAAATATCAAACCTTGTAACCATACACCTGTAACATTTATATCTACACCAGGGTCTTTCGTATTGAACTAATTAAAAAATCAGATTTTAAAGAAAAAAAAAGAATAAGCTATACCAAATACCATTGTTTATCAAAACAAGGATCACTTATATTTAATTGTTTTTTAATTTCCTCTAACTTCTGTGTTAGATTTTCCGCCCGGTTTTCTGCCTGATTTTCCGTCGGTTTTTCTGCCTGATCTCCCATCGGATCTTTTACAACATTATTGACAACTTCATCATTATAAAGATCTTGGTTATCAAAATATATATCGTCTCTTATCAGAGCCCTGTTTTCTCGCTTGACCAATTTTTGTTTCTCATAATAAAAAAGCTTGTCACTATTAAACCCATTTATTGCATTTCTTCCTTTTTCTAAACTGAAATAATTCTCAATTTTTTCTTTAATTTCGTCTTCTAAAACACTCTTTTCTATAAAAAATATATGGTGGTTATCCAGATATTCTACTTTCATATGATATTTGAATCCTATCGCCCGCGAAAACTCTTCAATATCAACATCTTCTGAGAAATGAAAATGATAATAATCATTATTCTCAAAGTCTACTGGCACCGTTTCACATCTTACTCTAACTAAATATATCCAGTATAAAGTAAGAGTAAGGAGTATCTTGAGGATCATGACGAAAAGTTAAGAAAAAACTATTTATCTTAACTTTTTAATTAGAAATTCTTAACTTTTTAGTTAGAAATTCTTAAATTTTTTAAAGTTTAGCATTAAAAATATTGAACTTATTTAAACCTAACCCTATCTTCAACAAGACCCTCTAATCTGTCCCCTTGTTTTTACTAATAAATGATCAATTTATTTTCATATAATCTATTATCTTTAATAAAACCCTATCTAGTTTTTTCTCTCTTTTTTATTAATAAAAATCAATTCGTCTCCATTAACCCTGTTATTTTTAATAAAACATTCTTTAAAACTAATTTAATATTTTATTTTAAATAAAAACCTTCTTTAAACTTTGATCTGATCTACTGTTTTTAACAAATTTTTTTTAATTTCATTTTAATTTATTATTTTTAAATAGAAATTGATCTGATTTTACTTTTAATAAAAACATCTTTAAATTCTAGTCTTTTGTTCTAATTAATGAAAAATCAATTCAACATTATCCAATTTGTTACTTTTAATAAAAATACTTTTAAATTGAACCATCCTTTTAATCTCCAATCAAACTCCTTCCAATTTACTCTTATCAAATCTCCACTAGCCTCTCCCTAACGACAGACTAATTTCCGATAAACAAATTTATTAATTTTTTTAAGATAATCATAAAGTTTAGTTGTTTTTTTGCAATAAACTTACAGTTTATTAATTCTTTTATAATGATCTTTGATTTTATTAGTTTTTTTTTTTGATAAACAATAGATTTTATTAATTCTTTTGCAATAAACTTAGACTTTGTTGGTTTTTTAGGATAAGCAATAGATTTTGTTAATTTTTTCATCATAAAGTTTACTAGCTTTTTAAAAATAAACAATATAACTCACTTATTCTTCTACGATAAACTTAGACTCATTCTTATCATAATCATAAACTTTACCCTATAAAGCATAGTTTCGAAGTAAGATTGTGTGTTAAAATAATTAAAAGTTTATTTTTCATTTCATTCATTTACATTTCTATTATATATAAACAATGGATATATGCACATTTTCAATCTATTAACATTTTTTTCATTCATTTTACATCATTCCCATAACAATCACTCCCAACAACATTATTTTAATCATATCAGGGACTCTTATTTTCATCCCATCATTCGGTTTCACTTCTTCTTCTTCTTTTTGTGTCTCTTTGTTTGAATCAGTAGTACATTTTGTAGGTTTGCACTTTTGCATCGAGGTCAACGTCACTGTTGATGTCACTGTTGACATCACCATCGACGTGCTCGTTATCGTACTCGTATGCAATGACGTACGTGTTACCCATATATCCGTTGTCTGTACCACTGTACACGGTTCTGTTACTTTTTCTCTAGTTACTGACTCGGTTATCGTAATAGTCTCCGTACTGGTCTTCTCAGTGATTGTCTCAGTGGTCTTCTCAATGGTCTTTGTTTCCGTCATCGTAACTTCTATTCTCTCTGTACGATGAGGCGCAACTTTTAATGGTTCCAGTTCGCATAATATGTCTATTTCTTCGCAAACTCTTAATTGCGGACAATCCTTTCTAAAACCGCAATCTAGTTGTAAAGGTTTACATTCCTCTTTCAATTCCAAATACAACTCCAATGCTATTGCTGTCTCATTAAATGCTTTTACCTCTGCTTCTGGTATTCCTTCAGCTACATATTCTCTTTTAACGAGTCCAAGTTTTGCATACTTCGTCGTTTTACCTGTTGTGCCTTGCGTTTCATCTGGTGTGCTTTGCTTTTCACTTGATGTATCTGATGTTCCACCTAATGATGATGGTAGCTCTACTTTTAGTGGTTGTAGTGGCCTTTCTGGTGATGATGGAGATCCTGATGATGGCCCTGATTCTGGTGGTGGTGGCACTGGCGTAGAAACATTGCTATTTTGCGCACTTGGCGTTACAGTTTGTCGAGGCATCGATAGCAATAACTTAGCTACCTCCATAGATTTTTCTGCCGCATCTTTGGCCTTAATGTAGTCATTTTTTTTCTCTGTCAACTCTTTTTTCACTTTTTCTAAATTGTCTTTTAAAGTTTGACATCTCTTCTGTACTTTTTCAACTAATTTTTCGCAGACATCTCCCTTAGTAGTATCATTACAATTACCAAGCAGATCATTGAATGTTTGATTTGATGCATCTTTCCACCTAGCGCAACGCTCTCCTAATGCTACTTTACATTCATCTTTCTTGTTTAAACTGCCTTTCAACTCATGAGTCAGCCCATCCTCCAATTGTTTTTTCTTCCAGAATGGCTCGCAGTTCTCTTTCAGTTGTAAACAGACTCCTTTCCCATCAGCGCTACTGGAATCATTTTTTAATGTCTCTGGACAATTCTCCATAAGTTGATCACAATATGGATCCCATAGTACGCAGGTTTCTTCAACCAATGTTTTATTTACGTTTTTAGTTTTATTCACAATTTCATGTTTTTCCAGGTTCTTTTTAAAAATATTGCAATGATTCTTAGCTTCTGAAACCATAAATTTACATGTTTCTTCTGGTAAAGCGCATGAAACATGATATAACCCCCCCCCCCCATCACTTTAGGTAATTTATCACATTTATCCTTCAAGGCTTTCATGCATTTTTCATTATCCGCTAATGCATCACTTTTTTCTTTCAAAAACGCATATTTCAGTTCTCTTGTAACTTTAAAATATTCACATCGCTCTTTCAATGTAACGCATTTCCCATTATTTAAACCTAAATCTTTCAAAATACCTTCACAATCCTCTTTCAATTTAATGCAGTCCTTTTCTTTAGGAGAATCCCGTACTTCATTCAAAACTTGTTCTAGATCTTTCAATTGAGACGAAATAATTTTTTCAAATCTAAGACATATCTCCTTTGGCCGAAGGCATCTCATAAAAATCTCAATATTATTATTATTAAGTGTAGCGCACTTTTCCAATACTATTCTTTGGCATTTGTTAAACTTTTCATCATTCGATTCTAATTTATTAAGTTTGTACAACTCACTTCCAATTAATTTAATGAATAGTTGATCTTCTTTCTTTTTATAACATGCCAATCTTAGATTTTGGCATTCGTAATTCGTATCAGATTCGCATGATCCTTTAATATACGTACATTCCGAGATAACCTGTAAACATTCATTCTCGTTAAATAATGTTGAAAGCTTATCGTAAGATAAATGTTTCGACTTTATATCTTTAAATTCTGTAGAAGTTCCATCTAGATAAAGTCTTATTCTAAGCTTTTTACATTTATCAGTTAAATCTAATATATCTTTACATTTTTCTCCTATTTTATTTTTTTCACATAATTCTTTAAATTCAGAGCTTATAGTTTTAAGATAACCACACTTTTTTTCTAATACGTTCTTGCAATTGTTTTCCATAACATCAGGTTTAGTACTCGAAGATAAACGGATTAACATGTCATCCAACGTTTTTTCTAAAGCTCCAAGAATTAGTCCTCTATTTCTTCCTTCTTTATAAAGATTTTCTAGATCAATCTTCTCTAACAATGTCATTTCAGGATCAATTGGATTAAAATCTTTAACTGGAGGCCTATATGTAATATTCTTTCCCTCACATAGTCCCTTAAATTTGTTGTTTATCTTTTCACATCTCTCTTTGAGAAGAGGATATACTCCGAGTTTTTCATGACATACTTCTTCTTTTCTAGTATTAATATTGAAAAAAGTTAAAGAACCGCAAAAACTATCAATATCTTTATTGAAATCTTCAAATAAAATATCTTCAAGGCATAATGAGACTAGATCATCACCCTGTCTAGTCAATATTGGACAAATTTCCCGCTTTTTTCCCTCGAAATCTTCGGATTTAATAATATCAGCGCCAAGAGCTCTAAGAACAACTTCATTTCTTATCTGTTTTTGCTTGTATAAATAACAGTTATCTCTAAGGAAAATGCAGGAACTTATGACCGCCTCATCTTTTGTAGGTTCAAAAAACATACATTCTTGATAATATTGTTCGCATTCTCTATAAAAGGGGATTTTTTTCGCCAAATCATCGATTAAAGTCCCAATTTGACCTACTTTTTTTTGAATCTTTGCTTTTATGTTTTCGCATTTTTGTTTTATATTATCACAAATTTCTTTAACTTTAATATAAACTTTATTTAATTCTGTATCTATATCTCTCAATTCTTTACAATATTCATTAATTTTTTTTTCACACGCATTATCTTCTTGATAATCTTCTTTCAAAATATAAGCAAAGATACCTTCATACTCGACAACAAAATCCTTAAACGGCGTATTTTCTGAGTTTACTTTAGAATTTCTAGTTTTCAAATGCGTGTTTGGATTGCCATAAGTAGGAACTATAAATAGTTAAAAATAAAAATAATCCAAAACATAATCACCAATTAAAATTAATATTCCTAGAACTATAATTTTATTAATTATGGAAAAAAACATCTTATATTATTTCAGGATCCCAATATATAGCATAAAAATCAACAATATGCTTCTACATCGGGTCCTTTATTAAACTTGATAGTTATTTTATTAATAGATTTCTTCCCCAACAATAGATTTCTTCTTCCCCAACAATTTCTTCTTCCCCAACAATTTCTTCTTCCCCAACAATTTCTATAAACCCCAAAAAATTAGGAAAAATTATTAAAAAATAAAAACCATTACAAATCTTGATTATAAATTTAAATGATCTTTCTTTCTTTTTTATATATTCCTTTTCATCCCATTCAATTGTTTTTTATAAAATAATATATATATTAGATTTTATTTTATTTAGAGACTTTTAACATTTATTTTAATTCATTCCGAACTTTTACTATTTTTAATAGTATATCATTATCCTTAAATCCAGTGTCTTCCTTATTTTTAACTTTGCTTCATTCAAATAGCTAATTCTTAAACTTTTTTCTTTAATCACTAGATTGTTTTCAATATTGATTTATAATCAATCCTTTTTTTGATCTTCATTTTTAATAAAATAATGCTTAATTAATGATATTTGAGATGTACTCTTAGCTTAATTGAAGGCATTTTCTTCTCTATTTTCGCTTATACTACTTTAAATTGCAGAAAAAAACATAAAAAATGCGCTTTTCATCAATTACAGATCATACAGAAATAGAAAAACAATATGCAGTTTCTATAATAAACATCAGGAAAAGGAGAAATACACGCAATGATAAGTAACTTTATCACATCGTAGTAATAAGAATTAAGGAGAGATCAATAGCTCTATCCTAACCCTAAGCTTGATCTTGGACCTAATCAATTATTTCGATTATTTGGTGATTTTACTGCTAGAAATATATGGACTTTTTACCTCTTAATGACTCAGAATCGTCTTCTCTAGAAGATTTAGAACCATCGCTTCTTGAAAATTTAGATTCTATAGAACTTGAACAACTTGAAAATGAAGCAATTAACATTTGCTCACAACATTATAATCGGAATCTGTGCCAATTCTATATTAATCAAACTGATATTCAAGATCAAATTCAAGTAAAATATCAGGTATGCATTTAATAATATTCTCAATATATAGTATGAACTTAAAATATAAGTCTGATATTTCAAGAGATACTTATGAAAAATACCCGCTTCATTTATATGATCAAATTCATGCTCAAGATAATGTTCATAGAGAGAGTATACAAAAAGATATATCGCTTTTAAACACAAAGAATACTTTTTATAATAGTATCCAGACCGATTTTTCTGATATTGATAAACACCATTGTATAAACCAATGGGATAAAATGTATCAATCGTCTAATATGAACCCACGAGATAATTATGGTACAACTATTCAATCAAGTTTATTAACACATAAATCTAAGATTTGATAAGGGAAATCAGCATCCTGTAATGAACAGATACAGAAAGCTGGAGATATGCAGGTGGCAAATACAAAAGAAACAGTTCTGCAAGATGAAATAACAAAGGTTTTTGATACACGGCACTAAATGATTCTAAAAATATGTAGTCACAATCATATATTAGGAACTTTCAGTTACAACAAGATGGGTTTAAAGTAGTAACTCGATCCAAGTCTAAAGAACTTGCAATAACTCAAACTTTATTTGATAAAGTGCTTATACTTATTTATATCTTTAAGAATTTAATTAGTTAATAGGAACAATTTCATATGAGTTTTATAGAAAATTTTGAAAAACAGTATGCATTTTCATCGGAAAGACATATTGTTACTTTGAAAAAAATGAAAGTTGACTTTGACCAAGTTCATACCGAAAATCGTTTTCAAAAAAAAGGACTCCAAGAAGGTGATGAATTAATTACGCAGTCTGAAAATCCTAAAAAACAAGCGAATTCTTCGTTTAACATGCCTTTTGAATTTCCAACAAAAAAAGCTTTTGAATCAGAAGAAAAGGTTATAGATCCTCCAGTAAAACGAAAACGAAGATTAAAGAAATATGTTTCTTTAGATAATGCAGTCCATGAATATGAATGTATTACGGGAAATTATCATTTAAAAAACAATGAAAATTTAGAGTTACAAGTAATATCAAAAATAATACATCAACGAATGAATGATAATAAAAAACTTCAGGTATGAAGATTAAATGAGTAAAAGAGATAATGTTTATTGTGGTACAGTTTATTGAGGAATTATTTGATTATCGTATTGATTATATTTTCAAATATAATGATAGCACAATTTTTGATATACTTCCTTTTTATACATTACCTGGATTTTCTGTATCTGTTTCATCAATGGTTATAAAGTTTATTAGTAGATCTCTTACTACTTTAAATTCTGTTTTAGTTTTTTTATTTTATTTAATGGATTATGTAATGGTTATTTGGAAAATTTGTTTAGAGAAAAATTATGTTTGTATCTTATTTTTACTATATATGACTAAAGTTTTTAGAAAGAACCAATCAGACATATGGTATCATTTGTACATTTTATTTTTGTTTTTCAGTCACATGTCTTTAATGAGCTAGTCAATGTTGGTAAAATTGAATCTTTACTAACGTTGCTGCAAAACACAATAATAGAGTATATGGTAGAAGCAACAAAAGAGACTGAAGTTTTTGGATACATAGGTGAATTTGTAGTTCAAAAGTGTTTAGAAATTTTAAATATCATTGTAAATTTATCTCAAGAAAATACACAAATTACATATAAGTATGTTTTTTATGTTTAGATATTAATCTTATCTTCAATTAGAATTTCCTCATTCCTGGAGTTTAATCAGATTTTGTTATTGCTAAATCCTTTACATAATTTATTATTCATTAAAAAAACATTGAATTTTTTAAATAAGTCTATTCTTTTAAAATATATTCAGTATACTGTTAAAAAGGATGAATTAATATGTTTTTCTGATTGTTTCTCGAAAATATTAAATATTGTAAGTAGATATTTAACTGAAAAATATGAAAATTATAAAGTATTTGAGGTTTGTTATTTTTGCTAAAAGAATAAATTAAATTGCGGATAGCTTATGGATTTAAAATTGGAGGCTGTTACGTTTTTGAACACTGTTATGTCAGCTTCTGTGAATGGAAAAAATCTTCTTAGCTTAAATGTTGTTGTTGTGTCGCAATTATGTCGTTGTTTAGCAGAATTGATAAATTTTCATGGTACATCTGAAATTTTCGGGCAAAGGTATATATTTTTTATGACTTCTTTTGCTTATGATGCAAGAATAAATTTAATTAAATCTATTGTATTTATTCTTCATGAAATTATTTCACCTATCAACATATCTTTTCATTTTGCACAGCCGTGGACTCGATATGCGTACATTATTTCAATGACTCGTTTAAGCTTTGCTGAGGATGAAGATGATCATGGAAAAGATATATTTGATGATAAAACTATAGAATTTGCTAGAGATCTTCTTGAAATAGTTGTAGATCCAGAAGAAGGTGATAAGTTATATGATCTTTTTCATATTTCCAATTAATATACCTTTAATTTATGTTTGGAATTATATTATGTAGATCATGATGAATAAAATATATAAAATTAGAAATTAAAATGTAAATGTTCTTTAATTAACGTAAGAAATAAGTTTAGAAAAAAAAAGTTTTAAAAATAATGAATGAATATTGCTGGTTTCCTTCAAAGTTTTTGTCAGGAAAAGTTACATCAGTTTTTAAAAAATATGCTATTATTATTTTAAATCAACCGTTATCTTTGGAATATGATAAATTTTTAGTATTATGGGAAAAAGGTAGATTTATTTTTCAGTATTATTCTTAATACATATATTCATTACAATAGCATCTTTGAAAATATGCGCTGATGGTGGTGCTAATCAGCTTTATATGTTATATAAAGATAATCCTCATATTGTAATTTTGATTTTGAGTTTCTTAATAGGAAGGTAATTTTTTAGCTTCCAGATTATATCATTGGAGATATGGATTCTTTGTCTAGTTTTGTTTTAGAAGCCTATAGTTCAAAGGTATATATATTGTTTTTATAATTGAATTATTAATATTAAAGGGTGTAAAAATTATAGAAAATTTTGACCAGAATTCTAGTGATTTTGGAAAATCTATAGATCTTATTAACTCAATTAATCTTTCTGTAATCGATCTACATATGCATATAATTTCTAAATAGTATAAGGTTACAGATGTAATTGTTTTTGGTACATTTTCTGGTCGAGTGGATCAATCTTTAGAATCGTTAAATCAAGCATATCTCGCATCTCTTTTAACTCCTCCGATTAATTTATATTTATTTTCTGTATATAATGTCACTTTTTTACTGTTTCGAGGAATAAATAAGATACATTTAGATTTATCAATTTTAGGACCTCATTGTGGACTTGTTCCAATTGGTGAAAAATGTATAGTAACAACAGAAGGAATGAAATGGAATATGAAAGATCAAGTAATGAAGTATGGCGGACTTATTAGTACTAGTAATATTGCTATTGAAGATATAATTATTGTAGAAACAAATGAAAAGGTTTTATTTACAATAGAAATTCAGCCGTATGTCAAAACATTTTAAGAAAATATGCAAATAATCAATATACTTTTTCTTAATATCTACTTTGAGTTTATTTATTATCTTCAGATGTTCTAAGATTTTTAATTTTTTCTATAATATGATATTTTATTTTTTTTCATAATTATTTTAATTTTGATTATATAAATAGATAGATGAATAAATAGGTCTAAAAATTGCTATATAATTATTAGCTTCGTGTTCCTAAAAGATTTTTGGGTTGATTTATAAAAAAGTTTATGCATTGAGTTTAAATTTTGCTTTTTTTTTTGATTTTTATTTTTGAAAAAAAGGAAATTTTAGAATTTTTTAACTTTCATATATAAATAAAAATTAAAAATTATTTTCAAAACATGTATTTATTTTGTTAATTAGTAATTTAATTCTATTGAATATTTAAAATAAAAAAATTAAATATTTAATACTAATAATTTTAAATTTTTTAACTTTTTTATATATTTTTAAGTATAATTTTAAAAATATACTCATTAATTTTATTGTTTATGTTTTAAAATACCATAACTTTAAGTCTTATAAAAGTTTATTTTTTAAATTTTTGTAATTTAAAAAATAATTCTACTTTTTATGAAATGTAATTTAGGTTTTTATTTTTTTTAAAAAATAATAGCAGTAAATAAAATCACGCATAAATTTCGGTATTATAAATTAATAATTTTATTATAATTAGATAATTTACAATATACTTTAATATAAATAAATGCTTATTTTATGAAATTTAAATAATAATTAAGTGTTTGATGATTTAACGGATTCTTGTAAATCATTAGATTCTGTAATCTCTATATCATCTTCATTGTTAATTTCTTTTATTTCATTTAGAAAAAAACAATAATAAAAGGATAAATTACCATTATTATAAATTTCTGGATATTTTTTAAAACATTCTTGCATTGTTTGAAATTTTTCTATACATTCCATACCTTTAGGTTCTTCTTTTGAATAAACAAAACATGAAAATGCATCTTTAAACTCTTTTCCACATGGTCCATGTGCCACTATGCTGTTAGCCCGCTTCTAAATTTTTAAAAAGTTTTCCTACTTCCACCAAGACATGGACAATCCCTAGATTTATTAATATTTATCAATTGAAAGTAACATAGTCTTTCCAATTTATCTCTCCAGTTTCAGGATTGAAAGCAGATTCTTCACTATTATTCTCTGAATTAGATAATGTTGAAATTTCTTCATTATTATTATTTGTATTTTTTGACTACATATATGTTAATTATTATATACTACAATATGAGGAAATAACTGTTTCTTTATCAGTATCCGCTTTGATAAAAGGAGATATTGAATATGTTATTAGAGGCATACATAACAAAATTTTAAAACTTTTAAAAAAAGTTTGATAAGTTTGTAATTTAAAAAAAAAAATAGAATAATTCATTTGTTGTGAAGGCCAAAATGTAGTATATTGAATAATTTGTGGAAAATAAAGTTTTTTAAAAAAATGCCTGATTTTATATCTCATTTTTTTTATTTAAGAAATAATTAAAAAGCTGTAATTTTTATTTTTCGATAGAATTAGCTTTTAAAAATGGTTTTGGAAATCTTAATATATTTTGAAATTTGCATCTTTTTAGCGATTTTCTCTATATACTTTTTTAATTTAACATTTGTTATTAGTTTATATTATTTAATTTTATATAGGTTGTTTTTTTTCTAAAAATAAATATTTTAATAATAATTTAATGTTAAAGACATTTTGAAGAAATAGCTTTTAAGGATTTGAACTTTTTAATTTCATCAAAATATCTTTAATATTTAATTATTATTAAAATATTTATTTTTAGAAAAAAAAACATAAATGATCATTCATAGGATATTTCTAATTAAAAATACATGCATTTTTAATTAAAAGTAAATGTAGACAAAAAAATTTAATATTTTTTTATTATTTGCTGATTTTTTGTTTGAAATAAAAAGATAAATTTAAGTTTTAAATTGCTATTTAACTTTTTAATCGTAGTAATATGTAACATAAAATTATTAAAAATATATAATTTCAAATAAATCTTTAATTTGGATTTTTTAACTGTTTTAAAATAACATGTAGATATTGTTTTTATTAAAATAAATATAAAAAATTACAATAAAAAATATTTCTAGATCAATATTTTCTGAAAAATAAACAATTGGATGAGAAATAAAATTTTAAAATAATAATGATCAGTATTAAAATACAATTCTGGAAATATATACTTATTTATACTAATACAAAAATAAATAATTAAAAAAACAGCAAACAAATAAAATTCAATTTATAATTTTATATTTACATATTTCTAGAAAAAAAATATTTTTTTTAAAAAAACCTCTGTACAATCTCGCAAAATATTGTTTTAAGTTGCAAAAACAAGTTCTTTAATCGGTATTATATATTACAATAGACATAAATATTATAAAATTATGTATAAAATTTATAAACCAGCATAAAAAATTAAGTTAATCGAGAAATTTTCCTTTTTTTTTTTACAAATGTAAGAGCTGCTATATTATTTGAACTTGGCAACCTAGGTTTTTTCCAATAATACTATTTTACTAATTTTAGTTTAAAAATTTAAATATTATAAACTACCTGTTTATGTATTTTTCTTGATTGTCTAATTGGCTTTATAAAAGGTAGCAGGTTTGCTTTTCTTTCTTCATTATCATCTTCTAAATTAAATAAGATAAGAATACAATTGAAATTTTAATATTATACTTTCAGGGACATAATACCATTGATTTTCAAGTGGCTTTCCACTAGCGTCTTTTCCTTCTCGTTTTATTTCTGCGATAAATTGACCGGCATTCCTTAGCCATTCTTCGACATCTTCTTTTAAAAAAGTACTAGGAAATAAACATGTAAGAGTAGATAAAGGTACAGCACTTAAAGGAGAAAATGCAAGAGTTGTTAAAACAGAATCAAGCAAATTAGAATCAGTGGAATTAAAGTCTGAACCAAAATTCTCGATGTCTAGAGACAATGAGTTATTCGTGTCTATCTTAGCTTTATCTGTAGACAAAAAAGTTGAATAAGGATTATCTGAGCCATGATTGACATAAGTATCACTGTTATTTAAAGACGCTGGTCGAGAAAAATTACTAAAATTAAAAAACATTGGCAAATCAGTTATTCTAGTATTTTCAAAGTCTTGATAAGTTAACTCTTTCAAAGGAGACCTTTCTGGTTTATTTTTATAAAATCCTAAATTACGATATATTTTTTGAGAAAATGGAGGAACATTTTCATTATTAGTATAAAGCGAGTCGATTCTATCAATAGATGTTTCATTGTCAATTGAGAGCTCTAAAGATATAGGCCATAAAATTCGAGAACACGATCCTGCAATTTCAACAATAATAGAACCAATGTCCGGTTCCCATTCGACAACACTTGTTTCGCCCTTCTTTATTTTTCTGGGTTCAAGTCCCATTTGAATATGAAGCAACATACCATTCCATCCTAAACATGTAATATAAACTGCTTTATTTTCTGAATGATATTCAAGCTTGGCATGGATACGACTAATGAATCGATTTTTCTTGGATATAGAAAGGTTGCATGATTGACTAGAACGTCCAATATAGACTGCTTTTGATTCATCCAAACGAAGAAAAGGGAAACTGTCAAAAGAATCATATGTATATTGCGGAGACAATGAACATAAATCTGCGCACGATGATAGATCTGGTGTTAAATATGGATTTTCTGATGCCATTACTTCCTATCGTTTCAATAAATTGATCATGAGACTTACTTTCATCCGAATTTTGAAGATAATATAAAGGAGAAGACAATAAATTCAGAGTTTTTTTTTTAGTAAAATTTTCAGATATTTCTCTGTCTGATGCTTCTATTACCATAATTAAAACAAAATAAATTGTTTTATTTTATTTATTTTTAAAATTTATTTTATAATCTCATTAAATTCTTACGACGCGTATCATTATGACACGAACAAAAATATATATTAATAAGTTATATAATTAAAAATAAATGAAAACATGGTTTTTTACAAGAAATAAAAATATTAGAACATGAATTCTACTAAAAATCATTGGGTTGTTTATATTTTTGAAAAAATTAAAAATCAGTGCAAGCGTTACCTTTTTTAAAATAATTATGTAAATTCTGAATATGAATATATGTTCTTTTTAATATATTTTTATAAAATATTAAATATACTACTATAAAGAACTTTAAATATTATACAAAAGAGCTATCTATGAGCGTATATTCCAAATTTTAAGAAAATATATTATATATTATATATTATATACTAATTATTTTTAAATCTATATTAAGCATTATACAATCTGAAAAAGCAAGACAGTCGAGACATTAGATGTTCTCTCAATTAATGACATTTTAGAACTAGTAAATTATGTTGCTAAAACTGATGGAAAATATTTTTTTTTAAAATATAAATTACTTTTTAAAATTTCGAGTATATAAATTTAAACTAAGTTTTTTTCAAATTATAATAAGTTTTAATATACTAATATATATATATATATATTGTGAATATATATATTAATATTTAAGCATATATTTTGGACTTTTAAAATTTTAAATTTATAAAAATGTATATTTGAAAATCTTCAATATTCCGGTAATCAAAATAAAAGCAATGTTTTAAAATTAAAAACTTGATTTACATATTTAATGCCAAACTTTCGCACTTTTAGCGTTAAATAATTAAATTCTAGTAAAATCTTGAATTATAAATTATTTATAAAAGATTCTATATATATCTATAAATATTTTAATAAAAATAATCTATAAACAAAAAATGTCTTGAAGGAATTCATGTTTTATAACTTAAAACTATAATAATAATAATAATAATACATTCAATGTATTTCTTTCAAAATAAATATAATGATAAAAGTTTAGTGTTTTTAAGAATTATAACAAAATAAAATATAATAAGATAAACAGAATACATTATTAGTCATGGTATTAATCATTTTTTGAAATTTAGTGATTTAAAGATTGAAATTCTATTTCATTTGATATTTAGTTATTTATATGACGTTACTCTTTTATAGTTAATTATAGATAATTTAAAAGATTAGTTTTTGATTTTTTCAATTTTTTTGAGAAGCTAAATAAATTGATTTATAATATTATACTCTCTTTTTTTCATCATTATCCATCTGCTCATATTTAAGAACAAGAGACTTAATATGTTGTTGTTCTTGCTTTTCCGCTTCTTTTTTTGTTCGCATTGATATAGCTAAGGCAGAGTCGGATGGAATGTCGACTATATGAGTCTAAAAAAACATAAATAATATAAAAATATATTATAAAATATACCATTGGACGATTTCCTCGTTTAACAAGAAGCGCAAAAGTGATATTATTATTTGAAACATTCGGCGAATCTATTTCGTTGTAATTTACATGAAAACCTTGTCGTTTCATTGGTAACGGAAGATCAAATATTCCTTTACGATCAAATTTACGAGCTTCAAGACTTTCTGAGACTATTTTTGAAAACTCAATATCAAATTCCTCCTCTTCTTTTTTATTTCGCTCTCTTCTAAACATGATGATTTCATCATCTTCATTAATATGTGAAGAATCGTTTTTAATATTATCCTTTTTTTATAAATCTTTAATCTTAACAAAATATAGATATTACCCCTAAATCATCCTCTTTCTCCTGAATTTCCCCTTCTTGATCATCAAATATAGGCACATCATCATCGTTAAATGATTCAGTATCTGTACTATCATCCATAACATGAGAATTTGTTTGAATATCTACTAAAGTTAATAAAAAATAAAATCGATTTATCAAATATACCATAAGGTTTAATATATTTAGCAATAATTTCATCAATTCCTTTTGCTGCTTCTTCAAGTGAAGATATTAGCTTCAAATTTGGGCGAATCAAACGTATAGTATCTTGTAAAATAAACTCTACATCCATAGTAAGTGGAAGTTTAGTATGAATATAATACTGATTCTGCATAAATAAAATAATTTCGAGAAAATAATTTATTACCTGAAAAAATGATAAAAAAATATCTAATTTTTTTCTTGAAGAACCCCTATCAAAACACAATCCACATGTATTTAACAAAGTACATACTAAATGAATACGAAAAAAGTCATCTGGTGCATCAATTGGTGTAAATTTACATGGATGAGGCCTTCCTCCCGCTATTTAAAACCAATAAATATAAAATAAATAATATTTATGTTTATACCATGTCCAAATATAACTAATGTATATAATGTATCAAATATAACAGGTGTATCAACAATTTTATAATTATATAGTTCTCCTAAATATTTAACTAATGCAATTTGTTTTTGATTATGTTTATAATTATTTTCTTCTAATCCAATTCGAATTTGCTCAAGAATGCTGTCAACTAGTTTTATAGTAAATTCATGATGATAACAAGATAGACCTTTAATTAAAATAGCCAATAAATGTATATTATTGAAACGAACATTCCATACTTTTGAAAAAAGTTTAAAAAGCGTATATTCCACCTTATGTATTATTTAAGTGAAACTAATAGGATCAATTTACCTCTGGATTTTCCCAATGTAACTTTCTTAATTGCTTGAGTATTCGCGGATAATTTTTTTTGTTTAAATCAAGATAGATTAGTTTTCTGATATAAAGTTCTTCAACAGATAAAGTTCTACGTTGAACTATTGGCTGTTCAGGAGGATTAACCTAATTTTTTATTATAAATGCTTTTTTATATATAAAAAAGTAAATTACATAATAAAATGCATTTTCAATCATAAGACGCTCTTGTTGTCCTAAATTTTGCGCATTTTTTTTCCTCATAATTGTTTCTAACTATAAAATATTAACTTTCATAAATAACAAAATAAAAATTCTACCAAAGTAACCATTCTTGGATTTGTTTCTGGATGTCTAAACAAAAATCTACCACATTCTTCCAACAAAATAGATAAAATCTCTATAGTTTGCTTGGAAAATTTATCAATTGCTATTTTAAAACAATGAAATATTAAATGATGAGGTACAACATTAAATTTTATTAACTCAGACAAATATCGAGCATTCTTGAATCGTAAGAAAACTTTATGAGTTCAGTTATTTTTACCCTTGTACGTAATTCCAAATCCTTATTTCCTAAGGCTATTATTTTTTTAAACTGTTTAATAAGCTAAAATACTATTATTTTTAATATAAATAAGCAATAATAACCAACATATTCGATAACAGAATCCCTAACACTATGTATATATCTACCTAATGTTGCAATTAAACGTGAATAATAGGGAAATATGTCTTGATGATTTCGTGGAGGTTCGCAAAGAGCCTTTAAAGTAAGAAAATTTCATGCAAATTTTATTTCTAAACCTTTATCAATTTATTTCTGGAAGCCTTTGAATTCAAAAAGCAAAAATCTATTGCTGCTTGATCAATCATATCACGGTTATTAAGTTCTAATAAACGAGTAATGTAAACATCAATTTGCATGCTAACTCCTTTAGATATATTTGAATCTTCTTGTAAAAAATCACTGAAAATTATTTTAACTATAAACATAATGAGAGAGCTATACCTTTCATTAAGTTCACTTTCAATTCCTTCAATATTATCATCAGTAATATCTAAATCCATTTCATCAAGTTTATCTATAGAAGATGGAGTCTTATTTTCAGTACATGACTCATTTTCTTTGCTTTGTTTTTTATCATTAGTTAAAAGGGAAAGAGGAACAACGTCTTTTAAATCAATAATATCTTCATAAAATTTTCTTTGATCATCATCATCCCATAAACAATTCGAAACCATTTCTTCTTTATCATGTAGAAGAGAATTACTAGCACGTATACATGAATCAACATTATTAATAGGCTCTTCAGTCTGGTTTTTTAAATCAGGCATTAATAAACCTAAAATGTCTGCTAATCTATAACATTTAGAATAGTCCATATAAATAAGTATTAATTACATTTTTGAATTATTAATTAGCCTTTCTAGATGTTTTTCTAAGCGATCAAGATTATTTTGGCGATCTTCATTAATTTCTCCTCGGCTAACAGATACGTCTGAAATATTTTTCTCTTGAATTTTAAGATTCTAAATAAACATTATATAAAAACATTCAATAAATAACACTAACTTTATGCTCCTTTATTATATATTCTTTTAAATTATCAAAATATTTGTGTAGTAAAAGCTTAATATTTTCTCTAATATCAGTTGCACAAATAGAAATATTTTCGTCGACATATTGTTGTAAAGATTCTATAGAGTTTTCAGAAGTATTTCCGTCAATAATTTTTCGCAGGCGTTTCTGACTAATACAAAAAATATCACTTGCAAAACTTCTGACAAATGTTACAATAAGTGGTAAATTAACATAATCTCGGTCTTGAAGAACAATATCTTTAATAATAGAATATATAAATGGTTCATTTATGTAGTTTTCAGAGCGTTTTTGGCACTTTGGCGACTTCAATTGAGGATTATTGTTTATAGTAAGTCCAAGTGGAATTGCATCATTTAATGTGCGCAAAATTCCAACAAGCCAAAGTTCAACAGAAACACGTAAAAGAATACGTTGTCTTGAAATACGCTGAGAATCTTCTTTTTCACGTTGCTCTGACGTTAATGATGCCATATAACTTTTTAATGGCTGAGTAAGACTGCGCGCTATCTGAAATGTCAAAAAAGGCGTAAATAATGTCGAAAATCGCTGATGAAGAGCAGATACAACCTACAAATATAAGAAACAATCTAAATAATCATCAAAAATCCCTCAATAGCTGTAAAAATATCTGCTGATGTTTTAGACTTTTGTAAACCTTCAACAACTGCTCCCACAATTTCTGAAATATACTTTTCAAGCGATAATGTCTCAAGGTCTCGTATTAACTGATCATGAACATCCGACGTAATTCCTGTACGTAAACGTTTAATAAATGCCGTATTTTTCTTCAAACTTGTATCAAGATTAGGCGCCGTTTTGAAAACTCCTATCATAATTAAAATGCTTAAAAACTCTTCCACTAATAAAACCCTTTATTCCTTCCCAGGTTTCTATATTTTTAGCCCGAAGCTCCAACTTTTTCTTTCTTTTTTCTTCATTTAAATCAACATTTATATTCTATATTCTTATCAATATTCATCCATTGCTTCTTAGAAAATATTAACATCTTGAACATCTTCTAATGTATTCACACTCATTCTAATGTATTCATCTATCTTTTTCAAAAAAATAATTAAAATTTAACGTTTAAAAAAATCAATATTAAAAAAAACGATCTTAAAAAAATAAAAATAAAAAAATGCCGTCAAGAAAGGCGCACCAGAGGCTTTCTCCGTACCTTTCAAATAGTTCTATACAGCAATTGAAGCTATTAGATATGGAAATTAAGAAGTTGTCGAATATTGAAAAAATAAATGAAAAATTATCAAGAAACCATAAGAGTATGAGAAAATATACAAAATCAAGTTCAGATGAAGAGAAGGAAGAAGAGGTAGGTTTTAAATTTTGGATAGAATTATTTTTGAGTGTTATTATTTTGATTTTAATCTTTTATATGTTAAATATTTGAATGAATTTTAATGAAAAATTTGAAGGAACGTATAGGTTTATATTTCATGAAAAATAGATCAAACTTCTTTTTAAGGACGATATGGACATTTGCTATGATTTTTGGGTTTCTTGTGATTATTGCAGCTGGACATATATGGATTATTGTTTTACTTACTTTTATTCAAGTAATAGTTTTCAAAGAGTTAATTGCTATTGTCAATATTTCGGATAAAGAAAAAAAACTTCCCTGGTTTCGAACTTTGAATTGGTATTTTTTGTAATTTTTATTATCCTTATAGTAGACGGTATTAGGTATTTTCTTTGTACAACTTTGTATTTTGCATATGGTGAAAGTCTTATCTATTACTTTAAACATATTGTTATTGTGGATGCATTTCTATTTTCCATTACGACTCATCATCGGTTTATTAGTTTTATACTTTATATTGGGGGTAATTTTATAATAAACTATTTATTTTTGATTTATCTTTCTAGGCTTCATATTTTTTGTTATGAATCTCAAAAAAGGGCATTACAAATATCAGTTTACACAGTATTGTTGGACTCATATGATATTGTTGTTAATTGTGGGACAAAGTCATTTTATTATTAATAATATATTCGAAGGCATATTTTGGTAATATATTAGATTTTTTAAGCATATTTTTAATCTTTTAGGTTTCTATTACCTGCTTCCCTTGTTATATGTAATGATATTTTTTCATATTTATGTGGAAAGCTTTTTGGCCGAACTCAGCTTATTAAACTTTCTCCTAAAAAAACTGTTGAAGGATTTATTGGAGGATGGATTTGTACAGTAATTCTTGGACTTACTATGGGAAATATTATTTTACATTGGAATTATATGATATGTCCATTAAGAGTAACTATATGTTTTATATATTATTAGTCCTAACAAATAAACCAAGGACCTTGGAGCTACAGCGTTAATTGGGCTAGATTGTGTTCCAAACCCAACATTTGCTTTGAAGAAATTTCCTCTTCCAGAATTTATAATTTCATATTTATCTCTTCCATATCATTCTATCACTATAAGGCCAGTCGAGTTTCATCTTATGGTGTTTTCTACTTTTGCATCTCTTATTGCTCCATTTGGTGGTTTTTTTGCATCTGGACTTAAACGCGCATTTAAAATCAAAGATTTCGGGGATTCTATACCAGGACATGGCGGGTTAACTGATCGTTTTGATTGTCAATTTATAAATGGATTTTTCGTTTATCTTTACTATCATAGTTTTATTGCGGTTATATTTTTGAAAATTATACTAATAGCTATTAATATTTATTATAGGTAACACATGTTTCTGTAGGATCAGTTCTTCAAACAGCTATTACATCCTTAACATATGACGAACAAATAAAACTTTCTAATAGTATATATAAATATCTTGTTTCTCAAGGAGTTTTATCAAATACTATTCTTGAATGTCTTAAAAAATCTTTTCCTCCTTAAAGATATGCATTTTATTTATTTATTAATATTCTATTATTTTTTGTATATTTTTAGGATTAATTTAGGATTTATTTTTATAATTTATTGTCAAAATTTACTTAGAATATATATATATATATATTATATAGATATTAATTTTTCTATTATAAATCTAAAGGATTATGTGAATTTAAAATATTAATGAAGACAGGATTTTAATTTTTGTATAATATAAAAAAATATTCTTGAATATCTTGTTAAATTTCACGAATATAAATACAGTAATTTCAATAAAATGAATTGCCTTATGTCAACCGTTAATAAATTACTGAAGCATTTCAAATATTTATTTTCTTTTTTGATTTATTCTACAATAAGATTGTATTGATTAGAAATAATATTAAAATAGTTTGTAAAATTTATAGATTCAAATTAATAATAATCAAAAATCTTTCTAAAATGTAATAAATTTATATAATTATTCATTTTAATTCTTAATATTCAACCTAACCAATGATATATTAAATAAAATAAAAATAATGTGCATATAACTCCTCCCCAAAATAACATTCTATCGTGTAAAATTCTTCTCTCAATAAATTTAATTGTATTTTTACTAAGTCCTAAAATATTTCCAATATTATAAATTTCTCGTTGCACTCGCTACTTCGTTAAGACACTTCACCAATTTAGTCTTAAAATAATATACCTTTATATGAAGTTTCTGCTCTATTAAATCATTAAGTATGGACTGTCCTTGTCCTAAAAAACTATCTAATTGCGAATCGGTATTTTTCAAAAAATAACTCGTTGATAAATTAGAATTTCTTTGTTCATTTAAGTCATTAGATTTCACATGTCCATATGGATTTTCTGGTAATGTATTGGTATGGATTCGGCGTTCTAAAAGTTCGTTTCTTTGATTTAAATGCTCCTTTTGTAAAAAATTAAAATAATAAATAACAATAACAATAATATTATCACCATTTGTTTATATTTCGTTTTAAGATCATCAAATTTTTCTTTTAATTCAGAATACTGTTTTTTAAACACTTTAACTCTTGTAATAGCTTTTTCTTGTTTTTCTATATTCATTTCTTTTTTTGACATTATTTCATATTCATAGATAGTCCTAGAGAGAGAATTTAAACTCACAGTTATTTGGCCTAATACAAGTGTTAGCATTTTTTAATTGGATAAAATCAATATATTTTTTACAAGTGTTAATTCTTTTTACCTTGAAGTGGAAGTGCTGATGAAATATTATCTGTAATAGATGATTGAAAGGAATTCAGATCTTTTTCTAAGTTCTGAGTCTGTCTAAGAGCTTGATTATAAAATATATCCATTTTATTAAATTTATAATATTTAAGAATTTATCGATAAAATATATTAGAAAATTTTACATTTTTATGATTAACTAAAAGTATTTTTTTTGCAATAATCAATCCGTGGATATTTATACATGAAAAAAACCAATAGAAGACATACTATTTTTATACATATTTTCTTATTATTTACTAGATAATTAGACAGATTCTTGTATTCCTGTATCAGGAACAGATGATATATGTGAAGTATCTTGTTCCAAAAAATCGTTTTCAGCAGAAACAGGATTATTTTCTTTAGAATCATCTTTCATTGCTTTTTCATATTGTGCTCTTTCTGCCATTTCCCTTTCCTCTCTTGCAATACGTTCAATTTCATCTGCATCAAATTTACGTTGAACTATAGGAGCTGCAAACTTTATAAGATCGTCCAATTTACTCTTATATATAGCTTTTGTTGCATCTTCTCCTTCATCATATAACCATTCCTATAAATAAAATTAAAAAGATATTGCCATTTCTAACTTTGCATTACCTCTGTTTCATTTAACAACTTCTCAAGACAAACTTTTTCTTCATTACTAGCATAGTCAGCATATAAATCATATAGCTTGCTACGCATATCATAAATATATTCCTCTAGAGCATTCTTTTGATTTTCCGTATTAGCGATTATTTTATCTTCCAAAATCATCGCCTCTTCTTTTTCTTTAAAAATCTTCATTGTATCAACATTAAGAGAAAGATTTTCTGATACAATGGGTAAATCTCTTTTTTTCACTAACTTCTTTATTTTACGTGTTTCAGGCTTTTCTTGTTCAACGTCCATCGATTCAGGAAATGTAACACCATTCACTTTCTCTTCATCCTTTGGTTCTTTATCAGTGGACTCCTCTTTTGGAACAACCTCTTCGATTTCTTGTTCTTCTACAATATATGCATGCTCGATATTTAAAAGACCATGCAGATTGAGTCGTGCTCTAACTTTTATAATAGAAAAATCATTATTTGTATCCGGTACAACATTTTTGATATGATATCTTCCTATCCATGTATTAAAGCTCCCAGGTAAACCAGATGGATCTGCATATGAAGCCTCGATAGTAAAAGGTTCTTTTCTATAAAATGTAAGAATTTTGGTACTTGGAACAACATTATTTTTCGGAAAAACAATAAGGTTTGTTTCCTCATCAGTAATCTCACGAGAAGGCTCCCAAGAAAATTGAATAGGATAAAGAGTTAAATCATGAATTGAAAAATCGCGCACTTTAAAAATAGGAGATAAAATAGCACATGCAAATGCACAGCCACGTGCTACAGCCTCATCCTGATTAAGTGTAAATGAAAGCGGTTTTCCAAAGAATGCAGATATTTTTTCTTTAATAAATGGTATCCTTGTACTGCCTCCGATCATCTCAATAGAATCAATATCAGCAATTGTCATTCCTGCACCATCCAAGGCCTCTTTTAAAGGAACAGTGATACGACTAAATAAACATTGAGCCAATTTTTCCATATCTTCTCTCGACATTAATGAGTTAACATCAATATCATTCATTAAAGATTCAAGGCTAATTGGTGCAACTACATTAGCTGAAAGAATCTTTTTCAACTTCTCAACTGCAACTGCCATTCTATATTTAGCCTTGGCATTAGAATTAATATCAATTTTATATTTATCCATAAGTTCCTTAGCAAAGTAATTAACAAGAACCTTATCAAAATCACGACCTCCAAAATTTCGATCATATGTAGATGATTTAACAGTAAGCTGTCCTTTTTTAAAGGCCACAATTGATACTGAATAATTACTATGACCAATATCGATAAAGCATACGATTCGTGGCCTATCTTCAGGAAGATCTGTTTTAGTTATACCATAACTCAATGCAGCTGCAGTTGTATCATTCATAATTCTAAGAGTATTAAGACCTGCAATTTCAGCTGCATCTAAAATGCCTCGACGTTGTGAATCTGTAAACCATGATGGCACAGAAATAACAACATCTGGAATAGTTTTGGTTTCTTCTTTTTGAAATGTTTGTTTAATTTTCGTAAAATACATAGCAGCTATCTGAGTAGCTGTAAAATATTCTTCTTTTCCAAGGAAATTGACCTATTAAATCAGCTTCTTCCTGAAAAATAACCTCCAAACTAATACCTTTACACCAACCTGCCCATCAATATCAACCAATTGCGCGCCTACATATTCCTTTTCAATTAAAAGAATTTCTGGATCTGAGTATTTTCGGCCAATTAACCTTTTAATACAAGAAACCGTATTCTTAAAATTACTAATTTCCTGAGTCTTTGCCGATTCACCAAGATATCGATTCTTGGGGCCAAATGATACCATAGATCTAATATACAGTTAGTATTAACTCTTAAAACTTTCTTATATGAGAACTTACGGAGTGGATCTATTGGAAACCTCATTTACTAAAATATCTACATTTCCCCTCCGCGCAACTGCAATTACGGTCTTAGATGACCCAAAATCAATTCCTACAACTGACATTTTAGAATTATATTAAAATTTTCCAGCCTTTTTTATATTTTGAAGCTCAAAATTTTGTTAGTCAAATTATTTTCAAGTCATCGAGAAAATTCGATTACTCGAGAAAATTCGAGATTATCTTTTTTTTTAAACTTTATTAATACAAAGAATAAAAAAATATCATTTGAAATAAGCAGATACAAAGATAACATTGAAGATGTAGTAACAATTATAGAAAGTTTTTAAGTAAATAATTAGTTTATTTTTCATATATGTGAAATAAAATATATTCATGTTATTTGTTACTTTTTTATTGAAATAAATTTACAATATTTTATTATTTTCTGTATGTTTTTTATAAAAAATTATAAAGCCTTTGTTTCTATGTAAGTTTGATTTAAGAATAATGATATAATTAAAATATATAATTTGAAATACCAATGAGATGTTTGAGAATTATAGTATGTAAAATGATGATTATATACAATTTTTTAGTATTTAGTGTAGATAAAACATTTAAAATTATATAATTTTACAATGTTTAAGTTTTTTATATTATAAAAGTTTTATTTGATGAATTTATAATTACTTAAAAGGTGGAACAAAGTGTTGTGAAAAAGATATTTGAATCTATGATAAGATTTAGATTAATCTTTTAAAATATGAAATAATTATGGTTTCATTAAAAAAAAACTAAAAAAAATGGAAATATTTGATTTTCATTAATTAATAATTATCAATAATTAAGGAAATTTATTTTAAAATACTTTTTTATCTTATTTAAATATATAAATAAAAAAATGCTTATAAAATATATAATTATGCTTAAATTATAAAGCTTTATCACAATATAAATGTTTTCTAGTTTTAATAATATAGTTTAATTAGTTTGTTTTAATTTAATATTTAAATGTGTTGATATCGAATTTAACGTCTTGATATTATATGTTATGTTAAATGAGTAATATTAAGAAACAAATAGATAATCGGCATATTTGTTCTAGTTAACCAAGTTATAAAAAAATATAATAGCATGTTTTAGTTTTTTATATTATCTAATAATATTTAATTTATAATAAAATTACAAGATAAACAGGAGAAAACAAATGATAATTAAAACATTTATCTAAATAAGTTTAATAAACTATTATAATTTAAAAAAACTTAAATCTTAATAAAAAATTAGTCATATATTATAATAAAAGTATATATAAATTAGACATTTGTTTTATAAAGACAGCCAAGCAAAAAAACTATAATTAATAAACAACTACTGTTATTGTATTCAAATATTGAATTTAATCATTATTAAAAAAAGTCATTATAATTCTTTATTTTTTTATATTCAACTTTTTAAAATACATATGATATTAAAAATCATAAATCTAAGATTATTTAGAAGAGATTTATATCTTCAAAAAAAAAATTTCATAAATTGTTTTGAGTAATAAACCCATGTTTTTTTATATTAAAAAACATTTTGAATATTTAACCCTTAGACGATATTTTCTTCCATATAATCTGCTATTTAATGAATAATTTGATTATAATATACGAAAACAATTGAATTTATCCCTGGAACTAAAATATACCTTATTTAATAGAATACGAATTTCTTTAAAATGATCCAGCTTTGAATAAAAAATCATTTAATTCTACAAATCTTTTAAAAATAAATATTTATTATCATTCCTTAAAAACATAATTCGTCTTGTTTTATCCTTTCTAAATATAATTATCATACATAGTTTGATATCTCGTCTTTTTTTCATATTTTAATAACTTTTTTAATAAATTACCAATCCATTGCTCATCAAACGCCAAACTAACATTCTTCAGAAGTGTTTCAAGGCTCTCATATGTCTTTTTCTTAAAACCATTTGTTTTTCCTGCTACACTAATAATTGTCCATCCTAATATTGACCATTCAACTAAAATTTCTTTTTCTTCTAATGTTACTATATTTATTGTATAATCCTCTAAATGAATACATAAAGATTTAAGTTTCTCCTTATTTTCCTTATAAAAGCTGTTATATTCTTTAATAAATAAACGGGTTTCCATTAAAATCTTTAATATTTTTTATAAACAACCTTTAATTCTTAAAAAAATATATAAAATGTCTAATATAAATCAAAATAAACTCTATACTAAGGAAAAAAGGTCCTCTCTACAGACAATAAACACTGCTTTGTAAGAGTTATGAGTTAATATTATTAACATATGTTAAATCGATTGAATTTGCTAAAAAAATATAAAAAAATAAAATGAAAAGATATCTATAAGAAATGGGAAATAAAGGACAAGAAAAACGTATATTTGATCCTTCAGATCTGCCTGAAACAGATGATCAAAATGGTCAGTAGATTTAAATAATATATATATCTAATAGATTTATAGCGATTCTTCAACAAGTAGAGTTTTATTTTTCAGATTCAAACCTTCCTTTTGATAAATTTTTATGGTCTACATCTCAAAAGAGTGATGGATGGGTATCTATTGATTTGATCTCAACATTCAACCGGATGCGGCGTTTTCGTCCTATAGAAGCTATTGTTACGGCATTACGTACAAGTAAAGATCTGTTAGAAGTTAGTGAAGATGGGAAATATGTACGACGAAAGGTGCCTCTTGTTAAGCCTAAAGAGAGTGAAAGAATTGGTTATATTCAGCGAAGTGTCTATGTCAAAGGGTTTGGAGAAGAAACAAAAACTACTCAAATAGATATTGAGAATTTTTTTAAACAATATGGAAAAGTTAATGTTGTAAGACTACGTAGAGAAGAAGATGGTTCATTTAAGGTATTTTAAATGAATTAAAGATTATGTTTTTAATAGGATTGTTAAGGGTTCTGTATTTTGCGAATTTGCAGAGTTAGAAAGTAAAGAAAAATTCCTTAAAATCGAGCCTAAGCCTCAATATAATGGAAAAGATCTCTTGACTATGTCAAAAAAGGATTATATAGATATGAAGTCTACAAAATCTCGAGAAAACCCTCCAAAGAAAAGGCCTAAATTTAACGCTTTTAAGGAAATGGAATTAAATAATAAGCTTTGTGAAAATAATAGCGGAAATAAACGGAAAAGAAATAATAACCATTTAAAGCTACAGGTTAAAGAAGAAAATAAACATTGTAGATTAGACAATCAAAACATATTTGAAAAAAATATCGAAAAGGATATTACTTTAAAGACACAAGAAATAGAAAACAAATCGTAATTGAAAACTCAATTAGATTATATACTGTCATAAAAAATGCCTCTTCATTAATATTTTGGTTATATTTATATGAAAATTAAAAAATCATCGAAATCATTTTAAAATTTATATAATTATAGTATAATTTTATTTAATATTTTTTATATGAATAATAACATATTATACTTGTATATACTAAATATTAGTCGTGTATTAGTTAATAGATATTTTGTAATTATTATCCAGAACTACGACCACGACCTCTATCGCTACGCCCTCCACGTCCTTGAGTATTTTGCATTCCACGTCCTCTTCCAGTAGTCATACCACGCCCTCCTATTCATATTAAAAAAAATAATTAATATATCTCTTCAGACCTCTCGAAGCCCCCCTTTGATTTCTATTATCACGGCTTCTCTCATTTTGCATTTTAACAATATTAATAATCTGAATAACTTAATTGATATACATATAAAAAAAAAAAAACCTCATCAGGTATTCGTAAATATTTGATATTACTTCCCCTAATATAACACTCTGGAAGCCGAAAAAACCGATCACCATCCTAAACCAAGATAAATCCTTATCAATATATATATATATATATATATATATATAATTACTAACAGCATTTGTTTGTACAACTTCCTTTAAAATCAAATTCATCCATGTATCACACTTGACCATATGTCTTAAATATAAGCATAGATCATTAATATAAAAGTGTTTTTAGGTTAATACCCATTATATGTTTCTCCATTTTTAAGTTCAACCAGCTATAAAAAATTAAGAAAGGGAAAAATATAAACAACAATAATACCATAGGATGACCTTGTGTTGCTGTTAATAAAGATAAAGGTAACTATGATAAAAATATTAATCTAATAGAAAAAGATTAAATATTTAAACTTACCATTTTAAATTATTTTTTTCAAATTAAAAAAAAAACAATAAACTTCTTAGATAAAGTAAATAAAAAATGTTTTCAGTATTTTCTCTTTATTATTTATTGAAAAGCTTATTATATATTTTATTGTTATTTTTATAGCAATTTAGTAACAAGTCGATGTTATTAAAAGATAGAAAGAAAATTTAAACATATTTACTAATAATTATAATCAATTATATGAAACTTTTATGTTTTTTATATCTAGAAACCAAAATAGCAAGAATATAAATAAAAATTTATGGAAAATTAATTTTAACAAAAATAAGAAATATGAAATTTATATGTATTTTTAATAAATATTAAAAGTTTATAATTAAAGAAATTTAATAAATAGTTGTAAAATATTTCAAAAATATAATTTATAATCTAAATAAGATAATAATTTTTTTTATGAATGGTGTATTTTTAAATAAAATTGAAATATTTAGTATGTTTCCTCAACGAACTTGATGCCCTTTTCAATATTTTTAGGAAGTTCTGAAAGACAAAGCTCAAGAAGTTCTTTTTCGTATAAAGAAATATCACCAAGTGGATGTATTTTATGTACTCCCTCAGGCTAATTTATGTTAAAAATTAAATTATAAAAAGATCTTATACCCCAAGTTCAACATTTGTACTAAAAAAAGGACAGCCCTTATCTTGAAACAACGGTGACTCTACATATGTTGGTTCAATAATACCTTTTTCTCCAGACATAGCCCGTAAAAGTGAATCGGTAAAGCGAGATGCACTTATATCTTAACAAATGATTCCATATTTAATTAAAACTTACGCAAATGCCATTGATAATGTAGCACTACCTGAACCATTTTTTGCTTTAACAACTTCGTCTCCAGCGTACTGGATACGATTCGTTAGAAACTTAACTTCTTGATCTGTAAAGCGGTGTGAAGTCTGTGACAATAATGGAACAATTGTAACACCCGAGTGCCCTCCAACTATATGAACATTCTCATTTTCTGATTTTATATCTTTAATATCCGAAATAAATTGAGATGCACGAACAACATCCAAAGTAGTTACACCAAAAATTCTTGAATAATTTATACATTTACAGTTTCATGGAAATAAAATTACCTTTTTGGATCATAAACATTCCTTTTTTTGTATACTTCAGCACAAATAGGTACTGTAGAATTAACTGGATTAGAAATAATAAGAAGATGAGCATTAGGTGCAACATCTGCTGTTACTTTTGCTAAATCTCGAACAATTGATGCATTTGTAACAAAAAGATCTCGATTTTTTAATTAAATATTCAAATATTCAATCTGATTATACCATCTCTAGTCATACCAGGTTTTCGTGGAACGCCTGCTGGAATAAGAACAATATCCGCATCTTTTAAGGCTTTAACTAATCCATCATCGTCTTCTCCATATCCAACAACCTATTATTTAAGATATATATGAAAAAAAAAAAATTGCTAACTTTGCATGATGTATTAATATGATTGCAATCTGCTGCAACACCTGGTGCACCACGAATATCATAAAGTGCTAAATGACCAATCCGGGGATTTGTTTTTAATAAAAGGGATAATGGTTGACCAATACCACCAGCTGCACCAAGAATAGAAACTTTGGTAGCCTAAAATTTAGATAAATTCATGGAAAAAAAACAAAGATCATGCTTTGTTTTGTATTATCTTACATTATAAGTAACAGAGGAAAATCCTCTGGAATAAAAGGCAGAGGCAAGAATAGACCAAGTTTTAAACATTTGTCGTCTTATGAATCTTTAGGATTAAAAATGATCTTAAATACATAAAAATTAAGAAAATTATTTATTAAATAATCAATTAAGAATAAAGATTTTAAACACTTTTATTTAGTATGTATAAATGTACAAATGTTTAAATTTTTTTAATAATAAATTATATTTTGACTAATAAGATTAAAAAAATTAATATCCATTAAAAATCTTTAAACTTATTTAAAACTAGTTTTTTAATAGTAGATTGAATAGTTTTGTATTAATTTAGTATATTATCTATTTGAAAATAAAATAAAATAACTAGAAAGGATAGTATAGTAGAAATTTAATGATAAAGGCATTAATTAAATGTATTTAAAGTAGAAATAAATGTCTTTCATTATAAGAATATAAATTAATTGAGAATATTGATGTTTTAAATCTGATGAATCTATTTTAATTGTAGTAAAAATTTAAAAATATGTATAAATATATATATTTAGCTAGTTATAATATGTTTTGAAATCTTTTCAAGGAGATAAGATATTTGATGTTAAAACTGAATTTAATAATTTAAATGATTTTCAATAATAAAACTTCTCAAGTAGGTGTAAAAATAAAAAATAGAAAATAATTTTCTTAATATTTTTAAATAACGTTATTACAATTACAGACAATATTAACAAATATGGAAAATAAGTTAGTTTTTTCTTGGTATATTTAGTAAACTAATGAACGCATGTAATAACATTTATTATTATGTATATTTTTAATTTTTTCTTGGTTATTCATAAGATTTATTAAGAGATAAACTTTCTGACTTTTAAATTTATTCAGTATATAATTAATTAATGTGAATATTCAATATATATATATATCTTTTAAAAACATTCAAAATTTAATGTTAAAGGATGAATTTTTTATATATAAACATTGTAATTTTTATTATAAGTATATAATTATAAGTATTTTCAAAATATTTTAAAAAATAAAAATATATTAAATGTTATAAATATGCAGACTTTTATATTGAAAAAGATTTTTTTATTTCTGTACTTTATAATCAATTGTTTGTACTAAAATATTTTATATAAATAAAATTAAAAAAAATATTAAATAAAAGATTATTTTAAAAGAATATATTTTTAAGGAAATTCTATTAAAAAAAATTATATTTATTCTTGTTACATTTTAATTCCTATAAAATGCTTTAAGAATATCATAAAACAAATATAAATATATAATATAAGTTATATAAAAATGCTTTATAAGACAAAAAAATAAATTATATAATTATATAAATGAAAAAATAATTATTAAAAGAAAAAATGGCAATTAAATAGATCACAAGAAAATTTTAAAAACAAAGATGTATTTTTCTTTACCTAACTATTTAATAGATTATATTTCATAATTATTTATTAATATCAAAAATAAAAATGATAAAATTTACATATTTAATTGAAAAGATATGTAAGATTAATATCAATAGTATTCTTATCGTATTTTATATACTTTTAGAGAAAATAAATTAAAAACGTATATATATATATATATATTAATACTTACTTTTTCTTGATGTTTAGAAAAATCGCTATTGAAATATCTTTATAGATTAATTATAAATTGAAAAAAAGGAAAAAAATACTTATCATAAAATCGTGTATAAAGAGGAACAACAATGCGTTTTACTTCTCCAATTAGAATAGATTTAAGCTCTATATCATTAATAACAGCAGCTTTATTTAACTTCAAAAGCTCATCAAACTCGTTATTAAAATTCTAAAAAAGAAAAATTAAAATGACTTTTTTATATTTAAAAAAAACCTTAAATTTTTCTTTTATAACATCACGTTCTTTAGGACCAAGAGTTAATTTTGCAGAATTTGTAATTCCACCTCTAACATATGTAACATCTAACAAGTTTTCTGCACATCCTTTCCATCTAAACAAATTATGACTCGTATAAAATTTAACAAAAACTTACGTTTCTAAATATTCGTCTATATATCTATTTTTTATTTTTGCTATTTTTTCAAAAATATTTAAAGATATAGCACTTGATAGATCTGTATTTTTAATATTTTTTTCAATATAAGATAAATTATTCAAAAGAAAAAGTGATAAATGGGAATTTTTCTTTAAAAGGATTCTCGCCTTTTGATCTATTTGAGAATATAAAATATCGACTACTTCTGAGAAAAAATTCTTATAAACAGTTTTTCTATCTGTATTTGAATCAAATGTTTTTTTATTATTTGTAAACAAAAAACTATTCCATTCTTCATTTTTCATAGACATAATTAGGTTAGTAACAGTTTCTTCATAAGCGTTCATATATAATAGGCGAGAAATAGACTATATTTGTGAAAATAATATAAAAATAAACTAATAATTACCTCAATTGTAATTTCAAAAATATTACCATCTGTAGGCATTGAAGTTATTGATGAAATCTTCTTTTTGATCTTTTCAATCATGTCACTCAAGGAATAGATTCCAGTATTTTCCATCATTTTCATACATTTATTTAATTCATTAATTATTGGTCCCTCATTACCAAATGAAACAACAAATCCTATAATTTTTGAAATTTCTTCAATAATTTCATAAGAAAGTACAAAATCTGTAGACATATTTTGATGGATATGTTGATTAAGCTTTTGTACTGTATCAGAATATGTAATAATAGCAGGATAAATTGATGTCAATAAAATATTTTCATAACCTTTTGGAAAAACATCTCTTATAATTAAAGATTCAGACTTTCGAAATAAGAAACGCTAGATTAAAGAATATATATACATACTTTAAACATCCCTAATAATGCTTGGGTATATATAATAATTCCATTACTGTTTTTTTCATACATATTATTTCCTCTTTTAAGAGCTGTACTTAAAGAACCTTTTGATAACAGTTTTAAAGATTCTGACAGATATTCTGCTCGTATTTCATGATAAATTCTTTCTATTTCCTTTATAGATTCTGGCGAATTAGTAGAATAAAAAAATGATGATAAAAGCACAATATTTGAATGTGGCTCTTTCGGAATAACAGGGAACTCCAAACCTACCTTGAGTTAGAAAAAATATATCTATATTTAAAATACCTTTAGTCGTATAATATAATGGCTCAAGAGGAATAGAATGATCCAATAGGATTTTTTGAAATATTTCATATAATTGCAAACATCCTCCTTTCCAGATTTGCGTCTATTAATTAATTAAAAGACAAATATATATATTTAATGTACCAATTTAAGCATTGACTTCTCTGAACTCCGAAAATTTGATACACGAAGAATAACAAGAGTATTTTTAACTTTTCTTAATGTATTAAGAAAAAATGTTAAATTACCATCTGGTCTATTAAAATTTAACAATGGTTAAATAAAAAAGCCTTTAAAAACCCTTTTTTAATAATTTCTTCTGCTTCTGGAATAATGCTAAAGTATTTTCTTGTTCTATCTATTGCTGCAATAGTTCCTTGAATATCTATAAAAAATATGGTTTTAATATATTAAAACATAAAAATAAGAAATATTTTACTTTCTGATGTCTTAATTAAAGTCCTTGTTGTTTTATAAATTGGTTTAAGTGTATGTTCAACTTTTTCCAGGCGGTAATTTAGTGTAGAAAGAATTGTAGACATTTTATCTGTTAGTTCATTTGTTTTTCTTAAAGTTTCATCTAAAACTCCAAGATCAGCCTTATCATCGTCAATATCAAGCCATATTGACGTGGAATTTAACATAGTGGTGGTTAAATATTTAATAGATTTGCTTCATCGTTAGTTAAAAAGGCTTAAAATATATTTTAGGTTTATAAAAGTAAAGCTAAATATTATTTCAAATGTTTTAACAGAATATATATTAAATATAATAAGAGAAAGATATTTTTACAACTAAAAAATAATTTATTAAAAACTATAAATAATTTATTGAAAAGTATAAATAAATTAATTTAGTATAAAGTTAGCAAATATTCTCTTGCTTATAATTTAAGCATTAAGAATTTGATATAATAAATAAAATATCATAAAAAATCAACAGAATAAAAATTTTTTAGTAAAAAAAATAAAAGTTAATCATCTAATGAGCACGCTTCAATGTTCCATATACCTTCTGCATATTCTTGAACAGTGCGATCGCTAAAAATATTATAAAAAAAATAAATTAGATGAATTAATCTTACGAAGAAAAGAAACCCATATTAGCAACGGAAATGATAGTTTTATATGTCCATAAATCTTTATCTCTAAATGTTTCATCTATGAGATCATGTGCATTAAGATCTAAAATGCATAAGAAATTAGAAAATTAAACAAATCTTACATGATTGAAAATCATCCTGTAAAAACATTAGTTTAAGAATAATTAAAAAAAAAGTTCAAATACGCTTATAAGATAATAATCATTTCCATAGGTTAATGCATTTATAAGCGGTGCAAATAAACTTGGATCACCAAAAGTCCCACTAATGAATAATAAATATCATTATAATAATCATTAAAGGTACAAACCTTTCAATTGCATCACAAACCTTCTTTAGTTCTGGATCCATGGGAGTATTTTCATGCACATGTTTATGACGTAAATTATTGACATTTTCACTTAAATTTCCAAATAAAAAAATATTTTCTTCTCCAATTTCATGAGTAATTTCAATATCTAAATTTTTAAAACATATATGCATATATATATAAATGATACATACTAGAACCGTCAACAGTTCCAATAATAAGACCTCCATTTAATGCAAATTTCATATTACTAAAATATTAAATATACATATAAATAAAATATAAAATTTACCTTGTACCACTAGCTTCAGTACCAGCAGTAGATATATGCTCTGAAATATCACTTGCAGGAATAATAATTTCCGCTTTACTAACATTCTAGATAGCTATAAGATTGAAAAATTTAAACAAAATATCTACATAATCTTCAATAAAATGAACTTTAAAAATATCTCCGATATCTTCATCATTATTAACAACATCTGCTACAAAATTGATTAATTTTATCACGCATTTAGCCATAAAATAACCAGGAGCAGCTTTTCCTAAATAATATCAACTATAAATAAAAAAAACAAAAGTCTAAACCTCCGAAAATAGAAACTCTAGGAACTTGTCTCTGAATTTCTTCTTTAGACATAGCTTTTAGCTTCAAATATCGATAGATTACACCAAAAATATTCAAAGTTTGCCTTTTGTACTGGATTATATTAATTTATGAATTAGTAGCAAAACACATTTAACCTCATGAATACGCCTTAAATGTTAGTATATAGAAAAAAAATAGAAAAATATACTTCACATGGATATCAAATAATGATTCTATATTTAATTTTAATCCCTTAGTTTTTTCGATATATTTTGCTAATCTAGCTTTATTAAAAAGCTTCACTTCTCTCCACTGAATGCCGTTAATAAATAAATAATTATTATCGATAGCAAACCTCTCTTTGAAACTCTTTATCATGCGCATATTTCTCTAATTCTTTAAGTCTAGATAAATTAACTAAAAAATCGTATCCTCCAAGTTTTTTTGAAATTAAATTAGATAAAGTAGGATTAGCTTGAAGTAACCATCGACGTGGTGTAACTCCATTAGTAATATTAACAAATTTATCAGGACCAAATATTTTAACAAAATCCTTAAAAATAGCTTAATTATAATTAGTCTGGTTCTATTTCTCATTTTTATTAATACTTGTCTTTATAAGATTACTATGTAATTTTGCCACACCATTGACTTTAGATGATCCAATAACGGCAAGATAGGCCATGCGAATATATTTAGGAGACGATTCCTCAACAATAGATACACGTGATAAAAGATCTCGGTCCTAATTTTATATGAAATAAAGTAATATAATTTAGAATAAGTACTTTAGGGAATTTTTTTTCAACTAATTGTAAAAAGAAGAAATTTATATCATAAATAATTTGCATATGCCGTGGAAGTAATGATTGAAACATTGGAATTGGCCATTTTTCAAATGCTTCCTAAATAATAAATATTACTCCTAAAATAAATTCATCTTACTGGAAGAATAGTATGGTTTGTATAACTAAGAAAATTAATAAGTTAATAAAATCTAAAAAAAAAAACAACCCAAATGTTTTTAAAACAATACTCCATGCTTGATCCCATTCAAGGTGTTCTAAATCAACAAGAACTCGTTGAAGCTCAACAATAGCTAATGCAGGATGCGTATCATTTAATTGAATAAAAACTTGTTCCGGAAATTTGCACCAGGGTTTCCCGGATTTCTTAAAACGTCTTATAATATCATGCAAACTTGCACAAACCCAAAAATATTGTTGTTTAAGACGAAGCTCTTTACCTTGGTAAACATTTTCATTAGGGTATAAAACAGCTGATAATGTTTCAGCACGCTATATAATTTTAAATTAGCATATATATATATATATATATATATATTTATATATATATATTTATATTTATATATTTACAAACCTGCTGTTCTCTAACTGAGCTTTCATAGTCGCCAGCATTAAATTTGCTAAAATCAAACTCACACATTGGTCTACTAGACCATAATCTAAGATTATTTGTATTATTTGTTCCATAACCTTTAAAATTAATATAATATATAATAGAAACATTTTAAAAATTACCGGGAATTGGAACGTCTGAAGCAACAGCTAAAACCTGCTCACCATCTTGCCATGAATATCGTGTTTTTCCTTCCTCATCACTATAATTTATAAAAAAAAAAAATTAAAATAAATAAAATTACATGTATTTTTTGACATAACCATAAAATCTAACAGGGATCTTAACATCATGTCTAAGCATTTCCCAAGGATTATCAAATTGAAGCCAATAATCAGGTTGTTCGATTTGATGTCCATCGACAATTTGTTGTTTAAAAATTCCTAGTTTAATTTAGAATATATATGTATATAAATATCGACTAAAACCATATTGATATCTAAGGCCTTCAAATGTTAGATCATTAGTCATTCAGAATAAAAGTAGATCATTACCATAACCCCATGCCGGTAAATTTAATGAACTTAATGAGTCTAAGAAACATGCAGCTAATCTTCCTATTGATAAAAATTAATATACACTGATATAGATTTAATAATTATTTTTCATACCAAGACCACCATTTCCAAGAGCTGCATCTGTTTCTGCATCAATAATATCCTCGATATTAAATCCAAGCTCGCTAATTCCCTCTTTCAAAAATTAAACTAAAATAAATATTATACTAGTGTAAAAACCTCTTATCATATCTTTTATTCCAAGATTAAGCATAGAATTATCTAATGTCCTTCCCATAAGGAATTCTATGCTCAAGTCTATAGCAATTTAATAATAATAATAATAAAATAATTATTTTGGATACAATAAACCCGTTTAGGATCTATTCAAATTAAATCATACAATTTAAAAACGCATTATAAATACTTTCTAATGTTAATGTTTGTTGCGTTTTATTCCATCGCGTAATAAGTCTATCACGAACAGAATATGCTGTTGCTCGATATGCCACCCTATAAAACTAAATATTCCATTCATAAACTTCATAATCAATTATTACGCATCATAACAATTATACATTGATCTAGAATACTATCAATCAACATAAAAAAAAATACCATATAAAATAACCTAGCAAGCGTTGTTTCTACATAACGAACAAAATCCCTTTCAAACGCATCCTTTGTATTTAAATCTCTTTCAATATGACTTTCCCATGCATTTCTTTGGCTTTCAGGGATTTGTTCTTGAAGAAATTTAATTTGCTCTCTACCAAGTCCTAAACAATTAAAGCTTTTATTCTTATTCAAAATATATTAAACCTGTATGAGTCCTCTTATGACGAACCATTATTCTAGAAGTATCATCTTCTGATACTAATTGCAGATCTGTTGATGTCATCAAAGAGTTTTTAAGAATTTTAAGGGGGTTTAAATTTGATCGTTCTCGATTGATCGCCTTTTTTCAATCAAAAAACATATATTAATAAAAATTAAAGAAAGATCATTTAAATAGGGATATCTAATTTTTATATAACAAGATATCATTTATATTTTAAAATGAAAACTTTTGTTATTTATATTATTATATTATTTTATTATATAAATAGATAATATTAAAAACTAAATAAATTATATGACAACATAGAACAATGTATAATATCAATTGATTAAATGTAAGGGTTATATTAAGAAATAATAATAAAAAACCAAAATACTTTGAAAAATTTATTTAAAAATAAAGTAGCTAAAAATCATTGAAAATAATTAGAAAAAACTTTGCTTATAAAGATATATATTACTAGTTATAATTCAATTTCTTAAAATAATATGAATAAAAATGAAAATATTCTTTGAAATATCTTTTTTAAAAAAATTTTCTAATATCAACTTTTAAAAATATAAAATATCATTAAATATAAAATATCATTAAATATATATAAGAAATATACTATTAAAAAATCTAAAATAACAAAAAAATTATAATAAATTATCAGATTATTTAATGCATTTTTATTATTTCTTTAAAAAGATTATGCATCGCCAAAAATATTTAGATTGGAAAAATATATAAATTAAAAAAATACATATATTAATAAAACAATATTTTCCAATTAAATACAAAAAACATATATTTCAAAACATATATTTATCAAAACAACACATTTACTCAATATATCCTTTACGTTGCATATATAATATATATCTTGTATATCACTAATTTCACATTGATACAAGAAACATTATATATATCTTTGTAGTCACAAATAGAAGCTATAAATCTATAGTTTATATCTATTTATAATTTATTTATATAAATCTTGAGGCAATTTTTTCAGTATATTTTCTTTAAAATTCATTTAGATTTCATCAGATTTGAAAAAGATCAAAGATTATAAAATAAGAATGAGTAATCTTTCAGATGGGAGACAATCAGTACTTCATATAGTTTGTGTGGGATTGTAAGTGAAGTTACTAGATATATTTCGAATATAAATGAATGATTAATTTAGTCATCATGCAAGAGGACCAGAAATAGAATATTGTTATCCGGAATTACAAGAAATCCCGTCAACATGGTCTCTTCTTCCATTTATGGCACTTCCTGATGGAGTACATTTGGTATAGATACATAAATCATTTATAGGACATATTTAAATATGCTGATTATTATTTTAAGAATGAAGAAGATTTTTCATATTTTTGCATTAAAAATGATCAAAAAAATACATCAACTAATAATAATAATCTATCGACTATTTATGGGATATCATGCACAAGACAGTTACTTTCTTCTGAACTTATTAATAAACCAGTCGATGTAACCCGTTCAACTATACAAAAATCTATTGTTGTACTTGTATCAAAGCCTGTTTTTGGGCGTATTAAGGAAAAATTAAGAGCAGTGACGCAGGCGTACTTTTATCAACATAATTTTGAAGACAGAAATATTCTTATACATTTATATAATAGTCTTGCACAAATATTCCATGATGAAATTAATGGTTATGATATTTATCTTGGTATACCTCTTCGTGAACTTTTATATCAATTTCGTTGGAAAACTCTTGTAATATTGAAGGCTATGCTTCTAGAGAAAAGAATACTTTTTTACGGTACACGTTCAGAAACGCTATGCATGATACAATACTCTCTCTTATCACTTATTCCTGAGTTATTAGAAAATCTCCAAGATGCAAGTGATCCATCATTAAATACTATTGAAAATCAATTAACAAAACCTACATCTTTATCTACGAGTAATCATAAGTCGTTACTTTCATATATGGGTATGCCATTTCATATTTTTTCTAAGGGTTCTTTTTTTGGTCCTTATACACCTCTTCAACAAATAAAAATGCTTGAAAATAAAACTACAAAATCATATATTATTGGGAGTACAAATACTCTTTTTTTGCAAATGAAGAGAAAATATGCTGATCTCGTTGTTAATATTGATACAGGAGAAGTAGATATCGTTCAACCATTATTGAAGAATGCATTATCATTAAGTTTTTCGGATAGAAAATGGATTAATGATATTATTATGTCCGTAATAGATTCATGGGACGAATCAGATACGAGTAGACCCAAAACAATGGGCTTTTTGAGTAGTGAAGAACACTTACGAGCACAATTTGAAGAATACTTTTTGGCACTTGCTGCAACTGTAAAATACGATAATTATTTAGCTAAAATTAAAAATTCTCAAAAACTTAATATTACACAATTAGATACACGTGCGTATATACAATTCATTATTTTATATTAATTTTACAAGATGAAAATATAATTCGAGAATTTGGTCAATGTTGGATCGAACAATGGAAATTTACTGAAAATTATCGGTTATGGAATAAATACACAGACGATGAACTATTCGATATAGTTGATCCTAGGCATCCTGTTGTTAATCGTAAAATTTCATTAGAGGATGTACAACATAAAATTTCAAAGTACTTATCAATATTTATATTAAATAATAACTCTGATAATTTCTAAAAGCCAAATACAAAAATTAAAATTAAATCAAAAAGCCGATCTAGTTAAAGAAACAATAAATAGAATTTGGAATAACGGAACTCAAAAAAATATCTCAAATACTAGGATCTTTATTAGATCAAATAGAGTCATATAGAGCAGAACGATACAAACGCTATTGGAAAAATTACAATCAATATATTATATCTGTTTTCTTAATTGGTTCTGAATCATATAAATTAATCGATTTTCAAATTAATCATTTTTCAAATTAATCATTTTTCAAATTATTCATTTACTATTATAGTTTCATATCCCGGTGATATGCTGAATAAAGATGGACATTATATTTCACCTTCATTAATCGGCTTTTCAATAGAAAAACAACAATCAACCATAATTAAATATATACCATCAAAAACTTTTTTGGAAAATACAATCTTTTATTTAATACTTATTTTAGGAAATCTATACATCTTTCACATAATTTATAATCATTTTCATTTATTTGATATTATTTCTTTTGATTTTTGTACATCTACATATCTGTGAAATATAAGATTTTATTAAACAATATATTTTTCGATACCTTGAATACTATAAAAAATGATAAAACTAAGTTAAAATCTTTGGAAAATAAGCTTCATAATGGAACATGAAACAAAAAGTTTTGATGAAAAAGAAGAATATAAGAAACTTTTTAAAATTCGTGATAAAATATTTATGAATATGCAAGCAACCATGCAATCATCTGGAATGGAGTATTTTAATTCAAACATGAAGATTAAACCTCCTTTAATAAAACCCAAACCATTAGGATCACCAAGATATTCTCATACCTTATCAAAGACATTTTTGAAGTATAAACAAGTACCAGGACCATCTACACAAATTTCTTTAGAAGATGATAAAAGTAGACTTGAACGAATGCTTCGTGCAAGAATCGAGAAGAGAAAAGCAGATGCTAAGTTATTAATGGAGCAAGGACCATATAAAAAGCATGTTGAACAAAAGACATTTTCAAATCAAATTCATTATAAAAAAAATATAAAATCATGTGATGAGATAAAAGAAAACAAAGAAACATCTAGTTGCGAAGCGAATTTGCCATGTACAGATATTCAGAAGGAATCATCTCTTGACCTTAAACATACCCAAGAATTATCAGTATCTAAACCTTTTTACCATAACCAAGAATCAAAATATGATACAAGATGCAATGAGAATAATGAACAAGCCATTGATTTTTCATCATCTTCCATGGCTATTCCAGGATTAAGAGTTCCTACATATATTCGTGAAGAAAATATAGAAAAATCTACAATACCTACAATAACGCAAAATGCAGAGGAAAATACACACAATAATAAGGGTAATTGATGTGAAAATATGCACAATACTGACTATTTATAGTTATATCGAGTAACTCATCTATCAAATCTCCCAGTTTATCTTTAGAATCTAAATTAACATCTCATGATTTTCAAACATATGAATCAAATATACAAAACACATCAAGATCATCTTCCTTTGAATACAAACCACGGTCCCCGACATCTCGTCTTCAATTATCTCTTATATCGTCTCCCAAAGCATCAGAAAGCATTGATCAATCAGAAAAATTAACAGAAACTAAATCTATTCCGGAATCAAAATTACATTATTCTCATATAACTAAAGAAAATTCAAAAATTCAAGATAATGCGAAAAATTTAAAGGAAAACAAAAAGATAGATGGCTATACTGAGCAAGACGATTCATCCAATTTAGCCAAACAACACCCTTATGAACCTTACAAACAAATAACCTCTCCAGGACCAATGCATTGGAAACGTGACTTTTATCCATATTATCAAAGACGATCTGCGCCTACATGGCATGGTCCAGAAAATTATTCAGGTCATTTTCTACCAAGAGATGATCCTTCTTTATATTATCCAGATAGAGCATATTTTTCAGCACATCCTCCACCACCAATGGGATTACATAATTCTTACACTGGTCCGTGCGACTATGATCTATATTATACGCAAGAATTTCCACCATTGAGGCCATCTTTATCACCTCGAATGACACATCTTTATCCATCATATTCAACTCGATTTCCACATGCTTCACCATTTCCTCAGTCTCCATCTTTGCATAGATACACTCATGATAAATATTTCACACCCGCATATCCACCTCATCCTTATTTACTTCATCATTCATCTCGATATGACGATTCAATCGCTTTTTCTCGCAATTCCGGTCATTTCTATCAACCTTCTAGAAACACTTATGATTGGGAAAATCTACGAAACTACGATTCATCTATAGATCATTCTACTTCTCATCCTTTAAATTTTAGGGAACACTACGAAACTATTTTACCCTATGAAACATATTTACATACTGAACATTCTACTCTAAAAACAAGCCATTCTATTAACGATAGAAACAACGAATCAACTCATTGGAACCGTCTTCGTTGATTCAATTGCAACTACTACATCAATGCTTTTTCAATTTATACATAAATTTATAAATATTGATCAAAATCATAAAATGCTATACAACATGCAGTCTTATTAAAAAATAGGTATAAAAGACAAATAAAAATATTCAACTTATTTACGTCTTATTATTTATCTTTACATTTTTCAAATTTTCTCGGTACTCTTCTCGAACCGTCCAGTGTGCGCGGCTTCTCGATGCTACCAAATCACCCATAAATTTTTTTTTCATAGAGAAGAATTCTCTGGATCACAACAGCACGTCTCTTAACCTGAGGATGACAGAGCGTGTTAGGCATGTACCGCAGAAGATATATTTTGCCTTTGCTTTGCCGCCATCGTTTCCCGCAACACCTAATTTAGAGAAGTGTTATTATTCTTTTTCGCGGCATTCTCTTAATCTTTATCCTGCAGCGGGTCTTTCACCAAATAGTAGCTATCATAATCATGATCCGTACGTTCTTCGTATGGCGCAACACTGTTGGGAAGCATCAGGTAAGGTGGAGGCGATTCATGCGGTCCAGTCATTACCACCTCTGTCTATCCTAGATGAAGAAGAAGCTGCATTTGTGCAGATTTTTCTTTCAGGTGAAAATAATCAGGTTGCTGAGACTAGAGAAAAAATATTTTCAGAATGTTTACCTCAGGTGAAATAAGATTTTTTTTATTTAAAATAAGAATATTAAGTATATTATAGCGACAAGCTTGTATTGCAGTCTCGAGATACCTTTTATTAAATGAAGAAGGGGTAGTAGATCTTCAGTTGTCTACAAAATTTGACGAAATTGCATTGGATACTGGTACAAGTATATATATTTTGAAGTCAGACGTATCATCATTAACAATGCATACGTTGACGTCATCTAAAACAGAAGCCAACCCGGGGGGGATCTCGGTAACACTTCCGGTTTATAAGAAAATTATGTTACCGGACGATGTAACACTTTCTGTATTGGTTTCGGGAGACGTGGCATCATTAGAATATGCGTTAATCAAAATATTCGTGCATTTAGACATGTTGGTGCGTATATAAAGAAACAAATAAGCCTATCTTGATTGACATATTTTAAAAGATGGGGATGCAAGTAAAGAAACTTGAAATTGATCCTCGATTTCATCCATTAATATGTGGACGAAAACGTTCAAATCTTGAGAATATCATGGAAGAGACCTTTACGAATATTTATATGCCTATGCCGTTTGCAAATGTTTTAAGTATTCGACGACATCTTCCTCCACTTGTGTCCGATGAGATTTATATTACAGGACAAAGGGAAAACATCATTAACGCGGAAAAGAGGATATATGCAGCAGTATATCTATTTATTTATTTTCAAAAAAAAAGCTTATTAGACTCTTAGTATCAATCATTTACTCTTATATCAAAAACAATTGTTATTGTGGCATCTAAAAAGGATTGGTTGCTTATTAGAAAACTGGATGATATAAAGAATATCATGGATAATAATGGTTACATTTCCTAATCTATTTTTTATAATGTATTCATGATATTAGTTTCTTATATTAAGTTTCCAATGCTTGGATCACAAAATATTGAAATAGATATTTTCTCTACTCATGATCATCTTATTGACAATACAATTGATTCATTTATTAGCTTGGTTGGTTTTTTTTTTTTGATGATTTAGCTATTTCTAAATAAACTATTAGCTGTCTGATTATTATAATGCCACTTATTGGATATTTCCCCGTTCTAATCAGCAAAACTACGAATTATTATTTACTGATTTAGAAATCCAGAAGATACTTATGGAAATTACTAAGAAACATCCCGTAGAAATAATATATAAACATGGTTGTTTCGATATTGCAGGTATGAAAGACGAAATTAAAAAAGTCGTTAGAACCATTTCAAAAATTCCTAATATACAGGTAAACAAACTCTTACATAGTATCATACGTATAAATAATATATAATATTAGAACCGACCGCAACAAATACGTTTTACGGTGGAATTTTCTAACAAGTATCATGAATTCATTCAGGGCAAAAAAGAAGGAAAGATTAATGCCATTAGAAAGCATGTTGGTGTTATTGTAGAATTGCATACTTTTTCTAGCAGAAGCTTTTGTATTGATATAATTGCGGAAAATCTTGAGCAAGCAATGCATTGTCTTAGTATGCTTGAGGATGAATTCCCTACGGAGATTACATTTTATATTCCTGAAGAATATCATAGACGAATGATTGGTATTCGTGGTAACACTATTCAATCTGTTATGCGGCAATATGGTGTTTTTGTCAAGTTCTCAAATACCAGTGCATTTATGGCACCGGGACATCATAATTATCCAGATGATAATGTTTTAGTTAGATGTCCAGCAAAAAATGCGGCAAATCTTATTGAGCTTAAAGAGACTCTAATGAATATGGCAAATTATAAGGCAAATTATATTTAATTTACCTTGGACAATACTAATATAAAATAGGACAAAGATTCTATTTCCGAAAACATTTACGTTCCTTGTACTTATCATAAAATGCTTAAAAATAGAAGTAACAAAATTATTCAAAATGTCGAGCAAAGTACAAATTGTGTAATACGTTTTCCAAACAATGCGCTTAATAAAGATTATATTACTGTTATTGGATCAGAAATTCAAGTTCCTAGAGCTATTAACATGATTATGGTTAATACTCCATTCCCCTACTTATAAATTTGCTAATTTTCATTAGAAAAGTATTATTGATGAATATAAATTTCGTATTGTATCTAGCAAGGCTTTGGATAACATAATCGAGTCTAAAGAATACAAGTTTTGGGTTGTAGAATATATTCGCAAGAAATATTGCATTGAGGTTACATCTTTTCCTAATAATGTAAATACGAATGTGTATCCGAATGTTAAGTATCATGTGTTTCGGTTGTCATTTCCTAAAAGTCAATTGTCATATCTTGATTTAGCTATTAATGTAATATTTCGGTATTTCATGCAACATCGCATTCCATTGCATCTGAGTTTTAAAGAAGACGCGAGGCAAGTATCGCGTTTAAAAGCATATGATTCATTTTCGCATTTTAATTCTATGCTTTTTCCACCTGTTTCTGCTTCAACAGGTAAGTTTTGGGAAATTTGATGTTGAATTATATATTACTTTTTTGTTTTAGTCTTAAAATCTACTTAAAAACATTAAATATTATAATATTTATAATGTTAATAGATATTTATTAACAAGACTGATCTTTCTTTTCAAAATCTATTAATTAAATATAAAAAATACATTCTTTACTATTTATATCTTATTTTTCTATTATTTCTTTTATAACCTTTAATTATAACCCTTAATACTTTATTAAAACTCTTATTTTAGACTTCGGGTTGTATAAAAAATTCGGTTTCTTACATTTAAAACAACTTAAATTAAGTAAAAATATTAAAAAAAAAAATCAATAAATTAACAAGCTTATAGGATAAGTAATAACGTGAATTGACGCGAATTAAGCCCATTTGATACTATTAAGAGGATCTTTATAGATATATATAGGAAATAATAGAAAGTTATATATGAAGAAGTTATTAAAATAAGCAAGAAACAGTAGAATTTATCAAGAAAATATTATAGAGGATATGGTTTCTTTAGAGCCGAATTTCATAGATGTTTCTGGTAGTCAATCACTTGATCAAGATTCTAAAATTTTGGATCCTAGTTGTAATGGGTGTAATTTGGTATATAAGCGCGACTAAGTTATATAAAAGGGATAATAATTGATATAGATAATTGAAGAAGGATCTGTTGTAGCGTTTGGAGGATATATTTGGCATGTTAATTGGTAAGGAGATAGATATTTAGTGAAATATTGATATGATTAGTTTTCGTTGTATGAAATGTAATGCAGAAGTAAATCATGATTCGAGTCTTTTTTTTCTATATGATAAGAATCCGGTCTGTGAAAAATGTTTATATAGTTCCAATGTATGTAATAAAGATGAGGAAGAATTTCGAGTTACAACAGGTTTATTATAATTAGAAGAAATACAGCAATTTTATATTTACGAAAATGTAGAAAATGAGGCCTATGAAACAGAATATTTTCAGTGTAATATGTGCGGGAAGAAGGTTGAGGAATTTGCATTGGCCAAAACTAATCAGAGAAATTATTGTATTACATGTTATAATAAGGTTACGCAAAATAAAAAAAATGAGAAAGATATAGAGTTATCTGTTCCCTCATTATCTTTTAATAAGTCTCTTCCTTCTATTCCTAGCACATCTACACTAAGTCGGCTTAATTCGCAAACATCTATGGTAATTTTTTCCAAATGATTTTTATATAATAATAATAATATTCTAGGGTTCTGAGGCTACAGTTAATGATAAACCAGCAAAAAAACCATATATAGATCTTTTTTTTAATATAGGTATAATTATTTTAGATATATATATATAAATTGCTTATTATTTTCTTAGAACAAACGGAACTTTTAAGTTTCAATAAAATTTTTCCTGAATTTAAGGACGAGGAAGAACTAAGTCCTAAAAAGAATTCAAAAAATGATTCGTTTGTTTGGCCATCTTTTACCCCTTTAGACTTTTTTTTGGATATCCCGAAAACCGAGACGAATTTAGAAACTAAGCATATTCTTAAAGAAGAGGAAATTAAAAATAATACTACTACAGTTTCTTCTGATACCTCTCTTTCACTACCAAATCATAAACGTTCTATAGAATTACCAGAATTTCAAGAATCATTAAAAACAAAAGGCGTTCAAGAAGCTTCAAAACATGTTAACGAAGAGCATGTTAAAGAAATATTGAAGCAATTTTCTAAAACAAAGAAAAGTGATAAAAGTATTCTTAAAGAAGAGGACATTGAAGAACAAAAACAAATTCCTAAAAAAAAGAATATTTCTAACATCTCATTGACGGAAAATAGTGGAAACTATTATTCTTCTTCTATAGAAAACAATATTCAGAATACACAATCTGATTCTAGGCAAGTTATGCCTTCCGACTTTTCTTTTAAATCATATTTTTTACATGATATTGATATGGCAGCACAGAAACAAGACATCGATCCTAATTCTTCGTCTGTTGCAAATGAAACAAATAAATTTGAGGATTTTAGCTTTGAATTATGTAATAAAAACAATCCAAAAAACCTGGAATTTACTACTTTACCTAAACAAAATCTTAATTATAATAATCAATCTGAAATTTCACCAAATCGTTCTGATATGATATCAACATCTTCATTTAATAGCAATTTAGAGTCATCAAAATCTTTCATTAAACATTCTATACTAGAGGAAACTAATATTAATCCATTAACTTTCAAGATTTCTAATACACCTTCAAAGGATTCAAATACAAACTATTCGGAATTTCAACCATTTCAAAAGAATACCTATAATTATCAAAACAATTATGTTAAAGACCAAAATACACAAAAACATTATCTAAACCAATCATATTCAAAAATACTAAATGCTATACATCATAGAAGGAGTGCTAGTGAATCTAAAAAAAAAGTATCAAAGTATAATATTTTCTCAAGATCTCGAGTTCATGAATTTCAACAGCGATCGTCATTTATAGATTCAAATAATTTGAATGGAGCTTTGAATGGTTATCAAGATGGTTTGCAAAAAACTATAAATTTACCTCAATTAGAAGAATCAAGAATGAAAGCTGTATGTATTTTAATATTTTATTACTTAACTTACATTTATTTTAGATAAGTGATGAATCTATTATGTTAGATAAAGATATCTTAAAAAAGAAGGCATTGCTTGCAGAACTTGATGCAAAGTGTGAAATTACTCTTCGAGAATTAAGAATTTTTGAAAACGGACAATTAATTAACCAAGACAAGTATAAAATTGCCTAAAAAAGCACATTGAAACTAATCATAATAAGTGTTTTATCTAGAGATGGCATTTTTGTTGGTTCTATTGTTTCGAAATTGTCGGCATCATTAACAAGTCTTAAAAATAAATTTCAATCAGATATAGAAACACTTATTTTGCAGAGAAATGCTTTATATGAAAAAAATATAGAACTCTTAAACATAAAAAATCAAATAACTCAGAAAATTCATCAATTAAATTTAAAAAAATTAGAATTAACGGATTTAAATGATAAACTTATACAAAAAATTCAAGAACAATTTCGAGCTCATAAGGATTCCACAAATATTCCTTCACAAATAGACACTTCATTTGATAATCAAAATGCGAAACCATTACCTCCAATAATTACATCTGTGTCTAAATCAAGTAATGATAATTTTGACTTAATTTCATGTACAGAAAGTCTTTCTACTCCAATTAGCGAGAAAATCAAATTAGAATATACCGAGTCTAGTGATGATAATTCATCATCAAAAACACATGATAAAAGTGATATTTCTATCTTAAAATCCAAGATATCTTCATGGAAAAAAAACAGCTCGTTAGCTAGAAATCTTGCTAAAGGATTTAGTAGGATTCGTTCATCTGAAAGTAATATACATAATGGATGCAAAGACGCCAATCTTTCAGCTAATTTAACTAATCTTACATTAAAAAACTCGGAATCTAATAACTTAAGGCATACATTTTCTACATATACATTTCTTCGAATTACTAAATGTGATTATTGTGGAAATAAACTTTGGGGTAATGAAATGCGATGTTTAGGTATGAAGTTTGAATAATAATATCTATACTTTTTATATATTAGGATGTGGCATACCTTGTCATATTAAATGTATTGGTGATATTACTACTAGCTGTAATAGAAATATGAAATGTTTACCATACCATGAAAATGCTTCATTATATGTGTCAAGTTCAGTGAATTTACATGGTATGTTCTTATAGTTTATTTCATATTTGTAATAAAAATATTATAGTCCCAACACTTTTTGGTAATGATTTAACAAAACAGGTTCAGGCAGAAAATAGAGATATTCCATTTATTGTAACGAAATGCATTGATGAAGTAGAAAAAAGAGGTAATGTTTTTGAAAATTTATTATTTAATATCATTCATGTTTAACAGGAATATTTTTTGAAGGCATTTATCGTAAATCTGGAAGTGCATCACAGATGCGCATACTCATTGATGCATTTAGTAATAATGATATTGACAATTTATCTCAATCTGTATTTGAAGATATCAGCGTTGTAACTAGCGTATTGAAACAATATTTTCGTAAACTTCCAAATCCTCTTATTACTTATGAAATCTATATACCATTTTTAGAAATTATTGGTAAAATTATACAATTATTTATAGGATATATATATCTAATATTCTTAGCTTCTGATAAAACTTCCAAGGAGAAGTTAATGTCAATAAAAAATGTTTTAAATATTCTTCCTAAAGCACACTATGACTGTTTAGAATTTTTGATATTGCATCTCTGCAGGTGAATAATAGTTTTTATATTTTCTAATATTTCTGATTTTAATAGAATCGTTGAACATTCAGATAAAAATTTGGTTGGTTATTAATACTATAGAAAATGTCTTACTGTTTATTAGATGCCTTCGAAAAATCTTGCAGTAGTTTTCTCCCCTACTTTGCTAAGAGATGAAAAGGGTACACGAGATATTGTGGACATTCAAATTAAAAATATTGGTATACAATATTTACTTGATAATTCAAAAAATATATTTCAAAATTCTTAAAGAAACATAAACGCATTGTATATAGCAGTCGAAACGTGTAATTTATAACAGTAACTTCTATTTTCGAAAATTACGCATTATTTAAGATATATTTATTTAAAGCTAATTTCTGCAATTATATAATTATCAAAACAGATCTAAAATTTAATATGGTTTGATTTTTTTGATGAAATTTTATATTATATGAGCTATATATTTTTTATAAAAATATAATTACATTTGTAATTTTAATCTAACAATTTATCCAAGAAACCTTCTAATTCTTTATCCTTAATTATTGTATTCATCTGTATAGGTTTTTCTTGAGGAATATTATTATCTATTTTTTTTTCTTAAAATAATTAGACTAAAAAAATTAAAACAGTATAATCTAACCAACAAACTCCGTTTTTTTCAGAAGCTCATCAATATCTTCAATATCAGATGCCGATTTCTCCATGTCTAAACAAAGTCCTTTGACTGTACGTACTTTAACTCTGCAATTATATTTTTTTTTTATTTCTTTTAATGAAGCTTCATTCTCTATTTGACGACGTAAATGATAAACATTTTCTGGATTTTCATATATCAGTTTTCCTTTTCCAATACGATTTTTTGGTAGTTGATCATTCGAAATAATCTCAGGCTCAGGTAGCGTAAACTCTTTTGCTAAAACTTTTGTATAATCAATACATATATCTTCATCAGAAATAATTGTTTCTATATAATTATTTATTTTTCCTAAAAAAAACAAATTATTTACCTTCATATTTCCAACTATTAGATGGCAATTCATATGACTCATCAAGATTTTCTTCAGAAGAAATATCTATTTTTTTTGCCAATGATTTTTTTGAGTCTAAACCTGAAGCTGTTCCATGTTTATTATGATATTTTTTACTAGCCTTTTTTTTCCATTTATCATTATGAAGAACCATGAATTGTTTTAACGTAATTCAAAACGTTTTAATTAATTTTTTTTAATTTAAACCTAATTATTTTATTATAAAAGACCTGTACATATTTTTACTTGGGTCATAGTATCCAATGCTAGCTTTTGTGCACTTTGTGTTCCTATTCTATTTTGTTCAATATATGAAGAAATGTCTCGATCCATGATAGATTGATAGCGTTCACGTATTGGAGAAAAAAATGTATTAATAGATTTTGCTACTAAATCTTTAAATGCCTTGTGACTGATATTTGCATTATCCTTGGCAATTTCAACAGGATCAGAGCTTGGATAGCTTAAAGAAGCTAAAATTCGAAGAAGATTAGCAATGCCTGGACGTTTATCTATATCATATGTAATTCCATAATACGAATCTGTTGTAGCTTTAGAAATTTTAGATTCAATGACATCCAAAGGATCAGTTATTAAGATTCTTGAATTTAAATCTGGATCTGACTTAGACATTTTTTTATAAGGATCTTTTAAAGACATAATTCTTTTTGAAGATACTAAAATAATAATTAAATTATCAAAACATAGATAATAATACATACTTAAAGTAGCCTTTGGAGTGATAAATATATTCTTTGAAAAATAATTATTAAAAAGCCGACTTATTGTACAAGAAAGTTCTAAATGTTGAATTTGATCTTCACCTATTGGAACCTCTGTTGTCCTAAAAAAATAAACATCCTTTTATATTTATGTGTTTCAACTTACTTATATAAAAGAATATCTGCTGCTTGAAGAACTGGATAAGCAAAAAGTCCTAGATTTAATATAGAATTTCCATTTTTAAGCCTAGACTTTGTCTATTCATAATTAATAACAATATTATTTAAAATATATGTTAAATTATACCTTCCATTGAGTTATACGCTGAAGATGTGATACAGGAACTACACAATTAAGTATCCAAGCCAATTCAGAATGACATGAAACCTTTTTCATATAGTTAATTTAAATTAAATAAAAAGATAATTTACTGATGATTGTTCATAGACAATAGATCTTTTAAAATCAATTCCTATTGCTTCTAAAGAAGCAAACATTTCTCTTTTATATTGTTTTAATTCAACTGATTTTTTTAACATAGTAATCGCATGCAAATCTGCAATACAAAATAACAAAATAGTGGATGATTCTGCACTATTCTGCATATCAACCCATTGTTTTAATGCACCTAAATAATTCCCTATATGAGGAACACCTGTAGGTTGAATTCCAGAGAAAATTCTTCTTTCTAACGCATCTTTTGTAAATAAACGTTGAATATTAAGATGATATCTCTGTAATAAAAAAAACAAATTTAAACATCCATGTCGTCTTTTTCCTGAAAAGTGTATTATAGACATTTTTTCAATTAACCTTTGTATTATCCTTTTATTCAGTAAAATAGTCTAGACTTGATCGATAATAGTATTTTTAAGCACTGATTAATTGTTTTTTTTTTTAAAAAAACTATGCATCCACCTCTATCAGCCCATAAACATCCAGGTATTTTATATATATTATAAAATATAAATATAAATATTTCTGTAGATTGTCATGAACTTATGAAACAATTAAAAGAATGCCATGAATCCAATTTTATTAGCCATTTTTTTGGAAAATGTAATGATTTAAAAAAAGAAGTCGTTAAGTGCCTAAATCAAGAGGTAATTAAGATTTTTAAAAAATATAATTTATACCTTGTTAAAAATTAATTGTGAAATTAGAGATTAAAACAACAAAGAGAAAACCAGAGAAAAAATAAAGATAAAAGACGATAATATAAAATGATTCAAATGAATTTAATTAGAACCCAAAGTCTATCAATAAAGTGATTGATATATAATATGTATATTGTATATATTAAAGTTTGAAAAAGATTTTGACAGCTGAATTATTTGATACAATGGCTCATTTGTATATTTCCTAAAGAATATTTAGATAAACCTGTAAATTAATAAAAAAGCTTGAATTCAAAAAGTTATTTGAAAGTAAACGCAACATTGTTTTCTAACTGTGAATTTAAACAGAACCCGTGAATTGTGAACATATAAGACTATGAATTGTTTCTTTTTACTAAAGTATATTTATCAGCATCATTAAGACAATTGAATTCATTAAATCATGACCAAATGGTTTGCTACAAATACTGAAAAGCAATGTCCTATTCAGATGTTCAAAACTTAATTCTTATAATGTAATGAACAATATTATTAAGAATTCTTTATGCTGGTCTAGATCTCTTTTTTTCTTCATTCCATGTAAGACCCTCAAAAAGCTCAACAAGTTTACTAACAGTTCCTAGATTTCCTTTATTTAGTTTTGTGTTGCTAGTTAAAGATGTTCTTTTATTTATATTATTTGAAGTTGGAAGCTTAGGAGGAATAAGAGCATTTCTTCCTTTTGCAATTTTTGAAAAAATTTGGCATTTTATAGAAGCTGTTGTAGAAGAAACAACCGTAGATTCAGTAGATGTTCTTAAAGGTGGAGAAGTATCGCTTTCTTTATCAAATGTAGTTATAGATGATTTAGCAGAATCTAATGTTGGTATCTGAAAATCAATTGATTCAACAGGAAAAGTAGTACGACTTTTCGTCTTTAAATTGTGTGGTGTTAAGAACTAGTATATATTAGTAACTTTGTCATTATATAAAAAATATACAAATTCTGATTGATTAAGGAAATTCTTCTCTGGTGATGAAAATATTTTCCCATATCTTTTTGAATTTATCATTGAAGTTTTACAAGAAATAGGTGGATAAGTATTGATAGTTTTTGTACTATTGAAAGCAGAATCATCACGGTTTTCTAAACCATGACTAGCAGCAACTAAATCTCTAAGCTCATGTGATATAGCATGTTGAAGTCTCATATATCTCATTTCTTTGTCAAAATTGCAAGATTCTTGAGTAGATGTAGCAGAATTAATGTTAGACATAAAATTAGCTAAATAATTAGTTTCCTTTCTAAATTTTATAAACCTTACATTTTAAAACACTACTTGAAGATACATTTTTTATAGGACATGGTGTAGCTGTATTTAAATCTGTTTGATTATTAGACAAAAAAGATAATTGTGATAATTGTGCTTTTGTAGAAAAGATCTGAGAAGTTGCGGTATCTGATATTTCATCTGAAGAATTGTTGAATTTACTAACATCATGATTATCATTATAAGATATTGTACATTTTCTAGAAACATTAACACGTGTTGACTCTGTGGATTGAATCGATGATATGGGAGAAGCAACGTTAAATCGAAGTCGTTGAGGAACATGTTGTTTTTTGTGAGAATTTGGGTAATGAATCGGATTATGGTTTATTTTTTGACGACAGCTATGTTGATCTGGTGATGACGTAAGAATATTTGGTAATGAATTAAGAAGATTGGTTCCAAGAATAGAATCTCTAGGAATCTTCTGTGTATTGCCATTCGAATCAATTCGAATAAATGAACAACGAGAACGACTATTTGTTCTATCTACCATTACAAAAACAATATTGGATATATCATCTTTTCTGAATGCGTTAATTCTAGCAAACCCTGTAGCCGCAAACTTCTTAATTCTTCGTACACATAATCTTATATATTCTTTAAACGATTTTCTTGTAATATCAATCATTGGTCCTGTATTTTCTTCATGAATCATATGTGTTACTCGTGATCGACTAGCACGACATTTTTCTCGAACTTGTGCAATTTTTACACATGATTCACATCTTTCTGTACCTCTTCTAATACCTTGTTTTCCATCACAATGTCTATGTCTATAATTCTCATTATATAGCTCATCATAATTTTCCATTTGTCATCTATAGACTTTATCTAATTCTTCAATTATTTATCTTTTCTTGTTCTTTTAAAAGATATTAACAACTTCAATTTCTTAAGATCAGAATTCTTGATGATTTCCTCTGATTCTAAGTATAATAATCTAATTATCTTATCTTATCTGCTATAATTTTCTTTTGCTTATTCTTCAAGTGTTATCAGGTCGTTATCGTTGTATCGATTATTTTAGCTTAATAATAGACATCTACTAAAAAGAAACACTAGACAAAAAGCGATAAAATGTAGATTTCTATAATAAAATAGATAGAAAAGATCATTATATAAAAGAATAATATTTTTATATATTTTAAATAAATTTAAATATAAAAAAAGAAAAGAAGAAATTTAATAATGATTATTATGTAGTGAAAGTTTATAAAGTTTTTTTGAGTTAAAAGAAAAGAAAAGGAATAAATATAATGAGATTATTTATTAAAAAAATATTTTAAAATAAGAATTTATATTAAATAAAATGTTGTATATTTTTAAATTAAAATGTTATTACGATAATAACATTATATTTAGTTAAGTTTAGTTATATTATATTGCAATATATGTTTTAAAATGAAATAAATAAATGAAATGAATGAAATAAATAAATGAAATGAATGAAATTAATGATTATTAAAAATTATTTTAGAAAAGATTAACTTATTTTAAAAAGTTTTATTTATGATTTAGTGTTTTGAAATAACTATAAATAAAAAGATAGAAATATATTCTTTAAGAATAAGCCAAATTAATATATAATCTTAAAACTCGAATATAAACATAATAATATAAAAAATTTGTTAAGCAAAGTATTAATCGATTAAAGGTGATGTTAAAAAGCAAATGTAGTTGAAATAGAAAATAAATATAAAAATGAGTTTATAAGATACTCCTAATGGAAAATCCAATAGTAGTTTTTAATATTATTCCAAAATTTTAAGTATTTCATTAATTGATACAAATTTTTCTCTGAATTTTCCTAATTCTTTTCCTTTTTTATATTCTAAATCCTCAAGCTTTTTCCAATCTTTCCATTGAATAAATCGAATACCTTTTTCTTTAAAATAAGGCAAAAGAGCGTTAAATCCATGTCTAGGCTCATTACTAGTAGAATTTAAAAACGGTTTTTTATTTTTCCAATCTTGAATAATAGAATTAGCAGTCTCAAAAGCACCATGCATAGTATTTGCTATCACGCCTACAGGCCCAGTTTTTATCCAACCACTTGTATATATTCCAGGAAGCTCATAAGCAATTTCTCTGTTGCTATTTGATAAAACTCTTCCACAAATATTAGGAATAATTCCTCTATTGTTATCAAAAGGAATACTAATATCACCGCAATTTTCAATCGCTATACCTTTATATCCAATACTACGGATCAAACAACTGGTATTTATATTAACCATTTCTCCAATACCAATAGCTTTTAATATGTTTTCATTAGGACATTTTTTAAGTATATTTTTTTCAAATAATACACTTGATAAAGTATTTAATTTTGATTCATCTTTTTTAAATTGATATGGAGAAAGTAAAAATTCAAGAGACCATGATTTATTAGTAATATCAGGCTTTAAAGTATTTTTTTCCATTAAAAGATCAAAAAGTCGTTTTTGAGATCGTGTAAGATTTTCAGGTAATACATATTCACTAATATATGAATCTAAATTTGGTGTACAAAAGGATACGTTTGATAATTCCATAAGCTTTCGAACCTCTCCTATAGTAAAAGACATCTATAAATTCAAATTAAAATAATTTACTAAAACTTAATATTTTAACCTCTAATGGACCTCTACGTCCAATAATTTTTACATGTCTAATTTTACTTTTTCTAAGTGTCTCTAACGCCCTTTCAGTAATATCTGTTTTTGAAAGAATATTAGCTTCACTAAGCAAAATTCTTGCAATATCTAGTGCCACATTTCCATGTCCAATAATAACTGCTACATCACTCGATTCCAAATCTGGATTCAATTCCTGATATCTAAAATCTCCATTATACCATCCTACAAACGATTGAGCAGAATATATTCCTCTAAGACTATTTTCTAATTCTAGCCCCAATTTACGGTCTTCTGATGCTCCATAAGCCATAACTAAACAATCATAATGACGTTTAAGCTCAATTAATGATATATCCTTTCCAATACGAACATTTCCAATAAAACGAAATCCATCATATTCTGCAATCTTTGAAAACTTATTCTTAACATTCTTTGATAATATTAATACATATTATCTTTTATAATCTTTTTCTACTTTTATTTCAAAATTATCTGGTGCTACTCCCAAACGTAGCAATCCAAAAGGAAATGGAAATGCCTCATACATATCTACAAAACATCCTGATACATTTCCTAGCAATTTATCTGCTGTATAAAACCCTGCTGGGCCTGATCCAATAATACAGACCCGAAATGTATTTAACTTTCTATTTATTAATAATTGACATATTTTTCTACTTTTAAACAACATAATAAAAATACATAATAAAAATACGTTTTTTCATATATTTTTCATTAAAAACTCTTCTAAATAGTCTATTTAATACTTAATATTTAGTGCTTAATATATTATGTAGTCAAATTCACGTGACCGGAACTTCATAAAAAAAAAAGATAAAGGTTTGTCTATAAATTGGAGAATATAAAGAGTATTAACTAATAAAAATAGTATAAAATGGCAACGCTTGCACCATTAAATCTAAGAAAGCAAAAAAAAGCGGTGAAAAACGGTATTTCTGTCGAGATTCCAGAGAATTTTCAAAGTGTACTTTGTAAATTTAAAGCATTAGATGGAACAAGTAGTATAGGGTCTACATTGATTCCAGGGAATATATCAATAAGAGATCTTGGAAAACTTTTGAATAAACTGTTAAATAATGTATGATAATGAGTTTTTTTGAAGCAATTTGTATAATATAAAAAGAACGAACAAATACCATATATATTTTCAGCAGAAATAGAAGGAAAATGGATAGAAATAAAGGAAAATTTATATTCATCAATATTTCATAATAATTTAAAATCTACGGAGGATGAATTAACATTGATATATATACCACAAGAAAATTTCCGTGTTCGAGCTATTAATCGATGTACAGCAACAATAAGTGGACATGATAAGGAAATTCTTTGTGCACAGTTTTCACCAAGGAGTAGTTCATATTTTTCTACAGGAAGTGGAGATGGAAATGTTAGAATATGGGATTGCGATACGGGGACAGCAATGCATACTTTAAAAGGTTATTTTAATAATTCTTTTATAATTTACATATATATTAGGACATTGTAATTGGGTTCTTTGTGTATCATGGTCTCCTGATGGAAAATTAGTTGCATCAGGAAGTATGGATAATACAGTATGTTTATTTTAAAATAATTATTAATGCTAAAACAGAAAATAGATTCGATTATGGGACCCTGAAAAAGGAAAAAATATTAAAGAAGCATTTAAAGGTCATACAAAATGGATAACATCATTATCATGGGAACCTATACATTTGTAAATGATTTAGTTTTTTTAAGATAGATTTCTTATGATTCTAGATCAACAGAAAATTCATATCGTCTTGCATCATCATCTAAAGATACTACTATTAAAATATGGGATATTAATTTAAGAAGTGTACTATTAACATTATCTGGTCATAAATCGAGTGTATCGTGTGTAAAATGGGGTGGAAATGGATGGATTTATTCAGCATCTCACGATAAAACAGTAAAAATTTGGGATGGAAAGACTGTAAATATAATATTTATATTTATATTTTATTTGATAAATATTAAGGGAAAACTTTTACATACGTTATTAGCTCATGCACACTGGGTTAATACTATGGCATTATCTACAGACTTTGTTTTAAGAACAGGCGCTTATGATTATACTGGAGTCATACCATCATCTTTTGAAGAAATGAAATCAAAAGCAAAAAAAAGATATGATGAAATCATTGCATTTGGGGGAAATAAAGGAGAGAGATTAGTTACAGGTAGCGATGATTTTACTATGTATTATTGGAATCCAGAAGAATCTATTAAACCAATTAAAAGATTGACAGGTATTTTTTTATAAATAAAGGTTTTAATATATATATATATATAATTATAGGTCATCAAAATCTAGTTAATCATGTTTCATTTTCACCAAACGGGCAATGGATTGCATCTGCATCATTTGATAATTCTGTAAAAATTTGGAATGGTTTAACTGGAGAGTAATATTTCTTTTTTTTTTTGAATTGATCCAAAATTTTTAGATTTATTGTAACTTTAAGAGGACATGTTGCATCTGTATATCAGTGTTCATGGTCAAATGATTCTAGAATGCTTGTTAGTTCATCAAAAGATACGACATTAAAGGTATGGGATATACATGAAAAAAAATTAAAATGCGATTTATTTGGACATGCTGATGAAGTATTTGCTTGTGATTGGAGTCCAGATGGTATTCGAATAGGGTCAGGTGGAAAAGATAGAGGTAGAAGATTCTAAGAAATTAATTAATGGTTTTAATCTTTTAGATACTAAAATATGGTCTTTTTAAAATAATGTTTCAAATAATTAAGAATATTAATCACTGTAAAATATAAAGTTACATATTTTAAATATACATTGTAAAATATATCAAATAATATTAAACCATTTATTTATTTTTTTTAATAACATCCTTCTTTAATTCAAATGAGCCATATGATATCTTAATAGAAGAAATTGCAGTTAAAGCAACTATTAATATAGAAAAAATAATAAACAATACTATCCAACTATAACTATGTAAGTAAAAATATAAAATAAAAGAAATTATAATTACATCATATAAATTCCTTCTGAAAAAAATGAATATTTAGAAAATAATCCTTTAGGATTATTAGAATTATATTTTACTGGAATCATAGGTGTTGAATAGACTGATGCATCTCGATGTTGAATTATCACTGGTCCTGGTGTAGATATATAAATCATTGAATATTTTGATTCATGAGGTAATGATGCTAATAAAAAATGTAGAAATAAATCTTCATTCATCATTTCTTATCCTAATTACATCCAAAAAAACTTACCATGATTCGTTAATAAATGTCGTCGCTCCTCCATTGTACCTACTATAGGAGGAAATTGAAGTATTAATATTTTCTCCGTTTCATTATATAATAACGGATATTCTCCGCCTAAATATTAATCATTCATTAATATATTTCAACCTAAACTTTTATTTATAAAATTTATACTTTCTGCATCAATTAAAATACTTTTTATATAACATTTATCTTCCACATATTTAATAATATTTTCAACATCTACATAACCATATCCATATGGAACTACTAAGCGTTCTGGTGCTTTATCAATTGAGTTTTTAATCCATGGCATTACTGAATGTTTTAAATCATCTGCGTGTAGACCCGGTTGTAAAACAAAAACATGATATCCTGATTCACAATCAATTGACGATCTTACTAATGACTGAAATGCATGTCCTGATAGCGTTATTGATATATGATCTGAAAAAATAGACTTAAAAGAACTATATTTATTACAATAAATTAATTAAATCCCTCTTAAAAACCTATAAGTTCTATAAAATATGAAAGGAGATGTATCTTTAAAGCAAGATATCTTATGAATATTTATTATCAGTATAAAAAATAGAAAATAATGTACAAGATAAAACATTGTCGTTGCATCGAGTGAGGATGGTATAGGAAGGGCCTTAAAGGTTATCTATGAGGAATAAGGTAAAGATAAGTTAAATGTAGATATAATAAAAGAAAATGTATGATAATAGATAGAAATGATTGAATTGTATAATAATATAGATTAAAGATGAATAATAAAAAAAGATTAATAATGAATAAATTAATTAAAATTCAAAAGGAAAAGGATCATCGGAGAATAAAGGGTTGTCGGAAAGCAAAGGATCATGAATAGGATTGATATGGTTTTGTGTTAGACCGAAATCATTTAAAGATAAATCGAATTGTTTTTGAAGAAGAGAAAAATGAGGTTTTTGAGTAGAATTAGATAGAAGATTTGTATTAGATTTTTGTTGAAAAGATAGAGTTGGTTTTTGATAGCCATATAATTTGGTAGTGGATTTATTTTTTTTTTTAGTAGAAGTATCAGAAGGATGAGTCGAGAAATTAATTAATTTCCAAGAGGAATCACCAAGAATAGCCTGAGAACTTTTTTCTAATTCACAATGACCCTGATCGTCTAATCTATTAAAATAAGATTTATAAAGTGGCCATAATTGCAATGTTGATAAATCGACAGGCGAAAATCCAGGAATATTTTCTTCCAATGCTATTAAAATATTGATTAATAAAGAGAAAATATTATCAAAAGAAAATATCTCACTACATTTTGGTTTAGGAGGCATATATTCTGGATCCACAACTTTTTCATGATTTTCTATTAATATCGATTCATTTTGTTTAAAAGGATTAACAATAGTATTTTTTTCATGTAAAGATTTATGAATTGATTTATTTTCTGTTTTTTTTGCTGATGTTGTATATAAACATTTATTTTTAATTGGCCAATTCGTATTTAATAACTTTGATTTTTCTCCTAACACTGAAATAGGCATATTTTTAACATTTGTATCTTTTCCTCCAAGAATTTGACGAGGTCCTATTAATTATCAAATTAACTAATACTAAAAAATACTCAATTTTAATTAATTTTACCAAGAGGTGTAACAAATGACGCCGTTGAAAATCCTACATCTTGTTTCTGTAAATTACTTATATATCCTGTTTTTTCCGAAATTTCTCCTGTTGTTACTGGCGTTTGTGCTACTCTTACAATAATATTTTCTTTATCTTCATGCATAATAATAATTGATCAATTTATACTATATTAACAATTATAAGTTCCCTAAAAGCACTGATATAAAGTTTCAAATCCAACAAGAATAATTTCCAAAAATAAAAACTTTAAGATATTTTATAAACCCTGATAAAATGTTTTATAAACTTAAACTTAAACTCAAACTCAAACTTAAGCTCAAACTTAATATTATGAATTAAAAACTAGCTGTTCAATTTCACTAAAAATATGTTTAAACTAAAATCAATCAATCAATCTTAAAATACCAATAATTTTCTAATAAATTTTAATATTTTTCTTGTATAAATGTTTGTTTAATAATTATTTTGTAAGAAGGTTCTTAATGTTTGTTGATAAATGAATATAACCCTACGAGCAACCCTAACCCCCAACCCTAACTATACGAACAAACCTAACCCTTAGTTCATAGCACCCAGCCCTAGGTTATAACCCTAACACATAACCCCAAACCCTAACTCATAACCTAACCCTAATTCCCAACGCAACCCTAACGCAACCCTAACGTGTAACCCTAACTCGAACATTAACCCTCGATGAAACTTTTCACTTGTAACGAATAACAATTTGTAATACCGAATACCTAACCCTACACATAAACCCTACACCTACACCTAACCCTACACTACACCAACCCGACACATCTATAGTACTCCACTCCACTCCACTCTATAATGCTCGATATAATACTTTAATACTCAATATAATAAAATATAATTAACCTTTAAATACTGATTAAATACTGATTAAATACTCATTAAATACTCATTTAAATACTCATTAAATACTAATATATACTCTCTAACCCTTAAATAAAACATCATCCTAAACCCTAACCCATAACTCTTAACTCATAACTCCACTCATAACTACCTCGTAACACCAACATATAACCTAGTAAACCCTAACAAATAACCCTAACCCTAACCCCACCAAAACAAAACACCAACCCTAATAACGAAGACCTAACAATTACACTTAATTAACTCGCAACAAATAACCCCTAACACTTGATAAACAACACTTGATAAACAACTCCTAATAAATAACTCCTAACTTGTAAACATCAACTTGTAAACATCAACCAACCCCTATTAAACTCCAATTCATCCCTAACTCCAACTCCAACTCCAAGTCCAACCCCCGCTCCAACCCCCGCCCTAACCCTAACCCCACACCAATCTACTTAGGTTAAGGTTTTCTCTTGTAAAAACATACGGGAAATTACAAATCTCTCTACTGCAAGTAAGTAAATATCCGTATAAACATGGTTTCTAACAGGTTTTTTTTTATAGAAAACAATATAAAATTTAAGGTATTTTATAACATAAGAACATCTAATTGGATATTAAATAGAACTTAATATGGAGAAATTAAAAGAGGTGAGTCGATATTTTTAAACGCACAAGATCAGCAAGAAGATATTTGGAAGAAGATATATGGAAGAAGGAAATGAAGGATTTAAAGAGGAATTATTAAGAATTAAATATATAAATAAAGAAAAGAAAATGATATAGGAAAAATGTGCGAGATTGGAAGAATAAATGTTTATATAAATAATAGAAATTAAGTTTATTACGTGTTGAAGCAGAGGAAGCAAATGGACGAGCAGATGAAGCAGCGGCACGAATAAGACAATTAGAATATGAATTATCATTGAAGGAACAGGAATGTATGAGTTTAACGCATAAAAATGAACTTTTGGAAAAAGAGATTGAACGATTGGAAGTGCAATTAACGGAAGTAAAAACGGCGGCAGAAGAAGAATCAGGATGTCGTAATATAAGTGAAACACTTCAAAAAAAAATTCAACTTCTTGAGGAGGAACTTGAGTTAAATGATTTAAATCTTCGAAAAACAACCGATGCGTAAGAAATAATAAATTAATTTTAAATTTTTTTTAAAAAATGATAAGATTACGACAAATGGATGTTAAAACAGAACATTATGAACGTAAAATATTAGTATTGGAAAAAGAACGTGACGAAATCGAGGCAAAATATGAAGAAATGAGTAGAAAATATGAACTCGTCAAAGCAGAGTTAAATGAAGTTAATCAACAACTTGAAAGTCTTTAATATTGCATATCTCTGTTTTTTTTTTACATGGATATAAAAAACTTATATTTCGGATATCATCACGTATTATTAATGCCGTATTGTGCATTTTTCTTTTTCTATAAATAGTTTATTATATACAAATATTTCATCATTTTAGAAAATGTTTCAGGGCTAGGGATAGAATGTTCATTTTTTCTTATTTTATTTCCCGATAAACTATTTTAATAAAAGTATTAAATATATTGTTTGTTTAATTTTGTTTTTAAACTTTATACCATATAAGCCTTAATCATATATATTTGTGTACTTGACAAGTAAAAATATATATTTTTATTATTAAGAAATCAAAAAGTAAGATTTACTGTATTTTAACCATATTTATATCTTTTAATCAAAGAAATAAAGGTTTAAAAATTATATTTTTATAAAATTAATAATGTTTTTGAATAAGTCATTATAAATAATTTTGGTATATTTGGTATGTAATTACGAGGACACAGAATTAGTTAAATCCATTGTCTTAATAAGCTCTTTCAATACCGTTCGTTCATTATTACAGGCGTTATTTTAGTTTAAATCTAGTTATAAAAGGAACAAGTCTTTTGGATTATTATTATTATATCAATATATCAATCTATCTATTTATTTATTTATAAAAATATCATTTACTTGAAAAAAAAGGGAAATTTGGGTTAAAAACATTGGTCTTATACTATAATTCAATTAACAATGTCTTTGGATATTAATAAACAGACAGAATTTCATCTACGACATTTAAAAATGCTTCCACATAATTATTTATTTACAGATACAAGCCGAATGAGTATATGTTTTTTTTGTATCTCTTCTCTTGATCTTCTTGGTTCATTAGAAACGTCTACAACATCTTTACAAAGGAAAAGCTGGATAGATTGGATATATTCATGTCAAGTATCAAATGGATTTCGTGATTGGCCAGCAACAGAATCTTTTCAACCTTCATGTGATAATTTAGTTCATATAGCATCTACATATTTTGCAATATGTATTCTTCTAATACTTAAAGACGATTTGAAAAGGCTAAATAGGAAAAATATCATAGAATCAATTGCACGTTTACAGAATGAAGATGGGAGTTTTCATCCATGTTTAGTAAATGACGAAAATATACATTATTTAGAGAAAACAGATATAAGATTTACATATTGTTCAATTGCTACTTTTTATATCCTTGGATGCAAAAATATAGATAAATATATACAAACAGAACCTCTTTTAAAATATATAGAATCTTGCAAGGCAGGTTTTTTATTTTTTTATTTATTTTAAATATATATATAACTAGTATTAGTCATATGATCATGGATTTTCAGAAAATCCAAAGAGAGAATCACATGGTAACAGTTGCAATAATTTCTCATGATATATGTTAATACATTTTAAAGCGGGGTATACATATTGCGCAGTTGCATCACTTAGTTTACTCAGAGATATGTCGCCTTTTGTAAATAAAAAGCTATCATCTTTATCTTTAGAAAAAACTGTAGATTGGTTGCTGAAAAAACAATTATCAAATATTGATGATTACGGAGGGTTTTCAGGAAGAACAAATAAACCTTCTGATACATGTTATTCTTTTTGGGTTGGAGCGGCATTAAAAGTATAAAACTAAATTTCATTATGTTATTCTAATATAAAAAGTGTCTTGATGATGATATGAATTATATATATAAAGAATCATGTAAAGAATTCCTTTTAAATAAAACTCATAGCATAGGAGGGTTTGTAAAATCTAAGGGCCAATATCCAGGTTTATTCATAGAATTAATATCTAAATTGTTAATATATGTCAGATGTAATGCATTCCTATTTCGCCCTCGCTGCACTTTCGATTTTTGGTGAGAAGAGTCTTTTAGAAATTGAACCAGCTCTTGGTATTTCAAAAAGTTCATTACAAGGTTTAAAAATGTTCAACGAAAATTAATTTTTTTTAATAAACTCATCATCTAAATATTAAAGTTATTTATTTGAATGACTCTTCAAAGAAATCTAAATTAATATATCAAAACTCAATTATTTTTTGAAAAACCAGATTTTGTATTATTTTGATTATTCAATTTTCAAGTTCAAAAAAGTGATATCTTAAATAAAGCTTAATGAAAGTACAATACTTTAGATTTATATTAAATATATTAAAATCTTAACCAAAAATAAAGATTTATGAAAATTATTATGTAGATATATTAAACAATTTTGATAAAACCAATTGTATATAATATTAATTGTATATAATATCATAAAGATATCTCTCATGTTATAACTATTATATATATATCATAATGGAAAAATAAATATTCTGAATAAAAAGAAATATAAAAATAAAATTTCAGCCTTTTTTCAATAAATGTTCATTAAACAATCTAATTATTTTAAGCTAAAAACATATACTTTGTAAAAAACTTAAATATAGAAATTAATCAACGAATTAAATAAAAAAAAGAAATTTCAGATATTAGATTATCCATAAATTCGTTAGAATTTATATATATATATATCAAGCCGTAATAATATTATCTTTTTCCTTTTTTTGAATATCATCAATAACAGAAGGATCTAAATGCATATCAATAAGTTCTGGGATATCTAAAGGAACATCAGATGATTGTCTTAAATCATTAAGCCTTTCAAATATCTTAAGTCCAGCAAAACAATCTGTAGCAGCATCTTTATAAAGTTAGAAAAATTAAAAAATATAAATAAATATTTATACAATGCATTTGTTTAAAAATTAACTCATTTTCCCAATTACTATATCTCACACTGCCTTTAAAAAGAGGTTTTCCAAGATACTCCTCTGCCAATTTTGTAAGCCCTATAAGACGTAAACTCGGATCCCATTTATCTTTATCAACAGTAATTGCCAATTGACTTAATTCCAAAAATCCAGTCCCAATAATACCAAAATCTTTATATAACTTATAACCATCATTTCTTACACCAACTCCACATTTTATAAAATATGGATTTTCCAGCAAATCTTTAAGAGGACTAGGAAATGTCCCTTCATGATAAATAATAAACATATATACTAAAATTACTCACCTTCTAAATCCATTTGAGATAAATGAAATAATACAATAGAATTCGCATCACTCAATTGAATAACAGCAATTTTAGAATCTCCATGAGGCTTCCATTCCATGTCAAATCCAAGATATGGCCCTTTAAGAAGAGATATAGCATCTTGAACTCCAGATAATTTTAAAATATAATGTATCTTAGCTTGAGGTTTACCCTGACTATTCTTAATATCCATATAACTCCAATAACGATATTTTTTCGGCTCAGGAACTTGTTTAGACTCCTTATTACTGGCAAAACTATCATTCTTCTCCCCATTTGAATATGTTGATGATAAACGCTGAACAGACATCTTAATAATTGAATATATAACCTTTTTTTTCAGAAAAAATGACAATCTTTCAGATTTTAAAAATAAATTCCTATAAAAACAAAAAGTATTGAATAATCTTTGCATAATAAAGCTTCTAATGCGATTTTTTTAAATATCCTTCGTTTATTTACTTAATCCAAATCTCTTAATTATAAAAAGTATATAAATATCTCAATAAAATTCACTTTATCTTATGATAAAATATAACTCATATTCATACAAAATTCGTTTGATTTTTCAATATTTAAAAATATCTTTTTTTAACCCTTAAAAATTATTATTTAGTCCTTTAAAATAGGCTTATTATTAATAAAAAATAGGATTCTACTTATTTCTTATTATATTTATTAATATTATACTTTTCTATACTTAGAAAACTCTTTAATTTTTTTATTATTCAGACGATATGAAATCTCGAAATTTACTATATATATAAACTGCTAAAAAGCAAATAAACTACATATTCATTAGATTCTAGAATGTCAACATCTACACTACTTCCACTTGGTAAGAAGTTTATATTTTTATCTTTTTTTTATGAGTTTATTCTAATATAATATAATAGAATTAGTGGATAAGTGTATAGGCTCAAGGATCTGGATTATTATGAAGGGAAATACAGAATTCTCTGGAACTCTTTTAGGATTTGACGATTATGTCAGTAAGTTCTCTGTTTATTTATTATTTTCTTAATATTTATCATCAAAGATATGGTTCTTGAAGATGTAACAGAATAGTAAACGGATTCATCAATTATTATTAATATTTATCTAATATTATAATATAGTAATGTTTCTACAGGAACATTAGAAAAACATAAACAACTTTTACTAAATGGAAATGGGATTTGTATGGTATAAATATATTTTTTATAATATATTATATTAATATAATTTTAAAAAGTTAATTCCGGGTGGAGAAGGAGATTTTCAAAAGGAATAAGATAATAATAACAAGAAAATCAAAAAATATTTGAAAAAGAAATATTTTTAACTTTTTTTTGATTTAAGTGAGATTTTTTGTTGAATAAATCAAAAAAAAAAGATTACTAGGAAATCTACTTATTCTATAAACAATAATAACCTTTTCTAATACCATTTTTATGTATATTATTTTATTTATTACTTTTTAATTTTTACCTCTTTTCTTTGTCTAAAATATACATAAAAAATATTCAAAAATACTATACAATTAATCTTAAATAACTAGTTTATATCTAAAAATTCTGATCTTATTTTACATAAACACTTCATAATACAAAAATTTTATCGTTTTTAATATATTAAATAATCTTCTTTTAATCTATAATTTTTCTTTATTTAAATATATATTTATCTTATTATCTTATTTAAATATTTTTTATGTACGTTTTATATACATTTTACGTGCATAAGATATACTAAGGCCTTAATCATCTAGTCTCGGGCGTTATATTTTATTTTTCTAATAAAAATACAGAGTTTTTGCTTAAACATTGTAACAACAAATATAAAAACATATTTTCAAGGGTTCTAAAAGAAATTACAGTAAATTATATTTGTTAGTTATTTTGAGCAGCAACAAAAACATAATATCAGATTTATTGTATTTTAAAGGAATAAGATTGCCTATGAATGAAACAAATTATCCATTTTTAACGGGTTCTGGAGGATTAACAGGTCTACCAACATTTTCCCAGGGTTCAGAAATTAGAGGATCAACAGCAGTATTTTCATCAGCAGGAGGTACACATGGAACATATATATCAGGTCAAGACATGTCAGATACATCAGAAAAAAAAACAGGAAAATGTGAATATTATTAGAGTATTTTATTTTTTAAAATTGAAGTATTTAGTGAGACTATCATTTGTAACAGCAAGCGATCAAGAGAAATTTGAAAAGCTGTTTAAATCAGCAGTTGGAGATAGTATTGTAATTAGTGGGGAAATAGCAAAATCTATTATGTCTAAATCATGTCTTACACCATCAGTTCTTTCAAAAATATGGTGAAAGAATATTTGAATAAAATAAAAAGAAAAGCTGACAATAGAATAGGGAACATGCAGATACAACTAAATCGGGACAGCTGATGATGCCCGAATTTGTATTGGCAATGCATTTGTGCAATATGGCAGTATCAGGAAAAAGTGTACCAGACAAGATTCCAGATGTAATTTACGATGAAGTATTCGATGTAGTTTCATCAATTTTACTTTCGGTACCAGATTCAGCACCATCTAATACAATTGCAACGAATCTTAAAACAGTATCAGTATCTCAGCATAGAGCATCACCTTCGTCAACTACTCAAACGGCAAAACTAGTACAAATGCCACAAACATCAGCAGTGGCACAACCAGGAGGGACCCAAGCACATTTTTTACAACTACCAACGAATTTTCAGTCTTTTTCATCTTCTACATCAAATATTCAGCCTCCAGTACATCATACGCCAGTACATTATATGGCATCTGTACAACCATCGCTTACAGGATCGCTAAATTATCCTGCACAATTTAAAAATATAACATCTCAAGAACAATGGGGAGTAACAGATAGAAATCAAAGAAAACTATCAGGAATCGATGCATTACAATCACAATTAATGCCTCGAAAGGGAAAAGAAGGATTGTCGGCATTAAATTTACATACAAATACTCAATTAACATGGACTATGTATATTTATTTTTAAAATATATAATTTAATTAATAATGATAGAACAAAAGAAGAAAAACAAACATACGATAATATATTCAAGGTAATACACGTATAAAAACAGAAATTTATAGACTTAATTAAAGGCATGGAATGGTTATAAGACAGGCTTTATCGATGGACAGACAGCTGTTGAAATATTTACTCAAAGTGGCCTTTCAAAGAAAGATCTAGAATTAATATGGTAATAATAGTCCAATCATATAAACAATCTTTAATCCATCTAGGAATTTAGCTGACTCTGAAAATTCTGGCAAACTAAATATTGATGAATTTTCTATAGCTCTTCATTTAGTAAACAAATATGTTTTCTTTTTATTTAATAATTTAATTAGATATATCTCAAATTAAACGGCTATGAAATACCCTTAGAACTTCCACAAGAACTCATGTTACAATCATCAAAGAATTTCTCGGAATCAGTTAATCAAGTCAAATCACTTCTACGTGACTTTAATTCTCAGCAAAAGCAACCTGTTTCACCGAATGTTGGAGATTATGTAAAATCACCTCCATTTATCAATGATCCTTTCCAATTGTATCGTAAAGAAACATCAACATATAAATACAATGATAATAAAATAGGATATATTCCTGTTTCTCGTCGAAAAGAACCTTTAAAAGATTTTGATTCGTCTTTTATACATACAGCGCAAAAAGAAGAACCAACTGATCAATTAAACAAAAATATTAAAAATGAAGAAAGAAATTTAGATACAACTAATATTCAAGATGAAAAGCATGGATTAGAAATTAAAAACGAAATAAAACATCTCTATCGTCAAATTCGTCTTATACAAGAGGAAATTGATAATCATCCAGAATCATCATTATTATTATATGATTTAGAAAAGGAACATAAAACTCTTGTAGAAGAATTGCAAGATTTATCTGAAGAGCTTCCAAGTATTATTTCCAAAATTCGAAAAGTCGAGCAGGAAATTGCAGATGCAAAGATAGAGCTTTTTAAACTACGTGATGCTAAAAATCATCCTGATTCAACTGAAAAATTCAAAAATAGCAAAGTAGTCGATTCAAATAGAAGGGAAACAAAAACAGCAGTAATACTAAAAGCTCAAATGGCAATTCTTACAGGAAAATCAACATCATTGGAAGATAATGATTATGAAAAACGTTATACTGAAGCAATATTTCATATAAATAAAGAAAGACAATCCAATGAGAATACAATATCTAATATTGAAGAAAGCGCTGAACAGTTAAAAAACGATTTAAAATCTAAACTCAAAGATTTTCAGAATAGATTTTTACAAAATAATTATGAACGAAAAAAATGGAATAAAGGAATTGATGTTCAAAACGAAGTTAAAAAATTTATTCTTGATTTAGAAAAAATGCGCAAGCCTCAAGAAAAAAAAGATTTAGAGTATGTTCAATATCATATTTATATTTTTTTAATTTCAGCAGTTGTCTTAAAAAGGATCAATTCTTAAATAGTTCTACTTTTACGGAACAATCAAATGTTAATCCTTCAAAGACAAAATATTCCGAGTTTACATATAAAAATGATACTACAAGTTCCTTTGTTTCTATTGATAAAAATAGAGACAAAGCAGCATGGATTAAGGCAGAAGCAGAACGTCGTATGAATGAACGCCTAGCAGAAATGGGTATCGATCTCCATAAAAGATCATCAGGATCTAATAATCCTTTAACTATTGATAAAACACAAATAAATGATATAAAAGAAACAGAGAAAAAGGAGGAAAATAAAGACTTTGAAAAAGATAAAGATTCATTAGAGATTAATAAATTTAAAGAAATAGACCAGTATTATGTTCAACAAAATTCAATTAAAGAAAGTGCATTAGATCAGCAATCAGAAATGTTAAATCAAGCATTACAAAGAGAAAAAGAACTACTTGCAGAAAAAGAAGCACAAGAAGAACGTATTAAAAAACTTAAAGAAGCTATACAACTTAAGAACGTAGAAAAAGTATGTGAAATAAAAGGAAGAGATAAAAAACATGATTTATCTGAAAAGGAAAAAAAATTACGCAAATTAAAAGAAGAAATGGAAAACAAAAAGCAAGAAGAACTATTGCTTCAACGTAGACGAGCTGAAATGGAAGAAGAAATAAAAAAACTTTCTTTAGAAAATGAAAAATATGAAATAAAAGAAAACAAGGATAAATCAAAAGGTATAAAAAATAATTAAACATTCATCAAATTCAATTAATCTTTATAGCCGATTTAATACAACCGCAACATACATCCAGAACTAATCCATTTCTTCAATTTAGCATTTCAGAATCATTTACATCTTTAAATAAACCAAGTAATCCTTTTGCAAACATGCAAAGTCAAAACAAATCCAATTCTTCTATAGATACTTCATATACTGCATCAAGTGCACAACTTTATTCATCACCACCAATAGTACCAGTATTAAAAGCATCTCATTCTGATGGTCAAACAGATTCAAATAACTGGTCTACATCTCAATATACATATGAGAGCGATAGTAGTGATGATAGTGTCATTGCTAAAAAGAGTCCTGCTCAACTTGCATCTATTCTATTTGGAAATATGGAGGCTAACAAAAAATCTCCACAAACATCTAAAACCGATATATCCAAATTACCAGCAACTGATCTACATACTTCTCCTTCATCTTTACCACCTCCTCCTTTGCCTGCGAATATAAACTCATCTTCTGCTAACAGAAATGCATTACTAAACCAAATTCAAAAAGGCACTAAACTCAAAAAAACACCAACTATTCATCCACGTTCATCTAGTATCGTAGGAAAAGTATAACTCTCTATTACATACATATTAAAACAAACTAATCATAAACAGGTTCTATAGATATTTCTTATTAACTTTTCTTATATTCATTCTTGCTATGAATCTTTAACATTATTTCTTTCTTATGTATTTTTCTTTCAGAATAAACTAAAATATAATAAAATACAATGAAATGAGTAACAAATAAATACCTAAAACATTATTTTATGTTTTTTTTGTATCTTTAAAAACCGGCCGCTTATTAAAAAATATATAAAAAATGTCAAATATTCCTGAAAGATGGGAGTTATTACTACTTCCTGAAGGTGCAAAGAAAGTAACATTTGATATTGATCCAAAGGTCCCAAATGCAGCAAATATTACAGTATTAAATGAAGATCATACACTTGGAAATATGTTGAGAGAGTAATTTTTTTGAAAAAAAGTGATCAACATAGTATATTTATCTTTATAGACAATTGCTTCAAGATGAGAGGGTATTATTTGCAGGATATCGTGTTCCACATCCTATTTTAGAGCACAAATTTGTCCTTAGAGTTCAAACAGAAGAAGGTTATGAACCTAGAGATGCAGTAAGCAATGCAGGAAGAGACCTACTTTATCAACTTACACAGTTGCGCAATAACTTTGAACGTGAGTGGGAGCTAAAGAAGATGGCAGAAGAGTATATAGAATAAGTAAACCTGAAGAAAAATAAAGTATAAAACATTTTGGAGAAAAATATCTGTTTTGATAAGATATAATTTGCATCAGATTGGTTTGATTGTTGTATCCAACATGATTTTTAATTCAGTTAAACTCTCATTATTTTGAATGATTAAACCTTTTTCATTTGCCAAATGAAGTAGACATATAAAACAAAAACTAATGGAAATATCAGCCATTTCTTTTTCAGAATAAATATTCTTTAGCCCTTTTAAAATATCAGTAAATTTCCTTTCAGTTTTTTTAGGATCAGAATGTAAGATATGATTCTATAAATATTTTTTAGAAATAATAATAAAAAAAAAGTAAAAATACATTTTTTAAATTATCAAAATCCAATTCTTTCCAAATATGTTCCTTTAATTGTTTAACGTCTACCTTTTTAGCAGTTTTTGCATAATTTAATTGATCTGATTTAGGTTTAAAAGATGTAATAAATGAATTTAAAACTTCTATATCAGTCTTATGTTCATCATCATTAGGAATGATCTCTTCCTTTGCATCTGAAAAGTAATCATCATCATGAATATCGCCTGCTACACCGATATCTTGATCATTAAAAAAGCTTGCATCATAAGTTGGTTGGTCTAAATTCATAAAAATGTTAATAATCATATATATATATATTTAAAAAGTCCATTACCTTTCTTCTCTTCATTATCAACGCCAGTTTTAGCAGAAAATTTTGAAGTAATCTCTATATCTTCACGAGAATCTACATATTTTCCAAATATCTAATTTAATTTAACAAATTATCTCATAGAAAATACAATTCACAAACCTTTGATTTAGGCTTTGTAAAGAAACGTAAAAGTTGTTTTGAATTAAAATATATATCATCAGGCAAAAGATTTCGAGTTTTTGATATCCATTGTGTTTTAGGAAGATATATATTTGTCCCTCCAGGGGAAAATAAAGAATCAAAATCAATGGGTTTATCATCAAAAAAATCAATTAAGAAAGGCTCTTTTTTTTCCTTTTGTTTTTTTGGTTCTACAACATCTGCTTTTCCTATCATAAAATAAGTAAATAAAAATATTATAAAAAAATATTACCTTTATGCAATCTCTGAATTTTCCAATGCTCGGGTCCAACCCAATTCCTCTTTAAGGCTTGATCGAAATACTCAAAAATCTTATCATCTGTTTCATCCATTGTAATACTAAAATCATTTCCATTCCAGACTTTTAATGGATCTGATTTCTCATCATGATCCTCCAATTTATTTAAGACTGTGTCTTCACCCCAAACATTACATTGTTGCAAATCAGAAGAATTATCCTCAATAATCATAGGAAGTTGTTTATTATCAATATCATATTCATCTGCAGATCCATCTTCATCAGGTAAAACAGTGTCACTAATTAAAAAATTTCCATTTTCTTCATTAAAATCACTAACAATTTTTAATGAAGAAAAAGAAAAATCTCCACCAAAATTTAAATTCTTGAATGAGGGACATATTTCAATATTATCTAAATTAGACATAATAGACATAAATTTTTCTAAAATATCAGACTTTTAAATCACATAAAAAAACATACCTTGAAGACTACTTAAATCAATATCTTCAATATTCTCATTAGAAATTGAATCAATTTCATCTGGTATAGCATCATCTGTATCAAAAACAATTCTACCTTGACGGTCAATAAATAAATGATTTAACAACAATCCTTTTGCACCGCCTTCATCAAAATCTGCTGAAACTTTTTTAAAAAGTGGGTCAACAGAAAATTCCAAATCAAACTTTTTAATCTGTAATGCTGAAAAGTCCTTAACAAGCGTCGCCTCTGATCGCTAAAATCTAAATCATCCAATACATAATTAAACAAATACATACCTTATTTCTATTTTTCTTTTGCTTTTCAAATTCTGCATTCTCTGCATTCATATCATTATCACCATCCTCTTCCTGATCATCCTTATCAACTTTTAATGCTAAAATTAACCATTAACGCTATTATCAAATACAAAAAAAACATTTCTAAATACATTTTCCACACGTAAGACCACTCAAAAGCTTTCCTGTCTCTGTTGCTGCTGAATCAACTCTTGATGTATAAATTTTAACACATCCATCTAATGTACATGACGCTTTTTGAAAATTGATGCCATCTCCTTCCCTCAAAAACGTCATTTCATGAAAATAATCAATAAGTGCAAAATTCCAACTATTAGTTGCATTAATTTTCTGTATTTTTATCAACAATTTATATGGCTTCCATAATTATATATATACATTATCAGTAGCCATTTTCATCCATTCTTCAAAATTAGCAAGTATTGGAACTTTAGGAGCCGATGTAAACCCAGAAAATGAAATATCCGTATTATTTGTTGTATTTGGTGAATTCATTCTAGATTTCATTTGTTTATAAGGCGTTGATGGAGTAATAAGCATATTTCGATTCTTTTCATCATGTTCTGTGCGCTCTTTTCGACGCAACTGCTTCTCCTCAACATCATCATTTAATGGAACATGTTGTGCTGATGGAACTCTTGTTCTTTTAGATGATGACGATCCAAATTGATGTCTTGATAGTGCTCTTTTGTGCTGATTAACCATTTTTAACCGTTTTTTTTCGTTTAAACTGGTTTAAAATATAAATATAAACAAATATATGTTCATATAAATGAGTAGTGCCTTCTTTTATGTCTTTTTTACTCTTTTTTCAAGAGAATTGGCTCTTAATTTTATATATGTTCGATATATTAACTACGGTTAAAACCTTATAAATAATGATATTAAAGTATAAAAACAAAAGAATTAGAATATTCTCAATAAAATAAACTAAAACATCAATAATTATATAAAATTAATGACTAGAAATTAAAAAGAAATATATTATTAATTAACATTTTGTAATTCGTGAATTTTGTATAAAATTAAATTTGCTTATAAGAAAACATATCTTTATGAATTAAATTAGCTCTCGTATTTTTAAATGAAGCTTCTTTTGACCATTCAACAGTCCATCCATGATTAATATCATAAACAAGTTTTGGACATTTCATAAGTAGTCTTTGATAAATTCTTCTTCGAAATCTAGGTGTTATATAATGTGCATCAGTAAAACGAGGCATTGGCAAACGCTGTTTTCGAAACAAAGAGGAAGTAAGTCCAATTTTTTCACCTCTAGAAAATTGTTCTAATTTCTCGATCTCTTTTAAAGGCAATGGTGCAAAAATCTTTCGATAAATAAATGAAAAAGACTTCCATCGAATATTTGCTTCATGCTTTCGATTTAACATTTTATCTTCATTAGATTTATTACTTTCTAAACGTAATAACCAATCTGGATTCTGCGATTGAATAAGTGCTCGAAATTCAGCTGATATAACTGGATATTTCGTACGAGGAAGTCCTGGAATCGTCGCTTCTCCTCTCCTCAATGTTCCCAAAATAGGCTAAAAAAATATTCATGTTTTATTTTATTCAATGGGGAAAAATACACGCAAAAATTCATGTTTTCGTCTACCTCGTCGTCCGTATGTCAATTCCATTATCTTATCTAAACTCTTAAGATCTCCATAGGTCGCTTTGTTCAAACATATCAATGCCATTTTACCATCTCGAAACGCTTTCTTAATACGTACTGGATCCTTCAAATTCCGATTAACAATAAATCTCATTTTAATATAACTTTTCAAATACGTCCTATTCCTTTAATTATCCTTTTCATTCTTTATATTCATATTTACTTTATAGATTCTTCAAAAAAACTAATATAAATCAAAAGTTTTCGGTAAAGTAATGTTGCTGATCCCATTCTAAGACATAAACCCCTTATATTTAAGAAATATCGTATAATTAATAGAAAATTATTAACAAATTAATCTTTTTTATCCATTTATAACCTTATATTGCTTATCTTATTTTTCAGACGTTAATAGTTCTCTAATAAAGCTACGAGATCTAATAAATTCCAATAATTAATAAATTAAGATTTTTTCTTAAAAAAACAACCAAAATTCTTTTCAGATCCTTTCTATCTATAAAATTATATTTAAATTCTTGATTTATTTGTATAAATTACAGATAAATCTTTATTTAAAATTTTTAAACAAAAATTTTACCTTTAAAATAACTTTTCTATAAATAAAATATTATAAAAATATAAAATATTTAAAGAAATACTCAAAATTCTTCTATAAATCTATCATTCTTTTAATATACAAGTTTAAAAGTCACGTGAAAATCACGTGACCATTATAGATTAACAAAGAATATTAACAAATAATACAAAATAAATTAATTCAAAACAACATATAACCTTTTCTCCTATAAATATATTATATTTTTATTATAAAACAACCATTATCTTTCAATATTTACTCTATATCCTCACATAATACTGCCTTTTCTTATTCGTCGATTTCAGCCTTAAACGTGCGCTTAAAATATTAAATTTAAGATTTAAGAGTTTTATAGATTTAATTAAGAGCCTTTAAATATGTTTTATATATAAATATAGCCTTTTATATTTTATTATGTTTTTATTAGTTTTTTAAGTGATAAAAAACGGATATAAAGTGATTAATAAAGGGAAAATTAAGATATAAAATGATTGATAGAATAATTTGTTGGACATGGAAGACTCAGAGCCGTAATAGAGCAAATAAAGAAGTAAAGAAAGTAAAGGAAAAGAATAAGTATTGGAATTTATGGAAAAAAAGTCTTTTTGGCGATATAAAAAAAGAATCTAATAAAAATAATGGAAAACCATGGTTTGACCCTAAAGAAGTGACAGTAGTCTTTGTTCTTGGAAGACCAGGATCGGGTAAAGGGACACAATGTGCACAATTAGTTAGGGACTATGATTTTGTACATTTATCAGCAGGAGATTTGTTAAGACAAGAACAAGCACGTCCGGGATCAGGATATGCTAGTATGATTCAACAATCGATGCAAAATGGACAAATTGTTCCAATGGATGTAACAATTTCATTACTTAAAGATGAGATGATTCAATCAGTTACAAGAGGGAAAAAAAGGTTTTTGATCGATGGGTTTCCAAGGAAAATCGATCAAATGCAGGCATTTGAAAAAAATGTATTAAAACAAATTTTTTTTAGATGAAAGTTAAATAAATAGGTATGTCCATGTCAATTTACACTGGACTTTCACTGTTCAGAATCTATTTTAATTGAACGATTATTAGCAAGAGGACGACGAGATGATAATATCGATACGATTCAAAAACGATTTAAAACACATCAAGAATTAACAGTTCCAGTTCTTGAATATATGGAAAAACAAGGAAAACTAATACGGGTTGCATGTGAAAATAGCATTGAAAGTATGTTAAGTATAAGTATAAAATAATGACTAATAAGGAACAGATACATATCAAGAAACTTTAGATCAAATAGGACCTTTCTTAAAATCATTGCCATAAGAAAATAATTAAAGAATATTTTTATGATACAATTTATTAAGATATTTTTATACTTCTATTTCGACAGACGATGAAAGATAAGCTAATTCATCTTCATTTTCACTAACTTTTGTTTTATTCTGCTTAATTACTTTTAAAATCCCTTCTAAATTACTTTCCCAAGCATTCAATTTTGATTTTAAATCGATCCACTGTTCTTTACCCAAAACCCTATATGTATTTCGATGAATTAAAAAGGTCTTTGATAATTGAGACAATCTACCCTCTAAAAGACCTATACGAATTGTATCGATTACATACATTTCTACTTCAGAGATATCAATATTTAGTGCATTTGCTATCTCAGAATATGAAAGCACTCTTGAAGTAGAAGATGCAGCTAAAGAAACTAAAGTTAAATGGTGAATTTTCTTCGATGCAACATCTTGATCAAGTCCTATAACTAATTTAATAAAAATAAATTTAAAAATAAGAAATTTACCGCTATTTTCAACCCATTGTCGATGCGTATTAAGAAAAGAAAGATAATCCTTTAATGTTCCAACCATAAAAACCTCTAACAAATAAAAAGAAGGATCATTAATATTTTTGAGAAATTGTATAGCATCAATAGCTGCAATATCGTCGAATTGATATTGTTTTGGATGAGAAACTGACGAAATAATAGCTTGTCTTGCTAAATCACTAGCAGACGCCATTTCCGATGGAGAATATGTCCGTAAAGCTTTAATAATAAATTCTAATGAAATTCTAAAAATAAAAATTATATAAATCATCAATATTTCTTTTTTTTTTAAAAAAACTTACTGTTTATCATATTCTAAAGCATATCCCGATATAACAAGAAATAAATCCCTTTTTGCATTATTATCTACACCCCATTCTGTAAGCCATTCTGAAATATCTTTAATTTGAGATAAAATAAAATCAAATAGTTTTTGTTCATTTGCTACTCTAAGAATTACACAAAAAACATCATATTTCAAAATAGAATTCGATGGTAATGTATTAAAAAGTACTGATAATGTACTAAGAAAATATATCGGTCCATTTGGAAAATTTGGTATAACTAAATTAGATAATACTTTAGGAAGCAACCTTTCAATCGACGACGACTCCTGGATCAAATATATAAATAAATTCCATGCCGCTCTATAGTCTATCATACAAATAAACCCTTATTTTTCTATTTATTTTTATATATTTATATAAACCTTTTTCGCTACATCTTGACAACGCATGGCTCTCATTAACCAATATTTCAAGGCATAAATCTTTATTCTCTTCTACTGAAATACCTTCAAGTTCCGATAAGAGAGAGTCCTTTCCTGTATCCTCATTCAAAGTATCAATAAAACTTGCTATTTCTTCTAACTGTTCTCAAATCATCAATATCTATCCGTTTTTCACCGATCTTTTTGGAAAAATTACCTTATAAGCAAAACTACCTTCAACAATCAATGTACTAACTTCTCCCATGTCTAATTTAACCCGTATTTAAGCTTTTTTTTATGGAGGAATATCTCTTTAATTTTTTGGACGTTGGAGCCGGTTAAAACGTAGTATAAATCCATATCAGCTTTTGAACCTCCAAATAAATTAAAAAATAAAAAAAGTAAAAAAAGTAGTAAAATACGGGATTTTTAAAGGTATTTATTGATTTTTTTGAAATATTTTGATATTGTTTATATATATTATCTTTTTTTTAGAAAAAAAAGCATAAAATTTGCATAAAAAAAGATATATATTATCTATACTAGTGGTTTCAAGATAAAAGGTTATTTATATCGGATATTTTTGATAAAAAAACAAGTGAATTTCAATGTCTCTATTTCTTAGAAAGTAAGCTGTTTTTTTTTTAAGTTTAAAGCACAATTTTTGCAAGAAAAATGAGCAAAAATGATCAAGATTCTCAGAAAGAAAATAATATTGATAAAAAAGGTTTTCCAGTAGATTTAGAAGATATTTATTTAAATACGAGCAGGGAGTTTAGAAACACCTACATTAGAGTCTTGTAAGCAGTCAAAAATTTCAACGAATGGTGTTTCAAGAAAGAAAAATTATCACATTATATATGATCCAGAACTAATATCTAAAGAACATAGTAAGGGAAGGAAAGCGATATATCGATTTGATGGGGAGGCGGTAAAATAAAAAGCGTAGCAATTGAAAATCTTGATATATTTAGGATCCTCCATTAATTATTGAAGATCCACGTTTAAAAATACCCAAGTATGGAAAAGAGAAATCAAAAGGAAAAAAAACATGTATGTTAGTATTGAAAAAAGTAGAATTTGAGGTGAAAAAAGGAATATAATAAGTAATAGATCTAATTTTTTTAGTATGACGAGAATTCAATTGGGCCAGACCCACCAACTCAAATTCTTGTTTCTAATCTTTCTACTTTAACAACTAGTGATAACATAAGTATGCATTTTAAAACATTTGGCGATATACAAGAATTGGAGATTCAAGTAAATCCAATGACAGGTACATCATTGGGTTTATGTCGTATTCGTTATCGCAAAAATCAATCAAATAAACTTCAAGGTCATCATGCAGCAAAAAATGCAGTAGAAAAAGGGAATGGAATGAAATTAGGCACAAACGTTATTAAAGTAGAATATGATGAAAATGGTGTAAAATGCAAAGCAATTATTGAAGAACACATAAAGAAAGCATCTATAACAAACACGTCTTACTCATATAAATATCGAAATTCATATCCAGAGGAATCAACGAGATGGGAGGAAGAGTATAGAAATTCCGATTCAATGCATAGAAAGTCATTACGCGATTATCGACATTATGATCATTATTCCCCAAATAGAAATGATACTCGTACAAGTAACAAAGCTTATGGATATTCACAAAATTCATTAGGTTCATCAAGAGCATATAACAGTAATTCTCAAAATTCGAATGATAGTTTTGAAAAATCAGAGGAACATACTCATGAAACTACTATTTTTACGACTGCCGAAATTTTAAAGAAAATAAATAAGAGCCCATATATTTTTATAAATGAAAAATGTCTCCCATTCAGCAAATTTTCAATAAATGATCTTAAAAAACATTTAAATAAACACAATTGGACAGATATCTGTACTGATAAAAAGGGATTTTACATAATCTTCAAAGACAATCAATCAGCACAAAAATGTTTTGTAACAATGAATCAAACATCTATATATCAATACCGTATTACAATGGACTTCCATCGATATACTCCTACATCAATTGATCAAAATTCAAAATTTAAAAATTCGTTTCAACCTGTAGATAATGTGGCCGAAGCAACAAATATCATAATTAAAGAATTATCTCAAGTGTTTATGAAAGATTTAAAGACAAAAATAATTGGACCGTTACTTTATGAACTCCTTGATTCCTTTAGATTTTCATCAGAAATAAAGCATGAGAAGAATAATTTAGCCATTAGAATGAATAATATTAAATTAAATGAAACAGAATCAGGAAATCTAAATGATGATTCTATATCAAATACTAGCACAAAAACAAATGAATTTTATTCAAAAATAAATGGTCTTTCATTTGATGGCATATCAAAAAGATTTTCAGTACTTCCAAAATTTAAAAAAAGGACTTATGATAATTCATATGGAGGGGAATCTTTACGAGATTCTTTAAGACGATCAAAAAATGTTGATTCTAGACCTCTTCATCATCGTTTAAATGATTTTGCTAATTCTCATAATTCTGATTCAGATAACTCAGATTCAGATCATCAATTTCAAAGTTTGTCATTTTCTGATTCTGAAAAAGAAGACAGTGATATCAGCACAAGAGATTATAATAAAACTTCAAGAAAAGTAGCAAGTTCTAAGAAAAAAACAATAACAATACCTCGGTTAAGAGATTATACAAGCTCTGATGATGATATACCTACGACTGGTGAAGGAAACTTTTTGGAACAGTTTCATAAAAGAGATGGATTTAATAAAAGTAAGGAGAAATCTACAAGTTATGAAATTATATATAGTAATATTTTAGATGAGCAAGCAAAAGCAAAGAAAAATAAACGTCAAAATATCGATTTTACATCAAGTGAAGAATCTTCTTCAGAATATTTTAAAGAAGATATAGAAGATATTCAAAGTTCTGAAACTGAAGCTAATGAAAGTCAACTATCAGAATACGAAGAGAAACCAAAAAAGAAAAAGCATAAGAAAAAACCTTCAAACGATATTAAAAAAGTTAATAAAACTATTATAAGCAACGAAGATGTAAATTTAGATGAAAATTATCAAGTATCATATACTTCTACAAAGACATTACTACTAGATGATGATGTTGATATTCTTCTTGATATTTATGGAATCCAAAGCATAGTTAAAGACGAAGAAGATTTTACATTCTTATTAGAAGCATTAAAACCAGTTGAGTCTGCTAAAATTGATAACATTGAATTGTGGGCATGGGGGAAAAAGGAAATTAAAACTGGTAATGTAGATGGATATCCAGGTAACTTTCGAAAAATTAAATTTAAACACATATTCATAAGTATTATAGTAGTAACTAAGGTTTTTGAAGATAAAAAATATAATAGAATAAACAAATCCGGCTCAGCTAGAACAGAAGGCTATTTTACTATTACAGATGCTGAGAAATCACTATATCTCCCTTTAAGAAACAAAGCTATTATATCAAAAGATTCTTTAGTTACTTCTACTACTTCTAGAATGAATCGTATTAATAATCGCCGACTTGCTCTTGGAATTGAAATGCAAAAGAAAATTTCGAGTAGTGAAACAGATATTTTACGTTTTAATGCTTTAAAAGTGCGCAAGAAACAATTGAAGTTTTCTAAAAGCCCAATACATAATTGGGGATTATATGCAATGGAACATATAGATATGGGTGATATGGTTATTGAATACGTAGGTGAAATTGTTCGACAAACCGTTGCCGATATTAGAGAAAGGTAATATAAACAGATGTAAATAATATGGTGTTAATGGGATTATAGGCAGTATCAACGTCAAGGGATTGGATCTAGTTATTTATTTAGAATTGATGATGATACAGTTGTTGATGCAACTAAAAAAGGAAATATAGCAAGGTTTATTAATCATTCATGCGATGTTTGTTTTCATTTTTATTTATATATATGTTTCTAAGTAATATTTTAGCCATCATGTACAGCAAAAATTATTCGTGTAGAAGGAGAGAAAAAAATAGTCATTTATGCACACCGTGATATCGAAAAAGGTGAAGAAATAACTTATGGTATAATATAATTTAGTCTATTTTATTTTAATAATTGGCAGACTACAAATTCCCTATTGAAGACGTCAAAATTCCTTGTTTATGTGGAGCAAAAGTTTGTAGGGGAACGTTAAATTAAATTTATTCATTTAGATATACTATGAACTGGGTAGTCTTTAATAGCTAAAATGCATAAATCAACATATAAATACTAATTACATTTATAAATTATATTCATCTTCATATAAAGAGTAAAACTATGTTTGCTTAAATCTCAATAAATGCCTTTATTTCGAAACAATATAACCTTGTCTTGGTCGGGTATTTTAGTGGTTTTTGATTATAAATTTTCAGATAGATCTAAATAATCTTCTTCCAATATTGCCAGCAGCTATACAACTTGAAAAAAAAAATCCTAATATCCATGATCTAATACCAAATACTTCTTTTCCCATCAAATCCTCGTTCCTATTTAAATTGTTAAATATACTAACAATTAAAAAGGCAAATAACTTAAATATATCAGAAGTAAAAGATATAATTATAGTAAATAAAATAGACATTATACTTGAAAGAAAAAATCCAGTTTGTGCACGGTCAAAAATAAACCACATAGAAAAACCAATAAAAAATAAAAATAATGATGCTTTAACATCCAAAGCCCATGATAATTTCTACATATATATTAATCCTCATAAATAATAAAATAAAAAATTATACAGCAAATGCACAAACAATACCCATAAACGTACTAAAAATACGTATAATCTCAAAGATCTCTATATATTTCGACCTTGGAATCTCTATATAGCATGCTTTTTTTAACGTTTTTGTAAATCCAAATTTATACATTAAAAACTCTACAACTGGTGTCAAAAGACCAAAAAATACCATCCCAATACCGTATAAAATACGAAAATACGGAATATGAGAAATAATTTCAAATTTATATGGCGTTGTATTATTTTCTTTCGTTTGAATATGAAATATTAAACTATGACCTATCAATATCCCTTTTTTTCCAAAAAAAAACCACCGACATAGAAACAACATGTCCCCATACATATAGACATGTCATTTTGACAAGAAACATTAAAAATCTTTTAATAATTTGTGATAATTTACATGATTTTTTGCCTTTTTTTTCTTTATAAAAAACTTTAGGAGTTTCTGGTTCTTCTAAAAGTGATGAATATATAGAAAATAACGCTGATGATCCTTCTTTAATCCCATTCAAAGGGAAAAATGTATAACTTTTTTGTTTTACAAAAATCTCTGAAATACTACTAGATCCATCTTCTTTTAATATCTGGTTAGAACTTAAATTAAAGAACCCTCGGCTATTAAATGAATCATATGAATCCGATCTCTGGACTTGTTCCTGTATAAAAATATTCTCATTCATCTGCTTACCTTTAAATATATTAACTTTTAAAGGTTAAAGAAATTTGTTGTCGTCGATATCGATGTTCGAATGGTTACCATAACAACGTAAAAAAAATAAAAGGACGTATGAAAAAAAAAAGTTGTAAAAAAATACAAAATGAAGCTTTTAACAGGTAAGATATATAAGAAGAAGCATGAATATACTTATATTCTCGAAAACAGCGAATTTTTTGGTGGGATAGAAGTGAAATAAGAAAAAAAAGAAACTAATAAAAGAATATAGCAATGTGTAATTAAAAAGTGTCAATCAAGTGCCAAATCATATCCTCTTAGATTTGAAAATGCTCATATTGTTCAAAAAACATTAGAATTTAACCCGGAATTTCTTTTAAATATAATTTCTCGAGTGGGTAAAAAAAGTCATTTTTAAAGAAAAATAATGAATTATTAAAGACTGGAAAGCGTTTATTTTAACATTAGAAGAACTGGTAAAAAAGAGGAAAAAAGGAATTTAATATTAATATAAAAAAAAGTTTGGAAAAGTGACCGTTCCATATGAAAAACCAGAACTTACGATGGAAGAAGTAGATTTATTACAAGAATTACATAAATTACTTATTGAAGTTGAAAATTTTATTTAAAAAGTAGTACTAAATATAATAGACACAAGTAATGGAAGGAAATCTTATTTGTCGTAATTGTAATCATGTTTATCCTATAAAACAAGGGATTCCGAATTTTCTTTTAAGTGAATATGAAATATAAATGATTATATATCATTTAAAAGTAAAAAAAGTATGAAATATTATTTTGAATGAAAAAAATAAAACATTTTTATTATATAGATAATATTCAAAAAAAAGTTAAATATGAGTATAAATAATTTTAAATAAATAATTCTGGTCAAAATACATTGATAATTTGACTAATATTTAAAGCGTTCATATCATATTCTTTTTTATATTAAAATTATTTATAGATAGACTTTTATTATAGTATATACCGGAAACGGTACAAAAAATTAATAAGATTAAGAAAAGCAGTAGAAAAATATGTATGTAAAACATAAACAAAAGGAGCTTTTAGGTTAAAAAGATAATAGGAATTCTATTATATCATCAGCTCAATTAACAGCTTCAAAATTTACACAATGGTTGAAATCACCGGATTTTACGAAATATTTGTGTAGTACACATTTTTGGGGACCAGTAAATTATTTTCAAGAAAAAATAAATGAAATATGATATATAACTAGGTATCTAATTTTGGAATACCTTTAGCAGCAGTTACAGATTTAAAAAAAGATCCAGAAATCATTTCTGGAAAAATGACACTAGGTATTTAATAAAAAAGATATTTATTTATTTAAATAATCTAATATATGAAAAGCGTTAATTATATATTCAGCAACATTTGCTCGTTATGCTTGGGTTTTATTATTTTTTTTTTGATTTAATAATATACTTATTTTTATCGTAGATGGTTAATCCTCGTAACTATTTGCTTCTTGGATGTCATATTGTTAATGAAACAGCACAAATTGCTCAAGGTGTTCGATGGTTAAGTATAAAATAATATTTTTTTATTAAATTTTTTGGTATAATTATTTTTTAGAATATCATAAATTTACACCTTCAAATAACTCAATTGATCATAAAAAACAATAGGTTATTCAATAGAATATTCTTTCTTTGATAAAATTTTAATTTTTTAAAATATGTTTACATTTTAGAATTTATTATTGATAGATATCACTTGTACTATTTCTTTTCTATTTAAATTTATTTCTATAAATAATATACATAATATATATATTATATATAAATAATACATATATATATTGTCTATATATAATACTTTTTTGCTCTAAAAAGCTTCTTTAAATCATTTCTTTACTTGTTTCTTTACTACCTCGTTGTCACGACAACGATGTTTCTATGACAACAAGGTTTCCATGACAACCCGATATAACATTGACGTACGTGGAGAGAATTCAACGTCAGAAAATTAAAAGCTGCAAAAACCCCCCATATTTATAGCAGAATTATGCGCCTTATTTCAATTAAATGAACGATTTTAAAACAAATTATCAAGAAAACATACAAAAGAGCTCAAGTTTCCTTTTTTCCCCGGAAGAAGAGGCTAAAGAACAGTGTTTATTATCATATACACCTAAAGAAAAAATGTAAGTTATAATTAAGGAAGAAGATAAGATTAATATATATAGAGGATATCATTCATCTCTTAAGGGCAGATTTTTAAAAAAAAAAGAAGGAGAAGCGCTTTTACGTCAAGATATTCAGTATGCATTTTTAAATTTAGTGGTAAACAATGATAAGGCAGTTTTTACGTTACCTCAAGGCACAGTAAATAAAAAAGTAACATTTGGAGAGCTTTATGTAGAATATATTCGAAGATCTCCAAAAGCATCGAAGGTTTTAAGAGAAAAATTGGAAAATGATAAAATGCATGCAATGGCACTTGTTATGATAGCTTTATTGGTTAATATTGGACGTATAAATACGACACTTGTTTGTAAGAAAAGAGAGAAATCATTTTTTTTGTATTTGACAAGATAAGTTACGCATACACAAACAAGAACATATAATCCAGTACCATCGCTTCAAGCATATTCAAATGATAAGGTTAAAGTGCTTCAAGATGCGCCAAGATTAAAAGGAATTCTTAAATTTTATAGCGAGGATTTGCCGGAACATTTAGCATGGCAATCTCTACTTAATGCACAGAAATCTCAGTTACGGCCATGCACGAATCCCATTAATCTTATTTTTATTTTTGTTTTATGTTCTTCAAGAATATCAAATCTTCATTTTGATCCATCATTTGAGTTTATAGATTTGTTTATTAAGCCAACTTTTTCTAGCGAATCAAGAGCTAGAGCATTTCTTTGGTTGTGTTGGCATTATTTAGAAACAGATGGCAGTTCAGAAGTGGCAACAAGGAATCCATTTAATTATGGATATAATGAAAATCCTTTAAGTGCACCTGCTTTAAAGAGTATAACAGAAGAAGAAGCAGCAGAAGAAAATGTTGATACTCCTACAGAATTAGAATATGCAGTTAAAATGGCAGAAGAAAGAAAAAGTTAGATAGAATATTCTTTAAAGTTTCATTTTATTGATGTGTATGTTTTAGAATATCTTCAAGAAAGTGAAACTCTAAGGAACAATTCTCAAGATATGATGAATTTTCGAAGAAAAAGTAGAACAAGGAAAACACACAAAAAAGATGATGCTGATTCTTCACCTGAGTTCTCGAAATTCTCAAGCATTGAAAACCAGGATGAAAATTTTGAAAATACAGCACGAGATAATTTATATAAAAGTATATATTATTAATAAAGATGCAAAAGTTATTTATATCTATATAGAACAATATAAATCATCAGATGGAGCAAAAAAGAGAAAAGTAGATGATGCTTTTTATAATTCTATAGACGAAGAGAAAAATCATGTTCCATTTTCATATCAACAAACTAATTCTAACACAGATGTTATAGAAAAACAGAAATATCAACCAAAAAAGACTATAAAAAAACAATTTATAAAAAATTCAAGCAAAAATAATAGTAAAAAAAGGAGAAGGGATGCTATTCAAAGAGGTTTCTTACATTTTTTTCCATTTTTTTTTTTCTAATAGCCAAACTAGAATGGAAAAAATATGAATCCTTTTCTCCATTAGAAGATTCTAACGAAGAAAATGATGCAGATCAGGATGAATATGCCATTGTTCTCTTGGCTTCTCTTAACCGTGCATATCGTCGAGCCACAAAACATATTAACCAAAAACGTTTTTTTTCTGGAAAAAAAGCTTTTGATTGGAACTTATCACAAATTGATGTTTTAAAAGAATCAAAAAACGAAGAACATAAAATATCTATACAACAACCTGTATCTGAACATACCCAAGTTGGAGGTAAAACTCTTCCAAATCTTATAAGAATGGGATATTCTTTTTAATTCAATTCATATAAAATATTAACAAAATAGAAATATATATATAAATAATAAAAGGTACTTGTTTCTCTAGATTATATATATTTTTTTCAATTATTTAACTAATTTTATAGATCTTTATTCAAGAAAATTTAAATTAACGATATCAAAAAATAAAGTGATATTTTCTATGATTGGCGCTCACAAAGCATCATCTCATACGTTTGAAGATGTAAAACATATAAGGAAATCACTTTTAGCTTGGTACAGATCAAATGCTCGTATACTTCCTTGGAGAAAACCTTATGTTAACCCTCCAACTATATCTATGTCTAGTAAAGAACGCACAATTTCGCTTCAAAGAGCATATGAAGTCTTAGTATCGGAAATGATGTTACAGCAAACACAGGTAGTAACTGTTGTTCCATATTTTGAACGCTGGATGAAGAAATTTCCTACATGGGACGTCTTAGAAACAGCAGATCTAGAAGAAGTTCAAAATATATGGGCAGGATTAGGATATTACGCACGAGCACGACGTATGAAAGAGGCAGCAATGTATTTTATGGAATTGGAAAGACGATCAGAAACAATTCCAACAGATGTTGCAACTTGGGTTAAAAATGTTCCAGGTTGTGGTGAATATACAGCAGGAGCAGTTTTATCAGTAGCATGGAATATACGATGTCCTATAGTAGATGGAAATGTTATACGTGTCTTAACACGTTTACGTGCAGTTGGAGCGGATTGTCATAAAGGTATAGGCAAAAAATGGGTTTGGGATTCGGCGGATCAATTGGTAGATAATGAGTATCCTGGAGACTTTAATCAGGCACTAATGGAACTTGGTGCAACGGTATGTACACCTGTTAATCCAAATTGTGATATATGTCCTTTAAATATGGATTGTTTAGCTTTAAAAGAGGCAAAAAATGTTTTAAAGAAAAACATTATTAATAGTAATAATGAAGAACATGGTAATTTTGTTGAAAATAAAAAGGTAATATTTGACATAATTTATATAGATTGTAATTTATGCCCTATTGAAGAACTTGGACAGTTTATTTCAATAAAAACATATATCAGCTCAAAATATCCAAGAAAAGCAATAAAAAAAAAGACAAAACTTCAAGGTAAGTCTCCTTTTATATAAAATTATTATTATTAAGTTTCTAGAAAATATAGTTTTTGTATTTTTAAGAGAAAAAAATATGTTAAAAGAATATTATTTAGAAAAAAGACCTCCCAAGGGTCTATTAGCAGGACTTTGGGACTTTAAAACATTGCCCATTGATATAGAACAAAAATATGAAATACAGGATGCAGAAAACCATGCAAAAACAATAGTATCTGGTGATATTATTGGAGTATGGAAAAAAGGTGATACGTTACATCAATTCACGCACATTAGACAAATTTCATATGTTTATCTTGTAGTGATAGATATTAATGCAGAGATTCGTGGTAAAGGCACTTGGATGACAGAAGAAATTATGAAAAACCAAAGTATACCAGAATTAACATGGAAAAATTTCAGACAAGCTGCAAATAATGAGAAAAAAATCCCAAATAAAACTAAGAAAACAAACAAGAGATTAAAAGTCAATGATGGTAAATGGAAACAAACATCCCTCTCTTTTTAAAGTAAATATGCAAATCTAATATATTATTTATATATAACACGGGTTTTTTTGGCTTCGACTATTCCAGTTAATATTTTGTATAGCAACTTCCATAGATATCTTAATTTTTGAGAATATTGACTTGATCATTCCGATTCGTTTATATTTGTCGCTTCGCATATAATTTATACTTGATCCAGATGATATATAATCTATTCATAAAAATATTAGGAAAATAAATTATCAAAAATAAAAATATAAAAACCATTGGATGTTATAGGAAGAACATTATCTCCTGCTGGTAAAGAAACAAATAATGAAAATGGTATAAGCCAGATACAAATAGCAAAAAATGATGCGATTTGACCAAGTGTATAATCCTTAGTATCTTTCTTATGTGTATATACAAAAGGATAGGTTAATAATAAACTGAAATACGATCTAAAATGCCAAATCCATAATAAATGGTTTAAAACTGTAAAAACTATAGAAATAATAATTTAAAAAAAATATTATAAATAAAATATATACTTATAGCCGTTATAAATTGATATGAAGATACAGAAATACATGGAAATGACCGTAGATTTATAAAATAAATAATATGTGATAAAATAGAAAATATTATAGAAAAAAATGGAAATCCATCAACAATAAGAAGAATTAAGTGCAGAAAAATAACAATCTATAATTAATAAGACCTATCTTTTCAATTATACCATGATTTCCTACATAAATTAGGCGTTTTAATATTCTCTTAAAAAACTCTGCATATTCTTCTATAAACTCTGATAAATAATATAGTCCACATGCTAAATAAAATTCAATTAATATACAGCAGATAAAACACCAATAATATTAACCAATACAAATAGTTAGAAATATAAATCCAGCTATAAATCCAAAATATGATAAAAAAACCAACCCATACATATTATATATAAATATTGACGAAGTAGTATAAACGAAAATATTAGGAAGCAGCTTTAAATCAAATATAAATAGAAAAATAAATGAAGAAGTACCTAAATTATTATAGTTTATAAGATAATTTAGATATTTTTTTGTAAAGATATTGAATATTATTTATAAAATTATGATATATATTATTTATAAAAAATATGTATAATAAAAGAAATATGGTAATAATAGAAAGGACTATATGTCGTCTAATGTTTGACCGCTTTGAATTTTGCCCCAACCTATTAATCTCCAATGTTTTTCAATTCTTCTGGAAAGAGCAACTTTTTCACCAACTTCAGTACATGCAGGAGAGGTTAAAATAAGCTTTGCTAAATCCTAATTATTAATTTATGATTAATAATTTATAAAAAAAAGAAAAGAAAATTTCTTACAGCTTTAACAGAAACGACTCTACCTCCGGTAGAAGTAGAACCGATATTTACCATAAGAACTTCATTTTTTGCTAGTTTTTGAACTTTAGCTTGTTTTTTATCAAGAGTTTTAACACCAAGTAAACGACGAAGTAAAAAATAATTGATTTCAATGGCAATGAAAACAGCAGGCAATCTACCTTTTAAACCAAGAACTTGTCCAACCAAACGATCACCACGACAAAGTGTAGGATCTACATGTGTTCCAACACCTAATCTATATTAATTTGTTTTTTTGGGGGGGAAAAAGAAAGATACCAATTAAACCACCAGGAACAGCAAACTTTAAATCGTTATGTTCAGCAAAAAGTGAAACTATTCTTGATAAAATAGGCTTACAATGAAATTTGCCCTCAGAATCTTTAGTTACGATTCCTGGTCTAATTTCTATTTCATCACCAAGACGCAGAATACCTGCTAAAATACCGCCACCAGCAACACCACCTTTTAATTCATCTACTTCTGCACCTGGCTTATTTACATCAAACGATCGAATTACAATAAGTCTTGGATCACATGAATAATTTCGCATTGGTACTGGAATACGCTTGACAATATATTCGAGAATTGCATCAATATTATATTTAAGTTGAGCAGAAATAGGAACCACAGGCGCAGAATCAGCAATTGTGCCTAATAATATTTATTATAAAGTAATAATATTTTTCGTAAATCCTCAACCTTTAATAAATTTAAGAATACTATTGTAATGTTCTTCTGCTGCTTCTTCTCTCATCAAATCTACTTTGTTTTGTAATATAATAATATGTTGAAGTTTCATAATTTCAATAGCCGCAAGATGTTCGCTTGTTTGCGGCTGCGGGCAACTCTCATTTCCCGCAATCAAGAGTAAAGCTGCGTCCATTACTGCTGCACCATTCAACATTGTTGCCTAATTTTTTCTATCAACTAAGTAAAGCTATTTTATAAAAAAAAACCATTAAAATATCATGCCCGGGACAATCTACAAATGAAACATGACGTATTAAATTCATTTTACTACCACAACCCGGCCGTTCACATATCACATTCTCTTTAATATCACTTCCGTATGACTTATAACATCCAGGACGTGGACATGATTCACTAGAGCATTTATAAATCTAAAAAAAGCCATTAAACCAAATGCCATCCAAATATAAATCATTCTTATGCCTTTGCATTTGCATAACCCAGCTTAATTGTAATATTTCTTTCCAATTCATTTTTATATCTAAAAAAAACATTTATATGGCTATTTAAACATCTAAAAAAATCCACCTCACTGTTAAAACACCTGATATCGCTTTTACTACAGTAGACTAGATATTTAACTCTTATTATACCAGCTTTACGTCTTTCTTTACCTTTCCATGAGCAACATGTCCTAAACATATAAAATAAGCAATAAATTCATAGAAAAATGCCTAATTTCAATGCTGAAAAAGACCTACCAATTGTACCAATATTTATTGTTGCCTGCCGTGCAATTACCTCAGGAGAACATGGATGAAGAGTCGATGGATCAACAATAACTTCTTGGCACTGATCCGAAGACATTCTTTTGCTGAAAAACAACGTTCATAACCAAGCAAAGAATATTATCTGCTTCCTAAACTATTTAATAATAATTAACAAAGCTTTTCAGAGGGGCAAATTCTCTTATATACGTTAAAGTGCCAAAAGCTCCAAGTACAGATTTTTTTTGGGTTGAGAAAAATTCTGGTAGAGACCTTAAAAAAAAAAATAAAAATATATAAAATATAATTTTTATATATCCTTTAAATTTTATTGATGAACTGGATTATCGGTTTCAATAGACTGATCTGAAATATAAGACTTGATAGCGAGCGATGACGAGAGGTTTTAAATGAAGAAGAAAAATAAAGCAATAAATCGGGATAATATGATTAACCAGGAGGTCTAAATCCAGGCATGAGTTGTCCAGGTGGAAAAGTGGGTGGAGTGAATCCCTAATAATGATTAATCAAAGAAATATAACCATATCTATTGATATGGTTAAGAAATTAAAATGAAACCTGAGAAGGAATAGGCATTCCTGTAGCAGAAAATCCAGGAGGCCTAAAAACAGGAGGAGCAGCTACTCCGGTTCCAAGACCACGTACAGGCCCAGTTAAACCTGTAATAAAAAAGAAATATCAACAAAAATTAAAGAAAAAAAAAAGAAAAAGATCACCTGCTGGAGCAGCAGCCGGAGCATTACCCACAGGAAGACCTCTCCCTTAAAATTAAATGTTAAATAATGACAAATATGTATAAATTAATATTTTTTTTAAAAATACCTGCAGGATAACCAACACCAGGACCTGGTTGTAAAGTTCCAAGACGAGTTGAAATATCAGCAGGAGGTGGCCCTTCAACTGATAATGAAACAATAAATTCCCCACGAACAATTATAAGCCCAAGAGTTCGTTTTTCTTCAACTTCTGTCTCTTCTTTCGCCATTTTAGTTATCTTACGCTTAACACAACGAAATTCCTCGCAATCCGCCAAAACCATATTCATATGCTTATCTAATTCATCTCATTAATCCTTTCAAAATACTTCCCTATCTTTTTATATACCAAATGCAAGCATCTGTCCTACCAATTGTCTTGAATCACCCAAAACAACTCGAAGACGATAATTAATAAGGCTGATCTAATAAAATAACTATGATTTCACTCTTTCTATCTTCATAAACACACCATTTTACTACCCCTAACAGCTGTTGCCTAAATACCATTAAAATATGACCTTTAAAAAATAAAAATCATATTAAAAATATGCACCATCTTTAAATATCAAGGATTTATCAATATTCACTATTTTTATCCAAAAATATTAACTTGATCAATTTTAAATACTTTAAATCTTAGCTTGTTAGTCGTCTTTTTTCAAATAAAAAAAACACCTACCTATTCAAATATAAATATCCTTATAATTTTTTATATATATTCCTTGTTTTTCTAGCAGAAATACCTTCTTTTTAGCTTCTTTTAATTTGAATATATTTTTGCCAGGTCCGAGTCGGTCTCCGGGGCTCAATCTACAGACTCTAAAATCTTTAGTTGCATACAAAGCGCATATATAACGCATATATAACGCATTCATAACGCATATAAAGCATATACGGCCTTAAATATTGATAAGAAGAATACTGGCATATTAAGTTTAATATAAATACACTGAAAATTATAATATCCATATTAGTGTTTAATATTGTGTCGGCATATTGGCCTATAACATATATAAATTGGAGAAGAAGAGCATATAATACGCATATAATACGCATACAATAAGGAAATATGACGGGTTTACCAATAAGATTCCAGGAACATATTCAGGTAGTGTTTTTTCAGCATGAAAATTGACTAATTTCTATAGCTTACAACACTTGGTATTCAAAAGGCCTCTATTAGCTTTACTACATTGACATTGCAGAGTGAGAAGGGCATATGGTGGGTTATTTTTGGGTATAATATGGGATTAATTCTTTTCAGTATTTGTGAATCAATAGATGGACGCCGTGAGGTTGTAATTATTGATTTATCAAATCCATCGGCTCTTATGAGGCGTCCAATTAGTGCAGAAGCAGCAATTCTTCATCCTACACAAAATATTATTGCACTTCGTGCGGAAAAACAGCTGCAGATTTTTCATCTTGAACTTAAAACTAAATTAAAAGCATATGTTATGGAAGAGGAAGTTCAATTTTGGACATGGGCGAATGAACAAATGATTGGACTTGTAACAAAGTCTAGTGTATACCATTGGCCGCTTCAGCCAGATACACAACCGATTAAGGTATTTGAACGACATACATCTATGGCAGATACACAAATAATCAATTATCATATAAATAAGAATGAGAAATGGTCAGTATTAATAGGAATTTCGTCTAGGGAAGGGAGGATAGTAGGAAGTATGCAGTTATTTTCAAAAGAAAGGAATATTAGTCAATTTATTGAGGGACATGCAGCAGCTTTTGCGACATTAAAAACTGAAGAAGGATTGCCAGAGTATAAATTATTTGTATTTGCAGTAAGGACATCAGTAGCATCAAAAGTAATTTTTCAATAATTTTGAGGAATATATATTAAGTATTTTAGCTTCATATTGCAGAGATCGATCATCAACCAGGAAATCCAGCGTTTCAAAAGAAAAATATAGATATATTTTTCCCGCCAGAAGCGGTTAATGACTTTCCAGTAGCTATACAAATATCTCGGAAATATTCTGTTATTTATCTTGTGACAAAATATGGATTTATTCATATTTATGATCTTGAAATGGGAACATGTATATATATGAATAGGATATCAAGTGAAACGATTTTTGTTACAACGGAATATGAAAATGGAAATAGTCTTTTGGGAATCAATCGAAAGGGGCAGGTTTTAAGTGTATCAATTGATGAATCAAATATTATTCCGTACATTTTAAATAATCTTAATGATATTTCATTGGCAATTAAGATGGCAACTCGAGGAAATTTACCTGGGGCAGAAGATCTTTATAAACAACAGTTTGATAACTTATTTTCAGCAGGAAATTATCAAGATGCAGCAAAACTTGCTGCTAATTCTCCATTGGTGATATATTTCTTAATATAAAAGAATATAAATTAATTTTTATTAAGGGATTTTTGAGAACGCCGCAAACAATTGAACAATTTAAGCGGATTTCTGTTGAACCAGGTCAACTTTCACCAATTATGCAATATTTTGGAATTCTTTTAGATAAAGGAAGTCTTAATAATTATGAGACTATAGAACTTATTAAACCTGTTCTTGCACAAAATCGAGAAAATCTACTTGAAAAGTGGCTTCAGGAAAATAAATTAGAATGCTCTGAAGAGTTGGGTGATATTGTACGACCACATAATATAAAAACTGCTTTAAGTATTTATGTTAAAGGAAATGTTCCTTCAAAAGTTGTACAATGTCTTATAGATATCGGGCAGTTTGAAAAAATTGTTCCATATATTAATAAAGTTGGGTATTCTGCGAATTATGGCGCCATATTTCAGCAAATAATCCAGATAAATATTGAAAAAGGAATCGAATTTGCTACTCAAATAGCAAATTCTAAAAATATTACATCAGCAGATATTGAGAAAATAACTGATATCTTTTTATCTAGAAATATGATTCAACAAGCTACCGCATTTTTATTAGACGCTTTAAAAGATAACGAGCCAGAACATGGACATTTACAAACTCGCCTTTTAGAAACCAACCTTATAAATGCTCCTCAGGTTGCTGATGCCATTCTTGGTAATGAAATGTTTTCATATTATGATAAATCAATTATTGCAACACTGTGTGAAAAAGCAGGACTTTATCAACGAGTATATACATAATTTTTATGAATATTAATGAACCATATTTTAGGCATTAGAACATTATGATCAGATTAATGATATCAAAAGAGTTATACGTAATATTCATGATATAAATCCAGAATGGCTTATAAATTATTTTAAAAAGATTGATACTGAAGTATCATTTGAATACCTTGGAGAATTACTTAATATTAATAATAAACAAAGTTTTCAAATTGTTTTACAAATTTGTATCAAATATTCAGACAAACTTGGACCATCTCGTATAATTAATCTTTTTGAGCAACATAAAATAGAAGAAGGATTATATTATTATCTTGGAAGTATAATAAATACAACTGAATCACCGGATGTTGTTTTTAAATATATACAAATAGCTTGTCAGATTGGTCAATTAAAAGAAGTTGAAAGAATTTGTCGAGAAAATAATCATTTAAATGGGGAAAAAGTAAAAAATTTTCTTAAAGAAGCAAAACTTCCTGATCAACTTCCTCTTATTATTATTTGTGATCGTTTTAATTTTATATATGATCTTATTCTATATTTATATCAAAATCGCTACTTTAAATCTATTGAGACTTATGTTCAAAAGATAAATCCATCGCGTGCTCCTGCTATTATCGGTGGATTACTTGATGTCGATTGTGAAGAGCAATTTATTACAAATCTTTTATCTACTGTTTCGAATCAAATATCTATAGATGAACTTATAGAAGAAGTGGAAAAGCGAAATAGATTAAAGATGTTGCATCCATTTTTGGAGTCTGCTTTTGAAATGGGCAATCAAAATCCTTCTATATTTAATGCTCTTGCAAAAATTTATATTGACACTAATAATTATCCTAATAAATTTCTCCAAGAAAACAATTTATACGATACTCTTGTTATTGGTAAATACTGTGAAAAAAGAGATCCGTATTTGGCTTTTCTTGCTTATAAAAAAGGACAAAATGATTACGAATTAATTCGTACAACATCTGAAAATTCAATGTTTAAAGAGCAAGCAAGATATTTACTTCGAAGAAAGAATGAAACATTATGGAATTATGTTTTAAATAATAATAATTCATATAGACAATCTCTTATAGACCAGGCAATTCTACATTATAATATCTTAATTTTATTAATAGTATTAGGTTATTTCTATCGCTGTTCCAGAATCAAATAGCCCTGAAGAAGTTTCAATTGTTGTTAAGTCATTCATGAATGCCGGATTATCATCAGAATTAGTAGACCTTCTCGAGAAAATTATCTTGGAACCTACTATATTTAGTGATAATCAAAATCTTCAAAATTTACTTATTCTTACAGCTATTAAAGCGGACAAAACTCGTGTTAACGATTATATAAATAAGCTTAAAAACTATGATGTTAATGATGTTGCTGCAATTATATTAGAAAATCATTTATATGAAGAAGCGTTTGAAATTTATAAAAAACACAAAAATCATATTGAAGCAGTGAATGTTCTTATTGAGCATATTGTGAGCATTGATAGAGCAGCTGAATATGCCGAAAGTGTAGATATAAAGGAAATATGGAGCAAGCTTGCAAAAGCTCAGTTAGATGGATATCGAATAAAAGATTCTATCAGTATATTTCTGAAATTATTTTATGATTCTTTTTAATTAATATAGATTCATATATAAAAGCATCTGATCCAGATAATTTCCATGAAGTTATAGAAGTTGCTTCAAAGGCGGAAAAATATAATGATTTAATTCGATATTTAGAAATGGCACGCCAAAATATTAGAGAATCTGTTATTGATACTGAATTGCTTTTTTCTTATGCACATGTCAAACGTATTAATGCAGTGGAATACATGTTACAAGGAGCCAATTCTGCTGATGTAAATATTTAATAACGTTAATAATTTTTATTACTAATAATTAATAGATCTTAAGTGTTGGAAATAGATGTTATAATGAAGGCAATTATCAAGCAGCAAAGCTTATGTTTTCGAGTATTTCAAATTGGGCAAGATTGGCTTCAACGTTAGTATATTTAGGGGAATATCAAAATGCTATAGATTGTGCTAGGAAAGCAAATAGTATTAAGTATAAAATAATCTATAAATCAAAGATATAACTAATTTTTAATAGAGTTTGGAAGCATGTTAATGATGCATGTATTGAGCAGAAAGAATTTAGACTTGCACAAATATGTGGTTTAAATTTAATCATTCATGCAGATGAAATGCACGATGTTATTGCAAAATATGAGCGTAAAGGATATTTTGATGAGATTATTTCACTTCTGGAAGTAGGATTGAGCTTAGAAAGAGCTACAAGAAATTTGTTTACAGAATTGGCAATTCTTTATGTTAAATATCGCCCAGATGCTGTATTAGAACATCTGAAATTATTTTGGAGTCGTCTACATATTCCAAAAGTTGTTAAAATATGTGAAGAAGTTCATCTTTGGTCTGAAGCAGCCTTTCTTTATATGCATTATGACGAATATGGTATTATTTTTTTATATTACATATATATATATATCATAATAATAATAACTTTCAGATAATTCGGCCCTCATAATGATAGAACATTCACATTCATGGAATCATGATATATTCAAGGATGTTTTAGTAAGAATATATTAAAATTTTGAAATTAATTAACAATTATAGATAAAAGTTTCAAATACTGAAATAATTTACAAGGCTTTAGAATTTTATTACGAACAACAACCTTTACTCCTTGCTGACTTACTTTCAGTAGTTATTTCGCGTGTTGATCATTCCAGAGTTGTTAAAATGTTTGAAAAACTAAATTCTATTCCAATAATAGCAAATTATCTTAGGAATGTACAGCCTAAAAATATAGAAGCAGTAAATAATGCGATTAACAATATGTTTATCGAAGAGGAGGATTATAAGTCATTAAAAGATTCTATAGATAATTTTGATAAATTCGATCCCATAAAATTAGCAAAACAACTTGAAAAGCACGAGCTCTTGGAATTTAGAAGGATTTCTGCATATTTATTTAGGGTACTTTCTTTTTTTTATAAAGATAAATTAACTTTTTTAGAAAAATAAGAAATGGAAACATTCAATAGATTTATCAATTGCAGATAAATTTTATTCTGATGCAATTGAAACTGCAAGTCAAAGTAAAGAAACAGATATTATAAAGGATTTATTAAAATACTTCCAAGATATCGGTGCAAATGTTTTTATTTCCTTTTTTTTACTTTAACATTTCTAATTATTTTTAAGGATTGTTTTATTGCCATGCTTTATGCTGGTTATGACTTATTACCTGCTCATTATGTTTTAGAACTTACTTGGAGAAGTGGTCTTATAAATATTACAATGCCTTTTTTTATTAATTTTATATACGAGCAAGATCAAAAGGTAAATTAATAAAACTATATCATTAAATTATTAACTATCTATCTATTCATTTAGATAAAAAATTTACAAAAAGTCATTGAGAAATTCGAACTTAATAATTCTAATTTCAAAAACGACTTAACTCTTACTACTGGTCTTTCTAATCGTCTTATTCTTGACGCTCCAGACCATAATCTACAGCAATCTTCCGATTTGGGCAGTTTTTAATTAATTTTATACATTATTTCATGTTATAAAAATTATTTAAAAACATTCAAATTTTATTAAAAAAAAAATCAAGTTTTAATCAAATACTAAAAATCATTCATTTGGATATCTTAAACAAGTTTTTTTGAAAAAAGGCTTTTTTCTAGGAAAAATAGTCACATCTTTAAACTTCGTCAAATAAAAAGCGTGGACATTATAAATACTTAAAAAGAAAATGGAGCTAGAAAAAGGATCAAATTTGATGCGTGAAATTAAGATTCAAAAATTAGTCTTAAATATTTCTGTTGGAGAATCTGGTATGTTTTTTTTTTTGAAAAAAAACGGATTATTTTGATGAAATATCAAGGTGATAGATTAACAAGAGCTGCTAAGGTTTTAGAGCAGCTTTCTGGACAATCTCCAGTATATTCTAAAGCTCGTTATACAAGTAGGATAATGGGGATTCTTTAGAAAAGTCATTAATAGTTAAAATAGTCCGTGCTTTTGGTATTAGAAGAAATGAAAAAATTTCAGTTTATGTTACAGTTAGAGGAGATAAGGTTATTAAAAAGAAAATTAAGTTAAATAAAGGGAAGTTCTTACTCTTGTTTAATAGGCAGAAGAGATTCTTGAACGAGGTCTTAAAGTAAAAGAATATGAACTGAAAAAATCGAACTTTAGTGATACGGGTAATTTTGGATTTGGTATTCAGGAACATATTGATTTAAATATTAAATATGATCCATCTATTGGAATTTTTGGAATGGTGGATATAATATTATGTATTTTTTTTTGAAAAATTAATATTTTAAATCTAGAACTTTTATGTAGTTCTTGGTAGACCAGGATTTCGAGTTTCAAAACGTAAAAGATGCCGTTCCTCTGTTGGATCGAATCATAAAGTTACAAAAGAGGATGCTATTCGATGGTTCAAGAATAAATATGATGCAACTGTTTTGAACCGTTAGAATTCTTAAATAAGATATTTGTTTCTTTTATATTAGAAAGTTTTTAAAAATAGATTATAGATAATGTAAATATTTAATTAAAATATTAAAGTCTTTTTTATTTATTTTTTTTCCTTATGTTTTTTATACAGTAGAAAAATTGATTATTTGGAAAATCATAAAAGATGAATTGAGTTTTGGGAATCAAGATTATGAGCTTTGTGATATATATTTGAAAAGCTATATTTTCAATATAAATTAAAAATTTAGAGTAAATTAAAGGATATATAGATAATAAATATAAATATAGATGTTTGATATTATTTTAATAAATCGTCTATTAAAAATAAATGTGTAGTACAAAAATATTTCTGTTTAGAATCTCTTTTTCTAAAGTAACTTTGATAATTTTCCATTAGAATTTATTTTTTTCTGAAGTTTTCCAGGATTTTTATGTTCATTATATAAAAAAGAAAAATTATTTAATGAATTGTCAGTTGTAATTAATAATTTATTGTTAGATCCAGAAGTATTGTTATTCCCTGATATATCTTCATTATTTGGGTATTTTTTGGGATATTTGCTTTGTAAATATGCTTTAGCCTGAATAGATAATTTTTCATTTGATACAGAAAATGAATATTCAGGAAGATTAGCCCCATTCTGCAAAAGATATTCTGCTATAGGAAAAGTCTCTTTTTGCGTTTTATAGGAACTATTTAAATCATTCTCTTGAGATTCATGTGAAGATGAAAATAATGAGAGAATTAAGGCTGAATTCCCAGATTCAGCATCTATAGTATTAGGATCAGCTCCTGATGCCAATGCCTGAATTACAGATTCGATATGTTTATTATTTATACCAAGAAGTAGATTTTTCGTAGGATTAGAATTATACAAAACGAAAGCTTTATCAACATATTTTGCATAAATAAATTTGTACTTTTCTTCCCGAGAAGAAGTTGGAAAAGGCTTATTTATATTCTTTAGGTTTTTCATAGAATCATACGTGGCTTCATAGATCGAATTGGTCATTTTATTTCCAGTTTGACAAATGAAATCGATCAAATTGTCAGTAAATGATGTTGTATCAAGCATTAAAGATCGTACTTTTGAAATATGACTTCCAAGTGATCGGTGAACACCTGAACATTCTATATTAAAGTAAAAAAAAGCATATTTAAATATTAAAATTATTACCAATACACAAGATCGCTGGAATATTTATAGAACACCATTCTGCCTTAGAAGAAGTATTACAATCTGCACAGACAGTATTATGTATAGGATCTGCATCATGTATTACCCTTAAAAGTTTATGGGCACTTTTATTGGTATTTCTATCATTTTCAATAGTTAAATTAGAAGTTAAAATATTTCTATGAAATAATCCTCCGTTTGATTTAGGTATAGGGGGTTTATCCACAGTTTCATACGGACAAAAATTAGAAGTAGAACCCGTCCCCTCTAATAAGCTTTCTATTGCCTTAGAAATGCTTTTGACCCACGAAGATACATCCTCTTCAGATGTTGCTTGATAAATTCGTCTAATGCTAGGAGTTATAACTTCAAAACAAAATCTTCTGTCAACAGAGGGGACTTTCTTTACACTTGCCATTCTTAAATCAATTGGAATATTATGAAGATCTATAGCTTGTTTCCAATTTTGATATTCGCACAATTTCCCTCCAGCTAGGACAATCCAATATCTAAAAAGATTAATTAAAGAATATAAAAAAAGATAAACTTTACTTATGCCAATTTAGCTTTTGTACAACTTTATGATCAGTATAATTCCTTGGTCTAGAAAGTGCCCAAAGAAGTCCTTCTTTTCGTCTCTGGGAAATACTGTCAGAATCATTTTCGTTAGAGTCTTCTATCCCTTTAGAATCTTCATTATTTGAAGATATAGATATTTCAGCATTTTCTGAAGTTAATTTATTTACATTAGAATTAAAACTACTGTCTTTAGAGCTGCCGCAACGATTTGAAGCTGAACAGTGATCCTTATAGCCTGATTTCTTTGATTTTTTTTGATGTGTTGTAGAAGAAAAGAAATTATTGGATTCATTTACAAATACTTTGGATTTTTCTAATACTCGCCTTTGTTCTTCTCTTTTTGAAGAAAGATGCATAAAGTTCTTATTAATTTCTTGAACACCTTGAGTTAGTTTATCAAGTCCTGGTTTTAGATCATGTATTACGTTAATAACTCTGCTCAATGTAGAATAATGATTTTCCACATATAAAGTAAAAAGATGTAAAATTTCTTGCTCCTTTTTTCCACCACTAAGATCCTGCATAAAAGAATAATAATCAAAACATTTAAGTTCAAAATCTCTTTTCTTTGCAAAGTATTTTACATCTGCTTTATAAATTTTTTTATCTTTAGAAGAATCACTTTTACTCAAATAACGTGAAACAAAGTGATAATAATCATGGGAATCTTCCTCGAAATTCTTCTTTTTCCTTTCAGCAGCTTTTATATCGGCTTCATAAATACGTTTTAATGGTCTTATAATCAAACGTTGTAATTGAAGTGCATTATTATATTCAAAACTTTGCAACTGCTGAATAGCTGCTTCCATATATAGTTTTAATACAGGTTTCATTGCAACAGGATTCGATTCTGATATCTTTTTTAATGCACTCATAAACCTACGATTTGCTTCATTTTTAGTTATTTGAGAATCATAAAGATCAACAGCCCTTTTAATTAGTTTTTTGATTCTATATCTAAAAACAGTAGTTTTCTTTTCCAATGCAGTTATCATTGCACGAAATAATGGACCATCATTTGGCTCATTTTTAAACGCATCATCAAAGTTATTAAAGTTAACTACTGAATTCAGATTGCACAATAAAGAATTAAATAGTGCGTTTTTCTCTTCAGGAGAGTTATCTTCATTCTGATAAACACTATCTTTTTGAGGAAGTATAGAAGTATCATGTGGTGACAACGATAAAGTTTTGTTATCAAAAAATGTAATAGAACTTTCAGATCTTTTTATAAAATCTAGATATATTATTTATAATCACAAAAAATATTTATAACCCTTTCCTTGAACCCAGAAATTAAACTTAGCTAATATAGAAAAACTATCGTTTTCACGTTGAACAAACTAAATAATTAGTAGTTTATCACAATTTAATCATTACATTACATAGCACGTATTCCTCCATCCATCTAAATACTTATTTTTAAATGAATGTGGCTTCCATGTCCATGACCATTCAAACTCTTTCTCTAATAATCCATCTGTTGAAATATCATCTAAAAATAAAATATTTTGATTATTTTCAAAATCCTTTAATTCTGATTCTAAAATATTATCTAATTCATTCATATTTGATCCATAAATAAAAAAAAGTCCTTTAAAACACTTAGTCTCTATCTCTTCTGGACTCTCTAATCGAATGTTAATATCAAATTTAACTTGTATCTCTTGATCTGCATAGAGTTTTAAGAGAAATGGTGAGAAACTATGTGTAGAAGCTTCCGGGTCCTTTGTAAATATCATTATTCAATATATCAAAGAAATACGCAAATTTATTACATAAATAAACTCAATAGGTAATTCCCTATCACTAGAAACATTGATACTTGTCTCAGGATAGGGTTCTACGGTTATATAAGTCGGTGCCTGGTCCTTAGAATTGGTAATAACAATAGACTTAAAAAATACTAAAAAATAACAGTTAAACTCCCAAAAAAAAAGGAAATAATAATAATACATTTTGACCTATCAGTATTTATATATATCGTAGGCTTTTCATGCATTTTAGAGCCCACATGTCCCATTTTTGAGAGATCATCTAAATCTTAGTGATGCTAGCCTTATCGTTAAAATTAAAAACCAGAATATGAAATATAATGTATTAAAAAGATGTATATATTGATATTTATGAAGCCCAAATAGATATTAAAATAGCCGAATATTATAAATATCAATGATTTGTAATCTAAAAGAAAATTATTTTAATAAAAAAAACAAAGAAAATTACAGTAGCTATTAAATCACCAGCACTTATTATGTCGCCTTAAAATAGTTAATTATAAGAAATTATGAAGAAGAATATACCCTGATGAACAGTAATTTTATCAACTCTTCCAGGAATGGGAGATGATATAATGATTTCCATTTTCTATAAATTATTAAAAAGAAATATATTGAATTTTTATTTAATAAATACCATAGCACTTAGAACAGCAATAACATCGCCCTATAAAATGAGTAAAATATAAAGGAATAAAGAAAATACCTTTTTAACAAGAGAATTGCATTGAACACGAATTTCAAGAACAATACCAGACATAGGTGCAGCAATTTCGCCTTGTTTAGATAGATCAGCTTTTTGGAAAGAATTCGATTTAGATGCTTTTTATCATTAATTTTTATGTAAAAAGATTAAGTTTAGAAACCTGATTTTTTATCAGTTATTTTAATAGGATAAATTTGTCCATTTAGTTCAAAAAAAACATCACAAGAACCTGATTCTTTTAAAACAGGGCCAAGAGCAAGAAGTTTAATTATATGAGTCTAAAAAAATAAAATATTTGTTAATATAGTCTCATAAAATACCTGTCCTTCGACTTCTATTTGAAATTCTTTACCAAATTCAGGCTTTGCCATAACATAATAAGTTGGAATAATGCTTATATCACCATACTTTTTTACAAACTGATATAATTTATACAAAAATTTAATAAATTTAAAAACTTACTTTTTTATATTCATCATAGACTTTAGGAAATTGTATATAAGTAGCAATATCTGTATCATCAATAGTTCCATATTTTGATATAAGTTCAGAACGAAGTTTAGTAAAATCTATTGGCTTAATCAATTTTCCTGCTCTTCCAAATATTCTTTCACGCTTATTTTTAAGAACATTTGTTCTTAAAGGCTCAGGGAAGCCTCCATATGGCTCCCCCATTAATCCTTGAAAAAAATCAAGTACTGATTCTGGGAAATTAAGTTCTTCTGCTTTTTCAATAACCTAAAAATATGAGATTCAATTATAATATACAAAAATTTAATAAACATCACTATAAGTCAATTTGTTTTGGACCATGAATAATGCTAAAGCAATATTAAAAAGAAAAACTTATTAATTTATCAATTTACCCAGATCACCAACTACTTTAGAAGTAGGCGTAACTTTTATAATATCACCCAAAAGAAAATTGGCTTCTATATATGATTTTTTTGTAGCTTTTTTTAGAAAATAAGCATTGAAAATCCAATAATAATAATATATTATTACCTTCCCATTGGGATACAAGATTAAGTTTAGTTGTTTGAAACTTCAAATTTGATAATTGTCCTCCTGGAATTTCATGTTCATAAATATCTGTTTCAGGACCTTTTAAATCAATATCAAATGGAAAATATAAAAGTCGTATTTGCGCCCAATAAAGATCAATGTCACGAACATGCTGTGCACTTAAGCCGGTTTCATAGGGTGTATTTTCAACAGAAGCCAAATATGCAGAAATACTAGGCTGAGATGTCATCCCAGACATACCTATTTATATAAATATCCAATTTAATCAATTATAAAAATATTACTATTAGAACAGAGATCAACTACATCTGCTCCTTCTTCTGCACATGCCAACATAGAAACTACACCAGTACCTGCAGTATCATGTGTATGAATATGAATTGGTAAGTCTGGATATTTCTTTCGAATAGATCTAACTAGAAGTCTGGCCGACTGGGGTTTTAAAAGTCCAGCCATATCTTTAATGGCTAAAATATGAATTCCCATAGATACAATCTTATCTACTAAAGACATATAATAATTATAATCATATTTTTTCTTAATGTTTAAGATATCTCCTGTATAACATATTGCTGCTTCAATTACACCACCTGCTTTCCTAACAGCGTCAATTCCTAGAGCAATATTTTCTAAATTGTTAAGAGCATCAAAAATACGGAAAATATCAATGCCATTTTCTTTTGCCTGTTTACAAAAAAAATAAATGGCATTATCAGGAAGACTAAATTTAAATAAAAATCATAAAATATAAATGATCTAAGAAATACTTAGAATATCCCAATCCATTAGACCCACGTAAAAGCATCTGAAATGGAATATTAGGGACAAGTTTCCTTAATTTACGCTTTTAAAATTAAATCAAATATTAAATTGATAAAAACAGATTTACCAGACGATCCCATGGATTTTCATGTAAAAATCTTAAAGCTACATCAAATGTAGCTCCACCCCAACATTCCAAACTAAATGCATTTTTAAGAGCATAACTCGTATGAGGTGCAATATTCAAAATATCAATTGTTCTTATTCGAGTAGCGAGTAAGCTTTGATGTGCATCACGCCATGTTGTATCCGTAACAAGACAACCAGGATAAGCACGTACTTTCCTAGAAAATTCCTCTGGACCTTCTTCAATAATTATTTTACGCCATCCTTCAGAACATGGTTTAGTAACATCAAGAATTTCATTAGAATTCTCTAGATTTTTAAGTTTAGGAAATATAATTTCATCCTTTAATTTTGGCTCTCCATTTTGACCTTCTATATATCTTTCATTTACAATAACATCCCCAATATATAAAAGCAAATTCTGTATTTTATTTTCAGCAGAAGAAATAGGAAATAATAATGTATCATTAATAAAAGTAGTCCAGCATTTTCCTAAAATAAAAACATCATCATTAAGTAAACGTACCAAAAATGGAATATTTGTTTTGATTCCATAAATACGAAATTCTGAAAGAGCTTGCAACATTTTTCGCCTAGCAATTTCATATGTACGACCATTACATAAACATTTCAACAGCAAAGAATCATAATAAGGTGACACCAATGCACCAGCAAATACATTTCCTTCATCTAATCGTACTCCATTCCCTCCTGGATGATGATATACCTCAATTTTCCCAATTTCTGGTCGAAAATCAGATTCAGGATCCTCTGCTGTAATACGACATTGAATAGAATAGCCTCTAGGATAAATAGAATCTTGAAATAATCCAATCTGAGGAAGAGTAGCGCCTAAAGCAATTTGAATCTGTGCTGAAACAATGTCAATTCCTATAATTTCCTCTAAGTAATTATTTAAAACTTGATTCCATTTATAATATAACAATACCAGTTATAGTATGTTCAACTTGACTAAAAACATTAGTTTTAATTATTAAATTTAACCTTTTTCTAACATTCGAGTATTAACTTCAATGAAATAATGTTTCCCTTGAGAGTCAATTAAAAATTCAACAGTTCCTGCATTTGCTAAACAAACAATTATAAATTTACTAAATAAACAATTTGTATACTGTAATTAATAGCTTTTGCTAATTTAATTGCATCATTAAAAATAGCATTGCGTACATTTTCCTATAAAATTATAAATCAAATTTTCAAGATATATTATGAAAAATTACATCAAGATCTTTTGCTGGAGCAACTTCTACAATCTTTTGATAACGTCTTTGAACACTACAATCCCTTTCATAAAGATGTACAACATTACCTGCATTATCTGCAAGAATTTGTACTTCAATATGTTTGGCTTTATCGAGATATTTTTCAATAAAAATTGATCCATTACCAAATGCACTTTCTGCTTCAGAAATTGCCCTACTTATGTAATCTTCGAATAACTCTTCGTTATAAAGAACTCGCATTCCTCTTCCACCACCTATTTGGTAAAATTATATATAAAAAATAAAATCTCTTATACCTCCACATGCAGCTTTAATAAGAATTGGAAATCCATATTCCTTTGTAAATTCTAGAGCTTCTTTTACTGTAGAAATAGGATTATCAGTTCCCGGTATAACAGGAATATTATGTTCCATAGCTAAAATTATAAAAAAATAATTAAATGAATAAAACAAAAATAACCTATTTTTCTTGCTGCAATCTTATCACCAAGAACATTGATAACTTGAGATGTAGGCCCAATAAAAATAATACCTGCTTCTTCAACTTTTCTTGCAAATTCTGAATTTTCCGATAAAAATCCATAGCCTGGATGAATCATATGTACACCTTTCTTCTTAGATATCTCTATAATTTCATCCTAATCATAAATCAATCCAAAATTCATTAAATCAAATAATAAAACAATAGCTAAATATGCTGATACTGGTGTATATTGGCCAATTTTCCCAATCATACAACTTTCATCCGCTTCTACACCATATAATAAAAATCAATCATGAAAAAAACAGAATATATACTCTGTCTATGTATACTAAATCGGTCCTCTTCAACATTAACTATATAATTTAAATTATAAAAAAAATATTTGTACCATAAGAATAAATAGCTAACTTTAATCATTAGAAAGTAACAAAATAAGTCTAGGGTTCTACTGTAGATATAGAAAATTCCTGTGCTGTTCTAAAAATCCGGGTAGCAATTTCCGAGCGATTAGCAACTATTTTGTGCCTTAGATAAAAAAAGTATAAAATTAATTATACCAAGAAGCTTCAGCTTATCCTCTACATTCATTCCATTGTTTTTGATTGCTTTATTTGAATCAAAATATCTATTATAAATAATATTTTTATCAATCGACATATATTTTAAAGTTTAATTCTTAAAAAGGATGTTTTCTAATAAAAAATTAAGCTATTTTCTATTCAAAATATTCTGTCATTACCTCCTGTTTAAATTATTTGTTTCAATAACTTTTATTTTTCTCAATTATTCAGAATAATTCTAAATATATAATAATCGACCTGTTTAACTCGCCTTTATATAAAATATTAGTTAAAAATTATAGATAGAATAGAAATATATAAACCTGTATATAAGAAATAAAGTTAAAATTTTGGACGTCTTTTGCGTGCAGTAAATTTACTATCTCGAGGAACATTGTCTTTATACTTTCTATATTTCTTTTTTTTACGTAGAATCCATTCTTTAGTATTTTTTATTTTAGCCTTTTCCTCCTTTGAAGATTTAGATCGTTTAAAAGTATGAGATACTAATATAGGATCTTGATTTGATTCTATATTTTTGATAGTCATGTTTGCACTATCTCCAGCTTGAAGAACTAAATAATATTTTTTTGCCTTTTTTGTATCAGGATAATCTATAACAACTCCCCCAGAAAATCCACATTTATTTGCTAAAGATGTAATAATTGACATACTTTGATCTGTTTCTGGATAAAATTGAAAAACTGCACGAGCACCACGTGCTAAACATGAATAAAGTGTAGAAAAAAGTCTCATTATACGCTTATACGGATTCGAAGATGACGTATCAGAGTATAAAAGCCACTGAAGAACCGAAATAGAAATCGCTCCATCAAAACATCCCCCTCTAAATGGCAATCCATGTCCAATATCCGATAACATTAAGTCTCCCTCAATATCTCGCTTAAGTGCTGTCTCTAAAACAACATAAACCCCTAGAATATAATATCCTCTATCTTATATACCCAGCATCCATGGTGATATGTCCATACCAACCCATATATGTTTATCTTGATCAAGAATTTCGCCTGAAAGCCCTGAACCACACCCAATATCCATTAAAAAGCACATTTTTTTCTTTGGAAGATTAAGAAGGTCTAAAGAACGAAGCGTCATCTCTGCCTGGACCATCTGAGTCCTTGAATTACTTGTATATTTTCTTGCTTCTGTTTCATCATAATAAATATGAGGAGGGGCTCAAAAAAATTACTTCAAATTCGCAATACCACATAATATAACATACCTTGATGCTCTGGACGTGTCATTTTTAGGATTCTCTGCACTGATCCTGTGTATTTTAGAAAATATATTATTTTGAGGTTAAGCCTGAGGGTGATCGGACGTAGCAAAAATCGAGAATTTTGAGAATTTTAATAATTTCAAAATTGGGAGGATAAAATGGTTAAAATGATGAATAAAGCTATGGAATTGACTAGATGTTCAGTAAATGTGAAGATTTAAAAAAAAAACGGAGAAAAACGGGCTAATTTGAGGGATAGAGAGCATCATTATTTTCGAGATCTATGGTAAACAAAATTGGAGGGAGATATACGGTAACTTTGATACCTGGCGATGGAATAGGAAAGGAAATATCGGAATCAGTGAAAACTATCTTTAAATCGCAAAAAGTTCCGGTTGATTTTGAGCAAATTGATGTTACAGGGAAAATTAAGCCAGATGAAGAAAATGATTTGTTTAAACAGGGTATTGAGTCACTTAAGAGGAATAAAATAGGCTTAAAAGGTATAAATTTTAAAAAAGGAAGGGATTTTATGTTTTTTTTTTTTTTTGATAAAAAATGAATTTATATATAAGAATAGTAGAGTTAACTTTTTATTAGGAATTTTATATACACCTTTGGATTGTAGTGATCATTCTAGTTTTAATGTTTCACTTAGGAAAGTGTTTTTTTTATTTTTTTTTAAATTAATTTATGAATAGACAAGATTTGGATGTATATGGTATATTTTTTGATTAATTAATATTATAGAAATGATGAAAATTGCTAGCAAATTTGACATTGATTAAGAATATACCTGGATGTAAAACGCCACATAATAATGTGGATTTTGTTATTATTCGTGAAAATACAGAAGGAGAATATTCTGGTTTAGAACATCAATCAGTACCAGGTGTTGTTGAATCGCTTAAAATAATTACGCGTATAAAATCTGAAAGAATATCTCGATTTGCATTTGATTTCGCCTTGAAAAATAACAGGAAAAAGGTTACTGTTGTTCATAAGGCTAATATTATGAAATTGGGTGATGGATTATTTCGTAAGACTTTTTTCGAAATTGCTAAAGATTATCCACAAATTGAGGCTACTGATTTAATTGTTGACAATGCAAGCATGCAAGCCGTTAGTAATCCTCAAAAATTCGATGTTCTTGTAACTCCCAATTTGGTATATTTTCTTTCTTTTTAATATTATAACATTATCTAATTTTATTCAATAGTATGGAAGTATTTTAAGTATATTTACACAAAATTATTATCTACATTATATATAATAATTTTCTTATATAGGCAATATTGGTGCTGCTTTAGTAGGTGGCCCTGGTTTAATTCCTTCTGCAAATTATGGTGATGAATATGCTTTATTTGAACCTGGCTGTCGCCACGTTGGTTTTGATAGTAATATTATATTATATATATATACATATTAACTTTCTATAGTTGCCGGTAAAGATAGAGCTAATCCAACCGCACTCATTTTGTCTTCAACTATGCTTTTACGTCATTTATCTTTAGACGATTATGCCGATGCAATAGAACGTGCTGTTTATGATGTTATCTTAGAAGGATCCGTTAGAACCCCTGATATGAAAGGAAACTCTTCTACTACCGCCTTTACAAATGCTATTCTTCATCGATTAAATCAATTTACTTGATCTTTTCCTTCTTTAAAACTTCTTTTCTTTTTTTTTTAATAATCTATTTAGCAATTCATTTACTGAAAATACTAAGAAAAAGGGTTTCATCTTTAATATCATCTTTTATACATTTTCTTTATTCCTCTTTTTTTACCAGCTTTTCTTTTATTGTCGGCCATTTTGCACCATCATGAGCACTGACAAAATGTTCAGATTGACTTAGAAGGTCAGATACACAGAAAAGAGCCTATAAACCGTATATTTTAGCATGAATAATGAAGAATTAACTAATATTTATATAGTATTTCTAAAAATAATGGGATTATTTGAGTTGATATTGGTTAAATGAGTAAAAATATTATTAAGTGATAAATAAAGTATGAAGAATGAGTTAGAAATAAAGGATATGTCATTAGAAGAGGTTAATAAGGTATATGAAGACATGAGGAGTGAATCGGTAGAAAATGAGGAGCAAAAAAAGGAATTTACGGGGGAAGAAAAGGAATGTATATCATCAATGCCTAGAATGATAGAATCAGGGTTAGAATTTAAGGGAGGACATAGATTATGTGAATCATCAGTTGTTTCGGATACAACGGTATCGTCATTAGTTAATAATTTTGGAAATGATATGCATATGTTAGTTCAACAGATGATGAAAGAAAAGATATCGCTTCATACGCAGAATATGCAGCTTTGGAAAATTATTGATAAGCAACGTGCGATGTATTTAGAGATCATTTGTTGTATTAATATTATTAAATTTTATTTAGGATTCTAGAGCTTCAAAAGGATCTAGAAAAAGCATTTAAGGAAAAAAAGAAATATTATAATTTATGGACAATATTATCGAAGAGAAAAGTTTCTAATAACGTAAAGGATATGGATGCAGTGCAGGAAGTATTTCCAAAAGCCTCATCAAATTTTAATTCGACTTCGAATAAACGAGAATCGCAAAAAAAGACGATCTTAAATGAATCACATATGCCTAATACTGAGAATTCGGAATTTTCGTTATCATATTCTGAAGAGAGAAATTTCTCTATTTTAAATGATACTTTAGATGATTATTTTTTAAGCACAGCGCAACCATATCCTCAAATTCGAGATAAAACATTACCATCAATACCTCAGAGAGAAATTCAACATGGGGCTAGTGTGTTGGATCAACCGAATCCAAAAAAATCATCTAAAAGTCCTGTCTTAATGCCAAAAGAACAGGAAATTAATAGGACTTATGATCAATCAAATATTTCAATTCACACGCAATTTCCTATCTATCCAGAAGAAATACCTGCATATAAAAAGTCCAATATTACTTATAAAAATCCGGATAATAGTGCTCAAGATTTGAATACCAGTAATAATTCAAAGAATTCTGAACATGATAAATTATATTTTTCGAAATATGATGAAACAAATCAATCTTTAGAACTAAATAAGGACAATATAATGAAAAATGAAGATACCGAAATCCCGTTAATGAATTTTTCTACATCATGTAAACCAGTTTCTGCATTTACTGGGGAATCAATTGTTTCATTAAATGTATCGCAAAATTACAGGCCAAATTTAGAACAAGAATATCAATTTTTATCATCGTTAGGACAAGATAATTCAAAGCAGGATCCATCTAATAAATCTAACAAAACCAATTATTCTAGAAATCTGGAAATGAAAGTTTCTCAAGAAAATATTTTATTAAAACAAGATAATGCTAAGGCATATGAGTCTGATTTAAGCTCATCTACTTCTATTGGCCTTGCATCTAAAACTAATCCTAGCTCTCATGAAGACTATTTAGATAAAATAGGTCAAGTTTTTGATACTTTAGCATTAAATGAAGAAAACGCTGGGGGTTCTCTTTGCTTCCCATCTGGATCCAGTTTATATCTTCCTTATAACATTTCATCAATTAGTCTTAGAGTTTTAAACTCAAAGTTACGTATGGGGAAAAATAAAGAGGAAGTCTTTTTTTCAATTGGGGTTTTTCAAAATACAGACAAAAAAAAGGAACTTTGGAGAGTAGAAAAAAGTGTGCAAAAGATATTAGATTTTGATGATAAATTAAAACGTGTTTTACTTTATTGGAAAATTCCTGATATCAGTAGTCTTAATACTCAAAGTACAACTCGTGTTGATCAACGTAAGGCTTTGTTAAATCAATATTTAAAGCATATTCTTTCAGTCCCTTTAGATGAATCTGCGCACTCACTTTTAAATGACTTTTTAAACACTGATATTGAAATACAGACTAACCCTCAGGTTTTATATGGCAAACAAAATACAACTGATGATGAATATTTCAATGAATCTGATATCGGGCCATCTGATCTTATAAAAAAAGAAGGTTATTTAACTAAGCGTGGGAAGAATTTTGGGGGATGGAAATCAAGATATTTTGTCTTAGATGGCCCAATTCTTAAATATTATGAGACTCGAGATGGTATTCAATTGGGTAGTATTAGACTTTCTCAGGCTCAAATTGGTCGTCAACAATTACAAACACATTCAAATTTATCCTTTGAGTCTCATCCAGATATTTCATATGATGATAATTCTTATCGACATGCATTTTTAATTCTTGAGCCTAAAAGAAACTATTCGTCAAATTTTATTAGACATGTTTTATGTGCTAAATCAGATAAAGATTGTGATGAATGGGTCCAAGCTCTTATGCAATATGTTGATATTAATATTTCAGATAATTTTATTATGTCTAATAATGCTGAAAAGAAAGAACGCAAGTATTTTTTTAGAAAACATTCTATATTAGCAGATACATCACGTCATTCAGCATCAGTAGTTGCTAATATTAATCCATATCAAATGTTGAATAATGAATTAAAAACTACACCAGAGAATACCGAGAGTAATATTGTAAAGTTAACAGAATCTAATTATATCGAAAATAATTCATTATCTTCTCCTACAGATAATTTAAAGAAAAATATGTCTGTTGATTTTACATCAAACCTTTCAAATGATTTATTTGGTAGCTCTAAAGTCATACAAACAACAGAGAATTCATTAAATAATATGAAATCATATGAAAGTAACCCTTCTGGGAATTATGTATCTGACGAATTCTTCAAATTAGATAAAAAGTTCAAGAAAAAGGGTTTCTGGAGCTTTGTAAATAAAGGTATATAAATTTATTTTATAAGGAGTTTCTTACATACTTGATAGATGTAAAACAAAGGCCTCATGAGTCAATGTCTCATGAGTTGCAAACATCTAGTAACAATGATTTAAATACTCACACATTAAATTATAACTTTCATAGCATATTTGGAGTTCCGTTGTCTGAAGCTGTTTATATTAGCCGATTGAGTTTAGAAATAGATATAATGATACCAAGCGTGGTTTATCGTTGTATAGAATATTTAGATAATAACAATGCTGAAAAAGAAGAGGGAATATATCGCTTAAGTGGTTCAAATACAATAATTAAGTCTTTAAAAGATAGATTTAATGCAGGTTTTATTATTCCATACACTCTTACTTAGGCTAATCATTTAAAAGAGGGTGATGTCGATTTACTAAATTCAGGAAAATCTTATGATGTTCATGCTATAGCTGGTCTTCTAAAGCTTTATCTTCGTGAGCTTCCTACGAATATTTTAACAAGAGAAATGCATTCTCAGTTTTTATCATCATTGGGTTAATATAAAAAATAATCTTATATTAATAAACAACTGATCTTTTTTTTTTTAGATATCCAAGACGCTGAAAAAAGAGTCGACACTTTAAACAAACTTGTTCATTCTCTACCTGAAGAAAACTTTTGTCTTTTGCGTATTTTAATTAACCATTTATATCGAATTGTAGCTCATTCTGATCTAAACAAAATGACCTGCCATAATGGTAAATTTCTCTTATATTAGGCTTATTATTCACTCTATATAGTAGGTATCGTCTTTTCTCCTACTGTAAATATACCTGCTGGAATTTTTTCTCAATTTTTAATACATTATGATATTATTTTTGAAAATCAGACCACTTCAACTACTACTTTCACTTCTATACAACAATAATACAAACTTCCTACAAATTCACTTCTTGTTTTATTATCAAATCTTTCTTCTTTCATTCTTTATTACAAAATATTACAAAAATTCTTTTTTATCAAAAATTCGGATAAAACTTTTCTTCTTATTTCAACTACATATTAACTACTACTACTTTACATACAAAAATATTCTCTTTTCTATCTTGCAAAATTCGGCATTTCTTATTTTTGTCACTTACTTAAATCGTTCAGCATAGTTCATTCTTGGATAGGACTTCTTTCAAAAATATATAGAAGTCTATAACAAATCTTGCAAATAGTATTTTCATACTTATTTACAGCAAATCAATATATCTCTTAATAGTTTGGGCAACATATTTATTTTTGCTATTAAAAGGGTATTTAAAAGAGACAAATTTTCACGCGGCAATAAGATTTTTTTGTGAAAAAGTTAAAAAAAATTAAGAGACAATTAAGCAATAAATATAAGGAAGAATGGGTCTGAATGAGTTATCAAGCGAAAAAGAAGAGGTTACGGGAGGGTTAGTTCAGAAAATGGGTAAGTTTTTGTATAAAAAACGAATAAAAACTAATATTTTTAAATAGCTACAATAGATATTCAAGATTCGGCTAGTATTAAGAGGACGGCAACGTATGTTCCGCCTCATCTTCGTGGTAGAATAAATGGTACGAGTGATTCTCAGGGGAGTTTTGGAGGGCGGAATAGTATGTCGATGCTTAGATCATCAACATGGAATACGAGTACAGATGGGACGTATAGTTCTAGAAAGTCTAGATATGGGTGTGATTTATTTTCGTATAAAGGACAGAGTGATCAGGGTTCATGGTGGGACGGAAAACATGTTATTGGGACACGAAATCATCGTTTAGAGCGGGAACTTTTTGGGTCACAGTTTGACACGAATACGATGAGTACGGGGATTAATTTTGATAAATATGATGATATTCCTGTGGAAGTAAGTGGAACAGATGTTCCGGAGCCTATTTCAGTTTTTACGAGTCCTTTGGATCCACATCTTTTAAGTAATATTGAACTAGCGAATTATAAGAACCCGACGCCGGTTCAGAAGCATTCAATTTCTATCGTAATGAATAACCGGGATTTGATGGCATGTGCACAAACAGGTGTGTTTTTTGCATAATAAGTCTAAAATTTAATCAATATGTTAATTAGGGTCGGGTAAGACAGGAGGGTTTTTATTTCCTATCTTGTCAAAAATGTTTCAATCTGGACCGAATGATTTATCGAATCATATGGGATATACATCATATATCCGTCGAAAGGCGTATCCAATGGCATTAATTCTTGCGCCTACAAGAGAATTAGTAAGTCAAATTTATGATGAATCACGCAAATTTTCCTATCGATCGTGGGTAAAACCATGTGTTGTATACGGTGGTACGGATGTTAGTTCTCAACTACGTCAAATCGAACGTGGTTGTGATATGTTAACCGCTACACCGGGTCGTCTTGTTGATTTGATTGAACGTGGCCGTATTTCTCTTTCAAACATTAAATACCTCGTACTCGATGAAGCCGATCGTATGCTGGATATGGGTTTCGAGCCTCAGATTCGTAGGATCGTCGAAGGCGAGGATATGCCGGATGTTCAGAATCGTCAAACGTTAATGTTTTCTGCCACATTTCCTAGAGATATCCAGATTCTTGCACGGGATTTTTTGAAAGATTATGTATTTCTAAGTGTTGGAAGAGTTGGCTCAACTAGTGAGAATATTACCCAAAAAATTGAATATGTCGAAGATACGGATAAAAAATCCGTTCTTTTAGATATTTTACATACGATGCCTCGTGGAGGTCTTACATTAGTTTTCGTTGAGACTAAGAAAATGGCTGATACGCTTTCCGATTTTCTATTGAATTCCAATTTCCCAGCTACAAGTATTCATGGAGATCGAACTCAACGTGAACGAGAAAAAGCCTTAGAAATGTTTCGTGGTGGAAGAACACCGATTATGGTTGCTACGGCTGTAGCTGCCCGTGGACTTGATATTCCTAACGTAACGCATGTAATTAATTACGATTTACCTACCGATATTGATGATTATGTACATCGGATCGGACGTACGGGTCGTGCTGGAAATACTGGTATTAGTACTGCCTTTTTTAATCGTGGGAATAGAAACATTGTACGTGATTTATTAGAATTACTTAAAGAAGCGAATCAAGAAATACCATCGTTTTTGGAGAGTATTCTTAGAGAAAATAATACTATGAATTGTCGTAGCAGTACAAATACTATACGTGGTCGTCGCCGAGGAGCTGGCGCAAGGGATTATCGTAAGGTTTCTAATGAAAGCAATTGTGACGATTATTCAAATGATAATAATTATGGTTCTGTATCGAATAATTATTCCGATAAGAATTGTGGTAATGGTTATGGTTTTCAATCATATGGAAATCCATCAAAAGTAACAAATCAAAGTTGGTGGTAAAAATATGGCAGCATACAAATCATCCTTATATTCGATGTTTTTTTTTTTTGAATTTTTATTTCATCTAAGTGTTTTGCACCTACACATACGGACACTTTAATTCCATTAGCACTATTATTTCAAAAGTTTCTTCGTTAAGGCGACCTCGGTTTTTTTACTTTCATAAAGGCAATTGTACTTTTAATTGCTAGTTAATTTTCTTTTTTTTTTTTGAATACCAGTTTTTAGGTTCCTAGGCAATAATTTTTTGTTCAATATATATTTACATATAAGATTATAATTTATTAATATTTTTAACAAGGAATTGGAAACGGGTTGTATTAAAACACTTGGAAAACATCTTTCAATTTATATTTCAACAACTTAATATTATCTATACAAGCATGAAAGGAAGCATCTGGTTGATATCTATATCGGTTATTTTGTTTTTGTTTTTTCTACTTGTTTCCTTTTATGATAAAATAGAATACTTTGTTGCCTAGAGTGTATTTATCTTTCTTTGTTTAATGTTTCTTAATTTGCTTAATATATTTAAATTTAATTCATTTGTTATTCTCTAAGTCCACTACTAATTTAAAAAAAATATAGTAATTAATAAAAAAGACTCTGGATACATATAAATTTGATTATTTCATATTGAAATCTTATTATATCAATAAATAACTGGGAATATCTTTTATTTGCCTTTTCATACTAGGAAAATCTTTGGTGTAGAAAAACTAAGTCTTTAAACCCCAGGAACTATATTAAACTTAAATAAAAAGCTCTATATTTTATTGGGATTCTATCAGATCATATTATCCTTTTTTTAAGGGCTTAAAATATGGTACTTCTTTTAGGAGTTTCTTTACCAGATCATAAACCATTAAGAATTGCATTAACTACATTTTATGGTATTGGTTATTATACATCATCAAGAATTATGGCATCATTATCAATACATAAAACGGCAACAGTTGGATCATTAACAGAAGAACAACTTGTTGCACTTTCACATAAACTTGGTACATTTGTTTTAGAAAATGATCTGCGTAGAAAAGTGCAGAAGAATATTATGCATTATAAAACAATTGGTAGTTATGTTGGTAGAAGACATTCTATGGGGTATGTTTAAATATTTTATTATGTATAATATTTTAAAAAGTAAAGATATCCAGTTCATGGACAAAGAACAAGAACTAATGCAAAAACAGCAAGAAGGTATGTTTTTTAACAGAGATATTAAGTTGATTAATTAATTTAGATTAAACCGTATTGACAGACGTCAATTTTGTACATTTTTTTTTTGTTCTCAAGAAAACAAGCAATTTAATGATAATCTAATGAGAATTTCATGGGCTAATATAAAAAATATTTTTATTTTATGGGAAAGATTCTGGTCTATAGGTTTTTTTAGTTTTTATTTAAAAAAAATCAAGTTTTTTTAGATAAAATATGTGTAAATAGGATTAAATTTTTTTTAAATGATCTAACACTTAAGGTCTGAATTAGTAGAGTAAATTGATATAGAAATATTTATATGGATGGGTATTATATATAAAATGCTGATACTTGAATTTTAAAAGAAATCTAAAGAATGAATAATAATAAAAGAATGTTTGATACACATCTTTATTTAAGTGTCCATGTGATTTCTATATTTTGCTAATAAGAACAAAAAATCATGAAATATACTTTTATAGAGCTATCTACAATAATAATTGCATTGGTGTTTATAATTTTTTAATTATAACTTACTTAAATATTTACAAGTCGCAAATCTAGCGACAAATATTCATAAAGATTTCAGAAAAATAGATATTATAGGTATAAACAAGATGACTATTAACTTCTAATGGAAACTAGAATAAGGTTGTTTAAGAAAAAGTGTGCTTAATAACGAGAGAACTAGATTGATGATTTGAAACAGATGTTTGCAGTCAATGTTGGTTAAGAGATGCAAGATGTCTGGATTCAACAGGAATTTCATTTTGATCAGAATCAGAACAATGTGCTAAAGAAAATATCAGAAAGTTAATATATATTTTTTAAAAAAAAAAAACCTGTTTGTTGGATATTTTGTACTTGTGTACGTTGTGCTTGTAATAATTGTTGTCGTTGAATGACCAATTGTTGCATTTGTTCTTGTGATAAACGAACACCTGGTGGTAATCTCAGAATTGGTGTAGCTCCAGTCGGATTTACTAGTGTTTGACTAGGTATAGAAGGATGAACTGAATGATTAAACCTTAAACCATTGACCATTTCAGGAATAGTATGTGATGCATTTTGTACGCGATTTTGTAGGTTTATTTGAGCATTTACAGATTGCATCTGAGCCATCTGTTGCGAAGCAGAATTAATTTCAGGAAAACTGGATCTTCCAGATGACTATTTATATCAGTTTAATTTCTTATGTAGATAAATATTATTACCCTAGCTTGATTTTGTAATGCAAGGGCGACAACTGCATTTCTTTGTCGAATACATGCCTGAGTAATAACTTGATCTCGCTCATGCTTAAGTCGAGAAAGATCTAATGGTGTTGGTGCAACTATAGGAGGCTTATGAGGTAATCCATGTGTATCATGAACTGAAGTATTTACTTTTTTAGACGGAGCTACTATAATAATAAGATAAGAAAAGTTATATTTGAGAGCAAAATATATACCATTCAATTTTTGAGAAACTTCTCTTTTTTTCATAGTTTTTCTTATAGCATCAAACATATTAAATTGATGTTGTCGTTTAAATCTGCAGTTTAGTGGATTCTTTGCAACATCTTTCTTTGAATGCATTATTCCTCCATAATTATTTGATTTTGAATTTTTCAAAAGAGGTTCAAGTTTTGCATATGCTGTTTTAGCATAAGGACCAACAAAAATAACATTCGAAGCATGAGGATCTAATTGAGCCCATCGCTCAAAACAGTCCCATGCAGTCTTTTTTTCTGCTGGAGAAATCCACTTTATTGACGGTGTTAAAGTTTGAGCAACAAATTCCCAATTAAACTGATATTTAGGAAGATATGTCATTAAGAGGTTATCTTCATCTGGATTCCATATTGGCTTACGATTTTCAGGATTTAATGGAATATTAGGAGGACGCAATTGTGAAGGATATGCTGATTTCTTTCGTGTAGTTGATGCTAATAAATATTAATAAAAAACAATGAAAAAATATCATAATTACGAGAATTAGAAAGAGAAAACTCATTAATCAGAATTCTTTGTTTATCAGAAATATCATCAGTATCTATAGATGCTTCTCGTTTTCTCTTTTTAAAAAACTTGTCTGAATTAGATATTTTAATATGTGATTGCGTATATTTTGAAAGCGGAATAATCTTCATTTCATCTAATGGATCATAATATAATGTATCCTCAGGTACAGGAGGCCGGTAAACAGGAAGATCAGGTAATACTGTATTTGAAGCATGCAAAATATTTGAAAAAGTAGCGACGATTTTATCCGGAGGAATTTCCAATAATTGAACAGCATTTTCTATAATAAATAAAGGAGATGAATGTAATGTAAAGATATTTTCAGAAGAAACATTTTTCATTTCAAATTCGGTATCACTAAAACTTTTATTCTTATTATTCTTATTGTCCTTATTAACTAAATTTTCTGATAAATCCATATCATTTTTAGAAAAATAAAATGGAGCGTTACAATCGATTACATTATATTTTTCATTTTTTGAAAGCGATGTATACGGTTTACTTAAATTCGGTTGAAAACAAATGTCTGATTTAGTTTTTAATCTATGCCAATCCATTATCCAATTAGCTATTTGTTTGGCTAAAACTATTTTCCATTTTCTTTCCTCTTTAAAATCTGCCTGTAACCATCTCTAAATTTATTTTTAACAAATGTTAGAAAGATTATATAAGAAAATACCATCTCATCTAACATAAAATCCCAATGTGCTTTTAACCTAGATGGTGTTTTTTGTTTTATCATTTGTCGAAAACTCCATAAATTATTTTCTTTTAACTTGTTAATACGTTCAAGAACTTTTATAAATTTTGTTTCGATTATTGCAGTATTCCAATCCTTTGTAACAATTATTTTATTTGAAGTTTGAATAAGCTTATAAATCGGCATAGAAGATGTTTGTATTAACCATGATAATAAATCAGTGTTGCTAGCTTTATTTTGCTTATAACTCGGAGAATGTCTCGGTACATGCATAGGAAAATAGTCCGAGCTTTGTACAGATGGCTCAATTGATGTATATGGAATAGGTGGCTAATCAAAAATTAAATTCCAATAATTATATCAAAATTCGAATACTTTTAATTCTTCTTCAACAACTTTATCCTTTGAAATACTAGGAGAATCACATATCTCTGTTTTTTCAGGATTCTCTGGAAGAGGTTCGACAAAAGGTGTTTGAGTAACATCAGGTGTCCCACTTTCTTTTGATGAAGCTAAATCTTCTTGTGAAAAAATATAGCTCTGAAGAGTAGATTCATCAAATATTAAACCACTAAATCTCCGTAAATTGATATTAAATGAAATATTTGGATAAAAGACTTTTGAAGACTATTTTTAAGCAAAAACGTTTTTAATTCATCAGATGAAGTTATTTTTTCACAGATACCCACACTAATATCTGGAAAATACTTCTCAAGAGAAGATAATATAAAAAGTTCTGTTAATAACTCCTTCTGTCGCAATTCAATCTCTTTCTTCAACTCAATCTTCTCCTCAAGAATCTCCTTGCTAAATGAAGCATTAGGTCCTGTTCAAAAAAACCCATACATGTAGAATAACATGTATAACCTAAAGGACTCAATATACCTCGTATCTAACTCGAACTTTTTCTCATTTTTAGATAAATCTATTGACATTGCTTTTTCATAAAAATATCGCTCAAAAATCAATCAAATTTTCTGCTTCAAAAACGTTTCTCCATTCTTCCATATTCCTTAAATAATTTATTATGTTTTTAGTATTTTATCTCCTCATCTTTACCCATTTTATAGATTTTATATCATTTCTATGTTTTTTAATCGTCCGTCCAAAAATTTTATAGTAAAACCCACCATATATAATAAGTTGAATATATATAAAAATAATGATTGAATAATGAAGAAAAAAACAGAAAATGATAAGAATACCATGAGTATGTATCTAAAAAATGTAAATAAGTATAAATAATAAAAAAAAAAAGAAAAAGAAAGTCGATATATGTAAATATTTTAAATTTTATAAATAATATTATTAGAAATCATGATTTTGTTTTGTTCTGATAATTTATTTAATGCAGCCATAGCTTCACTAGAAGTGAAGAGTTTTTGTTGTGGTAGTTCTTTGTTGATTTCAGATAATAAATCGTTAAAATTTGCATATTCATCTTTGAATAAAGGTGTAGTGATGAGATGTGCTAATTTAGAAGAGAAAAAGGAGAATCTGGAAGGAGATATGACTTGTTGTATAGATAGATTTTGTTGGGTATTGTCTTTAGAAAGGCTATCATGATGAATTTGAGATTGTGTATATAATGATTGAGTTGATCCCCAAGAAACTTCAGTTTCTTGCTGTGATTCTTGTTGTATATTTCTGTTGGTAGGTTCTTCTGTATAATCTGTTATATGAATATCATTTATATCAGGCATTGGAATATCATCATCAGTATGTTGCATTATAGGAACATGTTTAGTTGATTTTAATTGAGATTCTGTATTGTTTTCATCGATTTCTTCACATTCATTATCATCGCTTTCACTATCTTGAGTTTTTTGAAGTCGACGTCGTTTTCGTCGTTCATCTTTGACAATTTCTTTAAATAAGGAATATCTGAGAATTTCTTCAGCAACATAAGCATCCTTTTCTTCAACCTTTTGAGATAATCTAACTTTGGCGTGTGCAGTTGATAAACGGATAAGTGTTTCTAATGTTCGTGCAGTTATCGGTGATGTTTTACGCTGATTAGCTCCCAATTCATCATTTCTTAAAGCGCTATAAGTAGCTATAATATAATCCGCAGCCTTTTTTGTAAGTACAGGTTTTATTCGAGTTTTTGCGTATTGAATGTATTTCTTTAAAAAAGAAATACTTAAAACTTCTTTTTTTTTTGATTTTTCTTCAGTAGAACAATTGTTGTAGAATATTTGATTCATTTTTTCATAAATTAAACTATCAGCCCCCAGATTGCTTTCTGTACCTATTGATAAATTTTTTTCATATTTATCTGATACAGGAACACCTTCTTCAGCACCAGGTGCTAAATAACGATGCATACGCAATACATGTTCAGAAATAGAACGGTCACGAGCCTCATCAATATCATCTGTAATAACAAATAAAAGATCGAATCGAGACAACAAAGAATCAGGTAAGGCAATATTTCGATGAGGATCTTTATGAGGATCGTATTGGCCATAAACAGGATTTGCAGCTGCAATAACACTGCATCTTGCATTAAGAGAAGTGTGAATCCCTGCTTTTGCTATTGTAACAGTCTGCTGTTCCATAACTTCATGAATTGCAATACGATCAATATCAGACATTTTATCGAATTCATCAATACATATAACCCCACGATCTGCTAATACCATAGCACCTGCTTCAAGACGACGTTCTCCTATTCAAATTTTAATAATTATAATAATGAAAATAAATATAATATACCTGTTTCTTTATCAGTCGTAACTGCAGCTGTCAATCCCACGCCAGAAGAACCTCTTCCAGTAGTAGCAATAGCTAATGGAACAGTGTTTACAATAAAACGAAGCATTTGGGATTTTGCTGTAGATGGATCACCTACCATTAAAATATTGATGTCACTAATATAATATTACTTTTATGAAAAAATATAACAAATTACCAATACCCTCTAATATGTGTTCCATTATCAAGATTTTTTTCAATTCCTCCAAGCAACAAAAGAAGAACTGCCTTTTTAACGTATTCATACTCAAAAATACTTGGGGCAAGAGACCGAGAAAGTAATTCAAATATGTTTTTTTTTTTAGAAAGTTTATTAATATTTCGTATATCTGTATCCGTAATATCTATCTGTGCAATACCCCCATTTGCCTTAGAGGATAAAAGAATCAAATTATTTGCAATAATAAGTGTTCGAAAGGTAGAACTTGATGATGCACTTCTATTTCCTAAAGCCCTATAAAGACCTACTAATTGAATGCGATCTCCAGGTTTTACACAATCCACTAAGTCGTCGTCCATAACTACATCAATACTTCTTGGCAACTGTCCTGCAGGTGCTCTTTCAGGCATCTCTTGAATAGAAATTGTTTGATGATCACGATAAACAGAATATCCAAATTCTGTAGTTAAAGGATTTCCATTTTCATCTTGCGTAGGATAAATACTAGATGATGGTATTTCATTACCTATAGTCGTAATATCTCTATATTCATGATAATGAAAAAGCTTCGTTTTTTCACAATAGTGAACTGATTTCACTACTTTTGGACGTACAAGTGAACAACGCGTAACAATTCCTTCAAGACAAACAAGTTTACCCAAATGTTGAGCACGAATCGTACGTGGACTTAGATCTAAAAAAGAAAATCTAAGATCAAACCCATAAACAAAAAAAATATACGTTGATCACCAAACGATCCAATCAACCCAACATAAAACAAAACATCGTCCACTTTGTGCTTATTAATATCTCTTATTGTTAAAACTACATCTTTTAATGCCTTATTGAACGGCGGTAAATATTCTGATGGCTCATTTAATAACCTCATTAAAAGCTCAATAAATATGCTAAAAAATTCCTTTAAAAGATACCCATCTGCAAGTTCACGGTTGTAGTCTCTAATATCATCAATATTTACGATTAATCGTCGCTGATCAATGTGAAGCATACGTTTGATTGCTTCATGATAATTTACAACGTTCTTGATCATTTATTAACCTTTTTAAAAAAAAAAAAAACCTACTGGATCATCCAATCTATTATCCAAGTATTCCTGCCATGTTCTTACCCTATCATTGAATAATTGATCTGGTAAAATTGGTAAATCCATTTTCTTGAATTTTTACAGTCGATGATCTAGTATCAAGATATATAAAAAGAAAAAAATATAGCCGCCTTATTAAAATATGATAGTAATGAATATGTTTTGAAATATTTATATTGAAAATGTGTTTTTTTTGAAAAAAAAAAGGAAAATTTTTAACATGAAATATTGTAATGAATTTCTTTTATAAAGACATTGATAAATTAGATGTTTGTAATGAATTCTCTTTTTGAAGTTGTCTGATAGCTCTTTCTAAATGTATTTTAAAATCTTTGTTGTCAATAATTCTTGATATAGTAGAAATTTTAGCAGTATTTAGAAGAAAATCATCATGAGTAGTATTTTGTAGAGTATTTCCATATACATTTTCAAGAGATGATAATGCAGATAGATGAAAAAGATTATTTTTTAAAAGATATTTAAGATGTTGTGCACCATGAAATGCTAAAAAAGAATTATAATAAATATTGAATAATAATCATTCGATATTACCTTTCCAATGAGAATACGCCCTATAAAGTAAATAAAAACCAGGTATATTAGGAATAATTGGTATTAATGCCATTGGAAGTGTAAATGGTGTTCCAATTATAGAAAAAATCATCCATCGTTTATGAAATAATGCTCTTCGTTCTACCAGATCAGATATAGTAAATATAGCTTTTTCAGGTCCAATAGATGTGGGATAGTGTACCGTAACCTTGTTTCATTAGAAATCCCTCTTTCTCTATTATTTGGTATATTATACTTTATATTGTGTCGATCCTGTTCTTTGAATCTGATCTACATTTTTTCGAGATGGAATATTTCTAAGACTCCATTCTTCATAAGGAAGACCATCTATTATCCTATTCCCAAAGCTTACAAGCCTTTTTTTCCATTTTATCTCTGATTGTCCCCAGTTTTTCCAAAGATCTCCAATTTTATTTGTAAATTTATCAATTAATGATGGCTTAGAATGAATAGAAATTTGATGACAATATAAGAAAAAGCGGTTTCTTGTTATAGGAATAACAAATAACTTCATTCTATCCCATTAAAACCATATATATAACTTTTTTTGATTTTGTAGGTTAAGAATCCTCGTACAAAAAACAATATAATCTAAATATAATTTAATAAGAACAAAGTTTTATTAGTATACCTAGCATGAATATAATATTGTTTGTTTATTATGTATTTGTTGAAAAAAAAATCGAAAAAGTTTATGCATAAAGAATATGTTAATAAAGTTGAATATATATTCTATTTTTTTTGAAATGATAAGAGAAAAAAGAGAATTGAATAAGAATCCCAAGATAGAATATTAGAAGTATTTTTTTGTATCAAAAAAAGCAATAAGATCTGTATAAATACCCTTATTTTTAGATAAATCAAGAATTTTTTGAATAAATTTAGTAATTTGTTCAATAAGAGAATGAAATAATGTATTTGTAATAAGAATGAGTGAGTCTTTGTCTATAATATTAGAATGAAATTGAAATTGAAAAAATGTTTTTGAAAATTCAAGAATGATTGAAAAAATATTTGTAATAATATTAGCCAGAGATGATTGAGATGATGTAAGAAAACAAGAAAAATGCATCTGATCAAGTATTTCTAAATGAAAATGAGTTAAAGAAGTAAGAGTAAAATGTGATAAATTTAATTCAATATCTTTAAAATATTTCTTTAACTTTTGATAATTTGATGATAATGAAATATAAAAAATATAAGAGAAAAGAGCATGAATGAAGTGATAAGCATGAAGACGAAATCCTAATGTTATTTTAAAATAATTTGTCATTTTTTTATTTGCCTTAATTCCAAATAGTTTTATAATAATATCATTAATTCGTATAAGCCGTAGCAAAAATTTAGTCAATTGATTATATTTATCTAAACAAGAGTCCGTTATAATCTCATCTAAGGGAAACGTTGGAGTATAAACGATTTTTAGGAAATCTAGTGCTTCAATATCTATAAAATTCTTAATAAAATATATAATAAAATATTAAGAGTTAACTGTAAGGATCTTCTATTCCTTTATATTCTGATTCAGTCATTTCTTCAATTGAAAAACTTAATCCTCCCATTAAAATGCTTTCTGTTCCAAATTCCTGTTTACTTAGAAAAAATTTTGATCCAAAACTATCAAATAAAACAGTTTGAAGTGCTATAGTTAATTCAGTAGGTCTAGGTGGCCATTTTCCTTTAAGTCTTGATTTGCAATTTAATTCTAATGAATATTTATTATATTCCAATGTAGAACCAAATAAAGCATATGAAAGTTTTAATATAAAAAGTCCATCATTAAATAATTTTGCCTTCCAAAGCAATGATAAATGCCGTTTTAATCCAATATTTTTAAGAAACAGTTTTACAAGTGAATTGTTAACTAAATTTGATTGAATTGACAATGGAATTATAAAACAATGTATAGGTATTATATCAATTGGAACTATATCTTCCGAAAAACATGATTCATTTATATTTTTATCAAGTGATGATATATTATTTTCAATTTCACTTTCAAAAATATTAATTGATTTTTTAATTGAATCCATAATTTTTTGCTTTGAATATTCAAAAAAATCCAATTTAAATTTCTCATCAGATTTCTCTAACTCCTTTGAATCAGTTATTTCATTATAATCATTTGGATTTTCAAATTTCTCAATTTCAATCATTACAGCTTTTTTATACATATTTATTTGATCAATTAAGCTAAAAATATCAATTGATTGAATAACATAGAAATCCTTACTTATTTATATTTTCCCATTTAAATTTCCATTCTAATTGAATACTTGTTTCACATACTTCTCTATTATAAAATACTCTACATAAAGGATGATTAGGTTGAATTTTATAAAGAAGCCTAATAGCCTTTCCTGTGTTATAAGCATCTTCAAAAAATGATTTTGGAAGATAAAGACAACTTATATCATCCATCTTATTTTGTTAATTAAATTAATATATCAATAAAAATAGTACCTCAAAGTATTCATTTAAATTTATATTATTTTTAACATAAGAAATATCAGTTTCATGAATAAAAAATCCAGATTTTTTATTCTTCCATATTTTTTCATTGTTAGGTGTTATTTTTTGTAAACCAATCCATTGTTCTAATGTCTCTAACCATGATTGACTTGAACATTTAAGTAAATATTTAGAAATTAATGAAATATTCCCTGTATTTATATGAAAATGTTCATATGCAAATGTATAAAGTGCGTTTAATAATTCAATTCCTTGTTTTATTTCTAGAAAAGGTGGTTTAGGAAAGTTTTCTAAATCTCTAAAACAAAATTTCGCCAATTTCCTTAAATTTTCTTCAATATATTCGTATTTATGAATAAATCTCAATAATAATGAAGGTTTTTTAATATTATTCAGCTCAGTGACCAAAATACCATTATACTCTTTCAATATTTCTGTTATACATGAAACAAATGCCAGAACACATGAATCATAATTCCTAAAAATCGTAAACTAATATATATTAACTGATCATTTAGTATTACAATGCATTTTTCTCAATATCTTCTTTAAAAACTTGAAGTCTATATGTATGTGTACCAATACTCATGAAAAAATTAATTATACTAATTCAATTATTTTTTCATTATATAAACATCATAAAATCTTACTCTTTAGTCGTTTCTTTTGTAAATCCTGTAATTCTTAAATTCTCAATCAATAAAGAAAATCTTAAATGTTTCTTGTCCCTAATAAAAAGTGATGATGACTCCCCAAGTGAAAGCAATATAAGTACCTTTTTTTCTTTAATTATACTTCCATTTTCATACATCACTTACTTCATATATTAAAAATGATTCTACCATCACTCCTGCTTCATTTGGTGAATAAATATGATTCAATTCCTTTGCTAAAAAAATATCAAACACTTTCATAGGTTTCTCCGTCATAAACGGGTTCCTGTATGGATTCGAATTCGCTTCTTTGAACTTATCCCATGTAATCTCTTTACAATACTTCTCTAATTAACATAATATTTAAAAATATCCTTTTTTACTGATAAAATACTCTCTTCTTGCCAAATATCATCCAAATACTCTTTTTTACAAATAAGACATTCCTCTTTGCTTCTTTCTAGACTCTCAATGCCTTTCTCTTTCATATTATTCTCTGACATCTTCCTCATTACGACACTCAAAATCATGTCTGAACCAAAGAGTTCTTTCCCATATAATGGATCAAAAACAACATTCCGTCCATTATTTTTAATATTATTAAATATATTTATGCTTTCTATGCCCTTATTTAGACTGGCTGTCTGATAATCATGAAAAAAAGTTTGCACCTTTAATGTCTATTTTCTTGACCAATTTTCCTTCTTTTTCAATTCTTTTTTCGACTTCTTCCATTTTAAACATCTGCAAATATTTTTATCTAAATATATATGTGTTTTTCTGCTTTTTTTATCCTCTTTTATAACTCTCTTTTTTTTTTTAATTTATGACGTTGCCCTTACAGCCTCCAGATGAACCTCATAAAAAGCTGTAAAAAACTAAGTCAAGAATTTAGCAGGAAAAATAGCAAATAAACATGTCTAACAAGTCCAAAGATCATGAATGGACGGTCGATGAAGAAATTGCTCTTCTCCGGGCGGTTTGTAAGTACCGGCCTATTGGTAAAACTTGATAAATTGATTATGAGCTGATGGAAAAAAAACGGCTAAAAACTTGATAGGAATACATAAACACTTTAGAATAATATCCGTTATGCAAGAAATGAGTTATTTTACCGTTCGTTCGGCAGAAATCTGGAAAAAATTGAAGACATTTTATGATTTGGAGCAACTTGATGAAATTGTAAGAAAACAGGGTTTTTATTATGATAAACATGGTTAAATGATGTTTAATAACTAGTCTGAACGCTTTCGTAATAGAGGGGATTTTTTGAAGGAGGAAGATGGGGCATTTGATGTGTATTTTACAGAATTTCTTTTACCGTGGGAGGAATATGGGGAAATTATGGAAGAACATAGACGTGCAAGTGATAGTACGTCTACAAGTCCTCCACACTTGCCTTATGGTGCAATTGGACTGGGTAAAGTTTTTGAAGAAATACAGGAAATTGAAACATTTCAGACAGAGGGTTTAGAGCCGGAGATAACGGATGATGGTAAAATTATGTATGAATATTGTTTTAGATTTGTTAATATGTGGAGATTCTCAGCTCATTGTTTCTTCTAATAAGAAAAAGAGGCCTTTAGTTTCAAGAATTATGCGTCGAACAAATAAACAAGAGAAACCAAATACACCAGTTTCTAAGAAAAACAATGTTTTAAATACTGTAGCTAGTACACGTACTTTGAAATTTGAAAAGCCATTGCAAAATACACCACCAAATATGCGCCGAAGTAGTAGAAATAAGCGTTAATAATTATATTTGGTTAATTGCTCATTTGGATTTTTATTCAAGTACTTTTTATATCTTTACTTTTCTTCAACATACTCTTCTCTTGTTTATAATATTTTCAATTACATTAAATAATTTTATAATGTAAAAAAAGGTTACTTTATTTATTATTTTAATTTTACATCTATTAGGAAACTCAATATTTATTTTAAAACCATAAAAAAGGCTATTTATATTTTCAGAGACTTTAAAAATATTTGTTTTTATATAATTGTTTGTCTAAAAAGGTATTTTTTGCTTATATAATTTATAATATTCTAATTTATAAAAAAAAATATAGATAAATTAAACGAAATACTTCTTCTTCTTATGCAATTTCTAAAATAAGCTTTATTTTTTTGATTTATAGATTTATTAACTATCTTTTTAAAATAAAAATATCTAGGATTTTTATACAAAAAAATTTTAAAGATACACAAAATCTTTTATATTTCAAGAAGGATAAAATAAGCATCTTATCAATAAGGTTTTCTTTAGGTTTTTGTTATTTTTATATTTAAATCTTAAATATCGGTTTTAAAAAATTCATTATAATATTACTATTAGTATAAAGGTATTATTTTAAAAGAGCTGCTCTTTATTATAAGATCAGAAAGAATATTTTAAGGAATATGAGAAAGGATATAATCTCTGAAAAAACATTTAAATCATTGTTAAAATCTTTAAAAATACGAATGAGTTGGTCAAAACAAAATTTATATAAATTATCAAGGAAAATAATACCTGTTTATGGGAAAACACTTAGTAGACAAATAGCATCTGCAAAGAGTGAAACACGTGCTTATCATGGTGAAATGCTGCGTGAGCATCAATGGTTAAGACTTTTTAGTCTTAGTGAAATGGAAAAAAGAAAGACAAAAGAATTATCTGCAATAAATATATATTCTATTCTTGAAAGACGAATAGATACAATTATTCATCGGGCATTATTTGCATCGAGTATAAAACAAGCAAGACAGATGGTAATCCATGGGAAAGTTAAAATTAATGGAAAAAGAGTAATTTAAATCTAAACTGTAAGTGAATTGGTAATAATTGGATAGATAAGGGATCCTGGATATTTTCTGGAGCCCGGGGATATGTTTAGTGCAGATGTGATTACAGTTATGAGGAATACAGGCTCACCTGAAATGTTCCAAAATAAATCTTTAAAGGGCAAGTCATTAGAAAAAATTGGGCCATATATACCACGACCATATATGAGCCCATTTGCATTTGTTCCTGTATATTTAGAGGTATCTTATTTAACATGTTCTGGTATTTATCTTCGTCATCCAAAATCACGACAAGGTGTATCAGAAATACCAAGTCCATTTTCTTCAGGTATTTTAATGATTAAACTTTTTTGATTCGAAACTAAAGATATTGAAAGATGTTTATTCATTAGCGTATAGTTATTATATAAAAAGACGCAAAAGAAATATAACGTGCAATAATTATAGACATTAACCTAAATGTTCAACAAAGCCGGTTACAAGTTTTCCATTCGTAAATGTGCTCTTAAGCATCTCTGGTATATGATGTTCTACATAATCGCCATTTTCTTCCTCTAGAGCATGAACATTAATACTGCTAGACTTGCTAGTTATAATTTCAATGCTTAAGCATTTTGGAGAAAGATAGATTTGGCTATTATCACATTGATCGAGTGTTATTATTGGGGTATAGCCCGAAATCTGAATTTCAAGCGATGTGGATCGAGTAAGCTCAATACCTGAAATAAGTGTATCTATTATTAATCCGCAATTGAACAATTGATCTAATAATGTAAAGAAATGATTAAAAGAAGGGAAAAAATACCTATATAGACTGTATTTGCTTTTCCTTTAAGATGGATTGTACATCTTTTGCAATTGAAAATATAGATTGTTTGATTCGTTTCAAGTTCATTAATGACAATATTTTGGTTATCTTCAAAATTTTCCTAATCCATGTATGAATATTTAAACATATAAAATTGGTTTTTATACAATATTCCAGCGTGAACCCACAAGTTCTTTTTTACATGGCAACTTGGGTTTTTTTTCCTCTGCTGTCGAAATTTGGGGTAATCGATCATTAGAAGGAACTGGCAATTGTTTCTGATAAGATGGGCATTCTTGTGTTATCTGACTTTTATCGACTTTACGCAATTTTTTCGTAATAGACTCGCCCATATTAAGCTCTGAAAAAACTGATTCAATACTAGTCGATCCTTTAGCTTCAATTTTCGCTATATGATCCTGTGAAACTGCTTCTTCTTCTCCTTCTGTCTTGACTGTACTATTATGAGCCCCTTCATCGTCTTTTATATTTGTTTTCTTAAAATATATAAAAATCATCGAATCTAATTAATCAATATAAAAAACTTACATTTGAATTCCATAAAAATCCTTCATTGTAGTACGTTTTAACATACGATTGTAATTCAGTTAATAAATTAATAAATGAATATACCCATTTCGTATCTACTGTTCCTCTAAATATTATATTAACAAAAAAACCTTCTTTTTTTTTTCCATAAAATACTTTTCTTTAAGAATTCTATTTGCATAAAATTGTGCACTATCTTTCATATCCCCAATATAAAGCACTGGTGTCGGTTCTACCATAATCCATCCAAGAGCTGCAATCCCTTCACTAACCATAGAAAGATGATTAAACATTTCTGACCCACGATTCTTATCCCGAATACTAACTACCTCATCAATCTTATGTTGAAGAGGCTTAATTAACGTCTGAAATTCTGTCGATGAAAAATCCGGCTTTTCCATACATGTTCCTTTCTTAATAAATTCTCCGTGCATTTCAAATGCCTCCATAACACATTGTGCCTATCATACTCGTCATAAAACTGTCTAATCTTCCCTTATAAAAAAAAACCTGCTCCATCACTTTCTCATCTAATTTTTCACTAAAACAAAGATATTCCTTCATAATTGGAATAAAAAACGCGTTAAACTCTGCTTCAACACTCTTCTCCTCATCTCTAGAACCTTCTTCTGCCTCTATAGCAATTCCTAAAACCTTTTCCAGTCTATTTGCTACTTTTTCAAACCTGTTTTAAAACAAATAATTAGAAAATTATGTCAATTTTAACTGATAAAACCTTTTCACAAGGGAATGGAGGTTCTTTTCCATGTCTTTTTCACGAGTTGCATAGAGATTTGAAATCATTGTGAGTGTTTAATAAGATTTTTGGAAATTGAAGGATGTTTTAAATGCGTCGTTTTGAAAAATAGAAGCGCATACAACACGCATATAATACGCATATAATACGCATACATGACGCATATAGTACGCATATTACTCACATATAACATCTTTATTATAAACAATATACATTTGCATTGATCCATTCAAATTCATTTAAACAAACCATGGTATATACAAACACGCATATAATCCATCATATCAAAACATACTAGTTTCATGGAATGTTTATTAAATGCGATATATCAAATGTCTGCATTTTATCTAGTAAAATAAACATGAATAATGTATATGTAAATCGGTGTATAAATCGGTGTATAAATATATGCATTTTGCATGTCTATTATTTTTATGAAATTCAAGTGTATGCCTAATAATATGCATTTTATATACGTTTTTATGTTTTATCTGCTTCTCCTTTTCTTTTTTTATACACTTCACACTCTTATGCTTTGCCTCGATGCATTCATATAAAAGGGTATAAATATGTTATAATAGGACCAAAAAAAAAAGTCTAGCTTAATCCACCCCAACCACCCCGAATTCTTCGCGCAAGCTGTATATCTTTTTGCATAATTGTAACACGTTTTGCATGAATTGCACATAGATTGGTATCTTCAAATAAATGAACAAGAAAAGCTATGTTGTCAGGGGAAAATGATAGATACTTTATAACGCACCTTCTGTAGCTTCTTGTAGACACAAAATCGCCGTAGATTGCCAACGAAGACCAAAATCTGTTGAAAAACTTGCAACATAATCCGTTGCTATATCTCGAACCTAGATCCATATAAATCTCCTCTTTTCTTACTTTTTATTACGCATACAACCCGTGCAAATGGCAATTTTCGTATCAGAAGGTCCGTACTTTTCTGATATTTTCTTATTTCCTTTAATGCAACTGTACCTGGTCGATATCGTCGTGCTTTTCCGCGCGGAATTGGATCTCCCGCTATTCATATATTCTTATTAAATCTTCCTTAATTCTTTTATAACTTACGTTCTATATTTCCTGATGCTCCTGCTAGTGTTTTTCGAGCTGTCCGGGTACTTCCTTCCGATAGTCTTCCCGCCGATTTTCGTGCTGTATTTTTGGCTCTCGCCATATTATTTCCTTACTGATTCCTCTCCCAGTTATTGCCTTTTGGGTTTAAAATAACCTCTTCCTTTTGATCTTTTTCGATGATTTTTTCTATGTTTGAATTATGTTGAACGCGAGTCCGAATTTTGAATCACGTGTTTTGTTACGTGCTAGAATAATATTTTTCAATTTTATAAGCTTTTTTGTGTAAAATTAGTATGAAAATAGTATATTCAGGCGTTAATTATGCCTGGTTTTATTTATTTTTATGTATGAATTTTCTTTTTTTTTCATATAAATTTGTTTAAGTATTATTATAAAGTTGTACGTAAATTATTAAGCTAAGTAAGTCAAGATTTGTAGGGTCAAGAGTTTATTATTTTTTGTTAAGACTTATTATTTGTTAAGGACTATTTAATAATAATGTTTTTTTTTCTTTTCTTTAATTTTCATTTATCTTTATTAAATATGTTTAAGAAATGTTTTATTTGTATTATTTAACTTTTTATTGAGAATTAATGATTAGAAAGACAAGGAATTGAAGAGATAAAAGAAAGATTGGAGAGATAAAAGATTGGATAAATAAGGAATTAAAGAGATAAGAAATTGCACAAACAAACATGAAATTGGGTAGATAAAAAATTAAATAGATAAAAATTAGATAGATAAAAATTAGATAGATAAAAGAAATATATGTTTGTTTGTCTTTATTATTTAAATCAATTCATTATCTTTCTTTTTTTTTTTGTATTTATAATATTTTTATAAAATTTCTACCATTTTATTTATATTTACTTTATTTTTTTAATTTTTAGACGTTATGAATATATAATTTTAACAAATATTAATTTTAACAAATATTAATTTTAACAAATATTAATAAATTACTTTTTTTTATGAATTAATAAAGTTTTTATTATTTTCTCTTCAACATTTCATTCATATAAATATATTTTTATCTTCTTTTTTAAATTATATACTATAAATCTTTTTTTATTATGTAAATTTAAATTATTTTATGTTTTTTTTACTAAATTTCTTTTTTTTTCTAATATTTTTAAGAATTCATTACATTCTTTTGCAATTCTTCTTCTTTCTTTTATATCTACTTCTACTTCTACTCCTACTCCCACTTAATTTCCTTTTTATCTCTTATCGTTCTATATATATCTTAATTTTCTTAGAAAACATTAATAACCACTTTTTCTTTAAAAATACATATATAATCCCCCCTAATCCCCTTTATCCCCCTTTTAATTCCCCTCATCTCTTCATCACTCCCTCTCCCTCCCTTTTCCTCCCTGGCTATCTCCAGATAGCCAGGCTCACTTTCCACGCGTATACCATACTTCGTTATGGTTATACGCTTATAAAAATACACAAATACACTTATAAATACATTTCATACTTATATTTCATATATAACACTAATTATTATCATTATATACTTTATTCTAACTACATTGTTATATCTTATATTACATATTATAGATAAATACATAAAAATACGCTCAAATACAAAATTTATATAAAAACACTCAAAATTATAGATAAATATACAACTAACATAACCTTACATACCCTCACATAGTCTCCTTCTCCACCATAAAACACCCTTACTGTCCTTAAACCCCTTCAGTTTTCCGGGCACGTTTCGAAGAATTTTTATACTTAAATGTTTTTAAATGTATTTTAAATCTTTAAATAAAGGCCTTTAAAGAGGTCTTTAAGGATTAAATATGAAGAAACAAACAATGCCGGCAGGACCATTAAATTATGCAAGAGCGGTTTCGTCTGGAGAGACGAATGTTAAACGAGGGAATCATGAATCATCAGGATTAGGAGGTCTTTTAAATGGGTCTAATGGACGAGGTAGAAGACATCATCAATCGCCAGGAAGTCCTATGAGAGGAAGTGTTAGTAATAAGCAACGGTCAAGAACGGCATCTACCGTTACGAGTGTTGCTACGGATAGTGTACGATCGCGGGGAACGAGTATAAGCTCTAGGAATATAGAGGCGAATGGGTCCTCAGAGACGAGAGAAGGAGTAGTAGAAGAAGTAAATGTATGGATTAATAAGAGGGAAAAATAAGGGATGAAAGGAGCTGATGGGGGTATAGAGTGGAATAAATGTTAAAATGACGGGAGATTATTCTATTTCGACGATATCACATCATCGAAGGAATTCATCGATTCATTCGATCAAATCGGAGATGTATCATTCGAGCCGATCGTCAATGTCATCATGTCATCAGAACCAGATGGTATATCCGTACCCATATCAGTCATCGCCGTATTTTTTTGGTATGAAAATAAATTAAGGAAAAAAAGAGGAAGCTAAGTTGTTAAAGTTCCTCAAAGTTATCCAGGAACGGGATACAATGGAGGAGTAGCGGCGTATGGACCACCTCATTCAGGATTTACACAACGAAATATGAGCGGATTTTCGACGCCATCGAATCACCCATTTAATACAGTATCATCGCCCCAAATATCGCAAACATCAGGGTTTCCAGTAGTATCATCGCAACCATGGCAACAAATGAATCAGCATTATGTATGAATGATTTTAATGAAAGTAAAAAAAGTAAAGAATCTAATGTAATGATTAGTTTTACCAGGGTGGATATGATCAAGCAGGGTTTTATCCGCCAATTTATGGGATTTCACCACATTCGTTTGTGAGATCGATGAGTTCATATCCCAGTATTTCATATTCGTATTCGGGACAGTCATTTCAGGCTTCGTATCTTCCGACACAGTCTGTCCAGATGAGTAAAAGTGTATCATCGACATCTGATTGCCCAGTTGCACCGACAATGGCACCGCCAACGTTTTCGGAGACTAATACATGGTCTTCACAAACAACAACGGATGAAACAGGAACGTCATCTGTTGTTCGTCCTCAGAAACGTGTTAATGCGGCCGTTAAAATTGTTAATCCCAAGACAAATATGGAAATATCTATTTCACCAACATTACCCCCATCCGACAAGGAAAATCTTTCAATACCGATTGCAGATGAATCTTCCAAAAATGCATCTGACTTATTTGAGGGCTATGAACAAAAAGATCCTGAGATTTCGGCTGTTCCTGAAAATCCAATTCTTCAAGATGAAAATGAACCTGTTGAAATTGATGAATCTATAAATGATAATAATGCTGATGAAAAAGTAAGTGTTCAAGATGAAAATGATCATTGTGTACCCGAAAAAGAACAAAACTCTGTTGATGATAAAATTGAAGAGAATTTACCACTTGAGATTGAAGAAAGTAAGGATTCGGTTGAAATTGGTTATGGAATATATGAGGATGCACCCGAATCAACTCAAAAAGACGAAAATGATGCTAAATTAGAACAGAAAATGCATAATGTTATTGAAATGGCTCAAGAAGAAGAGAAAATAGTTGAAGCAAGTCAGGAAACAAAAGATACTTTTGAAACAGTTCAGGAAGATGTGATTGAAATGATTCAAGAAATGGATATCCTTGAGCCTGTTCAAGATATAATTCAAGCTGATCAAGAAAGTGTAGTTGAAGACTCATTTGTATACGATGATTCTTCACTCGAAAAGAAAGACATAGAAAGGCCTATGTCTCAAGAACTAGATTTGAGTTCTATAGAAAAAGAACAATTGGAAATTGTAGATAAAGATAAATGTCAAGATGATCATAATGACGATAAGATTCAGGATTGTGATATTAATGAATTCCAAAATAAGCTATCACCAAAAAATCAGGATACTACTGTAGAACAATCTCGACCTTCTTCTAGCGAAAAAGCTAAACAAAAACCATTACTCATACCTCTTGGTGTTTCTGAAACAGATAAAAATAATGCAAATGAAGTTTCAATGTCTATTACATCTCTTAAGAATTCCACATTTATTACAGATCTTAAGACTATTGTATATCCTAAAGGATTCAACCCTCCAAAGGCATCCTTAAATGTAAATTCATTACCCGGAAAATTTAGATATGACGAAGAATTTTTATTGCAGTTTCAAAAAGTTTATGTAAATAAACCCGATTTTAATTGGGATGAACGTATAAAAGATACTATTGGTGATGGAACGGATGATAAAAAACCTTCCAAAAATAGTCTTGGGGGATTGAGTTCAAGATCAATATCTCGAAGTATTGGTGTTTCGATGACATCTATTCCTATAGGTAGTTTTGGCTTGAACAAACCTCCTTCTTTAGGAAAATCTGTATCAAATCAGCATTGTTCGCATATTAATACTCAAACACAGCAAATTTCTGATTCTTCGTTGAATGTATCAGAGGAATCATTTGGAGTTAGTAAACTTACCTCTAATAAATCTGTATCTGGAATTACATCAAACGAATCTGGAAGTCCAGTTGGTTCTAGATTTTCTTTATCAAGCTCCGGTAACCCAGTTTCACTTGGATTCTCTATGTCTAGATCTGGGAGTCCGGTTACTCCTAGGATGCCATCTAGAAAAGGTGGTAGTCGTCGTGGAGTAGGGCTTACACAATCAGAAACTAAAGTTGATAAACATGATCAAAAAAGCGGGTCTAATATGCTTTCTGATCATGTAGCTCCTTTAGCATTATCTGCAAATAGATGGCAACCAAAGTTAAAATCTCAGTCTGTTCAACCGGGCGAACATATGGATCCTGAAATGGTTCAGAGGAAAGTTAAGGCTGCTCTTAATAAACTTACAGTCGATAATTTTGATCGAATAACTGATCAAATTTTAGAAATTGCTTCTCAATCAAAGAATGAAACAGACGGGCGGACTTTGCGACAAATTATTCAGCTTACTTTTGAAAAGGCTACTGACGAAGCGAATTTTTCAAGTATGTACGCTAGATTTTGTAGAAAAATGATGGAAACTACAAGTTCTGAAATTCGTGATGAGAAATTACAGTTAGATAAAAATGGAAGACCAATTACTGGAGGCATTCTTTTTAGAAAATATCTTCTTAATAGATGTCAAGAAAATTTTGAACGTGGTTGGAAAGCTAACCTCCCCTCTAAACCTAATGGTGAATTTAATACACAGGAAGCTGAAATGCTTTCCGATGAATATTATGTTCTTGTTACAGCAAAACGTAGAGGATTAGGTCTCATTAAATTTATTGGAGAACTTTTCAAGTTAAATATGTTAACCGAAAGAATTATGCATGAATGTATAAAGAAACTTCTTGCTAATGTTGTTGATCCTGATGAAGAAGAAATTGAGAGTTTATGTAAACTTTTAGCTACTATTGGTAAAGATTTAGAAAGTACTGAAAAGGGACACGTGCATATGAATGTATATATTGAACGTATGGATAAGATTGTTAAAACATCAAACCTTTCAAATAGAATTAAATTTATGGTTATGGTAAGTTTTATAGAATTTTTAATTTTCATTTTTTTCATACTATTAGGATATTTTGGATTTAAGAAAAAATGGATGGAAATCTAAAAATGCTGATAAAGGACCAAAGACGATTGCTGAAATTCATGAAGATGTAAATAACGATTTTTATATTTCGAATATTACTGATTTAGCCTAGATAGCTAAAGAAAAAGCCGAGGCAGATGCTATACGACTTGTAAATCAAAGTCGTGGATCAAGATTAGATTATGGGCGAGCGGATAAAAGTGGACGTCCTAGTGTATCATTATTCGGAGTTCCCGATTGGCAAAATACAAAAAATCTCAATTCCGCTGATTGCAAAGCTGGAGATTTATCAAGACTTGGACAAATACGGTCTTCTAATCAATGCTCATTTGGTCCCGGTGGTCAGCTTTCATCCTTAAGAAGTTTAAGTGATAGTAAAAAAATTGCATTTGAAACACAAGAAACTCAAAAAGAATTGATCGAACCCTTACAAACTTCTAATTCTTCTATTCCTGCCTCTGAACAAGACTCTTCAAATACGTATAAATCAAAATTCATATTAAAATATAACTAACTACTTTTTTTAGTTCATTTACAACTAAATCTGACCATAATCAACAAGATAACGAAAAAATACAACATGAACAACTTCTTGATGATAAATCATCTTCATCAAATCCACCTCTTATAACAAAATTATCTGATTCTGTGGAAGATGTATCCGAAAAAACCTTTGACAATAATTCTCAAGAAAATCAACTTTCTTTTACAGAATCTTCTCAATTAACCCCTTCCGAATCCGATTCTGATGATCAAAATACTTTGGAAAAATTTACTGATGCTAAACAATCTCCCATTGCATAAGATCTTTCATCAATCAAAATAGTATTTATATATAATCCTTCATACTCTTCTTGACGATTGAATCTGATTGTTCAAACACTTGGGAATTTATTTCATTTCTATCACTTTTATTTTTTTATATATTTACAAATCAAGATTTTTTAGTCGGGTTTTTTTCTTAAAAAACGTTGTCTTAAAGCTTAATAATTTTGTCTTTTAGATTAATTTTCATATGAAAGGTTATATTTCTTATAGGGCTATGTTAATATTTGACTAAGGGCTGGTACAGATAGGGTGCGAAGTGCACCTTTAAACAGGGTATATTTTGAAAAAACAGGCTTTGAACGTGTAAAGAAAAATGGGAACTTATCGGTGAAAAAGGTGAAAAGAAAAGGGTTTAGGGTTTTATGAGGTCTTTGACCTGTATCAGCGTTCTTTTGATGTTCATAAGAAGTGGGTTCATGATCTTTATAAAGAAAAAAACGAGTCAATTGCGTTAAATGAAGGAATACATGAAAAATTAGCTTTAAATCCGTTATTTCAACGTTTAAGTGGAAAAAAAGATGTTGACAAGGATGTGACGCTTGCAAAGAATCCTTTATTTGCACGGCTGAATGGTTCTCAAACAGTAATTAAAGGATCGGCTCAAGGAAAGAGTTCATGGACGATTAAAGGCATTTCTGGTGCAACTACAGTGATTATATCTAATCTTGTTGAAGGAACATCAGCCGAGGATGTAAAAGTGTGTTTTTAACTTTTTTTTTAATGTGATTAATCGTTAGTAGACATCTCTTGCATCGTTAGGTCATATCCAAGCATGTTCTGTATATAAAGTAAATCATGGAGCATTAGTTCAAGCAGAAGTGACATTTTCATTGAGATCCGAAGCAAACACTGTAGTAGAGAAATTAAATCAAGCGATTGCAGATGGTTTTTTTTTTTTTTTTTTTTTTTTATAATTAATAAAATATAGGCAATGTTTTAACAGTTTATATTAAAGAGAAGTAAAATTACTATCGGATTTCTCTATTTTTGAATAATTATTTAAATGACGAATAAATATCCATTTTATTTTTATATATATTTGTTTTATTTTATATATTCATTTTATTGGTTATTGGTGTTTTTGAGAATAAGAATTAGCTAAATATGGATAATGAGATTGTTGTGTTTTAATCAATTTTTTATTTTATCAAATATTCTAAAGATATGATGAATGAAAATTGTCATTATGTCTTAAAAGTTATGTATTGGCATACAATGCATCTACCACCCCTTTGACAATGATATTTCTACTTTTGTTTTCATTTAAAATGTCATCAGTTTGACTATGATGGGATTGTATATGAAGTTTACTAAAAATTTGCGTTAAAATCTGTAAAATTGTTATTTATTTTGTCAATTAAATATTCATAAATACCTTGTCCATATATTGACTAAATTCATAAATAATATAATTTTCAGTATTCTTAATATGAAATGGTATCCAGTTATCTATTTGAACAATATTGTTTTGTTGTATTAATTTTCCTCCAAACAATAGTACAGATAAAGGATTTAATAAAGTAGTATTTCTCAATGTTAAATTTTTTGAAAGATCTGTCTTAGATTTTGAACCAAAAGCATAAAGAGTACCCGAAGGAGCAATATCCTCAGATATGGGAGGTCCGTAAAGACTTTTGTTGCTACTTTTTGGAAAATTAATAGATGATGGATGTATTAGAGCTGTATTATCATAGCAAGTCCTAAGTAATCTCTTATTTGTTACAACAGCTATATTTGGATGAAATCCTGCACATATTAATGATTTTATAAGAGGAATGCAGTCAGAATATTTATTTAGTTCTTCACCACCTAATTCTTCAGACTCATTTTCTTTATAGGAAATAATTCTATGATCAACCAAAATTTGTAATATTTGTTTGGCTACATTTTCAATAGTTTGAAGAGTATTTCTATGTAAAAAATTTTTTTCAATGAAATTTGATGCAGAAATATTGCCTTCATTTTTTTGAATTAAGCGCCATTTTTTAAAACAATTAATAATAGTTATATGATCGCTTTTATAATCCATGCCTAACTTACTACGAACTTCACGACATTCTTGTTGATAATCAATAGGTTGTACAAAAATATTTCTTAGTGATGCACTTGCTGCAAGAATAAGAACAGGATCTAGGCATTTAAAAATTGCTCTATGACATGTTATTTTAAATAATATTTATAAAACTAAACAAACCCCATTAAACACATTTTTCCAAGAGAAGGTTCAACAGGCCTAATATAGTTACTTTTGTTTTTTTACTTTCTATGAATTGCTTACAAAGTAGCTAAAATAGTACCCAAAGGTGTTAAATTTTCATTTTCATCCAAAGCGCCTAAAGAATAAAGTCTTTGAAGACCATTTTCTACCGCTTTTTTTGAAGGCGCTTCAATTGTCTCTGATAATACTTTTAATACTGAATCTTTCATTCCTATTGCTTTTATTTGCAAACATATTTCCTGTAAATCTGATCTAAGAATTTCTGGTGGCGATGCAGGTGTTAAAACAGCATGTCGATTTTTAGATATTAAGGCATAATAATGTCCGTCTTTTACTCTTCCCGCTCTTCCTGCTCTTTGTTTTGAACTTGAATGGCTAATCCAAGTAGAAAGAAGGCTAGTAATACATTTAGTTTGATCATATATTTTTTCTCGATGTTTACAAGTATCAACTACATATACAACATCAGGAATAGTAATAGATGTTTCTGCAATATTAGTAGCAAGTATTATTTTTCTTATCCCTGGCTCTAATTTTTTAAAAACTTCTTGTTGCATATGAGGAATTGCTGAATGAAGCATATAAATACGATATTTGGAGTTATCTGAAAAATCAAGACCTGCTCTACCTGATAGTAAAACTTTATTTAAAGAATTGATTTCAGAATATCCTGGAAGAAAGACTAAGATAGATCCATCATTAGTTGTTTTTACTATATATGAAATCGTAGTAGCAATAAGGCCATCTGGGATGTCTTTTTCATTCATAAAAGATAATTCTTCTTGATTTGAAGAGTTTTTTGAAGACCAATCTATACAAGAATTATGGTTATCTGATTCGTTTTCTGTAATTTCCATTTCCTTTTCTTTATAAGAATTAGAATTGAAAGCAGTCTCAGTTTTAATATATGAAGTAGTATCTTTATCAAAAAGTGCTGGCGCCTGTTTTTTTGAAAATGTATTTTTTAGATTTTGGTATATGTCTTCTAAAAAATATGAAGATACAGGAAAACTAGAACCGGGTATAAATATCGAAGGTGCCTGCTTATTTGGAAATTCTTCCCCAAAATACTTGCAAAACAAAATTGGATCCACTGTTGCGCTCATTAGAATAATTTTGATAGGAGTTAATCCAGAAGATTTTCTTTTTTTCATAATTTTTTTTAAAACAAAAAGTAAAAAATCTGTTTGAATACTCCTTTCATGAACTTCATCTACAATAATATGACTTACACTCTCAAGTATTGGTGATGATAGGTCTTGAAGCTGTTTTAAAAGTATACCTGTTGTACAATAATTTATACTCCCTACAGGTTTTGCAAGTTTACTATCAAATCTTACTTGATATCCAATAGATTCCTGCAATTTTTCATTTCTTTCAAAAGATACTCTTTGTGCTACTGAAATTGCTGCTATTCTTCGAGGCTGAGTACATAATATATTGCATTGTGCGCCAGTATTATTAAGAATTGCATCTTCAAAAATTAACTGAGGAAGCTATTATTGCATTAAAATAACACAGTATAAACAACTGTCATTGATACCTGAGTAGTTTTGCCGCTTCCAGTAGCTCCTACAATTACACAAACAGGATTTTCTTTAATTAGTGTTAATAAATTGTTCTTAAAAGAAAAAATAGGAAGTTTCTGTTTTTTTTCTAGTAAATCGTGTAATAAATGATCTTTGTCTTTTTTAAGTTCCTTCAAATGCTTCATTAGAGTTTCAGAACGCTGTTTTAGAAACTCTAGACTCGGTTTAAAAGGTGACCAGCTAAGATCTTTTTCCTTTTGAGAATATATCTCTTTAGATTTTTCAAAAGTTTGAATATTTTTTAATTTAGAGATAGTTTCCTTCATGATTTCTAATGATTTATTTGATATATTGGTTGGAATAAGTGATAATGGTCGCAAAAACTCTCCATTCCCTTTTTCAAGCTCTTTAATATATTCTGAAAATATATGAGGCATTTCTTTACGAATATTAAGTGCGTAAACAAGAAAACATGCTTCTTCTGAATCCTTTTTACTATAACTTTTTACAATATGTACTTATATAGAGAAATACTTACCTATACATTTCTGGAGACATTGCCAGAATCTTTTCATCAGCTTTTATTAATGCAATCCAAAAATTATCTTTCATTTTAAAAATAAGTTCTGTTTTTCCTTTTTTCGTTTTATATTCAAAAAAATGAATAAATTTTCTGGCATTAGATGTATTTAAAATTTCCCAATCTTTAATTAAAAGATTATTTTTATCATTTTCTAAATGATATTCTTCTGCTATTTTTTTGAAATTAACACAGGCAAGAATTTCTGCAATTCTACGATCAAATGATTTTCCTGTAGCCTCTAATCTAGGCTCTTCAGTATATACAGTAACTGCATAAACTTTCTTTTTTTTAATTTTCGTATATGATACAGACACTTCAAATTTTGGTAAAGCTAACCAACGAGATGAATAATTTAAAACATCCAATTTAGCATTCGCTTCTTTGCTAATTAAACCAAAATCATGATTTCCAATTTTATTTTCCTCAATTATATTAAATAATAATTTTTTTTCATACATTTTTGAAATGAAATAAAGGAATGCATTATTTCGAGCTTCTTTTGCTGTTGTTCCATGTCCTTTCCCTATAAATACATTTCTACGTATTCTTTCCGTACAAAAAGCATAATAAGGAAATGTTGTATAAGATTTATCTAATTTAATTGACAATTTTGGTTTCATACCAATAATTTCATATAAAAATATCTTTGGATCACTAAAAATACTTTTCGATATCCCTTTTTCATTTAGCTCCTCATTACGTGGAAATAACATGTTTTTTTCAATATATGTTTTATTATATAATATAGGATTCGACCTCGAATACCTTTTTATTTGATATTTTGTATTTCTTAAAAATTGTTCATTAAAATTATAAACTTTTATTCCTTTATTCTTTTCAATATTGTCTTCTTTATTTTTATCATTATTATATGACTTTTTAATCTTTTTTTGAATAGTTTGCGGCGTATCTTTAAAATGCATCCATCTTAATAAATTATATGAATTTAGACAATTAATATTGCTTTTTTCTCCTAAAAAAACACGAATCATATTTTCTTCTTCTTTATTCTTCTTTTCCTTCTTTTTTTTCTTAACTTTTCCCCTAATTTCTTGATCTGTTTTCTGTTTTTTTATATTTTTTTCTAATAACTCCTGTTCTGCCTTTCTTTTCTTATTTTCTTGATATTTACTCCGTTTTTCCTTAGTATTTCTATTATTCAACATATGAAATACTTATTATATCTTCTTAACACCTATTTTTTAACATTTCTCTGCACATTTTTAACCTAGAAAATTCATTAACAATTATTTAACTAATAACCTTTAAAAAATACCTTAAAATCCTCTTATTCTCTTCAAAAACTAATATAAAACACCTTTTTTCTAACATAAAATCTAAATTCTTACTTTTTGTGTTATTTTTTACTAAAATTTTTAAGACTTTTTTAACTTTTTATACTTTCGACTCGATAATTTCTTAATAATGTTAATAAGTATTTAAAATTATTTACTGTAAAATAAGCGTATTAATAAATACTTAGAATTTTTTTAACATTTTTTTCAAGAAATGTTATAATTTGTTAAAAAGTGCTAAGAAATGGGATTTTTTTGGACTGAATATAGTGTTAAAGTAGAGCCATCTAATTGTTCAAACAGTAGTTCTAAAAATTTAAATGAAAATTGCCCTATATCTAGGGCAGAAGATCAAAACATATGTCCTTATAAGAAACAGGAGGAAATTAATCCTCTTAATAAGATGCCTAAAGATCTTCCTCAGACAATGGCTTATAATCAAAAGAAATTACTTCCTACACGGCGTACATTATCATCAATTCCTAGAAATGATATTAATGAGAATTGGGAATATCCATCTCCGCAGCAAATGTATCATGCAATACTTAGAAAAGGACAAAAAGATGTTTCAGAAGATGCGGTAGAACCTATGGTAGAAATACATAATTTTTTAGTAAATAATAATTTAATATTGTATTTTTATTTATTTATATATATATATAGAACGAAAGTGCATGGAATGAGATAAAAAAATGGGAGGAGAGACGTGGATGTTATAATCCTAAGTTATCACATTTCAAAGGTAGAGCATCAGACTATACGCCAAAATCTTTAATATTATATTATATTGGAAAAATCTATCCTTCAAAATTTGGGTATTTTTTATTCGATAAAAAATATATAAATTTGAAAATTAATTTTATCTAGATCATCTTTACCTTTTGATAGACATGATTGGTACGTTTCTCGTAATGGAAAGATTGTTCGATATGTAATTGATTATTATGATGCACCTCTAGAACCATCAGGTGAAGTAGCATTTTATTTGGATGTAAGACCAGCTATTGATACACCGGGAGCTGTATATGATAGAATTAGTGCATGGACATCTAAAACATGGGCTCGATTATTTGAAAATTCTGGAAATTTACATTCCTGAATATTAAAATGTATATTTAATCATTAGGTATTTTTTCTTGTGATTTTGTGCATAGTTAAGAATTATTATTGGTACATTTTATTATTATTAATTGTTCATATACAATATTTTATTTTTTTTAATAATAATGGTTTGGGTTATAAATATTTTAAAAAATTGTTTTATGTTGTATTGAATCGATTATTTATGAATGATAATAGTTCGCTTTTGTTTTCCCTTATTTTTATTTGTTAATGAAATACTTAATATTAAAAAAATATGGTAACATACTGTTTATGTATAAAAAAATGATATATTCGTGTTATTGATTTCAAAATACGAAAAATGGGCATCTAGTTATGATCCATTGCTTTGATTCTTGATTGAATTTACAAGCCAATCAAGACCTTCATTTAATCCCTAAGATTTAAGTACCAAAAAAAATATAACCTATAAAATATCCCTACCTCTCCCGTAATGGCACTTGTGGGTATTATGGTCCAGTTTCTTTCCTTCATATCAACTAAATTAAGTGTTTCCGATATTTCTTCTACATTTAATGCATTTGGTGCATCTTGTTTATTTGCAAAAACTAAAAGATCAATATTTGATAACTCTTTTTCATTCAAAATTGCGTTCAATTCTTTCGTTGTTGCTGATAATCGCTGTATATCTGTTGAATCGATCACATATATGATCGCCTGCGTACATGTATAATAACATCGCCAATAACTAATGTTTATAAATTTTAAAATAATATATGAAATATGGTTATTTTACGGTCGAATTGACGTTTGACCTCCCAAATCCTATTGTTTTATTAACTTTTGAATATTTTTTTTGTTTTAATACCCAAACATTAAACTTGATATTTTTATAACACAAAGTTTCCATATTAAATCCAATAGCTAATATGTTTTAATAATGTAAGAAAAATACATTGACATACTCGGTACTGTTGTGATGACTTCTCCTACCTTGATATCTTGTAAGAGATGCAATAATATATAAAGAGTAAAACCTGCATTTTGTAAAGAATGGTCGTTTTTCCTGCTAAAAGGTTGTTAGAAACTGCGTAATAATGTTGTATATGCGTCATATATGCGCCATATATGCGTTATATATGCGTATTGTATGCGTATTGTATACGCCTTTTATCTTGTCTTACATACCTCCATCCAACCCTAAAATTAATACACGAATTTCTTTCTGTCCCCATAAATGTGATAATAATTTGCTAAATGTTCCACCTAACTTATTATTAATTGGAACTTATTAAGAATTCCTTTCAACCCATTCTTTTAACAAAATCTCGTTTATTTTTTTATATATTTCATTCAACGCTCGTTTTTCGATATTCATTTTTTAAAATTTCTTATTCGATTTTTAGCGCTTTTTAAACCTTAAATATCCTTTGTTTCCTCCTCTTTTACTGTATTCTTTGAAATCTTTTCTGTTCCATTGACTTGAGATTTTTTTGGCCTTTTTAAGTGCTTTTATACGCATATTTTTAATCAATTTATGCTTATTTTTCAATTTTTATGTTTCTGAATTTAATATTTTTATGGGCTTGAAGTTATCTTTAAAATATTGGTTTTAAGGGTTATCGAAATTTCTATGCTTTTTGGATTCGGAACAAATACATACGGTCAGCTTGGGGTCTCGGAATCATCGGATATTCGTTCACCAACACCTATTTATGAAATATCACCTTCAATTGTTTCAGCAGGAGGAAGACATACACTTTTTCTATCAGAGAACGGGGAGCTTTTTGTAGCAGGAAATAATAGTTTTTCCCAGTGTTGTACATCATCTAAAATTGATGGTTTTATACGTGCAACAGAGCAACGCTGGATTTTCGTTGCTGCAGGATGGGAATTTTCAGTACTTGCAACAGAAGATTCTGTTTGGACATGTGGACGAGGTGAACGGGGTGAATTGGGTCTTGGACAAGGTATTTATCTGACAGAATTACGACAAATACCAGATTTCCCTCCTATTGGACGAAAAATTGTTGATATAAAAGCGGGTATATATCATGTAGTATGTTTGCTTGAGAATGGTGAATGTTGGGGTTGGGGAGATACAAAATATGGACAATTAGGGCCAGGAAAATGTGAATATGTATTTAGTCCTAGACGAATGAATATTTCAGGTGATGTACAAGCAATTGCATGTGGAAGAGGATTTACAGCGACGCTAACAAGAAGACTGGATATCTGGGGACGTTTACGAGGATGGAAAAAGGATGATTTGCCACAAATTTCTATAGATCAAGTGAAAGCGATGTATGCATCATGGTCAGGCCTGTATTTTTTAATGCAAGATGGAAAAGTAGTATCAATTGGATGTAATGATTATGGACAACAATGTCCAGAATTTTTACCAAGATTAAGTAAATTGGCAGTAGGAAGTGAGCATTGTTTAGGACTTGGTATCGATGGAAAAGTTTATGGATGGGGATGGAATGAACATGGAAATATCAAGGAAGATCAAGATGATGTTAGGGAAGCATATCAAATAAAAATACTAGGAAAAGTTACATTCGTTGCTGCAGGATGTGGAACAAGTTGGATTTATGTTGAAAAGGCTGAATTAAGTGAAAATTCATAAGTTGAATATTAAAAATTGTTAAAAAATCATAATTTTCATTAGAATTCATGTCTAATGCATTTGTAAAGACTAATATTCGGAGATGAGTATTTAAAACAATTGTTCTAAAGATATGGAATTTTATGGATTCGAAAAATGTATTTCAAGTTTTAAAGAAATTTTAAATTGCATATTTAAAGATAAATTTACAACTTATATTTTAAAAATATGCATTTTAGAACTAGGTCCTGGTGAAACTGGTTCCAAAAAAATAATTTTCTAATGATAATGTTTAATATATATATATGATATATTATATATGATATATGATATTATTCGGATTTATATCATATTATTCGTATTTATAAGATATTATTCAGATTTATATGGTATTACATCTCTTTATATTTCCTTTTCTTATATAACTCCCTTCTATCCTTCTAGTAAAACCCATGTATATCTTCTATTTAGTATATAAATATTATTCGTTTATTAATTAACTGTTATCGATGTATATATTATGTATAGTTTTTGAGTATATTTTAAAAAATTCCACTAATCTTTCAATATTATACAACATATTTCCTTAATTATATGTTCTTTATGTCTCAATATAAACATTACTACCCTTAAATAACTGTTTATTCACTGGAGGATCATCTTTCTTCCGTTTTAATTCATTAATTGCCTGTTTATAATACTTAAGAATACTTGATACACTTTTAACCTTTGTAATAACATTGTCTGGCAATCGATGCCCTGTTTCTTTATATAAAGCTCGTACCATCTTGTTTAATCAACTATAAAAATATATTTTCTCATAATTTCTTACACGAAGCTTAAAAGACTGGTCTTCCTCTAGTATTATCTGTGACGATCCATCATTCTTACCATCCGTAGACTTAATAATAGCTGTTTTAACCGCTTCTTCTAGTTTTTTTATGTCTTTTATTGGTTTTTTCCGTCCATAACTAAACTTCATCAAAAAACTTCCTAATCTTCTCAATTAAATTACGGAGAAATCTTAAACCCATTTAATGACTCAAAACGACATCTATATCGTCTTCTTTCTGAGAATTGCCGCTCTTTAGGCACCTTAAATACTTCTTTTCCTTCTTCTTGACTTGTCTGCTGAACCTGCTTAGAAGTCGTATTTAGGCCCCGAATATAGTGATTTATACACAATATCTGCCTCTTATTCACTAAAACTGAGTCTATAGAGCCCAAATACCCAGTAAATATGGCTTTATAGAGGGTCATATTAATATGTAGTGCAGTACGACGAGGTCTTCAACGACAAAAAAAAAAGATAGGAATAAAACGGGTTAATATGAGGAAATTAAGCACATATTTCTTGTTTATTAGAATCGTTTATTTGTTTTCAATAGGTTTTCTCTTTGTTTCTGGAAAAAATGACCCATTACGAGGAGTTATAGAGACAAGTAAGTTTTTGATTTTAGTTAAGAGGATTTTGTCTGAAAAAACGGCTTAAAAATAGAGAAACATCTTTATAGAGGTCAAGGAGGAATGTGGAAATGTTTAAATACATCTCAATATATTTCTTTTTCCCGTATAAATGATGATTGGTGTGATTGTGAAGATGGATCGGATGAACCAGGTGAATTGAGGCGAAAAAAGGAGAAAATAAGTAGTTTATATATATAGGAACGTCAGCTTGTAGTAATGGAGTGTTTTTTTGTGAAAATTTGGGCTATATTTCACGTTATATTCCTTCATCATATGTGGTTTGTTTGATAGATATATTTGTTAATATTGTCTGAGGAATGGGGACAGAATGATGGTATATGTGATTGTTGCGATGGATCTGATGAGTATGAGCATAATATTAGATGTGAAAATACATGCGAAGAGCAGCATAAGAAATATAGCCAAGAATTAGCTAAGAAAGATTATATTTACAAAAAAGGATCTAAAATTCGTCAAACTTGGGAAGAAAAAATGAAACATATAGACAAGGATTTAGAAGATGAGATAAGGGATATTTCGAATGAGTTAAAGAATGCAATTCGTGAAAATCAGAAGTTAAAAAGGTCAAAGATTCTTGAGAATTTTAAAACCTTTGAAAGAGAAAATGTATCTTTTCCAGATATTCTTAATGAAAGTATCAGTAATATTTTTGAAAAACATAAAAACATGTTTTCATCTTTTATGGATTTATGGCAGGAGAAAGTAGGTTCTTTTGATGAGGCATTAACAAATTTAAAAGATAAATATGATGATGATCCATCAAATATTGATTTAAGTAATATGATAAAATCATTGGAGGAAATAAAAAGTTATTTAGATTCTAAAAATAATGGGTATAATGAATATATAGAAGAATTAAAGAATGATTATAATAAATTTCTTGAGTTTATTCAACAGGAATATCATAAATTTCAGTCTAAAGAAAGATCTTTCTTTTACTCTGTAGAGGAATGGATTAAACGTAGGATTAATCAAATAAAAAGATATTTTATATATCTTAAAATTTTGATTGATGATGAAAAAATTGATTCAGAAATTATAGGTAATTTTTTATTTTTATAATGAATTATTGAATATTTGAAGATAATTATGATGCTTCTGGTGAATCAAATCAAAAAATAGATGAATTGAGAGAGAAACTAGAGAAAAAAGAATTATTGAAAAAGGAAAAATATAAAAATTTTAATGTTTACTACGCTGTTAAAGATGAAGTCATTACATTTAAGTTTAAGGATTATATTTATGAGTTTACTTTTTTAAAAGATGCATATCAAATTTCTTCTAATGATAATAATCGTATTTTACTTGGGTAAAACTATTTGTCTTTCTAAACAAAAAATAATATTAAATTAGCTCTTTTTCACACTTTGATGGAGATAATAAGCTTTATTATCATAATGGTGACCGATGTTGGAATGGACCATTACGTTCTGTAGTAATAGAATTATTTTGTGGAGTCAAAAATGAACTTATTTCTGTAATGGAATACGAAAGATGTGTTTACTTTATGAAAGTATTAACACCTGGTGCTTGTACTTTGCCTTCAAATAAGATAAAAAGAGACGAATTATAAAAAAAAAGGAAAAAAACATAAATATTTTAATAATTAAGGACATAAAGTCGAGTATAACATATTCATTTCTTGTGTATATGTTTTTGATATTTAATACGGGTTTTTTTCAATCTATTTATATATATAAAAATATTCGTAATATTCATTCTTCTATACACAATGGTTGTTCAAGAAATTCAAACTTCTCAGGATTTTGATCGAATTGTTTATGATACAAACAATATTGTTGTTGTTGAATTTTATGCTACTTGGTGTGGGCCATGTAAAGCAATTGCACCTGTTTTCATAACCTTAAGTGAACATCCGAAATTTTCAGATATTATTTTTATTAAAGTAGATGTTGATCATCTAAGATCTGTTGCATCTAAAGCTAAAATTAGCTCTATGTGAGTGTTTTTTATCTGGATATATTTTTTTTTCTGAAAAAAAATGTTATATATAGGCCTACTTTTGTTGTTTATATGAATGGAACAGAAGCTGAGCGAATATCAGGTGCAAATCGCCAGCAATTAGAGTTTATTATTGAGAAATATTCAAGTATGGCTGTTTCAATAAAAGGGAAAGGTATTTATTTATTTTTATGTATAAAATGAGGTTATATATATATATATATATAGAGTCAAAAGATATGAAAGGATTTTATCCTTTGAATTGTTTTGTAGATGTTCGTCAGGTATATTTATAATTGAGGATTATAAAGAGTATATAAACGTTATAGTTGGATTGCTTAAATATGGATAAGAAATATCCTTCTAGATGTATATTTGAAAAAGAAGGATATTTACAGTCAGATGTTGATGAGCAATTGCTATTATATATTCCAGTATGAATTAATGGGAGAAGATGAGTAGATTAACATTTTGAATAGTTTAAATCAACCGTTCGTATCTTTTCGTTGGTATTAGAATGCAAAAATCAAAAACAAGCACCATCTTGTCTTTCTTTATATATAAATATGACTTCTCTTCCTTCATTTGATGATGTATCAGATTCAGGAGTTAAGCCAACTCAACGGATTGAAGAAATTTCATATGATGCAGATGGTTGTGTAACCATACCACTTAGATTTGTTAAATTTCAGCGAGTGGTTAGTCTTGTTCTTTTTGTAGAAGCAAATCAAGATGATGAGGTTTCAAGAATTGATAATTTGACAATAGTAGGCGAAACAGTAGAAGAAGCAGTTAATAATGGGATTGTGCAAAAAATGGAAGAATAGATAATATTAAATATTTTTATTTTTTGACTTAGTCTTTATGTCAAAGTAATATTTATAATTTAGCAATTAAAATATTTATGCTTTTATTTGTTATTATTTAGATGAGTATTATTAATAGTATGTAATATTATGCTTTTATTTTAGATATATGCGATTTTTGTATATTATTGTATAAATTATTTTTGTTTTTCTAATTTATTGATAAAATTTAGAGATCTTTGATAGACCCATAATGTAATTGCTCTATATTGTATTAAAAAAATAAATGAAAATGCTGTTAATTACGTAGAGGGGGCTGTCTTTAAAATAGATATTAGCCACCCTTTATAAAAACCTAAAAATCCCTCTGATTTAAAAATAGTAATTCCTGTTTTTATGATTTTGTTATAAACAGGAATGTCTTTATAAAAATATTTTTCCCTTGTTGGACCTTGAACCTATAATATAATTAATATTCCCTAAAATACATTCTATTATTTACTTGCAAGCGTTTTCTAATTAGATCTAATGGAAAAACAAATGTTTTTCCAACTGTGCCTGATATAATACCAGCAACAGCGTCCGTCAATGATGATGAATAACCAATATTTAATAGATACGTTTTTGAACCTTCATATACCCCAAATACAATTCCCCTGATGTGATAATTAGCATGTTAGTATATAAAATAATAAAATAGTACATATAAGGTATTATTTGTAAAATTGATGCATTAATACCACGGTAAAATCCTCTAATACCCTCTGAAATGTATACTGATCGAATTGAATGTGGAATAGATATATATACCTGTATTATATAAGTTTTATAAATTATTGAATACAAAATTCACTTTTGAAACTCCTTGTGCTGCAAATCTTGTTCTTAAAAGATCAAATGGATATGATACTGTTGTTGCAACTGTTCCTGCAATAGCCCCTGATACAAATGTTTTACCATGATTATATGTTTTCTCTGGAAAAATTCTATCCAAAAATAATTTACATTTTGCATAAGTAAAAAATTGACATGAACCATAAGACATGTATAAAATCTGTGAAAAACAATTTCCTTTCCATAATGCCTTGCTTTAATCAATATTCCTTTTTGTAATATATAAATAATATACAAATATTCCTTCTTGATAAATAATTTGTTTAACTGATCCAAGAATTTTTTGATATGGATAATTAGTAACATTAGATTCTCTTAATGGAAACGCTGGTAATACTTGAAGCTGCATTCGTATTTTAATGACATCAAAAGGTGATATAATAAATCTATAGCATATTAATATCTATATTAAAAATTATTATAAAAATATATACCTAACTATAAATCCTGAGATAGCACCACTGATTGCACTCTTAATTGAAGGTGATAACCCCTTCGTTGATGTGTTTTCTAGTGAATTTTCCTTCATTTATTCATTTCAAAATCCTTATAAATCTTAATGTTGATCTATCTTGGTTAGGGTTATTAAGTTGATAACTAGACATTCTTAGAAGATAAGAACAATTCAAATATTATGACGTTTCTTTCTTTTTGAAGTTTTAATTTAGAGCTATTAGTGTATTTTTTGTTTTTTCCTTTAAATGATATATCAAAAATATGTGCAAATTGTCATTAGTTTTAATATCAGTATTGAGATGTGTATATGTAAATAGTTGTTGAAAAGTATTGAAATTGATGTAAAATCATTAATTGATAATGTTATACCACTTTTTTTATATTTGAATTTTAGTATGTTTAATATTTTTAAACCAATAGAAATATGTAAATTGTTTTTTAACTATTATTTGATATGAAATGTATTTGGTAGATTCCAGATTAGAAATTTGAATGGATTTTCTGATAAAATTGATATGAGTTTTTGAAATAAAAGATCATTGTTAGTTTTTTTTTATGATAATATTTTCCTTGTATTAATGGAAATCTGTATTATTGAGTTTGATAGTATTACTTTTTTGTTCAATGCAATGTTTTTATCTTTATCATGATGAAGACAAAGATAAGAATATATTATTTCTTGTTAGATTTGAAAAATAATATTTATATGTAGATCCTTAGTTATGACTGTATGTAGTTTAAAGTATTTGAAGTTATAAACTATTAAAATATAATAGTTTTTATTTTAAAAATAATTTGCTTTTATAGTTTTTCCTTGATTTTTTGTATGTTTTTTGTGAATTTGATTTTATTGTGTTTTTTAATTAAGAATTATAGAATTAATTTTTTTTTAGAATCTTTAATAGATCATTGTTCCATTGTTTAGAGTAGTTAGAATAATGATGATTGATAGTTTTTTAGATTAAAAGAACTGTTTTTATATAAAATCCATAATTGATTATATAAGTTGTTTCAATAATTTTAAAAAAGACCATATAAGAAAACCTTTTGTTATTTTTTTATATAAATTCTTGTATTTTTAATAAAATTATTTGTAAAATAACATCATTTTGGAAACAATGATTTTGTTTACTTAACAATTGTCCCTTTTCTGAGGAAAATTGAATGAATCGAAAGAAATTGAACTTAGATTCCACAAATGTACTAGTAATGAAATAATGAAAAGCACTTGATTATCTGTTGTTAAAAGAAACTCCAATTCCTAATAATATAAGGATTATTAAAAAGTTGAAGCATATCATTTGTACAATTAAAAAATCAAGATATATAAGCAATTTAGAATATAAAAAGATATTTTACTTTGTATTTAAAATATTCGATATTTCATCGTTTAAATGATAAAAGCTAGTCAAGTAGTTGATAAAGATTAGATCTTTAGTGTCTTTAAAATTAGAAATTTTAAAATGCCTTTGATAATAATATATAATATTAAAAATTAAGAAAAAGTTCAAATATTTCTTGACATTTGTGATTGTTAAATAATTTTTGCTTTGTTTTATATTTTTATTTTAAACAATTCTTTTGTTTTAAAGAAACCTTTATGTATTATAATAATTTAATATAAAAGATATTTTATCTCTTATAAAAATTATGTTTTTAAAAATGTTTTTGTATTTTCAAGAAATAAGAAATATATTTCTAAAAATATTTATTAAATTGAAGAAATAATTTTTTGGCAATTTTAGATACATTATTAATAGAGAACTATTAAAAATTTAATATGAAATATATATTGTAATTGCACCATTAGATTTTAAAAAAGTAGATTTGAAGGTTTTTATAAAAAATATTAATTAGAATTTATTTTTTATATATTCAAAAATATAATATAAATTGATGTTTTATATATTCAAAAATATAATATAAATTTATATTTTTCTATTTATCTTTAAAAATGTATATGTTTTTTGACAATTACATGAAAATAAATATTAATATTTTCAATGTAATTTTAAAATAATTATTCATAAATCATTATATATCTTTTAACATTATTTTTTTCGAATATCTAGGTTTAAGTTATTTTTTTTTTGTGTTATAAATATATCTTTTTGATAATCTATCTATTAAAAAAATCATTTAATAATTATTTTTCACCCTTAATATCTTTAAAAATGCTTGTTTTTACTAAAAAAACAGCTAAACTAATATTTTTATATAATCTATAAAAAAAGCAAATAGTTTTTTTGATTGATTTAAAATTTGGAAAATGGAAAATAAGAAATAATTAAAAACAAAAACATAAATTATTATTTATTCAATCAATACATTTCATATTTCATATTTCCTATCTCCTATTTCCTATTTTTTAAATCAATAAAATCATTTCTTATATAACATTGATAAAGATTCATTTATATAATCGAAAATAAATAAATAAATAAAAATAATCTAAAGATATATTTTTTACCCTTTAGCTTTTAAAATTATTTCTAAATAAATATTAAATATATTTTTACATCTATTTGATCCATATATTATCCATATATTATCCATATATTATCCATATAATTTCATTAAAAAGCACTTATAAGATGTAAATAACATTATTTTTTTTAAAAAAAAAAAACAAATTTCATAGTAAATTTCTCAAGTTAATTACATGTTTTTCTTTAAAAAAAATACAATTATTCTTCACATTTTGTCCTCTTTTCTTCCCTTAAAGTTCTTTATCACGTGATTCAAATCACGTGATTTCTTGCACTCTTAACCCTCTGAAAATCGCGGTTCCTGATATAAGTTTTTTGTTATTTTAAAGCTTTTAAAAGGATGGGTTTGTTACGCAGCCCATATGAGACTCTATCTTTAGAGAGAACAGCTACTAAGGAGGAGATACGAAAAGCTTATATGCGAGAAGGTCAAGACTAAGATGATTTTAAGAATATATTAATTATAAAGCAGCATTAGCAAATCATCCTGATAAAGTCCCAGTAGAACATCGTGCAGCAGCAGAACATCGATTTAAGGAGGTAAAAGAGGCATATGAAGTGTTATATGATGGTAAGGAAAGGATCTAAAGAACATTTGTTCTTTAGAGATTATGAGATTCAAAAATTAAAGAAAATAATAGACAATAAGCGACGTCTTTTTGATATGTATGGTTTAGAATGTGCACCGCCAGAAACAGTACATGAAAGGTCGGTGAATGTTCGCATGAATGATTTAGGAGCAGACTGGTTTATGTCTGCACATGAACAATTTATTCAACATATGTTTCCTCAACAAACAATGCAGTCTTTTTTTAGTGAATTTCATACGTTTCCAAGGTTTTCAAGGAATATTTCTACAAGTATTTTCGATGATGTTTCTTTTATGAATCGATATATGGATCCCTTTGATTTTTTTGATGAAATATTTGCTGATCCTTGGTTTCGACGTTAGATGAGTATTTTTCTCTTTTTAAATGAGTAAAATAAATGCGATAAAGGGAAAAATTGTGTGTTTATTCATATTTTTATTTGCTATTTTAATAATAATTCAATCTAAATTCTTTTTTATTATCTTATTTCACTTGATTCGATTCTTTTTTGGCTGATGCCTTTCGTTCCATTTCATGCTGAATTGCCTTTAAACGTCGAATCTATATTAATATAAATTTTTTTTTTTCATTATTTTTAATATATACTTCTTTAGCATGGTGTAAACATTCTAAATAGTCTTCCATTTCTTCAATACATACTCGTTTTTCTTTTGTATCATCTAAAGATGCATAACATCCCTATATAATGACAATATAAGTCTTAAATACCCTTCTATTCTTATTTTACCAGAAATTGCTGCCAAAATGGAAAACAACGTGATCGTCCACCGCTATAACCGTATCCTAATTCTCGTTAAATTGTATATACGTTAGTCCTTCATCTACCCGATGCCATTTAAAATATATATAAATAACTTGTTAAATTGTTAATAATATATAAATCATTAAATAGAAAAGCTATTTATTAATAAATTTTACTTAATGGTTTGACGTTTATAAAATTTCGGTTTTAAAAAAAAGGTAAAGAATAAAATAAAAAGATATAAATTATTAATTTAATAATGCTTTTTAAAACAAAATAGTCTTTTATATTAATTTTTTTGTTTTTAAAGTTATTTTTTATTAGATTTATAAAATATAAAATAAATGTATATAATATGTTTCTGTTTAGATAATAATATTCTAATATATTGAATCCTATAAAATTTATTGGTTTTGATTTTTTTATTTGTGTTTTTTTTTTTTGAAAATGTAATTTCATATATATTGATCACGTGATTTTTTATATATAAGTCCAGTTTCCTCCGATTTAAATTTTACAAAAAACCATAAGTTTGTGAAAAATTGTTTAAAATTAAATGTTTTTAACGGTTTTTAGGATGCATTGTGAGACGACTGGGACGAATAACGTGCCGTTGGGGTCGCGGCGACGTTTTGGACAAGAAGAGCCTGGGATGGAGGCAGAACGGGATGAAAAGCAGGACGGGAATCGGTATATGCCTCCATTGCCGTCTGATTCATCTGCGCCTCTGCCTCCAGGAGTGGATGAGCCGCGTGGGTTTAGAACAGGAGGTCCTCGGGTTCGAAAACGGAAAAATAGATGGGGTACGGGGGGTGCAGAAGGAAATAAAGCACTCGGATTGATTGGTCTGCCAACGGCGATTACGAGTAATATGACGAATGAGCAGCTTGAAGCATATGCTCTTCATATGCGGTTAGAAGAAATAGGTCAGAAATTGCGTATTGGTGATGTTGTACCTCGTGATGGTGAAAGGTAGGTTAATTTTTAGATGGATTTAGGCATTTTGGTAATAGAAATAAATAGATCGCCATCACCTCCTCCTCAATATGATAATTTCGGTCGTAGAACGAATACACGTGAAATTCGATATCGAAAACGTCTTGAAGATGAACGACATCGTTTGATTAATAAAGCGATGTGTACAATACCTGATTTTAAACCTCCTGTTGACTACCGGCGTCCCACTAAAACCCAGGATAAGATATATGTCCCCGTAAATGATGTATGTTGTTGTGGTGTTTGTTTTTTTTGTCAATAACTTGTTTAGTACCCGGAAATCAATTTCAGTTTATACCCCTTTCTTCTTAACATTTTGAGGAGAATACTTGAGCTAACCTATGGAATAAAGTTGGTCTATTGATTGGACCTCGAGGCAATACTTTGAAAAAAATGGAAGCCGAATCGGGCGCGAAAATTGCTATTCGTGGCAAAGGATCAGTCAAAGAGGGAAAAGGCCGTAATGATCCTTCTGCCAATAGTAATCTTGAAGAAGACTTGCATTGTCTTGTAATGGCGGATACCGAGGATAAAGTCCGTCATGCGATTAAATTGATCGAAGATATTATCGAGACAGTAAGAAAACGTATATTATATTATCTTCGTTTTTTTAATACCTATCTAAGGCGGCATCTGTTCCTGAAGAACAAAATGATCTTAAACGGCAGCAATTACGAGACCTTGCAACACTTAACGGTACACTTCGTGATGATGAAAACCAAGTTTGTCAAAATTGTATTTTCCTTGATATTTCGAATAAAGCTTATAAATTGTCGTAGGCGGAAATGTTGGTCATCGTCGATTCGATTGTCCAGAACGACAAAATTTTACGGCTAATGTCGTATGTCGGATTTGTGGAAATGCGGGACATATGTCTCGCGATTGTATAATGAGAAACGATCCTGAGGTTTTGCGTCAGCTAAACAATGGAAATGACGCTGCTGATCGTGAATATGAAAATCTTATGCAAGAACTTGGTCAAGGGCGGAATGAAGCAGGACGAATTGAGGGTGCTAGTACGGCTCCTTGGGCATCCCTTACGGGTTCAGGTGCAGCTCCTCCTTGGGTTAGTATATATCGCAAATATATCTCATGTATGTTTAATCCTATTCTTAGGCTAAAGCACTTCCTGATGCTCATAATGCTTCGGTACCGCCTCCATGGGCTCAACCTAGTGCATCAATACCACCTCCACCTGGTGTTTCTCAGAGTGCTTATGGCGTTACTTATGGTGCTCCTGGAGCTGCTCCGCCTACATTACCTATGTATGCGCCTCCTCCAGGTGTGTCTACATATGGCTCATCAGGCTCTATGTATGCTTCTATGCCTCCTGGATTACCCACATCTAATCCTCCTCTTCCGAATACTCCTTATTAGCCCTTATCTCTATCTAATAGATCATACGGTATATCTCCACCTCCTCCTGACGACTATAAGCATTCTCTACATTTGTAATATTATTACATGTTTTTTATATTAATTTCATGTAGTTGAGAAACAGTATTTTCTATAGCAAGATAGATTGCTCTGTAAATTATTTTTGGTGGCAATTGATTTTTATTAATTTGTAAACTAGCTTTTTAGTCTTGGGTTGGTTGTTAAACTTTAATACTAAAAAAGTAATAGATGTTTTCAATTATAAGATTAGACATTTATAAATAAGGAATATTTATTTTGAATGGTAAATAGCAGAAATGGCTTTTTCCTCAAAACTACTTTCTTTCATCTTATCAAGATAATAAATTGCTAAAGGTCTGATAAGTAAAAATGATTAATATTGGTGGGATCAATTAACCTATAAGTTTTTCTGTGTCAAAAAATATTAATTTTGGATCATTTTTAATTATGTTCATATCGACCAATGGATAATGATCAAGTTTGTTTGAATCAATACAAGGTGTATTTAAAGATATATAATTTAATATAAGATGAAATAAAATTGCTTGAAGAGATGTGCGTATTAGTGATTCTGATAACACTTTATTTTGCGATAAGATAAATAACGTTTGTAATGCATTAAAGAAAGAAAGAAATGGTAATAATATTGATTCTGGAGTCGTTATGGCTAGTAAAAGTGCTGTTTTTTGTATTTCTTTTAATGATTTGCAACTATCTTTTAAAAATTAAAAAAATACATATGATCAGTTATTGACATGCCTTGAACATCCCATTTTGATACATATTGTGATATATACAGTGATTTTTCTTCTGTAAAAGAATCTGAATGATTTGTCTCTTTTTTAATTCTCTCTTTTTCTGCTACCTTTGAAAGAAGATCTTGTAAACTACATGTACCATGTTTCCATTCATGAATATTTATTTCCTGATCTAATAGAGGCGGCTTATGTATATTTAAACACATAGATACTAAAGCTATATTAATAGTAAGAATATTGTCTTGAAAAAATAATACAGTATGTATACCTTCTGACATCATTTCTCGGTTTTTTAGTATAAAACTCAGCCCAAGATGAATTGTAGAATACATATCTTTTAAAGATTTAGTTTTTAGTATTCAACTTTTTTTCTTGCCTCCTTGTAATAAAGATGGTATTAATATATTTTGTACATAAAATTGAACAGTTTTTAAGTGATCACGATTCATATGTATCAGTTCATCATCAAAATAATGTTTATATGCCTCTGCGTAAGATAAATTGCCAAAAAACATTTGCCAGTCCGACTGTGTAATTACAGACGGACTGGGCTTCCAAGGACAATCATCAGATATGATCTGATCGTATACAGCAAGTAGATGTTTTGAGGATGTATTCAACAAGTATAGAATGGGGATGTGCTATTTTTATGTTAGCTGGAAATGGGAAAGGAAGCACCCGAAGTTACTTGCAAAAACATGTTGGGTGTTCCTGATTGATGGATAACTGATATATTTGTATGATTAGCGCGGATTAGATATTCTAAAGTATGCCGTGCTGAATCTGGATGTGTTGGTAAAGTGGTTGGCATAAATCGTACTGTTTTAAAAATTGAAATTATAAGACCCATTTTTATGATATATATGTTAAAAAAGTAACGTAATATTATGACAAGAGACTTGGTTATTAGTATAGAAAAGATTTAAAAATAATAAACCGTGGGTTGCAGAGGGCTATTTTAACGTAATAAATCTAGTAGATGTTAAAAAAATACAATAAAGAGGATAAATGACTTTCGATCTTTGTAATACTTTGATCAAGAATTTGTTGTTGTATTTTTGGTTGTTGTAATTCTTTTTCAACTTTTGAAATGACTGTATTGGCAAGATATGCTTGTTCTCGTTGTCGAAGAGCTGATTCATAGCGAACCCATGAATCAAGAACTGCTTTAGCTTGCTGTTGAGCTGCAACAAACTGCGAAAGTTCAAATGCTTTTGCTTCCATATTTACCGTTTCCTATAAAAATATATTATTTTTAAAATAAAAAAAAATTAGAAATTTCTACTTTTGATACTTCAAAAAGATTTTTTGTAACATCGACTACATCTTTTAACGGCTTAACCGCTTTAATACGTTCATTTATTACTTCTTTATGTTGCTCTCTAGCGTTATTAAGTAATGAACGTACATGATTAATATGTCCATCCATCCAGTTAATATAACCTTGTTTTCCCGATTTTACCAGGAACCATACAATACTAAGAAAACTTCCAAGAATAATAGTCTCCTCATTAACTACATAAAGTTCATTCGAAATTGCTGCTATTGATAACACTGTTCCTGTAGCAATCATCCCTGTTTTAGATAAAAATGATGATTTAGGCATCATATCAATAATTGATTCTGCCTTTAATTTCGGGTCCATTTTTGTAGAAAAACTGCGTCTATACCATCTATATTGTCTATTAGAATACCGAAAATCTATTAAAAGCCTTGTTTAAAGAGATTCTGCTCACTTTTCATGATAAAAAACTTTTGATGAAATGGGCCTTAAACTTGTCAAAATTCCTAATAAAATACATTAGTTTTTAAATAAAAATAGTTCTAAATAAAATGCCTCTAATTCCTCTTGTTGTTACAGGAAATAACATGTTTTTATGTCTTTTTTTTAAATTCTTAGAAAATGGTTTTTTTGGTGAAGTCCGATCACCAACTCGATAAAAACTCTATATTAAGATGTGGTTTAAAGATGTATAAAAAGAGCAGATAAAGGGTTTATTAGTGATATTCTTGATGGGTTGTACGTTGGAGAATGATTTTGGCGAAAAAACGGATAAAAATGGTGAAAATTTGGGGCTAAAAAAGCAAGTTAATATTTCTAAAGAAAGTTGCCAAAATGTGGAATTAACAGAGTTATATAAGGTATTTTTAGTTTTACTATGTTTTTTTTTTTAGTTTTAAGTCTGATTTATGTAGGATTTCTCGAAAGAAGCAAGTCTTGAGGCAGAATATAGCGTTTATAAGATATTTTGTGGTTTATTTAGATCAGGAGGGCTTTGCCAGCCAAAAAATATATCTTCTAAGTTATATGGTGAAGAAATATATGTTTCTTATAGAGAAGCATATGTTTGTTTTATTATTAAGCTTTTAAAGAAGTTGTCTATGTCTAAATTTGAAGAACAAGGACATGCGTTTGTGTTACTACTTGGATTGATTCGTAGTGAAAGTGAATGTAAAGGAGGGGGATTTATGAATGATCAATATTATAGAGTGTTGAGATCGATTCTTTTGAATAAAGATATAAATGTTTCTATTCTTAATTATATAATAAAAGAGTACTTGGATGAATATATGGATTTGCAATATTATTTTTATATAAATGCATAGTAATATTGTGCGTGTGTATTATTGCTGAATATTAATTTTTATAGTAAGGTTATTAAGGAAATTTTGAGTTGTAAAGATGAAAATTCTATTTTGGCTAAAGGGTTTACGAAGAATCTTTTGGTTTTTTTAATAAATATGAAACCAATTTTTTTGGATATTAAGAAGTGTTGGGTTTCTTGTTCTGAATCATTTATGCAAAAATTTCAAATTTCAAGGCAGAAACGTGTATTTTCTAAATGTTGGATTGCTGCTCTTGAATTACCTTTAAAACATCATCAGTATAAGCAAATTTTGAATATTCTTCACTCTAATGTTCTTCCTTTTTTGTCAAAGCCTCAATTATTGATGGATTTTCTTACAGATTCGTATGATGCAGGTTAGGTTTTGTATAATAATTTTGTTGTTTTTAATGGTTAATTAGGTGGCGCTGTTTCTCTTTTGGCTCTTAATGGCTTGTTTTATCTTATACAAAATCATAATCTTGATTATCCAAATTTTTATACTAAGCTTTATACATTATTTGATGAAAACTTGTTTCATATTCGATACCGTGGTCGTTTTATAAAGTTGGTTGATCTTTTTTTATCTTCTACGTATAGTCTTATTATTATTATTTCCTTTTTTTGATCTTTTTAGTCATTTGCCTGCAATTATTGTTGCTAGCTTTATTAAGAAAATGTCTAGACTTAGTCTTTCAGCAAATCCTGGAGGAATAATTATGATTATTCCTTTAGTTTATAATTTTTTGAAACGACATCCAACATGTATGGTTCTTATTCATAGAACATCTGTTAATTCAATCTTTAATGGTATTTTTATATTTATTGGATATATTTTTCTAATTTCTAAATAGATCCTTTTTTAGATCAAGAATTAGATCCTAGTAAAACAAGGGCTTTGGATAGTAGTTTGTGGGAGCTTTATGTAATTTTTTTATACTTTAAATATAAATTTTTGCTAATTATATAGACGCTTGTAGATCATTATTATCCTTCTGTTTCAACACTTGCTAGGATCTTATTGGAACAATTTACAAGAAATAGCTATAATTTAGATGATTTTCTTGATTATTCCTACACAAATGTATGTTTTTTTAATAAATTCAAATCTAATCGCTATAGATAATTGATACTGAAATAAATTGCAAAGTTAAAGATCCTCCTTCGATAGAATATAGAAGTGCAAATGGCACTTTTGTTGCAGAAGAAGGTAATAGTTGTTTATTTACTTCATTATGGGATTTGAGTGATATATCTGTATAATAAAAAAATATCTGTAATTTATAAAATATAAAATTAAATTTATTTTCTTAATATTTAGTATTCATTGTCTATAAATATAATCCAATAATTATTTCTTTTTAAGTATATCATATATTAATGACATAATTTTTAATAATTTCATAGACAGAATATTTAATATATAGTATTTAATTAAATAGTTTATAGTATTTAATTGAATAGTTTATATTATATAATTGAATAGTTTATATTATATAATTCTATTTTTACTCACTAAAAACTCTTCAATAATGATTTGTTTAAAAGATATAGATGGTTAAAATGACTCGTCTTTATTTATATGTTCAAGTCTTGTTCCATATTAGGGAATTATTTAGAGATCATCAAAAAAATGATTCTCCAAGAATAAACATTCTCGGACTTTTTAAAAAAGAAAAAGTATGACTTGAAATAATGAAGAAAAATTAAAATTATGAATGAAAAAAGTTTATGTCTTATCAAAATTGTCTATTTTAGTTATTCATTGATTTTTAAAATAATCTAATAAAACATTCAGGGCTTCTGATTCTTCCCCGTATTCTTTAACAACTACACATGAACCTAATAATAATTATTCATACATATAAATTCATTTCAAATATTCACTTCTAACAACTTTTCTAGCATTTCCTTCTCGATCCAATGTACATAATCCTGCCCATTCTCCGAGCTTTTTTGAATCCGAAACTTTAATTAAATTAATATTCTATTAAAAATTAGGCTTTTCTTATTCAAAAATAAATACAAAAAAAAAACATGTTCTGCACAAAGAGCTTCTATAAGTTTTGTATACGCCTCTTCGTCACACGATTCCGAAAGAACACATAAATGTGCTTGTCGTCTACTCCTCAATTAGATTTCTCCCTTAATTTTCCTCGAATATTTTAAATTTATTCGCTTATCTTTATTCACCTATCAAGTGCTTTTACACATTCTCTCAATCCACGAGCAAGTCCATCATGAACCAACGCTTTCTTTAGCACTTGTTGAAGTGCTTCTTCAACTGACATTGAACTTCTACTCGCTACTATCTCTGAAACTTCATCTCCTTCTGGCATGATGGATTTATATCTTAATTATTCCTATTTTTAACCGGAAAAAAAATGCCTTCTCCAGAAAACAATTACCAAAAAAACTTATTTAAGAGCTTATTTTTTTCTCTATTATTAGCTCTTAATCTTTGATCTTTTAAATATTTAAATTCTGACGTCTTAAACGAGCTCTTAGAAGGTTGAAATTTTGTGACTTTAAATTGGAAAGTCACGTGATATCTTGAGGACTATAGTAGATTGTCAAATAGCGGTTAGGGTTAGGGTTTCCTGTTTTGGTAATTTTCCTGGGGTTAGGGATATTCGAACTCAAATGGGATTAGGGATCAGGGTTGCCTAATTTGGTAATAATGGTTGCCTAGTTGGGTAATAATATAAGGGTTAGGGGTATTTGGTTTATAGTGGGATTAGGGATTAGGGTTGCCTTTTTAGGAAATGCTCTTAGGGTTAGGGGTATTGGTGGAGTTGTTGAGATGAGGGATTAGGGTTGCCTATTTAGGTAATAATATTAGGGTTAGGGGTATTAAAACTAGTATTTAGTCTTACTTTAGAGTTTAAATTTTTAAAAATGAAAGGATTTAATAAAATTTATTTAGAATTGAATTGGTTTAAATATGTATGATGCAATTGTTTTTAGTCGAATATATTATATTTTTTTGATAAGTGGTTTATTAACAGTAAGAATTATTCCATCAACGAAACGATGGTTATATTATGGGAAAATATTGGAATGTATAGATTATAAAGGGAAGATTAAGTGGCCAATATCATGTATAATGGTTCCTAAGAAATATTTTATACATTTCTATATAATTTCTATTTTATCTACATGTTTTTGGACAATTGGAATATATTTTTGTCGTTTTTGTAATAAGTGCAATTGGATTGGATATTTTTCTAATAATAAGACACAATCATTGTTTGAAGTGTATATGTGTTTGTTATTTATGGGTCTTCATGGAATTAGACGTTTTTATGAATGTTTGGTTATTGAAAAGTATAGTAATTCTCAAATGTGGATAGGACATTATCTTTTAGGCTTAACGTATTATTTATTTTGTAATATAAGTATGTGGTGTGAGGGTGGAGGCAATTTAAAAAATCTAGGTAATAAAGAAAAAAAAGAATATTGTTATTAAAAGATTTATCGATAATAGCTATAAGAGTTTTTGATTTTGAAGACAATTCAGTGATTGTTGTTTTTTTTTCTATTTTGTTTTATTGTTTTTTTTCTTGGATGCAACATTCTAGTCATATTACTCTTTCAAAACTTCGTATACACCCTAATTCACCTAAATATTCTCTCCCTACTTCTGGATGGTTTAAATACATAACATGTCCTCATTATACTGCGGAAATAGGTATTTATTTTAGTTTTGTTGTATTAACTCGTGCTCAAAATAAAACAATATTTCTTATTTTTATATGGGTTATTCTTGTTTTAACAATATCTGCTTCTCAAACATATACTTGGCGCTTAAAAACATTTGGAATGCATGCTCCTCATTCTCCTTGGATTATTTTTCCTGGTATTTATTGATAGTTATTTTTTCTATATACATCTTTCTTATATATTTATATTTATATAAAATAACATCATAGTTTTCTTATTTACATTTATTAGTTTTATAGGACATTTCATTTAGTATTTATAGATCTTTTTTAAAATATATACTTTATTGTATTGTAGCTGCATCGTTATGTATATAACTTCTTTTAAAGTATCGTTTTATACCTTTTGTCTGGAATTAACAAAAAATTCTTAGTGAGTTAAGATTATTTATTTTTAGAGATAGTATTTTCTTATGAAATAGACATAAGGGTCGCTAGAAGGTTATTTTATTATGAATCAAGTGCCTATTATAGCTGGTCATAATGAAGGAACAAATGTTGTACCTGACAGAAATTGGAGGAGTACTTTAACGGCATCAGAGAAACATGCAATTATATTTCATCTGTAAATTTCTTTTTCATATGTAATATTTGTTTACGAGATTAAATACAGGGTTTCAGCACTGCGGGCGGTATCATCTAATGTTTCACAGGAGCATTTGATTGCTATTGTAAATGCTTTTGAAAAACAAGCATATGAAAAAGCCAACAGCAAAGTTTTGGAGCTATTTTTGTATTTATTGATGATTAATTGTGGCTAGACGGAATATATTAATATTTGTAATAATAAATTGATGTATATTAAAGGAAGCGCTGCAGCAAAACAACATTTATCACAAGCACAGAATCAGCGGCCAACAATGTCGTTTTTTCCTCAGATTCCATGTCAACAGATTGTTTCAGGACAGATGAAAGCGTTTGAAATGCCAGGGACATCTAATTTAGTATCTCCATCTTTTACACATTCACCTCGAATGTCTCGACAGCCTATGAGTTCACACTCCCAATTTCAACAAGTTTCACCACTTTTAAACCAGCAGATGACTCTTCAGCAGAAACAAATGTTAATGAGACAAGCTTCTGTGAATCAGCATCTTTCAGATCAGAATTTAATGCCAGGTTTAAACCATTCTGTGAATCAGCAGAGCCATATTTCGAATTCTGCTTCTGATCCATTGAAACGTTCACCATATTCTGTTCCTCAACAAAAGGCATCGCAAATTCAACAAATGTTAAATCAATTACAGACACAAAATAATCAGCAGCAAATTCCGAAATATATGTCTCACCAAGCATGTGTTTCTCAAGGGCTAGATGAGAGGCATCAGACACTTAATCAACAGAAGATTCATATGTCTCCACAAACAGATATTTATCAGCAATGTGTTGATAATCCTTTACTTAATTCTTCCAATGTAAATTTGCAAAAACTTTTAGCACTGAATCAGGCTATTCAATCTCAAAACAAACAAATTAATCAACCTATTTCTCAAAATAAACAGTTGCTTTCTAATCAAACATTACAAAATTTTTTGTCACAGGTGCAGGCACCTGTGCAGCAAGTAGTTAATCAACAGGCGCAAAAAATGCCTAGCCAGGTCATAGGATCCTTTATGCCTTCTCCGGAATTTAAAAAGAAAATGGATCCTTATTTGAACCCTTGTAATTATCTTATTCCACAACGTATTTTGTCTCAGTTTCCGGAATTACCTACTAATGTTTATACATGGAGCCAAGTTGCAGAACTTATAAGAAATCAAAGACTAAGTCCCGAACAAGTAGCTCGTGTTCATGAACTTTTTTATCAGCATGCATTATATCTCCAATTGCATTATCAACAAATTCAACATATGTCTAATCAATCTGTTAACCAATTTCGACCTCAGCCTCAACTTCAGCCTACATCTCAGCATCATTCTGTAAATCTAAGTCCGCAGATTCAGCAACAAATGCGGAAGATTCCAGTGCACCAAATGCAACAAATATCAAAAGGGAATGTTTCTTCTGAATTTTTACAGCCTGAATGGTTTTCTGAGGCTTCAAATTTTCCTACACAATACCCGTGCTCTTTTTCTCCTAATGTTAATGTTTCTTTAAATAATCAAACTTCTCAACAATTGCAGTCTCAGTCAATTGATCAGTTATTAACTATGGTTCAATGTGATAATACTTCAGGATTAAAAAAGAAAGCAAGGGCTTCTGTAAAAGTTAAAAAGAAAGACGATATTAGGCCTGTTAATGATCAATCACCTGTGTCACGAACATCTAATATGGCTTCAGTATCTACTCATAATCAGCAACCCGCTCAGATTCGACAAGGTATTATCTATTTATAGATATTATTTTTTAATCTTGTAGATTCTCCCAAAAATCAACCTGATATTTCTATTGTTCAAAGGATTTTAATGTGTGGTGGTAAAGAGGCAAATATACAAATGACTACTCGTCTTAGACAAATTCAAAATGAAGTGGAAAGAAATGGTGGTAAGTTACGCTTTGTTTTCAATTGTAATGATACATATAAGCTATAGTTAAGTGTATTCCATTAAACGATCTTACTCAGATTCAAAAACAACAAGTTTGTGAATTGATTGCAGAAATGAGTCAAATGTATCATCGAATTGATATGCTTTTGCCTTTATTTATGATTCTAAGTTGGAATGAATCTGCTATTATGCAATTGCTGCAAATGGTATCTGATATAATTATTTTTATTTATGTTAATAGGATTTAGAAATTAATTTATAAGAATCAGCTTGATGTTTTGCCTCAAGGAATTTATTTATGTTATCCCTCTCAGCTTATTAAAATCAAAAAAATGATTTCTGAATATTTTAAATTTGTAAAAATTAGTGTTCAAGCAATTCAGAAACAAATTGAAAATGGGAAATCCTTGCCAGATAAAATACCGATAAATCTTTCTGAAATAGATCCGAATATTTCTAGTTTTCAACCCTTTTTGGTCGACTTTTCTTCTTTAGAGGCATCTAATGAAGCTTCGTTATTAAAACCATTAAAAACTGATATAAAAATTAATGCAAAAGTTGATAATCCAGAAGAAGTTTTGATAAATGAGAATAGGTTTGGCGTTGCTAATAATTCTGATGGAATTGACGTACAAAATCGAGAAAATAGTATTTCCAATTCTTTTGATAAGGCTGATTCTCAAACTTTTGAGGTTTGAAAAATTATTGAATGTTTTAATAAAAAAACTGATTGGAAATAGTTACCTAAAGATTCTTTTGATTCTCAAGAAAATAATAAAATTATAGAAGATCCATTGGATTACCCCGTTTTGAATGTAACAAATGTTTTAGAGACAGATGACGTTAATATGATTTTCTCAATGGATAAGTCATCACTTCTTAATGAGGAAAAAAATATGGATGTTTTATCTAATAAATTTGGATCAGAAATTATTTCTAGTCTTGTAACAAAAATTCCTCAATCTCTTACGAATATTCCCTCGAATCAATTTTCAGGAAAAGTGCAAAATGATTCTAATAATAATAATTCTGCTATTGAAAATGATAAATCATCTTCTGATTTAACTATGAATTTTCTCGAAAATGAAAAATTATTTTCCCCAGAAACATCTTTTCCATTAGTTACTTCAGATGTTTTGGATACTGAAAAAACATTGAATGATTCAGATTTTGAACAATATCTTAATTCGACTTTTAGTGATAAATTTTATGAAAATAATACATCAAATTTTGATAAATTGCAAGAAAAAAATGTTGAGTCTTTATTCTTTATTGATGAAACAAATGTGGGAAATGGTCTTAGTGAAGAGTTGGAATGGGATTTTGGGGTATCTGATATCGGTTCTTTTAAAATAAAAGATTTTTATGCGTCAAATAATGAGAATATATGGAATGAAGAGCTAAAGACCGAAGATTTATCTACTATTGGCTTAGGAATTATAGCTAATGTTTATTAGTTATGTCTATTATCAACATTTATAATTGAATATGCAAACGTTTGCATTTATTATTTAAATATACTTTGATTTAAATTAAGTATTAATTACTAATTAAATTTTTATAGTAATACTTGAAACATTTTGTATTGCAGTCATAATAGCTTTATAGTTATCGAAGGTTATGAGTACTATTTTTGCAATAGTAATAATTGTTTTTATATTATTATATTTTTGTTAAATATGCTTTTAAAATAATAACTGTAGCATATGTTTGATTATTTTTGATTGTCTGATATTCCAAGAACCCAACCTATAATAAATAAGTATTGTTTTAAAAAAAATAGTTATATACCAAGACCAGATGTAAATTTTTGTGTTACAACGTCTGCTAGATTATTTAGTGTATTAGAGTTTTTAAGCTCCTGGTTAGTGAAAGCTGATTCTTTTTCTATTTTCTTCTCAGTATGTAATATTTTTTGTTTATTAAAAGGAAATGATGTAGATGATAGAGTTGTTCCTAATGCTCGGGCAGCTTTAGATGCCGATGAAAATAATGATTTTGGGATACGCATAGAATCTGCAATGTTCGAACTTATGGAAAGACTATCATTAAACTCAAGCAGCTTTTCTGATTTTCTAATTGAAAGTTGTTCTTTTTCAAAACGTCTCCAAACATTTAAAACCTCTATTAGATATTCTTTTGGACAAATATTAATTACTTTTGAAATAAGAAACATCTTTTTTTTAATTCTTTCTGAAGATTCTTCTATTTCATAGTTTTTAGAAATTTGGAGACAACTTTTCCAAATAATATTTGAAAGTACTTCTGTATCTTTAATATCGACTGCTTCAAAAAGAGAAAATAAATGGTTAATACATATATCATATGCAAAATCAAAATCGTTTTGAGATAATGCTGTTTCTGCTATCACACATAATATCTTTGCCTGAATTTCTTTTTGAGATAGGTAATTTTTGTTTGTACTGAGTAACAAATCATTAGATATTTCCATTACTTTATCCGTAGATTTATATATTCCAGGATTAGATGATAAAAAATCCTCTAAAATTTTAAAAGGGTTATTATGTAATCGAATTTGTACTGGTTTAAACTTATGAGAATAATGATGTAATGTATTTGTTACTTTTACTAAATATGAAAAGCTTTCTAATTGTTCTGAATTATAATATTGTTTGATTGTTTGTAATAAATTATATGCATTCTTCATATTTCCTTTTGTAATATCCCCATTTGATGAGCTATCAAAAAATTCTAGAAAAATTTCTATACATATTTTCTCTATAATATCATCGCTTAAAGGCATATCTTCTCTATTTCTTTTTATATAAATATTTTTTGCAAGATTAAACTCTGCGTATAATAATTAATATCATAAAATTATGTAAAATTATATATACTTGTAGTTCTTAAGATGTTATAAAGTAGAATTGATTCATATTCAATTTCTGGAATATTCCTATAAATGAGACTAACATCATGAAGCCACTTGATATTATTTCGTAATTTTATCCAGCTTGAATCATTGAGTTTATTTAAAAATTGAGGGTTTTGTGGTATCATTTTATGTAATAGGGACATTTGAAATTTTTTGTTCTTATTTCTGTAACAAACCGCTTCAGAAAGTGTTATTTTGCGCATTTCTTTTGAAGAATTAATAATTAAAACAGTTTTGATCATTATTTCCAATAAGCTTAAAGAATTGAAGTTTGGTGTGATTAGTTCTGGATAATCTTGAATATTTTCCGGTGTAAAGACGTTTAATGAAGATATTTCTATGCCATTTAATACACTAGTATCACTATCAGTTTTGATATTTAAATTTTGCTTAAGATTTTGCAAAATTATTTTCATTGAATGAATGTTTTCTTCTTCTGTGCTTTGATGACAATAACATGACGCTATTGCATATTTTGAAAACTCTGTATACTTTTCAGAATTGATTATGTCGCTAAATGTCATTAATTTTATCAAATTTAGATTTTTTTGTTTAAAGCTGAAGTTTAGAAGCCATGACCATAATGCATCCCAAATATTTATTTTTGATGATTTTTGGCGATATGAAATGTATGGTATTACACTGGTGTTTATCTCTTCTAATATTTCTTCATTTTCTAGATGTTGAAGAAGAATGTCAATTGCTTCTTTATGATTTAAAGTTTCAAATTCCCTTAATGTTGGAATATTAAATTCTAATAAAGGATTATTATACTGTCTATTTATTGCAGATTCCAATGCACTAACAACTCCAAGACCCCATTCCCGGACCTTTGGAGGTATAGAATATTTAGAAGTTAATACGAGTTTACGAGAAAATGAAATTAGTCCAGTTTCTTCTTCAATTTGTAGAGCTTTTGAAGTAAACCAGGAATATAGTTCCTCATCACTAATGCAATTGTCTGTTTTGGTTTTATCTTGATATATATGTAGTTTTTTAAGCTTTTGTGATAATATTGCATTATTTATATTTTGTGTCTTTGATATTTGTGAACTGTCCATATCATCTTCGCCTTCATACTTTTCATCAAATACTAAAGAAAGGTATTCATCTGGATCTATGCATTCTGGTATAAAATTAAGAATACTTAATATTACTCTTTTAGAAAAAATATCTGGAAACTTTAATATAAGCTCTGAAAGTGTTTGCAAAGAAGGTGCAGAGGCATATTGAACTGCTAAGTATAAGATCCATGGAACTGAAGCATCTGTTGACATGAAATAATATTTTTGATACAAAAAATATGATATAAAAATGAGAACTAGTTTAAAATTTCGAAAATTTATATTTTTATTTAATATAGTTAAATTAAATTATAATAGTATAAAATATATATCTCTCTTATATTTACAATTATCTAAATATGTATTTTGTATATTTTTAGTTATATTTCTTATTTAGAAATTTTGTAGATTTCATACGTTTCAACATCATCAATTTCTTTGCAATTACAATTAATCCATGGTTTTTTTGATTCGTCTTTGAAAAATAAATGGTATATTAAAAGGCCTAAGATTACAAGAATAAAAGCAATATAATATAGCCAGTAGATACGATAATGAAATAAATAGATTCCAATGATAAGACCTAATATTTGTAAATTTTCTAATATTTTATATGCAAACTTACTCCAAAAATCACTTGTTAGTAAAGATATATTATAAAACAGAGCGCTACTTATTCTAAGTAGAATAGGTGAAAGAGAATAGAATGTAAATAATGCAATATTATATCCAGAGATAAATCCAATTGTCTTTTTAGACCATTGGATTTCTTTTAGCTGTTTTCTTTCAAATAAAGATATCTGAATTGCATCAATAAATATTCCCCAAAAACCTAATTGGCCTATGACTTCATATATAGGTTGTTTAGATAAAAAAAATTCTTGCAAAACATTACTTAAACCATATAAACATGCCCCTATGATCATTAAAATATCTCCTTTGATGACATTTGTGGAATTATTATATTTATTCAATTTGAAATCACTTATTGTTAGCGTTATAATACCCTTAAATTGTTAAAAACTATATAAATGCAAATAATAATATACTCCAAAACAAATTAAAATCCCTGATATTTGTGCTATGCTATATCTTACTTTCAAGAAAAAGTAGCTTAAAACGATAACTGTTATTATTGAAAAAGAATCCAAAAGTATGCAAGATAAAAGATTGGTATATTGATATGCCTATATACATTACTCAAAAACAAAATGAATCAATCTTATTAACCTTTACAACGAAATAGTTTGCTTCAATATCTATAAATGCTAAAATGAAATATTTCCATCCGTCTTTTGAAATCATTTTTGCCCATTTTTTAAAGCCATATAAGTAAAACGTAAAAGCATTATAAATAGACCCCAAAAGTATGTAATTAATAAGCGTTTGAAATGTAGGAACATTGATATTATGACTACTTAATTTCGCTGTAAATATACTTGATGCTGTAATCATCAAACTAAGAATTTGTCCAATAATAAAAATGATCCAAAAGTGTTTAATACAAAAACCTGCAGATTTTATATATTCCTTCCATATAGGAATGTTTTCTTTTGCTGAAAATGTTGCTTCTTTACTATCTGATTGATAATAATCCTCATTATTGCTCTGCTGGTTTTGAGACATTAGATTTACTGATTTTTTTTTTAATTTAATTTATATTTAATTATAATCTGACTAATTATTAACCTCCTCCAAAAAAATGCCTAATTCTATGCAATAATCTTAATTATTCAACTTTTTATTAATAAGTAAAAATATTTAAAATGAAAATTAGTCGAAATTTAAAATATATATAGAACAATAGATAAATCTTAATTAAAAATCTTGTTTTTAAAAAATATATGTTTATTTTAAAATTTTGAGTTAAAATGTTAATATTATATGCTAACTTTAGGTATTCTGTCTTTTTCCCGGCAATGACAATTACAATCTGCTACTGGACAAATTGAATGTGTCTCAAACCATTTTGTTGCATGATCGTTATGAGAAACGTGATGACATGATAAGCAAAAATTAAACCTTAAATGAGTTATATTAAACTTGAAAAATATGTTTATATAAATATACCATTTCTCGAATAATCTTTCAAAATCTTGAGGATTTTTTATATTCTTATCAGCAAGATTACATGATGTTCCAAGAGAAAGTAAGCAAATTGCGCATCGTGGAAGGGATTTATTACAAGCAGGACAAAGAGTGCTCTAAAAAAATAAATAAAATGATTTTTAAAAATATAATAAAATAAACCTTCTGAATATTTCCAGTTGAAGGGATATTAGAGTTTCGAACATTTGTATGATGTTTTGAAGTTATAGGTTTATGTGTAATACTCTTAAAAAATGAATAAATTATCAAATTAAATAATAAAAAAACCTTGTTACAGAAATTACATCGTAAATATACTTGCTGTTGTCCCTCATGAATTAAAAGTTCTTCTGAATTTCTGGAATATTTTTTCCTTAATATATCAAATGTTGCCCTTGAATAAAATAAACTATATCTATTAAGTAATTGACGATAACTATTAAAATAATTGTTAAAATAATACGTATAAGGAAATAAAATGACAACTAACTCATCAATCCATATTAAAATTCTTTGATCAATAAATTTAGGAATACAAAATGAAGAAACAAGAGCTGCTGTTTGAATATCCGATGTACGATTAAGATATGTCTCTATTAAATTTATTGTATTAACACTTATTCCAGTAAGAATGATTCCTTCTAAATCACCGGTATTAATGACATTTTTGACGACGTCGTTTAAATAAAAAGAAAACTTTTAAAAATATCATTAGATTTTGTTTAAAAGAGAATAATAGGTAATTATACATCATCATCATCTAGAAATCTTAGTCCTACTCCAATTCTTTCTTTTAAAGGTAATCCTTGTTCATCTAAAACATCACGCCAATCTCCATTTGAAACATATGCAAAAATAGCACGAAGATAAGGATCGTCTAATTCTGTACTCATTTTTCTACACATCTCTTTCCACATGGTATTATTTATATTATTTTTTGTTGAAAATCCTGCAATTGCAGTTGATATTAAACGATGCTTCTCTGTTCCTTTTGATAATACTTGAACTGTGCGATTAAAGTTGTTATGAAATAAAGCTCTACACGCTGCTTTACTATATAGTCCCTTTTCTTCTAGTCTTATTATATTTAGATATGTTTATGACTATATTTATGCCTACTGTTTTATTTCGTCATCTAAGTTTTCAAGAGAAATATTCCATCCACAAGATAATAAGGCTAGTTTGCGTACTTCCATTTTTGAAGTAACAGAAGTAAAAACATTGTTTTTGAGTCTATCGTTTATTTCTTTTACTGCAATGGTATATGAATTTTTAAAGCTATTTTCATTATTTTCATCGTATTTTTTTGATGATTTAGGATCTAAAATAATTTAATTAATATCTTTTTGCAAGTCTTGTCTTTTTACGCGGAATATTGTGCCAAATGTTATACACTCCTTGATAACTTAGATCAAAATCGCTTGAAATCATTTTGTTTTCTAATGCCAAATTTTCTGCATCTATCACTAAGGTAAGTCTGAATAAGTATATAAAATATAATACTATTAATCCAGGTCCACAGATCAAGAAGATATGTGTTTTTTAAAATTTTTTTATTCTTTGCTGGCTAGAATTATAATTAGCATTAAATATATGTTAATTTTATAAAATCACCTCCATTCCATAACCATCTTTTGCTCTTTTGTACATTAAATATGATATATCGTTTTCCAAAATATCTTGTATATTAAAACTATATTCTGTATCATATTCTTGATCAATTTTTGAGTTTGAAAATAAAGGGTATGTTTCTGATTCTTCAATTTGATTATTAGATAAATTTTCTTCCATATTTATGGATAGAAATTCTGATATTTGGCTCTTATTATCTTCGTTTTCAATTTTATTTTTTGCTAGTACTGTATCTTTATTTTTCTGTGATAAATGAAGATTAATTTTTTCACTTATTATTATATCGTTAAGGCTATTTATTGATACAGTATCACAGGAAGAACGTATTTTTAATTTTCCTATCTTATCATCTGATCTTATGTAATAAAATTGATAATTTTTGTATGGCTCGCTAGGAATATAATCAAAAGATATTATTTTCTCGCTAGATTTTGTAGATCCTATAACTGTTATTTGTTTTTATCCTATGAAATAAAAAATACCTTTACGTAAATACATTAAAGAAAGTGAATTACTTTTTGTAAATGCTGAAGGTTCGGTTATTTCTGATGTTTTTTTATTATTAAATAAAATAAAATCATTATAGTAATCATGATTATAATTTATATCCCAAAGTTTTATAATACCCCCTTTTGAAAGCCCGGAAAGCTGCCCAGACTTTGTTCCAGTAAATTTAAGATCTATGATACGAGAAGATTGGCTTGCTCCTCGATTTAACAATAAACAAGGTTCTCCGTTAGAACTCTTTCTCCTATCCCAAATTGATATTAAACCCTCATCAGAAATTGATGCAAAATAGTTTGGATTTTTTGGATCAATAGTAATACTATGTATAAATCTGGTTGAATATACGGTTATCATAAATGTAGATGATTTTTCTCTCAAATCAAATATTTTGATTGACCGTAAATCTAATCCTGACACTAATTGTTTTGGTGAATCCGGAAAATATGAAAGAGAAAACGCTTGCTCTGATATTGCAAACTGCTGAACTGGTGATATTTTATTATTTAATTCTGCATCCTGATGAATATCCCAAATCATAATACATGGTTCATTTTTCATCTTCTTCAGCCCAACTGCTAAATCTCCGAGTGTATTTAATGCAATAGCATTACAGGCACGTTGTTGTTTGATTGGAAATTGAATCAGTGGTTTTTCATTATCTAAATATAAAAGTAATGCATCACCCGTTGTTTTACCAACCGCTACCATATTCTTTTGAGAAGGAGAACAGTCAATACACTTAATAAAAGGTATTTTATTTTTTAAACAAGTTAAAGAATATCCATTATTTTGGTTATTAACCGTGTAAAGATGAATCTCATTTTTATGAGGAAATGTACAGACAAATTGACTTTCCTTATCATATCCAAGTGATGGGACCCGTTTTATAATAGATTTCTCACTCATTTCTTATTTAATCTATCATTATTTTAAGGGAAGAGAGATCTCTTAAATTAAGTTAATTTCGAACGTCTAAAAAAATGGTTCAAAAAAATGTTGAATGGATAAAGGAAAAGAGAAAAAATATTAATAAAAAACATGAAAGATTTCGGTCTGAAAATTCTGGAACAGGAGGATTATGTCGTTTAAAGAAAAAAATTAGAGACCTTGAGCGTCTTGTTAGAAGGGTATATATGTTTTTATGAAATGAGGAGTTGATTGAATATATAAAGGGATCAATGCCTGCAGATGTGCAATTGAATATAGAAAGAGAACTCCAGAGTTTATATTTTGATTTTAAAATGATTCAAGAATCGAAAAAAAAGCATATTTTGCAAGAAAAATATAAGATGGTAAGATTTTTTGGTAAAATTTGTCTATAGGTGTATATATTAGTTTCTGATTAAAATTAATAGAGAAGAAGAAGGCGACCCGTTATTTAAAGAGGGCTCAAAAGCAGCTTATGGAGGCTAATGATGAAGATGAAAGAAAAAAGTTAGAGAATATTATTCATCAGTGTCAAGTAGATTTAAATTATATAACAGTATGTTTTTGTGATATTTTGAGTATAACATAATGTTTTTTAGGAATTTCCATGTTCAAAAAAATATATTTCTTTGTATAAATCTCCATCAGAAAATTCATCTACAGAACAAGAAAGAATAATGATTTGGAAGGATATAGAACAAAAATGTAAGAAAAAATATGAATCAGAGTAATAAGGATTTTTAAAGTTTTGATTTGTAAAATTTTAAATATATATATTTTAAAAGTAAATTATGATGATTATATGTTATGATAATTATAGTTGAATATGAAGTGATGACATGTCTAGGTATTAATAATTTATTTTAAATACATGTACATAATTTAATTTTCGTATTTCATATTATGATATAATATTTAAAAAATATTAAATAATATTCAAAATGATAGTAATTTTATATTTTGCCCTATTTTGTATCTGATTAGAATTTTTGAGATACTAGATGTAGCATGTATAGGTAAGTTGTATAAATTTTCAAAGTTCGGAAATTGGCATTTCGTCTGCTTTGTATTGTAAAAATACATTTTTCTTCGTTATTTTTATATCATATTTTAACATATCTATCTTATTTTCTTGATCGTCATCTATGAATATTCTAGTAGCTTCGTTTTTTTGTTTTCTCCAAGGAAACGGGTGTATCTTTTTTATTTGAAGAACCTCATTTTCATATGGATTAAATTCTTCTGTTTCTTTTCTATATATATTATATTCTTCGATTTCTTCTAGATAACTTGGTATTAATAGTGGAGGTTGTGGTATAAATAGTAATTTATTTGAGTTGAACAATCTATTCTGTTGGTTTTCATAATTAGAGTTGTAAAAAAATGTTGTTTTAGATAAAATTGAAGATAAATCTTGTTTGTCTAGTTGTTTATGATCAAATCCCATTCTAGCATATATAGAAGGAATTTTTCGAGTTAATAGTTCATAGGATATGTTGTTTTTATTGATAGTTTCTTCTGATTTTTGACCTTCAATAGTTTTTTCTGTTTTTAAATGTATTTTTCTTTCAAAAGACAAATCATTAAGAAATCCTTGAGACTTTGTGTGACTTCTGTATATAGAAAACCATTTTTCAATTAATTCATTATATGGTTTACAGTTAACTCTATCTTCATTTAGCATCCAAGGTTTTTTTACCCCTGCAAAATGTATAACTGATATTTTGGATCTAAAATGAAAATATGCGGGAAAATATCTTTTTTTGTGATTTAAATCTGTTATTGATTATATAATAAACTTACTGATAAGATGTTGATGGTACTACGTTATATGTAAAAGGCAATCGTTTCCAATTAGGAAAGTAAAAATTAAGAAGGCCTTGATCTCCTCCTGAATTAATTTTTGTTAAAAAATTTTAACTAATAAATATAGAATACTAAACCATCAAATGATATGTTATTTTTTGAAAGACTTAGAAGCGAATTATAAACTGAAATATTCGGCTTAGTAACAAATACTCCCTATAAAAATATTATGTTTAGATAAATATATATTGGAACAAACACTATTGAAAATGTCTGGCCAACCAACATCTGGAGCTGCCTAATTAAATGTCATTTTTTGATAGAAATAAATATTTTTTTACTGCAAAATCAGTATCTAGATCAAATAGTTCATCTATATTTCTTAAACAGATCGTATCTGCATCTAAATATATGATTTTTTTAAATTTTTCTTGATTCCAAACATGTATTTTTGTAAGAGAAGAACGAAGGTCTGGTCTTCCCATAAGATAAAGTTTGTCTATATCTTTGCTATAAATAGGATCTACGCTTATTATTTCATCATATACTTCCTTTAAAGATTTATTATTTTGCATTTATATTTTTAAGGATATATACTTCTAATGCCTTAAGAGTGGATTCTGAAAGTGTATTTTTTGTAACTAGTGCAGTAAGATGTTTTTTAGATCCTGAATCTCTTAAAGACCATGCCAAAACTTGTGCACCTGCAAATATTGTTAAAAACATATATTAAAATATTTTATTTAGAAAAATCAGAAATCTATGATGTACCGATTAAATAAGAGTCTGTTAAAACTAATGTCATATAAGTCTCCATATTTATATGTTTATTTATAAGGTTTAGTGATCCCTAAATACTTAGATTTATTAGTATTTTCTAATTCTTGTTGGTAATATTTGAACATAAATTATATTTGGTATTTTCGATATATTAAAAATTGTTTAAAAAGATTGAAATTTTAAAAATTAAATATATTAATAAAAAAGATTATAGCCACTTTTCTATATCAAGTTCTAAAATAGAACCAACAAATGGTATTTCAAATGCCTTGAGAACATTTGGATGAATAATTCCAAAAATTCCTACATTAACTTCTGACATATTTTCAAGTCGTAGGAAGATCTTAGCACACCTCCCCTTAAGAAATATAGAATCTAGTATATTATTAGCTAGATGTATAAATTGTACCTAAATAACCTTCTGAACATTGAATCCAATAACCAGGATCTTTGCTTTCTGGTGCAACTTTATTAGTACTTAACATACTCATAATTCTATCAAGAAGACCATGTATGATTTCAAACCCAGACGTATTTGAGAAGTATGCTGCACTCCATAGTCTTTTATTTTTACAAAATGTCTCTTCATCATCACTTTTTAACACAATATCTGATACTTCAAAAATTTTTATAGGAAGAGAATGTTTTTTATTTTCCCGTATAGTTTTTAGTAATCCTGGTATTAAAGTGGTTCGAACAACTTGGTATTCAATTGTTTTAGGATTCTCTAAAATTACAGCTAATGAATCGTCTGTTTTGCCGAGATATTTAAAGTTTTCATCATGAGAAGACAGAATAAGAGACATAACCTCTGACCAACCCGCCATAGAGCATTCCATGCGAATAATATCCGATAATTTATTAAGTGATAAAGGTTTACCTGTAGTAACGATTTTATTAGGAAATGTTTTTTTTAAAGAATTATATCCGTAAGCAATTGCAATATCTTCCATGATATCACATTGATGCAATATATCTGGGCGTGTTATAGGAATAAAAACGTCTAATAAGTCTGAATTAACTATAGATTGTTTTGATGAAAGACCCATTTTTTCTAATAATTTGGAGATTTCTTTTGAAGATAAATTAAAACCACAACATGAATTAATATATGAAATTTCAACATATTTTATATTTTGATTTACATTTGGCCATATTCGTGAGCACTGATTGTGTGGTGATTCTACTTGGACAGGTTCTATACTAGATATTATTAGAAATATATCATACATATATAAACTAGCATTACGTGAATGGTTCTTCTGAATAGCATGAAAACATAGCTACCATAATGTTTGTTACGATTTCTAATTTTGTTTGATCAGTTGCAGTTACTTCGATAAGAACATTTTTTGTATTTAAAGTAATTTTACTATGTTCACTATTAATGATAGGAGGTAATGAGCATACAACTCTATTTGAATCATAAATAACAGGATAAACAGGTGAATCTTTAATCAAATGAAGAAATTTCCCAAGATGTTTATCATTCTGTATCTAATAAATAGGTTTTAAAGAGACAATATATTAATATACCTCATAAAATTTAAAAAGTTCATCCATATCCATTGACTTTTTTTGATTTAAAGGAATAAAGTTGATTTCTTCAGGTTTATGAGCTTCATATGAAAAAGGACCCTGAATAGTATCTAAGTCGTGTGTTCCAATTGAAACTAAGCTACGGTTTCTACAAATATTTGAATGTAACTTGTCTTGCAAGGAAATAAAGCTTTCATATCTTCGTTTAGTAAAATGAAGTCCTCTCAAAATAGCTGCAGAAACAAATGGTCGAATTTTTTCTGTCTTTTAAAAATAAGTAATATAGAAAACTTCCAAAAAGCACTTAACCTCTTTTGATACTTTAAGAATCTGAAGGTTTTTAGGTTTGGAAAGTCTGAATTGCGGTGCCTTTTGATGTCCAAGAAAAATGTTAAGTGCACTTGCAATTCCCTCAAGACAAAGCAAATCACATCTATTTATTATGAATTTCAATGTTTCTGTTAACAAGTAATGGTTATAAACCTATTTGCTGGAACCTCAATCTTAAGTTGAGGGCGTTTTAGGGTTTCTTCAATAGCTTCTGATTCATATGTCTATAATTAATTTTAAATAATAAAAACCTAAAGAATTTTACATCTTCATCTAATTCTAGTCCAAAATTAAAACAAAGTTCGCTAAATTCTTTTATTGCTGATTATATTAATTTTTTTATCTTTATATATTAACAAAATTACTATAATTATGATTAAGTGCATTAAATAAGTCCTAAAAAAAATTAGTATATTATATAATGTTTATATTAATCATTCACCTCTTTATCTATATTTATTGTGGGCATTTTTATATTTTTGATATTTTACAAGGTTTTTTTCAGAAAATTCGAAACTGATTTGATAAGACTTAGAGTTTGAAATATTGAATATCTTAAGTATTTATCTTAAAAAATGAAAAGTGAAATAGTAGGATTTGTCCTTTTAAAACGTGTTAAAAAATAATAAAAATAATTAGGTTCAACCAAATGCTTTATATCCTATAGCAGTATTGATCGACGAATTAAAGGTAAATAAGAAAGATTTTGTTTAAATTTCGTACATATTTATGTATAACTAGCATGATGATGTGACATTTCGTCTTAATGCAATTCGAAGGCTTTCTACAATTGCACTTGCCCTTGGGCAAGAGAGAACAAGAAATGAATTGGTTCCATTTTTAGACGGTTTATAAATGGATATTTTTTTTCTTATTTAATAGTATGTTTAGAGTCTATTGATGATGATGATGAAGTTTTATCCGCTCTGGCGGAAGAACTAGGGAAATTTGTTCAATATATAGGTGGGCCTCAGTATGCACATATACTTCTTAGTCCTCTTGAAAGTCTTTCAGCTGTTGAGGAGCCTCTTGTTAGAGATAAGGTTTTTTTTAATATTTTTTATGCTGTTATAAATATGTTACAGGCTGTTGATTCTCTTAATAAAATAGCTGAGTTTTTTACAACTGAGCAAATTGAAGAATATATGATTCCTCTTATTAATCGTTTAAGTTCAGGAGAATGGTTTACTTCTCGAACTTCTGCAACTGGCTTGTATACAAGTGTATATAAACGCTCATCAAAATCTATTCAAGATTCACTTCGCAGGAATTTCGGTTATTTATGTTCTGATGATACGCCCATGGTCCGAAGAGTTGCTGCAATAAATTTTTGTGTATGTTATTTAAATATATGTGTGCGTATATACTTATTTTATTATAGAAATTTGTGCTTCAAATGAATAAAAGTCAAGTTATTGAGGATATGATTCCTGTTTTTAATGTTATTGCATCGGATGATCAGGATTCTGTAAGATTATTATCTGTTGAACCTCTTATTACAATTGCAAAAATTCTCGGTTCTTCGTTAGATATTAATTACTATTTGCTTCAGAATTTAAGAAATGTTCTTTCTGATAAGAGTTGGAGAGTGCGGTATATTGTTGCTGATAATTTTAATAAGGTAAACACATATATATATATTATATATTTGTTTATTTAAATAAACTTTTAGCTTGCTGATGCAATTGGTAAAGAAATAATTGATTCAGATTTACTTCCTGCTTTTCTTCGACTGCTTAGAGATATAGAGGCTGAGGTAAGAACAGCAATTGTAGGTCAGATTCCAGGTATTTATATTGATATTTTGTGTTATGTTTTTTCTGATAATAATGAAAGGATTCTGCAAATATGTGAGTTGTCAAGTTGTTTTGAATGAAATTCTTCCCGTTGTAAGGGATTTAACAACAGATCCTTCTCAGCATGTAAGAGCTGCATGGGGAAAACAAATTAGTTTACTTTCCCCGGTGTTGGGAAGAGAATTGTAAGATAATTATATAGTATATTTTTTACTGAAATTTTATAGTACTATAGAACATCTTCTTCCTATATTTCTTCAATTACTAAAAGATGAATTTCCTGATGTTAGACTTAATATTATATCAAAACTTGAACAAGTTAATAATGGTTGGTTTTGTGTTTGTATCTATAATAATATTAAGCTTTGCATAGTTATTGGCATTGAATTGCTTTCTCAATCTCTTCTTCCTGCTATAGTAACACTTGCAGAAGATAAGCAATGGAGGGTTAGGTTGGCAATTATTGAATATATACCTTTATTAGCTAGTCAGCTTGGTATTGATTTTTTCGATGAAAAATTAACTGAGCTTTGTATGTCTTGGCTAGGCGATAGTGTTTTTTCTATTCGAGAAGCTGCTATTTTAAATCTTAGAAAATTAACTGAAGTCTTTGGTGTTTCCTGGGCAATGAAAAGTATAATTCCTCGTGTTCTTTCTATGGGAAATCATGAAAATTATCTTTATCGTATGACGACCATATTTGCTATTGTTGTAAGTTTTTTTTTTTTGATTTTATCACAAATTTACATTTTTAAAGTCTCTTGCTCCTGTTTTAGGTGTGGATATAGTTAGAAACTATATTTTACCCACAGTAAATAATTTAGTTGATGATAAAATTCCGAATATTAGATTTAACGTTGCTAAATCTTATAAAGTTTTATTTGATGTTTTAAAGGACTCCCCTGAAGGTGTAGAGTTGTTTAATGCACAAATTAAGCCATCGTTAGAAAAATTAAGTAGTGATGTAGATACTGATGTCAGATTTTTTGCTAATATGGCAATTATGGCACAATGAATTTTATAATTTTTTATTAGGTTTTGTAAATAATAGATTCATGAGACATTATTGATAGAAATGTAAATTCGATTACTTTTACATTTATTTTGGAAGATTTATTCTGATAAGTCTATATGATTTTAAACATGCAATTCAATTTATGAATTATTGGTTTAGATTTTTTCGTTTGTATTTAATATTGGAAAAACACTTTTTTCAAAAACAATATCTTAGAATAAATTATTATTGTTTAAAAAAGATGTAATTTTCCAAAGTTATTTTGAATTATAGAATAGTGATTTTGCAATTTACCTTCTTTTATATAGATTTTTTAATAATAATGATAATAGAGAAGCAATTGTCTTGTTTATAATAATAAATTATTGTAATTGACTTGTATGAACCACTTTATATAATATGTTTTGTTTTAAATTATTTTGGATATTTTTTTTTAAATTTTTTAAAACTTTTAAACTTATCTAAAAGAATATTAACATATTTTTAATGAAATTTCCAGTTTAAATTATATTAAGTAGATATTTATTAGAAATAAGTTAGAATAGTGTTGGGAATTTATATGTTTCATTATTTGATAAAATCTAATAAATGTGTTAACAATTATAGAATGAAGATATAATTTATATAGAAGAATAAATATTCAAGGCTGAACAATTGTTATTAATAATAATGATATGATATATATCATTAAAATCATGTTTTGGAATATTTTTATTTATTATTTAAATTTAGTTATGATAATATATAGGATTATGAATCACTTGAAAAGGCTTCGCTTTCATTGTCTGTACTTTGTATATCATTTTTACTAGTAAAATATACTAGTTCTGCTCTTTTAAGTACATCTCTTATGCTAGTGTGTCGTTGGTCTACGAGATCAATAGGTTTTTGTTTCATTTTATTTTTGATTCTAGAAATTATATATTTTATAGAAACATATTTATATTTATACCTTGGATCAGCACCTGCATCAATAAGAGACTCTACTATTTCAAAGTCAGGAATATAATTCAGATGTTTATTAAAAAAATAAATACCCATTTCTAGTGCTATATCTTTGTCTTTATATTGGTATTCTACCGCTTTATGCAAAGGTGTATTTTCTTCTAAGAAATTTTTGCTGTTTATTTCCAGATTCTCAACATCTAATAATATATTCAAACATGCAATAGAACCCTATTTCAATTTAATTTTTTCTTTTTATTTTTAGAGTCAAACATATTGTACTGAAAGATGAAGGGAAGTATTTCCTATATAATACGTCTTCTAGATCATTTTACTGTAAATCGCATACCTAGTCCATCTCTTGAATTATTTATAAGAAAAATATCAGTAGATGGATCATCTAATATTTGATTTAGTAAATTTGGATTTTCTTTATGACATGCATCAAGTAAAATTTCGCCTAAAAAAATACATAATTAATATTTTTTAATGATATATTTTATAGTTACTTGGTGATGCGCCATCATATTCCATAATTAAAATAATATAGTTGAAAAACTTATCGATATTTTATGAATATTAATTTTAAAAATATTGTTTTTTTGTATTAATTGTTTTAGAAGTGCTATTGTTTTGGAGGTGCTATTGTTTTGGATATCAAATAGTTTATTTTGAAATTTTAATTTATTTAAAAGAATTTACTCATTTTTGTTAAATGATATTTTGTCCAGTTTGTGGAAATCATCTTTTAGTTGGAACCTCAATTGCAGGATATAATAGATTTGAATGTAGAACATGTCCTTATGAATTCCCTATAGATAGATATGTAAATATCAGATTTATTACTTATAAATATTGAGATAAAATAGCTATATTCAAAAAGAATGATGAAACAGAAAGAAGTAGATGATGTCTTAGGTGGTGAGAAGGCATGGGATAATGTTGATAAAACAGATGGTATTTTTTTTCTAATATTATAAAATATAAATTTAAGATTTAAAAGCACAATGTCCTGCTAGTGATTGTGGAGGTTTAAAAGCATATTTTTTTCAAATTCAAATTAGATCTGCAGACGAACCTATGACTACATTTTATAAGGTTAGCTTTTTTTATATTTATGTTTTTATAATGCTTTTTCAAGTGTACAAAGTGTGGATATAGGTGGAGAGAAGGCTAATAAGTTTTGATTTAGTATTATTTTTATTAAATTATATGAGATTTACGTATAAATGGGAATATGGCATAAATACTATGAGTATCTGCATTATTATTGATAATTCAAATATATATTAATATATAATTTTCATTTATGAAAAAAATGCTATTTAGTCAATTCAAAAAAGTTATTAGGCAATTTAATAGCCGAATTCTTCTAAAATTTTGCTGGTAGATACATTCTTTTTTGCTTCGAAGAATCTCTTTTCTTTAGTAGCTTTCATAATATAATAAGCATGTGATCTAATTTTGCGTTTTTCTTCAAGTTTAGATATAATATTTTCGTATTTCCAGCCGATTTCTTTTGACAACCTCCCAACAGCACAAAATTTACGTCCAGGTTTAAGTCTTAATACTCGAAGAGCATCTGGTACAACCATTCTTTTTTTCTTATCATATGGAGGTGGAATCCCTTCAAAAACTTTAAGTCTTTCTAAAGCAATCTTTCCCCGAGCCAATTTATGCGGAACCATCCCACGAATAGCCCTGTACATTATTTGTGAAGGTGCTCTAAAGTGAAAAGGACCACGAGTAGCATTAAATCGTGTTCGTTTACGAAGAAAGGCGTGCATTTTTACTAAGAAAAATTAAGATTATTTTAACAAAATGATTACTTTGACTACATTTATTTCTAAAAAACTAAATATTATTCATTAGTATTTCTGATTTTTTAATGAAATAAGTTTTTACTTCGCCACTAATATTAATTTCTTCGCATCTCACAATTACAATTTTTTGCCCATTCAAAAGCTGTTTTGCAACAACTGATGCTAATCTTCCAAGGAGATGGCCTTTCCCGTCAATTATTATGGGCTCTTTTTGAAATAACATTTTAGATAATTCTATTAAAAAATGTTCTTCTATTCTTAAGGTACCGATCTTTGAATTTTCTTGATGTGACTATTTAGGGTTATACCCTTGTTAGATGATAATTTACAAGATATACCTACTTGTATCTATTATTTGTTTAAAAAAATATATAAATAGTCATCATATTTACTTTGGAAATACTATTTATAGGGTTTTTTGATTCAGGATATATGTTTTAGAAAATATTTTTATAATTTAGCAAATAACATTTAAGTTGTTTCTGAGGTTTTTGATTTTTGTTACTATACAAAATGGTAGCTCTTGATGTTCTTGTTAAAGGATTTGATGAATATTATGAAATTATTAAAATGTTATCTAATATTCAGATATTTACAGGTAAGAATATTTGATTTTATAAAATCTATAAGATTATAGATGACGAATTACTTCTTTCTGATATTGAATATATATCTAAAAGAATTGATATTCCATTAGATGTTAGGGAAATATATTATAATATAAATTCATATTAATTATATTTTTAGAAAATAAATGAATTGATTAATATTGTAATTGTTCCTAGCTGTGCTGCTAAATCTATTCGTGGTGATATGGATTGTCAGTTATCTGATTTTATGGTTAATATTGGGTGCTCTGCGTATAGTATACGTTTTTTTAGATATATAGTTGATAAGAGTAGGATTGATGATGTTTTAAATGGAGGATTTCCTACTGGTCGTATTATTACGATTTCTGGGCCATCAGAAATTGGGAAAACCACTGTATTAATTTCCTGACTTTATATTTTTTATGATGTTAATATTTTTATTTAGATTGCATATTCAGTTGTTTGTAGTTATTTATTATGTAAAAATGCTCGTGTGATATGGATTGATACATCAGGTACATTTTCCGTACAAAGGTTAATAGATATTGCACAACAAAAAAATTATGTTTATGAATCGGATTTTCTTGAAAGGATAGGAATTATTCGTGCTTTTGACATATGGGGGGTTATGGACGGTGCAAATGAATTTCATCATCTTGTTAATAAATCTATTGATAATCATGATCTTATACCCGGTATTATTGTAATAGATAATATTACAAATCCTCTTAGTTTTCTCATGCAACGAGAGCAAGTTAAAGGTTAAATTAATAATATAGTTTAATTTCTATTTATCATTCATTAGGACATAGTATAATGGTTTCATTACTTCGTAATTTACATCATATTTCTTGTCAGAATAGAAAAGTTCTTGTTCTTCTCATTAATTCTACAGTGAAACTACATTCAACAAATTTTTCTGCATTTTCTTCAACTGAATTGAAGCCAGCATTGGGGACAACATGGCCATATTTAAGTGATCTTGATATTTTAATTACGAAGGCGCCTAATAATGTCGATTATTCGTCAGCAAATATATTAGAAATTATTTTTGATCGTTATGGAACACTCTTGGGTAGATGGGGGTTATTTACTATAGTCTTTTCCTTCTCTATGTCTTAGCATTTGTTTTAATCTATTCTTAGATAAATGGGAATTTAAATAATTATGAAATTAATAAAGATTTTAATTAAAGTATATTTATATTAAGCATATGGTGCGCATGCACTTATTGAGTGTTTTTTTGAATTTGATAATGCTTTCAAACTAATATTGTCAAGGAGTTTATTCATATCTATTTTTTGTATAGTATTTTGATCGAATTTATCTGCATCTTTTTGTATGAATTTATCAGATGATTTAAATTTATTCAATTTATTTTTTGAAAAATCAAAGGATGTTTTTATATTGTTGATATTTGGTTCTGTTAATGTGCGTTTTAAAGAGCTTGCTTTTAAAGAATATATATGATTTTGCGGAATTTCTTCTTGGTTTAATGCAATTTGTGATAAAGAATTAGACGGTGATAAATGCTTTTTATAATTTACTGAATCCATTCCTACGAGAGGATCTGATCGAGAAAAATCTTCTATAGAAATCTTATAAGCATAATTAATAAAAAAATTCTTGTTTTTACCTAAAATTAATGATGATTCTGGTGTCCAAGTTTCCGTGATATATTTTTTTGCATTTTCTGGGAATTTAGGTGTATAAAGAACTAAAATATTAATTATTTCTTCTTTATTTAAAAATGGTTTTGAAGGTGTGATAGTTTTTGAAAGTGGTTGTGGTGAACATATTGATGATGGCATAAATGAAGGATGCAATGTAATAAAATCAGGCCATGATTTGTCTAATTTTCTCTTGTTCATTTCCTTAAGAAAATTAATGCAATTGTTATTTGAAAAATTGCTATTATTACTTCATTTACTTTTTCAAAAAGTTTTTGATTATTTATTTTTTTTGAAACAATTATCATATACCATATAATAATACTTAATATAGTGCTTTTTTGCTGTGATGATAAATTTATATTTTCTTCATCTATGAACTGTTGAAGACGTAATATAACTGGAATAAGCCTTATTGTTTCTTTGAGTCCAAATTTTTCAGTTAAAATAAATAAAAGATATTGTATCGCCTGATAATCTGTTTCAGTATTATTAGATAAGAGAAAATATATGTATATATATGAATAAAGTGATTGAAGATAACTAGAAAATGATGTTTTAGATGTCTTAAAATGATATTAGAAAATAATTTTTTGCATAATATTCTTACATTAAAACTATAAAGAGATTCTTCGTCAGGAGAATTGAATTCAATATTAAGAAAAGTCGTTAAAACTGATATATATTCTAAACGCAATACTGTTAAGTTAGTTATGTATTTTTCAATGTATTGGATAAACTACTAGGATCGCTATCTTTTAATACCACTGCTGTATAATTCCATATATTTAAGGAAACTCTAGATCTTGAAACGCCACTTTGATTACATTTTAAATTAACAATTACAAAAATTTCTCTAACTGCTGCTAAAGCTAATAATTTTCCAATTCTTACTTCATTAGCAGATGCTGAAGATGCATTAGAGAAGGGTCTAAGACAGTTTAGAAAAGATGCTGTCATGTCTGTAATTTGGTCTCTATAATAAATATGTGTCGCCAATGCGCCTAAACAATGTATAAGTTCCGAAATAAAAAATTCTCTTTGTTCAGAGTTAAATTTATGTCCTTCTATAATATTTCCTTCGACAAGATATGATCTTTTTGAAAGTATTACTTTTGAAAGCCTTGCCGTATTTGGAGTATCAAGTTCTTTAATTTGTCCAATAATTTTTCCTGTTAAAGCATGTATAATATCCATAACTGAAAGACCAATTAGATTTACATTTGATGAAAGTAAAGCATGTATAAGAGATGTGAGAAGAAAATATTCTTTTGATGGTATATCTTTATCTGGTAATGATTCAAGGATTTCTACTGTAATTATAAGGATTATGTATCTATACTGAACATGCGTCCATCTTGTAATCATTGTTATAAGTGTGACTGCCCAATTTATAATTGACTTATTTTTTGTTAAGCTTCTAATATGAGATATTAAGGCTAATGTTGCATTTTTAATATGAGCACCATCGTTAATTTCATATATACGTTTAAGGTTTTCAAGAGCTAATATTTCATTTAATTCGTCCTCTGACTGATCATCCTCATTAATAGCTTGATTAGTGTATGGAACGGGATCAATATGATTTTCTGTTGTATGAAAATTTTCTGTTCTTATAAAATAATTAATTTTAACTATTAAATATTTTTTATTATTTACTTAGATTGAAAACGCAATAAAAAATCCTCATTTTTATGTTGAAGATTGTGCAAAATACCGGGAATAATTTTTGCTGTCAAATAGAGTAAATTTGAATTTTGAATAGCTTCAGATGAAGTAATAGCCTGAGCTGCTTGCATTCCAACAAGACGATATCTTTAACTAATAAGTATTCAACTTACACGTTATTAATAGTCAAACCTTGTCATTTTAGGACCACTTTGTGCCATAGCAAAATCTACAAAAGCTGTTATAAGGATATTAAATTGTTTTGCATAATTTTCATCAGATGATAATATTAGTCCATTGTGATGAGAAATAAAGGATGTAAACTTGAAAATAGTTAGGAAACTATATAGTTCACGTGGTTATAAAAATACACAGTCAATGCTATGTTCAATAGCCTCAACATCTCCAGATCGAAGAACTGAATTTAATATGTTAACAATATTTGCTGCATAAAGATTTAAGTCCTTATGACATCTTTCTATCAGTGCTTTGCATATATATAAAGAAACAATTATATCCCTAGATATTCTTATTAATATATGATTACTAAATTCAATGAACTCACCCTTGCTTTCTACGATATACATCTTTAGATAATTTGCGCTCTAAAAAAAGACCTACTTTTCGAAGCTTGTTTGGTCTTGTAAATCCATAGTAGCATAAATATGATAATTCAGACGAATTGGGTTTATGTTCAGAGGCTTGACTTTTAGGATAGCATCTTAAAACTAGCTTTGTATGTTTTGTTTTGAAAAATATGTTCATTTATAAAAAATATTTAGAAATAGTTATTTTAGGTTTAATTTATTTCTGAATTTTAAATTTTTGTTTCCCTTATTTTAAAATGTTGCATTTTTTTATTATAAACAGATTTTACGATAATTAAAATATATTTTTAGTAAAAAAATATTTAACAGAAATTCTAATTTAATATAATTGGAATGGTGGTTTAAAGGGATATATGTGCTTTTTTATTTAATTTAATTGATATTATTTTAAATATTATGAGGTATACTTTGAATTCGAAATTGAGATCTTTTTGTTTTATTTATAAATTATTATGGAAAAATTATAGTAAATCCCATAAGAGTGATATTTTTTCAGATTTTTTTCCCAAAGAAAAGTCAATTATTGTTCTTCGAAATCATAAATCAAAAATTCAGTCTAATTCAGAGCCCTTAGTTCAGCCATTAGAAGAAAATTATTTAGAATTACTTTCACGAAAACTTATTTATGATTACCCAGATGAAATGGATGATACATCGATAAATGAGATTGATTCAATGAAACCTAGTCATCTTTTTGTTTCTTTAGATCTTTTTAATCAAATAATAAAAAATATGAAATTTTCTTTTAATAGAAAACAGATTCAAAAATATGCAAAACTTAATGGACTCAAGAATATTTCACGTTGTAGTTGTGATCAGTTAATAGAGGCAATTCTTAAGGAAATATGGGAATTGAAAATTTCAGATAATATTTGTTCCGATATTCTTATGGTTAAAGGTAGTATTAGAATTGGTTTATTTTTTGGTCTTTATCTTATTAGAAATTCATGTTAATAAAAGGGATTTATTTTTTATGACTAGATCAAGTATTTTAGGAATCAAGTTTTTTAGGGATTCTAACGTTTTAAGATAAATATGTTTTGCAACAATGGGCACGTAATTATCAAGCTAAAATATATATTGATTTTGATAAATCAATTCTTCAAGTAGAAGGTTTAAAATCTAATATTGAAAGAGTTGAAGAAAGGATAGTTCAGATGGCTAAGGTAGTGTTTTTGTTGTTAAAGAAAAATAAGTTGATTCTAAAGAGGATATAAAAATAGAAGATATAGATATTAGATGCTTTTCTATGCCTAAATATTTTGATGATAGATATATTTCTGAAATATCTTCTTTATCTGGTACATTTATTGAAAAAATTGATATAAATAGGGTAAATTATTCATATATTTCTTTTGTTAATGATTGTTAGATTAGGATTACTGTATTAAGAAATGAGTTAGAGTCTTTAGATAATGCGAAGATGTTGATATCTATGTCTTTAATTTCTAATGATTCTAAAAGTTATTCTCTTATTTATAATAATTCATCGAATAATAATTCGTTTTATTATTTTGGAGAAAAATTCAGTTTACCTTGGTATTTAAGAGGAAAAAAATGGGCTAGATGGAAAACTATAATCCATAGAAATGAGTATGATTTATTTTTATATTTTTTTTTGAGTTTTAATATATTAATAGAAATAATTTTTTTCCTAAAGATAAAAATGTTAAAAATTTATTAGAAAATGAGTATTATATAGCGATAGAAAATGGCTTTTTGAAATCAAATTCTAATGTTATTTCAACGCTTTATGATACTCGTAAATTTCTTGATAATCATATGGTTTATTCAAATAATTTTCCTAAAGCAAAAGTACAATATGATATTATGTATGTTTCACCTTATATGCTATTATTTTTAATATTTTTTTAGTTTTGGATATGTTTTGCATGATTGTTCTTTGGAAAATATATATAAACAGTTTTCCTTTTTTCAATTAGGGCAACATTTTGAAAAAAATGTAAAGAATGATGAAATTCGAAGAATATTTTGCTCTAAGTTGATAATTGTTTTTTGTTTTACATGGATTTAATATAAAATAGTATATCTCGTGGATTTCCATTTATTCATAAACTGAAATCTTGTTATAAGGATGGGTTTTTAGATAAATTTTATAAAAAAACTTTAAGATTAAAATTTGTATCATCACCTTGGGTTCGTTCTGATTTAGATAATTCTTACATTGAAATTGATTTGGAATTGGATAACAAAGGTAGCATTTGTAATACTATTGTAAAATACATATCTTGCGAAAGTATTTTAGATGTTCTTCTTCCTGAATGGTTAACTTGATTTTTTCTTTTTTTTCGTAAGATTAATTTTTGTAGTGGAAGTGATTTACGTATTTCTCGAAAAACATTTTCTTTTTTGGATCCGAATAACAAATTGTTAATGGAATATTTAAATATGATCCAAATTGGTATAACAAGTAATAAATTAGGAATATCACCTACTTTATCTATTGAAATCCCTTCTGAATCTGAAGATATTTCTAAAGTAAAAGAGTATATTCTTATAAGAATGGAATATATAAATCAAATTGATTTTAAATTAAATAAATTTTTACTTCGTTTTTTGACTATAGAGGGAAATATGATGACTGGTAGAAGAGTCGAATTAAAATTACTTTCTTCAGAATTCAGTATTATGAATTCAACGATAATGATGTTAAATGACCAAGATTGGAGGGATTTTATAAATAATGCACTTATGATTCTAAATAAATTATCGTAATTGTAATTTCGATTTAGAATTTTATTTATGTAACTTTAAAATTATTTAATATTAACTTAGTTTGTTGGGATTATGTCTATTGATGAGCTTGAGCCATCTCTTCTTGGAACAAGAAAATAGTATGTTTTTTTGTTTTATTATAGCGTATTTTTATGGCTAATTGTTCGAGTTGGGATTTTGTTTTTAAAAATGAGCGTGAAAATTTTGAAAGTTTTAAGGATTATGGGGAAATATGGTTTCTATTTTTATATGTATTTAGATATCATGTTTTTTATTGTATTATAGGTTTGGTGAAGATTTAGAAAATAAAATAATCAACTGGTTAAAAAATAATATATCTCCGCAACCCGATCTTAAAATTCTTGATATTGGTTCTGGAAATGGTCATTTTTTGTGTTCTTTGAGTAGTAAAGGTTATAGTTCTTGTATTCTTGTTGGAATAGATTATTCAGATGTTGCTATTCAATTATCAAAAACTATTGCTAATGAACGAGGAATAAAAAATATTAGTTTTGAAACTCTAGATATTTTGAATTCTGAAGACTATTTTAATGAGAAATGGGATGTTATCTTTGATAAGGGTACTTTTGATTCTATATCACTTAATGATGAAATCATTAGAGATACTAGAGCATGTTTATTGTATCCTGCACGTATAAAGAAATTAATTAAAAAAGGTGGATTTTTTATAATAACAAGTTGCAATTGGACGAAAGAAGAATTGATCTTTAAATTTTCATCTGAAGGTTAATTTAAATATATAATGGTTTGTAAAATTAATTAATTAGATCTTATATATCATTCGTCTATAGATGGTCCTACGTTTTCTTTTGGTGGCGGTTATGGTTCATGTTTTTCTACAATTATTTTTACACTTTAGTAAAATTAAATGATATATATAAATTTATGAAATTTTTAAGATTTATTTGGATTTTATAAGGAAATATTGATGCTTAATATGTATTGATAACAATATTATTGATATATTTTTTTGAATTTTATATATTTATTTTGTATTTTTGCATATTAAATTATTGAAATTTTTATTTTTGATTATTTGGTTGTATTTATTATTTTTTTAATGTTATGTTAATGAACACTTTCGTAATTTTATAGGATTTTGTTTGATAATAGTATTAAGTTTAATAATAATAATAAATTTTTGAAAATTTATTGTAGATCATATGTTAGAATTTTTTAATGATGTTAAAAAAAGAAAGTATCAATAATATTTCCAAAAAAATTAACTTAGATGAAATGGAATATGTTTAGACTTATATTTATATATATGCATTTTCCAAAAATATCTTGAATTATTACTTATTTATTAGTTTATTATCAGTGTTGTAAAGTATCTTTGGTAACATATTAAGTTTAATATTTTTTTCAAAAAATATAGATATACAGGTATTTATCACAAATTGTTTATTATTTTATTGAACAGTTATTTATTTTGTATTTGAAAAATATAGTTTAAAAATGTATGATTCTTTTGGATATAGATTTTAAATATTTTTATCAAAAATTATATATCTTTAAGCATATAAAAATTATGTTTTAAAACATTTATATTAAATATCTTTAGAAATAATTTTCATTTTTAAGACTTATTTATATATGTATATATGCTTAAATTTTAAGAGTTAATTTGGACTCGAGTTTTATCGTTAAGATTTCAAAGTCCTTAAATTTGAAAAACAATCGTAGGGTTGAGAAAAAATATTATTGTTTTAGGAATATTTATTGATGTACATCTATTTTAAAGGTATATTAATCCCTGTATTGGTTTTTTATAAACATTTTAGACTATTTAATGGGTTAAATTTAATTTAATATTTATTGATACTTTTATTGTTTTTGCTACTAGGCTCTAGACATTGAATATCAATTTTATTTTACTGTTATTTCTTCTTCTGTATTTTGAGTATCATTTAATCTCCTAATTTTAGTATATCAGTAGGAAATACTGGGTACGATATAACAGTTTGTTGTCTATATTTAAGTTTATATTTGTTTTTCCTGGATTCTCTATTTAAATATTGCTTAGTTTTTAAAAGGAAACTTATGAGAGCACCTTTCTATATGTCTACTGGTAGGTAGTTTCATGATAAAATTTTTATTTTTACGAGGTTTAGCATTTGAACATAACAGATCCATTCAAGAGTATCCTCGATCTTCCATTTTTCAGCGTCATCGCCGCATACGGAATCGTAATGAAAGATCTAATCAATGGTTTCAAGTAAACAGAAATGATGAATTACAGCATGGTGATACGGATGAAAATTCTTTAAATTTTGATAATAGTGCTGATCATTTCCCTATACGTTTATCTGCATTGCGTGCAATAGTGGTGGATAGTAATGGATTTAGCAATAATGGAATTAATACTTTTGATCATTATTATATGAGAAACGCATTACGATCACTTGATTATGATTATATTAGTTCAGCATTTGAACGTTATTCTGGTCGTCGTAGGAACTATTTTTCAGGAGGTGTTATTTCTTTTGATCGTGAAGGATCTTCGCATTATTTAGAAGAAGTATTGAATTTTTTGGAGAATACTCTTATTTCTTCTTTGACAAGGAATCAATTAAATTTTCATAATATTTCATCTACTGATGATTGCACAAAAATTGAATATACAAGTTGGCTTAAATCAGGCTCTATTTTTCAAGGTATTCAAATTCTCCCTGGTCAGCCTTCCATTTTTTTATCTGAATCATCCCACATTAGAGATGAAAGAAAAATTAAAGTTATAATTCAGGATATTAACTTTTCTAAAATGTCCGTTTCGGGACAAATAGAAATGTTTGATACATCTGATATTGATTTTAATAGAAGTAGTATTATTATATGGTGGGATGGTGAAATAGTTGATTTCGTCAGTTATTATAATTTGTTAGCAGTTAAAAGAGATATTGCTTGGAAGACAGATGCTGCCTATTGGCGTAAGTTGGAGCCATTTAAAGGGATGGATGATTATGAGTATGTTATATTATTGTTTCTTATTGTTATAATTTATTTTTTATTAGATTCTTTAATTTGCTTTTTGCAAAAGATAAAATTATCGATATTTGTAGCAAATATATATTTATGCGCTGGAAAGGTATGAGTCTTTCAAATAATTTATATATAAATAGTTTTAAAAATAATATTAATGTTTTACTAGAATCTGAATTTATTGGGCCTTCCATGTTTGAAAGTGATTTTGCAACATCTGGTTCATATTTTTGTTGTCTTCGGCGTAATGATGGTTTTATTGAAGGTATAATTTGTATATTTTATTAATTTCGATTTATTTAATTTGTTATAGGATATTATTTTGATTCTTCTTTATCTTGTCAATATATCAGTTTATATCCTAAAATGAATGATGGTGTGTTTAAATTTAGATAAATAGATTTAGTTTCAATAAAAATATGATAGCACGTCTTATTTTTATAATTATTTTTTTAAAAAAATATTAAAGATATGTAATAATAATGATATAGATGATAATATTAAACATTGTAGCTTTAAAATAATAGTATTGAAATAAATCGTTTTCTAGAATAATTATGATGGTTATATATATATAATATTGAATTGGTTTTCGAAGCGCAGATTTTTCTGATAGTTTTCATAAATAAGTAGTTATATGGACTAGCTGTTATAAGAAATTATGTTTTTGTTGTATATTCTAAACATTTTAATGTTAAGTATTTTTTGTTCTTAACCTGAAAAAATTAGGTTAAAAAAATAAAAACAGTCATTTTTTGAATTAATATCGACGTTCAAAAAAATATCTAAATATAATAATTAGATATTTTTTTGAAAAAAATATATTAAAAAAAAAATGGCAAAGGATAAAACTCATGTTAATGTTGTTGTCATTGGACATGTTGATTCAGGAAAATCTACTACTACTGGGCATTTAATTTATAAGTGTGGTGGTATCGACAAACGTACTATTGAAAAATTGTAAGTAAAATTGTAAATATATTTTAAGATGCATTAAGTGTTTTTATTAGTGAGAAGGAAGCAGCTGAGCTTGGGAAGGGCTCTTTTAAATATGCTTGGGTTCTTGATAAGTTGAAAGCGGAACGAGAGCGTGGTATTACTATCGATATTGCTCTTTGGAAATTTGAAACTTCTAAATATTATGTTACTGTCATTGATGCACCAGGGCATCGTGACTTCATTAAGAATATGATTACCGGTACTTCTCAGGCAGATTGTGCCATTCTTATTATTGCCAGTGGTACTGGTGAATTTGAGGCTGGTATTTCTAAAGATGGCCAAACTCGTGAACATGCCCTTCTTGCTTATACTTTGGGTGTTAAACAGCTTATTGTTTGTGTTAATAAGATGGACACTACCAATTGGTCTGAAAGTCGTTTTGATGAAATTGTTAAAGAGACTTCTAGTTTTATTAAAAAAGTTGGTTATAATCCAGCAACTGTTCCGTTCGTTCCTATATCTGGATGGCACGGTGATAATATGTTAGAGGAATCTCCTAATATGCCATGGTTTAAAGGATGGACTAAGGATTGCAAAAGTGGTACGTTAAGGGGGAAAACTCTAGTTGATGCAATCGATGGCATAGATCCTCCTGTTCGTCCTTCTGATAAGCCTCTTCGTCTTCCTCTTCAGGATGTATATAAAATTGGTGGTATCGGAACAGTTCCTGTTGGTCGCGTTGAGACAGGTGTTATGAAGCCGGGAATGGTTGTTACATTTGCTCCTTCTGGTTTAACTACTGAAGTAAAGTCCGTTGAAATGCATCATGAGCAGCTTACGGAGGCTTTGCCCGGCGATAATGTTGGTTTTAATGTTAAGAATGTTTCTGTTAAGGAGATTCGCCGTGGAAATGTTGCTGGTGATTCTAAGAATGATCCACCTAAGGGCTGTGAAGGTTTTGTTTCTCAAGTCATTATTCTTAATCATCCTGGTCAAATTAGTGCTGGTTATGCACCTGTTTTGGATTGTCATACTGCCCATATTGCATGCAAGTTTTCTAATATTACGGAGAAGATTGATCGACGTACTGGCAAAAAGATTGAGGACAATCCTAAGTATGTGAAGTCGGGTGATGCTTGTATTGTTGATATGGCCCCGAGTAAGCCTATGTGTGTTGAGTCTTTTACCGAATATCCTCCATTGGGACGATTTGCTGTTCGTGATATGAGACAAACTGTTGCTGTGGGTGTTATTAAAACTGTGACTAAGATTGAAAAGGCTGGTAAGGTCACCAAAGCTGCTCAGAAAGCTTCAAAGAAATAAGGAAACAGTATATTTATAGTATTGCTATTATATATTAATTATGTAGCGTAATTAAAATATATGTTTTTTGTTATAGATTTATTTTTAGAATATTATTTTACTTCTATATTATTTATATGTTTATTATGAATTCTATATATATATATATATATATATATATATATGTATGTATGTATTTGAGTTCTGCATGAATGCTACTATGCTTTTTTTTTAGTTAATTGTGTATGCTTTATATATGCTTCTAAACTTGCTCCATAAAATACTAATCCTACACCTATCCATTGGCCAATTGTTAACTTATGATTAAACCAAATAAGACTTAATAATAGCGTTAGCATTTTTCTTGTAAGTGTGATAGTTATTAAGATTAAACTTCCATATTTTTCTAAAGTATGGAAAATAAATAATTGTCCAATTGCTCCAGAACAACCATAAATAAGAATATCAGAAGTTATCGATGGATATTTTTTTATAAATTCAAGTGTTGTTATCAATTCATTTGTAAAGCATAATAAGTATAATGTCGTACCTACTGTAGATAAAATGTTCATATATAACATCATCCATGGGCCAGTTATATGTGGAAACGCTTTAAAAATTTGGTCTTGTGTTGAATTAGTATATCCATCTAAAAGAAGATTAATGCTAAGAAGAAAAAGGCCCCATGTATCATTTGATGATTGTTTATTAGTTTTAGATGATAATTGTGAATCATATAAAGTAAAAATAACAATTCCAGAGGTTACCATTGCTACTATTAAATATTTATGATAAGTAAAATGTGTTTTGTAAAAGATGGTATGAATGGCCATAACAGGAAGTAGTTTGCAAGATTTTCCAAGTATAAGAGTAGGATAATTAATGTGTCTAAGAGACGCATAACCAAGTGGTGATGCAAAAGATGAACTTAATGCTACTAAAACAAGTTTTAAAAATAAAGATTTTGAAAGAGTAGGCTTTTTTTTTTTTGATCGTTTTGTAATGAAATAAGTAAATATAAAAGATACTATAATAGCAATAAATGATTGCATGATACTTAATATTATTACTGAATTAAATATTTCCTTTCCATAAGATCTAGTTGTTATACGTTCTTGTAAAATACTCCATAAAAGAAATGAAATATATATCTATATTATTAAGTTTGCAACTCAAAAAATATTAAAAAAACCCCTAGAATACATATTAAGAGCTCCATTAATTATTTTTTTATATAAAAATATTAGTTTTAATAAATAATTTAATGCAAATTATTTTTACTATTTTTTTAATCGCAATGTGATTTAATTGAATTTTAAATATGTATTAAAATTATGATTCGGATACTTGTGATAAAAATGAAAAATTAATATAATTTTCTGAATATTCGTATTTATTTCTATTTTCTGTATTTATATATCGACATATGTATAAATTTTGAAGACATTTTAAAAAAATATATATTATAAATCTAGGTTCTTATAATTTTTGTTTTATCAAAAAAACAAGATTTAAATATATAGAAATATATATATCAATAACATTATTATTTTGTTAGATATTTTGATATAATTTTATGTCCTATTTTAGTAATATGATTTTAGTAAAAATTACAGTTAAAATTTCTATATTTAATTTTTCTATTGTCGCTGATATCATAAAATGAATATTTAATGAAATAACCAAAACAACAATAATGACATTAACACAAACAATTGATTAAATAATTAAAAGAATTCGGTAAAAATGCAGCTTTGATTAGTTTAAAGATAAAAAGTTTTATATAACGCTTTTTAGTTAGATATAGATATTCATCTTTTAATTAAAATTTTTAATAGTAGATTATTTCTTAAATTGTTATCTAGAGATCATGATGTTCCTAAGATATCTATACTTTTTTATCTATAATTGTTTTATGAGAATTATTTGATGTCATCTCAATATTAGGACTAGTTTGCTTCTTATTATTAGATTTCTTTTTACCATAAAGGAAATTGTTGAAATCATAAAGTTGATATATTAAAGACATATTAGGTCCAATCCAAGGAGATTTATCTTTAACATAAGAATAAGCAGAATCGATATTTAAGCCAAGGGATTTCATAACATAGGCAATTATTAATGATGCTGATCGAGAAATACCACACTTTAAGCATCAGATTTACAATAATAATTTATGTAAATTTACCTGACAGTGAATTAAAACTTTTTTGTTCTCTTGGATAGATTTTTTAGTTATATAATCTATGAGAGGTGGCAAATCAATAGATAGCGTACTGGCATTATGATCCCATAATACATGAAGATATTCTATGTTATTAATTATAACAGGTGGAAGAATTGAACTTTCTATAGGTAATGGATTTTTTTGAAAAATTCTCCTTTCACTTGATATATTTTCTGTTTTTTTGAAGTAATTTTCGTCTAAAGATGCTTGAGATAAAAATGGATTTTTTACTTCTTTTGCGACATTGATTACGACATTAAATTTTTTTGCAATATGAGTTTCTGGTTCCGCAAAAAACCAAAGATTTGGTTCAATTATACATACCGGCTTGTTTTCATAAGTATTAGATTTCTTTTTATAATTATAATCGTTTTCAAATAGTATTTGAGTGTTTTGAGGATAAATTCTATTCGCAAAAATTATATTTAACAATGTATGATTGTCAGTTGATGTAAAGCCCTTGTTTTCGTAGCTATTTATATTAGAAATATGGTTAGAAATATGTAAATATAACTTTTGTTCAGTTGAGCGTGATTTTGATAATGGTGAGATAATAGAAGAAACCCCTTTAACATATTGATTTGCCTGATCAACATTTTTTAAAGAAAGGTTTTTTGTGTTACGAATTTTTTTTGAAGAGATAGGTTGTTTAAGAAAATGAGTTTTGTCTTTAAAATTTAAAGAATCCGATGATTCCTGAGTTTCCTGTTGAAATAATTGATTTTTCATCACTGAAGGTTCAATTTGAATGATATTTAGCTTTATTCTTAGGATCTATGATTATCTTATGAAAGCTATATTCGAAATGATAAAATTTTTTGCATATTATGAAACAGTAATGTTGTTAAACTTTTTTAGTATTTGAAAAACCGGTATTTTATGAAAAATATATAACTTAACTGAAAATATTTGAAGAAAAATAATAGTAATCTTTTTGTAAAATATGTTTGTAAATTCTTGTAATTTGCGGATATTTTATTTAGTCTTAAATCTAGGAAAAATTAAATTATAAAAACTAATAAATATAGGACATATAATAGTCACTTACTGTATAAAAAAATAAATATTATCTCTTATGAAGCTTAGAATTATATAGTAAAAAAATATTTAATTTTTTTTTTGTTTTATTTGAAGCGCGATGTTCCTGAATAACGAATTTTTATGCGGACTTATTAATTTAATTTAGTTTTAATAGATATATTGTTTATTTTAAAAAGATGGTTTAGCTTATGGATGTTTTATGTATTTTTGTAAAAGTTTATGATTATATAGAATTATTATTAAATCTTTTATTAGTTTTTGTAATACGTTTATATTATATATTTTGAGAAATAGAAAAGCTGGTTTTATTTAGAAAATTGGTAACTTTTTAAAATAGCACACATAATAATATTTCAATTTATTTTTTTTTTTTAAATGAGTCGAAAAAAATGTCTTCATACTGAATTAACACTTTTATAATATAATATTTGACAATTATTTTTATTATTTATTAATATGTATAGGAATAAGTAAATTTTAATTATTTCAAGAATATAGCATTATTATCTTTAAAGTTTTAGTCATTGTTATGAAAAATATGTAGATATTTTATTTTGATACTCATTTTATCATCTATATTTAGAATTATTTATAAAACTTGATTCCGAAATTGCCTCTGGAGTGCTTATATTTTTAAAATTAATACTTTCTCCATTAGTAATTGGTGTTTTGAAATTAGTTGTAGTATTGAATATTTTTGGTCTAGAATGAGTAGAATAGATATTGTCTTTGTATTTGTCGTTATTATAGTGATATTTTAGATATGAATTAAAATTTGAAAATGAACGGGAATTTAATAAATTTCTGTCATTTTCTATGGTTTTAGATGTTTGAAAAGGTTTCATGTTTTTTTGATATTGTTTTATAAAAATGCTAGATCCTTGATTAAGTGGCCTAATAATATGTTCACTGTTGGATCTTTTTAACGAATAATTTAATTGTTTTTTTTTTTCTGATGAATAACTAAGTTCTGTGATGTCTTGATGATAGTCGTAAATTGCTAATGATAATTCTGTTAAACTTCTTAATATATTTTCAACTTTTTCCTCTGTTTTTTCATTTTTTATATTTTTAAATGATAATATTTCGTTAATAATTTGTTCTAATGGTGCCCATAATTCTTTAGATATACCATTTGATTTCATTTTTTCTAATGATGCATAGAGTATACGATAAGGTGCCTCAACTTCTGTTTCATTTAAAGTTGAATTATTAAACAATATATTTTCATTTAAACTCGATGTTTCAATGTCGTTAAAATTGGATGATTTCTTCCATTTATTTGCAATTTCAAGTTTTTTAACTCGAAATTTTAATTCTGAAAGTTCATTCCATAATCTAGGTACCTGTATATTTTCCAATCCTTCATTTTTATATGAATATAAAATACTATTCTTTTGTAAATATGATGGTGATGATTGTAATTCAATAGAATGGGGAATAAAGCAATCATTTTCTGAATTTGATTTACTAAACAATGCTTTATTTTCATATAAATCAGAGGTGTTGCAAAGCATATCTTCAGACATGTTAATATGTCTATTAAATTTTGAAAAATAATTGCTGTTATTAATGAATTGTTTTTTAATGGATATTTGAGGTATTTGATTACTTTCTTTTTTTAATAAATCATGTATATCATTTTCCAGTGATTTGTTTGTTGTTTTCCATAATATGTCTGTATTGAGTAATGATGACATAAACAATTGTTCTTTTTTTAGTGAGTTAGCGTCTTTTTTTTTAATATATGATTCTGATGGTTGATAATTAATATTTTTATTTGATTTTGAGTTTGATAAAGAAAAATTTGATAACTAAAAATCTATGAATTAGTCTAAGAAATACTACATTTAAGTTTACGTTTTGTTTCTTTGATAGTTCTAAGATTTTTGAGCCCGTAAAATTTAAAAATGGGATATCATCTAGTGTTGATTTTTCCCCCCTTTGAAGACTTAAACACTTTGCATGTGTTTCCATGTGTTTTGTTATATTAATAATTTAAAAAAAAAACTATCAGTTTCTTTATAATTTTTTAATAGATATATATTACTATTTGTAAAGTTAAATCTTATAAAAATTTAGTTACAAAAAAATACATATTTAAATATAATTAATGAATTTTTTCCTATGATTTTATATGTAATTTAGTATTGTTTAATAATAAGATGTTATATAATTTAAAAAATGAACGCGATGGCTTCATTCATCTTAGAACGATAGATGTAATGAGGCATATTTTAGATTAGAAAGTATTAATATACCTTTTAGAAATATACTAATCCTAGTTGAATGTCTATTAATTTAATTGTTTCTCAAATAAACTCTCTTTATAAAGAATTTGGGTTAAATGATAAGCAATACGAAATTGATGAACAAGATATTTTGCAAGTATGTTTTTTATTTCATTTTTTCTTTAAGTTATTAACTTTTGCTATTTTTTATAGACAGAAATAGTAAATGAAGTTTATATAAAAATTTTGAAAGAATCTGTTACAAAAATTCTTGGTTTATACCAATATTTTCTTTATGTTTAATTTAATAAACTAGCTTTATCTTCCGAAACTATAACTAATTTTGAAAAATTTACTGATGTTTTTCATGATTTATTAAAATATTTTAAGAAAGTCGAGTGTCACTCTTTCGATTCTTCTATTTCTTTTTATGATTTTGTTGCTTGTTCTATTATTCATCATTATTCTTATAATGTGATATCAAAAATTTCTTTATTTTCTGGTACTGAACTTCAAAAAAAGCATCTAGCTAATCATATTCATAACTGTAAGGTTAACTTTATTTATATATTATCTTAAAGTGTTTGTAGTGTTACTTTGTGTATATGAAGTATTAAATGGGATTATTAGAGTAATTTTGGAAATGGATAAAGTGTCTGATAAATGCCATTCTAATAATATTGATAATTTGAATAATTGTATAACAAACATTTGTACATTGGTATCGCAAATCATTTTGATCTTGTTTCAGGTTAGTTTAATTTTATTTGATATAGTGATTTAAATTTATTAGACATATTTTTCTCTTGGAAATTCTGATATTTTAAATACTTTTCTTGATATTGGGAATTATTCCATTACATATATAAAATGTATTGAATTAATGCTTTTTCTTTATAATAATAGCTATTTGAAAAATAATATTAGAAATATTGTTAAAAAAGCTATGCTAAGATGTTGTAAGACACAATATTTTATGTTTCTTTCGATTTTAATGTTATAGTTGATTTTAAAGGGTTCGATATTTTTTTGCAAATTTTAATTAGGACAAAGGATAGTTCAGACTATGATGATATTGTTAAAGCTGTTCAGCACATTTATGATGGTATTTCTAAAATATTATTTGGACGATCAGTCTCTATTTTTAAGGATCAAAAATGTTTGATTTACATTTGTTTTATTAATTATATTATTGTTATTCTAATACGCATTTAGTTGTTGTCTCGGGGCTTTTAGAATATATCGAACTTGAAAAATCAAATTGGACTCAAATTCAATATAATTTATGGCTTCCTCCACTTTTCATTTCTTCATGGCTTGTTCCTAATGAACGTAATGATTGGCTAGTATTTCATTTGCGTTTATTATTATTAATAGCTATTTAGTGAAATTATAAAATATTGTTATAAATTGAATAATCAAATATCCAGGGAAATAATTGATAATATTCAATTTAAAATTATAAGTTCTAATCCTGAACTTTCCTTTCAAATATCGATGTCGTTTATATTTTCTTTTCAATTAGATGATGTTACATGTAATTTTTAGTAAAAAATATTTTTTAAATATTAATTGGAATAGCTGATAAAAATTTTATAATAAAACGCATTATAATGCTTTTAGATATTGTAAGACGGACTGAATTTATAGAACAAATGAACTTGTTGATGGTATCAAAATATCAATGTTTACATTTTTTTACTTGGTTATGGGAAAGTTCTTTAAAATGTCCTAGTAATTGTATAATAGCATTTTCTAATGATTTAGTTGGGTTAAATATTTTTTTTCATATTACTTAATGATATTTAGACTTTATTATGGCTTTTACGACGTAATTTTTTACTTAAATATAATACTTCTATTGTTTCCGAGTTTGAACATTTAGTTATTTTTGTTTTAACCGGTGGAAAGATTGATAGCGATCAAAAATCACAGGCTTATGAAAGAGGTTGTTGTAAGGATGAGCTAGATAGATCTATAATAATATTAAAGGTAATAGTATCAGTCTTTTTTTTTAGAAATAATTATTTTTTAGAGACATATCAATTTAGAAAGTTGGTCATTGTATTTAACAGCCCAAGATGTTAAGTCAATGTTTATTTTGGTTTTAACTGAATTACTTCGATTATTTAAAGAGTTATGTTCTCTTTCTATACTTGTTCCTATTCAAGAAAAAAATATTGTTGAATTTGTGCTATTTATTTTCTTGGATTATGATAGGCAATGGATTGAGTTTCAATGTAGGTAATACTTATATGATAATTGCAATTGAATTATTAGGTTGGAATAATCTTATATATTTTTTACATTCTGTTTCAAAGGATATTCTTATGGACGTTTTTACTAATGAGACATTAACTGTTAATTTTAATGATAATTATATTGTTAAAAATGATCGTTGTTATAATAGTATGGATAATACTTCTTTTAGTAACTCATTTGAAACTAAATCTTTAAAATTATTTTCTAGGATAATGTATTGTAAGTTTAATCTTTTTTTTTTTTTTTTTAAAAAAAGTAGTAATATCTAGTTTGATACGGTATGTAATCTTAGGCTTTACTTTATAGTTTAATTAATTGTAGTGAATTTGAGGTTTTAGGTACCTCGATAGCTTCAGGTGAATATGAAACTGTAATCTTAAATAACTTCAGGAAAATTATAGGAATAAATCAATTTCTGATTATTATCCTTATTTATTTGCCTCCTGATCATCTAGTTAATCAATATGCGTGCTCGCAATATGAATTTATTTCTTTACTTAGTTCTAGTATTATAGATGTTAAATATATTTCATGGTTTCGAACTATTGGAAGGTTTTTAGATCATTTATTAACTATTTTTGTTTCAACAAATCTTCAGCTTTTTGCTATTTTATCGAGACAAGGTATTGATAATATTGATATGCCAAATAATTTAAAATTTTCACATTTTATTGAAATTATGATTTATAGTTCTTGTAGATTGGATGTTATAGCTGGTATACTTTTTTACCTATATTTTCCTATTTAAAATTTTTAGGTGTTATTTTAGATTTAATAAAAATATATAAAAATAAATGGACGACTGATAGTACTGATGTTATATGTTTAGCTATGTCTGTCATTAGGTCTATTAGATTCTTTGTAATTTAACGGTTTGGGTGTGCAATTATATGACTAATAATTATTAGGATAAATGCGAAACTTTTTTAATTAATAAGATTAATGATACAATACTTCTTTTTAAGCAAACTAATGACTCTAAAATTTGTATCTTTTATGTTTATTTATTATGACTTATATGTTTTAGGGGATTACGTTTCTAGTGATATACAAAACATGGAATTTTTATTTTACGTTTTAAAAGAAATTTTACATGGTTATCTTTGTGTGGAATGTTTTGCTGGAATTTCATCTGAAAATCTTTCTAATGATAAAAAATATCCATGTAAAGAATGCATTTTAATTCCTAACGCTTTACAACTTGAATTTTTGCATTTGGCTAAACTAGTAATTGTATATATGTATATGATTATTTATATTCATTATAATTAGTGTATACCTCAAAATGCTGCTTGGATAGTAGAATTGAAAACACATTTGCTAATTGCTTATTTTCAAAAAATTTATGATATTGCTTTTAAATCAAAAATTAAAGGTTATGAAGTTTTATATGAAGTCTTAAAAAAAGTAAAAATATAAAAAAAGTAAAAATATGGTTTAATTTTTACTAGATAATACCGACTCTTGAAATAAATAAACCTTTTATATCTGACGATGTTAGATGTGATACTCATAATGAAATTGTATCTGGTGAATTATTTAAGTTATTAGAGTACGTAATGTTTTTTTTTAAAAAAATATTCATATATTTTTTAGATTAGATCATAAAGAACAAATTTTAGCTATTATAGTTTTATAAGTTAATTCTTTAAAAAATATATCATATGAATACATAATATTTAAAAGTCTATGTATATTTTTATATTATATTTATAAATGTATATATACAATTCATATAAACTATTAATAATATATATGATATATGAAAAATAATATTGTTTTATAGATGACAATATATATTTTTTATATAAAAATAATTAAATATATTAATTAATTGTAATTAATAGATTGCAATGTTTATCACTGAGAATATATGAGTATATATGATTAAGGTGAAAACAATGATCAGATTTATTATAATTTAATATTAGATATGTAGATTTTATTTTTGTATTTATTATTTATTTATAGAACATAACATATAAAAATAATAATAATATAGATATTATATAAAAGTATATTAAATTTTTAATACGTCTATTTTATGTTTATTACTATTTTGTTATATTTGTTATATTTATATATTAGATATACCTAGTAATACTTTAAATTAATTTAGAAAATAATTAAAACTATAAAGCATTATTTTATCATTAATTAGCGTTATATATATATATTTGTAATCTATAATGCTAAATTATTTGAATAATTATTTTAAAAATGTATTATTTTTTCATAATAAATATATATATTAAAGTTATATATGTAAAAACAAAAAATTATAAATAAAAATTATTAATTAAATTTATTAAAATATTTTTTTATATCATAAATAAGTATGAAATTATATTTATATTTAAATAATTCACATAATTTATTTCAACGTAGTTTTTAAAATATAAATAACATTTAAATATATTACCAAAATGACAACTATTGAAAAAGTTTATACTCTATTTATGAATCTACATCATCTAATCATGTTAGATTAAAGAAATAGAAGATGAGATGGCTCGCACTCAGTAAGTTATATTATTATTTAAATATTTTTTTTAACAAACTAGAAAAAATAAGGCGTATAATATTATACTATCATTATGTTAACATAAATAATTATCATTTAGCACAGCTAAACACCTTGGCCTTTTAAAAGTTATTTATCTTTTTTTATTATATATACTCTAACAGAATAAAGGCTAAATTAGCAAAACTAAAACGCGAACTTATAACACCTAGTGGAAGCAATGGAGGAACAGGAAGTTGTAATATATTTTATGTGTTTATCATTCTTATATACAGTTGGGTTTGATGTTGCGAGAACAGGAGTAGCATCAATAGGATTTATTGGTAAATTTAACTATTTAAATTACATGTGTTATAATATTTTAAGGATTTCCTTCTGCTGGAAAAAGTACATTAATGTCTAAACTTACGGGAACACATAGTGAAGCAGCTGCATATGAATGTATTTATAATTTTTTAAAATTAATAATATTATATTTATAAATAGTTACTACTTTAACTACAGTTCCTGGCATACTTCAATATAAAGGTGCCAAAATTCAGGTAAAAATAACTAATATTATTATATCAAACATTTATTTATATATATATTAAGATTATAGATTTACCTGGTATTATTCAAGGGGTAATTATTAAAATATCAAAATTACACACTAAATTGAAACAAGGCAAAAGAAGGGAAAGGTAGAGGTCGACAAGTTATTGCAGTAGCAAGAACCTGTAACCTTATTTATATAATCCTTGATATTCTTAAACCTCTTACAGATAAAAAAATTATTGAAGATGAACTTGAAGGATTTGGAATTAGATTAAATAAAAAACCTCCTATGATTACACTTAAAAAAAAAGAAAAAGGAGGAATCACATTATCTAATACAGTTACATTAACAAACATAGATTATGATGAAATTAAAGCAATATTGGGAGAGTATCGTATCAATAATGCAGATATAACCTTTAGATGTGATGCTACAGTATGCATGTAATTTTATAAATATATATATATTTAATTATTTTATTAGGCGGATGATCTTATAGATGTTATCGAAGGAAACAGGATATACATTCCTGCTATTTATGTTCTTAATAAAATTGATCAAATTTCCATAGAAGAACTTGATTTGCTCTACAAAATTCCAAATGCAGTGCCTATTTCAGCGCAACATGTAAATATTATACTAATTTTGGATTTATCTAAATTATAATAGGGATGGAATTTTGATGAATTACTTGTAATATTTACCTTTTAAAAATTATATTAACAAGTATTAGGAAAAAATGTACCAAAACCATATTTTTTCAACTACTTAGCTTTAAAATAGGTGGGAGCAACTTGATTTAATAAGAGTATATACGAAACCTAAAGGATTACCACCTGATTATTCTGATCCAATAGTTTTAAAAAAAAATGCAAGCTCAGTAGAAGATTTCGTATTTTTCCAAATAAATATGATAATTTACTAATATATAAAAAAGTGCAATGCTATTCATAAATCGATATTCAAACAATTCAAATAGTAATAATTATCATCGTAAATACATATTTAATATTTTATAGTGCATATGTATGGGGTAATTCAGTAAAACATAATCATCAAAGAGTTGGCATTAGTCATATATTACTAGATGAAGATGTGTGTACTATTATTAAAAAATAATGATAATAAATTAATTTATATTTTATTTTTAAACATATTTTCTTTTAAGCAATAATAACATATATCATTAATAATCAATTATAATTCACTATTAATTATTAGTAATATTCAATATCGATTATTCATACATACTACAAATATTAATAATTTTTAACATAAAATATTTAAAGTTAGTGAAATAATTTCAAAAAAATACTAAATATAAGATAACATATTATATTTATTTATAAAAATTATATATGTTTTCAAAAAAAAAAAAGTAAAATAACATTTTCTAAACAATAATTTTTAAATAATATAGTTCAAAAATAGGTTTTACAAATACTAATATTATACATTTCATAACGTTATCATTATGATCAATATATATGTTATTTTTAGCTAAATTTTAAAAATATACATTTTTTTCAATATCATAACGAGTTTTAAATTACATGATTACATATTTAAGAAATTATCCATAACGGTCTCTAAGATATAAATTAGAATAAATGTATTGTAATGCAATTAATTCATGAAATCTACATAACTAAGATGATATATATATTTTTATTATTTCAAATATTTACTAGTATAATATATATTATAACTTACGTACATTTATCAATTTTATAAAGTTATAATATGTATTAATAACACCATAATTCAATATAAATAAATAAGTTTAAGTAATATTGTATATTTAACATACTATACTACTCAATATAAGATCAAATATATAAAATATAAAATGTTTATTAGCAGCTTTTGAATCAAATAAGCTGCAAATTTGCTTAATTTTAGCTTTAATAATTTCATCATTAAAACGAAAAAAATGATTGTTAAATAACACTATTGAAATCAGATATTTCCATATTTTTTTTTAAAAAAAACCTGTTATAACAGTATATATCTCTGTTTCCAAATACTCTTTAAAATTATAATCATCAAATTTACAGTGTTGAATTTTAGAAACATCAATTGATCCATCAGACCAAATTGCAGTCCTTAATGCTCGAAAACAGCTAACTGCAAATTGTTCAGTAAATATATATTGACTCCAAAACCTCATTAATTGGCTAAAACTTAATATATTACACTTAATTATTACACTTACATTAAGATCAAATCACCAAAAAACACAAAAATACAAGGAATTAAAAAAAAGCGAATCACAGTATATATATAAGGTGCCTCAGTCTTAAGTTCTAGTACTTCAAAAACAAACTCAAAGCCAGCTAAGTCAAAAATATTTTGTATAAATTGAGGAGAATTTGCAATAGACATAAATGTTTTTTTCCATAAAAATATTATCAAATTATATAATTTCACAAACATAAACCATTTAAAACGTTTTTTTTCAATACCTTTATTAATATTTTTTTTTTTTAGATGAACAATTAACTAAAAGAATTAAATTAAGAAATAAACACATAGTTATACTTTTGCAATAATCTCAAACAAAATAGACGGCTCGCTAAGTTTATCTACAATTTTTTTAAAAATAAAGTCAGAAAGAATTTCCCTTATTATAACTCTTTCACATTCAGATTTAAGATCATCAGGAGGTAAAAAAGATGTAATCAAAGTATCAGCAATTAAACGCAAATACAAACATTCATTTTCATAGGAATCCAAAGCAGGATGATGTTGAAATTTGTAAAATATTTCATCAAATGTTCTATAGGAAGTAATATCAGCTTGTAGAATCTTTTGTGTCCTGCGAATATCTATAATATAAATTAGTTTAATATAAAAACAAAAAACAACATTCCATTAATATGTTTAATAGCAATCATAGGTATAATATGGAAAAGAAGCAATTCATGTTTCATCTATAACATTTTTTAATAATAGTGAATATATTAATTTTACATAAACTACCATAAAAAATTTTTTTTCTAATTCTTTAACAATATGAGAGATTAAAAGCAGCAATTCCTCAATAAAGCTTTTATCATGTGTTATTTGTTCATACCATATATTAATATGATCTTTGCAAATAATAGCAATAATAGAGTATAATTCAACATCCACAAGTTCCGAACTAGTTAAAGTAGGAAGTTTATCAGAAAAATTATAATTCTTTGATAAAGACAGACACTGCCTTATTAAAGAGTTACTTTCATAAAATCCCATAAAATAATGCTATTTATCAAACATAGATAAATATCTCATGCGTATACAATATGATGTAATTAAAAATATTCGAGAATGTAATTATCAAATTTTACCAAATAAATAAATTTAACCAAATTATATACAAATATAGATTCAAATAATCATTATAACATATTTTTATACATTTTTATTTTTTAATAAAAAAAATAGATATATCATGTTTCATATTTCAATTATCAAATCTATTACAAATGATATACATATGTAATTATATAATTTCATTATATTTTTATACAAAATCACATTTATAAAAAGTACGATCAAATAGGTTCTTATATAATAGTCTTTCCACACAGCGATATTATTTATGTATTTTCATATATTCAATGACTATATCTTATAAAAAAAAAAATTACTCTTAGATTTATTTTTTAGAACTTTTTTTCAAAATAATTAATGAATATATTTAAAGATAATTAAATATAACTTTTTTTAAACCATATACTATAAACAAATCAAATAAATATCAGATATTATTTTTTTAATTATTTTTATTCGAAGTATTATTAATTCAATTATATAACTATTTAAAATAGATGAAAATAAGAAAACTTTGAACATTAATTAATTCAAAATAATAGAAATAGTTTATCCTATATATAATTTCCATATTTTTTACTAAGACAACATATACAAATATATTCAGAACAGTAAATAATCAAGTAATTTACTATAATTTTTAAAATAATCATAATTTCTATTTATCCAACATTAGACTATATGGATAATTCGGCATCTAACAATCAAACTATTATCCATAATCTTATCAATTTGGAAACACATTTAAAATCACTTATTCATAATCTTCATGATCTTGGCAAAACTATTCATGACTTGGAAAACTCCAAAACAAATGAAATAATATTAAATAAAATGTTACTACTCATTAATTTACAAATTATTTCTAAATTAATAATAGAAAGAATATAATCGATAATTATAAATCTCTTTATGCAAATAAAGATTCTGTTACACAAATAGTGCCACGGGATGTTATAGAGTTAATTTTATTTTAATAATTTATATACACTATTAATTTTTTACTAGTTATATAGAGGAAGGAAGAAATCCAGATGTTTACACTAGACAATTTTGCGAACTGGTTCAAAAGGATAACCAATATGTTAATGGCAAATCTATAGCTATAACTGTATGCTTTTTGTCATAAATAAAAATCCATATTAATTCTATAGGATTTTCGTAATATTTTGGCCCAGGATATAAAAAATAATTTTCCAAACATAGCAAATGAAGTCGAAAAAATATTAAGAAATACAAATAAAAAATAATTATTTAACTTTTAAGTACATCTAAAAACTCAAACATTTTATAATTTCATAAACTACAATCTTTTAGTTTTTCAAAACGACTCGTTTAACTGCTTTATACTGGAATAACAAAATAATATAACAATAAATTAAATATCAGTTTTTTTTAGTAGCAAAGTGTTTATTTCTCTTCCTGCACAGTCTCAGGACGGTCAGTACGCCGATTTGTGGGATCACTATTTGGGTCACTATTACTTCTTCCTCGGCTATTTTTAGAACGGAACTGTTTTTGACTAAATTTTGCAAAAGAAATAGGAGATGGTTCATTACTGAATCCAAATGCAGTCGTAGAAATATCCATATTAGGAGCACGATACTCATGAGATAATGCTTGTCGTATATCATCGCTATCTCTAGAAACAGCTTTTAAATGCTCGTAATGTCCATTATAATTAGAATATTTTTTTTTTGGGTGAAACAGTGATTTAGATCGTCTGGGATTATAATGGTTATCATTTGTACTTGCTTCTCTAATTACGAAGCGTGAAGAATCTTCGTCATTAATCTTTTCTATATCAAGAGGTTTAAGTTTCCTTCGAAGGACAGCAGATAAGATATCTTCACTGTCTTCGCTACTTCCACAATCAATACCATGATTTACTGAGCCTGCATCTCTACAAGAACTTTTAAATGCTCGAGAAGAAATATTATCTACAGGTGTTTTTAAATCTTGATACTTTGCCATAGTAAGTGCTACATCTGTAGCATTGTGCGATACAATATCAAGAGATAATAGATTTGCAACTAGAATAGGAACCTGAACCACAACTTTTGATCTAGAAATATTTCAGTATTATTATTAACATTATTAATATCTAGTTACGTAAAAGCAGTCCCCACAGAAATATTAATAAAATATTTAACCGCCAAATGTCTTCCAGCATTTACTGTAAGTTGTGCAGAAGGAATTAATAACTGACAAATAACTGAATCGTTAGTATCAGGCTTAACACCCTTCCAAGCTCTTGTGTCTTCAGGGTCATTGGCATATAATATTGACGACGATAATACCTTTGTTTTAATATAATCTGGTACTCTTTCATGAGCAAGTGTTTGCTCTTTAGTATTGGCAGGTGGACTATTATATATAATAACTTGACGGACCTTCATATATTATTATTAATTTTTTTAAACATACTATATTTACTAATTCAAGTTTTATTTTCCTAACCTGGAAAGAATTAAAAACGTATTATTTAAGATGTTTCATTACTTACAGTACGTGTCGAATGATTAGTTGTACAAACTTCTACAAATGCAAGTTGACCGGAAATCCAAACTGGCCTATGTAATTTTGCTTCAACTTTCAAAGAACCTTTTCCTCCACAAAATAAAGGTCCTTCTTCAATACATGTTATAGGATGCTCGCTTGGTACAAGAGCACGGTCCGGGTGCAAAGCTGTAAATAGTAACAAATTTTTGCATACTCTTGATAAAAAAATCTTATCTTTAAGTTTATAACGAAGTGTTCTTCATCAATCAGTACAGAAACCAAACACAGATATTTTAATACGCAAAAATATAATATTTTACATGTCCCTCTTTACATTCAAATGTTCCGGGACCCACATTCAAAGGAAGATGTAAATCAAATGGTATAGATGTTCTGCATTTTTGTGAAGGCCAAAATCCATCTTCTGGACATTGTCCAATATCTGTATATACAAGCTGATTTAATGGAGAATCCTCAAATTCCATCATCTCTTTAGCAACACTAAACAATATATGCGACTTATTGTTTCCTATGCCTTAATTATTAGTCTAAATTCAGGATCAAATACTATAACATACTTTCAACACCTAAACAATCAAGAGCAATACTGCCCAGTTGTACTTTAGATGATTCAATTTCAATTTGTAGATTTCCACGAATAAACCCCCCTCCAACATGAACAGCAGCATTAAGAGACATATCTATTCCTACTTTTGGTCCTTTGAATCGAGAATTAGACAACAAATCTAAAGGAGGGCGTTCTCGCACAAATGTTCCACTATTAATAACTGGATATAATAGTTCATAATTATCTTCTGATGCCAATCTGGATACATCATTACGGCCTAATTGTGATTGTATCTGTTTATTATTTTGAGGTATATAATTATTTTGTAACTTATTTATATTATTCATTAGATGATTATCAATAGAACGCAAAGCTCGACGATTAATTAACTCAAACATATGTTCATCAGATGACTGAGATTGTCCTTTACAATCATCATGCTCATTACATAATAAATTATCATCATTAGAATAGGAATCCTGATAAACATGAGTGCAAAAAGAATCTTTTTTACGAGGTTTAGAACAAAGACCTATATTATATTTTGAAGACTTAAAAAGACATGTAAGAGATTGAAAGAATATAGTAAACCTACCGTAGCTTTAATTTCAGGTGCAACCACAAACTCATCAGCCCTATGACTTTTATTATAATTCGAAAAAACCATATTGATAAACAGTGAAATAATAATCTGTAATTATAAAAAAGGATGAATAATGGAAAATAAAGAAAAATAAAAAAAATTATAATTAAAATAATTTCACACTTTCAATTTTAAATATTACGAAAGTTGAACTTTCGAAATGTTTTGAAAAACGATATCATCACGTGACGATTTAAAATATGTTTAAATGCATAAAAATAATTTAACATAAAAAATTAGAATCATTTTTAAATTAAAATAATTCACTTAACATTAAAAGTTTTAAAAACAATTTATATCATTATTTTTATTGCAAAAAGTAGCTCTAAATAAAGTAAATTTAATAATCTTATAAAAAACATTAAACTATATAATAACACAAACAATAAACATAAATAAAAAACAAAAAGATTAGAAATTATTTGTTTTATTTAAAGCAGTTTTATTTAAATATAATATAAAGTATTAAAGACAAAAACCATTGAAAAACTATTTAAATCAATAAATATTTTTAAAATATAATTAAAGAAAAAATGTGTATTTCCAAATAATATCATAATATTTATAAAAATTTCATATAATAGATATTATCATACGATAAATCTCATTCTATTATATCTTAAATAACATTAAGAAAAATTCTGTAAGCTCTTATATTTAATAAGATAATAACTCAAATATTATATATCTTTATATATATATTTAAAACAATTTATACCATTTTATAATAAATTTTTGTACTAAAGAAATATAATTTTAATAAAATTTTTAATTAATACTTTTAAATTTTTCTATAAAATTGTACGTTAAATATCCCCTTTAAAATCTTAAAACAAAAAAACGTATTACTAATTATAATTATATAATAAAATAAACTATTTTTCTAAAATAAATAATATTCTTTAGCTTTAAATTCAATTCATAGCAAATAGATTTATTAAATAAATTAAAATTCAATGAAATATGCTAAGTAATTTCAAAAACACATTTTTTTTAATTTAACTATCTTCTAGAAAACTTGAAAAAGATTTAATATCAGGTGCATAATACACGTTTTATTACTTTATTAATATTTTTCAGAGTGGAGTGAAAAGTATGTTAATTATAAAAAAGGTATGCTAACATATTTTTTATAATTTAAACACATTATTAGCAAAAAAACTTGTAACAAGGATTGCAAAAAAAAAAGATCTAGGGAAAGCAGATTATGAGCATTCACATGAAAAACAATTTACAGATAATTCATTGGAAAATCAAAATTTAAATGCTTTTTTAAACAATAATATAAATTATGATAATTCAAATAATAATTTCTTAAAAAAAATAACCGATCCAACAGAATTAGTTCTAGAAGTAGACCCTGAAGCTGATATCATTAATAAAGAAAAATCAGATGAAAATAATAAGGAAATTTCCCAGGACTCTCTTTCGCAAAAATTGTCTGCTAATGTTTCTGATCTTACAAATACATCATGTTTTTCAAATTCTTATACTCAATATATACCTAGTTACAAAAAAACTCCTCTTAACGATATAAATTCAGAATTATACTCCAAATCACTTAATAACAACTATGAAATATCTCAGTTTTTTATATTTTTAAATAAAGAACTTCGAAAAGTAGATAATTTTTATAGAGAAAAAGAAAAAAAAGCAGAGCTGCGTTTACAGCAAATTAAAGAGCAATTATATGAAATGGATAATAGACATAAAAATAAGGTAATTATTTAATACTTTTTTTATCCATTTATATCTTTCAGATACATATTAATTCAAAAAAAAAGTATTCACTTTTAAACTGGGAAAATAGTTTTATAACGCCATTGCATAAAATTGTTACACTTTTTAAATTAAAAAAGAAATGTGATGTTGACTATCAAGAATACCAAGTTTCTGAAAGTATTACTTATAAAGCTGCTAAAAAACGTCTCAAAACAGTAAGTATTTATTTATGTATATTACATATTTCCTAAATACATAGGCTATTATTGATTTTTATCATGAGGCAGAGCTTTTAAAAAGCTATCGTATAATGAATATAGAAGCTTTTAGAAAAGCTTTAAAAAAAATAACTAAAATTACAGGCACCAATTATTTAAAATTTTATATGCCTAAAGTTACTAAAAGTCATTTTGGATCTAGCAAAATCAATGATAATTTAATAACGGAAGCAGAGGTATATTTTTTTTTTTTTTTTCATAAATTTTATTTTATTTAAGGATGTTTTTGCATATTATTTTGAGAAAAATGACAGAAAGAATGCTATAAAAAAACTTCGAACTAAACAAAAAACAACAGTATACATATTTTTTTATTTAAATATTACTACTAATAACAAAAAGGATCATTCCTCCTCTTTACTTTGTGCTGGTTTATATCTTGGGATTTCACTACCTCTATTTATAGAAGGATTAGTATATGGTATTTTAAAAAAATCATAAATTGATTGATAATGGAATATTTTAGCAAATAAAACATTAATTAATGACTTTTCCTTAACAGTAATATATCTTATTGAAATATGGAATGTTTTTTTTCTTATATTATTATTTTTGTTACTTTTTGGTCTTAATTGTTATATATGGACAAAATCAAAAATAAATTACGCCTTTATTTTTGAATTTGATACGAGTCATAATTTAAATTGGAAACAATATTTGGAAGTATGTTAATATAGATATTTTATTTTAAATTTTAAAAATTTAGATACCATCTGTCATTTTTCTGTTATTTTCGTTATTTTTTTGGCTTACTTTTAAAAATTTATGGCAGCCTTTCGTCAATTATTATCCACTATTTTTTATTATAATAACAACTATAATATTATTAAACCCGTTACCATATTTTTATAGAGAATCACGCAAATGGTTTATTATTTCAAATGTAAAACGAATATATATGTTATTATGCATTAATTTCAGTTAGCTTCGTTTGTTTTTTTCTGGATTATGTTCTGTTGAATTTCGTGATTTTTTTATGGGTGATCAATATAATAGTTTAGTATATGTTTTTGGAAATATAAAGGAAAGTAGCCTTTATTTTTTTATAAATATTGACTGAAAAATAGTTATTTTTCTGTTTTTATAATTATCATTTTAAAAATCTAATTCAATGTGATATATCACATTTTAAATTAATGGGATTTCTTCAGACAATTCCAGGGATTTTTCGTTTTTTACAATGTTTAAGAAGATACTATGACTCTAGACATGTATTTCCACATCTTATCAATGCAGGAAAATACGCATGTGCAGTCTTAACATATACTTTTTTTTCTATTTGGAAAATAAATAGTCATTCAAAATGGAAAATCATATATATTACTTTCGCTTCAATAAATTCTATTTATACTAGTAATCCTATTATAAAATCATATGACATTAGTTTTATAATATTCTAGGTTTCTGGGATTTATTTATAGATTTTTCACTTATGCAGCTATACGCAGAGCGTCCACTTCTGAGGAATAATTTAATATTTAAGCATTATTGGGTAAATATAATTAATTGCAAACAATTTATCTTATTCTCCAGGTTTATTACTTAATAATAGTTTTTGATCCAATATTAAGATTTTCATGGGTACTATATTTCATTTTTATCAAAAATATTCAATATTTACATCTCATTACGTTTATTATCGCTGTAATTGAGGTTTTTCGAAGATTCTTATGGAATATATTTAGAGTAAGAAATTGTTTTATAATGCTTAGCTTAATATGTAAAGGTTGAAAATGAACATTCAACTAATGTTTTATATTTTAGAGTTAGTCGTAATATACCATTACCTTATACGTTTTCTACTTTAGAAAACAAAGATCAAGAAATTGTTGTGGAAAATAACATAGGATCAAAGAAAAAATATTCAAAACGTCCTTTTTTCAACAACATTGCGATTTCATTATTTCAACTAAAACATCGTGAAGATTTTACACATAGGAAACCTAATTACTTAAATAACAAAAAGAATCTTAATGAAATTAACAATGATAGGTTTATACTAATTTATCAGTGTAATAATTTATTTAATATTTTTAGAAATATTTTTACTTTTCTAAACGGTTTAAAAAATAAAAGATATTCATCATAAAGTTTATTACTAGAGTTTTTATATAGATGTATTTAATACAGTTATGATCCGGTTTTAAGTTAATAGAACATAGCTATTATATTTTTTTTCATTATATATACATATAAGTCCAATTCTTTAATTTTTCTCAAAAAAAAATATTAAAAATAATTAACAGAATTATAAAGTTTTTAAAATGAAATAACATTTTTTCTTTAAAAATCCTTTTGCAAAAATAATTTTATATATTACATATACACAAAATTAACATAAAATCATATACATATTTAAAAAAAGTTCAATAATATATTTATAATTATTTAATCAAATTTCTATATAATTTATATTAAAAAATCATCTTTTTACAAAAAAATGCTTCAAATTTATAATCTTTTTAATAAAAGTATTATTTTAAAAAATTAATAAATAAATATTTTATAAAATTACAAAGATAAATAATTTTATTATATACTCAATAGCTTTTTTATCTATAAATCTGAAAATATAATTCTTAAATACGATTATTAGAAATGGATAAAAAGCATTGAAACGAAATATATTTTATGATTAAATTTTAATAAAATATATTAATGATCTTTAGTATACAATTAAAATATATTTTCAGGATATAAAAACAAAACAAATATAATATATAATTACTCAAATCAAAAAAAATATACAATATTATGAATTATACCAACTTTACGTAAAGAAATAATTATAAAAAAGCTAATATCAAATATACATATACTATCAAAAGTATTATTTAGAGGATATTAATCATATTTTACAAACCTGTCTTAAACACAATATTACATATATTTTTTTAAAATAACCAAATCACTAGTTCTCGCTGAGATTATCTCTACTACCTCCTACTTTTAAACTACGAACGCGATTAAGCAATCCTTTACTAGCACATGATGATTCAGGATTTTCAGAAGACATTGTTTGAAAGCTACTTTCTGGTATTGAAATATTTTTTTTTTTAGTACTAAATGCAACTTTTTCTGCATCAATTTGACCAGAAGTTTCAGATAATGACGAAACATCCATAAAATTAGTAGATAAAAAATTAGGATGTAAATCTTTTTTTGAGCCACGAATACGGTGAGCAAAATAACGTTTACGGTTCAAATCATTATCATGAGTACTATGATGTCCTTGAAAACCAAATGACTTACTATCTTTCTCATTCTTTTCTTCATCTGATAATAATGCAACACGTCGCATAGAAGCCTGACTAGCATGCGTACCCTCTAAAAAAGTGGAAGTACCAAGACCAGATGTAGCAGAACCGTGATATAAATCTACTTTTTTAATTAATTCAAAAATAAAACTTCTAAACAAACCTGAAGAACGATTCTTTCTAGAGTAAAAGGAACTGGGAGAAAACTCATTATACGCTTCAACGTCTCGATTTCCAAAATATTTGTCAATTGAAAATTTTGAATTCTCAGTATCCACTTTTGAAAAAGACAAAGACATGCTGTCTTCATGAAAAGCAAGCACAGGATCTTTTTTCGAACTTTTATTACGATAAGGATTACAAGCATCAAATGGTCCATCATGATGAAATGCTAAAAAATATATAAATCCATAACAAAGAAATCATTAACAAATACCTCCTGACCCATATACTGCAGTTACATCAAGCAAGTCAATACGATCCACATGTATACGTGATCGTCTTTCTTTATGAGGACGATCATTTGTCTTTTCTTTAGAATTTTCTTTCAAAATAGTCTTTTCTTGTTCTTTATCTTTACTAAATGGAAAATATTTATGACTTCGATGAGTACTTTTATGAGAATCAAAAACATCACTTTCAGAATTACTTTGAATACGCTCATTACGAGGAATTATTGTTTTAGCATCCTGCTTCGAATGATGAAGCGGTTTACGTTCCCATTGAAAAGCCGTTCGTGACATTGTATGTTGTGATTTCGGTTTCTATAGCTTTGCTTAGCTTATTTCACTCATTTATCCACTCAAAAACATACTGAAATAGCAGTCGTAGCCATATGAGATACATTTTTGTATTCTGTACGATCCAAAAATGGGTTAGATCTTTCTTCAGATGAACCTGTAATTGATGACGACGTAGAAATCAGTCGAAAAGGGTTATTTGACGCAAATTCTAATTTTCATTTTAAAAACACGTTATTTTATTCATAAAACTTACCTTGAGTGCCCATATGTTTAACAACAATTCAGACCTGTTCATTTTTTTATCGTTAAATCATGCAACTTGAGCTAAACATACTCATACCTAACCCTAATTTCATGAACGCATATTTCACAGATTTAATACCCTGTTATATAAAAATATATTTCTAACCTCTAGTTTACTATTAAGAATTTATATAGTAAAGATGCAAATTAAACATGTTTTTTTGATTTCTATATCATTAGAACTGATAAAAAATAACTATGAACAAATCTATTTAAAATATACTATTCCATTACATATATATATAATCTTAACTAACATTATTTAACATTAAAAAACTAAATCTAAATGAAAAGAATTTGCGGAGAACAGTTCATTATATACTTATAAAATTTAGAAAAAAATATACAAGGAAAATATTAAACTAATTGAAAAATATCTTCGAATTATTGGTAAATAAATACTCTAATTCTACAGCTTTTATATCATTACAAATATAAACTATAATTAAAACAAATTAAAGATTCAAAGAACTATGAATCCTTAAAACATCAAAATATAGCCTTTTAAAAAACTTTAAGTCATTGTTACAAATAATAACATTTATAGTTTTTAGCCTCATTTAGAAACTTATTCTAATACGGATAAGGAAAGCGCATAGTTAAAATATCTATTGTAAAACTATTGTCTAACATCCAAATAATTGCATAAACAGTACACTTAAAAATTGAATAACCAAACAAAAGAATACATATCCAGCAAAATTGCTATATTAAGAAATTTATAGATAGAATTGGCCCTTATAAATATAACAAAAAATTAACAATAAAATATAAATATTTTTTTCATTAAACCATTTGACTATTTTCAGTAACACAAATAAGCTCATTAATTAAGTTTAAACAAATAAAAATTCTTTTCAACGAATTTTAGCTCAAATTTCCTATAAAAATCATGACCATTAAAAAAATAATTGAGTATACAATAAAAGTAATTGTAATTTTTTAACAGGAATCAGATCTAAACAAAATATTTGAAGAATATCTTATAAAAGATGCAAAAAATCAATTAATATATATTTTCTAAGTGCTAAACAATTTGAAAGTATTAACAATTCCAACTAGAAAGGTCTTTCCAGAAATACCACTAATATCTATCATTCAGATACTACGAAGATATCTTCTAAGTCTCAAAAATTTTAAAAAAGGTAGATTAAATTCAAAAAAAAAATCACTCTCAACAAAATAATAAGTATAAAAAGATAACATAATAAACGATATCTTTAGAATTTTTTGAACATAAAATTCATCATCTAAAACAAAGGATTCAACTACAGCTAACATGAGCTTTACTCTAAATAAATTCCCGCCTTTATGGAAAAAATAATATTTATTATACAATTTATATTTTTTAATTAAAAATATTTATAAAAAAGTACTTTAATATCTTTCGTATATGAAATCTATTTTCAAGAGACATCTCTTTATTTTTTTCATTATTTATTATTCTATATATTCTAATTAAAATATATTAAAACAGTATAAAATATAAATGATTTATTATTTTCAATTTGTTTTTATTGAATTTTCATCGAATTATCAAATTTAACTTTTTTACAAAGATCCGAACACTCGATCTAATAAAAAAATGTAAAAATTATTGAATTTATCTTAAACATTTTTCCAATCATATGCTTCAATTTTCGGGAAAATAATTATAATTTTTGGAGTTTTATCAAAATTCACTTTAGATATCATAAAATAAAGCCTGATCAATGAGGTAGTATAATAATTAAACACTATATACTAATATTTAAATAGAATTTATACATGTTATGTAGTTATTATATATTTATTAATAACAAAAAACTCATATTTATTAGTTTTGCTCAGGGCCAATTTATCCAGGCCATGGAGTTAATACAGAATATATGTATATATAAATTAATTTTTCTATAGATTATGTTTGTAAGAAATGATGCCAAGGAATTTCGGTTTTGTAGATCAAAATGCCATAAAAACTTTAAAATGAGGCGTAATCCCAGAAAGGTTTAACATTTTTCAAGTTTATTAAAAAAAACTAATTTTTATAGGTTGCATGGACAAAAGGTTTTTTTCTATACATAATATCCTTATTTTATCTCTAACATTTTCCAAAAGCGTTTAGAAAAGCTAGAGGAAAAGAAATGACTATTGTGAGTTATCTTAAAAATAACATTGGACTATACTTATCAAAATTATAGGATACTACACTTACATTTGCTACTCGTAGAAACATTCCTATTCGTTATAATAGAGATATTGTTGCTATCACTCTTAAGGCCATTAATCGTGTATCTGAAATTCGTTCACGAAGAGAGCGCGTATTTTATAAACATCGCATGGCTGGAAATAAAACAAAATTATTAGAAGATGCCAAAAAATTAATAAAAATGAACCCTCAACAATTTCCTGAAACAGAAGAGTTAATGAGGGACCCTCAAGAAAAATTAGAAGAAGCATCTCATAAAAAAACAGAAGAAATAAAAATACCTTTATTATCTAAGAAGAAAAAATCAATCAAATTTCAAATTGATGATACAAATATTGATTAGATTTTACAGGTTTATTTCTAAACATCATTTTATTGTATATATTATAACCCATCATACATTTTTATATAATATTCTATGATTTTAATTAATCTTTAATAATTTAAATGTAAATATTTTTTTTATTTAATCATCTTTATATTACATGATTTTGTTTGATTATATTTTTAAGCATTTATATTTTAAAATTATATTTTTTAAAAAATAATTTAGACTAATTATAAAAATAATCAGTTATTACAGATTATATTAGATTGATTTATATTAAAAAACTGACTCGAGGGAGGTTCGAACTCCCGACTTCCAGTGTGTTAGACTGGCGCCATGACCAACTAGACCATCGAATCATTGTTTATCTAGCAAAACATGATATTTAAAAGAATATCAATACTTTAACAAGTAAATAATTAAACCTTGACTATTAAATTGAAATTTAATCATGTAAAATATATGCAAACGTTAAGCTATATTGTTAAACTTCATACGACTCTGAAATAAAACTAATTTGCAATACAATTCAAACTTAAAAATAATTTAAAAGTAAATACAATTTTAACATTATAAAAAAATCTAAGTCTTATTTAATAAAACTTAAATAACAGTAAATTCTAGAACTTTAATTTTCAAATATGTTAAAAATCTTAAAGTACATATAACAAATAAAAATATAACATTTTTATATACGATAGATTTTTATAGAATGTTTTCTTTTACATTAAATTTATTTGCTACTTTATTGGACATTAGTTTCACTCGTGATCCGTATATCTTTTTTAATCAGCATTTTCAGTTTTTTTCTCCAAATTTTCAATAGAAGAATCAGTAATCATACATGTAATTCTTCTCTCTCCACAATTATATTCTCCTATCTGATAAAAGGAAGATTCCTGATATTCAACCCATAACTTTATTGAGCCATTTGATGACGCAGTTATAAGAATCAAAAAAGATACATTAGTAGGTTGATACGTATAAGATGTAATAGCCTTAATTCTACTTGAATAATAATAAATAAACTTTAATCTGTTACGAAATATTTACCTATTTTCATGCGCAACGAAACTTACTATTAGTTTCCCATTACTAGAATCATATATTTGTAAACACCCATTTTGAGAACCCAAAACTAGTATTTCATGGTTTTTTTTTGATATAGCATAGTGCATAGAATTAAATTGAGTTAATGACGAAAAACAATGTATAAGAGTTGCAGACTAAATAAATCAAAAAAAAAATATTAATTCAAAATATAATTTCTAACCATATCATACACCATTACTTCTTTATTCAATAATACAGCATACTGAGTGCCTAATGTATTCCATTGAATATGAAGTGGTTCATTTTTATTTAGATTATATTTTCCTGCTTTTTTTCCAGTCATCATATTCCATAATCGAATGTTCTTATCTGATCCAACCGTAAGAGCAATCTTCCCACTTGGATGAATAGAAATAGAGTTTACGCGGCCATGTTGAGTTTTTGTTGTACTAAGAGGCAACCAGTCTTTAGTACGAAAAAAAACCATTGTATCATCATCAGAAACGGATATAAGAAACTTAGGAGAAATGAATGAAGAAAATACAAGGCCGGTAATTGTCCCTGATTGATGATAAAGAGATCCGATGTCTTTTTTTTTTCTTAAATCATATAATCTTTTTTCAATAAATTTTTTTTTAAACAAAAAAAATAATACTTAATTACTTCATCTACACCTCCACATACAAGATATCGTCCACCTATGGCAATTGCATGAATGCAGCCCTTATTTGATTCAAACATCCAAACAGGATTAAAAAAAATATTTATCTTCATATCATCTTTCAAAAACAATATCACATCAATTCCGTAAAGAATACCCTCATAAGTACCAACGATAATACGAAAAGAGGGCACTGAATCCTTATATTTTTCAAAATCTTCATGAACTTGAACCATTTTTTTTAAAACGTCAACTTTAAACGATCCAAAAATCTTATCACCTTTTTTATCCGACTTCATCTTTAAAAAAAAATCACATGAAAATCATACAGGAGTGATCTAGAATTTTTTTATTTTATTAAAGATTAAAAATGATTTGTATCATTTTTATTAATTAGAAATAAATAGAAACGACAGAAACATACATCAGAAAGGTAATTTATAATGTTTTGTATGAACATTTAACTAGACAGGCTATAGCAAAATGAAAAGAAACAGAAGTATTTTGGAAAAAGCATCTACATCTATGTTAGAATCTTCATCCCAAAATAAAGAATCAAACATATCAACTGGAACAGTATCTAGACAAATTGAAGATAACTTATTAGCAAAAAATACTATAAATGATGTATAATATAAAAAGATATCATTCTATTAGTGTAATTTATAATGAATTAGGAAGATTTGAATCTTATGGTTAAAAATTTTATCCGACTTGCACTTGCATTTGAACATAACAGAACGCCTATAAAAAGAGAAGATATTTCAAAAAAAGGTACATAAATATAAGTTTATTATTATCGTTTTTATAAATAGTAGTTCTTTTGCCGTCATATTCACGCTCTTTTGCTATTGTATTTGAAAAAACACAAGAAAAACTCAGAAATGTTTTTGGTATGGAACTCGTAGAATTACCCTATAAAAATAATTACAAACATATATCTACATCACATTTACGTAGAAGCCAAAATTCTCAAACTCATAATTCATTTTCTATGACACATTTAAACAAAAGCTGGATATTATGTAGCATTTTAGATCCTAAATATTCAGACTTAATTTTCGAAGTTCCAACTATAAAAGAAAGTGTTTTTTCAGGAATAGTTATGACGATATTAAGCATATTAATTATGAATGGTGGGGAAATTTCAAGTGGTAGATATAAATTTCATTAAAAAAATTATATCTAAATTATTTAGAACTTCTTATAAAATATTTATCGCAATTACAAATGGATAAAGATACATCTATAGGAAGTCTTGATAAAACTTTAAAAGAAATGGTGAAAAAAGGATATTTAGAAAAAATAAAGGACGACATTACATCTACTAACGAAGAAAAAGGCTATATTTATTTATTAGGACCCAGAGGAAAAACAGAAATTGATCCAGAAAGTTTGACAGCTTTTATTAAAAAAGTATAATATTTTTTATTTCAAATTGCTGTTAATTAAAATGATAGATACAAGGCGATACCGCTCCTCAGAATTTAAAAGAAATAGTAAAAGAATTATTTAATAAAAGTATATCCAGTAAATCTTAAAGAACTAAATACGAAATTCGCTAAAATATAATGAAAAAATATTTCGTATTTAGAAAACAAATAAAACATTTATAAGCCAAAGTAATATATAACAATAAAACAATATTAGATCATATATAGAAATATAATTAAAAAGAAATATTAACATATGTACAATAGCTAAAATGCTTTTACACAAAAATTGATCTTAAAAAGTATCATCTTCTATTTCAAGATTATTCATCTGTTTAATTTCGTCTCCATTTAAATCAGGGACTTCAAATCCTTCCTAATTACAGTTTATATTTAAACAATATATACATCATAACTACCTCTATAGAATATAATATATTCTGTATTTGTCTTAAAAGACTTTCTTCATTTTGAGCAGCCGATGGATCTGCATCGATGGCACTCTGAACGAGAATTTCTATATCTCGTAACTTATTAAAATAAAAATCCCTTTCCTTTTCTAATCCTGCTGCATTTTCTTGTAAAGTCTGTATTTGAGAATTTAAAAAAGCAACACTTGGATTCGAAGAAATACGTGTAGACGTAGTACTAACTGTAGATACTTTTCGACTTGACTGCTCATGTAAAGCAGAAGACCCTACAGAATATCCTGAAGAGCTAGCAATTTTCCCCCCTCTTCTTCCTATAGCATCATATTCCGCACCACTAAAATGCTGATCCCAAAACTTTTTAACCCATTGAAGAAATTCCAAATTATCTTGAAATTTACATTTTACAAGTCTGTCCACATAAATAACCTTATCAATCTTATGTTGTGTAAATATGCATTGAATCACTCTCCAATTCTGAAGATATTGATATTCATTGTTACAATTAAACTGTAATTTGTCAATTCTTTAATAATTTTCACAGAATAAACAAACATTTATTTTCCTAAAAGGAACACCGCCTTTATATTAATATTTTTATAACAATTCATGCCTCTTTGCTTACCATATATTGAATCAAACACATGCGCATAAACATATCCTTTTTTTCATTAGCTAGTTATATAGAAATACACAAAAAATCTCACCTTTTCCACATTCTTCTACTTTCGTAATATTCAAATTAGTTAACTGTTTTGGCTTATTAACTTATTTTCAAATATTTTTAAAATTACCTGGTTTAGCCACGCAACCAATTCATGCCGTGACTCTGACATTTCAGCAACTAATCTAAGAGTTTCAAAACTTAAAAGGAAAACAAATACACCCTATAATAATATAAGATTTACTTCATCTTTTATTTATTATCTACCTTGCGTTGGGTTAAAGAAAATAATCAAACCTTCGAAACGACACTTTCAAAATCAATAGGACATACATATAAAACATACAACATATACAAAATACATACAACATATATATACACTATAATTTATGAATAAAAAAATAAGTACTTTAATAAAAACAAATATTTGATAAAACAATGCATTTACATACACATATATGGCTATGCATATTATATGTATGTAACATTAGATTTTACATCTACTTAAAAACTATTTTTTATATACAAAATATACATTAAACTTTTCAATAATAACAGTAGTAATATTATTTAACGTTCAATTAAATATTCCATATATAAATGGTAATTCAACGAATATATAATATATATGCCATATACAACCAATTGATAAGATAAATATTTATTCTAATCCATCTATTTCTCATCCAACGTTCTTAAATAACATTAAAAATATGTATTGAAGCTTTAAGGATATCAAAAAATAGATAATATTGAAACATTCAAATATTCATCGATGTCAAATACAGAAACACTAATAGAAGCAGCAGACACAGCGAACAAACAGAGAGAAATAGACAATGAAACTGCATCAACGCCAGATTTGCTTCATAAAAAAGTATCATCTGATTCTGAAATATCCAATATTTCTTTTAAGGCTTGTGGTTTAGATTCATGGCTAATTGAAACATTAAAAAAAATTGCTATTACAAAACCGACAGCTATCCAAGCAGCGTGTATTTCACCTATTTTAGAAGGTTTTAATATTAGCTATTGCTTTTTTGTATAAACTAATAGAAACATAGGAAAAAACTGTATAGGAAATGCCAAGACAGGTTCAGGAAAAACTATGGCATTTGCATTACCAATAGTTCAAAAATTATCTCAAGATCCATATGGAGTATTTGCTCTAATATTAACACCTACAAGGTTCTTTTGTTTTATGAAAAAAAAACAAAATTAATTAGAGATTAGAGAATTAGCCCTGCAAATTTCAGATCAGTTAGCAATTCTAGGAACTCCTGTAGATTTAAGACAAACTACAATTGTTGGTGGTATGGATATGATGACACAAGCATTAGCTTTAGTAAAACGACCACATATTATTATCGCGACACCTGGACGTCTTGCTGATCATATAAGAAGCAATGGACAAGAAACTATAGATGTCTTTAAAAGAGTTCGTTTTTTGGTGTTAGATGAAGCTGATAGACTTTTGAGCCCGGGATTTTCTGAAGATATGCAAAAATGTATAGAAATTTTACCAGAAGCAAACAATCGTCAAACATTATTATTTACAGCAACTATTACTGATTCAATAAGAAATTTAAAAAATCAATCCTCAAAACCAGGAAAAAACCCATTATTTCTCTATAATATTACAGAATCACCGTATTTTATTACTTTTCGCAAAATAATTCTAATAAATATAGCATTGCAGTTCCTTCATCTCTTATTCAAACATATATATTTATTCCTTCATATGTAAAAGAAGCATATCTTTATCGTATTTTTAACACACAAGAATACAAAGAAAAATCAATAATTGTTTTTACAAATAGAACTAGAACAACCGAATTACTTTGTAGAATGTTTCGTATACTGGATTTTAAAATTACAGCATTACATTCTGAAATGCCTCAGAAAGAAAGAACTCAATCTCTTAGAAAATTCAAGGCAGAAGCAAGTAAAATTCTAATTGCTACAGACATTGTTAGTCGAGGTTTAGACATTCCATTTGTTGAACTTATTATAAACTACGATGTTCCTAAAGACCCTGATGATTATATTCATAGAGTAGGAAGAACAGCCCGTGCTGGAAAATCGGGAGAAAGTATTACTCTTGTTTCTCAAAGAGACATTTTACTAATTCAAGCAATTGAAAAACGTATTAATGCTAAAATGGAGAAAAACTCATATGTTAGCGATTTTAAAGTAACCCAGGAATTAAATACAATATCTGCTGCTAAAATAGAAGCAGAGATGAGTATGACTAATTTTGGTCAACTAAAGAAAAATAATAAACGTAAACATGAGAATCTTAAAGAATGATATATTAAAAAAGCATATTTTTTTCAACATTAATAACAATCAAGTTTTCCTAAAGGTATCTAAATAATATTTAATTCTATTTAATGCAATTTTTATATATGAGTTTTATATATTTTTTAATAATTCAGAATATATAATAATTAAGAAAAATATAAAAAAATTTTATAGTTTTATTAAAATTATTTAAATGCTATCAATTTAAAAATATGAAGAAAAGCTTTATACAAAAAAAACTAAGAAATCTAAAACAAAGAACTAACTGGAAAACCATTAATTTAATACATGTTCAGCTAAAAATAGCAAAAGGATAGAAAAAGACACTTTAAATATGCATATATATATATTATAAACTTTTAAGTTTGTAGAATCTTAAATTAAGAATAATATCGAACCAGATTTTAATTTATAATCTCTTTACTTGAGATTCTATTATTTCAAATGTTCATTTTATGCTTTCATAAAATTATGATGTTTTCATTAACAATTCAAACATAATATACTATAAGATATATCTAGACTGATATATGTTTAAATTATTAAAAACAAAGAAAATTATAAAAAATTACCATGATATTTATATTTTTTGAATAAAAATAGTTTTTTAAATTAGAAATATATTAATATTAAAATTCCTAAATAAGATATTTACAAATATTTAATATATACAATATACAAAATTGTACGAATTTATATTAAACTATCTTAAAACATTACACGCCTATTGAAACATTTTAGTGCATATTTTAAAATTTCAATACTTTAAATTTGAAATATAAATATAAATCATTTATTACCAAATTTTTGCAATAAAAATAATTAATCGTTTTTTTTAAGAGAAGTATATAAAAATATTAATGTTTATAATTCAATTGTTGCAAAATAAACACTTTTTCTTAATATTATTATTTCCATATAATAATCATATTTGCCATAGAACATAATAAAATATACATCACTATATTACAATTGCATCTTTTTTTTAAAGTACATCTTTGAGATTTATTTTCCCACTACCCTTTTCCAATGGTAAAGATTGATTAGGTGATGGTTTCCATGCAATCTTTCTAAGTTACCAAATTACTATAACGAACGAAAACAAATTTACCATATAAATTACACGAAAAGTACAAGGAAGTGTTCCATTCTCATTTCCATAAAATTCTCTATATATTGCTTCAGCAGCAAACAAAACATCTCGAGAAATAATATGAGGACGAGTCATTATAGCATTATTCTCACCCATTTTCTGTAGATCCTTCATAAGAGAAAATATATCTGGATAATCAACAATAATATCTTCAACATCGATTGTAATTAATTTAAATCCAACTTTACTCAATAAACTACCAATATCTTGAATATCTTAAAAATTTAATAGAATATAATTATTTATTTTATGATATCACCTGCCATTGGGGATACTCTTGCACCAATACCACCTTTTCTTTCTTGTTCTGCAAGTTGTAGTGATGTCCTTAATTCAAATAAAGTATCCCCTCCAAACATTGATCCCAAAAAAACACCATCTGGAACTAATATATATTTTATCTGTTTAAAAAGATTAAAAAGATCATTAATCCAATGTATATACAAGTTAGTTATAACAATATCCATACTATTTTCAGAAAATGAAGGAATTTCATTATCTATACAAACTTTTTCTACTATGAAATCACAAATATTAGATAAATTATCATTATCAAAAATATCTTCTGATACATCTGCCATAATTAAACGCTCTATTTTTCCTAAAAATTGATTTTTATTTTTTTCTTGAGAAAGATATGAAGCAATATATCCTGCTCCAGATCCAAAATCAAAAATAACTTTAATTTTTTTCTTAATAAACTAATATATTTTAAAATATTTTCATAATAGAAATATAATATTCTTACCATGAGTCTTTCTACTAAACGTTTTGCAACTTCTTCTTTAAGATAATCAGCTCTCTTAGCTTCAATTTTATCTAAAGCAGCACGCAATCTTTGCTTCTTTTTAACATTTTGATCAAAAATAAGAAACTTCTTAGAACTTTCCACTGTAAAAGGTACATAGCTTCTTAAACATGTTTTAAGTCTATAGATTTTATTTAATGAAAATCTAAAATAGTGACTTTTTTTATGCAAATGAAAATAAGGACTAAGAAAGAACATTGATTTTTTCTTAAAAACACCAAATCCAAATATCTTTATTACATCTAAGTTGCGAATTCTAATATTTTAGAAAATTTTATTTTTACAATAGCATATTCCATCAAATCTCATAAAAAAAAGAAAATAAAATACATATAAAAATTATCTTAATTAAATAAAAATACAATATATTATAGTAACACATCACTATTTTTTCCATAATATATATATTAGTTTTTTAAAAATCAAATATCAACGATATATAAAACGTCAAAAAATATGCAAATTTGATCAATAAAAACATTAATATCATAAACTAGCACTTGAAAAGCATTTTGAATGATCTGGATTCTATAAATGATAATTCATATTATTTTTACATGACAACTTTTCCCTATGTTCATATTTACTGTCCATGTGCAGATTCACCAATTGATTTTAAGAAAGATGAACCAATTTCAAATTTTTTGGACATTCCGGGAGATATAATTGACACGTTGGATCAAAGAATGTCATTTTCACTTCATCCTTTGCCAAATCTTTATTTTTGTGAAGAATGTTATGCAATAAGATGTCCTCGTTGTGTTCAAGAGGAAACTATCAGTCAATTTTGCCCAAACTGTCTTTTAGAAGTACCTAAATCAAGTATTTATAGTGATGGAAATAGGAAAGGTTTAAATATACTATTAAATTGCTTAGTAATTTATATAGATGTTTGAGAAATTGTTTTCAGTGTCCGATTTGCTTTTCATCACTATCAGTTATAGAGCTTGAAAGTTTAGAGAAAGAACATTCATATTCAAATAAGAATCCTAATTCCTATGCGTTAGAATGTCCATATTGTCAATGGACCTCAGCGGAAATTAATATAATTTTTGAAAAACCTTCAGGGCTTAATGGTAAACAAGTTCTTTATTTTTGTTTTATTTTTATATCAATCACATATACAGCTCAAATGAAGGGATCTTTAGCAGAAATTTCAAGAAAAAAACTCTTTTACAGTAAATTAAGAGCGCATTATGAAGAAACATATGGAAATTTAAAATTACATACAAACAATCATTCTGGAATCTCAAAAATGATGGATATATATGAAAGAATTAAGAAAAAATATGCGTTAAAAAATAAAAAAGAAGTGGACATTTTTAATTTTGATGAAAATTCACGAGATTTAGAAGATGATCAAGAAATTATTAAAAAAATGGCAGAAATGAAAAATTTAAATGAAAGTATATTTAAAAGTTATATTTGAGAAAAAACTAAAATCCATTAGTTGCTACAATTAAACAAAGACTAAACCAATTATATCATGTTATATTTAAAAAGTAAAACTATATTTCGCTTTTTATTATAAACTAAAAATAACAGTGATCTTAAACCTATCCCATATTTATTAAGAGCAAAAAGATCAAAGCGTTGTCGCTCATGTAAAAGTGTTCTAATTAGTCCAGAAAGTAAGCCTATGTCAGCAAAATTCCGTGTTAAATTAATAGCTATGTAAATACTTATATAATTACCAATATATTTATTAATTTTTTTAGGAACTATATACCAACTATTTCATTGGAATGTTTCCCTGGACCAATTTCCAATTGTTCACCAGGAAAACTTTCTCCAAATGTAACAAATCTATTTCTTTTAACAGTAACAAATCCTCTTTGTCAGAAAATAAAAGTTTTTTTGGCAACACCTCAACGGACATCAGGAAAATATAGTCATAGTGTCACTATTTTATGTCCAGAATTTGAAGTAGGTACTAATAAAGATACATCTGACAATAACTCTACAATTAAATCTATACCAAAAGATACAACAAAAATGCCAATATCAGGTGCTTTATGGGACCGTGGGAGAAATTGGACAACTGTCGTACTTGAGATTATTCCTTCAAAAATTATTTCAAATAATATGAACTTTAATGATGATTTAGTTGAAATTTCAGTCTTTGTAAAGGTAGTTTATGATATCATTTTAGATAAGGAGGAGTTCAAACATGTAGAGACAAGTCTAAGTCAGGGAATAGTCTCTAAAGAAATAGGATTCTGGGGAGTAATTGGCCTAGGTAAAATTTTATAATTAGCCCAAACTTTTGAATAAGACTAAAACCGCAAAATTACTATATGCATTTTACAATAAAAAGCATATGAATATTTCAAGAAAGGAATTAATAGAAACATTTTATATCTAACTAATAAATGTAATTGTTTCATTATAATATCTTACTATCTTTGCTAATAATAATCTTCAAAATATGGTGTACACTATATATATCAATTTCCTGTTTAAAAAGATATATTAGATTATCTAAAAGAAATATTTAAATCAAAAAATCAAAATCAAAGATTCTTATTTTTATTTCTTTTTTTTTTTTAAAATCACTTTTTTATTCAATTCCATTCATAACCCTTATAACTTTAGGAAATTGCATAAAATATATGTTTTTTTGTTTAATTGCAAACATCAAATCCCGTTTTTAAAACCAATCGATATTAACCTGATGAAATTGAGTAATTCATGAAAATCCTTTGTGTTGCAGAAAAACCGTCAATTGCAAGGGCGATTTCAGATATTCTTGGTGGAGGGGAAGTACGCATAGTATTTCTCTATTTTTTTTTTTTATTTAAATTAATATTATAGAGAGAGACAAAAGACGTTTATAACAAAAACTATGATATTCGCTTTAAATTTAATTTCAACTGGGGTGACAGTTTTGTCACAATCACTTCTGTTAGGGGTCATTTAATAGAGTGGGAATTTGAAGAAAAATTTAAAAAATGGAATTCTTGTAATCCTTTAAGTCTATTTGAAGCAAAAATTATCCCAACAGTCAATAAAGTATGCATATTTAGATAACGAAGAAATTCTCTAAATACCATAGGATATGAAAAACATTCATGATAATATTTTAAAAGAAAGTCGAAATGCACAAGGCCTTTATATTTGGACAGATTGTGACAGAGAGGGTGAATATATTGGAACAGAAATTGTCAATATAGCACGGAAAGCAAATCCAAAAATAGAAGTAAAGCGTGCACATTTCAATAATCTCGAAAGAATGTATACTTTCAAATACCTAAAACAAATTATTTTAATTTTTTTTAGGCATATTATAAAAGCAGCCAATCGACCCTTTGATATCGATCAAAGACAAGTCAACGCAGTTGCAGCACGCATAGAATTTGATTTAAAAACAGGATCAGCCTTTACACGGTTTCAGACTTTATCATTACAAAGTTTTGAGCCTTTAGCAAAAGAAATAATTAGCTATGGTTTATTATTTAGAAATAAATAATATTTCTTATTAATATATACAAGGATCTTGCCAATTCCCAACTCTCGGCTTTGTCGTTGATAGATGGAAACGAGTTAAAAATTTTGTCTCTGAAAAATTTTGGACTATCAAAGTTATATGTTCATATAGTAACAATGAAGTATCATTCAATTGGAAAAGAATAAGGCTTTTTGATAAACTTTCAGTATTTTTAATATATGAGAATTGTCTTTTATTTGATAAGGCAAAAATTATAAGTGTAGTACGAAAGCCAAAGAGTAAATTGTATTTGAATCATTTCGAAAAAAAATTTCTCATATAAGAAGGAGACCATACCCACTTACTACTGTCGAACTTCAGAAAAGAGGGACAAAATACTTAGGAATATCTTCAAAAGATATAATGACGGTATTTTTTTTTTTATATTTGTTTTTTCTAATTGCCAAAATAGATAGCAGAAACTCTTTATACAAAAGGTTTCATAAGCTATCCAAGGACAGAAACAGACCAGTTTGGTGATGATATAGATCTACGTAGCTTAATTCAAAAACAAGTGAATGATGAACAATGGGGTAACTATGCTCAAAGGTACTTTCGGAGTATATAGACTAAGCTAATTAATCAAGTTTATTAAATGAAAAATTTTGCCGTCCTAGAAAAGGAAAAAATAATGATAAAGCACATGCCCCAATCCATCCTGTAGCCTATGTAAAAAAAAATTCCTTAAAATCTGTAAATGAACATAAAGTTTATTCTTTTATCGTTAGGCATTTTCTCGCATGTTGTTCTCAAGATGCAAAAGGAAAGCAAATAGTAATTGTTATACAATGGGGAGAAGAATTTTTTTCTACATCAGCTCTTATCGTTTTAGAGAATAATTACCTAGATATTTATTTATATGAAAAATGGAATTCATCTGTTTCTTTACCAGATTTTAACCAAGGGGAAATGATAGAATTGAATTATACTGAAATGATAGAAGGAAAGACAGAATCTCCAGGATATTTGACGGAATCAGAATTAATCAACTTGATGAATATTAATGGAATTGGAACAGATTCTACTATAGCAGAACATATTCAGAAAATCCTTGATCGAAAATATGTATTTAAACAATCTAAAAATAAAGATAAAAATAAACGAAGTCAAAATAGCACAATTTATGAATTTATACCTAGTACATTGGGCATAGCATTAGTAGATGGTTACGATAAAATTGGTTTTGATCAAAGTTTAGCTAAACCTTTTCTACGAAGAGAAGTATTTCTATATAAAAAAATTCTCTACTTAAAATATTTACAAGTATAGATAGAATTAAAATTAAAAAATATATGCGACGGAAAATCCTCAAAAGAAGAATTTTTGAAAGATATTATTAATCAATACAAAAACTTATTTATTAAGGCCAATCAGAAAGTTGATATTTTAAAAGAGGTAACTGACATTCTTTAAATTTATTTACTAATAACAGTGTGTACGCAAATATCTAAATATTTGATTAATGTAAGATAATTTCAAAGACGAAATATGTATTTTTTATATAAAAACGAATAATTTGACGTGTAAAAAGGATATTATACTTTTTATAATGTTGTAAAATTATATATTGCAACATATTTTTATTTAATCTAGGATATTTCTCTATATAAATCAGACTAATGAGGTTATATCTTCGAAATATTTTAAACTTAAGACTAGGGAAAAAGTTATTTCTTAAGAAGGATCATATATAATGCTTAAATATAGATTATACATTATAGTATTATGATATATGAGCCTATCTATCTTATCGGTGCAGTTACTATAGCAACTAGTGTTGATAACTACACGATAAGATTTTAAAAATATTGATAATAACCACACAAGTGCTAAAATTAGAAAGTAACCAATAATAAAAAGAATCATATACATACCACTATATTTTTAAAATAAAAGGAAAGAGTGCAGAAAAAATATTAAAAAAAAAATTAAAAATAGATTTTATATTCATGGAGGAATGTAATTCTTCAAAAAATTATGACAAAAAGCTTTCAGAAATTTCATTAAATATAGCATTTGATACAGAAAGTAAGGAAAATAGTAAATCTTGTGAAGAAAAGTATATTCGATATTTAGGAAATTAAATATTTATCTCTATAGAACATTTACTGCAGAAAACTCTTTAATGAATAATATGAATTTTTTCCAAAAACCTCAGGAAAAAAGTATACCATGGTTATGTTCTTTATGCTGTGAAACATTTCCATCTGTATTCATTGTATATTCAATTATATTTGTCTAAAATTTAATAGGATGAACTAATGTATAAGACTACAGAAAGACAAGAAGCTTATTATTGCAAAAACTGTCATTTTCATCTTTCGTCAAAAAATAAAGAGTAGTAATAACTAGTTTTTTATTTTTCTTTTAATTATTTAACAGTATATATCCTAATGAAATAAATAATAATAATACTGCCTCTCAACATCAAGACAAAAATCCTCAAGAGGTAAGATAATATCCTAGACAATTTACAAACCATGCTAAATAAGCAGTCTCTTAGTGAAAATAATCCTTCTAGTATAGAAAATCTGGATGAAGTTTCATTAAAAGGCACTAACTTCAAAGTTCTTAAAATTAAACATTAATGCAATATTAGATTCTATTAAAAACAATTGTCCAATTATCAATAATCTAACACCAAAAGTTAATATTTCACAAGCGTGTACTCCTGTTTCACAAGGCTCTATGAAAAATTCAGAGATGTGGGAATTACTTAGAAAAAAAAAAAGGAACTCTTTAGGTGTTCGTAAACATTTGGAAAATTTTGTAGAATCAAAACGTTTGCATAATTCATTTAACACAAACACAATCGATATTTCACCCGAATTATCTAGTTTTCGAGATAAAGTAGAAAAAGAGACATTAGAATCCAAAATATCATCTATAACGCTATCAGAAGAAAAAACAAATATTTCTCAGGAAAATATCCCTCCTATTTTACCATCAACTAGAAATTATAAACATAAATTATTTTTACCAAATCATGTTAAATCGAAGAATAACGCTCTATCAACTATTGATTACAATTCGTTTTCGGAAAAAGACACATTTTCTAGATGTTTAAAAGACTCGTCAAATGATGACAAACAACAGCAGTTTTTATCAAACTCTATATCACCTAAAAAAGTATTAACATCTAATACAATACCAAATTTAGAGCCATTAAAAAACAATTCAGCAGGAATATTTTCTGTAAAAAAAAAGCCTCTCCCAAAATTTGGGGGATTTGATAGTATTTCATTCATTGCATACTCTTTTATCCTAATTATATCTTAGGATGTGCAAGCTGTAACGAATCTATAACTTTTCTTGAATCATATCCTGGGCCCAATTCTACTAGATGGCATAAAAAATGTTTAAAATGCAGTGGAGGATGTGGTAAAAACATGGACTCTGGATCATTGAATGAAATTGATAAAGACGGAAAAATGAAGGTTTATTGTAGATTTTGTTGGGATACTATTAAGAAAGGAAAAAAACCAGTTACCATATCTTTAGTAATGAGTAATACTTTGCAAGATTTTAGTACTTTAGAAGAAAATAGAACTTAAAAAGAAAAAATTCCGCTTTATTTCTACATATTTGTAATAAAAATAAAAATTTATATACTAAAAAATTTAAAATAACTATTTGCGACATTTCAAATTAAAATCCTGAATAGAAAATTTATTAATATAATATATACAATTTCTCAATATTTTCGGAAATCTATAAATTATGTAATAGCAATACATTTATTTTCTTTATCCAAGATTTTTAATTTTCTTTCTCTTTTATATATCTTTTGCTCTTGTCTTCTTAATTTTTTAAGTGTTTCACGACATATTATATCTTCCAATTCCATTTCTTCTATTTTTATCATCACCCAATTATTATGTTTAAAACATTTTCTTTTTTCTGTAATACATATCATATCATAACCTTCTAATTTTCCATCATTAAATATCTTTTTCCCATCATCACTAACAATCCAAGCATTCCATTCATCTTCATCCCAAGATAAGCGATAATCAAGAGCACATATTTCTTTTTTTGATCCATCAGCACGTATTTCTTCATTTATTTTTTTTGCCCTATCTTTAGCAAAATTTATATAAATTGTTCGTATCTCAATTTGTTTTAAACGTTCATATATCTTTTCTCTCTTAAAATTGATTAATCTTAACAATGAAAGACTTTCGCTATTCACAACAGAATCATCTATAAATGGAAAAGTGTCCCCTAAACATCTAAAGGCTTCAACAGAATCAACACTTCGAGCTAAAGCAGCGATTTCCGATTTTTCTAATAGAGAACAACATAATCTTTCTTTAAAATATTCTATACCATGTTCTATTGAACAATACTTCGAAGGAGGTAATGAAGAAACAAGAGCAGGCTTTCTACATGAAGAAAGACGACATTTTCTTTTCCACATAGTACAACCTTTGCCTTTTTTAGTACAAAAATCACCTAAAACAATTAACAAAAAAATAAAAACAATTAAACATCCAATTACAGAAATATTTATCCAGAAGTTCTTCATCAGCTTCAACAATTTTCACACATTCTCCATGATACCAATTATCGCAGCCATCACATGCAATCATCCAACATCCAGTGTCTGGTTTTTGACATATGCAATAAAGAACAACATTTTCATTCTTAATATTATTGAAATTATTTATATGTGGCTTTTTAATCATATTATTCAGAAAAACATCTGATTTACAATCATTTTCCAATTCACTTATCTAAAAATCAAAAAATAAGAAAAAAAAACAACAAACCAAAAAACCATTACATTACTTCCTTCTATATTCAATCCATTAATTTTCCTTTTTTTTGTTCTTTCCTTTAAAAACATAGATTAAAAAGATATTTACATATTTAAAAGATTAAAAACCTTTTTAATATCTTTTTTATTAATAAAAGACGTCCTAGAAACACTTGTATCTATATATTCAGCTTGTATTTCATCACCTTTTTTATCATTTAACATATTATTTGTATGATTCAAGTGTGAAGCTTCCGATTCATTTTTCTCATAATCTAACACCTTAACAACATTTTCCTCTTGTTTAGAAGAATAATCATCGACTTTAGCATCATCAATATCCATTTTAACATCATATTTATCCTGATTATCCACTTTACTTATCAAATACATAGTCCATAAAATATTTTTATTTTTAAATTTATAAAAACTTATAAAAAATAGAAAGAGTTCTGCATGTTTTCTCAATAGTATTTAACATAAAAAATAACATTTTCAACATGCAATTTACTATAGTTTTTTTAATATATAAAAATCGATATCAAGATTTCTCGACGTACATCGACTTTATAAGAAACCTGATAAGCTCTGAAAACCTATATTATTCAAGAGTATAAGATAAAATAACAGGAAAATTCTAAGTTCTAGGAAGATAAAGTAGAATAATATATAAATACAATTTCCCAGTTTGAAATTGAATATATTTATACGTATTTATTAAAAAATCAATAATAAAAATAAAGGAAAAAATGATAAAATTTCAACAGAAAAACCATGTTTTTAGAACTTTTCATAGGTTGTTGAGTACAGAAAAACTATACAGGAAACATTATAATTTTATACAAAAAAAAGGATTCCGAACAATGTATCAAACATATACTGATAAAGTAGACAATACACATGCAAAAAACGAAGAAAAAAAAGAATCTTATACAGAAAATGCAAAGGAGAATGATACAAAGGAAGGATATTTTAAAGATGATATGATTCCTCGTGGATTTGAAAGGTTTTTTGGAAAACCTAAAAAATCTACAGTGAAAAGATCATGTTCAAAAGAAGAAAGTTTTTATGAAAAAAAATCAGGAGGAAGGAATCCAAATCTTAATGAAATAAAAATAAATCCAAATATAATTTTGTCATTATCTATTATTTCTTATGTTATTTATCGAATTTCAGTTCTGAAAAGTAGCAAAGAAATCACATGGCAAGAATTTCGTACAGCTTTTTTAGATAAAGGGATGGTTGATAAGTTGACAGTAGTTAATAGAAATAAGGTGCGAGTTCATTTGCATTCAAACCAGACGGGTCAAATGTATCCGGAAACCCGTATAAATACTAGACCAAATAAATATTATTTCAGTATTGGATCAATAGAAGCATTTGAGAGAAGACTTGATATGGCTCAGGATGAGTTAAAGATTCCTCAAGAGGAAAGGATTCCAGTTTCTTTTCATGACGAAATATCGATCATTAATACTGTTCTTTCATTCACACCTACTTTATTATTAATAGGAAGTATCTTCTGGCTTTCAAAAAGAGCAAGTGGCGCGGGAGGAGCTCATAGTGGAATTTTTGGTATAGGAAAAAGTCGTGCGAAAATGTTTAATCATGAAACGGATATTAAAGTTAAATTTAAAGATGTTGCAGGCGCAGATGAAGCCAAAGAAGAAATCATGGAATTTGTTAAATTTCTAAAAAATCCATCGCATTATGAGAAATTGGGCGCTAAAATACCAAGAGGAGCAATTCTATCAGGCCCTCCTGGAACAGGCAAAACACTTCTTGCAAAAGCAACTGCCGGTGAAGCAAATGTTCCATTTCTTAGTGTAAGTGGGTCGGAGTTTATTGAAATGTTTGTTGGCGTAGGACCTTCTAGAGTGAGAGATCTATTTTCAAATGCTCGAAAGCATGCACCATGTATTATTTTTATGGATGAAATCGATGCTATCGGAAAGGCAAGAGGCAGAGGAAATCAATTTGGATCAAATGATGAAAGAGAAAGCACATTAAACCAACTTTTAATAGAAATGGATGGGTTTAGTACATCGGAACATGTTGTTGTGCTTGCTGGAACAAATAGACCGGATGTTCTTGATAATGCTCTCCTTAGACCAGGTAGATTCGATAGACACATTACAATTGATCGACCAGACGTATCTGGCAGAGAAGCTATTTTTATGGTTCACCTAAAAAAAATCAAAATAGATGAAAAATTAGAAGATATAGCAAAAAAATTATCTATATTAACCCCAGGATTTTCTGGAGCTGGTAAATGCTTTAATATTTGTTGATTTTATTTAACCATATCTAGATATTGCAAGCACTGTAAATGAAGGTGCACTAATAGCAGCGCGTCATCGAGCAAATAAAGTTGAAATGGTTCACTTTGAACAAGCAATTGAGCGGGTGGTTGCAGGTCTTGAAAAGAAAAGTAGGGTTCTAAGTCCTCAAGAAAGAAATATAGTTGCTCATCATGAGGTATATTACTTTTTTTTTTAAAAATAGAAATCTTAGTATATATATAGGCCGGTCATGCAGTAGCAGGTTATTTTCTTGAACATGTTGATCAATTGCTTAAAGTTTCTATTATACCTCGATCTAATGGCGCATTAGGCTATGCAAGTTATTTACAAAAAGTAATTATATATATTCTACTAGAAACACTATTATTAATCATAATTAGGAAAAATACTTACTATCTAGGGGACATATTCTAGATAATATGGTAATGACACTGGCAGGAAGAGTTTCAGAGGAAATCTTTTTTCCTAATGTAGAAATTACATCTGGCGCAAGTGATGATTTTTCTAAAGTAACAAAAATGGCCACACAATATGTTACAACATGGGGATTATCAGACCTTGGAACTGTCTCATATCAAATAAATAATGATCAATTTCAAAAACCATTTTCTGAGGAAACTGCACGAATGATTGTATGTATTTAATAATATTATAATATACCTCAATCTAATTAATTTTAGGATTCCGAAGTGCGAAAATTAATCAAAGAAGCCCATTCTAGATGCCACATTCTCCTTAAAAAGCATAAAGACGATGTTTCAAAAATTGCAAAATGTTTATTAGAAAAAGAAGTAATCGGTTTTCAGGATGTAGAAAAACTTTTGGGTCCTCGACCATATCCTTCCAGAGACATTGCTTTGCCAGCAGAACCAAATTATCAACCTTCCCTTGATAATATAGATAATCCACCATCTCATGTTCCTAATGTTGCGTAATTATTACTGAAATTTACTTGAACTAAATGTGTATGTTGATTTATATTACCATATTCTTAATATTAACACTTTAATAAAAATACAATAATTTTAAAAAATATGCTTATTAATCTTATAACATAATACTATTTTTTAGTATCTAAATTCAAGAAATTGACTTCTTCACAAATGCAAATGATACACAATTTATAGACTTACTAGTTTAAAAATTATATAAACATCAAATTAAAAAGTTAAAGATAATGGAAAGCATACAAATAGACAAAAAATGGGCACAATCATAAGTTACAACATATTTATAAATACATTCAATTCAAGAAATATATATTTCTATATTTTCCAGTTATCAAAACATTAAATTTTACAAAAATATAACATTTTCTATATTACAATCCCGTCTCTTGAATAGTAAACACAGCTTGACGAGATGTCAATTTACTATAAATATTTTGAAGAGTATCCAACTTGTAATCAATTGAAGCAACATCTTTATTATCCAAGGAACTAACCATTAAATCAAATCATCATAAATAATAAAAAACATACACTTTAAGAATCCTTTTCCCATCTACACATACACGTGTCCTTTTCCCAACAATTTCAGCTGGAAATACTAAATCTTCCAAGATTTTTTCATGAACTGATGTTAATGTTCGTGATCGCGGACGTTTCTGTTTTTGATGACATCTTCGACCAGGTTTAGGAATAATACGTCTCTGACCAATAAAAACAACATGTCTATCCGAAAACTTTTTCTCTAATTCCCTAACTAATCGAGGTTGAATCTTATGATACATTTTAAGCAAAGAAACTGATACATAAATAATAATTGCTTTTTTCCCACGTCCAACATCAATCTTCAACAAAAACAAATAAGAATTTGCTCTTATTATAAATATTCCTCTACCTCTTGAACCGTATTAATCTGTAATGGACGAAGATCCCGTTTTAAATCTGGAACCGTCTCCAGATCAAAAAGTGCCTGGGCAACTAAAGATATATTAAATACTATTTTATCTTCAAATAACAATCATATACCTGTACGTTCAAGATCCGTGATAGGAACTCCCTCAGGTTTTGCGATCTTTCTTGCTAAAGACATTGTTAAGTTTTTTTGACGTTGAAAGCGAGTGGAGACAGTCAATAAGAAGAGGGTATAGACCTAACAATATTGTTTAGAAGATATTAGATACAACAAATGCAATAGATCCATGAAATCAACTAGAATTGGGCTTTACAAATGAAATATTTAATATTTTTTATTAAAAAAGTTAAAGTAGGATTTTTTTTTTTTTTGAGATAGTTAATATTTAATAGTAATAATTAAAGTGGAAGAAGAGAAAATAGAGTTTATATAGTTATTTTATTATAAAATATAAGAATATTAACAATTCTTTAAGTAAAGAAAGATATATTTTTTATTTTAATTATCTTATGATTAATTATTTCATAATTAAGTATTTTATGTTTAATTATTATATTTAAAAAGATACATAAAAATTCAAAGTTAAATAATTCAAAAAAACATAGAGAAATCAAAAATATTAAGTAATTATGTCAAAACAAGTTGAATACTAGAATAAAAGATTTTTTTTGAAATAATTTACAAATTTATCTAATTATAGATATTTAATATATTAATATTTAAAGAAATAATTTTCTGTAAATATTAAATAAAATAAAAAGATTCATATTTAAAATCATATTTGAAAAAGATCAATTTTAATATTACTATTTTTTATATTTTTAATTAAAGAATTCAACGTCATTAAGTATATTATATTAAAAAATTTCTGAAAAATATTACTATAAAAAATGTCATTCAGACAAAAACAAGTTGATATTTATAGTATTATTTAGAATATATTTATATAAAAACTAAAGAAATAAAGATAGTGATATATTAAAAAAAGAAGATTTATTTGAAAAAGAAGAGAGATCAGCAGATGAAATACGGGAAGATATATCTAAAAGAACACCAATATTAACTGGGATGATTTTAAAGTATTAATATATATAAATTAGGAAATTATTTTTATTTTGGTAGAGGAAAGGCAATAGAAGCATTGGTAGAAGCATTAATTAATCCACCTTATGGAGATGTCGACGATGCTAAGGTAAAGCAAAAAATATAAATAAAAATAAGAGTGACATAACATACAACAGAAACAACATATGGATACAATCTTTGAGATTCTTTCGTCAATAAAACCTAATGAAATTTCGAATGTAGTAGAAACTCTTAGTACAGAACAACAAGATGTATTAATGAAATATTTATACAAGGGATTTACAGATCCTAAATCATATAATCCAGCAATTCTTTTAAATTGGCATGAAAAAGTATAATTAATTATTTATATTATTTTCAAAAATTAATTACTAATAATAAGCTCGTAAAAGCAGCTGGACATGGATGCATTGTACGAAGTGCACTTACAGATATGCGAGTAGTTTAAATCCATATAGACATTAACAGAGAAAATAAGATTTTTCTTGAAAAATATTATAATTAAATACGACCAAAAAATTTTACACCAAATTCATTTTCATTAGCACCTCTAAGCACCTGAGCCATATCTTTCTTAACAAGAATAGCAATAGCTTTTTTAAGTATTATTGGATCTATTTTATAAAGTTCTATCCATATTTTATATGATAAAACGATTTTATAAAAAAATACACACCTGTATTAATTAACGCATTACCTTCTATGAGTTCATAATAGGTCAAAACACAGTTTCTTTGTCCTGTTTCTTCGATCTATATATAAGAAAGAAAAACCTCATAACACATATTTACCCAATTTATTATCATATCTGCCCATTCATCTAATGTTTTCCAATAAACAAGAAACATATCATTTTTACCACTAGATAACCATTCCCCATTATTCTTACTTGCCATAAAGTCAAGAATTTCTTTAAGCATTTCCATTTTAACCTGTCCTGAAACAATTAACTCATTTTTCATAAAAAAAAAATTACTATGGATTTTCCTATTAAAAAATAACTCTTCCTCAAGTAATTCTCTTGAAATATGAAGTCTAAAGATCCGTTTAAATTGACAATATTTCAAAATCAATGACACCCAATGCGATTGTTGAGATTTCCATGTTTCTAGATTTGGCTGCCGAGTAAAAAATGGAGGAAACTCATATAATGATGGAAACTCAAATATTAGATTTTTTTCATTATTTTTAACATAATTTGTTGACATCTTTTTCATAAAAATCACACAAACATCTAAAAACATTTATATAAAAAATCTTCTTTTTACAAAAGAAAAATAATACCTTGTATAACATCTATAGAAATAATAAATATCTTATTAAAATATTTAAATATCTTATCTCAATTTATTATTTGTCTATCGCCTATAGTTAGATAAAATGAGGGTCGAAGAATAGATATAAATAATATTGGTATATATGATAGAGTAAAAGAATCAAGAAACAAGGAGTATAGAAAAAACTTATATAGAAGATATAAAAAATACAAAACATTTTCATTTACAATGAACCAGATCGTATAAAAACATACTCAACCAGTTCTAATATATTAATGTATAAAAAATGAAACAATACCATTTTTAAAACCATTATAATATATATATATATATATAATACTATGAAACACCTATATTTAAGAAATATCATGTAAAATTGATGTGAAAATAAATTACTTAAGATTTTCTTGACCACGTCGATTTTTTTCGGTTTCTAATGTTTGAAAAAGCAAATAAAGAGCCTTTTCATTGGAAGAAGACGTTCCCTGAATGGTAAACATACGTTCGCCTGTCTCATCATGAGGTGCTTTTGCAATGCTAATTTTGCTTCCACTTATTCGCCTAATCTCACTGATTTTGCTACCGCCACGACCAATAATACATCCTACCATATCAGAAGGAATTGAAATATTCTGCACACGAATATCTTGACTTGATGCATCCAATGGCTCTTGAAAATGAGAGGCTAAACTCGAAAGACGAGAATAACTCAAATGAGATCCTTGACGTTGATATTGAAGAAAATGACCTGATTGCGGTCCCGAAAAAATACTATTACTTTGATGTCCCGGAAGAATGCTAGATGTAGACGACAATCTAACAGACGGATTATAAAATACTGTCCCAATACCTCGTTCCCAATCATCAATTAAACACTTTCCAATCTCCCATATAGCACTTTGAATCGATGATACAACTCCTTGAACTTCTACAATACGCTCCGTAGACTGAGGCAAAATATCCTTAAAAGCAATCATTCTCGCCCCCGAAATATCCTGGATATGCTTAATCTTAAGCCCTTGTCTTCCAATAATCGTCCCCATCATATTATGAGATACTAAAAGTCGGATTGACGACTGAGGCTCCGATGTCGATGAAGACGTCAAATGATGATTCGAATGTCCAATAGGATTATTAATAAACGATTGTGCAATCGTTCCATACGCCTATCAATTAAACAATTAAACATTCCTTTTCTTGATCTTTCTTTTTTCTTCTATATACCTTACTCACTCCTTCCAGAGTACCAGATATCGTCAATACTCGGTCATATATATTAGGAACTACCTTGCTTACACCTGCTTTAATCCCATTTACCCCCCTCAGTTCCGCTACATTTTTCCCTTGTCTTCCAATAATAATCCCCGCCTCTTTCGTTGATACCAAAGCTCTTAGTGTCAACTGACTATTAGAATATGCCTCATTTTTCGTCTCTATACGGCCTTCCTGGACCTCTCCATTTCCCTGTAAAGAGGTATACGTTTGCTCAAATAACAGATTCTTCCCTAATCCCTCATTACTTACGTTATTAGCCGCTGCATGTGTTGTTGCTAGAGGTAATCCAGGAAAGCGTGCCATTTTGTCAACATTAAAGCTCGTAGAAAGCTCAGCCATTGTTGGAGGCCTCTGGCCGTCAAATTTTTGGGTGGAAAAAGTGAGGACCTAACCCTTGGGAAGAAAAAAATAAGTAGTAGAAGAGTATAAGGTGTATGAAAAATATATATCAAAAGCGGAAAGAGTCGTATTTTGTATAAGTATAAAAATAAAAGAATTAGGCGGAACCGCCAGAATACTTTTTGCCGAAGACAATCATTTGAAGTTGATCGTACATTGAGATGACACCGGCAGCAGCAACACCTCTGAGTATATTAGCAGCAGCGCCTTTAAAAAGACTTCTGAAGCCTTCATTTTTAATTATTTGAGAAAAGGCTTGAAGAGAAGAAGAATATTTGACGGCTTCGCCAGAAGTCATCATCATTCGACGACGAACAGTATCAATTGGATAAGAAGCAAGGCCAGAAGTGGTAGTGACGATCCAACCAAGGATGAAGGAAGCGATGAAGCTACCTTCGAGAGGGCCGGTCAGAACGACGGGTTTAACAGAATCGTAAAGTCCGAAATAAAGACCACGATAAACAATGATACCAGCAACGGAGGGGCCGAAACCACGATAAAGACCACGAATACCGTCAGAAGCAAGGGTTTTTTTGTAAACATCGATTAAACCGTTGAATTGACGTTCGCCGCCTTTTTTAACCGATTTAGCATCGTTAGCTAAACGAGTACGAGCATAATCAAGAGAATAAACGAAAAGAAGAGAGGCAGCACCAGCACAACCCCCAGAAGCAAGATTACCGAAGAACCAAGGCCAATAACCGTCTCTATCTTTTTTGAATCCAAACATTTTTTTAAATTTATCTTTAAAAGCAAAATTAAGAGCTTGAGTTGGGAAATAACGTAAGACATTTGCAGTATTGCCTCTCCAAAGAGAAATAACACCTTCATCCCTAACAGTTCTTGAGAAACAATTGATGATTCCAGTATATCTCTGAGAAAGACGCCCTGACTTAATCATTTCATCTTGATTCTGAATTAAAAGTTTAACTCGTTCGATAGGAGCAGCAGATGTTTTTGCAACAGCAGCAGAAACACCTCCCATCATGAAGTCAATAAAAAAATTAGATTGTGGATCAGTCTAAATAAATCAATCGATATATTTTTAAATATATATTTTATGTTTTATTATTAAAACAAAACATAAATATATTAAAAAAATAATCATTACATACCTTATTTGCCATAGTTGAAAAAAAGAATATCAGAGACTAAAAATAACCGTTAAATGTCAAATGAGTCCCAAATAAATATATTTTTTTATTTAATTTTAAAAATTTAGTAAAACAAGAATCTTCGACAAATCTTTTCTAGATGTCAATAACCTAATTTAATGAGCCCTAATATGGTCTTAAGATATCAAACATGACTGTATACTAAGATATTTTAGTAAAAACAGTCTAGTAATTATAAAATAATATCCTAAAATCTGTAAATTATAATAATATATTTCCCTAATGATATTAATAAATGTTAATAATTAAAGATGTATATTACGAATACGTAGTATTTCTTTATGTATTATATTGTTTTTGAATAAAAGTGTCAAAGAGAAGGAAATATATTCATTTCATTTTCAGACCGACCGAAAATAGAAGACCACCAAACAATAGCAGTAGTATCAGGAAATATAATAGATAAAGAACCATGATCAAGAGAAGGATTATAATTATTATTGAGAAACTTTTCTTTACGAGATAAAAAATAATCCCAAACAGATCGAGTATTTTCGTGAACATTTGCAGCTATTCTTTCCTTTTCATTGTTATAAAGAAATGAACCATACTGACAAGAATATGTATGATGAAAAAGTTTTCGAAGAAAACGTTCATTAAATTCAAATCTATCTGAGAATTGATGAAGTATCTGATACGTACAATCAAGAAACTGATGGAATATTGGACTTATATCTTTAGATCGATAATGTTTGCTGATTTCCATAAATTTTGATTGCATACTTGAAAACATTTGTCGAACGAAATAATTTGTTACACTTTTAGAAGAGAAAGATGAACTTTCAGATGTGGAAAAACCTTTTCTATTAAAAAGATGACCTAAACGTGAAGAAAAACGATATCCAAACGATAACCAATCCTTTTCTATTAATACCATGAATCCTTCAAGAGTACGATAATAAGGATCTAGACATAATTGGGCAAGAGAACTTAATTGACTTGTTCTATCCCATCCATCTGAACAATGTATAAGAACATGAGAATAATCTATATGAATAGCACGTGCTATAAAAACAGTTCCCTCTAAAATTATAGCCAAATATTTGATCCAATTAGATTTCATCAAAAGACTAGGATCAGGAGGTAAAGATACCATATTAGAGTTTTTTAAGGCTTCCATAACACGTTCAAGACTATCACGCATAACATGAATATTATCTATCCCCAAATACACTTTCTTTGCTCCTTTATAATTTTCCATATTCTCTGTACCTGCACCTACTGCAACATTTACCATAGCATTTGCTGTTGGACGTGCATCAACAACTAAATTATTTCCCATAGATAACCTATAGCTTTTAGTAGTTTTTGAGGCATCATGCGAAGAAGTCGTTTCAAATATAGCAGAAATCAAATATTCATCTTGTAAAGAACGCTTTTGTTTAATACCAACCATGGGTTGTGATGATCTTGTAATACTGCACTAAATAATAATCAAAATACGTATATTCAAATCATACTATCTTACATTATTAGAAGAATGGATATATGTCAATGCCGGAAATCTTCCTTTAGACCTAAACTTAGATGCATATCGAATCACTGAATCACTTATTTTTGATGGCACTACAAGTACCGATGGATATGTAGAACAAAGCTATTACTATCAAAAAATATTTAATTTAATTATTTCAAATAATACCGTATAATTCTTATTAACATTCGTTATACGCCATTCTTTTGTCCGAATACCAACCCCTTGTCTTTCAAATTCCTTAATTGGCTGATAAAGCTCCCATCCATTAAACAAAGCTTCCGCCTTTCTAGGCGTATAAACAAATGCATATGAATCACGAATACACACTATTAATCATCATTTCATGTATTCTTTTCATTAACTACCATCTCTTCTACCCATATATGTATACTTCTGAATCGCTTCATAGATGGCTTGTGCATCATATTCACTATAAAAATAAAACGTAACAAATCTAAAATCACGGCAATATATATATAATGACGTTTTCGACTCATAAAACCCTTTCTTCTCCACTTTCTCAATCAAAGGATATCCAATCCAAATCTCACGAAATGGCTCACTACTCGAAAAAATCATATGATATCGAGTCATATGAAGAATTCCCGTACATAATTCTCCACGGTAAAGTGCTCCAATGTTCCCGTACTTCTTCAATCAACTCATTCTATCCTCTTATCTATTAAGCTTCTCTTACTCGAGTAATAGACACCTCCTCCTTCATTTTTCCTCGTTCAAAAACATTTTACCACTAAATAAGACCCTGCAAAAACGATACAACCATTTTTAACCTCTGATTCCTCACAGAAAACCCTCTTTTCTCATAACACCCTTAACTCCAATTTTGATGTAGTTAAATCTCCCACGATATCCAATATCGTCGAGTAAAACCCTGACTTAAAAAAACAATTTAAGAGCTTCTGTTAAGTTTAAACTGTTAAAAAAGAACCTAAAATATTGCTTAAACCATTGCTAATAATACATTTATAGATAAGAAGTGATTAGAGCAGGTTTGAGATAAATAAATTTAAAATGGTACATAATTTGTATATAAATAAAAAACATAATTAATTATGAACCTTTATTGATAGGGCCTTTCATATAATGTCTATTTAACAGGCTCAAAGTGAGTATTAATATGTTTTAGAAGGAGGGAATAAATTTGGTATAATTAACTATATATTTAGGATATATAGTTGTTCTAAATGTAAAACTCATCTTTCAGATCATAAAGAAATAGCGTCAAAGGTAGGAATTGGTTATTGAATAGAAATAGAAAAGATTTGTAACATTTTTTTAATATAAAAAATATAGGCATTTAGGGGACAACATGGACGGGCATATTTGTTTAATACAGTGTAAGAAAGGACCATAAATAGGAAAAAGAAGAATAGAATAGCTAAAAATGATTAATAGAGTGAATATAATTGAGTCTCCTATGTCGGAAGACCGAACTATGACTACAGGTCGTCATATTGTGCGTGATATATCTTGTAAACAATGTGGTAGTGTAGTAGGATGGAAATATGATAAAGCCTTTGAGTCAAGTCAAATGTATAAAGAAGGAAAGTATATTTTAGAAATTGAGCTCTTAACAATGAAGACATAACACATTTTATTTACATTTATTTTTTCAATGTTTTTATTACAGTTATAATATATTATTGATATCCTTTGTTTTAGTATTTATTAATTTTTGCAATTCTTTTAATATCTCTGTATATACATATCGAGTTTATTATAATCATATGCTTCCTACACCTAAGTTATCACATTTACGTCAAAAAAGATTTCAACAAGTATATGAACCATTTGGTAAAATCATAATAAAATTGTATTTATACTTATATATATATGTATAGAAGATACATTTATTCTTTTAGATGCTTTGGAGCAAGACTTAGATTTATTAAGAAGTTTTGCAAAAATTCCTTTATGTTTAGAAATAGGGAAAGAAAGGGAAAATATATGATAAATATTTAGTTAATAGAAAATAGTAGTGGTTCTGGATGTGTTTCTGTATTTTTACAAACCAATATTTTTGGACCATCAAAATCACGTGAGTAAGCTCAATCAAAGATAGAGGAAAAATAATACAGCAAGTTCATATATGTACAGACATTTCTTTACAGGCATGTGAAGCTACATTAGAAACTTTAAAGATAAATTCGAATTGTACAAAAACATTTTATTTGGATGTTATACATACAGATTTAATAGAAGGACTTTATCTTGATAATAATATTGATTTAATTATTTTTAATCCACCATATGTACCTTCAGAGTCTAAAGAAATAGGTATAAATAAAAATTTAGGAAATATATGGGCAGGTGGTATAGAAGGCATGGAAGTTACATATAGAATTTTAAATTCTATTGATGTTCGTCGAAAAAGAAAAAAAGAATACAGAAATATATATTAATGTATAATAGAAAATCCTATGTGCCCATGGTCTTTTTTATTTGGTTGCTATTTCGAGAAACAAACCTGAAAAAATCATAAATTTCATGAAAACACAATGGAATATGCAAAGCAAAGTGAGTAATATTTTTCTTTAATAATTGACTCAATTATATAAAGATTGTATTAAAAAGAAATGCAGGATGTGAGCAGCTTTATGTTATTAGGTTTAATAAGTCCAACAAAACACTTTAATTAAATTATACAAATTAGCTTGTTCTGAAAAACAAACTTTTTATACCCTATACATCTTTTTTTCTTCTAAATTTTTTATCATTAGACATATTTGTATTATTATTTTCAACTATATCATGGTTATCCAAATATTCACCCCAGACCTTCTTTCTCCATTCTTTAAGACGCTTTTTTCTCCCATACTTTTTCCTGTCTTTTTCTTGTAATTTCTCATTCTTATATGGAGTAAGTTTTTTAAGACTTACAAACTCATTCAATTCTGCATCATTTGCATATAAAATATCCGCATGATTAAGTCCAAAATTATAAGTATCGACATTATTATATTTAAATGTACCAGTCTTTTTAATATTAACCTAATATAATAAGAAAAAATTAAAAATTTTATATAATATAATACATTATAATGTTGATCTAACATAAAATCAAGTTTCCTTTTCCTATTTTCTTTTTCTTTTTTTAATAACTTAGCAGCTGAAATATTTTTTTTAGATTTCATCTGATTTTCCTGAGAAACTATCGAATTGATCTCAGTATCAGAATTATTTTTCATAGGTTCACCATAATCAGAATCGATACATTCTATATCTGTATCATCCTCGAAAACAGGCTTCTTTTCCTTAAAAAAAATATCAATTAAATCCTTAGCATTAAACGATTTACTTTTTTACTATAATATGCTTCATTAAAGATTTCATCCATGCGAGCAGACCATTTATCAGGATCAAAATCACCCTCAATATCAATATCTTCAAACTTAAGAGCTAAAATAATTAGAAAAAGTAAACGCCAACTCTTAATAAGTACATACTAGGGTCACCTGTTACTTGTGCAATTTTGTTTAACTTTTCCATTAATTCCTTTCTTTTTAAATTTTTAAGACGGAATATTTCTTCTTCTTTTTTTAATTTCTCCATATGCTTTAATTGATTCTTTTTTTCTCGCATATGTTTTCTTTTCTCATTTTTTCTACGTACTGATACAATATCTCTAGAATAACTTGAAATTTGATTTACATCTTCTTCAAAACGAAAATTATATTTAGCCTCAAACTCATCTACTTTTTCATCAAATGATTCATCAGATTCAAGTCCTTTGATAACTTGATCATAAGAAGCAACACGATTCGCATTTTTATCAATCCATCCTCGATTAAGAACATAACTAAAATAATTAAGATATATTTTCGAAACAAAATAAACTTAATATCTAACCTAAGCAAAAAATGATCATCTTCAGTATCTTTAGACAACTTTTCATTTGACTCATCCACTGATTTATTACTAACATCAATCCATTGCTGCAAAATCTCCTTTCTCGCTTTATCCTCCACTTTTTCCATTAAAAAATCCTTATATGCCTTATCCTCTTCCTCCTGCTCTTGCAGGCTTTTTTTACGAAGTGTAAGAAAATCATCATCATGTGTTTCCTCGTTAAAGGCAGCCAATACTTCCTCTTTTAACATACGCTGTTCTTCTACATATGTTGGATCAGAAACATCCATTTTTTCCTCCTCTTCCATCTCATTTTTTGAAGGATCTAAAAGACGCTGACGGTGATAATCATTCAAAAGCAAAGGCTTAGACTTTTCCTTAATAATTAACTCATCATCCACATTTTCATAAAAATTCACATCTGATTTATAAATGTCCGGATCTTTACTACGTATTTTCAAAATCGTCTCCAAAATAGCTGCATTCATAGAAGGTGTCGCAAAATCACCTATCTCATCCTCTGTCTCTGAACTTTCCGTATTTTCAAAGTCACTACCATACTTGTCTTTCACTGCACAAAAAACATCATTAAGCATGTTTTTAAAAACAATCACAATAAAAAAGGAGAAAACCCACACCGATGAAGCTCTTCACGAGCTTTATTATGTTCATATCGTTTAGCATATGCTTCATTAATATCAATTTTATCCAAATCATCTAAATCATCATGATCACTTAATAAATGCATCTTAAATATTCTTGTCTATAAATATTTCATTGAAATAACATCATTCATAATAATAAACCCGATTTATATGCACATAATGAAATATTTCGTAAGATTTATAAAAATTTTAGAATTTCTAAACCTTTATAAATGAATCAATTAAATCACGTGACACTAAGATAAATGAAGAAGAAAATTAACAAAAAAATATAAAAATTTATTAATTTATAAAACATTTTATATCAAAAAATAAGCACTATAAGAATATTTTACCATTAGATATATATTGAAAGTTATTGCGTATATTTAATTTGTATAGAAAAAAGATCGACATATCGAACATAAAAACATTATAAAACATAATTGATTCAAAAAAAGCGAAAGATATCCAAGGCAAATTATTCATTAACCAACTAGAATAAATGATCAACACTATCTTCTATATGATGCTCAGGAACACATTCTTCCATATTAACATCAGAATCATTTAAAGTATCCATAAAACCATCATGTTTTTTAAATAAAATATCAAAAGGAAATGATTTTAAATTACTAGATTGATTCATTTGTATTAAAATAGAAGCAGCCTCTAATAATTGTACTTGTTGATGTTTTGAAATGGAAAGTTTGGGATTAAAATAAACAGTGTGCTCCCATCTATATTTATATATTAATCATAAATACATACCTTTATATAAAATTTTAAATATAAAAACTTACCGATGCTTTGTAAGACAACTAATATGTTTATATCCTTTACCACAATGTTCACATTTTATATCATTCAAAATCACCTCGCTTACTTTCCGTGTTTCTTTTTTCATCTTATCTAATGATAATTCTCTTCCTGATAATGAACACGAAGGCGAAGGATATGGTTTAAACTTCAATTCACCTCCCTGATATCTATTTGATCCTCTTCGTCTTATTCTCATATGTAAAGGAATGTCTTTATGATTATTATCATTAAATGACTTAATTGACTTGACTGTTAACATTTCTCTTCTTTTCTCTTCTTTTCTCTTATAAAAAATTCAATTAGACACAACTATATTCTAATTTTATTCCAATTCTTCAACTTTATTCCTTTTAATCTACTTATTAACCACTAATTCTTTTAATTCTATAATCAAAACTTTCCGATATATATTTCATTTTATAGTTTGTCTGTTTTGATCTATCGATTAGATTCCTTTTAATATACTTTTAGAAATACTTTATATGAAAAATAAACAAATCATATTAACCTTAAAAAAACTGAAATAAACTAGATATTACTTTTATCTATACATAAATCAGTTTAATTATATGTAAAAAGATTATAGTAAAATTATCAATATTATCAAGATAATCTAAGGAGATCTCTTATCGAAGGCTTATCAAAAGGCGATAAGATTGATAAGAAATCAAAGATAGAAAGAAAAAATATAAATAAAGCAGCAAAACAAAGGTTATATGAGAATATAATGGACTATATGCATATGAAAATCGGAATGTATGCGCATGATATATGAATTATAAGGAAATAAAATAAGAATTATATATTTATATGCAGTATATTATAAGTTAAGGATGCAATCAGAAGCATATCAAACAAATTTACAGTGTTCAGGAGAAACAAGCCATAAATTAGGAATTAAAGAGGCTAAATCAACATCTAAAACGTCTTTAATAGATCAAATACCTATATTAACACTTTCAATTCCATCTAGAAGATCAATACCACATATCTTTGATGCAACGTTTATTAATATTTTTTATATAAAAAAGGCTAATATAAGGGATATAGGCGAATAACAGATAATTCGGATAATTCTCATAATGAAAATCAAGATTTCAAGGGAATATTAGAAGAAAATGGATCACCGGATCCATTTTCATATAATAGATCATATTTCACTAAAATTATGTTAGATGAAGTCTGGCAACGGTCAGCTCATTCAGATGAGATTATAGAACTTGAAAAACTAGGGGAAGGAATTAGTGGAAGTGTTAGTAAATGCATTTTGAAGAATACAGGAACATTATTTGCTCTTAAAACGATTCTTGTAGATACAAATCCAGAGATTCAACAGCAAATTTTAAGAGAGCTTTCTATTAATAGAACATGTTCATCTGAATATATTGTTCAATATTATGGTACATTTGTGGATGAGGCAAGCTCAAACATTTCTATGGCAATGGAATATTGTGCAGGTGGATCATTGGATAGATTATATAAAAAAGTAAGAGCAAATGGAGCACGCATAGGAGAATATCCGATTTTAAAAATTGCTGAAAACGCTTTAAAGGGATTAAATTATCTACATACTCGCAAAATTATTCATAGAGGTGCAGAATTTTTTAATATAATTAATTATGATCTAATTAAAAACAAATAGATATTAAACCATCTAATATTTTAATGACATTAGAAGGTCAGGCAAAATTATGTGATTTTGGAGTCTCTGGAGAGCTTGTGAGTTCGATGGCAAAAACATTTACAGGAACATCTTATTATATGGCACCAGAACGAATAAAAGGAGAAACATACAGTATAACATCAGATATTTGGTCTCTTGGGCTAACATTAATGGAAATTTCTCAAAATAGATTCCCTTTTCCACCTGAAGGAGAACCTCCCTTAGTACCTATTGAACTCTTAAATTATATTGTAAATATTTCAAACTTTGAACTCGTCGATGAACCAGATAATAAAATAAAATGGTCAGAAGATTTTAAACATTTCCTAAAAACTTGGTAAACCTATCAACTTTTATTACTATTTATTAAAATTTGTACTAGTCTCGAAAGAGATGGAGCAAAAAGGCCTAATTCTCAACGAATGTTAGAACATCCTTGGTATTTATTTAAGTTCTATTTTATTAATTTCTAATAAAAATATAGGGTAATGAAACACAGTATTATTAAAATTGATATGGCAAAATGGATAAAACAAATTTTAGAACTACCTTTATGAGAAGAACATTTTTTTTTTTTTGATAAATATAATTTTGTAATTTTTATATAAAATAAATAATTAAATTATGATGTACAAAAATATAATTAAAGTACAAAGGGTTCGTTATGTTTTCTAATAAAAAATTTATATAATTAAGATTAATTATATATTGTGTTAAAACATCAAATATAAAAACATCTTTATTAAAAAACAAGTTTTAGACATTATTTTATTTTTTTTTTTAAATTCTTATATTTCAAAAACAAAACAATTCAATTTTATAAGGAAAAAACATAAATATTTTTATACAAGAAAAAAAGAAATAAAATATCATTCAAGGAACAATTTACTTTTAAAAAACTGAAAAATCTTTTACACAAAAAAATTTCATAAAAATACATTTTATAAAACAAAAATATCTATTCATATATCTTAATTATAGATTATTTTTAATCTTATCTTTTTATTTATATAAAGAAACAAGTTTTATAGAAGGTAATTACTTTAATAACTTAGGCTTTCAAACTATATTTTTTTAAAGTCTAAGTTTTATGGAAAAATAGGTTTTTTTTCTTTCATATAGAATGACAATATCTGGGAATAAAACCACTATTTTATCTGAAAATATGGATTATGAAGAGATGGAATATTCTAATGCTATTGCAGATGATATTTCAATTAAAAATAATCATAAACATATGAAAATATTTCTTTTAATTATATATCCAGCTACAATTGTACTTGGGATTCTTTTTAAATTAAAAAATGGAACACATGATTCTTATTTCTCACATAGTTCTAATATATTTAATGTTATTTTTGCTAAACTAGGATGGTTTTGGACATCTTTGGTATTTATGTATCATATATCAAGAATTCAACATAAAAATATATTTAAGGCATGTATACGCTGGGTTTTTGCGACTCTTTGGTGGATTTTTATCACACAATGGTTTTTTGGTCCACCAATTATGGATAGAATTTTTATATTAACAGGAGGACATTGTAAATTTAATGATACAGAATCAAATAAAATAGCAACACATGCTCTTTATTATTCATCTGAATGTAAATTACATGGAGGAAAATGGTTAGGAGGATATGATTTTAGCGGCCATGGTTTGCTTAATCATATAGTGAATATAAGCCATATTAATTTATATAAGCTTTTCTTTTAACACATGCATCACTTTTTTTATCTTCAGAACTTCTGCTTACTTTATATTCTGATCAAAAATATATAAAACAACCTCAAACAATAGTTATTTCATCTTATGCTAATTTAATTATATACTAATCAAAATAGATTGTTATTGCTTTATTATTTTTATGGTGGTTTATGTTGCTCATGACAGCATGTTATTTTCATACATTAATGGAAAAAGTAATATTTCTTTAAAATAAAAAACATGGGCTTATTATAATCTTTAGCTGACTGGGTTAATTGTAGGGTATTTTTCATGGCTAAATATTTACTTCTTTGAACCTAAAACATTATTTTGAAATTTCTTTTTTGGATTTTCAGATTATACATAGTAAAAAAAAGATTTGTTTATCATTTATTAAGTCATAAAATACATTCAAGAAAAATAGAAACATCAGACATTATATTTGTATATCATCAATCTTTTCATCTAATTTTTATGGATATAAACGAAAATAAAAATATTCACAGTTTTTATACAAAATGGTTTTAACATTCTCAAAAATATTCATTCATTTATTACATCATCTATAATGCAAAGGTATATAAATAACATCTTTATTTAAAATATTCAAAAAACAGCTCTAATATTATAAAAATTTAAATAAAACGTCTATGTTAAAGCAACAAATTCAGATTATTCCGTACAATTTGGCACTAATAATTGCATCTAGATAGAATATCTACAATAATTCACCCGGTCATAACATTTTATAATATAATCATATATATACATCAAAAATAAAAGTAATACGAAAACAAATATACTATTTATATCAACAATAACTAAAATTTAATTTTAAAATAAGATATAATCTTTAAATTTTTCACTTAATTTTATTACAATTACAAAATTAATCAATAACTTTTCATTTTTTTACAAAATATATTCATATAAACATAAAAATAAAGACTTTAAAAGAAGAAACATATTTTTATTCAAAATTTAAATGAAATACATACGTCTTTATTCTTAATAAATCCTTATTAAATTCATAAAACAACTTATGATAAGTTTAATTAATTAATATAAAAATAAACACACAATCCAAAAGATAAATAGATATATGAAAGAATAAGAATTGCCTGTTTCCCTAATTTAAAACCATTAAAAAGCTAAAATAAAAAGAGAAAAAACCATTAAAATTTAATCTCAAGAATCAAAAATTGTACAAGGTAATTCAATAGGTTTTCCACTACGTGTAATTGCACCTTTAAGATATTGTGTGGAGAGCCAACCAGGTGTATTAGGAGCACCTGGTGTCAAAAGTACATTGTTTGTAGACCAAAAAAAAGAAATTCCATGATCAAAAGCAGTTTGAACATCAACCAATATTAAAGTATCTGAAGAAGCACGTATTTGAGATGAAGATCCATTGCCTAAACATTCTGGATAAGAAACTAAATGAATATGATTGCGTTTCATAGCACAAAGTCCTCCAGATCTGAAAATTTCAATACATTTCTTACGAGTTGTTGCATGAACCGTTGTTTTTGGAAGAAGATCTTTACATGTAACTCGTTGTAAAAGCAGATCATCATAAAGAGGAATAGAATGTCCTTGAGCTGCTCTAATCAATAATTCACCTGTTTCTAGATCCATACGAAGTGTAAAACGAGATTTATCATTCTCATCAACAATCCTCTTCAGTTGATCAACTGTTAACCCTTTAAAAGAATCATGGGCTAACTATTTCATATAAACAATTCATTCATTTTTTCCAAAAAAACCCTACTAAAGCATTGACAGAAACAAATCCATCATTACTCATATGAAGTCCATAATCTGGAGCACAATGTCTTAATACTTTACACAATTTTCTTGACCAATTTTTATCATGAGTTGACATTTAATATACCTGATAAATCTCTTGATGAAAAAAATCACAAGCTAATTTTTATTCTTTCGATCTATATCTTATCTTGATTAATAACATTAACATAATTATCAATTGATAATTACTAGACTTTATTTTTCTAATATAGATATGGAATAATTCTATAAGGAACCATATGACAATATTTTTCCCAATCTTTACCATATTTTAAATGACAATTGTGATTATCACGGCGTTCTCTATGTATTAGTAAAGCCTAGAAAGATAAATTTCATAAAAGATTGGGTTATTATACATACAGTAAAAAAAACAAGATAAAAATAAGTGATAGGACTTTGAAATCCTGTAGGAAGACACCATGCCCATGCCATAAGCCAATCGCCTAATAAGTTATAAAAGAATTGTAAAATAAATATGTTTACCAAAATAATTTATATGGCGAGACTTTCCCCACCATCCATTTGTAATCAATTTAGTACCTCTTTCAGTTGTTATGTATGTTAGATCTATAAAATCAATATTAACAATTCAATTCCAAAGAAAACAGCCCTACGTTGAACACTTGGTGCAATTGGATTCTTTCTAAAAGTGTTTTTCTGAAGATTTGCACTACGAAAAATCCAAAAGCCCAAACATTGAAGCATTATAATCCCTATAACTGCAATTCTATCCAAGTAAACAGGATGGAATGCCAAATATCGTGCTTGAAGTGAATATGTAAATGGAACCCATGTAATAGATCCAAAACATAACATATATCCAAATCCTTCAGTTCTATTCCTAATTAACTAGAAATATAAAACCATTCTCTAAATATTATACACAATATCCATAGTCGTTAATACAAGCTCTTCATTCCAAAGTGAATCAACTGCATACCATATTTGAAACAAACAAACTAGAAATATACTTTCTGTAATTTTCCCTTTCAAACTAATATATTGATGAACAATAAATGTCAAATTAAATATAACCCAAAGAATAATTCCTGGCCTTAATTCAACAAATTCTTTAATATCAAATGTTCCAATACGTGGATTCAATTCTCTTCCCATATAAAACTATCTTCATCTAAAAAACATAACCCATCTAAATAACACTTACATCATAGATCCAATTCCCTGTATTACCTGTTTTTGAAAGATATCGACCTGGAATAAAACTACATCCATATGTATATAATGAAAGTAATACAGAAAATATTAATGAACTTGTAATTAATCCTGGATAATGGTCCCATACAAATTCTAAAAAGTAAATCCCTTTCAAAAAATACCCTGCTATACAGCAACTTAATACAAAAATTAATGTATAGAATCCTATAATCATATTATAAAATTTTTATACATAAAACACTACCATTCATCTTATAACTTAAACATACTCCATTATAAAGATAATTCCCCTTCTTAATATCTCCTGGAATAAATATCCAACAAAAAATTAAAAGAATCCACCATATTGTATATATCAATATTGCAATTGGATCCCATAACTTTCTTAACAATAAAAAAGAACTTCTAATACCTTCTACTGATAATTTACATCCATTTTCATTACATAAAAGATATAATTCAATAACAATTAATGATGTCCCAATCATAATTCCTATCACTCCTAAAGGTCCCCCAAATTCTATATAAAAAAACCATCTATTAACTCCTCATATATAAATACCTTATGTACTTACCATAACTCTTCTTTTCAACCCGAAAACCCTTTGCTTGCTCCATCTTCATTAAATAGCCGAGGTATGTGCTCAAAATTCGTAAATCTTAGTAAAACAATACTTCTAACCCTTATTCAGAGCCTTTATTAAGAATAAAAGATCCAAAACATTGCCTTAGAGCCATTAGAAATGAATTTATCAAGAACTATTTTATACTTTATTATATTCATGATTATTCCTGGAATAGCAATAGAAGAAGCTAATATTTCATGTACAGCAGTTAATCATAAGACAAATGAACATGTTGATCTTCAGAAACTTAGGAAAACAGAGAAGAATGGGTTTAAAATGGTATTTTTTTGGGAGATTTATTTATAGGATTAGATATAATTGGGAAGTAAAAGATGAGGAGAATAAGATAGATTTTAAGATTAATATTTGTGCACCTATTATGATGAATGATACATCTATTGAAGGAGTAAATCTTGAGCGAGTTGGAGCAATATATGTTGAAGGAAATGAGACGTTTTCTATTGGGTAGATAAAATGTATAAAAGGAAATAAATTGAAGAAATATACAGGGAAATGTCGTCAAATGTGTATTTTCAAGGGGAAAAAGTGGTTCTTCAGTATAAGAATGGGTCATTATGTCCAGGAAATACGACATTTAGAAAAAGTAGTACAATTAGTTTTATATGTAATCCTCGTATATATGATAAGGTTAGATTATATTATGTAGATAATGGCGATGTGTTAATGTAATATGATAGCCGGTTATTTTTTTTGTAGCAGAAGCAGATAAATGTGCATATTTTTTTGAATGGCATACAGGTAATATTATAATTATATTTTTTTTTGAATTATATAAACAAAATCTAGCTTATGCATGTACAAAAGCAAAGGAACATTTGTTTGGACCGGGAACTATATTTGGAATTATGTAAAATTTTAAACTTTTACATTTTATATATTCATATATTTCTTAGATTATTGGTTACACTTATTGTATATTGTATAGGTAGTTGTATTTATAGGAATACGACTATCTATGCCACAGGTTGGAGGCAAATTCCACGTCATGGAGTTTTTTTTACTATAAAAGTATGACAATTTTTTTTACTTTTTTTTTTTTTATTATTTAACTTATTTAGGATACTGCATCTAATTTATTTACATCTTTATTTTCAAAGCTTAATATCTTTAAATTTATGCAGTCAGATTATAGTTACATAGGAGATATAGATGAAGAAAACAGACTCATTGACGAGGTTTTTGTGAACAATTAATATACAACCAAAATTATATATTCATATAACTTATTATTATTCTATATGAAAGACAAAAATCCTGGTTACAAACACGAAATTAATCATTAATTACATAAAACTTTAAACAAATATTGGAATATTTTTTAAAAATAAATACAAAAAAAACACACAAAAAGCAAAGAAAATTCATAAATACCTTGTATGTCTTTTATTTTAAAGAAAAAATCAAGAATTAACTAATCATTATATAGCTTATCTCATTAGTTGCTGTGGCAACGCCATAGCAACTTTCAAAGTATTAAAATATTAAAAAATAAACAAATAATCACATTATTTCATCCAAAAACCAAGAGTACAGAGTGTTCAGGAGGAAATACGTATATTTCAGAAATCTTATTAATTATATTTAACTTACTTGTTATCATCCGTTATAAAGGCTGGTTTGTATTTTTTGCCATGGTTACGACGTCAAAAGACAAAAGAAAAAATAATATCTACATAAAAAAGGTATAAAATACAGTAATCTGGAGAGATTTAAGGACATTGTTAATTATCATTAAGGACTTTGTGGGTAATTAGTTCCTGCAAGAAAGCAGAGGCTTTTTAGCCGATATAATATTGATATATATTATTTGTGGGTCAATATATAAAGCATAGATTTATTAATAAAAAAATGCTTTTGGATCATGATTTATCAGGAAAGAGTCCATCATTAAAGAAACGGAAGGTATTTATGGTTTATTGATAAAAAAAGGGAAGTAAAATGAGCAACTAGTTAAATAATTCGACTATATCACCGACAAATCCTCAGCAAATCAATGAAATCATAAGTAAATTATCTATGCCGTTACATCCTGTTCGTGTTGAACAGCAGTATGCCAATTGTCAGAATGGTTCGAGTTATATTGGTAGTGTTCAAGCGTATGCAAAGCTTGCAGGAGCAACATGGACATATTATGTCAAAGCACTTAATGTTACAATAGGCAGAGAGCCAGATCATACAGCATCTAAAGACGATACTGATTCGAAATCAGATGTTCATGTTGATTTAGATCTTGGTCCTACCAAAATTATTAGTCGAAAGCATGCAGTTATTGAATATGATCTTCAGGGACGATTTTGGGAATGTATAGTCTATGGAAGAAATGGTCTTAAGATTGATAATAAGCTTTATAAAAGTAATAAAAGAATAAGACTTTCTAATGGGTATATTTTATTATATATAATATAGTATTATTAATTTTTTAAATTTAGAAATATTCTTGAAATAGGAGGCGTTCAAATGATGTTTGTATTACCAGATTCAGTTCCAAAGATTTCTCTGAGCGCTCTTAATTATAACGAAGATGATATTATATACGATGAATGTAATCAGTTTCAAAAAAATTCTCATAGTATTAAAAAAACATCATTTTCACCGGGGTATAAAAAATCTCATAACGAATCTCGTCGAAATAATTCATTATCTATGCTTTATTTTTCTGCATCTTCAGATTATAAAAATACCGATATTACTTCTGAGAGGGATTTAAGTCTCGATTCATCAAAAGATATTAAACCTCCATATAGCTATGCTACAATGATTGCTCAAGCAATTATGTCGACCGAAGAAGGAAAGTTAACATTATCTGGTATTTATTCATGGATATCAAGTAATTATGCATATTATAGATTTTCCAAAAGTGGATGGCAAGTAAGTTAGCTATGATTTTTTATAACTATTTGTTCATATTATATTCCAGAATTCTATAAGGCATAATCTTTCACTTAATAGAGCATTTCGTAAAGTTCCTCGTCGTGCAGATGAACCAGGAAAAGGAATGAAATGGCAAGTTACACCTGAATATCGTGACGAGCTTATAAAAAGAACAAAAAAACAAGGACTGCATCGGAAAATTAAACCTCTCAATTCAGCACTAAATACGAATTCTTTAAATTCCAAAATATCACCGATTTTATTAGAATCATCAATTCATAATAAAACAATTTTGGATCCACCGTCAACTCCTGTTTCTTCCAAATATTCTAGCATGAGAAATCAAAATGGATTTTTTCCTGGTGATACAACTAATTATGATTCTCATTCCAACTTATTTTTCTATGGAAATCAATCAAACACAATGATCACTACCCCTCCTAACATAGCTTCACCTATAGATTCTTATCAACATACATGTATAATAAAACAGCCAAATTTCTTTACACCAGATCACAGCGGATTCACTTCAAAAGAACCATTACTAGTATCATCAAACCATAGCATAAATCATCATTCTTATTATCCCACTTCATCTCCTGCTCCTTTTTGGCGATACATGGTCAACTCTTCTATAAATAATACTCCAAACAAAAGCTCCGAAAATCATACTTATTCTTATTATTCTTCACCACCTGCATCTGTCTCACATAAAATAGAGACATTCGCACATGACTTACCTGGATTCAATACTACTGAAAGCATCCTTGATCTTCAGGGCGTAGATTTGGCTAAGGGTTTTGAAAATATTAGTAAATGGAGAGAAAACCAACTACAAAATATGGTACTCAATGATTCACATTCATAATTCCATGAATCATTCTCTAATCACTTAATCCTCTAATCACCTCATCTTCTCATTCTCATAGACACATATACCACTTATTTATATTAGTTTTGTATTCTCTTTACATATGTATATTAGAATTGATATCTGGTTGGATTATAAAAGTATATGTATAGATCTTTATGTTTCCATGCCAACCGGTTGCCATGGTATATATTAGTCACGTGCTTTTCAAATCTATCAACTTCATAAATTTATCAGACAAAACAAAGTCTTTTAAGACAACCTGGACGACCTGGACGATCCGGAGGAAACAAATAAGAGCGTTTTATATGCCTTTAGCGATTGTATTTTGAGAAATTTTGAGGAGTTAAAAGGACCTAATTATGATAGTTACTCAACATCTTCCAGTAGATATATTACGTTCATTGCAGCTGATACGAGAACTTGATGATGAGAGCTCAAGTAATAGAATTGAAGAAGGAATTAAGGGATTAATATGAATAGCCTGTATAAATGAGTTAGATGAGCTTGCATTAACAGTATCGACTGCTGAACCGGAAAAATATGTTGAAATGGCACGATTATTGAAAATATCTAGAGAGAACCGTTCTATAGCATTAACAGAAGCATGCAAGATTCATAAAACAGTAAATTTGTGTATTAAATTTAGGTGGAGTAATTGTATAAGGTTGAGCGACATCTTGATGCGATTGAACAAACATTACAAAACCTACAAGAAGGATTAGTAAGAAGTCAACAAATGAAAGAACTAGAAGTTATAAATAAAGAAAAAATAAAAATTAAAAAAAAACATCGTAATATTTCAAAAGAGCCAAGATATTGTTTTTGTAACCAAATTTCATATGGACGAATGATTGCATGTGATAATGACAAAGTACCTTTTATTATTTGGAAGTATATATATTAATTTTGAAAAGTGTAAAAGAGAATGGTTTCATTGGGATTGCGTGTCTATTAGTTCAGTACCTAAAGGTAAATGGACGTGTTCGGATGAGTGAGTGATGTTGTAGAATCGAATATGCTTCTAAATAAAACAGATGCGCATTATCTATTAATCTCAAAAAAAAGAAAAAATCCTAGTTAAAAACAATTATCTTTATACCGTTTATGAAGTATATATACGGGTATCAATCTATTGAAAAATCGATTATTTTAACTGTTCACTTTTTTTTTTTGCAGATTTAAGTTTTAAATGAGTTTTTTGAACACTTTCATCCAATTCATTCAACATATCATTTTGCATATTTAATTCATCCGCAATTGCTGTAACCATTTCTTTTTGTTTTCTTAAAATTGGTAAAAAAGCCTCAAGCTGTTCATCTTGTTTATTAAGAATATCCTTTTGTAAATGAATTAACCCCAAACTACTCAATTCTCGAGTTTGCTCCGTCTCTGGTACTCTATCCAGATTACTCCGTGTAGTCGATGTTTTGCAATCCTTCCATGTTTGAATAGAAGATGGAATATCATGCTTAACTTGGCTATTATTATAAACAATATGCTTCAAAAATGCATATTCTCTCTTGATATTCTCCAACAAATCCTTTCTACGCCATAATTCTCTTTCCCCAATACTCGTATGAATATTCGGGTTATCTAACCCTTGAATTAACTGTTCTATGGATGAATCAATCGTAGAAAATCCCTTGATTGATGAAACTCGTGTAGCTTGAGACGCAATCGCTCCCTCCATATATCCCCGTCTTGATACATGACGTTTAGCCTCTTGAAGTTGCAATTTCGTCTCATGAAATAAACACATCCAAGACTGATCTGAAAATTGCATTCCTGAATTTTCTCCTGAAATCATAGCTTGTCCAATCGTATAAACCGGAAGTTTCAAAAACTGTCTCCATGCTGGACTCTGTCTCCAGCATGCATCTTCACTGCGATGAATTCCAATGACATATGCTTCAAGTCCACGCCGTCGTTCCTCAATTAATGACGGTCTTGAAAACATATTTAATAAATAATATTTTGGTGGTAATCCTACTGGAGGTGAGCGTCCTGTAACCTCCAAAAGCTGTTTATCTAGAGTAATAAACTCCGAATATCTCTTTTTAAGTGTATATGACCTCATTGATAGCTTTATATCTAATATATATATAACATGTGGTTTTACATCCAAACTCTGTCAAAATAACTCAGTTTTAACCCGGAAAAAAACAAAATTAAACATACCATACTTGATGACGGAATACTAATATCAATAACAAGTGTTTCTGGGCGAAATACCTCGCCCATTATCAAAATATTATATTACTGATTATGATGGACGTTGAGGTAGGTTGATAAACGATAAGAGGTGAAATATAGAGGAAATATAGTAGAGATAAGGAAGATAAAAAGAAATACAAGAAATGATTAAGAAAGAAAGAGTTATGAGAGAATAAGTATTATTAAGAAGAAATAAAGAAAGATTAAGGACGAAAAGATTAATGAGAAGGATGAACACGATAAAGAGTTTGCTGTGTTAAATCAGAGGGCAATTGACGGGAAAAGTCTTCACTTGATGGTTGAGAAATATGTTCTTCTGGTTTAGGTTCAATAACAACGACGGAATCAGGAAGTGGTTTTCGAGTAATCATTTCGTTTAACATAATTTTAACTTTTACACCCAAAACACCTATGATATATGTTAGAAAAGCCAAAGATAAGAATAGAAAAGGTGCAAAAAAGGTGTAAATAATGAAATAGAAAGGTTTACCTTGTCGTAACATAACATGACGTGTTGCAGAGTCAATGAAGTCACGTGCAGGCTGACCTATGAAAAAATTAGAATTATACAGTAAATAAGAGGGATAATAATACCGGAATGAATCATAAATCCATCGGTGAATTTCATTGATTTAGCTCGTGCAGCTCGAAGTTTTCCAGAAATAACTATTTCGCAACCTTTTGCACCCGATTCCATAATAAATCTTAAAACACCATAGGCAGCTCTTCGAACTGCCAATCCAACAAGTAATTTGTATTTTAAACTTTCACATTGTGCAACAGCACAAAGACCTCTATTTTGTACTTTTTCAGCATAAAGCTCAACTGTCCCATCTGGAAATTTAAATCGCTTTTGAATAAGCGATGTTAATTCACGGATACGTCTTCCCTTTTCCCCAAGAACTTCTTGTGTATGTGTTGCACGAATAATAATTTCTGTTCGATTAGGTGTTACACGAACTTCTGTACCAGAATAACCCTCTGCTGAAAGCTCCCGAGTAAAAAGCTCATCTAATTCAGCAAAAAATACACCATCCGCAACAAACTAATAATTATTAACATTATTCCTATGTATATTTTTGATTTATTCAGTTTGAAGCCCATTATTTAGAAGAAAAATATTAAAATCAGAATTCTTCTTATGCCCATTGGAAAGACTCAATACAAAATCTACTCCTAAACAAGAGGTGCCAGATAAGAATAAGAGTCATCATTTCTCATTCTTTAATCCATCAAAATCATAGTTTATTATTTCGGCTTCAAAATATAATATAATCTTATCAAATAAACTTGCCTTTCTCTTCTTACTTATTAAATTATTTGACATATTGTAATATTAAAAATGGTCCTTTAATATACTGATTTTTAACACTTTAAAACCCTCAAAATAATATTCGAAATATGAGCTTTAAAAATGTTTATAGAGGTGACTTTTTTTAACAGCCCTAACCACCTTAGATTAGGGCTGTTATCTATAAATAAGAGATAAAAGAAGTAGTTTTATATCCTTTCATTAGCCTGTATATGTATTTGAATGTAAAGGCCAGATAGTATTGTATAAAGTATGTATTTGTAGAAAGCAAAATAAGAAATCCATATTTTTTTCTAAAAAAGATTATAAAAGAGTAAATATGAAAAGAACAAGATACTTTAATAGAAAATATATACCTGTATTTGTTATGAAGAGAAAAAGAACCAAATAAAAGTAGTAGATTATGATTTAGTACATAAAATCATAAGAAGAAAAGAAATAGTGATAGAAAACCAAAAAGTAAGAATAGAAACCCAAATAGCATGAAATGTAATATTCTGAATGAATAAATAAAGATATGAAGATGTTACCCATGCCATTGAAAGTATCATATAAAGATAACTTTTGAATGGACCTAAAGATAAAATGATTTTTTGAATACAAAAACCCAAAGGAAAAAAAGCAACCATTAATATTGGTAATGGAATAGGTGCAATGAAATGTTTCGTTTCAAAATAAGCTGAAGATAAAGGTATCAAAGATAATTTTGAAACCACATAAACAATAATACTACAAATTGAAGAAATTAATGCAGATAAAAGAATACCAAGAACTCCATCCTGTTTAGACCGCATTGGACATTTAAAAGGTCCTTTATCCCTAAATAATGCATACCGTTCATTAGATATAAGATAAAAAGGACCAAACAAAGAATATATATCAAAAAAAAGAAGAATCAATATTATCCATAGAGGAAAAGGAAATAACAAAAAAGATATATATAACCATGGAACTCTAGATATAAAAATAAGTAAAAAAATATCTATTATATATTAATTAATAGTTGTATAATAAAACATAAGATATACAAACCATATACATAATTAATCATAAAATAAAGAATAAATTCAATAAATTTAACTGCCAATAGAAGTGATAATGGAACATTAGAGAATGATTTTAACATAGGATTTAAGCTTTTTGCAGAAAATGGCAGAAAAATAATATATACAATAGTTGAAAATATGCAAAAAAAAGAAGAAGTAAAAGCCAATTTAAGATAAATATTCATGTTTTTGTTGTTTGATATAATAACCATTAATAATTCAGAGCTTTTGATCTCTTTCTTAATTTTTTAGCTCTTAAGTAGGCTAAAATCGAGAGGACTCGATAAATAGCTGAGGAAAAATAGAGTATGTATAATAGTTATTAGTATTGATCAAAGAATGCCTTAGAAAGGAATGTAGAATTAAATGTAAGAAACTATTTTCTAATTTTTTTATTTTAAAATGTCTTTTAAATGAGATCGTATTTGAAGAGACTATAGATTATATTATTATATAGCAATTATAAAAGTGAATATAAAGCTCACAATTATTTTTCAACAGATGGTAATGATGATATAAATTCATCTAAATCATATAATTCTTCGTATTGCGAAGGATCCCAAAGATTATCTAAATTTTCAAGAATATTTTTCTGATTTTTTTGCAATAAGTTTCCTTCACTGTCCAATATGCTTCGTTTATTAGCAGATTGGGAATCAGAGGCTTGTTCTTCTTGAGTCATAGTAAAAAGGTCAAGAATTTGACCAGTATTCATAGTAGACAAGCCAAAATTCTGTTGATTAACAACAGAAGAAGCTATATTTAATTTAAATCTTTGTAAACTAATAAATTAGGGTAAATGCAAACATTGAATAAAATAAATACCTCATAATTTTTTCTTCTAGAGTTTCTTTAGTTATTAAACGATATACATTAACAACATTTTTTTGTCCTATTCTATGAGCCCTATCCATTGCTTGAAGATCTTTCATAGGATTCCAATCATGTTCTACAAATATTACAGTGTCTGCACCAGTTAAATTGAGTCCTAAACCACCTACATTAGTGGTAAGTAACATAACATCTATTGATGAATCCGAATTAAACTTTTGAACAATTTCGTGTCTTTGTTTTAAGTCTATATCTCCATCAAGCCTCACAAATGATACATTAGGAAGAAATTTTTTAAACACTTGATCTTCAATCATATTCAACATATCTTTAAATTGACAAAAGATAAGAGCACGATGTTGATTAACTTGTATACCTAAAGTATCATCATTTATACATATTCCACAATCTAAAAGTAAATTTCTAAGCGCAATTAATTTTGGTGAATGTTCAATATCATAAATAGTTGAATTTTGTTGTCGCAATTGTAAATTGATTTTTTCATATTGTGGATGTTTACTATTTAAAATCAATGCAGGAGAACTACATAATTTTCTCATATATTGAAGGGCCTGGAATATATGAGACTTTTTCCCTATTTTTTCTCCTTTCAAATGTTTTATAACTTCTGAAACTTGAGTTTTAGCAAAATCATCATAAAGTTGTCTTTGAATAGGACTTAAATCACAATGATAGTCCTGTATAATTTTAGGAGGTAAATCATCAAGTACATCTTCTTTCAATCGTCTTAAAAGAAATGGAAGAACTTGTTTATGTAAAGATTCAAGAGCAAGAGCACCTATAATAATTAAAAACTAAAAATATTACATATTGATACATGCCCGCTTCTTGTTCACGTGAAGAAACCTTACTATCACGGCTAATAGCTATAGGTTTTGCAAATTTCTCATGAAAGCTCTTCTGTGTTCCTAAAAATCCTGGCATAAGAAAATCAAATAAAGACCAAAGCTCTAAAACGTTATTTTGTATAGGGGTTCCAGACAAAATTAATCTATAATTTGCTTTAATAAGTTTAATTGCTTTAGTAAGCTTTGCTTTTGCATTTTTTATAATATGGCCTTCATCTAAAACGCAATAATTCCAATTTCTCTTACAAAATTCCTCATTATCATTGCGACAAATATCATACGAAGTAATAACAACATCATATTTCTCAAAAGAATTCCTAAGTTTTATACGCTCAGAAAGATTTCCAACATAAACAAGAGTTCTCATAAATGGAGCATAAGTTAAAAATTCATGTTGCCAATGACTTAATAAAGTAGAAGGACAGATTATTAGAGAAGGAATGAGCCGTGTGTTAATATTTTTTGAAACATATTCCTGATTTTTTAGAAAATGATCACTAGATATAATACAAATTGATTGCAATGTTTTCCCAAGACCCATATCTAACAAATCTTAAAAATAATAAAAATAGATAAAGAATTACCATCACAAAGAATACCATGTAATTGATATCTATTTAAAAAAGCTAACCAATTAACACCTTCTTGCTGATATTTTCTCAAAGTGGCATTAATACATGAAGGAAGACAAAAAGGCTCGAATTTGCCACCATCTAAAATCTGTGATATAAACTTTCGTTCAGAATCTCGATTTTTTAAAAGCTCATCAGAAATTCCAGGAGGATCTGGTATGCCAGACTATTAGAATTATAAATAAGTTAATAATATTATAAACTTATAACCTCTAATGGAACAAGCTTAACTAAAGCTGCAAAAGTAGATGTCGCAAATACTCTAATGTCATTATCTGAGTCATTCATACGAGCTAATATTGGAATTATAAAAAATATAACATATGGCAAGATATTTGCATCCATTATCTGAACGAGATCTAATAATACCATATATATTAGCTTTAACAATCATTTAATAGAAAAAACAAACGATAAATCAATTCTATTGCCCCTTGCCTTTTTACTACATTATCCGGATCTTTTAAAAGAGGTAAAACATGTAAAATAACTTCATTCATTCCCTCGACAGTAATTACATTGCAAATAACAGCAAGACACTTTGCTGCTGCATATCTAATAACAGAAAATTCAGATTGAAGGGCTTTCAATATAATATTAAAATGTTCAATAACCTAAAGATATTTAATATTATTTCCCCAAACAAAAATAAATTTACCACAGGATACAAAGATTTATTAAAATATGAAACCAAAATCCTCAAAATTGATAATCCATCTATAATATTTTGCCCAAGAATTGAACTTCTCTCAGTAATATCCTTAGGAAAATCAAAACCTTCTATAAACTATAAAAATAAATCCATATAATTAATTATGATTTACCTTTAAACGCAGATTCTATAGACTTGAACATGCATGCATATAATTTTGGTATTTTTTCGAATAAATTTTTACCAAAAGTTTTAACTATGTTAATTAAGACCAATTTTGCTCCATTTTTTTTAATATAAACTTCTGAACTTTTTTCATAAAATATTTCCTTTAAAGATTGATCATCTTCCTCTTTTTTTAGAGATAAAATGCATTTCTGAAGCATTCTATTGCAATAAAATTCAGGTATCTCAGATGTATCAAGACAAAGAAATGTGCATAAATTACTAATTAATTTATCTATAACATTAGGATGCGACAATATACATAAATCAACCAAATGTGTCAACGATTCTGCAGAATGTGTCTGTAATATCAAGCTCTCTTCATTCTATTAAATAATTAGTATAATATTACAACTTATAAAAGAAAAAAATAATACAACCTTTATACTATTCATAATTGCTGTAATAATAGGATTCAATTTTTTAGGTAATTCTTTAGTTGATACAAGCGTACATGCTATTGCTGCCATAATTTGAACGTCGCTTAAAAACTTTGCATTTTTAGCAACATCAATAGCATCTTTAACAGACTTTTGAGCTTCCATAAGAGGCTTGGACGCCTTCATTCTATTCATAGGCAAAATCATATCTTGTAATCTATTAAAATCGTCTTCAATTAATTTTTCAGCATCCTTTAAACTAAACGCATCCAAACTTGCATTAACCTCCCCTTGAACTTCTGAAGAAATACACGGAATATCAGATGGTTCCAAATTACCATCTCCAATAAAAGTATTACATAAAACATAACATTGACTGCGAACAATCCTCATATATGGTACGAGATTTGCAAACATGCCTGGAAGAGGATCATTAAGAATATTTATAAACTTCTCATGAATTAATGTTAAAAAATCTGTTTTATCTCCAATATTTTCACAAAAACTTTGAAATACTATAGCTGCCAAAAACCTAGGAGTTGAAAAAGGAGATAAAAAATAACTTAATAAATAATTTATAACCTCAATTATCTTCTAAAAAGACGTTAGTCTAAAGGCTAAAAAATATTTTAAAAAACTACATCTTTTGGAAACCGAGAAATCAAAAATCCAAGAGCCTTAGCAGATATTAATCTTGATTGAATAATAACTTCAGTCCCAAGAAGATCAATATCTCCTTGTATCATAGGCTTATCAATATTATGAAAAACAATACTCTCATGGGTTTTAGCCTGCTTTTTTTTTGAATTTGCATTAGAATTTACAAAATTTTCCTTAGAAAGATTAACAGATAGATCAAAATCTCCAGAAGGTAGCATAAATGGAACATCCATAGCATATGGATGACGTGGTACTCCTATTGGTGTCATTAAAAGTTTAACAGTTGGTAACAAATGAGATGAATATTGTACATAAAATCGAAGACTATCAGAATCGGATTTTATTGACGAAACAATAGTATTCCATAATTTTGAAGTCAATTCCAAAACCTCAGTATCTTGTTCAACAAGCATATTTTGAAAAATAAGCCTTAACGCTTTTCCATCTATCCAACTTTCAAATTTATCATTTTCAATATTACAAAATGTCAGAAGGGCTTTAATAACTGCTTTACGAACATTTGTAATTGTGTGCCGTAAAAATGGAAACAATTTAGGAACAAGAAAATAAAATGATTGACTATAAGTTGATAAATAAATAACAATAATATATAAAATACCTTTGATTTGATATAGCATTTCTTTTCATAATATCAATAACTTTAGGATATGAACATAATTTTGAAAGCAAATCCATAATATTCGCAACACTTATACTTAAATCATCCCGAAGATCAGAAAAACATATCCAAAGAACCTTAATTAAATCACTCACTTCCTCAAGCTTATTTTCAACAAATTCAGAAGCAATTGGTGAAAGAACAGAAGCAGAAACAGATCTAACATCATCATCATAATTTTTTAAGCCATATAGAACAGCTTGGATAACACCATCAAATATTTCATTAGACTCAAAAACAACATCTTTACGTACTGCCACAAGATATTTTAAACCAAGCATTCCCCCATGAGCAATCTCCCATACTGGATTTTCAATACCTATGTCTTGTTGAAATACTAGACGATAAAGTATCTTATATACTGCTTTTACAGATTCTGAATCTACATGTATAAGTAAAGCAGCAAGTATTTGCGAAACAGATTCTCTGACAGGTGCAACTACTTGATCAGATATATAATCACCAAAATAATCTAAAGCAAAAATACAGGTTAATTTGCAAGCAATATCGTCAAGCCAAATCTTATTTTTATTATCATTTTCAGTCTTTGATAACCCTACAACACGGCCAGCACCTTTTCCATGAATTTTAATAATCTCTAACAGACCTATTGCTGCACCATGACGTATTTCCCATTGAGGATGAAATAAATCTATTTTTAATAATTCAGCAATTTTTTTAAATGGCCATTCCAAATTTTCTGTTATATTTTTTATTATAGATGACGATTCGTTTTCAATAACCATATGAGATCCCTCTATTTGTTGCTTTAATAGATTAGATTCAGATGAATTCTCTTGCTTTATAGTTATTGGTGACGCAGAAGGAACAATATCTTCAGTTTTCTCAATTTTAACACTAGTTGGAACACTAGTTATACAAATCCTATATTTTATTAATTTAAATTCATTAAAAATCGAAAATTAACTTGTTCGTTCTTGTATTCTTTGCACTATTTTTAGCTTTTCTTTTCATAACATTTCTTTGTCTAGCACTAAGTGTAGCATTATTTGTTATAGATGAAATATATTCTTGTTCTGATGTTTTAAATGAATCATTAATCGATTGAGTAAGATCTGGCGTTGTAAACAAATTATCTATACATAGTAAACACATAAATCTATATAAATATACTTATATAAAAATAACCATCAACATATTCTCCTCCAAATCCAAGCCTAGAAATTAGATTTTTTTTTTGAAGTAATAAATTCTCCTCTGAAAAAAAATCTGATGAATCAAAATCATATTCCTACTAATGTAAATACATAAAAATACTTTTTTCTATTAATTAAATATACTTTTCCATCACTTCCAAGCAACTTTCTTCCTTTTTTAATAACAAATGATATATCAAACGTCTCAAAAGAAAATACTTTATTTAATGTATCATCATTCATCCCCTTACTCTTCTCTTCTTTAAAAATTAATTTAAACGTATTTTCATGTTTAAATTCCTCTTTATTGGGTTCCCATAAAGGAACTTGCTTTATAACCGCACTTATCGCCATTCCCGCCGCCGTCCTTGTATCCCATGACTTAGACCTTATATAAGGAATAAGTTTCTCAAAAATATTATACAATTCATATGGATGATCCTTCTGTATACCCCCAATTTGCTGTGCTGCCGTTTGTCGTACTATTGGGGTTGATCCTGTATCCAATAATAAAATAAGTCGCTCTAATTGACTCCCTCCTGATCTACCCTTAATCTAAGCATCATATCACTTATTTCAATGCATAATTCTTTACTTGACTCCCATATTTTCTCTCTTTTAAAAACTTTATCTTTTTTTTAAAAAACTAAAATCTTATTTCTATTATTATTAAATAATCCTATGTTATTAACATTCATTTATATGACAAATATCTGCTTTTATTTCTCTTTTTCATGTATTTTTTAACAAATTGATTGATATAGTCTTTAGCCCGTTCAAAGACTGTAGTCAATATAAATGGTAAAACGAATCTACAAATAATATATAAAGTCAAAGCTGTTAATATAAAGCTAAAACTATTAATATAAAGTTAAAGTTATTAATATAAAGTTACTAATATAAAACTAAACTATTTATTAATATAAAACTATTAATATAAAGCTATTAATATAAAGCTATTAACAGATATAAAGCTATTAACAGATATAAAGCTATTAACAAATATAAAACAAAATCTCCTTATTCTTTTTATCTAGAATATTTTAACTTTATAAAAAATAAAATCTCCTTATTACATCCAAAAAAAAGATAATATAAAAATCAATTCTATATTAAAAGAATACATAATTTCTATTTATTTCAAATTATTTAGTTTATCTATATAATAATAAAATATAAAAACAATTTTTTATTTCTTAATTAAATTTATATATAGCTATTTCAATATTTTATATGAATTAACGTTTTAATTCATTAAAAATACAGTTTTATCCTTAAAAAAACTATCAAAACTCTTTTTACCTTTTATTTACCGCAAAAACTATTATAACCCTTTATAATTCCTTTATAATTCCCTTATAACTCCCTTATACCTTCCTTATACCTTCCTTATAACTCATTTCTAAACAAAAAAAAAACAATAAAAATAACATAAAATCTATTCTTAAAACAAATGTACAACTAAAACTATCCACTTCATCTACTTCATCCACTTCATCCACTTCATCCACTCCATCTACTCCCCATTCACCCCTCTCTCTATACTAATATCCTCGATTGACCGCATAACGATTTTTACACAAGTTCAATAACCTTCTTATTTCTTATATTATAAAAACAAATTTAAACCAGTTTTTAAGGCATAAATTATCTCTAAACTAAACAACCTATTTAAAGCCTTTAAGTTATAATATATAAGGCACGAGCTAAGGCGTATCGAGATCCAATCAACCAGAATAATAATTGATATAAAAACAAATTAATAGAGAAGCAGGAGGGGAGGAGAGAGTTATTAGTGATGATATGGGACATAATGCGCTTGAATTTTGCATCAGAACATGGGCAAAAATGCCGGTGAACAAAGTAGTAAAATCGATCAACTTTGAGATGATAGGAGAAGAAGAGAAAATGAAGCATATTTCTAGTAGATTAATACAAAAAACAAGTAGAAAGCAAGTTGGTAGAGGTAAACGGGTAGTTTCAGCAGCAGAACGTCTTCCATCGGAGCTTATTTTGGCTATTTTTAAGTATATTTCATCAGGAAGTGATATGCAATCATGCCTTCTTGTATGCTGGTCATGGTGTTATTGTAGTGTTGAAAGTCTTTGGTATCGACCGTTTTTATATCAATCATCGAATCTTATAAAGTTTTGTAATACTTTATGTCGAAAAAACCTATCATTTAATTATGCACAACTTATACGACGACTTAACTTAAGTTATGTATGTGATTATGTATCGGATCAATATCTTTCGAAACTTGATAAATGTACACGTCTTGAAAGGCTGACACTTATTGGATGCAAAAGAATTACAGATAAAGGAATACATGATATTTTGTCTAAAAATCCGAATCTTCTTGCATTAGATTTTACGGGATTAGAGCTAATAACAAATAAAACGTTATTTTGTATTGCCAAATACTTAAAAAACTTGCAAGGTCTTAATCTTACGAACTGCAAGAATATTACGGATGAATCTATCATAGCGATTGCTAATTCATGCTCTAATCTACGCAGAATCAAATTAAATGGATGTCATTTGATTACGGATCTTTCGGTTTTGTCATTAACATCAAGATGCCCTTCATTGCTCGAAATAGATCTTGATAATTGTTTTGAAATTACAAATCAATCAGCTAATGCAGCATTTACTAAATTAAATAATTTAAGAGAATTAAGACTTGCACAATGTACATCGATAACCAATGAACTCTTTTTGAATATGGAAAATGAAAGATATGAGCATTTACGTATATTGGATTTAACATCGTGCACAAGGATCACGGATGATTGCATTTATCACATTTCTTTGGCGATTCCGAAACTTAGAAATTTAATTCTTGCAAAATGTTCTAATATTACGGATAGAGGTGTGATGTATATCGCTAGACTAGGGAAAAACATACATTTTCTTCATTTAGGTCATTGTAGTGCCATAACAGATCGTAGCATTATTTACCTTAGTCGATATTGTTCTCGATTACGTTATCTCGATCTAGCATGTTGCACTCAACTTACTGATCTTTCGATTTGTGAGTTAGCATCTTTACCGAAATTAAAAAGGATAGGACTTGTAAAGTGCGCAAACATAACAGATTTATCTATTTTTGCTTTAGCAAATCATAAAATGGCCGAAAATGCATTAGAACGCATTCATCTTTCTTATTGCGTTAATCTTACATTACACGTTTGCTCTTTACTCATAATTCTTTCATTATTTAACTATTTTTTACTAGGCTATTCTCGAATTATTAAATACATGCAAAAGACTTACACATTTAAGTTTAACAGGCGTTTCACAATTTTTGCAACCAGAATTTACACAATTTTGCCGGCCTTCACCTAAAGGTATAATATTCCATTAATATTTATTAAATGATTACTAAAAAAAAAAACAAGATTTTAACCCTCACCAGCAAGCCGTATTGTAAGTTTTTCCAATTATTTATCTATATCATATATTAAAGAAAATAAGTTGCGTTTTTAGTGGATCTGGCGTAATTAAACTACGAAATCATTTGAACAATTTAATAAAAGAAGCAAAGATCAGAACCCAATTTCAGCATCTAACACTAGAAGAAACTTTTGAAGAAAACGAAAATAATTATAATGTCGTTCCCGTTGAAACACAGGAAGTTTTTGAGTCATTTGCATAATAATAAGTATCATTTAATACCATTTATAACTATATTCAAACACAATAAACATAAAATACGCCTTACTCATTAGGGAAAATATTCTTAAAAGAAACCTATTTTCTAAATAAATACATTCATTTTTTTTCTACTGAAACATCAAAGTTTCTTAAAACAAAAAGCAATTATACAAAATACCACAATTGATAGCATGGTCATATTTTTAATTATAGAATTTTTTTAGATCAAAATTTCGAATTTTTAAGATAATGATTTATTCATAAATAGATCTTGAAGCTACAAGAATTAAAACCATTTTGAATATTCAAAAACAATGTCTATAGTCTATTCTTGTAATTTTTTTAATCTTGATTCTTGCCATCTATTTTTTTTCAAAGAATTTGACAAATTCCTTTTTACTATCTACAAAGGAATTTGAAAAGGAAATATATCATTTTATTAAATTATTAAAAACTAGTTTAAAATCCTATGCTGTTAAACGTAAATTTCAATATTATATAACAAATTGTATTTTCAAACATAAATTACTAGATAAGAGAAAAATCCCATTATATTATCAATAAATAATTCATTAAACATTACTCTTCAAAGAACTTACTTATTTTAAAAATACAATTAAAATATATTTTAGTTAACATAAAATTATACATGAAACATATTCATAATTATAAAGATTTTAAAATAATAGACTCTATCTATATATTAAAATTAAGCTATAATATTGCCATGAATTTTATTATGCTATTTTTCAACGCTCTATAACTTGTAGCACGCATAAAATAATAAGTGCATAAAAAATATTTATATGAAATAAATATTCTATGAATAAAATTGGACTAATAGAAAATTACTATATAAATTAAATATTTCTAGAATTATAAATTCAAACAATTACATATTAAATAATTCAAAAAAAATCTAGCAATAAACTTTTTCCCAAAGAAATTTTATCATTAATTAATGTAATAATAATTCAATTCTTTTATCTAAAAAGATTTTCTAAAAATACCATTATTTTACTAAAATTTCAAATTATTATTGTATCAATTAAATATCACATATCTAACTCTATAATATATAATATAAAATAAAAAATAGTTATATATTCAATTACTTATACTCAAAACAAATAATACCTTATTATTATAAATCTTTACATAAAAAAACTTTGTTCCATTATCTTTAAAAAAATATACAAATCATACATATAATGTAAATAACAAAAAAATAAAATTTTCCTTAAAATTCAAATATATAAAACAATTTCCATTTAAATTCTTATCAAAGTATTTATTAATATATTAATCTTTAACAAAAATATTAACAATAAAAGCGATTTAAACAAAATCTATTAAATATACTTTTAAATTAATAAAATAATAACAATTTCTATTTAAAAAAATAAATTTAAAGTTAAAATATTTTTCATTATAAATATCATACAATATAAATATCATACAATTGTAAATATATTTTTAATATAAATTCAACAATTTTTATTATTTTTTTAATAATTAATCATTCTATAAATAATTAATCATTCTATAAATAATAATTATTATATCATATCTCTCTTCTCTCTATTTTTCACTTTTTTTATCCCAATCTTTCATATACAATACAAGCCCCTCTCTTTATAACCTCATTCATAAAAATACATATAACCCCTCTTTCATTATATATACATATTTATCTCATATTCCTCTATTAAATACATATCATAAATACATTTTTCATACATTTAATTAAACACCCCCTCCCCCCCCTGAATCGCTCATCTTTATATCCACCTCATTTACATTTAATTGTCCATCCAGCCATTGATAATAAATCTCATCATTCATTCTTCTAGCTAAATCTTCTCTAGAAATATCTATTCTAAACTGCTCATTATTTAACAGTGTTAAATGGTACAGACATATTGGATATCTTAAATTATTAATATAAAAACCCAGATCAACACCAATCCTCACGTTAAAAATTGAGCATATTCTGGACGTCTCCAATACTCTAGATATTTAAGATAGTTAAGAAATACAGGGCAGGAGAGATATTTGCTTTGTGCAAGAACTAATAAGGGATTAATAAGCATTTTTAAAAAGAAAAGGGAGATAAACAATTTAGATACCAAGGACTTGCAAGACATTGAATAAACTCTAATTCTTGTTCAAAACGCTTCTTTTCAAAGGAATCGTCTAATATATCATCATTATTGTTCATTTTGAGAGTTGTATGCGTGTTGTATGCGTGTTGTATGCGTACTATATGCGCTCTGTAACAAGATATAATACTTGAGAAAAAAAGTATTAAAAGAAGTGAAACTAGGAATTTCTTGAAAAATTGATAGATTTTATTTTATCAAGAAGAAATCAACCCTTAATTATTAAAAATCCGAAAAATTAAATGATTCAGCAGGAGAAGAAATGAAAAATAGGAAATTTTTAAAAGAATATAGAAAAAAGATAAAGGAAGAGAATGTTTAGATTATTTAATTTGAAATATCGTCCAAAGTTTCATATAAAAATCACAATTCACAATTTAATCAATGTTCCTCTTGTTTCAGGACAAATGTTTATTAAATGGTATTTAAAAGATTCAATAAGTACTAAAACGAGGGGAAAATCACAAAAAGTTCCTATAAAAAACCATAAAGTTACATGGGATCATGATATTTCATGTATTATTTCGATGAAGATAGGGAAACATCAGCGTTTATCAGAAAGTTGGATGATTTTTGAAGTGAATCAAGTAAAGAAGAAAAAAAAATTAAGAAAAAAGGAAGAATTCTAAATAGTTAATAGGAATTGAGATGTGCAAGTCATCAATTGGTTATAGGAAGAGTTGAAATTAATCTTGCAGAATATGTAGGGTTATCGAAAGAAACAGGATGTTATCTTCTACAAAATAGTAAAGTCAATTCATTACTTAAGGTAAAAAGCATAAAAATGTGATTTTGATTATATTTATAGATATTTTTAGATTAGTATTTCCATAGAACAAATATGTGGAAATACAGATTATATTATGTATATGAAATTTAATGCTTTTTCTTAATTAATTTTTATAGTAACCCTCCTCAAAAGAAACAAATGTTTTACGGAATTGTAGACCTGATGTCAAAACATAACACACCAAATCAAGAAAAAAGTATGTATAAGATATATGGAAAAAAAACATAGATTTTTTTAATGATATTAGATAATTTGGATAATTTGAGTCCTAGAAAACTAAAAGATTTAGATTCCTTTATACATGAACAAGACGCAATGACAAATGAGCCATATTTATTAGATGTATTTAATTCATTTGATATCATTGAGAATATATTTAACGAAAAGGATGAATTGTTAATGGAATTACAACATAAAAATGAAGAATCATGGGATAGCGATGATAGCAAAAAGAATACAAAAATAATACAGGAATTAAAAAGAAATAAAAAAAAAGAAATAAAAATAGCGCAAGAATGGGAAATCAAAGAATTAAAGTATGGCATAAGTTGGTCTTTAAATAAAAACTCAAACAAATCATATTAATATACACAAAAAGACCATTCGTTATCAAAACAATCAAATATCCCTTTTATTAGCACATAGTATATGAAATTTATAATCCAAACAAGTTTAACGATTGTATCCATGACAAAAATACTGATCATTAAAATCAATAAAGTTTAATGTACTAATTAGAATATTGATAAACTCCTAACAAATAATAATTTATTTGGAAACGTTTTCAGCAGAATCCACAGGAAAGCTACTTTTACAATACCGTTCTTGACTCAACGGAGGTGAACTTAATCCAATATTATATCTACAATAATTAAATATATTAGGAATTAGATTATCATTATTATGTAGACATTGAGAAGCTGTCTCGTACGGTTGAGAATCTGCAGGAGATGGAAGCTGTATATCCGAAATAGCTGTTTTTGATAAAGTAGTTTTTGACAATTCAACAGACGCTATCTTATCTCGTTTTGGAATCAAAAGAGGAAGTGCAGAAAATGCAGAATGAGGCTGATTAATTTGCAATTTATAATAAGCGAGACGAAGTCGAAGCTTTAAAACATGCGCATACTGTTTTTTAATATATAATATATATTAGAAAACCCTTACCTTTTTAATCTGCTCTTTTGATATAAAAAATGATCCAAAGAACCCACCATCACCAGGTAATGTATTGAAACCAGGCCTTTGAACTACATTATATTTCTAAACAATTTAGAAAATACCAAATCACAATTCACCAAATTTTATAATACCTCATTCTTGGAAACACTACCAACACGACTATGAATACATTCATCTTTCGAAAATGTATTACATTCCAAATTCTCTATTTTTTCTTTATAATTAGTATTTATTGGAGATATATCAATACCATGATTAGGAGTTGACTTAGTATCTGAACATTGCATATTAATATCATCTTCTTTGACTCGTTTCATATGTTTTTCACTAGAAAACTCTTCTTCTGAGAATGTTTCTGTGCTGTTATTGGGCGACCTTCTGCGCTTAAGAAAAGAAAGTTGCAAAGCATTTGTTTGTGATGGAGTTAATTCTACAAAAACACGACGTGGTGAAGCAAACTCAAGCGATTGCATATCATAAAAAACTGAAAAAACCACTTGAAATTGCTAAAAACAAATACGTTCTAATTCATTAATGTTTTAACAAATGTTCCTAAGCTTCTTGCATTCGATTACACGTAAAAATAACACAGGTTTCAACTAATACTATAACAACAGCAACAATAAAAGGACTATAACTTATTAGAACATAGTTATTTTCAAAAAAAAAATACCTTTTTTTAATTTCTTTTTGAACTTGGAGTTATTGGAGCGAGCGCGAGGGTTAAAATACACAAGGCACGTGACATGAAAATCAAGGTATTATACATTTAATGATAAAATAAAAAGAAATATTAACAAATATGCATAAGTAAGTTATGATATGCAAATAATAGTAATTAGGAAAGTAAATTATGAGGAAATTGATTAAAATCGACTTGTTCGACAACATCACCTAATTCGTAACAATTATATATAATTTTAAAACGAAGTCGTAATAAGGACTAAAGATTGATATAAATAAGAATAAATGAAATATTTAAAGAGATTACCCCTTTTGAAGCGGTTATCTTCATTGTTTGTATTAAGTTGCCGCCAGGTTCTATGAAAGTTCCAGAGATAGGATACATTTGTAGTTTTTGAGATTTTATTACGGCAGCTTGCAAATTAATTTTTGAAATTCGAGTAAAACCAACATTTAGAAATCGATTTGTGATAGCAATTATGCACATATCAGAAATATGCAATGAATCGATTTGCAAAGTAAACCTAAGACTATTTTTTTCATATACAGCTTTTTTTGTCAAGAAAAATATAGAAATATAAAAGATACATACTATAAATATCATCTCCAATTGTTTTATTAAGCTTGGAAGAAACGGAATCAACACTTGTACCAAGTGATTCAGAATTTTGAGCTAATTGAAAAATTATTATTAAAAAGTATTAAATTTAAAAAAAAAAAATAATTACCAAAGACAGAGACATTCTTTTCGGTATCCAAGGATTTATGATGATTTAAAGATCCAAGAATTTCTAAAATTGCACTTTTGTCATTATTTATATCATTTGAATCCTTTTTCGAAAAGAAATCATCGCCAAACAAATCAAACAAGAGCTATTATTTATTAGATTTATATCGAATAGAGAACAAAGTTACGTTTTCATCTGTTTCTTTACTACTTTTTACTTTTCTAATAGAAAAATCAAACATTTCAGAATCCTTAATTACAAGTGGAGGCATTTTCTTTAAAACCTCTTCCCGTATTTCATCAAATTGAAAAAGCCTTTCGTATTCCAAAGATCTTTGCTGAATTTCAATATCTATACTTGTTGAATATTTACGTAATAAACTACGTATTTTCTCAATCTGAGGTTGTTCCTTAATACGAACAGAAAGCTTCATCAAAGAAGTCATGAGATATTCCATGACTGTTTTAGAACAATAATTAGAATCAATAATATTTTCGAAGAGTTCTAAAATGTCTGATACTTTAATAACATGATTAAGCTCTTCTTCAAGTGATTGATACGGTTGTAACAAAAGTTCGCCATATTCTCCTATGGTCCATATTCCGACAAGAGTAAGAGCTTCTTGTGTTAAATTTTTTTGTAAAGAAAAAAATAATTTTCTGATTGTATAAGATTGGAGTTCTGGTGTAGTAATAATAAGTTGAATAAAACTAGAAAAAACATGTTCTTTAATATAATTCCCAGCCTTTTTTATCAATATTAATATAACATACACATTGTCATAAATAATATTACCAGTTTTAAAATCCTAAGTATGGTATCAATATGCCACCTTTTATTTGGCGCAAATTTGTTAGCTGCAATGGATATTTGAGTTGTCATATTTAATTTAAACTCATTATCAGCTGTCTCCAAAAATGCTAACAATTCTCTCACTAATATTCGGATATTACTTTCATTAATTAATGCAAAAGACAGATCCAAAGCTCTCCTTCGTATTGATATATCAGGATCTCGAAGACATTTCAATACAGTACTTCTGTGTCTCTGCACAGCATTAGGCTCTATAGATATGACTTTATTCAATGTATTTAATGCAATATATCTAAACATTTGTTAAATATATTTTTTCTAAAAAAAGTTAAAACTTTATATTATTGTCATTGTCTGATAAAAATTTGCCAAGAATATTAACACCAAGAACTCTCAACCCTTTATTTGTCTCAATATCCAAAATCGTGAGAACCGTTTCATACAAAATAGAATTCCCAACATTTTTTGTTGATTCTGTATTAGTAGCAACCTAATTATAACATTTTAATCAAATATATATTATATAAAAAAAAATCTTTACTTGTGCCAATATATCATTTATTTGTTCACTAATCTCCACGTCTCCATGCCCCAAAACTCTTAACATTCTTAAAAACTTGATTTGTAAAAATGGATCCGTAATTCCTGAAACATCATATTCAAGAGTTAATGTAGAATTAACAAGCGATTTCAATTGATTTACAAAATATGAAGTAAGCTATATCTCAATTATTCAAAATCTTATAAAAAAAACCCATACAGGACGATAATATTTTATCATATTTGGATTATGAATACATATATCAATAATAAGCGTCAATCCACAAAGTAACACTCCATGGTTCTTATCTTTTAAGAGTAATTTCGAATGATCTATAAAATTTTCCAGAAAATCCGGGACTTTTTGTATAATTCTCATAGCACATAATGCCGCCTAATTTTATACATTTAACTTACATAAAAATATCTCAAATATCAAAAATTATACACCTTTTTACGTATATAAACATTCGGTGAATTCATTAATCTCTCAATATCCAAAAATAAATCACGTGCTGTCTCCGGAGACGCAATATTTCCTAATGTACAAAGCGCTAATCCCACTATATATGGATTTGAATGATTTAAATCACTTTATTCGTCAATTATCATTCATATACGTCTTTTTCAATACTTTTTAAGAGAATTCGTAACTAGCATTAATACCTCCTGATTCTCATCAAGTAAAAGCATAGTTCCAAGATATCCTAGACGTTTATCTGCAAATAATGGACTCGCAAGAAGTCTAAGACATTCTATTTGTCCAAAATGCGTACATTCTCCAAGTATATAAAGATATACTATATTAAAACATAAAAATAACTTATATATTCTTAAAATCTATTAACTTACATAGCTTAGAAAGATTATTTCTCCGGTAATAATGATTATTAGATTCTTCACGAAAAAACGCCCGAATCACTGCCGATTCCTTCTGGATAATTGCACGTTCATCCGCCGCGGTTTTTGCTGCTCTAACAGCCTTAATAAACTGCTTTAATGTGCCCATTTCTTCCTGCAAAAAAGATGGTAAAAAACAGAAAGTTAGAGGAAGTCGAGAGTCGAGAAATACTTATCGATAATCGAACGTCAAAATTTTGTGTAAAAAAAAAAAAATAAAAAAAGAGGGAATAAACATGGTAACAGGGATTATTATAGGGTCTATAGGAGTGGCAGTGATTGGTACATTTGTTGGGGAATTTGAACGAGAAAAAAAGACGAAAAACTGATGAAATTAGATAGGAATAAGTATGCGAGCATTTCAGAGGTATAAAAAGTTACCAGGAGGGGTCTCATCGCAGTATATATATAAGGGGGGCTTTGATAAGCAAATGACGAGTCGAGAAGCGGCGTTAATTTTATCATTAAAGTATGTTTTTTGGGCCAAAAAAGGAATTTTAATTTGGCGAAATTTTATATGGGATTAATGGAGTATTTAGCGAGAATAGAATGACGAGATCTAAGGTGAAAGAAGCACATAGAAGGGTGATGCTTTTGAACCATCCGGATAGGGGGGGTAGTCCGTATATAGCGAGTAAAATAAATGAGGCAAAAGATTTATTAGAAAAGCAAAGGAATTTGAGAGGATAAGAAGGGAAAATTATGTATAATGAGAAGAAAAAGGATTAAATTAAGATAATTTTTGTATTATAAGTGTATAATTTAAAAAAAGAAAATAAAGTCATATGGTGTGAAAAAAGTGACTATAGATGACTGAAAGGGATTTAAATAAGTAATATTTAAATGTATAATATTGAGAGAATTGTTGTATATAATAGAATGGTGAAAAGAAATAAGTCTAATGATTTATTAAAATTGGCTATAATTTTTTACTTAAATTAAAAGATAAGAATAAATTGTTGGTGTTAATGTTTGAGATAAGGAAGCATTGATGTAGAAAAGAATGTAATAGTTAGTAAAAAATAGGAATAAGAAAGATATAGAATTTGTTTTATTATATATATATATATTTGGCACAAATAACAATTTATATGTTAAAATAAAGCTAGATCAGAGGACAATATCATTTGAATTATATTTATTTAGCATTGATATTCAAAGATATTATGGGATTTGAGTTGTATTTTTAATAAGAATCAAGATAGAAAATTTACAAGTCATATATAATGAAAAATTTAAAAAAAAAACACATAACTTTTAATGCATCCTATATAACGAAAAACATACATCTTCTATAACATAATTACTTTAAAAAAAGACAATATTCCAACCAAAATAATTGCTATTTATTAAAAATATTCTAAAAATTGATCTTTAAAAATAATCACCAACATTATCCCTAGAAAATGAACCATCTTCATAATCCTCATCACCTGGATCAAAATAATTATCTAATATTTTAACTAAAACATAAAAATAAAACCATTATAAACCTTCATAATCATTATTATCATCATCTTCAAAATCATCATCTTGATCATTTTCCTCTACAATATCCGACTCGCTTTCATGCAATTCCTTCATCTCCTCCTCAAAAATACTTGCAAATCCCTCTGGAAATTCTAAAACAACAGGTTCTTTAACTTTTTCCTCATATAAACCCTTATATTCTTTCAAAAATACATCAAAAAGCTCTTCTGGAAAAAATGATGGCTCCAGTCTCAAAAAAAACAATGACTGACTCATTCTAGGCGCTGGTTTATACCGATCACTGTATTTTTTAACATAGTCTGATACATCTCTATCAATCCCTCTCGACATTAAGATATAGAATGGGGATTCTTTGGATATCTTTGTATGTAGCTCTTTATAATATTGAGCATAAGCTTTCTCATCAGCATAGTTTTCATTTACATAGGACGATGCTTGAGAGGAAGACATCTGTATATTTTTAGCGGAGAGGTTAAGGGCCGTTTAGTTGGTAAAGAGAGGATATAGAGAAGAGGTGTTAAAAAATACATAAAACATGTCAGATAAAGAGGTTACAGTCTTTGTTATTGATCTAGGAAAACAGATGGTATGAGGTTTTCTATTTTATTATGGGATAGGAATGATTAAGCAGAAAAAATGTGAAAAAAACAGGAACCAGAGCAATCATGAATGGGTACTTGAATATTTCTGGAGCAGGATATCATCAAAAGTACCAGAAGAAAAGGTTCATAGTTTTGTTTAATGATAAAAGGTGCTTTCAGGACGAAAAACGGATTATGTAGGAGTAGTTGGGTTTAAAACAGATGGTTTGATAGGAAATGGGGATGATACATGTTTATTTAAGAGTTAGATACAAATAATGACATGGAAGATGATAAATTTTATGAAAATATTTCAGTTTTATGTTCAATCCAACAGTATGAAGACGAAATTATTTGTATATATATGAATATGTTTTTAGAATTACGATAAAAGAGATAAAAGAGCTAAAAAAGCAGTTAATTCCAAGTAATACGGATGTTGGAGATGGTAAGTCTTATTTTACGGTGTTTTGTTACATTTTTTTATGATGTTTTTAGCCATTTCAGCAGTGATTATTGGGATTGATTTAATATCAAACTATTGCAGAAATCTTAAGTATATTAAGAATCTTGTATTGATTACAAATGGGGAATCAGATATGAATTTTTCAGATCTGGAAAAAATAGCATATCAAATTAAATATATGTGTATAAACTTTTCAATCATGTAAAGCATTAAAACTAATGTTACAAAAAAACTAACAGAGGCAGTGGAATTGATTTTGACACTAAGGAATATAAAGAAGTTTCTAAAAATATCATAAAAGTAATTTTATATGATATAATAACAGATAATTAACAATTACTATAGTTAAATAATGAAAAAAATCTTTTAAAGTTCTCAAATATCTCTAATGGAACTTTTTCTTCAATGACGGAGGCTATGAATTCTCTTAATATACCCAGCATTAGAAAAGTTCGTCCAGTATCATTATTTTCTGGGATTTTAAGCATAGGTTATTCTCAAAATTATTCAAATGTTATTGAAATTATGATTCAAAGATATCCTCGTACTAGATTAGCAAAGAAACCTGCTGCACATAGATACAATGTTTCAGAAACAATACAAAAGTCTACAGATCATAGTAAAAAATCAATAGAAACATCTATTAATTCAAGTGATGATGATAAAGATGAATGTTTCAATGAAATAATAATGACAAAGAGTTACAAAATAAAAGAAGATGATGAGGAAATAGAAATATTTAAAGAAGATCTTGAATTAGGATATATTTATGGAAAAACGATAATTCCTATTAGTATTATGGAAGAAGAAGAATTGGTATACAAAGAAGATACAGGATTGACAATATTAGGATTTATAAAAAATAAATCAGTAAATATTTTTTATATCTATACTATATCTAATCAATTAATCTAGTTTCCTCGCTTTATTATCTTAGGAGAAGCAAATATAATTGTTCCAGCTAAAGCAAATTTAAATGCAAAAATCTCATTGTCTTCTTTAGTACATGCAATGTTAAAAACTAACACCTTAGCACTAGCAAGGTTTGTAACAAAAACAAATAAGTTTCCAGAAATGATTATAATGGCTCCATCTATTGAAGATAACTTTGAATGTTTAATTGAGCTTACAGTAAGTAATTCCTTTTAATATCTATTCTTTATTTACATTTTTTAAGATACCTTTTTCTGAAGATTGCAAAAATTTCAAATTTCCATCTATAAAAAAAGATAATACATCCTCTAATAAAAATAATTCTTCTATGGATAATTCTATGGATCATATAGATTCTTTAATGGAAAGTTTTGTTAAAAAAATGGACTTATCAAATAAAACACAAAACAATAATATGTACAAAAAATCTAATTTTCATTATATTTATTAATTTTTTATATAGTGGAAAACAAATCTTCTCTCAATCAATACATATTTATAATATAGCTTCTTATCGTCTTAGTCAAGCGATATCGTCAGCTGCTATATATCCTGACTTAGAATTGGAAAAAATATTACCTGATATTAAACAATTTATGTATCCATCTGATGATCTTTTAAAAAATACTCAAAAAGAAATAGAAGCTCTTTCAAAGCTTTTCAATATCAAAAAACCTATTCTAAATACTTGTGATTCAACTATATCATAAACGAACTCGATATTTCAATTGATAATTCATGCAATTAATAAATAGGCTAAATAACTATAAACAATTATTCAAACTATTCAATTAAACTCATTGATCTGATCTATTAAATTATTACACAAAGATTTTTACTTTATTTTTTTATAATTCTATACAAACACATCTCATCATATTACTTTTTTTTAAAAAAAAAACAACTTAGGATACAAGAAAAGACAAAACCATTACCAAACAATTCTATACAAGATAACTCAATGAATTATGGTTAATAATTATATAATTCAAGAAAATGATTAACGTTTAACTATTACAAAACTTAAGATTATAAAACATAAACAATTTTAACAGAAAAAGACTGGATAATACAAATAATAATAAGCCTAAATCTTAATAAAACTTGGATACTATTTTAAAGATATCCTAAAAAAAATAGGGTTTAGGGAGGTTTTTTTGAAAAAATAATTTATGGTTTCAGAAATTATGATTTAAAGCTTGAATATGCCTATACAGTACAAAGAAAAGGACGAAACATCAGTTATTTCAATTGGGTCAAACGCATCTCGAATTATTTTGAGAGAACTTCAAGCTATAAAGAAGGAATTGGATGATGGAGAAATAACAAAAAAAGGATATGAAAAACGAAGAAAAGAGATATTAACAAAGTATAAAGATGTAATAGAACCTAATGAGGTGAAGATGATAAGAATATGAGGGTTTTAAGTAGATATTGAAGGAGGTTATTAGGGTTTTTTAAGTATAAACAAAGAGATCTTTGAAAACCGAAATATAAATGGAAACTATGACTTTGAGTCAAAAAATGAGTTCTGTTAGTGAAGGATTTGTTCGTATTAAGGGTTAATATAAGGAACAGATGATAAAGACAGTGATAATACTAAATCGTATTGTGATCAGACATATTGTGATCATGAATATCGTAAAATACAAGAATATATGAAATTATATAGTTAAATGGATAGTTTTAGAGGATTCGGATAATTACAAGAATGGTAGATCATTATACGAACAGTCTAATTCAATTTCAAGCGAGAAACTTCCGGCGCCATTTGTAGATCAAGTAGCAAAACAACAATTGCCTTTTAAACCTAGAGGTATACCATTTTCAGCATATGATCGACATGATCCAAGATTTCTTATGACTAAGTGAGATTTATGAATACTAGCGAAAGTTCACCAATCAATATAGATTTGACAATATTGCCTCTGTTTTTCGTTATAGAAGCAGGATGGCATCAAGAAAGAAAGCAATAATAGTGTCGGATAATAAGGGAAAAGAAATGTATAATATAACTTACAATAAGCTTTTAGCTCGTACGGAAAAAGTAGCGCAAGCTATTAAAAGCAAGCCAGACTTTCAACAGGGAAACAGAGTAGCCCTAATATATAGTAATTTTGAAATTATAGATTTTGTGATATCACTTTTTGCCTGTTTTATTGCAGGGGCGATTGCGGTTCCTATTAATAATTATAAAGATATCACTGAATTGCATGAGATTTTAATATCAACTCAGTCTCGTCTTATTTTAACAACTCATATAAATCTAAAGAATCTCAGGAAAATGCTAATAGATAGAAATTTACAATTTCCATTTATGATAGAATGGTGGGAAACCAACAAGTTTGGCGGTTTTTATAGTAAAAAAAAGCACAGCAGCGCAGTACGTTTATTTTCATTTATATTTTTTTCAATTTTTAAATTTATTTAGCCTTTACAAACTCATGATTTAGCTTATATTGAGTATTCACGTTCCCCTACTGGAGAACTTCGTGGGGTGGTTATACCTCACGCTACTATTGTAAATCAAATGATCAGTCTAAGTACTGCTATTTCCAGTATTCCAAAATATATAAAAAAACAAATATTAAACAGAAATTCTAACAAAAAACATGCCGCTGCGGAAGACAATGAAGTCTTTATTACATATCTGGATCAAAGACAAGCAATAGGATTGATTTTTACTGTTTTTTTTTCTATTTATAGTGGAAGCACAACAGTATGGTGTTCTCAAAAAGCAGTTTCTGTTCCTGGTCTTTTGGCAAATCTTATTACCAAGTACAGAGTCACTATGATTCTTGCTAATTATCCAGGATTAAAAACAGTGGCATACAATTATCAAGATGGTAACGCTTTTTTTTTCTATTTAAAACTTAACTTAGTATTGATTAGATCCAATGCAAACTCGTAAATTTAAGAAAAAGTATACTACTGATTTTTCCAGTATTCGTCTTTGTTTAATAGATTGTGTTTGTGTTGATTCAGAATTTCATGAAATATTAGCAGATAGATGGCTAAGACCTCTTGGCAATTCTAGACCATGGGATGTTTTATCACCTATACTTTGCCTTCCAGAGCATGGAGGTATGGTTATTTCCATGAGAGATTGGCTTGGTGGAGAACAACAAATGTTATCAGAATTTCCAGACAACAATAATATATATGCAAATAATGAACTGTCTCAAGTTTTATTGAGCAAAGAAGCTTTAAAGACCAATAAAGTGGTTATACTTTCTGAAGAAAATAAAATGAAAGGGAAATATGACGGTTTAGATGCGGTTAGAGTTGGATCATTTTGGTACCCACTAGCAGATATTACACTAGCAATTGTCGATCCAGAAACATCAATATTTTGTAACTCGAATGTTATTGGAGAAATCTGGGTTGATAGCCCTAGTTTGAGCGGAGGATTTTGGAATTCACCACAACAAACAAAATCTTTATTTCATGCAGAAGCGTCTGTGGTTGATAACGAAACGTCTAATTTAACTACTTATAATCAAGAATTTTTAAGAACTGGTTTGCTAGGTTGTATGATTAGGGGCCGTATTTATGTACTAGGATTATATGAAGATAGACTTCGACAACGAATTGTATCAACTCAGGATAATGATACAATAGAATATATGTATTAGTATATATTTATATATCAAAACTGAATAATTATTAGGTATCATTATGTTTCTCACATAGTCCAAACTATTATGAGGAACGTCCCTCATGTATTTGATTGGTATATATATTATTGTTCCTTATTATTTATAATAACATCTGAAGCACATCATTTGATATTTTTATCAATGGAGAGTATTATCCTATCGTTGTTCTTGAATTACCAGCATCAATTATTAGTCCAGATCCATCAGAACAATCGAATGTATCAGATTATAATGTTTTGGATACTATTATACAGAAGTGTAAAAAAGTACTTTTAGATTTACATAATATTAAAGTATACTGTATAATGTTGGCCTTATCAAATACATTGCCCAGAGTGAATAAAAATGGACATAAAGAAATTAGTAACATGCTTTGTCGAAAAGGATTTGAATTAGGCACATTACCGTGTGAGCATGTTAAATTTTTTATCAATGAAGTAACACTTGATTTGCCTGTTGGGGAAGATCCGGTTGGAGGAATTTGGTCAAAGATAGCTGTACAAAAGCGTCAAGAATTATTATGTTCAAAAAAGAAACAATATAGCGCAGGAGATGAACGAGCATTATCAATGGATGATCGAACTTTAATAAATTTATTTACCTATGGAACTATAATAGATGTTTTACAATGGAGAGTAGCAAGCCAAAGTGATGAACCTGCTCTTTCTGTAATAGATAGCAGGGGTAAAGATAAAAGCATCACATGGAAGAAATTGGATTTAAAAATTGCAAATGTAGCAAATTATCTTAAATTTAAAATTAAACTTCAATCGGGAGATCACGCTATTTTGATGTATACACAATCAGATGATTTTTTATATGCAATACATGCATGTTTTTGCCTAGGAATTATTGCAATTCCAATACCTCCACTTAATACGTTTCGACTTTCAGAAGATATCCCATCTTTTCTGGGTGTAATTTCAGATTTTAAAATCAAAGCTGTTCTTGTTAATAACCAAACAGATTCAACATTTAAAAGCAAATTGTTTTCTTATAACATTAAGCGTTATGCACCTGCAACAAAAATAGTTCTACCCAATATAATTAATACTTCAAAGTCTCCCAAACAAACATTAGGATGTGTAGAATCCGGATTTATGTTAGATCAGGAATGGATAGATTTGAAAATTCCTGCATTAATATGGTTATATTGGTCTCCTGATAGGCGACGCACAGCTGTAGAATTGGGCCACGAAACTATTATGTCTTGTTGTAGGATTCAAAAAGAAACATGTCAAATGTCTAGTTCCCGACCTCTTCTTGGATGTATGCAAGCAACAACAGGAATAGGGTTCCTTCATTCATATATTTTAGGAATATATATGGGTAACTCTTACCATATATTTTATATGAATTTCTATTAATATTATATTAGGAGCAACCACGTATCTTGTATCACCAAGAGATTTTGTTGCTAATCCTTTAATTTTATTTGATTCTATTGCAAAGTTCAAAGTAAAAGATACCTATATAGCCCCAGAGGCTTTAAATGATGCTATAGAAGCTATTCAAACAAAAGACACTTGTTTACATGAATTAAGAAATTTAATGATAACTTTCAATTGTCGACCTCAATTTGATTATTGTGAGTACTTGCTTTATATATAAGTATCTTAACATTTATAACTATATTAGTTCAACGAGTAAAAAATGATTTCTCGGAATCAATATTAGATCCTAATTCTTTAAGCAATGTATATTATAGCGTTTTAAATCCCATGATAACGACAAGATCATATATGTCTACAGAGCCTATACATTTATACTTAAATGTAAAAAGCCTACGACAAGGAATCATTGAACCTATTGATATGGCTGATGATCCATCTGCACTTCTTTTGTATGATTCTGGAACGGTATCTATTTATTTAATATCTTAAAACACTTTCTAATTAATAAAAAAAGGTTTCTGTATCTACTCGTATTGCTATTGTTAATCCCGAAACATGTGATTTATGTTGTGAAGGAGAATATGGAGAAATTTGGGTAGCATCAGATGCCAATATGAAATCATTTTATGGTTCAAAAAATAAAATGGATTTAGAAAGATTTCATGGGGTTTTAGCCAATAATAATAATAATAATCAGAAAGACATTTATGTCCGTACTGGTGATTTAGGATTTTTATATAACATACAAAGACCAATAGGACCAGAAGGTTTACTTGTTGAAACACAATCATTATTTATTTTAGGAAATATTGGTGATACTTTCGAAATTAATGGACTACTTTATTTTCCAATAGATATCGAAACATCTGTAGAAAAATCACATAATAATATTTTACCTGGAGGAAGGTTAGTAATTCCTTTTAAATATCCCCCATTTACCTTTTATATTAGTGCTATATTTCAAACAGGTCGTTCTATTATTATTCTTATCGAAGTTAAACATAAATCAAATTTACCATCTATTGTACCTGTTGTTGTAAATACCGTTTTGAATAAATATCAAATTATAATTGATACTGTCGTATTTACTGCAAAAGGCGATTTTCCTAGATCAAGAGTCGGTGAAAAACAGCGTGGAAAAATTTTGGAACTATGGTTAACAAAAAAATTGTAATATTTTTTTTAAATTTTATAACTCTTTAACATTCTTTAGAGAATTATTAGATGAATTTATTATTCGACAACATTAAATTTTTATTTCAATCATTTTTATTTGCAAACTAAACAAAGATATCATAATGTTACACTACACTGCAATATTATTCTACACTACAATATTACTCTGCAATCTTACTCTACAATCTTACTCTACAATATTACTCTGCAACATCCAAACTATCTATATTACAATCTTCATCTTCATCTTCATCTTCATCTTCATCTTCATCTTCATCTTCACCTTCTTATTATCCCCTTCCATATTTCTTTTTTTCTATATCTTCTATCAACCATTTAAACGCTTCATACAACTTTGTTCCTAAAAGTCCTGACACTTCAAAAATATTATAACTATGCGACTTAATATCTTCCAATTCAAGGCTCTCAATTTTTTCATTATTCAACTATACTTATTCATATCATTCATACCTTCCTCAATTCCTCTATATTCATCCTCGATTCTACCTCACATTTATTACCAAGTATTAATAAACTCGTACCCAAAAGTCTCTAAAATATATAAATATGTTTATTTCCCATTCATTCCCCTTACATCCTCTTTTAATAGCATTTTTAACGCCTCACTGCATTCTTTAACCCTCATACAATCGGTTAGATCAACTGTCCATACTATTGCATCTGTACACTCAAAATAATTCCTCCAGTAACCTCTCAAAATCTTTTGTCCTCCAATATCCCCTATTTCTATATAGTAATATATTATCATAAAAGCTTAATTACATATATTTAATTTATATGAGCCCCATACTAAGGTTTTAATATTAAAGCCTACAGTCGGGGAGATGGTTAACACCTTAACACATATATTAGAAGAAAGATAGGAAGAATAGCAGGGAAATAACGTCATCACCGCTAATACGCTTAACAATAGTGGATTTTCCAGCATTATCTAAGCCTCTAATAAGGAATTAGTGAATGGAATAGGGATTTATAGGGATTTTATAGGGAGAAGAAGAAGTTACAGCATCAAAATACGTATTTGTTTATCTTTTCTATTCTGCTTCTTTATGATTGTGTAGAGGCCCATTTTAAAGAAAAGAGGAGAAGATAGTGAACATTTTAATATAGAAATTGTGTAAAATTAAGCGAAAAGCGTCTATATATATATGTTGTTAAAAACAGAGGGGTTAATAGTGGAAGAATAGGGAAAGATTAGATGAACAAAGTAAAGAATAGAGGGAAAAATAGTTAAATTGTGTATAAAAAAGTTGTAGTAAAAAAAATGAATGAAATACCTAAGTTTAGTAGTTTTAAAGGAAGACAAGAAAAACAGGGAGAATTATACAAGAAAGAAGGGACAGAAGAGTTAATAGATAAGTTAAAGAGGAGGGGATTAAGTTTTGAAGAGGTAGAAGTTGAAAAAAAGGGGAATGATAAAATAGACTATAAAGAGAAAAAAAGAGAAAAAAAGAAATGGTTTATTATTGATTTATTAGGAGATATAAACAATATAAAATATGGGAAAAATGACAAGTATTCGATACCATATTATGAAAGATCGGGAAAAGGAAGAGTGATTGGATGTAAGGAAAATATAAGAATGCGAGTTGATCCAGAAAATCCGAATGAAATTATATTATATCCATTATTGAACTATAATAATTATAAAAAAAAGGTTAATTTTGAGTTTAATGAGGATTTGGAATGTGTAGAAGAGAGTAAAGGATTGAAGGATATTAATGAAGTAAATTATCAGGAAAATTATATTGCATTTGAAATTGATGATACAAATACGTCATGTATAACAAATGATACAAGTATTATATCCGAAAAAATAGAAAATGATGATAATGTATTACATATATGGAAAAAAGGTGATCCTCAATTAGAATTAAAAGAATTATCAAAAAAAGTGGAAGAATCACCATTAGATTATAAATCATGGTTAAAATTAGCAGATATACAAGATAAAATATTATGGACAAATAATAATAAAAAATCTAAGGCGGAACAATTAGCAATTAATGAGGTTAAACTTAAAATATTGGAAAAAGCATTATCACATTGTCCTGATAATGATGACCTTGTTCTAAAATATATGTCTATAATAATTTTAATTTGGGAGTAATTTTGTTTTATAGTAAAATGAAATAAATTAACAATATTAGACCTCAAAAAATAAATTTAGAATGGAGTAAAATTTTAAAAAGAAGCTTAAGTTTGCCTCTTTGGAAAAAATATATGGATTTCTATCAAACTAATTCAATATCTTTTAGTTATAGTGAATGCCTTGAAAATTTCAAAAACAATCTTGAAATTCTTAAAGAAGCATCAAAAAATGAGAAATGCCAGAAAAAAATAGGTATTGTATATTTATTATTATTATGGCTACTATTAAAAATACAGAAAACATAGAAGAAATTATACAATATGTTCTTATTCGAATATGGTTTTATATGAAAGAAGCGGGATATATAGAGAATTCTATTGCATCTGTTCAAGCATTAATTGAATTTAATTTTTTTATGCCAGATAGTTTTTTGTGTAATGTTAATAATGCTAGCTGTTTACAAGACTTTGAAGAATTTTGGGATTCAGAAGTTCCTAGATTTGGAGAAGATGAAGCTAAAGGATGGAAAAAGTATGATAATAAATATCAACATATAATATCATTTGACAAAAATTCTAACGATATATCTCTTTCTAATAATGAAAATATATCTCAAGATATTGAAGATGAATATACAAAATGGTATAAACAAGAAACAGCTAAAAATGTTTATGTAAATCCAAAAAGATCTACTAATACAGATACTGATAACGATCCTTATTCCATAATTTTTTTTTCTGATATTGAGCAGTTATTATATTTCTTTACATCGAATAGAATACGCTTAAACTTAATATATTTTTCACTACATTTTTTTGGATTTTCACTGCATAGGATAGATAAAACATCTAACGAATCACCTTTATTGGATTCATTTATACAAGATTTTTCATCAATTGATTCATTTAATTGGTTTTGGTCAAGCGAATACTTATCCTTAAAACTTTCTCAACAATTCAATAAAAATACTATTGATTCTGATTATTTATTAAAACATTTTCAAAGTCCAGTACATATTAAATTAAAAAATTGGCCAATAACTATTGATACTCTATTTTCAATTGATAATACTTGGTACCAAAATATCAATTATCAAGGATTTAACAAAGATTTTATAAAAAATTGTTTTGAACAATTAAAAGATATAATAGACGACGATTTATTTTCTATGTTGCATCTCTTATTTTGGAATTACTATTCATCATCTGAGTAAATTTAATAATATATTAAAATAAATTAATAACTTTTAGTGTACGAAAATTAGCCAAATTTATTCTTAAGAAAAAGCCTTTAAATATGAAATTGTGGTGTGCATACGCCCAATTAGAATATCTTAACGGAAATATATTGGAAGCAAGGAAAATTTTTGTAAATACATTAAAAAATATTAAACCAGACCATACTGAAAAATCTTATGACTATATTGTGGCTTATAAACTATGGGCAGAAATAGAAATGAAAAATAACGAGATTGATAATTCGATCAAAATACTAGTATCTATGGTAGAAAGCGAATTAAACAGTAAGTTAACCTATTTTTGATAATATATTTATATAAAACATTTAAAAGTTAAAACATTGATATTTAACAACGAAAAAATACACTCGGATTCTATATTATTAAAGGCTCAAAAGGTATACTAGTCCAAGTTATATCTAAAAAAAATGCTTATTTCTAGTCTTTTCAGCACCTAAATAGGTTATCCTTATCTTTTGGAAATTATAAAATGCTTCGTTTATTTACAGAATGTCATGCATTGTTAAATTATTTAATTAAATCATTAGATATTGCTCTAGAAGTATATTCTCAAACAAAAAATGATTTCAATAATTCAATTAATTCTAATTCCATTGAATATGAACAGCTTTTAACTTCAGAATTGCAATTACTTTACTATTGTTCACAAACAACTAAAGTATTCAAAATCTCTACCATTCAAGATAGGGCAAGAAGTGCATTATCTAAATTTCCTAATAATTGTATATTTTTATCAATATTTATCTGGTCAGAAGCGAAATCATTACTTAAAACAAAGATCTATCACTATTTTGAAAAAAATATATTTAAAGCTGTACAATCATCTTATATTGTTTTTCTTTCTGCAATATGGTCTGAGTTATATATTAATCCTTATAACATTAATACGCATGCAATAAGATCTTTATTTGAAAGAGCAGTAGAAAATCAAGAGTATTAAAAAGCTAATGTAATACGTATAATTTCTTACTTATCTTTAGAACAAAATCTGATCTAATAATATGGAAATTATATATCCAGTTTGAGATACAACATGGAACCTTAGAAAAAGGAAAAGCGATTTTTTACAGAGCAATTAGGGACTGCCCTTGGTCAAAAAGTAATTCATATTTATAATTTATTTTTTTATTAAACTATTACAGATCTTATACTTATTGCATTTAATGAATTACGGTCACAATTTAACTCTGAAGAATTAACTAAGTTGTATAACACTATGATTGAAAGAGAATTTAGGATTTCCATAGATTTAGAAATTGCAAAAAATATACAAGAAACAAGCTACTCACGTCTAGCACAGCTACCACAGGATATAAGTAGTGATGAAGCAATGGAATAGTTTTCAGACATCAAATATTTATCGATATAAAACTACCAAATTAAAATAATATTTTAATAAAAAAAACATTCTGATATCAGTTCTAAATAGCACTTGCTGTACTGTCAGAGGTCATAAATACATGAAATATTCTTTTTGATAAAACTCCTCCAATTTTACGTTTGGTTAATTTTCCAATCTAAAAAAATTAATATTAATTTATTAAAAATTTAAATAACTACTGTTAAATCTGACAAAGCATCAGGTCCATTTTCACGAAAAGCATAAACTAAATCTGATATTTTTGAGTATTTCTCAACTATAGCATCTGCTATTTGTGGAGTTACTTTATAAATTGTTTGAAGTAATTTAGTATATGTATCTTTAACATCTGAACCCGTCTTTATTTGTCCAGATTCCATACAAAAAGACGTTGAAAGTTCCAACTTCATCTTTCTATAAAAGTTTAAAATAAAATATAATATAATATAAAAATAAAAACTTATAAGGTATAGTTGAAATATCTCCAGTAAGAATAAAAATCCATTCTGCACTATTTTCTACACTTGATGTATTTACAATAAAAACATTGTGTATTAATTGTAAACGAAGCAATATATTTTCTATCTTTTCTTCTGTCTCTTCTGATGGAATAAAGATATTTTCTGAATTTTTTGTCTCAATAACAGCTCTCATAGCATCAACATAACGTTTATTCCTATTATTTTTTACTTTTTTTAATAATGCATCAATTGATTCAATAATAAATATTATTTTGAGTTCAGGAAATTCATCTCTTAGCTTCTTAACCAATTCATCTACATATGTCTCTGATTCTTGTTCTAATAACTCTGACGCCTTTGTATAAATCAAGATAAACTTTTCTGGTTGAATAGTCTCTGGAATTGGAACAAAATACCCTTGACTTTCACTATATTCTGCTATAACCTTTCTTTTCCAATATATTAAATTCGGAATTGGACTTGACCATTCTACATATTCACAACTAGCACCCTCCAAAAGACCTGATAATATACTTCCCATAGATGATGATAATATATTCCTATCTATATTAACAATCATTTCCTTTATACACTCTTTCTTGGAGGTTTTCAGTTTATTTACACTTTTTAAAGCTGAAACTCGTTTTTTTTCAACTCTCTTTCTTGTCTATCTTATTCAACAAATACCTTCTTCTAATTTATTCTTAAAACTTACATTCTCTAATACTTTCTGATCAATCTTAACAACTTTTCCCAATCTTTCTTCTTCCTAAAACTAATAAAACCCATTCTTCTTCTTCTTCCTATAAATATTAACACACCTCTATATTATATAATTCCTCTGATCTCTTAGAATTACACTCCATATTCATTCCCATTGACTTTTTCATAACATCCATAGAAAATTCATCAATTGTACATAAAATAGACTTCGTATTCTTACAAAATTCTCCCTTTACATCCCAATATTCTGTCTCATCTTCTTTCATCTGACAATCTATTATATCTACTGAACTAGATGATAATGTTGATGATATTTCTACTATTAATTCATCATCTATCCCTTCCATCTCATCTATCTCCTTCATCTCCTTCATCTCCTTCATCTCCTGCGCCTTCTTCGCCTTCTCCTTCTTCTCCACTCCCATACCCGCTTCTCCCTTCATATATCCTTCTTCTTCCTGGTCATATACTAACTTCTCTTGTCTATCAAGAACATAAATTTTAGATATTATTAGACTTTATGACTACAAAGATAGGTCCTTTTTCAAGGAAATCACACACGCCTTTGGATATTCTGGTGAATCACTAACTAAAATAACTGGTGCCCCGTAATCCTTGATTATTTCAAGATCTTTATCCGTCATCAATAAAACAATAAATATAAGACAAAAATAAAGGTTATTTTGTGCAATTTGTTGGATAATAAAAACGCAGGATATTAAGACGCTATTTAAGAGCGTAAATGAATATTTTATCGGGTGATCCAAGGGTTTTAGAGGAGGAGGAAGAGCTGATAGATTATGAGGAGAAATATGAAAAATTTGAGAAATATGAAGTAGAAGAAGCAGAAGGAGGGTTTTTAAGTGAAATTAAGAGTTTTGAAAAAATGAATAAAAACTTTGTATTTGAAGTGGAAAACATGGAAGAAGAAGATAGAATGGATTTAGAGAGAATAGAGGAAGAGTTTAGAGAGAAAACAGGGAAAAAAAAGGTTGATATTGATGAAATTATCAAGAAACAACCGGTCAAAAAAGAAATCCAAAAAAAAGAGGAAAAAAAGCCGTTTAAAGGGGAAAAAAAGGATAAAATAGATAGATTAGAGGAGGTAGATTATGTAGGAAGTGTAATATCTAAAAAAAAAAGGGAATTGAGGGATAAAAAACGAAAAAAAGAAGATTTTTTTGAAATGGATATGGAAGAGGAGTTAAATGAAGAGGAAAAAGAGGAATTTTTTGATAAAGATGTTGTAGATATAGAGGAGGAAGATATGAGAGAGTTTTCGGAGTTCAATTTGTCAAGACCTATCTTAAAAGCTCTTGAAAGTATGGGATTTAATAAACCGACGCCAGTACAGTCAAAAACGATTCCAATAGCGCTTTTAGGGAAGGATATAGTTGGAAGTGCGGTGACAGGAAGTGGGAAAACAGGGGCGTTTCTTATACCTATTATTGAAAGGTTACTTTATAGGCCTAAAAAAATAGCTATAACAAGAGTTTTAATTCTTTGTCCAACAAGGGAATTGGCTATTCAATGTTATAATACAGCGAAAAAAATGGTATATTATACAGATATTAAAATATGTATATGTACAGGTAATATTTAATAAGTTAAAAAAGACGAAAATGAAAGTATATATTGGTAGGAGGACTTTCTTTAAAAATACAGGAAGCAGAGTTGAGAAAACGACCAGATATTGTTATTGCGACGCCGGGAAGATTTATTGATCATGTTAGAAATTCATATGGATTTTCACCGGAAGGGATAGAAATTATAGTTATAGATGAAGCAGATAGAATACTTGAGGAAGGTTTTCAAGAAGAATTGGATGAAATAGTAAGAATATGTCCAAAATCTAGGCAGACTATTTTATTTTCAGCAACAATGACAGATAAAGTAAAAAAAAATAGATCTAAAAATTAGCTAAAATGTATAAAAAGGTTGATCAATTGGTTAGACTGTTGCTTAATAAACCGGTTAGACTGTTTATTGATCCAAAAAACTCTACAGCAAAATCTCTTGTTCAAGAATTCATACGTATTAGACCACATAAAAACCATCTTCGTACAGCTATATTAGTATATCTTTGTAGTAATATTTTCAAGACAAAAACAATAATTTTCTTTCGTAACAAATCATTTACTCATAGGATGAGAATAGTTTTTACTTTGTTACATTTAAATGCTCGAGAGCTACATGGAAATCTATCTCAAGAACAGGTTTATCACAAATTACAATATTTATTATTATATAATTTACAAATGGTAGAGAATTGAATCATTGGAATCATTTAGACAAGGAAAAATAGATTTTTTACTTGCTACAGATTTAGCATCTCGTGGCCTTGATATAAAAAAAGTAAATTATATAATTAACTATGAAACGCCTCAATCTTTTGATACATATCTTCATAGAATTGGTCGTACAGCAAGAGCAGGATGTAATGGAATTGCTATTACTTTAGTAGGTGAAGAAGATAGAAAAATAATGAAAATAGCTATGAAAATTGGACAGAAATATGAAAATATATTACGAAATAGAGCAATTCCTTGGGATTTAATAGATACTTATCATACTAAGTTACAAAATTTAGAAAGTACAATTCAAAATATTTTAATTGAAGAAAAACAAGAAAAACAAGTAATATATTATCTCTTAATAAAATTGTCTAATATTTTTCTTAGTTACTTCAAGCAGAAATGGAATTAAAAAAGAGCCAAAATCTTATAAAATTTAATGAGGAAATAAAATCAAGATTACCAAGAACATGGTTTCTAACAAAAAATAAAAAAGAAAATACCAAAAGTTAGTATTTTTATATTACATTAAAATATTTATAATGTTATAGAAACTTTTTTAAATAAGTTCAAGGAAGAAAAAGTTAAAATAAAAAGGAAAAAACACATAAATACAAAAAATAAACGATAACACTAAATTCATCAAAATATATAACTATATAGGATTCATTTCTCTATTACATTCTTCACTATTTCATACTATGTTATATTTAAAAATATATACATCACTTACGAAACTGCATAATCTTTTTTCTACTAAATTTTTATGCTTACATATATATTTCTTAAATATCATTTAAAGGTAATATATACTTATTTTTAACTTCTCTTAGGAAATTCTCAACTTTAATGTGTATAGAACATTTTTTAAATAATAAACTAAAAAACACAAACAATTACAGAAAACGTGAGCTTTTTCTTTGCACGTTAGTATTCTTTTAAATATTTTTCATATTTTATATTTATTCTTTTTAGACCTCCAATAACACATATGCCTTCTGTATTATTTTCTGGTACTAGAGAATTACCTGCCATTGTTGTATCTCCTGCAACTAGTAGAGACTCTTCACTAAAATCAAGATCTAAACCTTTTAATTTTTGCAAATAATTCATAAAGGCTTTCTCATTTAATCATTTAATCATTCAATTATTCAATCATTCAATTATTCATTCAATTATTCATTATTCATTAATTTATTATTTATTTTTCACTTTTGACAGATAAATTCACAGAAAAAAATCACAAATAACATACAAATACTTTCTTTCTTTCTTCATCATCAACAAATATACATATACATTTCAATATACATCTCTATAGGCATTTTATATTATACAGTTTCTTAATATTCTTCACTTTATCTTTCAACTTTCTACAAACTCTAATTTAACTTCTCAAAATATTCATCAAAGGCATAATTTACATAAAACACTTTCAAACTATTATATATACTTCTTGTTTATATCAAGTCCTTTACCTGACCTAAAAACCTATATTTGAAAAACCAAAAAATTTCAAGTATGGCAGCTCTTGGTAAGATAATAACTGGGATTATTAAGATATATTAACATTGTTAAGTTGCAGAGGAGCCTCTACAAACACACTGTATTTTGCCTAAAGATATTGAAGGTTTTATACCGGCTAAAATTAAAGTTTCTAAAATATCATAGATGAAATAGGCCAGATTAAGCTTTTTAATAAGTGGAACTTTGAGGACGTAGAAATAAAGGATATATCATTGACGGACTATATTCAGATCCGTCAGCCTCAATATCTTAATCATACAGCTGGGAGATATCAAGTAAAGAGGTTTCGGAAGGCACAATGTCCTATTATTGAGAGATTAACGAATTCTCTTATGATGAATGGCAGGAATAATGGGAAGAAGCTTATGGCAATGCGAATAGTGAATTTATGAAATAATATGTATAATTTATTTAGAGTTATTAGGTCAAACATGCATTCGAAATAATATATATATTAACCGACCAAAATCCTATTCAAGTTGTAGTAGATGCAATTGTTAATTGCGGGGTTCGTGAGGATTCTACTAGAATAGGATCAGCGGGTACGGTTAGACGACAGGCGGTTGATGTATCACCGTTACGTAGGGTTAATCAGGCCATAGCTTTAATTACAATTGGGGTATTTTTAGATAGAAAAGTAATGAATAGAATTAAATTGAAAATATAGGCTAGAGAAGCGGCATTTCGAAGTATAAAAACTATTGCAGAATGTTTAGCAGAAGAATTAATCAATGCGGCAAAGGGATCATCTAATTCATATGCAATAAAAAAGAAGGATGAGTTAGAGCGTGTTGCAAAGAGCAACAGATAAGGGATTTAAAATATTTAATTATTTGTATTTCATAGTTTTAATAAAGGGTATATTTTATATCGAAGATTGTAGATAGATCTTTGAAATTAAAATGTAAATTTTTTTGAAATACAGTTAAAATGCCTTGTTATAGAAATGCAGTGATATAAATAAAGAATATTTAAATAGTGTAAAATCTAATATTTTATTCTTCCATAGATTAGAAAGATTTTTTAAGTAATACCAAATATCTATAATTGTTAAAATAAATTAATAAGAAAAAAAGAAAAGGGAAATACGGTTTTAAGTCTTCGTATAAGGTTCCATTCTTCTTTAGAAACATCATCACGGAAGACATCTTTTAATAAATCAATAGATTTCCGTGATATATGAGAATAAAGAAGATCTTTTTCATCAACATGTCTACCAAAAAGTATTTGAGAGGAACATTCGATTTTAATAGCAACGCCATTGCTACTTTGTCCTTTTTTAACTATATTTAATATTTTATGATCTTTTTCTATGCTTACTCTAAAAAATAAATTAAATTAAATTAAAACAATCATAAAACAATGCTTACATTCTTCCAAGATCTATAATAACACGTTCTTGTGTATTTGGATTAGTTTTTACTGCACATATAGGAGTCCCAATTCTAATAACACCCTCAATCACATCAACACCAAGAAGTATAGGGTCTTTTTTATTAAAAACAGCAATAGTCTTTAATACACATGGAAATGCAACATCTGATGCACTTTCTTTCCTCTTTTTCTCCATAATTTCCTATAAAAATATTAACAAAGCAAAAATACAAGAATTAAACAAACAGCTTTATATTTAGTAAAAGAATCAAAAAGATGATATATAATATCTGCAGTAAAAATTCTTACACCAAGTTGCTCTGCCAATTCTTCGGCATCCTTATCAACTTTCACATCAAAACATAACATTACTGCATATCTAATTATAATTTAGAAAAAATACTAAAAAATGAGAACAAATACTCTTTGGCCCTTTCAATCATAGCGCTACATTTCATGACATCTTTCTTATAAACAGGGCCAATATTTATACCAGAAACCTAACCATTATATTAAAGACAATTAGTTTAAAACAAAAAAATATTACAGGAATTTTGCTTTGTTTTAAAAATTCAAGTAAGGCTTCTAGAGATCCAAGAGTAGAAGCTTGAACAGAAACTCCAATACCACTAGTATCAATAAAATTCAACAAGCCCTCCAAATCTTTCATAACTTCTTCTTTAATTTCTTCTTCATCATCATCTGGACCAACAACTATCAATCTTGAACCAGCAATAGCCTTATCTAAATCATTTGCAGAAATTTTTACTCCTGATGCTGCCTTCACTTCTTTATTATGTATATATGAGGACTAAATTTTTTAAAAAATATACATATAAAATAAAACAATTCACCTTAATTCTTAACTCTTTTAAAGGCTGAGGAGTCAAGAGAGCACGTATATTTGTTGCAATAGCCCCATTTAATCCACATAAAACAATACGATCACCTTCTCTTAAAATACCATTTGATAAGATAACATCAATTGTAGTTCCAAGACCTTCAATAACTTTTACCTCTAAGACTGTTGCTTCTAATTTTGCTAAATACATTAATCGATTGGTCATACGTTGTTGTGTAAGATTCAATAAAAGCATTAACATGTCAGGTATGCCTTCTCCAGTTAATGCAGATGTAGGAACTATTGAAACATTCTTTGCAAAGTTTCTATTATCATAATATGCAACTGCATTAAGTCCCTTTTTTCATATAATTAAAGATATTTTATTTAATATATTTTATACCTGTTCTGAAAATGCCACAATGATCTTTGTATATCTATCATGAAATTCTCTTTGAACAGACTTTTTCTGTTTTAATAATGACTCTTGAAATGGTCCATTTAAAGTAGGAACCCATCCATATATTCGATCAATCTAAACTTAATAAACTTAAAGTTGTAATAAAACTATAATTACTTTGTTTAATACTACAATAAAAGGTGTTTTCCTATTCCTTAGTAAATTCAGTGATTCAAGAGTTTGAGGTTCTAGACCATGCATAATATCTACAATTAAAATTGCAATATCGCATAAACTAGAACCTCTAGAACGTAAATTTGCAAAAGATTCATGTCCAGGGGTATCAATTACAAGAAGTCCAGGTACTTTGTATTCAAGTTTGTCATTCTAATAGAATTAAATAAATAAAATAAATAATAAATTAATTACTTGATCCAATGTAGCTATTTTTTGTTTTATAGAATCCACGGGGAAATATGTGGCACCTATTTGTTGCGTTATACCACCCACTTCTCCCTCTTGAACATTAGTCTCTCTAATCTTATCTAAAATTTTTGTTTTTCCAGTATCAACATGACCAAGAACACAGCATATAGGTGATCTTAAATTACTTTCTAAATCTTTAGCATTTTTTGAATTCTTTTATATGTTAAACAAATCTAAAACATAAAAAAAAAACCTTTCTAAACGTTGAATTCTGATTTGTTTTTACATCAGAATTTTGAGATATTACTTCCTCTTTTTTATCAACCATATCATTCACTTGAGAAATATTCATATCATCTATTTTTTTAATACAATGATTAGTCTGCACTTTCAATGATTCATTAAAAGAATCTAAAACTACATCAAAAATGGTCAATTCATATAGATATAAACCTTTATCTGTTATTTTAGAATCAACACCGCTAGAAACTTTAAGTAATGAATTAGCATCATTATTATTATTATTATTATCATTATCAGAATTATCAATAAAAGCCTGTTCCCAACTATCTAGTATACCATCCTCTGATTCTTCTTTTAAACTTTCCTCATTTGTTTCCTCAATAGAATTTCCTATATTATCGTCATGTTTAAACAAATTATTATCAATTTCTGCTGCTAATTCCACAGAATTACTATCCTTAACTTCATCTACCACTTGAACTCTTTTCTTTTTAGAATCACTGACTGAGTGCTCTATTTTTCTTGATAAATTTGAATTTATTTTATCATTTGTAGAAAGTCCTTGAATTTTCACCCCCGTTGCTAAAAGTTGTTGGATTTTTATTTGATCCATTTGCTTCTTCTCCTTCTGCTTCTTCGTTAAAAACTTTCCTTGACTTTTAAGCTCTTCTTTCTTCGCTTTTTCTTTCTCTTTTTTCCTAATTTTTGCCTCATATTTTCTTCGTTCTTCTTCCTGTATTCTTTTTTCCTCTTCTTCTATAATTCTTCTCTCTTCTTCTTCTCGTTTCCTTCTTTCTTCTTCTGCCTGCTGGCGCAATTCCACTTGTTTCTGTATAGCTGCTATATTCACATTAATCTTTTTACCCTTTGCTTCTTTATTTCTTTTTATTGAACTACACAATATATAAAACTAAATAATAAAAAATAGACATACTTTTTCGAGCATTGTTCTTCTTGTTCATTAGTTGTATTCTCTTTTATTTCATCTTTTATTTCATCTTTTATTTCATCTTTTGTTTTAACTGTTTCTACTTCTTCCTTCAAATTTAACTTATTTATAGACTTCTTCTTCTCATTCTAGCCATATTAACGCTTAAGAAAATGCTTTAAGATAAAAAACTTGGGCTTTTTTTTTTGCTTTTTCTCTCTCTTTTTTCTCTCTTTCTTTTTCACTCTTGGTCTTTAATCTTATCTCAAATACGTTCTCATTATTATTAACTATAGTCTCCTCTTCTTTCTTTATAGATCTACTCTTAGATGATGCCTTTAAACCTGATAAAACTTCTCCAAAATCTTCTCTCTGTTCATCTAATTTAGATTTAAGCCTGGAAGTATCATTTTTTAAAGGTTCATTGCAAATATTCTTATTTATATTGTCTGTAACTATGTCCTCGCCTAGTTCATCCCAAATATCATCATTTAATTTCTTTTTATTAGCCTTTACCATCTTTAATCTTGAAAATATCTAAATTTTTGGTCATTCAGCAGTAGAATCGGAAGTATTGGCTCTATAAAAGAGATATTTTTTAAAAAAGAACAAGAATGAATTAGAATAGATCTATTTTATGTAAAATAAGTTTAAAATATGTATAATAGCTAATAATATTTTTAAATATAAGTTTAAGATAAGTTATAAGAGAAGTCGAAGTATATATTATGAATGGATGTATAAATAAGATTAAAAGAGATATAAATGATATGAAGTAGCTAAAATGTTATTATCAATTGTATAATTTAATTAATAAAAGGGAATTGTTATTAGATTTTTTAAAAATATCAATTATATTGTAATTATAGCAAATATTAAAGTTTTTAGATAAATTATTATATATATTAGCTATGATTTATTTTTATTAGAATAATTGATAGATGAAACAATGTTTTCAATATTAGTTTCTAAAATCATTCCTCCACATATAATTTCAGATAGAATAACATGAATATTCTCAAAATTAAAGATCTGGTTCAATTATAGATATAAATAAATAATAAAAAAAACATACCAGATCAAGTTCACACACATTTTCATAACATTTATCTAATACTTCAACAAATACCTTATGTATTTTAATTGATTTAAAAAAAATACATTAATTAACCTGAATAAGATCTAAAATCATCAATTCACTCTCTGTTTCGTCAATAATAAAGACGAAATAAAGTGTTGCATAGTTTCTATATACTATTTTAAGATCTTTCCCTCCAATATGGGAACTTCCTTCAAGAAAATTACAAACTCTAGGTGGCCTAGATGATACAATCTTATATATATCATCAACAATCTTTTTTTGTTGAGAAACACTCTAAATTATTCTAAAAAAAACAAAAACACTAATAAACAAATACCATTTGTGTATAAAACTTTGTTAGTCTTGGTTTTCCATGATTATTAACTTCATTATATAAGTATATCTTATAAAAACATAAACCTACAAATAAAAACTGCACTAATCATGGTAGTTTCTTAAGGTAAAAACCTATTAAAAACTGATAATCTATTGTGTATTATGTTAACAATTCAACAAAACTTTGATACCTCCGAATAAGCTTTTAAAAAAGACCATAAATTAGGAGAAATGAATAAGGAAAATAACTATATTATACGCACAATTATACGCTCTCCCATAGTAAATTTTGTTTTCTGTGGAGCTTTTAGAAGCCCCAATGTACAAGATATGATATTAATCAAGGTTGATAAAGCTAGAAAGGATTATAAATTTAGAGTTAAAAAAAGTAAAAGGAAGATTCTATTGAGCTATATTCAATCTCAACGAATGGAATAACAAGGTGTATTAGCAATCAGCCGCTTTTTAGTAGAATTAGAGATGCAAAAATCTTAAAAACTATTAAAAAAATGAAGGAAACAGGAAATAAAGATATAAAAGAAGTAGATTTATTAGTTACAACGAATGAAGCAGGATATATGTCATTTTGTGTATATGGATTAAGTCAAAAGAATGAATATACTAAAAAAAATTGTCAGAATATTATAATTGAAACATTAAATATAGAAAACAGGTTTTATATTATTGAAGAAGTAAAAATATCGAATTATGGGAGTAAATTAAGAAATATGGGGTATAGGATTGCATTAGAACCAGAGTATGAAATAATATGAAATAATATTAAATAATATAAAATAACTTATATTATATAGAATGCGTTTTATTGCATTAACAGATGCTCTAAATACTATAGAAATATTTCGTTTAAATCCTTTTATTAAAAAAAAAGAAAGTTTTATTATAGAAGTTTAATTATTTTTCTATATATTATATATGTTTACAATGACAGAGAATTAAGGAGAATCTTTTTGGTACAATACTACTTATGGAATTTATCAAATACTTAATAACAGATAAATTTTGTTATTTAGTATTTTATATAATTAGGTATATTAAATATGAAGTTAAAAGTTATTAATAAAATTAAAGTAGTGAAGAAAAATCATATATTACATTATGTCGATGGAATAGCGAAGAGCCTTTAGTTTTTATTGATTTTTCGACATTAATATCGTTACCATTATTCTCAGGTAGACATTATAATATTTATATGACATTTTTAATATTAAAGATATATCTATACCTATATATCTCATACCCTTCTTTAATTCATCAGGTGATTTTTCTCTCATATATGTAATATCTAATATAAGGTAACAATTATATTAATTTTGTATAGAATAATAGAATAATTTATATATCTGTTATGCAATTTTTTTCTAAAGATTCAAATTTCAAATGTTTTGATATAAAACATAAAGGTATATCATATATATTATTTTATATATAGATATAAATTAGAGGGCATTTAGGAATAGTAACTGCATATGCAATTGATGAAAATGTATATGAAGATACAAATATTTTATATCTTGGAACAGATACAGGTGATTTAATTTATATAAAAATTAAAAATCAAGAGATTGAACATTTAAATCTTGGATCAATTAAGCCTGTTGGAAAAGCAATGGAGATAATAAGTTCATTAACTATATCAGAACATTTAATTTTTATTTCTGGAGATATGTGCGACAATGGAATTTATCTAGTCAATTCTCTATTTCAAGCAGATAATAATATATCTAATGAAATTTCAAAGAATACAACACCAATACTTATTCAAAGTTTTCCAAATTGGTCACCTGTTTGTGATTTTAAAGTTTTAGAAAAAGAAACTATTTCAATAAAAGAAACACAAATGCAAAATAAAAAGAACAGACTCTATTTATGTGCAGGGAGAACTCCAGAAGGAAAGGTGGCAGAACTAAAAACTGGAATAAAAGCAAAAACAATTTTACAAGTTCAAGATTTTGACGGGTAATTTTGTTTATTTTAAACTTACACAATTAAGTTTACATTATAATAGAATCGAAAACTTCTGGATATTTAAAAGTAATAAGCTGGATTCTATTTATATAATTATTTCATTTCCATGGCAAACACAATTATTAGAATTAACAAAAATGGGAGAGTTATATGATAGAAGCAATAATTCTCAATTAGAACAAGAAACATCTACAATTTCAGCGGGATTATTTAATGATACACATATTGTTCAAATAGTTCAAAAAAAAATAAAAATATTTCCATTACCTGATTTTCAAAAATTAGATTCTAAAACACACTTGTTGCATAATGCACAGTTTGTCATATCTTCATCTATACATAATTCTATTATAACAATATCAATGAAAGCTGAAGATTCTATATTAATATATTTAATAAAATTAAGTATCACTGAACAAAGGTAGATTTTTATTTTAAAATATATTAAATATAATAACTAAAAATAGCATAATTACTTTAACTGAAGTAGGTGAGCCCATTAAAATTGTTGAGGAGCCATCTACTATAACTATGGTTATTGCTCAAGACGTTAACTCTAGATCTGATTTAGATATTAATCCAGATTCTGAAAATATCAAACCATCAGTATTTTTACTTATTGGTACTCATAAACCATCTTTTATTATATTTGAATTATCATCTATTGATAAAATATTAATGTCAGAGATCTCTTTAGGTATTTAAAATAGATTAACTGTTTAAATTATAATAATAATCCAGAAAATTTTACCAATTTGGCTGATTCAATTCCTGAATCTTCATGTCTACTAAAAACGTCTACCAGTCTGATACTTTTGCTTGGACTAAGAAATGGATTACTACTTAAATGGGAAATTAATCATATTAACGGTATTTAAATGAAATTTTAGACAATCTTATAATTATTTTAGAAAATATTGAATTAAATTTCATAGATCTTAATATTTTTGGCTCACTTCCATTAAAATGTGTATCAAATTCTCAATTATCAACAGCGTATATAGCAGGAGAGGAAATCTGGATGATAAATTCACATAATAATACAATGGAAATCAAAGAAATTGTATTGGATCATCAGATTAAAGTTAGTAAACTAAAATATTTTTAACAATATATTAAACTATTCAAGACTCATCCGACTTTAATACTTCCTTTTAATGATCTTTTACAGCAATATGAAATAAAATCCTTTGCTTGCATATCAAAAGAAACATTTCTGATAGTAGAATTGGACGATTCAGAATCTGTATGTATACAATATATTAATATTAAAGAAGTATAAATTTCTTCTAAATATATACAAAGTTAATTGAAATTATAGAATTCCCGAAGAATATTATATGATAATAATTTAAAACTCATGGTTGTTGCATCTGATTTATCATCTTTGACAATTGATGATTCACTTTTAAGTAAAAGATTTCAAAATAGTTGTGATCTTAAATTCATAAACTTATCAACGTAAATAAATTTAATTCTTTATTGATAATTTAACAAAAAAACAGGGGAACTATAGTATCTAATAATCCATTGCTTGACAGCAAAACCGAGGAATATATTTTTGATACTCAAGAAACCATATATGCACTATCAGGTATAATAATAAATATTATTTATATAGCTTTTAAAATATTTTAGATTGGACAATATTTTATAAAAATAAATCATATTACCACATAATTGTTGGGACATCTATAATTGATTTATCTGGTACTCTTAAAGGAAATTTACACATTCTTGTGGCTTCTTATAAACAAGAAAAAGTTCAAATAAAGAGAATAAATAAAATATCATTAGATAATCCTGTTTATTCTATTTCACCCATTGGGAAATAGTAATTTTTCAAAAAATATTAAAAGATGCTAACGTTGCTTTAGTGGAATTGCATTTTCATCAAATAATATTATTTTCATAAAACAATTTGATGTAGAGACAAGAAGGTTTTTTTAATTATTTACAAAATAAAAATAACATAAATAGATTTAAGAAAATTTCAACAAGGTATAAACTCGAATCTCCTGTTATATCAATGAAAATAAAAAGCAATATAATATATGCATCATGTCAAAAAAACTCTGTCATTGTGTTAAGTTATGATCCAATAAAGAATTTTTTAAAGCCAATTATGAAGTATGTAAATCCTTTTTAATATAAATTTATTAAGAATCAAGTGATACAACACCACGACTATCTTTAGATAATTTTATAATTGATGATAATATATTTTGTTCTGATAAAGAAAGAGGACTTGTCTGTTTAACCGAAGGTTTGCTTTTTATAATTATTTTTATAATCTAATTTTTGTAGATTGTTATCAAGAAAGACGTCTTAATTTAGATTTTTCAGTAAAATTACCTACTTCTATTTCTAAATTTCAAAAAAGTATAAATTTTAATAATTCTTCTTAAAATTAATACATATAGTATCTGGAGAAAAATACTATCACCCATTTATTATTGGGAGTGGAATTAATGGTTCATTTTATTCAATAATGTCATGTCCAAAAGATGATTTTGAGATTTACCAAGTATTAATATCTTCTTGGTTACAATTCTTCAATACTAATTCACTTTTGGGTAAAATTAAATATATAAAAAATCTAATAATACTAAATATTCTAGACAAAGAAAAATTTCCAATACATGGAGAAAGCTGTCTTGATGGTGATTTTTTGGAAATAATTATTTTATATGATTGGGACAATATACCAATTTTATCAACTATTCTTTCAAATTGTCATGATGATTTAAAAAAAGATTACATATTAAAAATAAAATTACTTCGTTCTATATTTTCTCAACCTATTTTTTAGATTTAAAATTATAATATTACATAGATATATATTATTTTTTATCTAAAGTATATATTTATTTGGATTATTTTAAAAAAAAAAAAGATTATTATATAATAATAATAATAATATCTATATTTTATCAATTATAGGTACACAGTTTTAAAAAAGAATCAAAATCATCAAAATCATCTAGGAATTACAATATTTTATAATAAACTTAATAATTATTACTAATATATATATTACTCCACAAATAAAACATGTCTTTAAAAGATTATAAGAATTAGAAATTATTTTATATAATGAAAAATGACTTTAATTATAAAAATATTTTAAAATATCATAATTTTAATTATTTCTATATGATATTATTATACATTTTGTCTTATTTAAAAAAATAATAAACTTCTTAAAAAAAATGTTATTAATTTATATTTTAAATACTATATATTTTCATTTTTAAATAATTTATCCTTGGAATTTCCTAATCTTTACTTTTAGTATGTATTGGCCCACTTTAAATTTATAAAATCAATTATTTTAAAAAATATCAAAAACTCTAGATATTTTATTATATTATTTCCTAATATCTTGTATATTTTTGTTTTATAAAACAAAAATAGTTAAAAATATCTTAAAATCTTTAATTTTAATTACAAATATATCTATAATTTTTATATAATATTAATATATTATAAAAATTAATGATAAAACTTTATTAACAAATAAATATAAGATTTTATTGAATAAAAAGAATTAAACTAAATTAATTTCATAATAAAAATTCCTTCATTTAAATCAATCTTTAAAATATTTTTTTAAATTCTAAAAAAAAGTTACTTTATAAATACTAATATAACTACCATATCATTACAAATAAAAAATTCTATAAATTACAAATTTTATATACTTGAATCATATAAATTAGAAAATTCATCATAAAAATTATATTATTTAGTAATTACAAAAAAATCATTATTACACTATATCTTTCATTTATTTTCATTATTTCAAATAAAAAATAACTTTTATAAATCAAAAAATGAAAAAACTAAGTAAACTTAAATAATTAACATCATATTATTCATTTTTTATTATTTATTATTTATTTTTTATATTTTTCTTAAATATAAAATTCATTTATATTAAAAATCTGCTCCACCAAAAAATATTTTTAAAACATAAAAATATATAAAAAAACATTATTAAACTAAACTAAACCATTTAACCATCATCATTAATAACCATTTACTTTATAATACTCTCTTCATCTCAATTCACACTCAAAAAAAAAACACCAACAACATAATATATTACTTTACTTCTCTTAATAAAACGTTTTTAATACTTGTGCTTTTATATTTAATAAAGATTCATCATATACAGGATCTTCGTCAAATTTCCCAGCGGAACCCTGTACGATTCAACATCTAGTAAATATCAAGAAAACAGGGTTTAAATGACACAAATTGGAGCAATTATCTTATCAACAAAGCAGCAGCAAGATCATGGAATTCATGTTAAAAATTATAGTCTTTACCGGAAATATTGTAAAAAAAAACTAAGTCAAATGTCTAAACAGTTAGGAATACGGCAAAATAATAAGAAATATATGAAGAATAAGGAACTAGAAGAGAATCCAATGTAATATAGAACTTATGAGAATCTTGAATAAGATATTTATTTTGCCAGATACCATGATTTTTTGGTTATGAAGAGTGAACGAGCTTGGGCATACGCTATGGAGCTAAAAACAAGAAATAGACAATATAAAAAGGTTAAATTAAACCGGCGACAAATTATCCGTAGGCTTTCTAGAGCTTATCAATATGCTTATTATTTAAGCAAAGTCATGGAACAAAAATCATCTATTCTTCGATTAGAAGCGGTTGGATATATGTCAATAAAGAGAGGACAATTGGCATTTGAGTGTTGTCAATGGGGACAATCTCTTAGGAGTTTATCAGAGGCGAGAATTATATTAGAAATAATATATGAAAATAAAGAAGATCAATATCTTGTAAAAGAACTAATAAAATCAATTGAACGAAGTATTAGATATTCAGCATATCAAGAAAAAGTAGATATAGAGGATATTTTTTATATCTCGCAAAAAAATACATTGGAAAATAAAGCTTTAACATCATTTATAGAAAGTTTTAATTGTGAAGTATTAAAACGTAAAAGTGAGGGAAATTCATTTGTAAATTCGAAAATAGAATGGAGAGGACATGTTTCACATATCCGAGATGCGGATATAGCTATTTCATTATCATATATTCAAGATTTATATAAGTCAATTCAAAACAAAACGTATATAAATTATTCAGAAAGAAAAGATGAATATAACAAATTATTATCAGCATATGCAGAAGCAGAAAATATAATAAAAAAAGTAATAGAAAAAACAGAGGTAATAAAATCATCATTATTTATAAAATTATTAATATTTTAAATAAGCGTTCTGGAATAGAAGATCAAACACAAGATCTTTATATTACATATTCATATATTTCATACAATTATATTATAGAACAAATAAAATATAACTTAGAGATAATTTCAGAATTAAATATGAAATCTTCAAATGGAAATATTAAACAATATATTGTTTGTAAATTAACTAAATTATATGACAATATTTTACAAGTATGGAATTCAAAAGTTTATTACTAAGTATATATTTATTTTTCATAGAACCTTGATACTATATCAGAGCTCTCAGGAATTTCAAATGACTTAAACTTTCTTCAAACAATAAAATTAGAAAAATACTATTTCAAATCTCAACGTTGTCTTGCAATTTCTATGTCATATTTCTTGGTTTTAGATTATAAGTCAGCTTTAGCTTTAGCAATACGAAGCTATGATTATTTATCAAAGATTTCTCTTGCAAATAATAAAGAGATGATTTTTATAAATGAAGAAAAACTTATAGAATTAAAAAAAGACATAGATACAAAAATAAGTAGATTCCGCGCATTTTCATGCTTAACTATTACAGAAACTGATAAAGAAGAATCATCATTAAAGGTTTTTGTTTATGATTTAATATTTATTGTTTTAATAAAATAGATGTCTACTTTAGGGACTGTAGATAATAATAGCCAGGAGCCTAGCTTATCTACACTTGCAAAATTCCCTTCAAAATTGGAATCAATATTTTGTAAACCTTTTTTTTTCGATATAGCATATAATTATATAGATTATAAAGAATCTACAGAACAATCAGTTAATAAAGGCAATTTTTTTAAAAGCTTTTTGAGAAAATAAGGTATCTTTAAATTTACAACTTATATTTTCTTAAATTAATACTAATTCAGAATTCAATCTTATTATATACAAAATATATTTCAAAGAAATTATTTCAAAGTCATATTTAAAAAAGCCTTTAAAAGTAAAACACTTGAATCAATATTAATATATTCATAAAAACTTTCTTAATCATAAATTATTATTTTTTAACCTCAACGTTATCACATTTATTATACATTAACAATTACTAATATTTACAAAAATAAATTTTATTTTAAAAACCTTGAAAATTATATTACATAATTTATAAATTAACCTTTTAAAACATTTTAAATATTATTAAACTGTATTCTTTATTTTTTCCAAAAGTAAGTTAATTCTTTTATCAAGTTTCGGCTGCCCTTTTTTTGTTACTTGTGTCATTATTTTATATTTTTTTAAACGGTTTTTAATACGTAATTTTTTCTCTTCTTGAACATCTATTTTTTTCTCTTTATTATGTATTTTTTTTTGTTTTTCATTGGAAGATATATTATTTTCATCTTCCTTATTATTTATTTGATCTTCTGAAAAAATACATTCAGTTGTATCAGAAGGATATAAACAATAATTCTTAGATAAATTATCATTCTTTAAGCCTTTTTGCTCATATTCTTTTAAGCAACGATGATATTTTTTCTTCAATCGAGCTATATATATGTTTTTTTTCCTATTCTTTTCAAGTTTTCCCTTATATGAATATTCATGAATACGTTTTGCCTTTTCTGAATCATGTTTAACTTTATTAACTTTATAAACCATTTTTCATAATTTCTTATTAAATTTATATATCTAAAATATAAATAAAAGAAAACCCAAACAAATATTGATTCATATATAATTAAAAATCAGCTTAAAATAATAGCTCTAATTGTATATTAACATTTTTAAATAATCAAATATATACAAAATATTTTAAAAAAACAACACTTTATTTATTAGTAATAATATGTTAAAAATATAAATAAGTCATCAAATATAAAACTTTCATTTAAAGTAGTTTAGATACAAATTAATACATAAAAAAACAAAAAAAATAACTAAATTTTACTATAAAATTCAAATACTTGATATTTATCTTTATTTATTATACAAAAATATATAAATTGTAATAAAAAAACATATTTTTAATAAAAAAACACATTTTTAATAAAATTTATAAACAAGACTTTATTAAACAAATACAATAATCATTAAAAAAACCTTTAACCCTTAGTTATAAAAAAATTATACCATTTAATACATTTTTATCAAATTTTCTAAAAAATACCATTATTTATAATTTTATTTATAATTTTATAAATAATTTCATAATTTTCATATTCATTACAACAAATCTATGATATAAATAAATAACTCTCTCTCATCATTTATCCTCTATTTAAAAATCGATTTATATATATAAACCGTAATATTTTAATATACTTTTGAACTTTAAAAAAATATAAATAACTCAAGCCTTGCCAATGCCTCAAAATTATGAAGTTATTATTGATGTAGATGAACCATCTGTAATAAACTTTATTATTTATTATTTCTTAATATTTTATAGAATAATACAGACTTAAACTTTGACTTAGAATTTCAAAGTATCAATTAAATTTTAAAAAAATAATTCTTATATTTCTAGATTTTAAAATAAATGAAAACAGTTCTAACATACAAGAAAGTTTGATTTTTCTTTAAATTATTAGATTAAAGTGATTTATATAATAGATACATTTAATACAGATATATATCGAAACATTTTTGCAGAGAAACAAACTATTTGGTCAATAGAATTCTATTCTAGATTTTTTAATATCAATGCAGACCAAGTAATTCAAAGATCTATTTACGCTTTATTTCCTGTAAATAATTTCATAGACATAATCCATGAAAATACGGATTTCTATGGTAAAATATCGATGTAAAATTTAGATATTCAGTAACTAAATCCAAATAAGGACCTTTTTGGATTACTACAACTGTTATTTTTATGATTTTTTTCTCATCAACTTTATCTGAACGAATTAAAGCACATTTATCTAATGTACCTTATAATTATAACTTTTCAACACTTGCAAAAGCATGTTCTATTATCTACGGATACAATACAATTGTTCCAATATGTATATGGGGTTTATTAATGTATTATCAATGCAAATCAAAACTCGATGAATATATTTGTCTTTATGGCTATGCTATGACTATATGGATTCCAATGATGGTAAAAAAAATATTTCATATTATTTATTCTATTCATTTCTAAGATTATAAATATCTCTCCCTTTGAAATATTTCATCTTTATTTTTTTTCTAATATAATACGTTGGATATCTACTCTTATCGGTTTTGCTGTATCTGGTTTATTTCTTTCAAGGGAATTAAAATCCATCACCAATCATATACATTCAAAAATAAGAAATTTTATCTTATCATTCATTCTTTTGCTTCATGCTATATTAAGTATCACTTTTAGAATTCTTTTTTTTACATAACATTATATATCAATCAAGTTCTATTCTTCACTTTTATTCAAAAAAATTCTTCATAAACATATTATATTATTATTCTTATATCTTTTATATACATTTTTTACATTATATTTCTGGTATTTTGACTTATCAAATAACGAAAATTTTAACTATCTTAAAATTCTAGTTTAAAAAAATACAAGAAATGTCTACAACAAGTTGTCGTTTCTATGAAAACAAGTATCCAGATGTTGATGAACTGGTAATGGTTAATGGTAAGTTGCTGTATATTAGTTTTCAACATATAGTCATCATATTCTTAGTAAAACAAATACAAGAAATGGGTGCTTATGTACAACTATTGGAGTATAATAATATAGAGGGAATGATTTTGCTATCAGAATTATCTCGTAGAAGGATTCGATCAGTTCAAAAGCTTATACGAGTTGGTCGAAACGAAGTAGTAGTAGTTCTTCGAGTAGATAAGGAAAAAGGTTGAATTTTATAAGATAGATTTTGATAATATCAAGTTCTAAATGTATAGGATATATTGATTTATCTAAGCGGAGGGTTAGTCCTGAAGACATAATAAAATGTGAAGATAAATTTAATAAATCAAAAACTGTTCATTCTATTTTGAGAAATGTTACAGAAAAGCATTCTATTCCTCTTGAGGAATTATATATGTCTATTGGATGGCCTTTATATAGAAAATATGGACATGCTTATGATGCGTTTAAATTTGCAATTGTGTAAGATATATATATATATATATAACCATTAAATATGGTTTAAAGGGATTCTGAATCAGTTTTTGAAGGATTAACACCTTCAAATCCTCAAATTATAGAAGATCTTATTGTTCAAATTACTCGTCGTTTAACTCTTCAAGCAGTTAAAATAAGAGCCGATGTAGAAGTATCATGTTTTGAATATGAAGGAATTGATGCAGTTAAACGGGCTCTTAAAGCGGCAGAAGCTAAAAATTCTAAAGATGCTCTTATTAAGGTTAAACTTATAGCTCCTCCACTTTATGTTGTTATTACAAGTGCTTTGGATAAAAAACTAGGAATCCAAATTCTAGAAGAGGCATTAGAAGAAATAGAAAAAAGTATTACTGCATCTGGTGGCGAATTTGTTGTAAAAATGAAGGCATGACTATATATTAATCAAAATATAACTAATTATTTTAGCCAAAAGATGTTAATGAAGTTGATGAGTTAGAACTTCAAGCACTAATGCAACGTATGGAACGAGAAAACGCTGAAAAATCCGGGTATCTTTCTATTCTACTTAAATTATAATTATTTAACTCTTTTTATTAGTGACGAAGATGAAAGTGAAAGTGATGAAGACTAGATTCTAGAATTTTCATATTAAATAAATATTAGACACTTAAGTTTATCTATTAACTTAGTATCATATATAAATAATTAATCTTTAAATAGTTGTATATATTATGTTTTATATTATTATCATCTAAGACGATACACGATTATAATGAACAATTCAACTTTTGTTTCTCCATTGTTAGAAAAACAACTTAATACAAATAATCAGAATAACAATTATATAAAGTCATGCAGTTATTCAACTGCTACAGAGAATCATCTAAAGATAAACCAGAATAATCCTATAAATAACTATTTAAATAAATCTATTTGCTTAAAAAAACCTTTTATTAATATTGAAAACAATAAATCAGAAGAAAAAGAATCAATAACATCAACAGAAGAAAGACATTATAATGTTTTATGGTGGATAATTAATAATATTAAGAAGTTAATAAAAAATTTTTAGGAGAAAACAAACAACTAAAAAAAACAAGACATGGAAGGGAGATGGAGTCTTAATTGTATCTAGAAATATGTGCTATCTTAAGGATCTTGAAGGAAATAAGTAGAATAAATTGTTAATTATAATTGGTAATTAAGAAATACCATTAAGTCTAGGAAGTGGACGATGTAATCCAGCATCATTATTAATAGGAGATCAATTGGTTGTAGGAGATAAGGAGATTGAAGTATTTTTCATAGTTTTATTTTATTTTTTATTAATAATTAAAAAGATCAATAGTATAGTAGCTAAAGATTATATATGTGAAAAACCGTCAGTTCATGTAGTAGAAAAACAGAAAACAGATACGCCGATGTATTCAGTACCTATAAAGAAGTTTAAAACACCACTTTTATCATCAAATGTGGGACAAACTTTTAAATTGCCAGTATTACGACATGACCCTAATGAAGAAGGAGCATTAGTATTACCTAGGCCTCAAATAAAGGAATATGAAGAGTAAATGGATATATTTTTAAAAGGAAAATAAGCTTATATGTATTTTAAGGAAAAATGTTAGGATAGTAGATGTAGTTGTTGATCCAATGTTATCTAGACATCTTCGACCTCATCAGCGTGAAGGAGTTAAATTTCTATATGAATGTGTGATGAAAATGAGAGAATTTGAAGGTCAGGGTGCTATTTTAGCAGATGAAGTAGATAAATAAATAAATAGTTAAAAGAAAAACATTAATTCATTAATTTAGATGGGTCTTGGAAAATCTCTTCAAATTATTACACTTCTATGGACTTTATTAAGTATAGGAATTTATATATCTTTTTGTTTTTAAGTATTTCTAGAACAAAATCCATATTATGGAAAAGAACCGGTTATTAAGCGTGCATTAATAGTCTGTCCAGTTACTCTTATTAATGTATGATTAAGATTTGATTATTAAGAAACATATTTATGTAATGTTTAGAATTGGAAACGAGAATTTCGAAAATGGATAGGTGGAAATGAAAGAATTGGATTGTTTGTTGTTGATTCAAATGTTAATATTAAAAGTTTTTCAGTTGGGCGTGTTTATTCAATAATGATAATTGGTTATGAAAGAGTAATTTTTTCTTTTTATATATTATTTTTAACTTTTATATCAAAAGTTAAGAAATGTATGTGATGAATTAAAAGATGCGAATATAGATATTGTTATATGTGATGAAGGTATTTTGTTTACAATTAATATTATGTTTTATAATAAAGATTAGGTCATCGTCTTAAATCAGCTTCAAATAAATCAGCACAAGCTATCAGATCTCTTAAAACTCGTAGAAGAATTATTTTAAGTGGAACTCCTATTCAAAATGGTAGGTATAATTATTTCTATATTGGATTTACATTGAATTGTCTTTATATTTGAGCGAATTTTATGTAATGGTAGACTTTGTAAATCCAGGTCTCTTAGAAAACTATTCTACATTTAAAAGGGAATTTGAAAATCCAATTATTAGAAGTAGACAAATAGGATGTATGAAGAAAGATGAAGAAAAAGGAAGAATTCGTACTGAACAAGTAAGTTTTATAAGATAATAAATTTATCGAATAACTTTATTAGCTTTCATCTTTAACAAAAATGTTTGTTCTTCGAAGAACTTCTAAAATTCTTAATGAATATCTTCCTCCTACAGGTATTTTAAAATTCTTAATTGTCATGTTATTAATGAATAAAGTTGAATATATAGTATTTTGCAAACCAACATCATTGCAAGTAGAGATATATCGCAAATTAATAGATTTATCAATGTTAAATTTAAATTCATATAATATTGATATGACAGTTCATTTACAAGCTTTAACATATTTGAAAAAAATTTGCAATTCTCCAGCACTTCTATTTCAAAAAAGAAAAGAAGTAAATTCATTAACTTTATTTTTTTAGCTAATTTTTTAAAGAATCAGCAATTTGATATGTTTTGTACAAATATTAAACACAAATTTTCATCAAATCTTTCAAAAAAATCAGGAAAACTTTTAGTTTTTGATAAATTCCTGGAAGAATTAAAGACTACTGAAGAAAAAGTTGTTATTGTTTCACATTACACTCAGGTATTTCTAAAAGCATACTTAGATCTACTTTCTTATTTCAAAAGACTCTTGAAATTCTAGAAAATATACTAATTTTAAAATCTTTATCATACCTTCGTCTTGACGGACAAACTGCTAATGCAAAAAGACAAGAATATGTGGATAAATTCAATGCATCTGATTCCAATGAAATATGTACTTATAATATATACATAAGTATATATTTTATATATTAATATCTTTAGTTGCATTCTTATTATCAGCAAAATCAGGAGGATATGGACTTAATCTAATTGGAGCATCTAGATTAGTTTTATTTGACATAGATTGGAATCCTAGGTAAAAAATATCAAAAGTATCTGAAACTATACTAATTAAAAGCTTGGATATTCAAGCAATGGCTCGTATACGTCGTGATGGTAGATATAATTCTTAATATCTATCATATTTATTAAATATATATCTAGGCCAACAAAAAAAGACATTTGTATATCGTTTTCTTACGTAAAATAGCCAATTTTATCTTTATAAAACTAATTATTAAAGATCAGGAATGATTGATGAGAAAATATATCAAAGACAGATAACAAAACAAGCTCTTTCTGATACATTTATAGTAAATATTTAAAATTTTGGGTATTAATAGGTTTAAATATTTTATTAGGATTCCAAAATAACGTCAAAAAGAGATTCTTTTACACAAGAAGAATTAAAATCACTATTTTTTTATCAAGATACATCTTGTCAAACTCATGAGCTTTTGGGCTGTGGGTGCCAAGGCGATGGGTCAAATGTTAAAAATATTAATCATAGGGAGATGTTCGATGAAAATAATGATTTAGGTGGCTGGGTAAAATCAAGTGAAATACTAAATTCTGAAACAATGACGGTAAAAACACAATTATAATATAATATATTATGTTCATGTTTTATAGCCAAATTATTTAAAAAAAAAATATCTTTATAGCATTAATGAATATTCACATATTGATGCATCAAAAAATAATGATTATTATAATATAGAGGATACAGTATTACAAAGAATATTACAAGAAAATAATGAAATAGATAAAGGTTATATATCTTATATATTTGAAAAAATAGAACAGCTATAAATTGTTTATTTAAATTTATTTATTATAAAAAATATTTTACTAGTATATTTTTATTATCTGTTTCTAATTTCTCTAAATTAAAAGATCAATATCATAGGCACATTTTTAAAATATTATAAAAAAGATATAATACTTCATTTATTAAAAAAGGCTATAAAAAATCACATTAAAGCATTGTTTATAAAGAATCAAGATTAATTATATATGTGTATATTAAAAAGTTTTTAGATCAAAAAATTTAATAAAATTATTATATATATCTAATAAAAACAAATATTTTGATTTACTAGATATAATAGTATAAATATAATATTGTATATAAATAAAACTTAGAAATATAGAAACAATTGAAATGTTAAATGTATAACAATTATATTATTTATAATTTAAAATATTATCATTTATATAGATTTTTAAAATAAGTAATTATTTATTATAATAAAAATCTTAAATCATTGAATAAAGCTATTTTTAAACAACATTAATCAAAAAAATATTAAAATGTTTTTAAACTATTTAAATTAATATTTAATACATAATTATAGAATTCCTTTGTTAAAATTAAACATATTTAAAATCTCTAATAGTTTAATTCAAAAAGATATTTAATCATAATATAAAACTCAATAAACTAGTAATAAAAGCTATATTTTGTAATAAAAATAAATATATAATAAAAAACTTTAACAATCTTTTAAATATTAGAAATAAATATTATCTAAAAATACAAACACATCTTTTCTCTTCAATTCCTATTAAATTTGAATAATTAAACAATTTAAAGTTCAATATAAAGCAAATATATAACCTTTTGAAAAAAATAATATAAAATTAACAAGTTTTTTTTTCTTCCCCTTCTCATTCTACAATCAATTTGAATGAAACTTCTTATTACAATTCTTATATCAAGTATCTTTTAAAATATTGTAAAGATTTCATTAAGTAATATTTTCATTCAATAAAACTTTTACTATGCTCAACATAAAAGTTCACTATATTATACATATAAATCATTGCTTTTAAGTAAACATTGTTCATAAATTCTATCTACTTTGTAATAATATCACTCATAATTGGTTAAATATATTATGTAGTAAAATCATCTTCATCAAAAACTTTAATTTCTTTTATACAGCAATTATAACATCTAAAATATATACAAAGTAATCTTTTCATTTCATAATAGAAAATACAAATAATATTAATTAAACATTGAATAAAAAATTATAAATATAATAATTGACGAATAATTGAATATATTTTTTTTAAATAAAAGCTTTAATATCCTTTTAAAAAGATAAGCATGTTTTCCAAACAAAAAGAATATTCATATTAATTTTTTACAAATGCTTAAATTAATATTTTATAACATAATTTATATAATTTAATCTTCTAAAAACATAAATATATTTATTATTTTAAATAAATCATAAACAATTATTTTCATTATTAAAATGTAAAAGCTCTTTAAAACAATTTTTCAAAACATCAAAGTCATATTTTTTTAAAATTAATATAAGATAGATAGAAACCAGTTTTATTATTTAACAAAAAAAAAATAAAAGATCAGAAAACATTACTAGCACTGTTGTTTTATAAATTTAAAAAAGGTTTACAATTAAAAAATACACCTTTTTTAAAAAAATAATTTACAAAAATTCAACAGTTTCTAATATCTTGAAATAAAGATTTAAAATATGATTAATATTTCCATAAATTATAAACAATGTGTTAATATTAAAAGCTGAAGAATTCAGTATTTCACTTTTACAATCATTTAAAATAAAATTACAATATGATTCCAATACATCATAATTAAATCATATGTATATTATTTAGCTAGAAAAAAAATTAATGTCATTAATCATATAATTTAAATCAATGACATCCAGTTCAATAAACGATTTCATATTATTCTTATTATTATCCCAAACTTTTTAAGGGGAGAATAAGTTTAATTTTTTTTCTAAGAACTTCAGCCCAAACAGTTATAAGTAAACTTATAAAACTTTTAACAAAAAAAAAGCATCATTATACCTATATGATCAGTCCTTCTTGATGTAATGATTAATAACTTAAAATTTATATAAAATTATATATAATCTTCATTAAAAAAATCAACTTGCATTCATTGAAAAACTTATATTTTTAAGCAAAGTATTACCAAAATTGAAATTCAAATACGTTATATTATTTTAATAAATTTGAGAACCTAGATCTGAATTAGAATTTATAAAGTTTAAAATAATAATAAAAAAAAAAACATAAACTTACTATATTTTCATTAAATTCACAGAGTTCTCTTTTGAGACCATTTAAGACAATGTTTAATCATTCGAATAAAATAAATGAAGAAAAAAGTGCAACAAACATAATATTAACTGATCATAACTCTTAATATTAACAAAAAACTCCATATACAGTTAAGATGAATAGTATGATTTTTCAAAAGTAAACTCTTTAAAGTCTATATTTCTATTATAAAATCAGACTAATAAATTGAAAAAGAACCTAAATCACCTTAAAGAGAAAAAACAATTTTTGTACAAGAAGAATTTAAAGATAAATCATTCATATTATGATCTACTGAAATAAGACAAGTTTTAAAAATAAATCTACCTGACTTTTTAAATCTCAAAGGTGAGGAATCTTCAGTAGAAGATTTACAAGTAGGACTTCCTGATTTTCCTAAAGAAGACCTTGCTGCCAAAAGGTGTTCTTTAAAAATATCAGATTTTTCCCGAGGAGATACAGAAAATGATTTAAGAGATTCTTTTGCATTTAGAATTCCATCCTTAAAAGGATCACACTTGGGAGAAGATGTTCTAAAAGAAGGGCGTAAATTATTCTTAGCGTCAAGTATTCCTGCCTTAAATGGATCCATCTTTAAAGAACCAGAAAATGAAGCAGAAGATGAATATTTTTCTTTAGAAAAATCTGAGAAATCTGACACTCTTTCAATAATTGCAGATTTGGGTGTAGAAAACTGGCTAGAAAATTCGTTTTTTACCCTACTAGATGTATTTTCAATACTACAAGGTGAGCTCGGAGAAGTATTAAATTTCTTAAAGTCCAAAGATGAAGATTTTAAAGAATGATCAAATTCATTATTTTCTAATGGATCTAAAATATTCGAATCATTTGATAAAGACTTTTAAAAATTAGTTTTTTAAAAAACTTATATATTAATAAAAATACCGTATTTTTCATATTTGTTTTAGTATTTTCAAAAGTATTACAAGATTCTTTTGAACCTAATTTATGATCAGGATCCAACATAATATTGCTTTTCTTAGTAGAAAAAATCGTATCATTCTCTAATGTATTAATTTCATCATTTAACTTTATTTTTTGAACGTCCGACATATTAATTAATGATTCTGAGTTTAGTTCTACACTTTTTCGAGAAAAAATAGAACTATTTCTAGAAAGCTCGGATGCTGATTTTCGATATTCATTACTTTTCTTTACAGCACTCTGTACAAAACTTCCTTTAGTTGGAGTTCTAGAAATATCGGCCATAATAGATAAATTATTATGAGAAGACAATGATGGCAGATCACTTCCTAATAATTTGTTTGAAACTAAGGTATCAGAATACGAAGATTTCAAAGAAGGTGAAGAATGAGGACTCGAACTAATATTTATAAAAGAATGCTTTAAAGATCAAAGATCAATATAAATAAATTATATATATATTTACTTACAGATGACATTGGTTTAGAATTTCCATGGTTTCCTGAGGAAATAATTGTATTAGAAAGATTTTTTAAAGGCATTTGTTTATTTTCCAGCATTCCAGTTTCCATTTTATCAATTTCTTTAACTCTCGATATAGATGAAACATATGAACCATCTTCTGATCCCAACTGAGATACAGATAATGATTCTTTTCCACGAAATGAAACTCCCTCATATTCATATTCCTGATTATCCTCTAATAAAATTATTAAAAACACTTTATTCTATAATTTACCATACCAATATCTATAGATCTGCTTAAAACTGAAAATGAACCATTTGCTTTCATATTCATATCTTCTAAAACATATGCTTCTTCTGATACATCTGATACATTATTTGATCCATTCTGATGACATATTATTTTTTTCTAAAAAAAAAACATATATACAAACATTAATATTTCTCTCAAATGATCCCTTATAACAAATAGTATTTGGCATCCCTGCTTTAATACATTCCCTTTCCTTATATACAGGCGACATATAACATACTGGACTCCGGGAACTAACACTTAAAACTGATCCTGGTCTATCTGGTGATAAAGAAAGTTCCCGTTCTAATAAAACTTAGACCTTCTTAAAAAACATAATATTCATAACTACGTGCTCTTCTCCTATGTCTAGCTTGTCTTTCCGCTAAGATTTCCTGTCATAAACAATCAGCTCACTGTAAACGTCTAATTTCGTCCTCAACCTCCTCCAGTCTCCTATTATGTTCCTCATCTTCCTTATTACAATCTTCCTGAAGCTTCTTTACCCGGTTAATCCAGTTTTCTAAGTCAATATTATGTTTTCTTGCTGGACTTAGACATTTATCTGTCTGAGTACTCATTTATATAACAGTTTATCTACCAAGATTTAACAAAACTTAAGATATTTATAGAGAATACCAATATAAATACTTAATAAAATCTAATTTCTGTTAATATTTACTAAGTTTATAAATAATTAATTGACAAACCAAATATTAATAAGAATGAAAGTTGTTGTCGTTTATCAAAAATCCAGAGTACTTTAAAGACTTTAAGAAAAAGTAATAATTTATTAAGAAAATGTAAGAATCATGTATAGATTAGAGATAGAAATAAAGACCTGTGAATAAATTATATTGAATATGTATGTTGAAAAACAGGAAGTTTATAGCCTATCTGTTTATGTTTTTAGAAAAAAAGAAGTATTTGTTAATAAAAAGCGAAATTAAGTTGATATGAAAGTGTATATTTGTGTGTGTATAAGTGAGGATGAGGATTAACATTATTGATGTAATGCGAAAATACAGATTAGATGCAGAAGAAATAATATAGTCGATTAAAACTCATAAAATAGGATTGTTAACGTTTTGAGAATGATTTTTAGATAGAGAAGAATCCTTAGATTTGTCCATATCTTTAAAAATTATATTAAAAACATCAGAATACCAATTGACAGGTAAAGCAGTTACACCTTCTTTAATATTATCAGGAATTAGATCCCAATCGGCCTGATTGGCATCAGGATAAATAACAGTGCTTACGCCGGATCTTTTAGCAGCAATGATTTTCTCTTTTAGACCGCCAATTTTCAATACTTTTCCAGTTAAAGTAAGTTCACCAGTCATTGCTATAGTTGAGGGTATTGAATAATTTAAAGCCAATGATAACATTGAAGTTGTCATTGTGATACCGGCAGAAGGGCCTAAAAAGTTAGGATTTTATGTATTTATAAAGTTTATTTACCATCTTTTGGAACAGCGCCTTCTGGGCAATGAAGATGAATTCTTGCCTTTTCAAAAAAATGATTATCAGGATAATTTTGAGAAATATATTTCTTTGAATAGGAATATGCTATAGTTGAAGATTCTCTCATAATATTGCCTAAGTGACCAGTGCAAGTAAAACTTGGTCTGGATTTTGAGGATATTACATTTTCTAAAATAGATTCCACATATAAAACAGCACCACCTATGAACATTAACCCTACAATTGAACAATGAAATAAGTGTTTAACCTTGACATGTCCATGCTAAACCCATAACAACACCTGGAGGTGTTGTTTCATAAAGCCTATCAGTAGTAAAAATAGGTGGACCAACATAATCTTTCAAATTTGAAGAATCTATTGTTACAGAAACAGTGTCAGGGACTTTCAATGGTTTTGGGACTTTTTCAGGAGGCTTTGAAGATTGTGTCTCAGAGTTATTTTGTTCATTTACTTGATCTTTTTTTTCATCAACTAATGATTCATCAACTGTATTTTCAAGAGTTTTAACAATATTGAAACTAGATTTACGATATATCTAGAATTTGTTATATACTAATCACCATAACAAAGAAAAATACCTTATTTATATATTTTTTTAAACTTCTAACACCACTTTCACGGCAATAATACTTGATAAGAAGCTGAATTGCATCATTAGTTAGATTGACATCAATGTCTTTTAAGCCAGCAAGCTCTTTAGCTTCAGGAACAAGATAATTTTTTGCTATTTCCATCTTTTCTTCAGCTACATAGCCTGATATATGTATAATTTCCATTCTATCCAAAAGTGGCGCTGGAATATAATCTGTAGCATTCGCAGTACAGACAAATAAAACCTTTGAAAGATCAACAGGAAGATCAAGATAATGATCAAGAAAAGAAGAATTTTGTTCAGGGTCCAAAAGCTCAAGTAAAGCACTTGATGGATCACCTTGATGCCCACGTCCAATTTTGTCAACCTCATCAATTAGTATTAGTGGATTTTCTGTTTGAACCTTTTTTAAACTTTGGATAATTTTTCCAGGCATTGCACCAACATATGTCCTTCTATGACCTTTTATTTCAGCAATATCAGTAAGACCTCCAACGCTAAAACGATAAAATTGGCGTTTCAACGCCTTTGCAATAGATTTACCAATAGAAGTTTTACCAACACCTTAAAAAATCAATATAAAAAACAATTTTATTTAAATTATTACCAGGAGGTCCTACAAAACAGAGGATCTTGCCAGCAACAGTCCCCTTTAGCTTACCAACAGCTATAAATTCTAAAATCCAATCTTTTATATCCTTTAATCCATAATGGTCCTCATCTAAAACCTTTATAGCATAATTAATATCATAATTTTCTATAGATCTTTCTCCCCATGGTATTTGAGTCAACCAATCCAAATAATTCCGTGTTACATTAAACTCAGAAGCAGATGGTTCTAAATAAATAAGCTTATTTAATTCCTATATCTAGTTAAATAAAAAAAAAAGATAAAAAATACAGACTTCATCAAATGCTTTTTTTACATTCTCTGGCATGGAAAGTTTGGATGCTTTATCTTTAAATTTTTCGACTAATTTATCTTTTCCATCAGTCTCTAGGCCCAATTCCCTTTTTATACCCTTCATTTGTTCAATTAAATAATACTCTCTTTGTCTTTTTTGAATTTTTGATTCAACATCTTTACTAATTTTACTCTGAAGTTGAGCATTCATAAGTTCTTTTTTCAAAACCAAGAGTGATTTCTGTAATCTAGCTTCTATAGATAAAGTTTCTAAAATATCTTGTAATTCTGATATTTCACCAGCAGATACAGCAGCTGCAAAATCAGCAAGTTTTGCAGGCTCCTCAAACACATTTCCTGTAGACTGAAACATGGAAAAATTTGCAATTTGATCTCGAAACAATGGATTGAATGTTGCTATATCCTTAAAAACACTAACTATTTCAGATGTAACCGCTCTAATGATATTATTTTTTGGATCAAAACTCTCATCAATTAAATTTTCTACATTAACTAATGACACATCATAAGCATTCAAAAAAGATGTAGCATAGTGACTATCATCTATAATTTTTTAGCAATAAATGACAAACAAATCCTAAAAAATACCATTTTCAGAGGAATTGCTAGCTGGATCTTTAGCAAAACCATCTTCTACATTTTGATCGGCTACATATGTCTGAGAATTAGAATCCCCATGCTCGGGATTATTATTATCATTATTATTTGTTAATATATTTTCAGAGTTCTTCACATCATTAATGTTGCTTTGTGGTTTTATTAAATCAACAATTTTGATTCGTCTGTGTGGATATAATACTACTGTAAGAGCATTTTCATCTCCTATATTGTTTGCAGGAAATACACTTGTAATTTGAGAAAAAACACCGATATTATATACCTGATTAATATCTGTTATAGTATCTGTATCTACATCTTCTTTAAGAAGAAATGCTCCAATATAAGGTTGACTTCTTCTAATCATTTCCTTAATAGCTTCAATAACTGAAGGATTCTTTATCACAATTGCCTCTAAAATAAATAAATTACTACATAGTTTCAAATTTTATATACATACTATAGAAACCTAGAAATATTAGTCAAAAAAATGATCAAATCAAATCTACCTGGAAACAAAGGTCTCCGAACAATAGGTAGCGCCATCATTCTAGGATAAACATCCGGTACAACCGGTTTTTGGAGGCCATGTTCCTGATTCTTCCCATTAAACTTCCCCTTCCCATGGTTTCCACCACTTCCACTTGATCTAAAAATAAAACTAGATGTTGAAAATCTTCTAACCCCATAATGACCAAATCCTATTAAACCTTTTCTGAAAAAATTAGGTCCTTCTACTGTATATTTTTTCAATATATTCTTTTTTTTCTCTTGACATTTTTCTCCCATATAAAGCCCATTATACCCAATTTTCTTCAAAAAACTTGTTATTTCATATAAAAATCCATGGTATAATGATATTAAACATGTAGTATATATAGCCGGATATAAAAATGTATTTCCTCTAGAATATATATAATTCATCTTTAAATTTCTATTATGATATTTCTGATCTAATAAAAAAGATACTGAAAAAACCATATGATTTCCTGGAAATAGAGCATATCTTAATAAATGTTTATTTCTTAAATATTTCATAAAAACTGAATAAAAGTTTCCACCAGATTGAAATATCATTATAATATATAATAATACAGTTAAAATCCGTTTAATTGGAAAAAAATAAGTATAGAAAGCTTTTCAGTATAAACAAGCACAAAATATTGAATATAAGGGCCTTTTCTATTATATAAATAATATTTTTATTTCCTTGTAATAATAATAGATGATTTTGAAAAGCTAATATAGTTCGAATGTATTAGTTAAAAAAGTTTATTTAAATACAAGAGAAAAGAGCTATGAATAATCAGAAACAAATTATATCTTAGGATATACATCGTTTCTAGAAAAATAAGGAAATAATAATATATGTGTATATATAATAACCTTCTAGTAAGTGGTAATTCTTTTCTAACTTTATGAACGAGTGATGAATCAATGTCTGCAATACAAAAAGAAGGTTCTCTTGAAGCAGAAGAGCAAGATGCAAGCACAATACCTGTAAAATGTTAAATTAATAAAAATATAATAAAAAACATACCCCATGGATCTACAATCTATAAAAAAAAGTAATTAGATAAAATAATTCGTGTATAATTATATAATATTTACCATGCTATGTCCATAACTTTCACGAGTTTCATTATGTCTACCAGCTTGATTCGCGGCGATTACATAAGACTAATTATATTTTAATAATTTTAAAAAATAAAAGAAAAAGAATATTTTCCTGAGTTTCAATTGCTCGTGCACATATCAACGTTGTCCAACTTTAAATAATCAAAAAAAATATCAAAATAATTTAAATATTTACTGATCAGCCCCAGTTCTTTAAAATTAATATATATAAACACTTTATTATTTTTTATTTACCTAGAAATAAACGCAGATGGATATGTAATAACCTCTGCCCCAAGATTTCGAAGCTTTATAGACATTTCTGGATACCTTAAATCATGACATATTGCTAATCCAACATTCCCAATCGGGCTATTTCAATTTTACTCTTGTTTTCAATATATTATCCTTAAACTCACGTTTTAAACGGAGGAACAATTCCTTTTCCCCCTTCTATATATTTCGATTCTTTCATTCTTTGATCTATCATCCATTATTCATAAAAATATAAACTTTCCTAAAAAAAATACGATCTACTGAATTAATAGAAAACAAATGCAGCTTTTGATATTTATGTACAACATTTCCTTGGTCATCTATCCAAAGGCACATATTCGCTATAAGATCTTTTGACATAATAGGCTCATGAACTCCAACCTAACCCCTAAATACCCACGATATTTACCTTTCTAAATCCTACCGATGCATGTATTTTTAATGATTTCACATGTTCTTTAAATTCATTAATAAACACCTCTCTTTCGTGAGAAAACGTAAGTTCCATAGAATCTTCATGCTAATCTCTTACAAATAATATTATAACACTATTAATAACATACATTAAGCCCAATAAAATCACTTGCTTCTGGAAAAAAACAAACTTGTGCTCCTACTGAAACCGCTCGATTCATTAATTCCTTGCATATCTCAAGGTTCTTTAAAATCGATCTTCTATATTTATTAAATATTAGCTTATATTCCCTTCTATTTATCATACTGACGTTGAACAGAACTGGCAGCATGCTACCAAAACCATTTTCTGCGAAGAAAAAAGGATTTAGAATAACCCTCATTAAACAAATCGATGTTATCGATCGCAGGGCATTAAAAATATAGAGTGAGGAGGGAGGTATAAGGGAGGGTATATAAATATGTAGTAAAAGGGCAGTAAAAGGGCAGTAAAAGGGTATTATAAGGGATAATATAAGGGATGATATATGTAGAAAAGTGTATGAATAGTATAGTTAAGTAGAGGGGGTATTAGGTGGTAGTAGTAGTAGTAGGAGGAGTAGGAGGAGGAGTAGAAGGAGGAGTAGAAGGAGGAGAAGTATAAAGTTTAAATGAGAATGAAAAATGAGAATATTTTTGTATAATAAAAAGATGATATAAAGTAGTATATTTTTTTTTAATAGTATAATTAAAGAAATATATATATGTAAATAGAAGAAAAGAGATAAATTAAAAGATAAGAAGGGGGAGGAGGAGGAGGAGGAGGAGGAGGAGTTGTTAATAAAAAGAAGTTGTTAAAAGTTAATTAAAAATATTTAAAATTTTTAAAAGGGTATAGAAAATAGTAAATGTAAATGTTAAAAAGTGAATGTTAAAAGTGAATGTTAAAAAGTGAATGTTAAAAGTGAATGTTAAAAGTAGATGTTAAAAAGTAAATGTTAAAAGTAAATGTTAGTTAATTAAAATATATAAGAATTGAATAAAGTAAAGATTAATAAGAATAAATAATAAAGTTATAGAAAAATGTTATATTAGAAAAAAAAAAGAGATATAAAATAATAAATTTAAAATTGAATAGAATATCAAGTTATTTAAAATGATTAAATATTAAAATATATAGATAATTAAGAAAAGAATTATAAAGTTTAATAATATATTAAGAATCTTTTAAATTTAAAATGAAAAAAAAATATAGATAGATTTAAATAAAATTGAATTTATTATGAGGAGGAGGTGGTGGTGGTGGAGGAGGTGGTGGTGGCGGTGATGGAATTAATGAGGGTAATATTTATATTTTTATTATTAATTAGCGATATATATATAAAAAGAAAAAAATATTTATATATAAATGGTTAAAGATTTCATCTAAATGATTTTTAATGAAAAAATGATTGTTTTTTTATATAGAAAATGTTTGTTTACTTATATGTTAATATAGATTTATAATTAATATTTGAATATAATTATTTCGCTTATCAAAAGCTATATTAATTGAAGAAAAAAATATTGAAAAAAAAAAGATATAAACAAGAAATTAAAAAACTGTTGAAAGCTTTTAAACAAACCTTTTTAGATCATGATAATTCTAGTAATATTTAAAATCAAATCAAATCAAATAAAAAATATGTTAAAAAACAAGTTAAAAAAATCAAATATTATTAAAAAGATGAGACAAATAACTTTAAAAGAAAAAAAAAAAGTATAATAGTTTAGAATACAAATATTTAACTAAAATTTTATTTTATAAAAAATATATTTATAATATATTTATATATATATTATATATTTATATATTTTATATATAAATTTAATATTATTTAAATATAAACTAATTACTTTATTTAAATATACTTATCTATTAGTATTGTATATAGTTATTACGAAAAACATTCATCCAAATAATACTTAAAGCTATTATTATTAGAATTTACTAAGATTTTACATATAATAATATTACTAGAAATGATAAGTGGTCCTGCAAGAGGAGCACCAAATTTAACAGTTTTAAATATAAACCATTCCGTAATAAAATGAAATATCGCAATATAATATGTCCATAATATTATTTCATAAATACTATTCATATATATTATTTCATAAAATATTTATTTATATATTTTTACACAGAATTAGACATATGATATGATCCATAGAATCTTATGATAGCAGAAACCAATGTCCATGTTCCAAAAAGCCTTGTTGCCAATGGATTTACTAATCATATATATATATATATATATTATTACAAATCATACATATTTACCCTGATCATAAGCACCACTATATACACGTTGTGTTAACTTCAAACTAATATATGTTTGAATTGTATTAAAAAAAGCAATTATAGATATAATAAGATTCCATTTTGGCAAATATCCCTCAGGTAGTCTATGTAACATTATTTTTTACCTAATTTTTGGATTTTTGCCGATAATAATTATCATCAAACCTAGTAGTCTATAGTTTTAGATATAAAAGATGAAAAACCAAGGGAATTTAGCAACAAATGATGAATATTTTTTAGAAGATTCAAATGTTAATAGAGAAACATTTGTTTATATAGATTCAGAAGATGGAATAGAAAGAGTTTCAAAAAACATAAATACATATGTTAATAATGAAAGGTATTTGATATAATAATTAAAAGAATACAGAGTTTTTAATCTAATATATAGAAATACATATACAAGCACATTAGAAGAACCTATTTATATGACAATTGTATTTTAAAATATAATATATTATAAACTAATATATATAAAGTATAACGATATTAAAATGATAGGAATCAGAGCAAAATATATACTACTTCCTCATAAAGATAATAATACTTTAAATAATTGTATTTATTTTTTGAATAATATGATACAATTAATTAATTAATTAATTTAGGGGATTTATGGGGACCATTTATTTTTTGTCTTATTTTTTCTTTATGTTTATCATTAAAAACGTCAAAAAATGAATCAATCAATGTTTTTACAGGAATTTTCTGTATCGTCTGGGCGAGCCAATTGGTTATCACTTTAAATTTCAAACTTTTAAAAGTTCCAATGTAATTTGTTTTCTTTAAACTATAAATCAACTATTAAAAGAAATAGATCAATATTTCAATCGATATGTATTCTTGGATATTCTTTATTTCCTTTTGTTATTTGCACTATATTCGTATTTCTTAAATTTTTTATTTTTCGTCATTAATATATATCAGAATTTTTTTATACATACTATTTTGATTAGATTTCTTCTAATCATTGTTGCATATATTTGGTCAAGCTATGGTTTGTTTATTTTTTTTATAATTATTATTTTCTAAATGTTTATAGCATCACTTAACGTTATAAACAATTTTTCTTTTGTTAAAAGAAATATTCTTATTATTTATCCTCTTTTTCTCTATTATTTTTGTATTATATTTCTTTCTTTTTATATTTTACTCATTAAAATTAGTGATATCTTGGATTATTTTTTTACAATTCATATAATTTGGTATTTCAAAAATATACAATTAATTTATATACCTTTATATTTTATTCTAATATATTATTTTCTATTATATTTAAAGATTCTTTTATCAATTATCTATGTTTTTTATAAAATTAGTAATAATAAAAACTATTTCTAAAACTAGTGAACTTGTAAATATAAGTATTAAAATGAAGAAGAAGAAGAAGAAGAAGAAGAAGAAGAAGAAGAAGAAGAAGCTATATTATGTTATTATAGTATTATTAAAATGAAGATGTTATATTATAGTATTATACTATATTATACTATATTATACTATATTATACTATAAAATATTACTACTTATAAATACGACCTTTTATAATAATATATAATCGTTTTACTATTATATTATAAATACTTTAAATAATTAATTACATTTCTAAAAAAACCCCAAGGATTCATTATTTTAAGTTATTTAATTTTAAAGATTATATATTAAAATTAATTCTACTTTTCATTAAACTAGATAAAATCTTTTCAATTAAAAAAAAAACATATTTTTTCTTGTTAATATCATATATATTCAAAATATATCCTTAATTCTTATATAGTTATAATATAATACAAGTTATAATGTAAACATTTCTTTTAAATATAACAAATGAAATCGATTTCTAATACTAATATAATAGGTAGATATAATAGATCGTAGGAAGATGTTGGATAGATATAATAGGTAGATATAATAAATGTTAGATATAATAGATATAATAGATCGATAATATTATAGATAGATAATATATATTATAGGTAGACAAGTAGGTAGACAAGTAGGTAAATAAGTAGGTAGATATAATATATATAATAAATAGACATTAGTTAGGATAAATATTAGATAGGATAGATATAATACGTGTAATACGTGTAATACGTGTAATAGACCATAATATATATAATAAATATAATTCGATATAATAAATCGATAAATATTAGAGATATTAAAAAGATGTTGGATAGATATTAAATAGATAATATTATACCTCTACTTCTACCCCTACCCCTACTTCTACCCCTACTTCTACTTCTACATCTACATCTACGTCTACATAATATATACTCTACTCTAAATACACCTCTCTCTCCTCTCTCCCTCCTCTCTCTCCCCCCCTACTTTATATATCGCTCCCTCTCTAAAACCCTCTCATCTACCTTAATAAGTATTACCGTCCTATTAGGAAACCCCTGTATCGGTACCGAATGCGCCGTCACCTTCGATGGCTATATATCTATTAATCCCCCCCTTATAATTCTTACCCATACAAACTGAGATCCATCCATAATAGCCTCTACAATCCCCGCTACAAATGACGCACAATCAAAATATCCCATTTCTTTAGGAACTGATATATATTTATTCACCATAGGTTCATTGTCTACTATCATATCTATTACCAACCCCTTCTATCATCATTTCTTCCACTATTAAACTTCCACTCACATTCATCCTCATTCTCTCTGCTCTTTTCAAGTGCATCTGCTTGTTTATTAAAAAGCGCCCTCCATACACTAGAAAATATAAACTGTAGAATCCCTAACACCTTCGTTTCCCTTCTATATTTCTTCTCCCGCCAATTCACGAGTTCTAATAACTTCTGTCCAACCTTATAACCTTGTCCATTAAGTCTAAAGGTTTTAAGACGTCTTAAAACCCTGATTCATTAGTTATATTACCTCTTCTCCAGCTCACACATCCCGTCAACCCTCTTCTGCGTATACCTAACTATCTCCGCAAATAAAAAGGAAAAAGCAGCTTGGCTGATCTCAGCACCTCTTATACGGTTAAGATTACGGTCAAATATAGAGGTTCTTTTAGTATATGTCTTGGAGGTGACGGACATAGCTTGATCGATATTAGTCATAGTAGGAGAACAGACATTATATGAGGAGGAGGAGGAGGAGGATTAGATTTAGGAAGGGCTAAAGTATAATAAAAAAGCTATAAATAAGAAGCTAATGGCGTTAATTAGGGATATATTGATACGGAGAGGCTAGTTTATTAATAGGAAAAGGATATAACGCGTGTTTTTAAAGATCTAATATACGGAGGCTGGTTAAAGGTTAAGATGAGGGAGAAAGAGGAGATTAGTTTATTAAAAAGAGTGGAAAACATGGAGAAGAAGGAGGAGGAAGTGATATGTAGGTTTTTAAAGGGAGTTAAATGGGTTAATAATGGATAAATAGTGAAAATTTTATATTCGTTTGATGAGAGACATCAAATGGTATGTTTAGCACGGAATGATACACCGATTTTGGTGGAAACCATGTTATTAGATGAGGAGAATAAAGGGAGAATTGGGATGGTTAGTTTAAGGACATGTATATTGACAATTATTGGAAAAAGGTGAGATATATAGATATAGATATAGATGGATAGATAAATATATAGATATATACATCTATCTATCCATCTATATGTAATATAGAATGATTAATAAGGGGTGATTAGTCCGGAACTTGTTTTACAAAAGGGAATTGATTTTACAATATATACATTGGAACCGGTTGAAGAAGGAGAGGTGTTTTCAGGACAAGGGATGTTAAGTTGGATTTTGAATGTTTCATTACAAACAAGAAATGAGGGTAAAAATGTATCAGGACGAATTATAGAATCAAAGAAAGGGGATAAAGAGGAGAGATTGGTTCTTGAGGTGATTATGCGTTTATCAAAGGTGTCATCAACATCGGACAATAATTTGTTAAATACAATACAAAATCTTCATTTTGTTAATGTACCATATAATGGAAATATTACGGGGGAATCGGAGACGGGAACATTAGATGGATGTGAAAAGGATAAACAAGTATATTTTGAACCGCCGATTTATTTGTATAATTCGTTATTAAAACCTATAAATGAGACGCAAAATCATGAACAAAAACGACAAAAAGAACCATCAATTGCATTACAATCATGTATATGTCCGAATTTTGAAAATTTTACAGATACACAAACATTTAAATCGTTTGCTCAAGCATCATTTTTGGAGCAATTATCATCACCAACTAGTGAATCTCTATCACCTCAAATATCATCATCATCATCGTCATCTCCGCAATATTTGCAACTTCCACCATCATCGCCACCTATATTTTCATATGGAAATCAAATGCCTTATCCATTGTCTGAACCATCACTTCCTCTTCCTGATTTCGAAACATCATATATTGAAAGAACATCAGATTTTCAAAAACCTATGAATTATATGGATCTTTCTCGATTAGAAATGAATATGCTTCCTGTAGAAACTAAGGAAAATGTAGAAAAGTCGACAGAAAATCATACAGAAGTATTTAAATCATCCTCAGAAGAAAGCTCATCTACTACACAAGAATTGAAGAATAATGAAATATCCGATGATGAATTACCTGAACGAAGGAAATTAAATGAGGCAGTGCGAGCAGCACAACTTGCTTTAGAAGGTTTTTCAGTAATAAGATTAATTGATAATAAGATGCAAAAAAACGATAAAACAGCAACAAATTTATCAAAAGTGAATGGTGATTATTAGCATAGTATTAATCCTTTAAATACTAAGAATTATGTAGATGAAAATAAAAATAATGGAGATAAACCATTAAAACGATCTGGAAAAAAAATATCTAATGCTCTTCGTGTAGAAATGAATCTTCTAAAATGTATTCAAGAAGGTATTTTTGTTTACATGTATATTGAATTATTTAAATTATATAGGAAAAATTCCTAATTATTGTAATAATTGTGGAACTATAAAGACTGTAAGTTGGAGAAAAGTTAAAACAGCAGATGATAGACCAGAAGAAACCCTTTGTAATCGTACGTTTATGATATTATTTTGTATTAAATTAATTGTTTTTCTAGCATGTGGCGTTTGGTGGTCAAGTCATAAATCTATGCGTCCATCTCATCTCTGGCGTGAAGAAACAGTAACATTGGATTTTCATAATGTTTCAGACGCTTTATATTCAAAAAAAGTAAAAAAAAGGGTTTCATGTATTAATAAAAATGATGAAAATTTGAGTATTAAAACTAAAAAGAAACATACGGAAAATAGAACTACCTTAAAAAAGAGGAAGAATTCATTGCACCAGGATAGAGTAATAAAATCTTCTCCCCTTAAACTCACTTCTCAAGAAGTGATTACACGGGAACCTTTTTCTGAATTAAATAACAAAGATAATTGGCTTTGTCTTCCCAAAAAATCTATATCATCTACTATAGATAATAATGAAGAAGGGATTTTAAAATCATTTAATGTTCAGGAAAATAAGAACTTTGGTGAACATTCTTTTGGAAAGATTGTTGATATTTCAACTGATAGTCAAAATAATCTTTCTAAAACTACTCCTAAAAAGGTCAAAAATGTTTCATCAAATACGAGTCCATGGAAATCTACAATTTTTCATCCTCATTCAGATATGGGAATAATAGATGCATTTATAGAAACGCAAAAAGATTATGAATCTTCTGCAGATCATTATCAAGCTCTTGATCCGATATTTCTTGAAAACGATTTAATCAATACAACTGTTTATGCATCATCTTTTTTAAAAGTACCAACTAATAAGGCCAACTCAAAAATTGCATCTTTGAAAGACATAAATTTAAAAAAATCGAATGAGACAGATACATTATTTCCTGACTTACTTATATCTAATAAAGATATTCAAGAGTCTGCTAGTGATCTATGGTTTAAAAACCCTAGTTCTCCTAGTTCTGATAAATCCAAATATTGATAACATGTTTAGGAAATACGAAAAAGCTTTATCATAGTTATTTTTCTAAAAAAATACAACAGAAATATTCAATGCTTTATTGCTTTCTAGATATATTATGGAGTTGTACTCATTACAATCAAATATATTCATGAATGAATATAACTGAAATGTTTTCATTATGGAACAATGATGGAAGTAAATATATAAATATTATAATATCTATAATAGTATGTATAGCACTAAAAATCAAAATGTCATAAAATAATTAGCAAATTAATGTATGAACTAATTTATAAGACCTGAATAAATTGTGCGAATAAACTTTAAATTATCTTTTACATTATTTGATTTCTATAAAAAATTCAAATATCTAACTATAAAAATAATATTGTTTTTATTGATTATATTAACATAAAAACAATCATTTTTATAATTTTCCATATATTTTAAAGTTTTAAAAGAATTAACTAATATCAATTGTAGCTTATCATCTTGTTAAAATTATACTGATTTACAAAGTATACAAATATATAATCATTAATTAATGTTTATAAGCTATATCTAATAGAATTTATTAAGTTCTTCTCAAAATAATCTATAAATATTTTTTTTTTCTAAAAATACAGATTATTTATCATTAATAATTAAGATATACTACATAAATATTAATGAATTATTTTAAAATATATAGAATTATTTTAATATATATAGAATTTATATCAAATCCATAGAAACAATCAAAATACATAAAATATTATTTAACATTTTTCATAAAAAAATTTAAATAATTATTTTTAAAGATCATTTTGACAATTTTTACTTAAAGATTAAAATCATATAATAAAAAATAAAATTAGTATTTAAGCTCTTAATTACAAACTATCTAACTAAATCATAATTCCCTTCTCTTTTTAAAAAATCATAAATAAAACAAAACTCAAAAAATATACTATTTTTTATAAAATAACATAATTTTATTTCTTTAATAATACATTCAATTTAGTTTATTTAGATAATCTAATTCTAAATCTTTATATAAATATCAAAATCAAATAATAATTTATATTTATAACATTTTTAAAACATTTTTACGGCACTAATTTATCATTTTAAAATATAACAAATAAACTAATAAATTATACAATTAAAAATACATAAAATGGCAGAAATAAGAAGTATTTACAAAGATTATCCACCTTTTCTTAATAAAAATCAACAAGATTTTTTAATCTCAGAATTAATGGATTATATTGAAGTTCATGGAATTAATATTCGTATAACAAATTTAGAACAGGACAAAAAGCCCATTTTTATACATAAAAATGTTCCATTAACTCTTTATCCATCATTATTTCCATCAATCGCTTTTAAAAAAGCAAAAGCAATTCAATGTGATTTTAATAAGCTTTATGCACATATTGCAAATGATGAAGAATTTATGTGTCAAATTATGGAAAAGTAATACATCTACTTTAATGAATACATTTTTTTATGCAGACAGTCTTATTAATATTGATGAATTTATAAGAAAATTATGGGACATACATTTACAAACCAAAAAAAAAGGAATTGTACAAGTAACAATCATTTAAAAACTATGATTATACTTAAGAAGTGATAGCCGATATCATTAGGAATTTTCAGATCAGATTATCTTCTTGAAGCTACACAAAATTCATCACCTCAGTTAAAACAAGTAGAATTTAATACAATAGCATCTTCTATGGGTTCATTTTCATCTAAAATATCAGAAATGCATAAGTAGATGAATACTATTTTAATTTTTATGTATTAATTTTAAAAGATATCTAAACAGTATTGGTGCTTATGGATCATGTATATTAAAAGAAGAAAACTTTCCAAAAAATGATTCAATTAAACTACTTTCAGAAGGACTGGCTAATGCAGACAGGCTATATGGAGGAAAAGATACTAAAATTCTTTTTGTTGTTGAGGCTCATGATCCATTTATACTAGATCAACGATGCCTTGAATATGAACTATTTCAAGTGTTAGAAAGCTAAAATATTAATTCATACAATTGATTATAACTAGTCATGGAATACAAGCTTATCGTGTATCATTACACTCTATTTTAGACAGTATAGAACTTCGCCAAAATGACAAAGCTTTACTTTTCAAATCACCTAACTCAAAAATTGAAGAAATATCAGTAGTATATTTCCGGACAGGATATTCACCAAGTCATTACCCAACATCTATTCAATGGTCTGCACGATTATTAATTGAAGAAAGTCGTGCTATTAAATGTCCAACTGTTATAACACAATTGGCAGGCTGTAAAAAAGTTCAACAAGTTCTTTGTGAGAATAATATCATAAATAAGTAATTTTCCAAATCATAAAGTGCACTAATATTTTCTAGATTTCTCCCAGAAAATATATCAAAATCATTAAAGGAAACATTTGTTTCTATTTATCCACTAAACAAAAGTTTATCAGGTCAAGAAGCTTATCATCTACTAATGAATAACCCTCAAAATTATGTTTTAAAACCTCAGAGAGAAGGCGGAGGAAATAATATTTACGGGTTAAATATATTATCCTTTTTAGAAACAATATCAGAATCTCAAAGAGAACAATATATCCTCATGGAAATGATTCATCCATTTTTACAGACAAATACAATTGTTCAAAATAACGAATTATATCATACTAATGTTGTTAATGAATTAGGTATATATGGTGTTATTTTATGGGATAGAAATGGAAAGATCTATCATAATATAGAATCAGGCTATCTTCTAAGGACAAAAGATAAAGATAAAAATGAAGGTGGTGTAATGATTGGTTGCTCATCAATAGATTCTTGTGTTTTAATTCCTTAATAAGCGGAAATCACAGAAATATCAAATAAAATAATAATAAAAAAAATTATAAAAACAGCATTACTTATTTTAAAAAAACATTTATTAAACATCATTACAACACTCTTAGTGTTAAATATATACCACCTTATAACAACTTTAAACTTGTAATAAGGTAAGTTAACTTTTTTTATAAACCTGATTCGGTAAATCTAAACTGGACTAGGTTAAGGGTATATGAAATAATAACTTCTTGAAGTAACAACTATTTTGAGCACTTAAACTATATTATACTACTAATAACCTAATATTGCAAAAATAAGCTCATTGCAATAATAACTTTTATAAATTTTCCTTTGCTAAAAATATATAGGAAAAAAATGAGCAGATCAATTAACTTATTTTGTATAACAAAACCTCTTAGTTAAGACCAGTTATTAAAAAAAAATATAATTTATAGAAAAGAAATTCGACTTTAATATTGTGATATTATATTAAAATATCAATATAACTATTTTTCTATTTATTTAGGATGGGAGAAGCGTTTTATATATTTTTTTGCTTGATTGGATTTTTATGTTCAATTATACCATCTATTTGGCACTGGAAATATCGAAATGTTGCACCTTTATGTCTTATTTTTTGGGTATCTTCAACTAATTTAGTATATTTTATCAATTCTATCATATGGTATAATGGATCTGAAACATCATATCGAGGCGATCTATATTGTGATATTGTAACTAAGCTTATTCTTGGATCAGTTACTGGGGAATTAGGTGCTACAGCTGCTATTACACATTATCTTTCAAAAATCATGAAACCTTCATATTCATTTTTACAGTCTAAAATAACTCGTAGAAATCAAGCAATAGAAGATCTTCTTTTTAGTTTTGGACCACCTATTATGATAATGTCTTTACATTATATCGTTCAGCCAGCAAGATATGTAATTGATGGAACCAGTGGGTGCATGCCATGGACAGATCGATCATGGTTAGCTGTGGCTATTGTTTTATTATGGCCTCCTGTATTCGGTAGTATTAGTGCTTATTATTCAGGTATATTTTTTTCTATGATTTATAATAAATATATTTATTTTATTAGTTAAAGTAATTATTTCATATATCAAAAAGCGAAATGAATTTCAAACTGTTTTAAAAGATTCAAAAACATCAATGACATTATCAAGATTTATACGTCTTATAGGCTTATCATCTCTAATAATAACCATTTACTTACCACTTAATATTTACTTGTTAATTGCAAATATAGCTGAAATTATTAGAAGCAATATTAAATATTCATGGTCACATGTTCATAATTGGAGTTCTATTATTTTTTATGTTTCAAAAAGCAATATGCCTTTTAATCGCTGGCTTTCACCATCTAGTGGTATTATTATTTTCATCTTTTTTGGCATGGGCAGTGATGCAATAGTCATGTACAAAGAAATAGCAAAAAAACTCTACATTACTCATTTTTTTCATTTTATTCAAAGGAAAATTTTTAGAAAAAAAACTCAAGATATCAAAGACGCAGAAAATTATTATAATAGCTATAGTTTTGAAAAATCTTTAGGCAGGTAAGAAATAAATAAATTATTCAATATCCTTTTCTTTACAAATATATTTAGTTGTCCTCCATTATTTTATAATCAAACACGAGATATAAGAATTGTTGAAAATGGTTCTTTAAACGAATGTCCTTCTTATCCACCTATTTATACTGATCATAATAATCATAACAACAACCATAACAATCACAATCATAACAACAATCATAATCACAACCATAATCACAATCATAATCACAACCACAACCACAACCACCACAATAACCACCACAATAACCACCACAATAACCACAATATAACCCCGTCAACTTACAATCAATCTCACGAACACATTTTTAATACAGAATACAATAAATACAGATCTCACAAATAATAAAATACATAAAATTCACTTCTCTTTTATTCTTTTCAACAATAATATATCTAAAAACCTGCATTTCTACGGACTTATATCTTACAATACATATAACATCTAATTACTTAATACTCTCTCAATTCTTTCAAAAAAAAAAACTACATATATATATATTCAATTCTTATCTACAGCTTCTTGGGAAACATCTTTTTCTGCTGATTCTCTCGATGTTCTCAAAACTTGAACACTCCCTTTGTTTTTTTGTCAATCACTTATATTAATCATCTATATATATATTCGACTTACGCTGAATCACTGATATATTAGTATGCTTCTTCCCATCTTCTGTCGTATATGGATTCAACTGGACTGTACCATCAACATAGACTAATGCTCTTTGACTTTTAACTTATTTCACCTTGATTCACTTATTCATTATTACCCTTTCTTAATAAACGACAACATATATGTATTTAATCGCGGATCAAAATTAACTATACGAAACCAACTCGTACGATCCGGTGAGGTCTGGCAAGCAAGAGAATACTTGATAAAATCTCGTCCTGATTGACTCGTCTCTACAACCAATTCATTTCCTACTCGTCCGATCAAACTAATTTTTGCCAGATCACGTGATGCTCTTGAATTATGAAAAAACTAAAAAAATTTGGTTTTAATCTGTCTAAAAAACATTCAAAACTTACTCTGAAAAACACATTTTTTAAAGGGTTTTTGTAAAAATTCATTTTTACTTAAGAAAATGAACGTCTCAGAAGAGGGTGTCCTGTTGTAATGAGGGAATCCTAAGAGGGTTAAGATTCCGCGGGAGGGACACCCAGGTGTTCGAAGGAGAAGCACAAGGGAGGGTGTTCGTAACCGGGGACACACAGCAGTAGGGGGTGTTCGCAGCGTGGGACACATAGTAGTAGGGGGTGCTCGCAACTTGGGACACACAGTAGCAGGGGGTGCTCCTAACTTGGGACACACAGTAGCAGGGGGTGCTCCTAACTTGGGACTTGATCAAAAACTTTTAATTATTTTGAAATGAGTTGATACACTAAATTATATTATGGAATCTTTACATTAGATATATTCACGGTACATATGTTTATCTATAACTATATCTATAGTTATAGATTATAGTTATAGATTATAGTTATATATTATAGTTATATATATATAACTATATCTTATATATGTATAGATAAACATATAAATACGTTTAAACTACAATTCAACACTTATTTATCCGCTAAGAATATCGGTTTGTCCAGCATTTGCTAAAATAGCCCATACAGATGCTTTAAACAAGGTAAAAACTAATCCAGTCTTTCTTTCAAGTATACTTAATGAATCCAAGATTTGTGACATAGGACTATGTGCTAGTATGTGTAGGATATCAGAAAGCTATAAAAATCTGAATTTTTTTTTTAAATATGTAATTAAGTTATATACTTTATTTAAATTTTGTACAAGTTTTGAATATTCTTGTAATAAAGCGATTTCTAATGATGAGAAAGAATCTATTGTGAGACGAGATATGCCTTGTACAGTCTTTTCCATAGAATACATGTCCGAGAAATGATAAAAAAAAAGGTTAAAACGATAAATAATAATACGTAGCAATAGATATTATTAATATATAAAAATTAATTTAAAAAAAGAAAGAAAACATCCTTCATAGATACTTATAAGATTATATATATGCAATGAAATGCCTTAGTTTAATTATTCATTTCTTAAAGCCATATTTTATTAATAGCAATTATATATTTTCAAGTCGACATCAGAGAAAAAAAGCAGTAAAAGCCAAATGCTACGTCTATATATTTCCTTATATCTATAACTAATTAATAAGAAAACATGTATAAAATATTTATGAGTTAGCTATAGGAAATTAGCTAGACAAATGTATCCACATTGTCATTTTTAAAAATCAATGTCTTATTTGATGAAGAAAAAGAATAATTTTAAATATCCTTCTTGAAATCAGCCTGAAACTGAGGTAATCATGAAAGAGAAATTATAGTATTTATGCAATGAAGAAAATGTTTCGGAAAAAATAATGAATTTTCAGATAAAAATTGTACACAAGTATTATCTTTTCCCATGAATGAGTAAGTAAGCCATATCGGATAATCCTTGATCAGAAGAATTAAAATTATCCATATGTTCTAAGAAAGTTTGTTTTGAAGTATTTTCATTAGACATTATCAGGATAGAGGACCATTTGATAAATAATCGAATAATGATGAAACAAATAAACATTTATATCTTTTTAAAGACTCCAATTCATCTTTCTATATCAAATCCTCTTGAAATTCTAAGATATCTTGAAAAGAACTTTGTACCAAGCAAGATAATTCATAAGTCAATAACCATGAATCTAGTTCTAATTCTAAGTAATGTTTCAAATACTGATCATGATATTTATATAATTCATCCGATTTGAATAACTTATGTTTCAATCTTTTAAAATCCAAAATATATTCCCATAAAAGAGTCGGGAATTAATGAAACATTTTTTACAATCTATAGACTTTTGTTGAAGACTTATTTCACGTCCAGATTGCTCTAAACCAAAATTACCAGGACTACAAAATTTACTAAATATCGTTTTATTCATAAATGACTCAAAATAAGATATATTCACATCATATATTTGATTTTCATTATTTTCAACCATAGAAAGATATTTTGACAGCGTTATAGTATAAACTCGTTACATCAAAGATTGACAATGATTTAAACACAATGATAATACCAATTCCAATAATATAACAGCCATTGATGCCTTTCTAAGCTTTTTCCTCTCCAAATCTCGCTCTAAAGCATCCACAAAAAGCCAATCATAAGAAATATTATACCAAAAAAAACATTTTTTGCCTCTTTATGTCCAAATACAATCATTCTTATAGAAAAAATCATGAAAACAGCTTTTAGAGTCTTCTAAAGAAATATCCAGCCCTATTTTGAAATTTCTTAAGTCTAAAAAAATCCTTTCAAGTTTTTTTTGCATTTTTAATACATTTTCCAAAAGTAATAAACCTATACATTAAACTATACATTATATCCGTCCCAGAAATATAAATATCCTTATTTATATACATTTATAAGACTTTTTCCTGATTCTTAGGTCTCTTAAAAAAAAAAACATAAAACTCTGCTGATTATTTCATCAAGAGATAACATTTGCCTTCTAATACTTTATCATCTATTCCTGCTCATTGGTACTCTAGTAAAAACCGTTTTACTAATAATCATAACTTTCAACTTTTCTCAAAAACATAATATACATTAAAAATGGTCTGGAATATTTGTTTTCGTCAATCTAAATCCTTCTACAAACGTCTCCATCTCATTTAACCCAATCCCAAGCTTGCTTCTGTAAATCTAAGCTTTCATTCACTCATATAATCCACTATCCAAACTCTATCATTTCATAAATTAAACATCTCCTAGTTAATCCTATAATATAACCCATACTAAACTAACATAAAACTCTGTATTTTCCATATATTTAATAAATCCTGTCTCAGCCAACCATGAATTTTGGTTAAGATCCGCATACATTACGCATACATTACGCATATACCACGCATATACCACGCATACAACCCCTTAAAACTCGCACAAACAACAGCTAATCCTGTAGAACCTTGTAAAACCTTCATGCCTTGTCCTTTTCACTTATATTAATAAACTCCTTTTTCCATAACCCCAATTAAAAACATAACCTAACCCCCTACAGCTCCCCATGTATTCCTAGTTTCAATGAAACCACTTATATCGCCATGGATAGGTATATTTTATATCAATATTATATATAACTTACATTTAGCCTATACGTGCACATTTGTTTCAATATCGGGTGTTATTTTCTTAGTAGTTAGATGATTAGTAAAAATAAATGTTTAATATAAGTAGTTTGCCCTTGCAGCCCTATTTAGATATGAGTCGGAAGCACTTATGAGTGATCTTCCACAAGGCATGAGTGGAGCACGTGTTAGTAATACATGTGTTTTAGCAGGCCTGATATATATTGTATATAGAAATCATTGTAATAAAGTGATCTGATATGTATGAAGGGGATATTAATATTTAGTGGTACACAAGTGTGGATGAATCGACGTCAGACGTGAAATTTGCATTAAGTTTGTTGTAAGGATTAGATTAGATAGTGTTTTAAGTTAGTTGAAATTGAGCAGAGGCTTAAATTTGTATATATATGTAAATGATGAAGATAGTTTGAAAGATTTGTTAGTGTAGTGCAAGAAGAAAGTGTATCTGTGATGTTAAAAGATTATAAGTGTATTTGTGTCATTACCATATCCAATTTGTTATATAATAGAATCTATGTTAAAGCCATTTAAAAAATAATAAGCATAATATATTCTTGTTATATCCATAGTATAAATTTCAGTATAATAATGATATATTGTAAAACCCAATATAAATCCAAATCTTGAATATTAAATTATTGTTTTGTATATAATTGCAATACCATTGTGATTGAAAAGCCATTGGATCTAATTTGTATCTTCTACAAAGCTTTCATCAGTCTTTTTAGAAGTATTATCCTGACCATATTTAATTTGCAAAGTACCAGTAGAATCAGGAAAGTTAGAAGTCTTGATTGGCATAGAAAAACAAGTACCTGGCAATCCATCATTATAAAATGTATCAGGATGTAAAGGAAAACAAGAATGATTGATATTAGAATAACTCTGGCAATATTTAGAAGTAAACTGATTAGGAGAAAACATTTCTGATAATTGCTGATGATTCTTCTGTGAGAATAAATCAGTTGTCAAATAAGTAGAAATAGCAGCATTTGAAGTTGAGCCAGATGATGAAGAATAGTTATGAAGTAGATGTTTTGGATGCATCAAAAGATTCTTGTCAAGTAAAGAAAAATTATATGGAGAATCAAAAAATTGATCAGAAGAAAGAGGAAACATAGATGTGTTCGTATAACAATTTTGATTGTCCTCCTTTAAGTCAGAAAAATTCATAGGATGATAAGAGTCATTCATATTTTTCTTAAGAGCAGAAAGATTATCCAATGACTGACAATTTACATTATTATCCTTTTCAATATTATAAGCGTCTGTATGATTACTTGTATCTTTTATCTTTTGTTTTTTATACGCTAGATATTCAGAGGAAAGACGATTTTGATCTTCTGAATATAATTGATTCTCCACTTGGATAAAATCACGTGTATACGGGAGAAATGATTCTTTGTATAAACCGGTATCTTGTTCATTTGTAACACGATTAGAACAAAGATGTTTCTGTACGACTGATAAATTATGAGCCGGTTCAACTTCATCTGAATGACTTTGATGCGATTGTATCGATGATTCTGACGCAAAAGAAGAAGACGAAGACACATTCTGACTCGATTGATGATTTATTTCGGAAGAAAGTGGTTTATTATTTGAACAAAGATCATAAGCAGTCAATGTAATATATATTTCAGTAGATTTTTCTAAAATAATAAATAAAAAGAAAAAAAAAAAACGAAATAAATACCTATATCTCCATTTCTCATTTTTTCTTCTTCTCGTGCTACATGATAAATTTCCCTCAAAAGACTTGTTTTATCAGGAGGGATAAATGTAGAAATCTCAGCAGTAGCTAGCTCAAGTCTATTAATAGGAATTTTAGAACATCTTAACATAGTAATAAGAAGACTAATTCTTTCTATCTCGAATTAATCAGATTTACAATCAATCAACAATCCTACCTGATTTCATAAGGTGATCCGGCTCTTTATGACGTATATTTTCAGGCCACCATGAAGGTTTAGACCTATCTCCCCTATTATATGGATAACGAGTTTGCTTTTTCGGCTCAATCACTTTAATCCATGCTTTTGCCACAATTTTACATACGGATTGTTGTAATTGTTTAAATCGTGACTCCATAAATGCAATAACCTCAGCCGTATCTCCAATAACAAGAGATCTATATCTAGTTTTCCAGGAATCATATTCATTGCTCTTATCATTCGTATTTACATCAATACACAAATGATCTTTGTTCATATTCTTCTTCTTTTGAAAATTCTGCGGATCCCATGTCGAATTTAACGAAATAGACTTCTCCTTAGGAATCAATGATTCATTCATCCCAAGAACTGACTTCATAATATCACTCATTAAAGATTTATCACATATTCTCCCTTCAAACGAATTTTCTAACGAATTTGAACATTTCAATCCTAATACATCATCTTCACTCAAAACGTTCCCATGACTTATTCCTGAAATTCTATTCTCTTTAAACTCAATATTCTCCTTGTTTTTAAGATTATTCTTAGGATTTCTATCCTTAAACGTGTCTCCCGATTTTTGATATGCAAGTGCCAGCTTTTGAGCATCATTCAAAACCTTCTGATTAAACCATGATTTCAATTGTCCCTGAAACGCTTCACTAGCATACGTCTCATAATCCCCCTTAGAATTAACCAACAAAATCGCAAAATTAGACTTATTTATATAACAAGACTTGCATAAAGCACGCAGAATTCGGTCCCGCTTATATTTAAAGTGTCTATTCTGATGTGATGGACTAGAATACGGTTCTACACGCACCGGTATACGTGGCATCACTCAGTCTTATTTTATATATATTTATTAAGGTAAAATCTGCCAAAAAAAACCTATTTTTCTCCGGAAAAAAAGAATTCCAACCATTAAAACATAGAGAATTTCATTTATTCACTTAAAATTGAGGAAATACCTCGTATTTATCCCTTATTTCGCCTTTATTAATATTTCACGTTTTCCCGTCGTCCCAACTTATGATTTTAACGTAGGTTCGATTTTTATCGAAGGTTTCCATGACAACGTTAAAAAAATATACAACATTTTATAATACATATAAAGACATAATACATATTTATTTTACGTTTAAACCAATGCATCAATCCATTTTCTCAGCTCTAACATTAGAAATAGGGTCATCTTTTTTTTCATCTTTATCATTATTTATTCCACATGTAGCAGCTTGTTTCCATACACTAACTTCTCTCCATAATCGATCACATTCAGCCTTTAATTTTTGATTTGTAGCACTTAACTCAGAAATTGCTTGATCCGTTAGAAGCTTTTCTAATGTCCATTTCTCTATATTATTTGCTTCATTTTCCTTCAATTGCTGTATATATGAAACCGTTCTTTCAAGAATTTTTCCCTTATTTTTTTCACATCCCGGAACAATCCTTGATAATTCCGATATACTTTCATTAATTGTTTCTCGTCGTCGACGTTCTACTTCCTATATAAATCATACATATTTATTTTAAACCCTTAAAAAACTCTTTTAACCCTTACTTTATGATTCGATCTTCTAACTCGATGCCATTCTTCCGATCCAACTATAGGTTTATGTCCTCCTGCATCGTGAATCTCCTCATCTCTTCTAATTACTCCCGATTTTAAAATTTCTTCTCCCGATTCAACCGAATAAATCCCACCGCTTTCTTCCTCTTCTTCTTCTTCTCCATTCATTCCAGTATACCTTGTTATCTCTGATAATCCATGAAATTCCTTGCTCAATGCATCTTCTGTACGATATACCTTATCTACCTAATCCTTATATAAGAAGACTTTCTTTAACTCAAAAATACCAATATTATTAATATTAGATATAACGACATACCCTTTGATCTTGTTTTTTTAAGTGTTTCAGAGTCATTAATGGTTTTTTTTAAGAAAAATTTGGAAAAAAACTGAGATTTATAAGATCTGAGTAGCTCGATAGGCTTATCCGTCACGTGAAAAAGGTCTAGATAGATATATATAGTTGTAAAAAAATACAGCAAAGAGGGTTTTAAGAGTGATAGATGTTGACGTTGAAGTGTTATGAAGTGATAAAATACATATTTGAAAGGATATCCCAACGAGAGAAGTTTGAATAAAGAGAAACGTATTTGATGAAATGAAGAACGCCAGGATCTCTTAAAATAAGGTGAAGATTATTCCAAGAAGGAGTAGAATAGAGGAGAGTAGAGTGTGTGATAGTGTTAGGTTCCATATATAAACAGTAACCGCCATTTTGACCGTGATTCCAGTGTCCAGAAGGAGTTAAAGAAAGAATAAGATCAAGAATATGTGTAGAAGAGGTCTGAGGAATTGCAAGAGTGTAATCTAGACCAGGACGAAAGCGACGAATAAGTGAAGTAAAAGTTGAAGGAGTTAAAGTGGTGCAAAAATGAATCCATTGATGAAAAGAAGGATGATTGAAAAGATTTTGTAAAAGAGAGATAAGAGGCGAGTTAAAAGAAGAATCAGGAGTGTCGATATATAAATAACGATGTTTGTGAAGAGGTTTTGCAAGTTTCCAAGGGGAAGAAGTATCCAATGATAAATGAGTTGAACTTGATTTTTCTATATCAATGATCCAGTCTTTTATACGACTGGAAACCGTAGATTCAAGAAAATCAGGTAATTCAAGAACAGAATTATCCAAAAAAGTCTCTCTTAGCTGTATCATTTTTTCATAATTAAGATAGACAGGATTTATCCAATCTTTTAAATATACAAGATGTCCCTTCAAAAACTCGTTAAATTCATCATTAAAAGTAATTGAACATATTCTAGGTTCCATTCGAGGCTCATCGTAATCTTGTATATTTGAATGAAGATTTTGTAAAGTACTCAATACTTTTTCCTCTGATTTTTCCGATTCTTTCCATCCTTCTTCTCCAGGTTGAGGCCTATGAAACCATCCTGAAATACTGAGCCTCCATTTATCCTTTTCATACACTTCTTCCACATCATGGAATGAACGTCCTGGTTGAACTTGAAAAAAACAAAGTTGATTCCATACAGGAAAAATAGCTTTTTCATGCTCAGATTCAGGAAAACATGGCCTAACAGTAGGATATAATCTCAATGCTCCTCCATATGATGGTAACCATGTCTCATCCGGATCTATAAGATATAAAATAAATGAAACCTCACGACTACCAATCACATCATCATGATTAAGCAAATGTCCTCCCTATTCTATTACATCTTAAGACTAATATTTGTCTTAACTCACTTGGCCGTACATATTCACTGATATATCAATCTTTTTACCTGATAAATAACCACAGCCTGTAACTTTAGAAATAAAATAACGAAATTCATAAGAATATAAAGCATTTCTTAATTCTATTAATGAACAGAGCTTATTACGTTCATTTTCATTAAGACCTGAAAGATTTTCCAGATCACCAGTCTGGAAGACCTGTATACCATGAAAAATAATATGTATAAAAATAATAAAAATACCTTATAAATGTCTGTTTCTTTCTCAGAAAAGGCAAGATTTTCAATAATTTCATGACGAATTTTTCTTAACAAATTTTCACATATAATACCAGTTAATACAGAGTGTTTATAAGGCCGAGCTGAATGGTATTCCTGTGAGATAGCAGTTATAAAATCAGAAGACTTAAGTGGAAGGGCAAAAACAGAGTTAAAATCCAGTCTTTAATGCTTTTTTAATAAAAATAAGCTAAAATTTTTATAAAAGAACAAGTTTTCTTAATAATTAATAATCCCAGCCCTAATATTAAATTATATAATTAATCTATTTTAATGCAGTAAAATTATCAGAAATGAAACAAACAACCTTATACGATCTTAATCTGCGTGTATTACGTATGCATTATCCATCGGCTATATCAATAATTGCAAGTTCACCCTATGTTGTACTTTATTCATTCTCAGAATCAAAAAAAACATGGGTAGAAACTAAGAGAAGAAGTGATTTAATAATTATTTTATTAGACCAAGGAACACTGTGAAGGAACACTATTTATATTTTCAACGTTAATAAATATTTATTTAAAACAAGATTTATTTATTTATTTATCCTTAGGAACAAAGGGTATAGCTATACAATTTTGAATCGGGTTTCATTGGAGTCATTTTCAGCAAATTTAGTATGTCCGGATGATCTTGAATATTCAGATCCATATATTATTCATAAGATCAATAATAGTATTGATAAGCCAATATATTTGAAAAAAAAAACTTATGTTTTAGATGAAATCTATGGTCTTTGGATCTGGGAGGCGTTTGACCGACAAAAAATATCATCAGTTATGATTAATTGTGCTAAACGTAATGTTAATACTTAAAGAAAGTTGAATATAGTTTGAAGCATTAAGAAAATATGATAGATCTGGTATGATCTATATATAGAAAAATCAAAGAAATTATTATAAAATATGAATGTGAAATAAAACGATAGTTACCTGTTATAATAGAGAAAAGAACAATCCAGTATTTTTAAAATAAACCGATCCTTATGACATCCTTATTCCTAAAATATAAAAATATTTCTAATATTCATCCTACAAAAAGACAAATTATTTATGAAATATAGCAAAATTAGAATTAATATTCATAAAAAATATAAATATATGAATTATTTTCCAGACTTAAATGCCAAAAGAGAGGACAAATTAGAAAGACTACATGATTTCTTTAAAAAATCATGCTATAAAATAATTTATTAGATTATTTATAGAGAAAAAATTAGACAAACCTCTAAAAGTTCCTCAGCAGTAGCTCTACTTTTAACGTCTACACATAAACAAACAGCCAGAAAACTTTTAAGTTCTTTGCTTAACTTATCGGGCTTTTTTAATGTAGGCGTGCCATTAGTAGCAATAAGGTATAATGCTTTTAAAGGCTCTTCGTTTAAATAAGGAGGTTCAGTTTCTATCATTTCTATAGCCATAATTCCCAAACTCCAAATATCAACTTTAGCACCATATTCTTTTTGTTTAACGACTTCTGGAGCCATCCAATACGGAGTTCCTACCATTGTTGCTCTCTTATTCTTTTGTTCTGTCAGTTTTGCACAAAACCCAAAGTCAGCTGCAAGTTAAAATGAGAATATGCAGAAAGACTTAATAAATTACATACTAATTTTTACGCGACCATGAAAATCTAAAAGAACATTATCGCTTTTAATATCTCTATGAATTATTTTTTGTTGATGAAGATGTTGGAGACCTTTACATGTCTATTTTACGTTAGATAAACCTGTAAATATATATTTATATATGTAAGCAATTTAACCTCTAAAGATATAGCAGCAATCTGATCTTCCGTCAATGTATTATTATCAATTATATCCGTTAAAGCACCACCTTCCATATACTCCATAATGACCCATAATTCAGAATTTTTAGCTAAATATGCATCTAAAAAATTAACAATATTTGGATGATGACTTTCTTTCATCACAAGAATTTCATTAACAATCAATTCCCTCCTTGGTTGATGTGCAATATCCATCTGTTTTATAGCCACTTTTAAACCAGTTTTTAATTCACAATTTCCTGATTTTATATCTGAATTTACTCTAGCAACATAAACAGAACCACTTGCACCTTGCCCCACTTTTTTGATCTTAGTATATAACGTATTAGGGTCATTTGTAGAAACTACATTTCTAAGCCTTTCCATCACCTGGCTTCCTGTTAAATCATTAACTTTCTCATCAGAAGGAGGTTCTTGTTTCATTGCTCGCGCATTTGAAAGTGACAACGGCAACTTAGTCGCATTGGGTTGTTTCATAGTTGTCTCAGGAAATGTAGTTGGTATATCAGGAATATTTTTTGATGATGTAGGGATTTTTGGTAATGGCTGAGTTGGTGCTTGAGAAATAAATGCTAAATTATTTTGCGATTGCTTGTGTTTCAACGTTTCAAGTGGTACATTTTGACGTTTTTTCGCCGTAACTCCAAATCCCTTGTCAACATTTGAAGAACCACAGGTAAGGAATGAGTCACTTTCATGAGGAAATGATGCCATATCAGTATTTAATCTAGTAGGCAAATTCGATGGTAATGCTGGAGGTACACGTTGAGGCACCATTTTTTCCGAATCTTTAATATCCATCTTCTTGAGCCATTCTCGAAGAGGAACTGCACCTTTAGAAGTAGATGATACTGGATATTGAGAGTTAAAACCATTATTCACATAATGCTTCTCCATTGTCATTTTATTTTGCTCTAATGACTTTATATCCTGATTTTCAATATTATAAAGATCTGGACCCAATGTACTCGGCTCTCCAAACTCCTCTTTTTCTCTTAATTGGGTATCACTATAAAATTGAAGCACTTCAATCACTGCCTCAGGATTTTTCGCATAATCTTCCTTAGTTATAGCACTAGCAGTCAAAAGTCTCGTCCATTCTTCCGGAAGCCCTGTAAATCCCCCACTCTTAGGATCAAATCCAACATGAACCTTATGTGTAAAATTCGTCGGATTCGAAACCATCATCAATGGACATCTCTATAATTAAACATTAACTATTAAAATATTATAAATAACAAAAATAATACAGAGTAAATCTCATCCATCCATGAATAAAGATCATTATCACTTTTAAGACTAATAAAATAGCTTTTTTTCGTTCCTGATCCTAATTATATCATTAGTCAAAAATAAATAAATCATAATATATATATATATATATATATTTGAGTAATGATCAATTTTTATATATATTTGAGTAAAAATCAATCCATATTAATATCCAAAACCCCCTTCTTCAATAAAAATTGATCATTACCAATTCATTCGAGTCCAAAATTTCCCAAATCATTGACTCCCTCTAAAAATTAATTATACACATACCAATCCCCGGATCCCTCAAAATTTCAAAACAATAATCTTTTAATTCAGCACGACTAACGTTCATAATTTCACGTAAAGGAATAGATAATCCTGGACTCGTCGAACTCTATTATATTCAATTCAATTCCTTTTAAACCCCTCCAAAAAAAAATACCTCATTCTTCATAACACGAAGAACTTTGTCCGTTAAAACTAAGTACTTTTTAGACCATATCCAGCTCTTAATCCCTTCTTCTTTAACATTCGCCCATCCCGCCTTCAAAACTCCTTTTGACCCTTTATATGTATGAGATACGTCAAAACATCGTCCCGCATAGATATTCGATGATGAATACGAGGGGATCTTTATCGGAGGAGCCGGCGCCGGCCCTGGATTCATAAAATATTGTGATGATAAATTATGTGCCATAAAAAAGCAAAAAAAAAAAAACTATATAATCCCAATAAAAAAAACTCTCTCAATTAATTTATATATATAAAATCTATAAATATACGTTATTATTTTGCCTTAAAAACACTTTATTTACCTGCACAAAGAAGAGTAGAAATCTGCAGGTTTTTTTGACGTCCGAAAGTATGTATAAATCAAGCATACGTTGCCATGGCGACAGTCACGTGAAAAAAGAAAGAAATATATAAGAGGATTGAATGAATTGAAGTAAAGAAATATTAAATCTTATTGCGTTCATAAGAGGGATCATTAGTATAGATTTTAAAAGAGAGATACATAGCAATTAGCGCAGAAATGCCGCTGATTTGAAAGATCCAAATAAAACTATAGTCCATGTTATCATTACATTTTATAATATCTTCGAATTTTTTGTAGCCAGTTAATTTAAATATAATACCAACCATGATGATGCTTAATACTTGTGGAACGGTGATGAATATATTGTGAACACCAAGAATTGTTCCGGATCGATGTAATTGATTATTAGAAGAAAGTTGAATAGCAATGAGTGAAAAAGGAGCCCAAAGAGTGATTGCCCTGTATAATATTATAGAAAAAATAAAAAAAAATAAAAAATAGAATATTACCAGCTAAGTCCACATAAAGCTATAATAATGGTTGCCTGAGTGATTGATTTTACTAGTATGGTTGAAAGCATGCATAAAGTAAAAATAAAATGACCAAAAGTCCATAAAAACTGAATGTTTATATTTTGTAAAATGTTATAAAATTTTAATCTGAAGATATATTTGAATAGTTTTTTTCCAGAAACAAATAAAGGAAAGAAAAATGTTCCGAATAAAGAAATAATAGAAAAAAGCAAAAAAGCAAAAGATCCATATCGAGTTGCTTCTTCTATTAATAAATATTCTTTCTCTTTAGTATATAAATGATCTGGATATTTTAAATATTTATTACAATATTTTTCAGCGTATATTTCAGCTACATATGTTGTCCCCTTTCATCCAATAAGTATCAATTTAATTTAGCTATAACAAAAAAAATCTTACATAAAAAAGAATCGGAAACCTTAAATACCATTGAAATTAGTTCTTTATAATATAATATAAATATAAATACCATCCTAATATTATATTAACTTTATTCATTCAATTAAATAAAATAAATTTACCAATCCATGCAAAAAATTGAATTATACATATCCAAAGGATTTCTGAAGGAAGTGTTATAATAGTAGAAAAAATCGTTTTAAAAAAATTAAATAAACTCTTCCACCATGGTATCTTTTCAAATTCTGAATCTCTATTTAAATAAATACTAAAAAATATACAAAACTATTAAATAAAAAATACCTTTCCATAAAATAACGTTTTTCCTTTGCTACAAAAAATGTAACCGCCATACATACAATTAATACAATTGATCCAATAACACTAAGTGCTTTAAATTCCGTATTTCCTAATGCTGGCGCAATCTTTGGTAAATTTAAATATCCATTTAAATATCCAACTACATTAAAAATTCCAATCATACGACTTGCCCATGCATTTGCCAAATCTTGTTGAACCATAGGAACCATATCAATAATTAATGCTCGACTACTTGCTTGAACTTTTAAATCATTAATTCCCTTCTTTACATATATATATATATGTAAATATACATATATATAAAAATATACCAATATTAATAGAAAAATCAAGAAGATAAACAATAATAATAGATACAATAATCGTCATATTTTTCGCCACCTTTTCATGCCCTGAAAAAAAGAAAAATGCTATATCTTTAAAATAGGCCAATCCTATTAAACTAATAACAACGCATAGCGTCCCTACTACAAGAAATGGCCTTCGTCTACCAAATTTACTCCTTGAACGGTCTGAAAAGAACCCAATAAGAGGCTGTATAATTATTCCTGTTAATGGTGCCGCAATCCATACAAATGATGTATAATGCTTAGTTAATCCTAATGAAAGAAGATACGGCGTTCCTTCCCTTATATAGTATAATATAAATATCTTTCTACTTCTTACCATATCCCAATTCAATAGACCCTATCTTATAAGCTATATCCTATATATTATATATACTTACATGTAAGCTGTAGACCCCCTAAAACCAGCGTTAAAAAAAGCAGATAAAGAGTCCCTCTTAATGGTGGTTCTTGAGGCTCTTCAAGAGGCGGAGAGGCGTTAATAACGTCATCAAAATGGTCTTTTGACGCATTTACATGGGCATACAATCCGATCATGGAGATCGAGATGAGGAGGAACGACACGGCAGTATGGGGAAGAAGGAGTAAAAGTGAGTAAATGAAGAAAAGAATGGTATTTTTACAGTAGGTTTAACGCATATAGAAACAAAATGGAGCATAGTTTTTATGAAAGAAAGGGAAATGAACAGTTGACTAGTTGGGGACTTTTGATATTGATGGTTTTATTAATAATGGCGCTATGGGTATCATATTATTTGCAAGATAAGAGAGTTAGAAGCATGCATGAGACAGTGATATCTATTTTATTGGGTATTTATGTATTATTTATAGAAGGAAGGGAGATATATATGTATATAGGAATGATAGTCGGGGTACTTATTAAAGAAATCAAGAATACAGATATTCAGAAGATAGTTACGTTTAACTATGGATACTTTTTTAATCTTCTTTTACCGCCAATTATATTAAATTCAGGATATGAGCTTCATCAAGTATAGAAGAGAAAAGAAGAAGAAAAGGTTAAAAAAAAGATAGGAACTTTTTTTTAAGAACGCAGGAGCTATATTTACATTTGCATTTGTTGGTACGTTTGTATCAGCGGTTATTACAGGGTATAAATAAGAGGGAAGAAAATAATTTCTTATAAAAACAGACTTTTGATATATTTATGGGCGTTAACAGGCCTAGAACAGATAGGAATTTCATGGATTGAGGCACTAAAATTTGGGGCAACGATTAGTGCAACCGATCCGGTTACAATTCTTTCTATTTTCCGTACATATAATGTAGATCCTACATTATATACAATTATTTTTGGAGAAAGTTTATTAAATGATTCAGTTTCAATAGTTATGTTTGAGTTAAATTACCTATAATGTGAATGATATGAAATTAACTTTTTTTAAGAACATTACAACGTTTTTATAATAAGGAGATGAGTATAATTGATGTTTTTATAGGAATTGGAAGGTTTTTTATAATATTTATAATATCTTTGACCATAGGGATCATAGCGGGTATTTCTATAGCATTATTACTGAAATATTCGCATCTTCGCCGCTTTCCATATATAGAATCATGTATTATTACACTAATAGCTTATTCATCTTACTTATTTTCAAATGGATGTCATATGTCGGGTAAAATCTATCAAATAGATGATATTTTGTAATATGGAATAGGCATTGTTTCTCTTTTATTTTGTGCAATTACATTAAAACATTACGCCTTTTACAATATGTCTATACAAACACAATTTTCTACAAAATTTTTGTTTAAAATATTATCTCAACTATCAGAAAACTTTATTTTTGTTTATCTTGGGATATCACTCTTTACACAAGAAAATCTTGTATATAAACCATTGCTAATTTTAGTTACAATGGTAAGTTTTACAAATTTTTAATTCAATTAACCTAAATTACAAGCTTTTTGTTTGTATTGCTAGATATATATCTATATTTTCTATTTCAAAGTTGATAAATATGATTATAGAATCATACAATATTGTTTTTTATGAGAAATTACCAACATCTTATCAATTTATGTTATTCTGGTCAGGATTAAGAGGTGCTGTTGGTGTTGCACTTATACAAGCACTTGAAGGAAAAGAAGCAAATACCTTTAAAGCAACCATATTGGTTGTTGTTGTTTTAACTGTTATTATATTTGGAGGTACAACACCTCAAATGCTAGAAATTACAGGAATTCGTATGGGAATTACTAATTATCAAGATGATTATCATATGGAGAGCTTTTATAACGAAAATCCTTCACTAGAAGAAACCATATATGACAGATTTCAATACAGAAAATCAGGTTTTTCACCCAATTCTCATAAAATAAACCAATATACATATGAATCAGATCAACATTCAAGACAATTGGATTCTTTTAATGTATTATACCATTCTGATAGTTCTTCTGAAACACAGGGAAACGAAGAAGATAATACTAATAGGGAATCTTTTGATTCTAACCTTTTTTTCCCTACTGTCACTGAACCAGCAAAATTAGAAGATATTTCTTATACATCTTATGAAATGACAAATGAAGACATATCTACAGATAAGGATAAACTATCTACATCAAATAATCATATAAAATGGTTCAAGAACTTTGATTCCAAAGTTCTTATGCCTTTAGTTGTTGAAAAAGACATTTTTTCAAAAAAAAAGAACTACCAAGTCTAAAAAAAAGGAAGAAATGGGGAAAAAACAAAGAAAAACATCCTCCATGAAACAAATAATAATCATTAATCATTATCAACTTCTTTTTCATAACATTTAGGTAAAATATTGACCTTATATATAACTAACATTTTTTAACACAAATTGGTTTCAAAAAAACATAAAAAAACATGGAACTAACAAAGACATGTCTATACAAAAGGAAAATACAATGATATTATTAAAATTAAACCAAATATTTTTTACTCAAAAAAAATACATCATTTTTTACACAAAATCTATCAAAAGACTCGTTTTATTCTATTCATTTAGGTAACAACGCTTTATTCTAACGCTTTAAAATATACCCTTTCTTTATCAACATTATCATATATATTCGCCTCATCGTCGACAGCTTTCTCTATAAATACCAGTCGATCCCCCAAAAATTTTAAAATTTTTCAAAATGGTGAGTTAAAGCGGTGGTTTCAGGAGTAAAAGGGCTAATGTTTATGACAGGGCAATGTTCAGTCAGGAAATAACGGAAAACCCTCGAAACAAGAGGATCAGGAGAAAGTCTGTGCTTATATAGATAAATCAAGGAAGAATTAACGTTAAAAAACAGAAAAAAGAGTCTAAATATGAGCCACTGGTTATGTCTACACGTATAGGAAGGAGATATAATAGAAATAAGGGGCCGGATGCATCATATAAGTTTCCAATGGTATATCCGACGACAAGATGTCGTTTGAAGCTTTTAAAGATGGAAAGGATCAAAGATTATTTGTTATTAGAGCAGGAATTTGTATCTAATCAGGAGTTGTTGAAGCTTGATTCTGAAAAAAGAGATCAAAAAGGCGAAGAAGAGGATGATGATAAGCTTCAAAGTTTAATTGGAAGTCCTATGGGGGTAGGAACGTTGGAAGAGATGATTGATGATGATCATGCAATTGTATCATCAGCTACGGGGCCGGAATATTATGTTTCTATTATGTCTTTTGTAAATAAGGATTTACTTGAGCCTGGATGTTCGGTATTATTACATCATAAGGCGGTATCGATTGTTGGGGTGTTAAGTGATGATATTGATCCAATGGTATCGGTGATGAAGTTGGACAAAGCACCGACGGAGTCGTATGCGGATATTGGGGGGCTTGAATCACAAATTCAAGAGATCAAAGAGACGGTAGAATTGCCATTAACACATCCTGAGTTGTATGAAGAGATTGGAATTCGACCGCCTAAAGGAGTTATTTTATATGGTGAGCCAGGGACGGGAAAGACATTATTAGCAAAGGCGGTAGCGAATCAAACGAGTGCAACCTTTTTACGTATTGTTGGATCAGAATTAATTCAAAAATACCTTGGAGATGGACCAAAATTTGTCCGAGAGCTCTTTCAAACGGGTAATTATTTCTTGAGAAAGAGATTCAATGAAAGAATAACATTATTCCAGCACAGGACAATTCACCGTCTATCGTATTTATTGATGAAATCGATGCTATTGGGACGAAAAGGTATGATTCAACATCATCAGGAGAACGAGAAATACAACGAACGATGCTTGAACTTTTAAATCAATTGGATGGGTTTGATGATCGTGGAGATGTAAAGGTAATTATGGCAACAAATCGAATTAATGATTTGGATCCGGCATTAATACGGCCCGGAAGAATGGATAGAAAAATTTTGTTTGAAACACCAGATCAAAATACAAAACGTAAAATCTTTCAGATTCATACGAGTAAAATGAATCTCGGGGATGATGTATTAATTGAAGAGTTTATAACAGCTAAAGATGAAATGAGTGGCGCGGATGTAAAGGTAATAGTTAAGCTATACATAAAGTTTATTAATATATATATATATATAGGCAATTTGCACGGAAGCTGGTCTGCTTGCTCTTAGGGAACGAAGAATGCGTGTAGTTGCCGATGACTTTAGAAAAGCTAAAGAACATGTATTAAAAACCAAACAAAAAAATATACAAGGCGAACTTTATATATAAACTTGTGTTTTGTGTAGAAAATGGCTCAATCAAATCCTCATATACCTAACTTGTACGTATTTTTTTAATCATTGTCTCTTAAATACAGGATAATTTATAATATTCAATAAAAAAAAACAAAATCAAATTCAATCTATTTACAAATCATCTTTTATATTCATAAAAAAGCTCATCTACTTTTAATCATTATTTAAAATTCAATATCTATGCTACAAATCTTGGTGAAACGTTTCTCCAATGTCTAACCGGTCTTGTATCTTCTAATTCTACGGCATACCAATATGCTTTTTTAGCATTTTTTAAATCATTCATTTTTTCCCAACTCTCTCCTAATAAAAGCCATGCTTCTGATGAATCCCAACCAGAAAGTTTAGTCACCATATCTAACATTTGTTCTGCTCTATCTCTACAGGACTCATATTTCTCTCCTTCCAAGTCCAAAAAAACTTTACTCAATCCAATACTAGCATCTATATGATCATGATCTTCTAATAAAGCCCATTCAAATCTCCTAGCAGCATCTTCCAATTTATTTAAATAATAATAAAAGATACCCCACTTAATAAGATTAATTGATATAAAAAAGAAGAAATAAAACTTGCCTGAGTATGTACATCAGGATGAAACAACCCAATTTTTTCTGCCTCTTTAATAGACATTAAAGATTCATTCCATCTTGAAGCACGACAACATAAAGATGAAAAAACTAACCATATCTTCCTTAAACAACGCTTGGATATTTTCTTTTGTTCTTTTTTTAAATAATAATGATAAGATTCAGATTGTTTAAATGATGAAATCCTATTTTGATACCCATTTTCTAAAGACAATTGACTAATACGAGAAACATTCAAATCAGAATGATCCAATGATGAATATTTATGTTTTAATTTCAAACTTAAATCATGAATATTACTATCTAAAATATTCAGATATATATCAAGTAAAAATACAGATACCTACTTAAAGAACAAAGAGACATAGATCTTCTTGAAGGATTAAACAATGGCAATTGACTAGAAGTATATCTTTGCAAAAAAACATGACTTGATAACCGTTCTTCAAATGACTTAATCATTACTTCTTTATTTTCACTAAGAAGTACAGAAGAAATAGTTTCCATAGGAGCTGAATCCAATATTTCAAAGACAGGAAAAGGATATTCTGTCTTAAAAACTTTTCCATAGAAATTAAAAATGTTTTTATACATTTCAATAGCAACATCTATACCATCCCTTGCCTCTAAGAGTGCACAAAGTGTAATCTTTATCTCAACAAGGCTTTCAAGATCTTTATAATCTAAATGAGAGAAATTACCCCCTGTTTCAACACCTGATATTTGAATTGCAACCTCACAAATCTGAATAGCTTGACTATATTCACCTCTAGTAGATAATAAAAGTGAAAGAAGATGAAATGATTGATACAACTTATATTTCTGAGAAACAACATTCTTAATTGTTAAAATTGCATCTGTTATTTCCCTTTGTTCAGCATATTGAAATGCCAAATGGTATAGACTAGATTTCTTATCAGGAACATATTCCAAAGACTTTTTAAAAGCATTAACAGCATCTTGCTGTATAGACGGCCTCTCAGAAGCTTCATAAGCTATAATTATATTCAGTGTTGAATCAATTATTTCAAAAAATGATACTTTTCATAGATTGACAACTATATGTTATTCCAATTGCCTCCCAAATATCACTAATAATTTTACGGTGCTTTGAAGGTTCTAAAGTATCCAATGCATGACGTAATTTCTTAGAAATTACCAATGCCTTCTCAAACTATCTTATTAATTTAGTATTCTTAAATAAATATAATCCTACATCATTATAATGAATAATATATAACTTTATCCCATCTATATAAGTCTCTAGAACCGTAATATCATCATCATAGTCCTGTCCAGTGTCTTGTTCTATTGTCTCATTTCTAGATAACATATTTTCTTGACGAAAAGGTGAAATTTTAGCTCTTTCAACCAATTCAACATATAAATCAAATGCACAGCATGCCTCGTCATAGTTCCTTAGGAAAGTTAAGACCTCCATCAAGTACCGTATAAGACGATGAGACTTATATGTTTTATTGATGGCATAATAGATGGTCTAACCCATTAAATCTTAAAAATAGAGAAAAATATAAATTACTTCTACAATTGCTTCTGCATAATCCAATCCCTTGCCCGTATTCTTCCAATTCATCATAACTAGATCCACATATTCCAAGATAATACCATTTAATTTACCAGCTTTAGGAAAATTAACAACTTGTGTTAATAAATTCCTATATATAGGCTCTATTTTTAGAATAATAGGCTCTAACTCTGATAAAGAAAAAGAAAGATCAGAATCTTCTGAATTTGATGGCTGATCTTTAGAACTATCACATGAAATACTATTATTCAATAACTCAGAAAGTAACTGATAATAAAAGCGACATACAGCCGCAGAATACAACTCCTTCTTAATTAGAGATATAGAATTATCTAAATATCCTGATTTAATTGAATTATATGGACTAAAAATATAAATTTGCTTATAAATCAAATTATAATCACATACTCTGACTTTAAGAGTAAAAGACATGACCTGTAATATATTATATCAAGCCATTCCCGCGACTTTTCAGGAATTCTTCTATGTTTTATCTGTTCTATTGCATAAACTGCTGATTTATACGTCTCAATTGCTAATGATGCCTCATACATACATTCTTGAGACAAACCTATCAATTACTTAATAAAATTCAATATTTATACAACAAAAAACCTTTAATAACATATCCTTTGATTATATTAAATAAACAATACCCTGAACTCTCTAAAATTGATGTTATTTCACAATATGAACTTATTGTCTCCAAAGCACGACTATATTCCGATTTTAAAAAGTAAATATGACTCAAAACAGTACGCGCATGCTATCCATCCCTCTATAAGCCCATATATACCCATATTTCTCCTATTTACCAGTTTTTCATGCTGTGTTTCAACTCCATTCAAAAATTTCATAATTATCCCCATAATCTCGTTCAAAAACCCTTCATCAACTACCGACAACACATCATGAGCATCAACAAAGATCTTCCCAAGGATTTTATCCCTTATATCCCCCTCTTTCTCCGCTTTTGTCTGTTCTTCTAGACGATATTCTGCAAGCACAATTTCACACAAAGCTATCCCAATGACAATCAGAAAACTCCCTATCAATAATAAGGCTTTATACCCTCCTTATTAACGTCATGTTTCCTCAATTTACGCACCAATTCTGGTACATTTGACCAGACATAGCTGCACAGTGCTGCATCCAATAACCGCTCATATAAAACCGCTTTTTCCTGCAAAAAAACACGTCAGTAGGTTCTTAATGCATAGGATCGGGCTTACAGAGCGCATTTACCTGGTGTTCATCGGGGTTCATGCGTATATATGCGCCTGAACCATTTTTGTGTCGTCCAATATCGTGTATATGGGGGGCCTATCCGCAGCACAGGAGGCGCTGCTGCATGAGATTTTAGCAAAAATAACAGGAAATGAAGCGCATATACTTCGTATTTTCTCATTTTTATTGGATGATTTGCATTATTATCGGCCTATATGCTCTCTTTCACCGGAAGATGCCCTCTGGAGCCCTTGGCATAGACTAATATATACGCTGCTGCATGGAAAAAAGGCAGAACAGCGCTGGATTGGAGCATGTCTTGTTAAGATCAGCGTATGTCAGAACGGGGAAAGTTTAATTCACCATGGTACTGTATGGTGCCAGCGCTTAATAGCACTTATCAGTGTAAGCGGGAGTAGGGAAGATATGAAAAGGTTAAATGTATCAGGAAGAGGAAAAGGATACAGTGGTTCGACGAGCATGCCTTAGTTTTATCTATATTATGCTTTATTCAGAGGGAAAAGCAGTTTGTATGCGTTCATTTGTGACGCCATTTCTTGGGACGTTTTTAAAGAGCTTAATTGCACTTCCTAGCAGAAATATGCTGCTTACAAGTACATGTATACGTAGTATATTGGATATTATTGAGGTTTATCCGAGTATATGCAGGCCATTTGTCTCAGGAATTAGGTCTATGGGTGTTCGTGCTATAAAAGAGCATAATATGAATGAACCAGATGTTCAAAAGGGACTATTTCAGATATTATCAAGGTTACATCTTTGTGAATCAAAGGATTATGGAGGGGAGAAGTGGAATTCTGGAGTATTATCATGTATTTTTGAGTTACATAATATAATTGATCATTTTTTTGAGGAATCAGAGAATGGTTTAAGCTATAATGGAAGAATGGCATAGGACGAGCTGACATAGTGTTTTTTAGGGCGATATACATGTTCAAAGGTGTCTGAATGGGAGCAAGAAGTATTTTCAGAAGACTTTTATGAAGCAATTGAGCAAGGTTTGCATAGATTTGAAAAATACATGCAAATTATGCAGCAATATTTAAACCAATCGACTCCTTATTATGTAAAGATACCGTGTGGACAGCTTTTTTTCCTTATTTTTAAAGTCTTTGGTATAAATACAACATCAAATGTATATTTCAATATGGTTATGATGTTTTCTGATTTTAATAGACAAAATTGATATTAGATAACAAGGAGAAATCAGTATTGCTTATGAAAATCCCATATTTTCATTTGATGACAATAGAACTTTTGACTATTATGATTCAAATGTATATATACTGTTGATTCTATTGATGACTGATATAAGTAGTCTTGGTTCGAATATTTTGCCATATCTTTCAGGCTTAGTTCTTCATCTTAGTCGTCTCTTTTCTAGGGAAAAAGAATTGATGTAAAGTTTCATATCAAAATATGTAGAAACTAAATATTTGTCTTAGACCATTAAAAGTGTCTATATACAATGTTTTTAGCACACTTTTTCAGAATGTTGGAACGTCTTTTTCATCCAGTAAATTGATAGATGTAGTTATTCAGGAAGCATTAAATGATCTTAATGAACTCTTAACTATTTCACAACAAGTTTCTATATTGAATGATAAAAATGAGTCAAAGAAGAATAAGACATCAAATATAGCACTAAATAGTTCTAAATTTCAGAAAGGATATATGGAAAATGTAACAAAGGCATCATTGAACTTTATTTCTTCTGTTATAAGTTATTTGCCTTCAGGAATACTTTCTTCAGTTCAGAGATCACTTATAGACAAAACTATTATATCTGTTGCATTATTTCCTAGTCTAAGAAAGAGACTGCAAAAACAAATATATAATTCATTGATAAATAATGTTATTTCACCAGGAAATACACAAGCAATCATTTTGCCACATGTAATACGTATTTTTCAAGAAGCTGGTAAAGAAACAGACATTTTTACATACAAAGTAAGGAGTACATGTTTTATTTAATCAAAAAGCTCATAATTTTAAGATGAAAAACTTTAATCATATAAAATTTTTGACACTTGATGCTATTATACATCCTAGATTTCCTCCATTACAGAGGAGATTTAAAGAAGAAACATTAAAAGAAGAAGAAGATCATGGTAGATCAGAAATATTACAAAAAACTAATGAAATCTATCTTAAACATTTAAAAAATGACAATATATCAAATATGTCTAATATTTATCATATACAGGACAATTGTAATATATTAAAATCACAAGAAAAAGAAGTATTAAATATAACTCAAGATACAACTTCTCATTCTACAATTGAATCAGAAGAAAAGTTGAAATTTTCAAACAAACATATATTTAAAACTTTCTTAAATAATAATACACAAAACAAAGATTTATCAGAAAATATACTTCAACCACTAATAAAAACTATAGAAGAAGAAAATAATCTAAATACTATTCTAATAAGTAAAGAGAATGAGTCAGATAATTTATCAGATACTGAAATTCCTACAATTGTTATGGAAGATAGTAGTAGTGAAGAATAATCAAGATAATTCAATTCATTCATATCGAATTCAATTCATTCTCTTATATAGAGATCAGTTATTTCAGGAATATCTGTAATTTGCTTATTAAATATGGGAAAATCTTTCAAAACATCATCCCATGATATTAATCCTTCTGAAAGCTCTTTAATGACTCTCAATATTTCTTTTTCTGATGCTCTTATTTGTCTTGTTGTATCTCGTTCTCTAAGGGTTAAACTATGAAACATGAAAGAAGGCTAAATCACTTTTAAAAATATACCTTCCATCATTTACTGTTTGGAAATCAACTGTTATTCCAAATGGTGTACCTAATTCATCATTTCTTGAATATCGTCTACCAATTGCAGCAGAAGAATCATCAACTTTGTGAGATATCCCAAGTTGACGCAATTCAAATGCTAATCATCATTAATAATATTCATAATATCAATCTAATATTACATAATTTATCAATAATAGGATCAAATGCAGAATTATTACTTAATGGAACTAATAAACATTTGACAGGTGCAACTATAGGTGGAAAAGAAAGAACCTTCTAGTATTAATATGTTGATTAAACATTTATAAAAAGAAACTTACACAACGGTCAACATCATCAGATCTTATCCAATAAGAATGTTCAATAAGAGAATATAAAATCCTTCCAATACCAAAAGAAGGTTCAATTACATTAGGAATATACTCGCGAACTTTAAAAATCAATCTTAATTAATAAAAATATAGAAAGGTACCGCTAATTGTCTTTTTAACTTGTTCAATTGTAAATAATGATGATGGAATTTCAAATTCTCTTCCATCCTCTACTTTAACTACAATTCTACCTTCTGATGCTGCTTGATCACGATATCTTATTTTATCTTCATTACTCCAACTAGAAATAGCTTGTTCAACAACTTTTAAATCTTTTTTAAACAAAGGACCAATCTTTTTCTTATCTACATTAACAACCCATTCTGTAACCTCCATAGGCTTCGGTAAAAGCTCCCTAACAACAAGTTTTTCCTTTGTCTTCTCTGAATGAACTGTCAAATCATATGCTGCACGGTCTGCACATCCAACACACTCAATCCATCCCTATAATAATTAAAAAAGTTTAAAAAATTACCTAAAATTCACATATGACGTTAGCAATTCCGCATCCCAGCAATCACTAGCATAATGTGCCATTTCATTATTCATATGTTGTCTAAATCTAAGCTTTTCCTTGTTCATTCCAATCCTAATCAAGAATAAATGTATTCGTGCAAGAAAATATGCCAATGTAGTATTCTCTAAGATACCCTAACATACATTTATCCTGTTCAATGTCATTCTACACATCTTACTCTTGCTACTGCTTCTCCAATCTTCATCTCTATAACCTCTTCTTTACCAGACATTTGTATTTCCCTTGTTAAGAATTTCATTTTGACATTTTCTACCTCATTAAATCGTCTATGATCCTTATTCAAAGGATCTACATAGTGCTCAATCTCTGCCATTGTAAATTCCCTCATCCGTAATAGTCCACTCCTTGGACTAATCTCATTTCTAAAACTTTTACCTACAACCACTGATGCAAATGGCATTTTGCCATTGTTAAACTCTAAAAGCTTATTAAAGTTCAGGAATTGTCCTTGGGCCGTCTCTGGACGTAAATATCCTGTCATATTCCCTTTAGGCCCTATTTCTGTTGCAAACATAAGATTAAACCCAACTGGTCCCTCCATCCTAACATTTGTTGCCGGATTTCGAATATCATACTCTTCTATCACTCTAGAAAGTCCCTCCCCATCATACCCATCAATCTAGATCCATCAGAAACATATTTCTCCCCCATATATACCCTCCACCCTAGAAATAATATCTTCATACTCTCTTATTCGACTCAATGATTCATCTAATGTATCAAATTTCGTTCCAGAAGCTCCTCCTTCTACTTTCTCCCCTTCTAAACCTGATTCAACTCTCTTTTTGATCCTGCTAAGCAGGATCTCCTTGATTATATGGTCTGCACGAAATACTTCCCCTGTTGAGGGGTCTTTACACATCCAATCACGAAATTTACTAACATGTCCGCTTGTTTCAAGAACTTCATGCGGCGTAACAATGCTTGTACCAATTTCAAGCATATTCTCCTCATATACAAAGTGTTTTCTCCAGACATTCAAGATATTTTGTTCTAATGCCATTCCAGGCGGCCCATAATCATACAAACCAGAAACTCCTGTACCCGGTAAGAATATTCAGGGCTATTCCGAGCATTCTGAGCCAATACCTCCGTATATTTCATAGGATGGGCAGTAAAAGAACCTTTTCTTAAGTAGCTCCTCCAATCTTGAGCGACAAAACCCGGGATTTTCAGTATTTACGGCCATTCTCTTCGGAATAGGCAAACAAATGGAGCAGAGACGCGTAGAACCAAAAAAACGGGGTCTTTTTATGGGGTATATGCGCCTAAACCAAGCAGACATGCATTTTCCTGAGGTCCGGGGGGATACGCACGTCAGTACGGGGAGTCGGGCCAGAGAGGCAAGAGAGAGGCTAATTGAGGGGCAAAAACAGAGAAAAAAGAGGCAAACTGGGCTAAAAGGACATGCACAAGAAGGATATTAAAAGATCGGATAGCATATATTCGAAGAAAAAACGAGATCAAGGAGGTCAGTGGATGAGGAGAAAAGAGGAGAAAAAGCGGAGAAAACAGGGGAAAAAGAGCATTTTATTGAATAGAACGTCAGGAATAACATGGGAAAAGGATTTTGAAGGAAAAAAAACGGATACAATTGAGTCTAAAAGGGAAAAGAAAGAAAGAATTTTTGTAGAAGAAAATAAGGGAATATATGAGGAAATAAGAGAGAAAGAACTGAAACGGATTAAAGATCTGGATTATACGCCAAAGAATCTTATTATAACAGGAAAAAAATCGTCAAAAAATACGTATTTTTTCGCAAAAGAATTGGCAGGACTTTTTCCATATTCAAAGCTGGTTAAAAGGGATTCACAGCTAGGAATAAAGAGAATTACAGAGTACGGAATCAAGAGGGAATATACAGGTTTAATATTTGTTAATGAAAACCGGAAAAAACCGGGTATTTTTATCATATATATATAGATTATTGGCTAAACTATATATAAGATAGCCTTATTATTATTCATTTGCCATCAGGACCATCATTTTATTTTACAATATCATCAATTACACCTACATCATGTATTTATCGTCATGGACGAGCAACATCACATATACCAGAGCTTATAATTAACAATTTTACAACATATCTTGGGTTAACAGTGGAAAATATGTTTCGTTCATTGTTTCCAACACAAGCAGACTTTGAAGGACGTCAAGTAGTAACTATTCATAACCAACGGGACTTTATATTTATCAGAAGACACCGATATATTTTCAAAAATGATATCAAAGTCAGTCTTCAAGAACTAGGACCTAGATTTACGCTTAAATTAAGAAGACTTCAACGTGGTATTCATGATAGACATGCAGACAATGTCGTATATGAGTATAAACCCGGAGAAGAGAGCAATAGAACTCGTTTTTGGTTATCATAATTATTTAGAAGCAGTAAAAATATTACAAGTATAATCATCTTATTTATACAGGAAAAAACACACAATATATGTAGAATGCATTTCTATCTAAGAACAAACTATCTTACAGAAAAAATATTGATCAAATATTGGTTTTTTTTTCTAAAATACTTTTTTTTTCAAAAAATTTTTCAACACAACAATAAATAATAAAAACACCAATGCCAAGTCCTAGTCCAGGAAATATCTTATTTATTTTCATAACAGTTGTAAAAGGATATTGTGATCTCCATGCTTCTCTTATAGTTTTATCAGCAATTTTTACACAAAAAAAGAGACCATCAAAACCTTTTTCTCCAGGGATCATTCATTCTACTGATTTACTGAAAATAATGGATTTAATCAAGCTTAAAGGACTTTTTATATATTATTTTTTATACGATCGGTTAATACTACAGCACTAAAAGCAAGATATTTTATAAAAGGGCTATAGAGGCTCTTAAGGTATAAAATAATAATAAATAGACGATTCTAATGAATTATAGAATTATAATATATCTTTTTCAGCCTTTTTTTAGGATGATTTATAGTGAAATACAAGAAAATAATGAACTTCGGGAATTTTTCCCAATTTCATTTGGAAAAAGGGCACATTCAGAGAATCTAGAAGAAGCATTTAAAAGAACTAAACGAGAAGATGCTGTTTGTTCTTTTTTTATCCGAAAAAAACATGTTTTTTACTGAAAAAATAGGATATACAGAAAATATGTAAAAAAAATTCAATAATAACTCAAAAACAAAGGGATTTAAGCGATTCAGAAAGTGATTATGAAGAAGAAGATGAAGATTTTCCTATATCCCATGAAATTGTATTAAAAGATCATACCAAGGTTCGTTTTAAAAGTATTATAAAATCTTAATATATGGATCAGCCTATATCCGCTTTATCATTAGATCCAAGTGGAACAAGAATTGTATCAGGATCTTATGATTCAAATATTAAGATGTGGGATTTTTCAGGCATGTCTTCTACATTTAATCCATTTCGTACATTAGAGGTAGTAGAATCTCAACATGTACATCATTTAGAATGGAATTCAACAGGAGATTCTCTTTTATTTATATCAGCAAATAGTCAAGCAAAAATACTTGATAGAGAAGGAGAAGAAATTTCAGAGTGTGTTAAAGGTGATCCATATTTACGAGATTTAAAACATACATCAGGTCATATTTCAGAATTAACGTCTGGATGCTGGAATCCAGTCTCTCATGAACGTTTTATGACGTCTTCTATAGATTCTACAGTAAGGTAAAGATGATATATTTTTAGTTATTATATGAATATGATTGATTATAACAATAGATTATGGAATATGAATCAAACTAGGAAGAATGAACATATTATTGTTCATAAATCAAAAACACCGGGCAAAAGAATGAAGGTTTATTCATCAGCGTATTCTCATGATGCAACATTTATTGCTACGGCAGATAGTGAGGGTACATTATCTTTATGGGCAGCAAAAGGACCTTTTCATAGACCAATGGGAGGAACAATTGTTAATGCACATGAAAAAGAAACACATACATCATGTATTAATTTTTTGCCAAATGGGAGTTTAATGGTTACACGTGGAGGGGATCATACAGTTAAATGTATACGATTTTTACAATATTAATCCATCAAACTAATATTAATAGTATGGGATATACGAAAATTCAAAGAACCACTCTGTATTAGAGATAAAATTGAAAATAATTATCCAGAAACCAATATAACATTTTCGCCTAATGGAGAATATATTCTTACTGGATCATCAATTGTTACAACTTCAAAAGATATTGGAAAATTAGTTATACTCAAGACATATAATTTAGAAATAGTCAAAGAACTATCTATTCATAATTCGGCAGTAATAAAAACATTATGGCATAGTAAAATTAATCAAGTAAAGTATTTTATTATATTAAAATAACAACTAATTCTCCAGATACTTACTGGAACAGCAAATGCAGCTATACATGTTTTATACTCACCTAAATCATCTATTAGAGGTGCTAAATTAGTTCTAGCAAAGGCACCCAAAATTCAACATATTGATGACGATTCTTCTCTAACCATTGATATCTATGCTGGTGCAGTTTCGGGCAGTATTATTCTTCCGAATGGCAAATTGGATGAAACTGCAGATACAGAACTCACAAATGCTAGACGAGAAAAATCTATGATTAGGAAAGATCCAATTCGTAGTAGAATACCATCTGCACCTGCCAGAAATGCACCTGGAGGTCGTGGTAATAATCCTGATGAAAATCATGTTAAGAATTCTATTTCTCTAATCAGCATGCGTGATGAGGATCCTCGAGAAGCTTTATTAAAATATGCAGAACTTGCAGAAAAAGATCCAATCTTTACAGGGATTTATAAAGAAAATCAACCTAACCCCATTTTTGCAGATCATACAGAAGAAGATACAATAGAAACAGTTAAACATACAAAAAAGAATACATTAAAACCCTTATCATAAACTCAATATATACATCATTCATCATTCATCATTCATTTATTCTATTACATGTCTTTTTATCATCTTAAAAGACTTCTTTATTACTGATATGCGAATTCGAAGCAAGATTGTTTGTCACTGAACTAGATGCCGTTTGTACTGCATCTAAACCTTTTTCTTGACCGGGATTTTCCAATCCATATAAATATCCCCTATCAAAGATGTCAAAAAAAAAAAAGAACCTATAGAAAAAAGTTGCAACATACGTATATTTCGGATCATCTAAAATATCTTTTAAAAAGTTCATTTTAAGTTCAAAAAAAACCCGTGCAATCAGAAATGAACCCGAACCCGCTTGATGACCAAGACCCGTACGTGATATTCTTAAATCATCTGCAATATCCTGTAAGCCTCCTTCTAGCGTATTCGTAAATTTTATAATATATTTTATATCTATTCATATAAATATACTCTTATAAATGATTATCCTATAAATATATTATGTACCGTATAGCTTTGGAAAGAAAATATGAAGCAACTCGTAAAACTCATTTTCTTCAACCGGAAGACAATTACAAATCATTATTTTAAGCAAATAACCAAAATCATAACTACTATTTCAAATTTGTAAAAAAAATGATATATTAAGAATAAAAAAAAAAATAAATAAATACCTATGAAATGACGTCCATTTTACACAGTCAAGTAAGACAAATCCAGATGAAATCAATAGTTCACCGAAATAATTCACATCTATTCCATATTCTTCATGTCGTTTAAAATCTATACCATTTTTTTGCAAAAGTTCAATAGAATCCTGGGAATACATATCATCACTATGTTATTCATAAGATTGACATTTCGGTATCCCTTAAATCTCCTTACTTAAGACTAAATTTAAAGTTAAATTGCCATGTACAAGCATCTGGAGGAAAATTCCCAGAAGAATCGCTAAATGTAATTCCTAATTGAATAATCTTAAGTAGATCTACGTTACATCGAAGCATCTGATAATAATAATCCGATCCTGATAGAAATGTTCCAATAGGTCTTGCAATTACTCCAGGAAATTCAATATTCTTCAAAAAAAAGTCAAAAAATGCCCTTTTTTCGCCCTGAAAAAAACAATACCATTGCTAAAATGTTGTAGCATTCTACTAATTCCCTTAAATATGCCATTTCTGAGTCTAAATTAACCGCCCAAACCTCTCGTATAGGTAACATAGACGGTGAAATTAGATGCTGAGAAACAACATGAGGACCCATTTAATAATAAATACTCCTTATAAAATATGTTAAAATACTCCTGATTTATCCTTATTTATCCGACTTTTATAGGCCTTTCCTGGCCATCTTAACTTATTTTTTTTTGATGAGGTTTGACTTAAAAAAATTTCGATAAATGTTAAGTCCAAATCTTAAAGAAAACCCTTAAAAATAATGATAAGAAGAATCCATTAAAAATGAGTATTTTATGAGAGAAAACATAAGAGAAAATTCATAAAAACATATTTGATGTATTAGTTTCGCATAAAAAAAAAATTGATAAAATAAAGAAATAAGTGAAAAAAGATGTAAAAAAAGATTGATAAGAATCAAGAATCGATAAGAAACCAATTTAAAAATGCTACTTGTCTTTGTAGATCATGTTCCGTTTTATTAGAAGAAGATCGCATAAGAATTGAAGAAAATAAGAGTACTTTTAAGATTAATAAAAATAAAAAAAAAGAAATAAAAGAATAAAACTTACATATTTTTTGAAAAGAATTGAATGAAAAATTAGGAGAAAGGTCTCTGATGAATCCAATTATGTATATAAACAAATTGGCATTTAAAGTTGGTAAAATATCAAGTATCTAATATATAATAAGAATTAAAAATAAAATAAAATAATAATAAGGAAAAGAATAATTACCATAATAGAATCTTTTTTATAAAAAGAGGCCTTTAAACATTTTTTATAAAAAGAAATTGGAATGACAGAATTTGGAAGAGCATCTAAAAAAGATAAGAAAGTTTCAGCCATAGAAATGACAATTAAATTATGATTTGATTTATTTTGAAGAATAGATTTTTTAAATTCATTTTGAGTATTAAGTGCATTTCTAATATCAGCCATAATTGAAGGAGAACCAAAGGAAAAAAATAAATTATCCTTAAAAATTAGTTATTAAAAATAAATTAAAGTAAATAATTACAATATTTTTTCCATTATTTAAAAGATAATCAGTCATTCGTATAATTTCATTAGGAATATTTTGAGAATTGATGAGAGATTTATCAATATTATCAGTAGGAAGGATATGAGAATGATTTAAATTTGAAAGACGTTCTAAACTCATTCCAAAACAAGTAGGGGAGAATATACCCTGAATTAAGATAAAGAAATCAGCACCATTCTTTAAATGAAGTATTAAAATGTCTTCTAAAGAATCTTCACCGGAATTGAGTTTTGAAACAGATATATTATCTATGAATATAGTTAAATTGATATAACAAGAATTGCCTAAAAAGATTTATAAAGAAATATAATAAATAAATAAATAGAAATATTTACCAGGACTAATCATTCCAGAACGTGGACATGGCCATAACCAAGATTTACATATGTGTTTATCATTTTTTTTAGGAATAAATTCAAACTCTACAGTTACCTTAGATAATTAATAAAAGAAAAGGAAAAAGAAAAGGAAAATGAGTACTTGACCAATATTATCAACCTTAATAATTTTTGTTTTTGGTTCGAGATAAGCGACATTCTTAAAATCCAAAGAATTAAGTGAAATATTAACCATTGGAATCCTTTTATTCTCAGAATTTTGATATTCTTTAATTAATAAATCCTTTAATTTCAAATAATTATTAGAAAGCAATATTTCAATCTAAATTTCAAGAGATTAGTTTTTATTAAAGAATAAAAAAAATTATTCTACCTTAGCATCTAATTCTAGACTAACAGGTTTATGATCACTTATAAGATTGTTCATATAAGATCTATAATTTTTGGAAGAAATTGCATTACTTTTCCATAATATACGATCTGTCCATGATGGTACACGCATTTTTTCACTAGAATTATTATAAAAAAAAGAAAAATCTTAGTTGAAAAAGTTTAAAAACCTTGAATCAAACCAATTGCTTCCTATTTTATATTTAAAAGTTGGAGGAAAGTTGATTTCTTCCTCTTCAAAGCCTTCAAAACAACGATTTGAACGTCTTTGAATATTAAGCTGATCAAATTCTAACAAAAAATCAAACTCATTCTTCTCCAAAAGTTCTTTAACACTGAAAATAGACATATCAATACGATAATTTAAATCACCTTTAACATGATTAAACAATTATTATTAGAAATGAGTAAAAAATACCACACCAGATAAGATGATCACAATCAAAAAGAGATTTAGAGTTTTTATTCTTAAACATATCCTCATCATAGAATTGTAATCGACGACAAATCTCATGAAAATCTTGATTTCTACGTTCAACTTGAGATTTCATTGCAGCCAAATGAGAATTAACAAAACAAAATACAGTATCCCATATTGTAAGACGAACTGCTACAGCACCTTTATTCCCCATGATTCCCATTATACCACAACCAACAAAAGATGTTAAAATTGACGTTAAAGAGGGTGAAATAATTTTATGAGCGTAAATTAACAATAAAATTCCAACAAGTTGTTTAGAAACAATCTTAAAAAGATAAGAAATTGATATCTAGATAAAATAAAAAAATACCTTTTCATAATGATCTCCTAATACAGATATAATTGCATTATCCCATAAGTTTTCCTTTGTATTATCATTGCGTAAATATGCTTCAGTACTAAGATCAACTTCTTGAAGTCTATAAATGAAATAAGAAAATAAAAAGATAATAATTAAACATTATTTACCCTATTACATACAATTCTATACGTTGATTAGAAGTCTTATATAATAACCATTCGGAAAGATCTTCTGTTGGATCTTTTCCATTAACATTCCAACTACAAATCTTTATTCTTAAATCACGAGACTCAATAAAACTTGATCTTTGAAGACTCAATTTCTCATAAACCCAGTATTCTTCATTTGGATTCATAAATTTCCTATAATTATTTGCTTTATAGATATAAGAATGAATTTTTTTTGAAAAATATGACTTATTATAATCATTCAAAGCTATTTAAAAAAAAAGATCAGCTAATCTTTCGCATCTAATGCAAATGATAATCATTTTCCAGGGAATACTTACATGTTAAAGATTCAGAAAAATCATCATCATATATAGATAACATTTCATTACCATCTGGAGCATAAGATTTATATAACGAAAGCCAAGCAAAGTTCTGGTTCGTAATATATAACCTTTTATTGTCTATATAACCCTTAATATAAAGGATTAATACATAATTTTGAAAATTATACCTAATATCTGTATATGTTTATGTATATCTCTAATAAATTCGTATAAAACATTTTTTTTTGAAAATGAAAATAATAATTCCTTATTATTAAAAGATGCCTCAATCATAAATTCACATTTTTTCTCATCTTTCTGTTTAATTTTTATCTCCAATTTTTTTGTAATTTCAATAACCTTTAATATAACAAATATCATAGGTTTTTTAACACAAAATAAAAATAATGCAGATTCAATATATCCACTAAGAGAATCTCCATTATGCCTAATAATTGCAATATATGATGTATTAAATATACTATTTTTTTCTTTAATATAAGCTGATACTTCGAAAAATGAATATAAACTTTCTGTTGACCTTAAAAATAAACAAATATTTTCTTTAATTCCTTTATCACTTGATATCATTAGGTTATTCAATAAAAACAATTAAACATTTAAAATAAAATATGTTGTAACTTTTATATCGTCAAAAAAATTTATTTTTTAATAATTTCCAAGTCTAAAAATAATTACTTAATTATTTTTTAAAGAATATTATAACTTGTTTATCAAAATAAAATATGTTTTTATAAGTTATTTATACATGTCGTAATTATAATAATAAATGACCAAATCGATATTTTAGCCATTGATAAATTGTTCCCTTGATTAACATAAACATAAGTATCATCATCTAAGCCCTTACAATGATAGCTTTCATTTGATTCATCTTTTTTAATTGAATTGGTTGCTAATATAGCTTGAGATTTATTGGTACAAGGTTGATGTATATTCGAATCCATTGTATGTACCTTTTTCTCACTAGTTGTAACCATTGATGTTTTATTATCAATGGAGAATCCTTTATTCATCATATCGACATTTAATACACTTAAAGCCGTAGAACTTTTACATCCAGAATACGAATAAGGATTAAAACAAAGTTCTTCATAAAAAAGCATCATTTTATCATTACCATTATACGGTTCTGAGGCAAAACATGTGACTAATCCATTGATAAAAGTTAAAGAATCACAAAGACAAGCAATATCAAGAGGATCATTACAATAAGATCTTCTTGTTAGCTTTACTATACATCTTTTAGTTGCTTCTATAAAATATGAATAAAAAGAAGATAAAATAATTAAGAAATATACCATCTAATCCATAGCCTTCGTAAAAACCAGGACAAATTCTACGCATAAGCGTATTATCACGTTCGCCAATACATTTTTTATGAAAATGAGACTCGTAACAAAGAGATTTAATATCATCAAAGATCTTTTGACTTTCTTGATCAAAAAAAGATGAAAAACAGGTATAAGCAGTCGATGCAAAATAAAAGGAATCACAAATACAAGGAACATTAAAATCATTGTTACATCTTGATTCAAAAGCTTTCTTCTTTAAGCAATCCAGTATTTCACCTAAATTAATTAGAAATAAATGTACAATTGATTCGATTGGAATGAAAAATACCTTCGGGGACAAAATCTTTGAACATAGAATCACATTTTACCGGTCTTGTATAATCTTTCACAGTAATAGCAGTGCAGCCCGAGAGAGATAAAGGATTTTTGCAAAGAGTTTCATGATACGTATGTATCAGACTGACAGAAGTAATTGAATCGGAAATGCATCGACTAAGCATATTATTATAAGAAATAGAATCGCATAAACATGATGCATCAAAAAAATCTGTGCATAAGGAATTGCGTATTGCATTTCTCGCACAATGATAAGTAGTCACTATATTCATTAAGAAAAGAAAAGAAGAAAGAAAAGAAAATACTATCAAGTTCAATATTCTCGTAAGGTTTTGGACAAGAAATAATTCTTGCCTCTTGTTCAGGTTCATTAATACATTCTTTAGGAGGAGGATCAGGATTTTCACAAAGCTTTTGATGATATTCCCGAGCCTTTAAACCATCTTGCCTAGAAAGACCATGTAAACATTCTTGAGAGCGTTTCAAATATTCAACAGAATCACAAATACAAATTGCATTAAACGAATTTCCACATCTTATTTTCCTCAAAATATTTTCAAAACATTTTACGACTTTGCCTATGATATAATGATTCATTGAACATTCATTTTTAATGTTTTTCTTACCATTAATACCAGATCCTTCGAAAACACTATTACATACTTTTGAACGACGATTTGATAGAAAAGAACGTTTAATTATACGCTTTTTATGCCCAGTTTTGTGTAAAGATGAATCACCTCTACCCAAATAACCATTCCTTGCTCCAAATAATCGATTTGACTTGTGCTTAAAGTTATCTGATTCCGATGGCCAAGTCTTTAAGAAAGAATACAAAGATCTTCTATTAACCCTTCCAAGTACTTTATTCTGCGTCAAACCATTATCCTTAACTTTTTGATGTAAATCTACTTTTCGTAAAGATTCAGAATAGCCTTGATTATTTTGTTCTGATAAAGATGCTTTAACACTATTCTTAACACTATCACGACATATACGCATAGAATCTGCCAAATGCACTAAATGCAAATTATAAGGCCCGGTTAAACTTTGAAAGACCAAGAATGGTTTATTTTGAGTCCAGCTGGAATCTAAATAACTTCCATTTGCCTTTAAAGAGTCTAAACATTTCTTTTTACTATTTACAGAGACATTCTTTTGTTGAGGAAATCGAATGACAAGTTTCTCAATACAGTTGGTTATTTTACGATGACCATGTGTTTTTTGTCGTCCTATCCCTGACACGTGTGTATTCGGTTTACAATAAAATGATTCAATCAAAAGAAAAATAATTATAAAAAATCCTTTCATCATTGAGTTTGTTTGCATTTTTTCTTAATCCACTTTTCAATTTTACCAAAGTCAAAAATACTAATAAAGAATTACTTCTAAGTATAAACTAAGCGACCCATATAGGGGCTTTATAAACAATTTTACGAAATCATTCATGTCAAAGATATGTCTTTGCATTAAAAATCCCGAACCTATGCAAAAAAAGCAAAAAACACACAAAGATTATATATACCATCTATGCATTTCTAAGCAAACCAAAACTTATGCAATGCATTGAAAAACCAAGGAAGTCCAATTACTCACATTTTTTATGCCTTCCCTGCTTTTCCAATGCATTGCATCCTTTTTTATCAATGCTTGTATTATGCAGAAACCCGATCGATTTTAACCAGCCTTGCTTCGATTAATTTAGATTTCTCCAATTTTATCAAAACTATATATATAACCCCGCATAAAAACAAGCATTTTTACACGAAAAAAAAAAGAGTCTGATAGTTAAGAAAAGTAAAATAAACTAAAATAAAATAAAAGAATCCATGATGTTTATTTTCCATAAGACCCTAACCCTAGCAATAATAAAGTTAGGATTATTAAACCCTACTACAAAAGCGTCTCACTTTTTTATATACTTACGATAATAAAAAAAAAGGTATTATAAAATCAAAATGTCGTCCAAAAGAGCACGAGGAACGTCGGGAAACAAATTAAGAATGACACTTGGACTTCCTGGTTCGTTTTTTTTTTTCAACTCTTCTAATTCGAAAACTAATAATTTCAGTTGGTGCTATTATTAATTGTGCAGATAATTCAGGAGCCAAAGTAAGTCAAAAACATTCATAATTCAAACTTGATTCATAACATTTTTCACCAGAATCTTTACATAATTTCTGTTAAGGGTACAGGTGCTCGTTTAAACCGTCTTCCTGCCTCAAGCATTGGTGACATGGTATTAACAACGGTTAAAAAAGGAAAACCAGAATTACGAAAAAAGGTACTACCAGCTATCATCGTTAGGCAAAGAAAGCCTTGGAGAAGACGTGACGGTACACATTTATACTTTGAAGACAATGCCGGCGTCATTGTCAATCCTAAAGGCGAAATGAAGGGTAGTGCAATCACTGGGCCCGTTGGAAAAGAGTGTGCTGATCTTTGGCCAAAGATTGCTAGTAATAGTAAGTCTTTCTTACCCCTTTTCCCCTTCACTGTACAAGCTTATACCTCCTTAGGTGGTATGGTTATTTAGGTTTGTCATAGAATCATTTGAGGGATATGGGCTTCTATTTATACTTTTTCCATCATACTCTATAATATTTATATATTACATTGAATGAGCAAATTACTTCCAAAAAGGGTAAATGATATATCTATATTAGGAATATTAATAGATAATCTATTTATTATTTTTATAAATAACCATTAATTCCACGCATATATAACCATTATTCAACATTTAACACTGTTCTTCTTCTTTTACAAGTTCAATGCATGTATTTATAATGCATTCCATATATTCCATTGTCCAATTCATCTCTAGTGGCGTAGCGACATAACATTGTCGAGCGAACCGCTTAGCTTATATAAAGGGTCAGCATCCCCCACTATAAAACAATATTTGGTAAAACCTAATAAACAGGACAATTGCTGAGAAATAGAGTGAATATTGGTGGTTCTTAGAGAAGTTGAAGAAGTATCTCTATCTTTTGTCGAAATACTGAGAGATAAGGAGCCAAAAAGAGGTTTTTCTAGGAAATTAAGGATAAAGATTAGGGAGGTTGATGGACGCAGTGAGATTAAGCGAATTAGGATTGGAGGGAGAGAAGAATGAAGTTTAATAACGTGTTCTTTGGTCGAGATCAGAGAAGAAGCAGACATAAGAAATTGGTTGAAAAAATCTAAAATATTCAGTTATTATAGAGAAATGAAGAATAAATGGCGCATACATACGCTGTATGCGTGCTGTCTGCGTAATATATGCGTGTTATATGCGTGTTATATGCGTGTTATATGCGTAATATATGCACCTTTTATATGGATTGTACGCATTTTCAAAAACCTGGGTTAATTTTCATTATACGTTGATAGGGCAACGGTTGGCAAGGAAACGGTTGATAAGGAAACGGTCGGCAAGACGACTGTTGGCAAGGAAACCGTTGCTATCGTTACTTCGACTATCGAAAGTAATCTGTAATCATTTTATCGCTGGGGGATTAAATAAAAGTATGACAGAAGACGATAGATTGTCGGTAAAATATAATATAAAGCGATCTATTAGGAAGAATGAAAAGAATCCAGGGGATGTTGGAGATATTGAGGAGAATGTGCTAGTTCGACGTATATATTCCCTTTTTCTCCCGAGTTTATATGATAAGATTTAACATAAATCAATAGGTTATAATGTTTGTAAGGGAAAAGTGGTGAACAAGATACCAAATGATATATTGGAAGATCCTATAATTAATGATGCTATAAATTTGGTATATTTTTTACCTTACAAGAAAAAAAAAATATTAAAAACGTTTTTATAGTTGCCATCAAATTATAACTTTGAAATACATAAAACTGTCTGGTATATACGGAAAAATGGATCAAAAAAGGGTATTTAAACATTTAAAATATTAGATAAAAAGATTCAAACCATAGAAGTTGGATTACAAATGCCAGAAGGTCTTTTAGTTTTTGCATGTACAATATCAGATATATTAGAAAGGTAATCTATCTATGTATATAATGTTAAACGGGTTTAAGGGATATTAAAGGGTTTGTATGGTTGATGTATTTATCATGGGGGATGTAACTTATGGCGTATTTATTTTGAAGGAGAATAAATCAAAAGCTTATAGTTTTAGGCGTGTTGCATCGACGATTTTACGGCTAAAGCGCTTGATTGCGATTTACTTATTCATTATGGTCATTCTTGTTTAATTCCTGTCGATTCAGTATCCATAAAAACATTATACATATTTGTTAGTATTGAAATTAACAAGAATCATCTAGTCGAAACCATTAAAATGAATATGTCAGATTATACACATATAGCGTTAGTAGGAACAATACAATTTGTGCCAAGTATACATAGTGTTCGGCCACTTTTGGAAAATAAATCAAATTACAAAATCACCATTCCCCAGTCTAAACCTTTATCTCCAGGAGAAATTTTAGGATGTACTGCACCAGTTCTTCAAAACGATATAGATGCAATTGTTTATATTGGAGATGGAAGATTTCACTTGGAATCCATCATGATTGCGAATCCTATGCTTCCAGCTTATAAATATGATCCTTATTCGGGTAAATTCACGAGAGAATACTATCAACACGAGGATATGGAAAATCATCGGAAAAAAGCGATCGAAAAAGCCATTAAAGCAAAAAAATGGGGACTTATCATCGGAACTTTAGGAAGGCAAGGAAGCCCTAAAGTTATGGAAGTATATATAAACACCTTTTTATATGCTCTTTTTCATTTACTAATTAATCATTCAAGAACTTGGAAATACAGCTCAAAAAAAAAAAAATAGAATATATAAAAGTATTGCTTTCCGAAATCTTTCCTTCAAAATTATCTTTATTTCATGATATTGAAGCATGGATACAAATTGCATGTCCAAGACTATCCATTGACTGGGGTTACTCATTTCCTACTCCACTCTTATCACCTTATGAAGCATCCGTTGCACTCAATAGTATTGAATGGAAAAATCCGTATCCAATGGATTTTTATGCAAATCAGAGTTTAGGTCCTTGGACACCTATTCATAAACAAGATCAACGGCGCGTTTTACCTAAAATTCAAACCGAATAATACTTTTAAACAAAGAAGTCATTTATAAAATGGCAATTATAAAAAAAAAATTAAAATAAAATTTACGAAATATAAAATTAACTGAATAATCAAATACTCGAAATGGTAAACATGATAAAACAAGAAGTGCTATAATATATCATTCTTTTTTTATTCGAGAAAAGTTAATTTTTTTATACAAAAAGATCGAATTGTTATGGATTTTTGTACAATATTTCAAGAAACAAATGATATATCAACTAAAATTCAAAAATGTGTACAAGAACTATTATCTTATCTTAAAACGTATCCATTATTACAAGAGGTTATTTTTTAATACAAAACCGCTTTTAAAAACAAAACTAATGCGAAACAAAAACAGTTAAATAATCTGGATGCTCTGGAAACATTGGTTCTTGAAGATGAATCACGGTTGAAAATCATTTTTACCAAAGTAGTCTCAAAAATATTTCGTTGTACATTTCTAAAATAATAGATGAATACACTTATCACAATGCTTGAACAGCTTCGTCCAATTAGTAATGAACTATGTGACTTATATAAGCATATTGATCAGTTGGAGGTATGAAAAAAATAGAATTCGCTATTTGCTAAAAAATATAGGAGCGCGTTGAAAAATTAAAAAAAGACACAAAACAAACAGAAAAGGCATTAAAAAAGGCTAAAAGTATGTTGGACGAGGAAGAACAATCAATTCATGAAGGAAAACCTAGGCCTTTATGGAAATATAGTACTATCGCTTCTCATCTACCTAGCAAATGACTTGTTCATATGGTTTATTATTAATCAATAAAATAATATATTACAAATCATCTTTGGAATCATCTTTGGACTCCTTTTTGTCTTTCTGCGTTAAACTTTCTAAAACTTTCTGTTTTTCTTCCTGCGAAAAAATATTTACACCTTTTTTCAACGCAGAAACAAGTAACGGCATTTCCTTAGGATTGAAAGAGGGATCCTTCGCTTATATAAGAAAACTTTTAAATGGATTTATCACTTAAACAACATACTCTTCTTAACTCATCCAATTCATTTTCAAATTCTCGAGCAACGACCTCCATATAATGTTGTTCAAATAAATCATTTGATGTATCTAAAGGATCCTAAACAAGTTAGAAAAATAATGAAGCCTTGATTAATACACCTCTTCATTAGTACTATTTTTTTGTTGCAAACCATTTTCTTCATGACTCGATATTTTTCGCTCATTTGGCATAGAACTGAATACATCTTTAAATTCTGACCTATTATTGGAAATTAGCCAAATATAACATGGAGCTGTACAAAGAATCAACATATAAGATGGTAGAATGTCATTATTATCTTCCTCTATTATTTTTTTTCTTTTTTTTTCCATTCTAAGAGAAAAAAAACTAACGAGCAAAAAATATCAAAAACATATTATATTATAAGCTTTTCAAGTGTTCTCCAATGCTTGGAAAGCCACGGGGCTAAATGAAGTGCTTTTAAACAATCAAAAATAGTTAACATTTGATTATAAGCAGACGCCAAAATTTCAGGTGAACAAGGATTTCTTAGAGTGATTTGTAAGGCCATCAAAGAAACATCGTAACTGTTCTCCAGTAAAGCAAGTCTTGACCATATAATTGGTGAAGAAGGATATATATTCAATGCAGAAAGATATATATATATTGGATCATTACCCTATATTTCAAATGAATAAATAATTAATTATAAACAAACATACCTTTGAATATGCACAAAACTCCAAATATCTCTCTATATTATGATCTACATCATGTTTTTTTCTTTCATCCCAGTCAAGTAGGCGTAAATATTTCAAAGTAGTTGCTTCTACTTCAACATTTTGATTTATGATACCAATACTACCAAGAAGCAGTAAAGAACATATATGATTAGAGTTATGAGAAATGCTATGTATATTTTAGTTTGGAATTTTCAACAAGGAGAATAAGGTTTTTACCATTCAAGCAATTGTTGTTGAGCAATGTCACGTTCTTCTTGGCCACCTGTTGCCCAAAGGATTTTACAGAGTAGGACAATGATATCTGGATGTTCATTAAATTCCATAAGACTGCTTTGAAACATTTCCAAGGCATCTATTATTCTGTTTAAATAAAATAAGGAGATACTAGCTACAAGATAACAAGATAGCCTATTAGAGGAGGTTTCTGATCCTTCAGTTAAATTAAGAACGATCTGCGCGTTTTCTAAAGCCATTTCATATTGTTTATTAGCCAATAAAGCTCTTGATAAGCTTGATTTCGCATGTAAAAACTGTGCTATGATTTCAGGATTCTCATTTCCTTCATATTCTTTTTCTAAAATATCACATGCTTTTGATGAAAATAAAATAGATTTTGTCCAATCATAACTCATTTCCAATAATAATGACATCAGTATTAATACATTATAATCAGTAGGACGTTGTTCAAGATATTTCTGTATTGCGAATACATAAGTAGTAAGATTTCCTGTTAATTCAGAAAGAGATGTTTTCCTTAGATAATCATATGAAGATGTTACAAATAAATAATTTACAATAGGCTAATATATGTTAGTTTATATTAAAGATATAAAGAATCTTACAATATTTTGAGATGAATTAATAAATGAAATCTCGAATTGTTCTTTAGCATCTAAGATATCGTCCATTATTTTTGATATGAAGCCTAAACCTATCCTAGAAACCCAATAGTCTGGATCAACAATTTGAGATTTCATATATGCTTCATAAGCCAAATCAAAATCCTCATTTATCATATATAATGTCGCAAGATCTGCCCATGTAACAGGATTCTAAAAATAAAAATAAATCCTTATTTTTAATAATTAAAAATTACCTGATCATCTAGTTTTAAAGATTTGATCAAAGCATGCTGAGAAATTTTTGGGTTTAAGGTTGAATTAACTACACCAAATGCTCTCCAAAAAGTAGGATTTTTAGAATCCATTTTGATAGCCCTTTTTAAACAATAAATTGAACAATGAATCCAATTACCATCTGCATCTGTATTTTGAAGATATATCAAAAATAAAATTTGTCCTAAACTGTACCAAGACATTGAATGTGCTGCCCTATTTTTTACAGAAACTCTAACAGCCCTCTTCATAAACAAAAATGCCCATAATAACAAATAACGAGAATTATTAGTATCAAACAAATCTTTTTTATCTAAGGGCAAATCATCAATAATTGGAACTAACTTTTCACCAGCAAAATCGTGTTCCTCATATAATATATTTAATAATGAAATTAATGACTCTGAATCAACAATATAAAAACTAGAAAGCAAAAAACAGGCCCTACTAAGTATAACCCAAAGAGTAGAACTATTCTTTTTCCCACTACTTTTTGATTCCTCAATTATTTTAAGGCATTTAATAGCATACTCTTCTGACTTTTTGTAAAATCCTTTTTCTTTCCATGATGATGCCCAAAAAACATAATTTTCCGACAATGCTAAAGTAACTACAAATTCATCTGGATGGTGCTTAAGAACAGAATAATATGACTCAGATGCATCTTTATAGAATCCTAATTTTTTCTGAACATCACCTATTAAATATTGCACAAACCAATTATCTTCATCTAAACTTTTAGACTTTTTTAAAGCTTTTAATGCTGCTATATATTTCCCGGACTTAGCGTACGCTTCTCCAAGACCTGACCAAGAATGAGAATCACTTGGTGTTATTTTCAGGGCAGTTTGAAAATAAACAATAGCACTATTGAATCTTTTAGAATTCTATTAATATTAACTATTATATATACATCCCATAGAAACAAACCATTTCAACTATTCCCAATGAGCGTTGTGGCCATGATAAATCACGACTATATCTTCTATGTATTCTATCTGCAGAAAGTACAATTTTTGCTATAGCCTCTACCAAATTCCATTCCCCCGTTTTCGCATATGTAACGACAAGATTTTCTGCTGCATCAATTTCTCCAGCGTTCAATTCAAATGCTTTCTGGAAACATTTCATAGATCTATTTTCATCTTTCAAAATATCGGCATAAAATATACCTAGATTTACAAATGAATGGGAATAAGTAGGGTCGTATTTTAAAGAGGTTATAAAAAACGAATATGATTCAGACTTTTTTGATTCAATGCCTATTATTTTATTAATACCTTTCAAAATTCCAATAAATCAAATTACCCTGTTCATAAAGACCAACGCCCTTTCTCCAACATATTTCAGCCTTATTATATCCAGAAAGAGAAATATCATTGTTCATTTTTTCTATACAAATATCAAGTTTATCTAATCCATCTTGATATTTTTTTGTATTTATTTCACACCATGCAATCTCTGATAAAATAAGAATATTATTAGGATCCATATCTTTTGCCTTCAAAAGCAAATCAATAGATGAAGCAAAATCCTTTTTTTCTTGCAATATAATTGCTTTCCCATGTAATGCCATGACATTATTACAAGATAGTTCAAGTATTTCATCAAATAATTCCAATGCCTGATCATGAAATTTAGGTGATTTATAATATACATATGATAGAGCCAAGTGAAATTTCAAATCTTGTTGTGCACTAAAAAAATTAATAACCCAAAAATAAAATATAATCATACAGAGGAAGCAATAAACCTATCTCCTGCGAAAAATTTGAAAGAACCTTTAAGCCCTTTTGAGAAACCATAGCAGCATTTTCATACTCTTTCATAGAAAGATAAGAACGTGCTAAAAAGCGATAACAGAATACTGAATTTGGCAAATTCTCAGTCGCTTCCTTTAAATTGTCAATTCATAAAATACATACAAAAATAAAAATTTACAATAAAAGCATCCAAAGGATCATCAAACAACTCACATGAAATATTCTTCGATATATAATCATTCTTAAACTCGGTTCCCTCATTAACAAATGTTTTTGATGATTTTAAATACAAAGACAAAACTCCTCGAAGACATAATCCCATAGGATGCTCCGGAAATAAAGAAATAAAGTCCCGAATAAATACAATATTCAATTCATCTATATTTATCAGAAAATATTCATAATAGACCCTTCATCAAATATATATATACCAATTTCACCAAAATCTTTCCATTCAAGAACAATTATCCAAGGTAAAACATCATGACTTCCAACAATAACCATTCCAGATGCAAGTTTCAACACCTTTTCCCTCTTATCACTTTTTTCATTCTCATCAACCATCTTAAGATGCTCATAACAATGATTAAGCAATTTCACCTCAATCTCCCTACGTAATCCATCCTCTTCCACCCAATTCAACGCATTTTCATATATTTTTTCCAACTATCAATCAATCAACTATATATATACATATATATACGGGTAACAAAAAATACAGCAGATTCCCCATAAACCTCCTTCTTTACATTCCTACTTATTTCCTCTGCTGTAAACCCAAGTCTTCCACGCTGTTTAGCCATTAATTTGTTTATTCGTTCCTTCTCATGATCCTCTGCTACTTTTATCATCTTTATACATGTAACTTCCGCCGAAACAATGCATCCCTCTAAATATCCATAGAATTGCTCCGATGGAAGATAAAACTCCAGCGTTCTTAATATCTGAGTTTTACTTAATATATATAGGTATAACCCTAACCCTAAACCTGCCCTAAACTTCCTTTCTCCTCTACAAATTCAAGCAGTTTTTCTAGGCTTTCAAGGCATCTCTCCTTTTCACCGCTTAATATCTTCATTTCAGTACATTTATTTCATCCTGAAAAGGTTGGTTATATCACCTTTTCATAAAAATAGTCGCCACCTTGATTGACGCGAATATATACTCATCTACTCGGTTTTGAGACGCATATAAACATGAAATCCCCTAAAAACACTTAAAATACATCCAATTAACCTAATATATGCGCGTTCCTTCCATGCATGATATGCCTCCTGGTCGATATCTAGTGCTTTCCTATACGCTTTCTCGCACTCATCCTGCTCCGATTCGTTAAAATACCCGATTCCAAGGAGTACGTATGCATTGTAGCTACGAGGATCATATTCTAGCGCTTTTTTTGCGCTTATTATGGCCTTTTTATAGTCTTTTGCTGCGATGAATTCTCTGGAGGCCTTGAGGGCGGGCTTGGCCATATATATATAGGTGTATCGATAGGGGTGAGAAATAAAAGTGGTGGGGACAGGGGGTCTATGATGGAGAGATACGACGCATATAAGACGATTAAGAGGGTCATTTTTGTTATCAGGACTATATCCCTTTTTTTCAGGAGCGAAACATGTAAATTTGAAGGATTTAGATGAAAAGTTTGTTATTGATGAGAGAAAATGGGGGTATTATGACGCATATAAGCATTGAAATGATAAGGAATGGGTTCTATAGTGATATAGATGTTTTTTTTTGGATGAAAATGGTGTTCTGGGGGCTGTGATATGGGTTGTAGTTGATCGAGGGGAGAAAGGGTAGATGACCGGTTAGGAGCTGAGATATGGGGGTTTAGGATATAGGAGAGGTCATTGTATGATATTGGGAGTGTTTTTGCTGTTTTACATTTTTAAAAAGGGGATTTATGTGGTTAGAAAGATGTCAATATATGTGTATAGAAATATGAGACTGGAGGGCGAAAAAGGAGGAGATAAGGGGTCTAACAGTGTTAGAAATAATGATTAGTGCCTAGGAAATGATAGGGTATTGTTTTTGAAGCATAATGAATGGATAAAAAGTCGGGAAGTTACAATGTGTGAGGTTACGAGGGTGGGGAGATGCTATGTAGAAGATTTATACAGGAACTATGAGGAATTATGTTTTATATGTATTTTATGAGTGAGTAGAAATGATAGTGAGTGATTGGAAATGAATTGGAATGTTTATTTTGGATGGATGAGTAAATAAGTTTATTGAGAGATATTTTTAAGCATTGAGGGCCCAATTCTGGGGAAAATCAAGAAGAAATGTCTTTAAAATGGTTACAGAGGGGTAGAATAAGGATATGAATGGTAATATTTCCATAGGATCTACTGTATTTGTTTTTATCAAGAAATTAATTAGATGCAGAGCAAGCCAAGAATGGGGCAGCAATGTAAATACATGAAAACAAGGACAGAGCCGTATATGAGGATTTTAAATAGAAGGGTATTGAAATGGAAAACAAAATGTATATTTAAACATATATTTATTCTAAAACAAAAAGTATTGACATTAAAAATTCAAAATATCAATTTTTTGAAACAATCTTTTATATATGGGATGAAAAAGGTCTAGATTTTCATTATGTAGATGATAGAAGATCCAATTCATACAATAATATCAGAAAAATCAATAACTTTATTATGGATTTTAATAAATGGTTTTTTTAAAGGTATTTTGTTCTACTAAATATATGTACAACAAGTTTTAAATAATACAAAAAACTAGATACATTGGAATATCAGCAATTTTGTTATTTTTTCAATCTGAATAGTCTTATTTCTTAAAAAATATCACATCAATAAAAATGCTATTTTTCAAGACAAAAAAAATGTAACAATTTATTGGAAAAATGAATAAAAATAGGAATGTTTTAATTAAACGTTGGATCAATAAAAATTCGTGAATATTTTTTTTACTTTAAGCAGATCTTGGTCATTTCAAAACTATTTATTTAAAAAAAATAACCAAAATTATATTCTTGATTGGTTTTAAATATCAAAATTATTATTTACAGATAGTTTTTATAGATATTTCAAAAGAGTTTTTTATCGTTGATTATTGATTAAGATCTTTAAAAGTATGGCAGATCTTAAAGCAGAAAATAAAGAGTTTTATCAAGTTGATCCGGATGAAATATTAAAGAAGGACATTAAGACAGATGAATCAACAGAGAAACTTAGTAAAAGAAGCATTAAAAGAAGATTAAAGAAAAAAAAATGGGAAGAAACAAAGGCAGAACGACGTAAATACAAAAAAGAGAGAGACAAGATTAAGAAATTAGAAAAATACAAGAAATATGAAGAATCAGGTGTTCATCCTATTAAATTTAAGAAAAATCAAATACCAAGTGGTATAAAAGTTATTATTGATTGTTCATTTGACGATAAAATGATTGATAAGGTATAATTGATGATTTTAAAAATGTATAGATAGACAATTATAATAGGAAATTGTGTCATTAAGCTCTCAATTGACACGTTGTTATTCGGATAATAGAAGATGTACATATCCGGTTGAACTTTATGTAACATCTTTTGGAGGACGACTAGCAGAACGTATGAAAACAGTTTTAAAAAGTCAATACATGTCTTGGAGAGGAATAGAATTTTTTGATGAAAGTTATGATTCATTATATGGAAAAGAAGGTTTTAGAAAGGAAGATTTTATATATTTAACAGCAGACTCAGAAAACACTATTCATGAATTGAATGAAAATAAAATATACATCATTGGAGGGCTTATTGATAAGAATCGGTATAAAGTAGTATTTTTTTTCTTTAAAATAGATTATATAATAGTATATTAGAATTTATGCCTAGATAAAGCTAAAAGTCAAGATATATATACAGCACAGCTTCCAATTGAAAATTATATAAAAATGGCATCAAGAAAAGTACTTACGGTTAATCAGGTCTTAGAAATAATGCATCAATGGATGGAGACCAAAGATTGGGAAAAAGCTTTTTTAAATGTGATTCCTTCAAGAAAACTTCCTCAAAGTAAAATAAATAATACTGATCATCCACCTAAAGATTTAGAAACAAGTTCATTAATACTTGAAGATATAGGGAATTTATCACAAGAAGTCATTAGTGAGATCAGTGAATGATTTTATTAAATTTTATTGAGTTATATAAATATATTGTTTGGGTATTTAAGTGAAACAACTATATACTTTCATAATGATATATTAGAAATCAAGCATAACGGATCCTTCACTTTTATCCAATTCCCTTTTATTAATTGCTTCCTCTTTCATGATAAGAGAAGTAAATTTTTTAAAATATTCTATATAAGGCTTTAAAGAAGTCTTTTCATAATCTTAAAAATTTAGAAAGGTATGTATTTCTGATTCTTATTACCTTGAATTTGTTCTTGTTTTTCTGACATTTCTAGATTTTCCTTATGCTCTTTATCCCATGCGTCAATTTCATCCAATAACTGAGTAACAGTAGGTACTTCAAAGGGATTAAACTTTTCAAAACAACTAGAATCAATTGGAACACATATCCTCCCTAAAACCATATTAAAAAAAGACATCATTAAACCCTTTTTCCAACCTGTTCCAGGGTGTACACAAAATGGTGATTTTAAAAGATGACTTAGGTGTTTAGAAACCTCAGTATCAAGCCTTGGATACATATATTCTAAAATTATATCCTGTTTTGCTGTCAACAATGCTTTTGTATCAAGATTCTGGTATATCAATTTAAGAATTAAATAAAAAATTTATCTTTACCTTTGAGACACCACTTTCAGCTACTATATCAATGTCATGCCATTTATTATAGCTTGATCTCATTGGTTGGGACTTCCATTTCTCACGAAGTGTTTCTTTAAGGTCTTTACATAAGCAATATTCACTAACAATCACTTAATATACCTTGATCTGTTATAAATTCAAGCAATTTCTCCGAACCCTCATCACTTTCCCAAGGATTTTGAGAAATAAGAATATTGGAACGAAAGCTTTCTTTCAAAATATGCAGACTCCTACTAAACAATATTTAACTATACTTCCACTTCAACTTATTATACATACCTTATGGATGGATGAAGAGGTCTTTTAAATTCAACTTTTCTACCATATTCTACACCTCCCCTAGGAACTTCAAGATACGTTGCAATTGCCTTTCGCTTCTGATCATTCAATTCACGAGCCTTCTTGTCACAAACCCATGCATGCACACCTCGTCTCCCTGAATACACCCACAAAATATATTCAAACCCAAAATCTTCTCTCAACGCTGAGTCAATCACCTTTATCGAAGCTGTAATAAACCCCCAGCATTTGAGGCAAATATCTGTTTTTGAGCAACATGTTCTAACATCATCATAATCCGTCAGATCAATGTCAAAAACAAGTTCTTTTTCAAGCGGTTTTAAAATAAACCTTCGGAAGGTCTTCCGGTCTCTGGGATTTGCATTATATATAGGTCCTATTTCAAATCTAGACGGATTTAATCTCAAAACTTCTTTTCGAAATGCTTCATATGTAGGAAACGAATTGTAGCGCAAATATGCATCATTTTGCAGCGTAAAAGCGATTTCCCTATTAAAAAACGATTTAGAAGGAATGGGAGACCTGTTAAGCCATTGGAAAATGTATCTTTCTCCAGTTATTTATCATCAAAAAAAAAATCAGAAATTTATCACTTGAATGGGAAAATTCTCTGGTAAAAAACGAAAAAAACGCTCGGATCAGAAAGATCCTTTGTATCCTCTGATATTTCGTCGTAGTTCATTCAGTTATCGCTCTTTTTTAGCCAGAAAACCCGGCCTTTTTTCATATATTTTTTTGTGAGGTTGTCGGTTGCCATGGAAACCAGGCACCGTTAGTAACGGTTGCTAGGTGAGATTGACTAACGTCATAAATTATAATATGAGGAGAACCATATAAAAATGGAGAGGCAAAAAGAGGGGTTAAATGAAGGAAATCGCGATATTTTAAGCGAAAAAAATGAATCAGGGGGTTCGATTATGGGGTATAGGGAAAAACTGCGGAGAAAATTGAAGAATTGGGAGAGAAAATTCGAAGAACAGGAAGGACGTAAACCGGAGAAAAAAGACATAAAAAAGGACAAAAAAATAGGTATAAAACGGGGAGAAAACGGGTAGAATGATTGATCTGGATGTGTAGAGGAGTGTTATAAGCTTTATAGCCGAATTCGAACGGGGAAAATTGAACCAGATATCGAAAAAATAAAGAAAAAAGAATGTTTGATAAAAACTCATGATATAAGTGAGAAAACAGACGAGAAAATGGACGTAGAGATTGCAGTGAATCGGGAGAATATGGGTTTTTTTTTTGGTGGAGATTGTGAAGAAATAGGGCCCACACCACAGAAAATAGGAAGACCGATAGGAATTTTTGAGGGGATATATGACAGTCCATATGTTTTAGAGAGAAGAAATGGAAGGGAAGAAGAGGAATTGATGCTAGGAAATGTAAAAACTCCGGTAAAAAAAGATAGGGATATTGAAAGAATGGAAACCCCGATAAAAACACAAAATAGAAACAATTATCTTACAACACCGGCCTTTCTTAAGAGATCAGTAGAATTACCATTATCTATTTCACCGAAATTTTCATTTAGAACGACATTATTGTCTAAAAAAAGTCTTAGTTCGTTAATAGAAGAATTGCGACAAATAGAAGATAATTTTGTTGATCCAGGAGAAGAAGTATTGAGAGAAATTGAAAGCCAAAGCAACAATGCATTAATTGAAGAGGAAATGGAGCTAAAGGAGCCTATAGAAAAGGTGGTTTCAGAAAATAAAACATGGAAAAAAAAGGGAATTAAACGATCTAAAAGAAGAGTTATATGTAAGAAACAATATCTTCTAATATGAATAGAATTAATTGTAATACAGTAAGACCTATTATTAAAAAGGAAGTGAAAAAATTGGAAGATCAATCAAAGAAATTAATAGAGAAGAAAGCTTTTAAAGAAAATCATATTCTTCATGAAAACAACACTTTAAATAATGTAGATAAAGGAAATACCAAGGGTGTTAGCAAGCATAAGAAATATATTAAAGGAAAAGGAGGTGTTTTCCTTCAATCTCAAGTTAGTAGAAATTACGTAAGTTACAAGTTAAAAAAATACAAGTCCAAATTTCGACGAAGATAATGCTTTAAAGATTATTCAAATTATTCAATTAATCTTATATCAGTTATATATAAATCAGCCATTATTACACATGAATTCTAATATATCCAAATATAAGACGATAGACCATGTCGAATCAATAATAATAAATGATATTCTTTTTATATTGTTTGTACCTTTTCTTATTTTATCATGTATAAAAGGGTTTTAAGCATTTTTCAAATAAACACTTTAGATTTCCTTTTTTATTTCCGATAAAGAGATATTTTAATCTTTCTAGTTATTATTTACAAGTAAAATAAATTTAATATCAAAAAAATTAATTTATATTTGCTTGATAAAAACTAGTTAAGATATAAAACTATTTTGTGACATTGTGTATAGATTCAGAAACATATCTAGATGAAAATAAACATTTAAAATTTAAATTAAATATTTTGATACCTAGCATTATTAGTAGAAATACCAGCAATAGAAATTCTGCCGTCTTTTGTCAAGTAAATATGATACTTTTCGGTAAGGAGCCTGACTTGTTCTGGATTAAGACCGGTATAACAAAACATACCTATGTTTCATTAATTTCCTAATAATTATATATTCGTATATATATATACCTATTTGAGAAGTAATATGGGACCAATCATGCTATAAAACGTTTATATATAGATAGATAGATAAATAGATAATGAAATACCTTTGATTGAAACTCTTCTTCAAGATATTTCCTGATCATTTTCCCTATAAAATTAATTATATATTTTTTATTGATAGAAACCTACTTGATGAAATAATACGATTAGCCATTCCTTTTAATTCTGAAAGCCATTGTTTATAAAGTTCATTATCGCCTAAAATTTCGGCAGCAATTCGAGCACCATGAATAGGTGGATTTGATATAAGAGGACGAATTAAAATTTTTAACTGACTTTCCACACGCTCTTTTTCTTCAGATGATTCACATAGAATAGAAAATGTGCCAACACGTTCACCATAAAGACCCATATTTTTAGCAAAAGATTGACTAACACACAAACTATGCCCTTCTTCAACAAAATATCTCAACGCATAAGAATCTTTCAGAAGATCTCCTGATGCAAATCCCTGATAAGCCATATCAAAAAATACATAATGATTTCTTGATTTAATAGCATCAGAAATCAGATGCCATTGTTCTAATGTAGGATCCACGCCTGTAGGATTATGTGCACAAACATGAAATAAAATAATAGATCCTTTAGGTGCTGCTCGAATATCTTCAAGTGCACCTTCAATATCAAACCCAATAGTATTTTTGTCAAAATATCTATAATAATTAATTTCAAGTCCAGAATCTTTAAATATTGGTATGTGATTCCCCTAAATTCATTATTAAAGCCATTATTAAATCAATATATAAACCCATGTTGGTGATGGAAGATATATTTTTTTACTTGAATAAAACCTATTTAAGAACTCTCCTCCCAAACGTAATGCTCCTGTACCTGAAACTGATTGAACAACAGAAATACGACCTTCTTTCAATGCTTTTGAGTCTTCACCATATGCTAATCTCGATGCGTATTTAACAAAAGAAGAAACACCTGTAATAGCAGCATATTCTTTATTTAAATCTGCGAAAAGAATTCTTCTTTCAGCTTCCTTGACAGATGGAAGAACATATGGCTTCCCTTGATCATCACGATATGAACCAACCCCCAAGTTTACCTTTAGCGGGCTTTTATCAAGTTCAAAAACTTCATTGATTCCTTTAAAAAATTAACAAAAATATCAAATTAAATAAACAATATACCAAGAATTGGATCACGAGGGCCTATTAATGTCAGATATCATAATAAAATACTCATTAACATCATATATTTACCTTGTTGAACATGAGCCCATGTTGAACTTAGAGCAATACCTTGAAACTTAGGAAAAAAAGTACGCAAATTATTCCTTTGAAGATAAATCATAATAAATATAATCTTAAGATAAAAATATTGAAATCTTTGAATATAAACTTGTATATCTTTTTAAAAAAACTAAAGATCCCTGTAAAAATCGTTCAACTTGATTTTTTAACGTTATTTTAAATTCTGTAAAATATTTAAAAAATGTTAAAAAGCATCAAAATCTAGAATAAAATATTCAATGAAAAGATAGTTTTCGTAAAAAGAAAAAAATCGATTTATCAAAGATAAACAAGTAAAAAAATGAAAAACATAATTATATCATCAATGTCATGTATATTTTTCTTTGTAGCAGGATATTACAGTAGATCCTTCTCTATCCTTCATCTAAGAAGACTTGTATTGAAATTTTTATCCGAGAGAGAAAATATACAAAAACTGTTTAATAAAAAGATTCCCTGTTTAAAAATTAGTGAAGAATATAATGAAGAATACAAACTTGTATTAGTTGTTAGAACTGATCTAAAAATGGGTAAAGGAAAAGTATATAATAATTTTTAAAAATTATTATATATAACTAATATTCAAGGTGGCATCGCAATGCTCACATGCAGCTGTTTCATGCTACAAAAAAATGATGTGCCAAAATCCAAAGGTATAGCATAAATTTATCGCCAATTATCAATTAATTCTTAGATAATTGAGTATTGGGAATTACATGGACAACCAAAAATCGTATTGCAAGCAGAAACAAAAGCTGAATTGGAAAAGTTATATGCCCATGCAAAGTTATTAGGTATAATTTCATGTATTATTCATGATGCTGGTAGAACCCAAGTTGAGCCGAATTCTGTAACAGTAATTGGTATTGGTCCTGCACCCAAATCAACCATTGACCAAGTTACGGGATATTTAAAATTATATTAAACATTGTAGATAATGTTTTGATAAAATAGTGTTATTTTTGAATTCTATAAATCAAATACCAACCCTATGTACATATAATTAGTAAAACAAATAAACATATATGAAAGAATATCTTATTTGTTATATGAAAAAATAGATTGTTGTTCTTTTTTTTTCTCTTCGGCTAATTTTCTAAGCCGTTCATCAACCTTAGCTTTACCTGAACCTTTTCCATGAAACTGGTGAGATAAAAATTTGTATGCTTCTTTGTCCTTTATTTCTCTTCCAAACTCATCATTATACTTTAATTGAATTACAGGTGTCCATTTTGAAAAGAGTTTTTGTAGTTCACGTGCTTCTATCATTGCATGACGCTGATTTTCAGATTGAAGATATAATTCCCTCTCACGAGGAGTCATTCTATCTAATTTTCCACTGCAACGATCCATTTCTTTTCTATATTTAGCTTCTTCTTCTAATCTTTTCTTTAACTTCTTTTGTTCTGCTAAGAAAAGAGAATGCTCATGTTGAGCCTTCTGAACCGATAATGCCTCATCAGTTTGCTTATTAATAATACCTAATAATGAATAAACACATAAAAATAATAGAAAAATGGTGAAAATACCTTTTTGTTTAAGTAAATTAAAAACAGCACCAACACCAGAACTAATATCTGCTTCATCTTCAATTCCTGTTGTTGAAATTTTTTTCGTATAATTATCAGGTTCATCATAAGGACTTTCTTTTGTTTCATCTTCTGAATTCTCATCTACGATTTCCCGAGTTTCCAAATTCTGTATATACTCAATATTTTCAAATACTTTCGGCTTTTCCCTCGACTCAGTAGCTTGAATTCCACGAACAAACTCTGTTGTTTCATCAATAATAAGTCCCTCATTATTTTTATCTCCATCTTCTTTCGATTCCTCTAATATTTGTTCTTTTACTAATTTCGCAACGTTTTCAGGATGCGAAACCTTTTTACGCTTAGAAGCTTCTCTCTGTCGAGCAAGGCATGCTTGTAAATCATCATCATCCACAAAGGATACATTATCAAAATTCAAGTCTTTATGAGATGCGATATTATCGCTATTTCGCACTATATTTTTCGTATCAATTGATTCTCCAATTAAATCATGATCAACCTTTCTCATTCTATTTGCCTTCTTCTTAGTCTTTTTAATAACAATTTGGGAAATATCTTGATAATCCGATGATGTATTTTCAACAGATGTATGATTCAAAGAAAATGTTTCCTGAAGACCCTTCTTCCATACCTCCTCTTGAGGCTCTTTGAATGCGTTCCCAATAATAAATCCCTTATCAATTTAGATTTTAATCAAAACGTATAGATTATAGAACCTTCTTTACTTTCTCATCATATTGAAAAAGAATCGTTTTAGGATTATCCTCTGAAAATTCGTCATCATCATAGCCTGTATAAACGAATTTCTTTTTATTCTCTAAATTCTTTTCTAACTTTTCCTTCTCAACCAATCCAATATTTTCCAATTCATCACCTTGATCTTAAAAAATCAATTACATACTAATCCCTAACTAAAATACCCAATAAATACCTTCATTCTCCAGAATAGTACTATCCTTAAGCGTTAAAACCATAGCCTCTCCTTCATTAATATCAGTAAAATCGTGAGACACTTTTATTCCCTCGAGTTGATCTAATATTATAGAAATATCAGAAATAAATCAGTAAATCCATTAGGATAAAAAACCAGATGTATACTCTTCTTTTTCATTCTTCTTTTGTTTTTTTTCCGAATTTGAGTTAACAGTATTATCTTTATCAGTAGCATGAGAAAAATTACGTTTTCGATGATTCATGATCCATGAACGCAAATCTAAATCACCATCATCACTCGCCTCTCCAAGACCTTTTCCCGTAAATCGACGCTGTGTTTCTCGTGTTTCTTTGGCCCTAATAAGTATAAATTTAAGAGTTATAAAAGCAAATAAAGATGCAAACATTCGAATTCGTTCTTGAATCGACCGTGTCTCCTCCTCTTTAATTTTTGCCGCTCGAAATGCTTTAAAATTAGCAACAGCTGGATCCTCCACTGGTTCTACTGTTTCTGAAAGTGGTGCAAGTCCTCTATTAATCATGTTTGATTAATATTCATAAAAAATATCGACCAAATGGCCTAAAAAAACACTTACAGAGAACGACGAAGCGCATTTGTTTCTTCTACTGTCATAGATTCTCCTGTAAATCCTTCTTTAACTGACGATTCTGCCATTTCCTCTATACAATACAAGAATGAATGTAATTATACACAAAAAAGTAAAGAAACGTTTCCAATACAAAAAATACAATCTAATATATATATTTCCAATGATATATATGATATTCTGGCCCGAAAAAAATCTTTTTTACTGAATCCTTCCAAAAGACTTAAATATGGAGTTTTGAGGCCAAAAAAACAGCAACCTTCACTAAATAACCCAATTATAAAGGTAACACTTCCTAAATCCTCAAAAAACACCACTGTTTTACTGAATATATGCGTCTAAATCAAGGACCTTGGTTCAATCAATATTATTGCTTTTTATACTAAAAAATTACGCAAAAAAAATGATAATACTGAAATTCTCAGTAAATTACTGGCGTTTTCCTTAAAAATAAGCGGATATATGCGCACAATTTCCAAAATTCAACCTTTTTTTCCCGGGAAAAAAACAGGTATTAATACTAGAAAAACCGCGTTATTATTAAGTAAAAAGCTTATATTTATTTCAAATACCTTCTATTATATCTCTAATTAAGTCTATATTTTCCCATATTTTTCAGAATCTCTGTTTATATAAAACCAGATGGTCTTTCAAAGGAAAGAGGATTAAATAGGATATCGGTTACCGTGGAAACGGTGTCCTAGACGACGGTGTCCTAGGCAACGATCTCCTAGGCAACTATCTCCTAGGAAACCGTTGCCTGGGACACCGTTTCCACGGTAACACGCAGCTTACCTTGCCAACCTTGCCAACCTCACTCGACCGAACAAATATATTTGACGCCTTTAAAGCACTAAAAACCTGCTTATTTTGCGCTAGAAATTGACATTTAAAGACCCTATTTTTAATATAAAATCAATGGAAACGGATTTAATGATAAATAATGAGGCCACCGGGCAGGATTATTCTATTTATCCACGTATTTCTTATAAAACGGTTACAAATATTTCAGGACCGTTAGTTGTCCTTGATCAGGTCAAAGTAAGGACGGAGAACAGAAATTGAGTGTTCTGGAAGCTTTTTTTTCGTTTTTTTTGGGGCGGAATTAATGTATTTTTGACAGTTTCCTCGGTATAATGAAATTGTGAATCTTTACCTTGAAAACGGGGACGTACGGACAGGACAAGTATTGGAATCGAGAGGTACGACGGCTATTGTCCAGGTTTTTGAAGGAACGGCGTCAATTGATGTCCGTTCGACTCGTGTAGAGTTTACAGGGAAAAGCTTAAAAATAGCGGTATCAGAGGATATGCAGGGCCGTATTTTCAATGGATCAGGAAAGCCTATTGATCAGGGACCTCTTGTTATTCCGGAGGATTATTTAGATATTAATGGTTGAATATTTTTTTTAAAAAATGATTAAAATCTGAACTGGATGGTGATATATAGGGTCTCCGATTAATCCGTATTCACGTATTTATCCACAGGAAATGATACAGACGGGTATTTCAGCGATTGATACGATGAATAGTATTGCAAGAGGACAGGTGATTTTTTTACATAAAAAAATTGCTAAATTAATATATATCGTATATATAGAAGCTTCCTATTTTTTCAGTATTTAAGAATATGGATGAAGAATTAGCTTAATATTTGTTTTAGGCGGCAGGGCTTCCACATAACGAGATAGCGGCACAAATATGCCGACAAGCGACTCTAATTAGGCCTACAAAAGATGTACATGATGGACATGAAGATAATTTTTCTATCGTATTTGCAGGTAAATCATTTAAAGAATAAAGAAATAAAGACTAATCAAGTATAGCAATGGGAGTCAATATGGAGGTATATATAATAATTATATTGTTTTCAAAGAAATAATAAATAGACTGCTCGATTTTTTAAGCGAGATTTTGAAGAAAGTGGTTCATTAGAAAGAGTAACACTCTTTTTGAATCTAGCCAGTGATCCTACGTAAAAAGATATGATTAAATATTCAGAAAGACTTAGTGATATAGAATTGAACGAATTATTACTCCACGTCTTGCCTTAACTACGGCAGAATACTATGCTTATCAAACGGAAAAACATGTTCTTGTTATTCTTACTGATATGACTTCTTATGCAGATGCTCTTAGAGAAGTAGATAATTTGGAATTGTATAAAATATCTTAACATTTTTTAGATTTCAGCTGCTCGAGAAGAAGTACCTGGTCGAAGAGGATATCCAGGTTACATGTATACAGATTTATCGACAATTTATGAACGAGCGGGGCGTGTAGAAGGAAAAAATGGATCTATTACTCAGATTCCTATTCTAACTATGCCGAATGATGGTACAATTCCTTATTAAGAATATTAATTGTTTATTTTTTTTTAGATATAACTCATCCTATTCCTGATCTTACTGGATATATTACGGAAGGGCAAATATTCATTGATCGTCAATTACATAATCGTCAAATATACCCACCAATTAATGTTCTTCCATCATTATCCCGTCTTATGAAATCAGCTATAGGTGAAGGATTTACTCGTAAAGATCATCCAGAAGTCTCAAATCAACTTTATGCAAATTATGCTATGGGAAAGGATGCTGCTGCTATGAAAGCTGTTGTTGGAGAAGATGCTATATCAGATGAAGATAAGTTATCTCTTGAATTTTTAGAGAAATTTGAAAAAAACTTTATTTCACAAGGTTTCCCCCTTCTTGAACTAATAAATATCTTATTTTTTTAGGTCCATATGAGTCACGTACCATAGAAGTATTATTTATATATCTTATTTTAAATAACTAACATTTATTAAGGAATCTCTTGACATTGGATGGTCTCTTCTAAGAATATTTCCTAGGGAATTGCTTACACGTATCTCAGAAGAAATCATTCAAGAATTTTATCCCAGAGCACCTGCTAAAAAGAAAAACTCAGATATTGATAACTCAAAAAATAATTATGAAGATGATACTACATCTGAATGTGTTATATCTCTTCAAGAAAATTCAAATTCTTCATAATTTTTCAAGTTTCATGTCAACTTGTTTCACTATTAAAAATATCTATTGCTTTGTTTTTTAATCTTACTTTTAGGAAAGATGTTATCTTCTATTAATATATAAAATATCTTTTAGTTTAATCTAATTTCTAAAAATCACATAAAAATCAGGTCTTAAATAATCGCTAAACTTTAGACATTTAGGAAAAGAAATAAAATTTCAATCAATTACACATTAATATTCATATTTTATAACTTAATCACTACTTAAACATATTAATTTAATATTACGAAACACCAATGACAAAAAATGCTAATAAATTATCTCAGGTTTAGCAAAGCTATTGCAAATATAGACATACTAACTAGGTATTTTCTCTTTACAAGTATTATCAATAAACAATAATATCAAAATATACATTAATTTTTAAAATAGTCAACTCAGATTTTATATATAAAATATCTTTTTTTTTTTTCAACTATATACTTACTAAAACCTTTAGTTATTTTGCATTTTAAATTTAAAAGAATCTAAAATATTTTCTCCAACACTTTCTGATGGCAAATCTTTATAATATGTTTACAGTTAGAAAAATCTTGAAGACATATCTGGGTTCTTTCTACTATATCTTTTCAATTTTTCTAGATTTCGAATAGATTTGATGAGAAATTAACATTTTAGTCATAATACAAATACAATTTCTCAAATAAAGCTATCTATATATATAAAACAATATATTTAGATATGCTATTTAATAGTTTATAAAATCAACTATTAAATAAATCATTTACATCACTAAAATTATGTCAAAGAAGAGGAAAGATATATCAAATAAGATAGAAATTTATTATACGATATATTACAATATCTACAAAACATCTGCTAGTTTTCAATTATTTCAATATTTAAAAGGATTAACTAATCCATTACAATGAAATCATACAAAAACTAAAAGCTAGAGAAACAATTGATATTAAAAAGAATCATATTGGATTAATAATTTACAATGGTTAAATATTTTTTAAAATATTTCAAAAAGAAATGATTATTACATACATTTTTATTCAGAACAAATAAGTACTACTATAAATAGTACTAACAAACATTTTCTGAAAGATAGTTATCATTTCATTCAATTTATATTCTATATAAACCTTTTAATAATCATTGCAAGGGAAACAGAATCAATTCAAATTATATAAAAGTGATCTAAAATATATAACCAATATCTTGGATAAAATTCAACCAATTTATAGAATATAAATAACATATATTCATGGTATACTTAAATCAATACATATGACAGGTAATTTCATTGAAATTGATATTGTTATTCGACTTTTAACAAAATATCTTGTCAATTATCACTACAAACATTATATATATACTACTACGCAAGATAAATTTATTTTAACATTATCTACATGATATACAATGTCTTACAGAATCTAAAACAATGCTAGAAAACATATTAAAACTAATTATTCAATGGTCAATTAAATTCTCAGAGAGAGATTAAACATGATAATTTTCTTAATTATCCTTTTCAGCAAAAAATACAAAGGATATTTCATTCAACACATATAATTCTCTCTGAAATACTTCTAATATGTTCTTTTTAGCTTTTTCAAATCATTCTTTATCAAAAAAAACACTAAAATCTTCAAAATACTCATATTTATCACCAAAAAATTCTTATACACTAAAAATTTCTAAATTTAACATTAAATTCTAACTAACTACTCTAATATCTTAGGATTTATATTACACAATCACTCAGATAATCTCGGTACAATCTTATATATTTCTTTACACACAAAATACAACTTTTTTACATATTTCTTTATTTTTTTCTTTAAATCATAAAATATACATTTCTATATGGTCATCAGCAATCAAAAGGGAGATACAGCATATTCTATAAGACACTATATTTTTACTCAGCCCTTACCCACTCATACTCGAGCTTATCAGCCAACGTCTAAATTTTATATAAATACTTTAATCTGCTAAAATAGAGGAATTTAAGGGGAATTAAAGACTAAATAGACCTTAAATGAGGAGATTAAGCTGTTCAAAGTGTTATTTGGGTTTTTTTCCGGCTTCAAAATTCGAAAAACTGAAGATTTATGAGTTTTATAAGTTAAAATATATATATAAGAGTAGTTTAGCGGGATTTTCTACATATTCATGTGGTTTACAATCAAATTCAAGGAAACCAGATGTTCCTGAGTCTTTTCAACCGGAAATAGAGGCTCATGAGAGCGTTAATAAGGGAGAAAGTGATAATTTATCATTAAAACGTCCAGCATCTTTTCTAGGAGGGTTTTCTAAGAATAGAAGAAGAGAAACTCATAAAGAACGTAGATCTGGAGTTTCAGTTAAGCCTTCTTGTGAGGCAGAAATCCCGGATTGGTTTTTAGAGAAAAATGTTTTTTTATATGGGTCTATGAAGTCAAAAGAAAAAGAATTTAAATTAAACAGCAAATTTTCAGATACAGATTTGTACGCTATAAATGTTTTTGAAGATACATTTGCAGTTACCAAAAATTTGATTGTTGAATTAATTTCTCATTTGAATACGTCATTTATTCTTAATCCTGAGAAAAAAAATGAAAATAATTCATCTAGAAAGGCGAATTTGATATTAACATGTCCTATCAAAGGGTCTATATATTTTCTGGATGCTATAGTTCATGAAATTTCAAATATGCTTGAAGCAGACCTTATAAAAATAAGTCCTCAAGATTTAGAGGATTTGGTAGGGGATGTTTTTGAAGAGGGTAGATTAATGAGTATTTTATGAGGAGAAATGACAGTTTTTATAGATCGAATTGGAATATTTAGTTCAAAAACCTTTGGAAACCTTTCATTTTCAGGACAAAATAAAAAACCATTAATTCAAGAGAATGAAGAAATTGAAGAGGATGATGAAGAAGCAGAGGGATATGATAATATATCAGAAGTAAATCTGAATCATAATGTAGGGAAAAAAATAGTTTTAGGTCCAGTTCTTCAAATTCTTACAGCCTCTTTACCAAAAACTCCGAATAATACAGGATTTCAAGATATAAATAAGCCATTAAAACCTAGTAACAATAGTATAGGATTTCATGGGAAGCTTTCTTCAATTTTATCAAAGTTATCAATTTCAAATCTAGAAAAACAAAAGAAACTTTTTTCATCAACTTTATCTACAGAAAAAACAAATACAATTCCCCAGAATAAAACTATCATTTATATTCAAGAATATTCTTCACTAATTAATAGCATTTCTGGAAACTATGTCTTAAAAGTTTTACGAGAAGCAATTCATGCTAGACGTAAGAAGGGAGAAAATATTGTTATTATAGCGGGTTCCCATAAAGAAAATATAGAACATCCAAACAGTCTATTGCGTGATGATATGCTTTTAACGATTGATCAATTTTATCGGAATATATTTATAGTTCCAGTAATGAAATCAAAAAATCAAGATAATTTAAATATAGAAGAAACATTTATTAAGCACAGAGCTAGACATATTAAAGAAATAAATATAAGACATCTAAATTCACTTTTAGGACGGCGTTGTGGGGTTAAATTTGGACTAGATATTTCTAAATTTCTTAATAGTGATTCAGAACTTTTTCCTAACATACAAGATGAAATATGGTCATTTGATTTTATACATAGAATCATTTCTATTGCTATAGGTCTCTATAAAAATTCTATAGATAAACAAGAAACAATATCTCTTGATATATTGGATATATCTAATGCAATCAAATTAGTTAAAGAAAATGATGAACTAAAAGAATCATGGAAAGCTACACAAAAATATCAGCAAGAACAATGGAAACAAAGACAATTTGAAGACAAAAAAGAAGATAAATTTATCGATTTTAACAGCTTAGATTGTAATAAATATGAAAAAAGATTACTTCCAGGTGTTGTTAATCCAGGTATGATATATATTTTTACTTTATATCTTATATTTTGCCAGAAATGATTACTGTTGGGTTTGAATCTGTTAGAGTTCCATCTTCTACTAAGAATATTCTTCAAACACTCATTTCTTTGCCTCTTAAAGAACCAGATGCTTTTAATTTTGGAGTTTTGTCTCATAATAGAATATCAGGAGTTCTTCTTTTTGGTCCACCTGGAAGTGGTAAAACATTATTAGCAAAAGCTGTTGCAAAAGATTGTGGTGCAAGAGTTTTAGAAATTAAAGGAAGTGAAATCTTCAATATGTATGTTGGAGAAGGTGAAAAAAATGTTAAAGTAATTACATATTATTGAAAAATTCTATCAATATTTATTTTTCATAGGCTATTTTTTCTTTAGCAAGGAAATTGAATCCTTGTGTAGTTTTTATTGATGAAGTAGATGCTATATTTGCTTCAAGAAAATCAGATTACAATAACCCATCTCACAGGGAAATTATTAACCAATTCATGTCAGAATGGGATGGATTGGTTAGTCAAAATACAGGAGTTATCATTATGGGTGCTACAAATAGACCTTTTGATCTAGACGAAGCTATAATAAGAAGAATGCCTAAAAGAATTTTAGTTGATCTTCCAACAGAAGAAGATAGGAAAGAAATCTTGAAGATTCATCTTAAAGATGAAACATTGGCTAAAGATGTTGATTTTGATGAATTATCTCAAAAAACAGTTTTTTTTTCAGGATCAGATTTAAAAAATCTTTGTGTTTCAGCAGCACTTGAATCAATCAATGAAGATTTACAAAACAACAATTATGTAAAACCCTACACAAGAATTTTGAGAAAATCACACTTTGAAAAAACTTTAAATGAAATCACTAGTAGTATAAGTGATGATATGAGTAGTTTAATTGAATTAAGGAAATGGGATGAGAAATATGGTAAGAAGAAGAATGTAATTAAGAAAACATGGGGCTTTGGAGATATTAATGTTCCAGATTCATTGAAAGGACGTGTTCGTAAATCTAATAATTTATAAAAATTAAATTTTCTTGCAAAATGATTAACTATATACCAGTATTTTCATATATATAATCAATATCATCAATATATATGACTCAATTGATATCTAGCGAAATTTTTATTCTTTTATAACAATTTATTAAATATTCTGACCTATTTTTTTAAATAGTGTTATCTATTCTTAACTTTTATGATGCGATCAATCTACTAATGAGTTCTCTAAAGACCAGAATTTATATTTTATATTATAAATATTCCAAAAGAAATACTATAACTAAGGATGCAAAAGTAACTGATTTTTATTTAAACACCATTAAATATTCGACATTTCAAGGAGTTTTATTTTGATATTTATCATTTTTTGATTTATATTGCTCTACAACAGCACCACTAGGCTCGAATTTTGAAAAATCTGAAATATTATTATCAGTTATAAAAGGCCCTTTAGAAAGATCAGGAGAAGTTTTAGTATTTTTGGAAAGATCTGCAGTATATCGTGGAACTCTGGATGGAATATAATCATATTCATCTTTATTGTTATAAATAGGATTTGAAATAACTCTTGAAGGAAATTCTGAATATGGTCCTCCACCTAATCCTCTTACAGCAGGTTTTCTTGCAAAAATAATTCTAAGAAAACCCAAAATAAATATTACTATCCAAGCAGATACTAATAGAAATGATATTTTAGTTTCGAAAAATATAGATTTCTCATAACTAGCAATTAAAGTATTCAAAATTGAATAAAATTTCTGATTTAAATTTCCAGAAGCAGTTACAAAGTCTTTATGAGTTGTAGAATTTTCAACAGAAGAAATTAATATATTATTTGGAATAAAAGGTGGTGATATATAAGCATTTTGATGTATCCATGTTAATCCTATTAAATGATTAACAAAACATTAAATAACAATGATATAAAAACCTTTTTCTATTCCCCTAAGTTTTATAAAAAGCATACAATCTAAAACACCAAGAATAGGCTATATACAATTAATTAGCAAAAAGTATATGATAAATATTGAAAATATACTTGATATAGGATTGTACCTCCAAATATCTTCTTAAAACTATTTGTTGTAGTGTCCATAAAAACATTTAATGTATTATTTATAGACCGAGTACCCGTATAAACCCATCCAAAGATATGTTTATTTAGATCTGTAGCTGTTTCATTTAAAACATTATTTACATCTTTTGACCACTTTAAAGATGCTGCTTGAAGCTTCTCAGAAACATCAACCGGCACATTTTCTTTTGGTAAATTATATAAACTCTTCTTCATTATAGACAAGAGAATCATTTGAAGTCCACAACTTATAAGCCCCAAAATCCCAAGAAATAATACAAACAAAGATGATGGATGAAAAATATAGGATGTAAACCATCTTATTAAAACCTTACGACGCTGATTTCGAGAAAGAGAAGAGAATTTTAGGCCTATCAATGTTATCCATGGATGTGCAACTGTAATTATGAATTCTGTAGGATCAAATGTTTTGGTAATTGAAAAAATGGACCAAACCATAGAAGCTTTTGATTGTAATCTTTTCCAATTCCACCATTCTTTAATAGCAAAAGGAACTATAGCTAATATAGACAATATGATTAAAACAAGCAAAATAGTGTGAATAGAAGTGTAAATATCATTAGAAAACTTTTTAAGAGCCTTGTTAATATCCTCATTATTTGAATAAGTTGAAAGTCCATCAACAGAAGGTACTGGAAGAAGTGAAGAATCAAAAGAATAGTTTGAAAGTGTATTATTAATAAGTTGCTAAAAATATAAGCAACAATTGCAAGATAAAAAGTTAGTTTTACCCTTAATTCATAAAAAGGAGCTGCAATTGACAGCATCACAGCATCTTTTAAAGGTTCTAAGGAAATTCTATCACCAAGCCGCCTTAATTCATCATCATAATTATTTGGAATACTGAAATTAGAAATTTTCTCATCAATAGGAATAGATAAAGTAGGAATTTTAATATTTTTTCCTAAAACTCTTGCTGTTTTTTGAATACTATTTAAAATAGAAGAAATCCCTTTGTTTATTTCCCGAATGCCTGCAAGAACATCTTTTTCAATAGACTTAAGTACATTATTAACAAATTTTGAGATTTTCTCCACAACGTCTGCTATAATCTTTATCCCGCCTTGAATAGAAAGCTCTAAAAGACATGTCCAAGTATCTAGAAAAATTCAATTATACAAAAATATGAATAAAAACAACTTACGTATAATCATTTCAATAAAAAACAAAATAATATGTTGTACACCCAATATAATAAGCATTAAAGTTTTATTTAAAGCCCTGACACTACTCTCAATACCAAGTGCAATCACTTTATTTGTTCCAATTGCCATTGAACGAGGCATAAGTGCTAAAGAATTGCTAGTATACTCTATAATAGTATACGCATCGTGCATTCTTTCCTCAACATTAGCCATATCCTTTTTAAAAGAGATTAAGAAGAAAAGAAGCCGAACAAAAAGAATAGCTAAAATAATTGTCCATTTATTAACCCAGACAAGTGACAATCTAGCAGGCAATAAAAGATAAGGAACATTTCTATCTGGAGGAACATAATTCATTTGATAAGTATGATAATTCGTATTGTCATTATGATTTTTTTCCCATGCACCATAGCCTGTTTTTTCATATACAAGTGGAGGAGCTTTAGGGAATGAATGAGATGCATATTGAGTAGTATTCCGACAAGAACCTTTACAATTATTGTCCTTACAGTTTAAATTATGAACAAAAGTATGAGTCGCCTGCGACATGAATATTAACAAATCAATTGCACTGATTCAATTCTTTTACATTATAAAAGAGTCATAAAATCCAGATAAACATAAGATGTTTATCTTAACAAAGAACTTTGTACCTTTTAGATAACTCTTTATAATCTACTTTTTAATATAGAGCCTTTACTAGATTTGGTTAACCCAATTTACTAGTTCCAAGATATTAAAGACATTAGAAAAAAAGAAAAATACAGATATTTAAAGTAGTCTTGTTCTTTCCTAAGTTGTAGATAATAAAGATCTTAATAAATGTTATGTTACCTTTTCTTTTTTATAATGATAAACGCTATGGTATCTTTTTTTAAAAGATTATCAAAAAAAAAAAGAAAGAATAACCCTTCCATTCATTCTTTATAGCTAATACCTGACAATGGAATAGGCAAAGTTGTACAATTCTTTTTTTTTTTTTTGAAAAAAGCCTTTCTAGAGTAATGCTATAGCAGAAAAAATTATAGAATCATCCAGCGCTAAAATATTAATATGAATTGATCCGTAACAAATGAAAAACAAGAGCATCTTTATGCAAAACAGCATTGAGATAAAAGTACCAACTTTTTAAAACTAAAAATTGTAAAAAAAAAAAGAATATCTTATCAGAATTAATATTTTATAACCCATTCATAAACAACCAATGAACATGTTTGTGTTTGAATAGGTGTTATTAAGACGTTCTTTTTTTTTTTTTACATGGTACTGATAAAATAGATATTTGAAAATTTGAAATCATGATTAGCAACAACTATGACTTTTTATTCATTAATATAGCATGAATGAAATCGTTAAATTGAAGAGAATTCTTCAGAACTAGTTCTAATATGTGAATTGATCTTTTCTGTAATGTTTGTTTAAAGCATCATTAGAAAAATACTTGAAAAAATCCTATAAGAACCATTTTATCATTTTAATTGAAAAAATAAACTCAATTACTTAGTTACTAGTAAAAGTTTGAATTCAGCTCCCACTAAAGAAAATAAGTTCATTCATAGATTCTTCTTTATATAGCTAAAACTTGAGTAAATCTAGAATATGAAAATATATTTAGGGTTATATTGGTCAAGTAGAATATACACCTATTTCCACCATCATTCTATGAAATAGTCTGTCCTGTTGATGCTAATAATGTTGAAAAATATTCAACCAATGGCTTTATAGAACCATATATTACCCTAAATATAACCCAAAGAAATACAAGGCTAAATAGACTAGAAAAAAACAAATACCCATGATAATGTGAATAAAAAAATACGCATTATCATGATTAATCCGATTTTAAAGCAACTATGACCATCAATTGGCTGATTAAAGATACATATAGCAATAAAAATCCAAAATACCTGAAAAAAATAAAAAACGAACAAAAAACAAAAAAACCTACTCAAATATCACCATCCTCTTATGAAAAAGACCTTTTTTCTCACAAAAACATATTCTTCTTCTCAAAAATGAATTCTTACTCCTAAATTCATGTTTTCGACTGAATCAAACGAAGACATGGAATACTACAAGCACGCATAGGAACTTTAGACCCTATTACATTGTATATACCTGCTCCACCGCACATAGAACACACTTTTTTCGTAGTTTTCGGCTTAACCTCTTTTTGTGCCTCAAAATACGTAGAAACATTCATTTCAAGCCATTTCTTCGGAATACCAAATACCGTACCCTCCTTTCTATCAACCCATCGTGACATCACCGGAGATAACGCTTTTGGTACATTTTTTTCTTCATCCGATCCACCCTCTTCCTCCATTCTACCTTTTTTATATTTATGCATAACTTGCTTACTAAGAAGCTTATGTATAGTCCCCATCTTCATATCTTAGCCTTCTATACCCTTTATAACCCTTTTCTATACCTTTTCTTCCTCTAACTTTTGTTCTGACAGATTTTTCCTACGTCTTGCAAGTTCATTCCTTTTCAACGCTAGTTCTTCCTCTGTAAGATTCTGATGACGCCGTTTTATAGCTATTCCATCATTTCCCTTTAAAATATTCCCTTTTTTTCCTCATAAAATACTTACTTTCTGGTAACTGCACAAGATCATTTGTTTCCCCCACTTCTTCATCCATTCTTGCCCTTTGACGCTTCGTAAGCCTTATCTGTTCTCCTGCTTTCTCCTTCATTCCTCCTGATCTTCCTCCTAATCCCTCTGTAAACCCCTCTGATTCCTCTGTATCCACTGATTCTTCCATTATTGTCTCATCAATTTCATTAGATGAACCTAATTCATCTAATTCACTTCCTGATATACTTTCTATTGCCTCGATTCTACGTCTTCTACTTCTCTTACCAGCCATGGAGCGGTTTGGAACTCTAATTGTAATACGTAATGACCTTTCCTGCTCTATATCTCTAGTCCTGCTCTGTGTTTTATCAGATACTTTCTTGCTTGAGTCATCTAATAATTCTTCAGAAGCGCTTATGTCGTCAGAAGAAGTAGATTTCATCTTTACCATAAAGATGAAGCTTTAATAAGAAGGATTTATTTATTAAAAGTCAAGGGTTGAGGGCTCTTTGGAAGGGGAAGGGTAATTTCCAGCTGGATATATGATAAGGGCAGATATCAGGATGTAATGACCGTATTAGAGATGAGATATAAAGAATGAGAGGGTAAAATCATGATGAAGCTGAGTATGAAGTGGCCGGTTTATAAAGAAGAGCAGAGAGAAGGAGTGTGAGTCGAATGAAGAGAGAAAAAAGAATAAAAACCTTATGCCTATGAGTCCGAATGAATATGCCATAATAGATGAATGGTTTACTGAATAATTGTCAATAAATAAGTGTTTTATATACCTCGTACAAGTGATTGATAATTAGGCGAAGCATTCTCATATATCTTTAAAAAATATTCAGCTTGGTTCTTAACAAGAAACCTGGAGGTGAAATTAGTAGATGATCTGAAGTATCGTTGAATATTATACTTTAAAAAGTCTTTAATATAGTTTTTTAATATTTGTATACTCTGATAATCCATATTTGTATGTGCAATCAATTCAGGAAGGGTTACTGTATTAATACAAGTAAGCCTTATTTCTTAAGATTAATTGATGAATACCAAACAATCGAAGCAAGTGTTCAGCACCATAAATATCACTCATTTCTTTATCTTTAGCGGTTTTTCGTATATCTGAATACTGTTGTCTTTCAAAACGGTATAATAAAATATTGCCAAGACACCGATCAAAGTACAGCTTAATACCCGATACAACTTCTTCAAATATATCCGTATCCAAGTCAGTAAAACGTTTTTTTTGCAATGTTAAAATAGAATTTTTATAATTCTGTAAAATTTCCGTTACAGTTGGTGATCGTGGCAATGAAACAAGCTAATACATGAATCAATTGATGCTTAACATCTTCAGATCCAATAATTACTTGTTGATTCTTTGTTATATTTTCCCAATCATCAACAAGCTGTGCTTTTAATGTATCAGGAATTGGGATATTAATTTCCGGTTTAACAGTGAAATCTTCTTCCTTTATAAACAGATAAACTATATTTCCGTCATTTTAATCGACCAACCTTCTCTAAATCAGCATCTCTTGAGCGTTTTTGGCCTCGTGGATGAGGTGGACCTCCTTCCGTCAATTCGCTAGATCTTCCCGAGCCTCTTCGCCCTGATTTTTTCTGTGCAGCAAGCGCTGCCATTTGTAACTCTTTCTGCGTAGCTAGATTCTCTTCTGTCCACTTTAAAGCTCGATCTTCTGGCACCCATTCATCCCATCTAGGCCTTTTTAATATATAAATATAAAAATATATATATAAACGTTGACTTCCAGCCCTTATAATGGACACGTAAATGAGGCTCTTTTTCAGCATTCTCTCCTGCATCTTCTGGTTCTCTTAGTTCTGCACTTAAAACCTAATTTATATAAAAAAATATAATTTTTTGTAGATTTTTAAGATATACTTTAGCTTCATAAAGCAAAGGTCCATGAAAACTAGCAATATTAGAGTATGAAAAGAAGCAGAAAATTTAGTAGAATACCATAGAACTCTTTCATCAGGTTTAAAGGCACTTACCATAATGTTTAACAAAAGTTTAACTCGAGCGGTGTCGATAAAGCGTAAAAAGGTTCAATTTATAATAGAATAAGTGCTGAATAATTTGCTCCATGAAAAATACATAAAAGCCAAGAAATAAAGAAGTATCATGTACTTTTTTTTGTCTAAAATTTATTAATTTTTTTTCTTTTTGAAAAATTAAATTTGTTACTTTTCAAAAAAAAATAATATAATATAGTGAAAAAGTGATTTAAATATTGATTGAAGTGTTAGCTAATTCGAAGTGGTTTGAGAATTGAATGATGAATACGTTCTAATTCTTTAAAATGATTAATTTCAATATTTTGTAATAAAAGATCATTTTGTTGAATATTGTTAAACATATAAGAAGGTATTTGAAGAGTACAATGAACCAATGGAGTTGTCTATGGATATGAAATTAAAAAAAAGAGAAAAAATAAAGAGAAACTTACAGTTGAACGACAAATAGGTTTTCGAAAGGTAAAATCACGAATAGAAACCAATGAATCCCTCTTAGCACATAAAGAAACATATTCCTCTTGTTGTTTAAAATGTTTATAACGAGGTCTTTTAGTCTCTGATATCCAACCATTTTGTTTTTGGAAAGATAGTTTAATAACACTTGTTTTAGAGGAAAATGTCCTAAGAGACTTTTCATATGTTAATATTATTAAAAATAAAAACATAAAAAGTAATACTTTAAGTAAAAATCTAATTTCAGCTGCCCTTTTTTCCCTCTTTTTTGAAAATTCATCATTTGTTTTAAATAATGGTTCAGATAACCAAGAATTATCCAAAATCATTTTATTGATTGATAAAAGTTTAATTTCTTCCCTCAAATATAAGATAGAATTATTAGAAAATTCAGCCTTAAAATATAAGTTTATTTTTTTTAGAAATAAAGTTAATACTTCATTAGAGAATTCCTGTAATTTATTTTGAAATATTTGACTATTAACAATACTTTCTTCCAAAGAATTGATATCAGAAACATGTCTAGTGCTTTTAAAATTATTTATAATCTTTTCCATAGATTTAGTTTTCTTATTAAGACTTTTTACAGTTTCAATGTATTGTTTTTCTTTTAATAAAGCATCATTTAAAGATTTTTCAAGCATTTTTATAGTTTCTGAATTTCGTTTTAAATCATCAGTTCTTTTATTCAAAAGCTCTGTCTTAATATTGACTTCCTCTATTATTTTATCCTTTTATTTTATTTAACTTTTAAAAGTTTAAAGTGTAATCTCTACCTTAAGTCGTATATCAATAATATATTGATTAATTCTATCTTGGAGTATATTAAGCTTTTTTTCTGCTTCATTATTTTTCTCTAAGATTGATTTGATTTCATTTGAATGTAATATCCAAGGAGAAGTATTTTGAAAAACTATTAAGTTAAAAATATATTCAAAAATCAAAAATACTATCTTACTTTGAAATGAATTTTCTGGATAATGAATATTCTTCTCCAATTTTAACAAAATAAAAGTAAAAGATGATATTTTTTCAGAAATATTATCAAGATTTAAATCCAATAATATATCTTTTTCAGAAAAACATACACCAATACCTTCTAAATGTTTGCTTAATAATTCATTGAAATATTCCAGGTTCTATAACAAAATTTATAGATATAATTAATATTTATATATACATACCTTTTTCATTTCATTATAAAGAAAATTTGCCATATCCTTAAGATCAAAAAATTCAGAAACAATGGTTTCTTTCAATGATAATGAATTCTCTTTCATATAATCTATTATTTTGAAAAGTTTACTAATAAAAGTTTTAAAATAAAATAAAAAAATAAATAAAACTTACTTTATTATAACTCTAATTTCTTCAACCTTGGAAGAAAACGTCTCCAATTGTTTAATTAATATTAAAATAGATTCACTATTTTCCCCAATTATCTGTTTCATATAATCAGATTCAAATAAATTTCGAAGTATTGATTCTTCTTTTAAAAAGTTCTCAACATAACTAAGAGAAAGAAACAATTCAGATTCAATCTTTGATATCAATTCTCCATCATATGATTTTATATATACACCAGACAAATTATTAAATATTAAAACAGCCCTAAATATTTATTATTAAAAATATTGCTATACATATATGTATGATATCTTACTCTTTTAAAACTCCAAGAAACTCTTTTTTACAATATTCGTTCTTTTTTAAAATATTTATTTCTGTATCTAACATATTTTCCAAAATATCCAACTTAGAAAATGAAGAAGAAATCTCATCAAACTCTAATAAGGTACATATATTCATGAAATCAGTAAAGCGTCTAGCAATTGTGTTTAAAAGTACTAGATTCCTATTTATCTCCATTGCTTCTAATAATGAATCAATTTCTAATATATTATTAATAGATATGTTGTATGATATTTTTTCTTTAATAATATCATGTAAAAGAAGTGATTTCATAGCAATTCTTCTACATTTAAAATATACCATAATTGAACTATTCTCACAAGAATAGGATTCTGGAAGGAAAAACTATACATTATTTAATAAATTATAAACAAAAATCAAATATTTACTTGTGCAATTTTAAATTTTTCAATTGCCTCTAAACCTTCAAGTTTTTTAAGTTCATATTCTATTTTCGTAGCCTGAGATTTAACTGAAGATGATTTTAATTTCAAGTTCAAGTCCATAATTTCCTTAGATCTAATATTCAATTCTGTACTTTCCATTTTTGCATTTTGATTTTCAAGTCTTAAATTCTCAAGATCACTAATTTATAAAAGCTTAGTTATATATATATATACAAAAGAGAAAATACCGTTGTAGATTTCCTACCAATTCCTTAAATCTTAAAATAACTAATTCATATTCTGAATTGATTTCTTTCAATTGCGTTATTTTATTCGTATTCTCCATCAAAATAGAATCTTTATATTCTAATTCTTCTCTCATTTGTCTTTCGTTTTCTAAATGATTTTCTTCTAACTCATCATTAAGTTCTTTTAAAGATTCCAAGTCTTGAATAGTTATATTCATTTGTTCAATCTTTTCTTTCAAATAAAGATTCTTTTCCGTTAACTCTTCCAACATTTCTTCTGCTGTAGAGCTAATATCTACCTGTTGTCTAAGATCATCAACTAAATTTTCTGTTTCTTGAAGTTTCTCTTTCAAAGATTCATATTGCACTAAAAAATCTTAAGAATTATAAAATTTTAAAATTCTTTATACCTTTATATTTCTTAAGACTCTCAATTTCTAATTGATGATGTTTAATCGTATTTTTAAATTCTATTTCTTGATTATTCGTCATAGTATGCAATCTTAAAGAAATATTAAAAATTATTATAGATCACCTAAACTTACTTAATAAGTGCCTCCTTTAAAACTTTATTTTGCTCCTCTAAATCATCTTCATTCAATTCATCCTCTTCTTTTTTCGAAATATCCTCTGATCTTTTATCTAAATTATTTTGCATTTCATTTTTAAACGCACTAAATTCAGATTCCAATATATCTACCCTTTGTTCTGCTATCTCCTTATCAAGCGTCGTTACTTCTAACATTTCTGAAACTTCAATAAATTTTATTTCAATTTCTGCTTTCTCATTTTCCATATTTCTTAATGATAATTTCAAATCTCGTATTTCATCCTGTAATGACAAAATTTTATCTATAATCCATTACTCATTCTAAACCATATACCCTTCTAAAATTAATACTCTGAAGCCTATTTCTGCTCTTTTCTATCGATTCTTTTTCTTGCAATTGATCTTCTAGAAATTTCAACCTATCCCTATCTTCCATTCTTTTTTTTTCCAAAACTTTTAATTCCCTCCTCATTTCTTCTATCATACCTCCTTCCTTTCACCAATTATTACCCATTCTTTATACATAAAACATATCAATACTTCTTTTTTTTTATATAAATCCTGATATGGCTCTTTTAACCCCTCAAATGATATCAATTCCCCTCCTAAAATACTCTCCTCACTTCTACTCCCTTCTTCTCCATTATTCTCTGTATTATCTTTCCCTTCTTCAAATATCTTATATCCTATTATAGGCCTACAAATTCGACTTCCTGTTTTTATCTCTCCTTCCAATTCCTCACTCACCACATCATTTCCCTTATTCTTACATGGTGAAATACTCTCTTTAAATGGCACTTTTGTGTATATTATTTTTTGCTGCCCTGTTAATGACTGTATATACGGTATTCGTGACGCAGTCCCCAGGCCTTCTGGGGACTGAAAAATATTTCTCTTTGATAACGCTATACAACCACTACGCTTCGATTCTTTACATTCATTTACCTTATTATCATTCATTATCCACCTTCATTTTAACATTTTTTTTACATCTTCATCTACCCTCTCTTTCTCCCCCAGTTCCGCCTTTTTCACCGCCGAAACTCGGACAAAAACCCCATAATTCTCTTTACATTCAAAGTACTTTACGCCTTTAACCGATCCATCATTTTTCCCTGTAGGCTTATCCAATTCTACTCCTATCCATTCTCCCGTAGAAAAATCTGTTTGTCCTATATAACGTACCGTTCCAAGTGTTTTACCTACAAAAACTCGGTCGTTTATTGAAAGCATCCCTTTAAAAGCCTTAAAAATAGACGTTTTTTGGCTCAAAAATAGTGTTAAAAAGCCATTTCATTAAAGATCTTGATTTTCTACCATGGAGAAGGATGAAGGGACTTGGTTGCCGTAGCAACCAAGTATAAATAGATCAAGTATTTTTATTAGTTTAAATGATTTAATGATGTCAAAATAAAGCTAAAAAACTATAAAAATCAGTATATTTTTTATAAAAAGATTTATACATTTTTATAAGAAAAAGTATGTTTGAGGTGGTTGCTAGAGCAACCACAGACGGGCTAACCGCAAAAAAAGTAGAAATACCAGTATTTCCAGGATTTCGCTTTATATTTGACATGTTCATGCTTAAAAGCCTATTTGGCAAGATTTTTGGGAAGAAACTTTATATAAATGTTTTTTTCAGCGTTTAAATAACCGTATTTTTAGGGAATCCAGAGAGTTTTGATATTGCACAAATACCGGTTGGACAACTTTATCTTGTACGGCCAAGATCGCCTAAAGGACGTCGAGAATGCATGTACGTATGATGGAGAATGAGTTTGATATGATAAATCTGATTTTTTTTTTGAAAAAAGCTATAAAGATGCGGCAGCAAACATAAAAAGAACGATGACAGAATATCACTATCAATTAGTTATACAAAGGGCGTATGATGAAGGAGAAGAGCAAATTCTGAATGAGGATGAACAGGAGGATGGTATGGGTATTTTTTTTTGGAAAAAAAGTGAATTTTTTAGAGCTTATGGATGAAAAAAGTTTTTTATTAGATGAATCATTAAAATTTCATTCATTTATGAGGGAAAACTCGGTGGTTTATGCATGGAGTGATTTATCAGGGGTTTTTATAAGTTTTTATTAGTTTTTAAGTCTTATTTGTACAAGGATGAGCAAGATTTATATGAATTTGTATGTGATTCTACGATCCAATCCAATATTTTGCAAGCATTTGAAGAGGTTGCATTACGATGTATGTTTGAAAGGAAGTATAGAAGGTCACATGAGGAAGCTACGAATGAAGATTTAAGTCAATTCTTGTGAGTGATTTATAAAGAAGAAGATATTTGTCTAATAGTGGTTAAAAAAGAACGCCAAAGTCAACATTTTCTTCTTTTCGTAATCCGACATTAGTGCAAAGTCCATTGATTTCATTAAAAGTTAAAGATGAGCAAGAAATATGTCATAAAGAAAAGGTAGAAGAAGTGGTAGAAGATTCAACAAAAATTATAGTACAAGTATCAGCTGAATTGCATTTATTTGATGCAGCAGACAATGTTTTTATACTACAGGATAGTAATGTTGTAGCAACTGTTTCAGAAATAGATACATGGGAATGTAATTTTAAAATATCTTTAAAACAATTTTTTGATAGCTATAGATTGGTTGGAAATAAAAGGATCAGAAAGAACATGGCTTGGGCAGCCTATTCATCCAGATATTAACCCGGTGTTTAATTATGTATGCAATAATATGTAAAAATTACTATATTAATTTTTTTAGGAATATCTTTCATTTATTTGGTTTAGATTATTATTTTCAATTGAATTGTTAATGATTATAGGAATTATTGTGATAGTAGATCACAAATATATTCATGGTTGCTTCGATTTAGCGATGCTGAAGTTGAAGAAAAGTTTCAAGAAGGATTTATGATAGCATTATGGGAAATGTTAAATCAACAAAAATGGATTAAAATAAAAGATGATGAGAAAGAATATATTATTGATGTTTTTCAACAAGATGTTAATATGGAGGATGTGAATAATGATGATCCTGAAGAAGATGAAGAAGAGGATATAGATAGTAAAAGTGATTTATCTTTTTATGAAAATATTTCATTCAAATTAATTATATATATAGCTGATAATGTTTCTGAAGATGAAGAAAATTCATTTTCATCTATGAGGGAGGATAGCAAAGGAGAAAATAGTCAATTGGCCGTAGGATATAAGCATGATAGATCATTTGTAGTTCGTGGCAATAAGATAGGTGTTTTTCGTCATATGGATGATGATCGACTAGAATTCGTAGCTACCATTGATAAAGTTCAAACGCCAAAGGGAAAGCCATTTCAGCCATCTAAAGTATATTTAATAAATAATTTATAATTTATTAATTTTTATAGATTATGCTCCATAATGAAGATTCTGAAATTATATTACAAAATCCTAATGAACCTCATAATTTATATCAAATGGATCTTGAATATGGAAAGGTTGTTGATGAATGGAAAATTGATGACAATATTTCAGTATCAAATTTTACACCAGAAACTAAATTTGCTCAAATGACTAGAGAAAAAACACTTATAGGCATTTCACATAATTCTCTTTTTAGAATTGATCCTAGATTACCTAAAGATAAGATTGTTAAGAGTGAACATAAACAATATGCTACTAAGAATGAATTTACTGTTGCTGCTACTACTGAAAAAGGCTTTATAGCAGTTGCATCTAATAAAGGAGATATAAGGTTATTTGATAGAATTGGTGTCAATGCTAAGGTAGATATTTATTAAGGTGATCGTTTATCTAATTTTTAAAGACTGCATTACCAGCTCTTGGAGAGCCTATAATTGGAATTGATATCTCTGCAGATGGAAAATGGATTTTAGCTACTTGTAGGAGTTATATTTTACTTGTTGATTGTACAATAAAAGAAGGAAAAAATCAAGGAAAACTCGGTTTTGAAAAAAGCTTTGATAAAGATACCAAACCAAAACCAAAAAGACTACAATTAAAGTAATTACTTTTACTATTTTAAAATTTTTCTAATAATAATAATTAAATATTAGCCCAGTACATGTGGCAATGATGCAAGGACAAATTAATTTTACTCCTGCCAAATTTAATACAGGAATGGGAGTTGAAGAAAAGACCATTGTTACAAGTAGTGGTCCATACGTTATATCATGGGAACTTTCAAAAGTGGTGAAAGGTGAAACAGGAAAATATAAAATAAGACAATATATGGATGAGGTATACTTTTATTATTTAAAAATTAATTATTTATAACTTTTTAAAAGGTTAAAGCCAACAATTTCAAATTTGGTACAGATCAGAATGTAATTGTTGCTCTTCCACATGATGGTAACTTTTTTTTTACTTATTGCATAATTTAATTATATATAAGTATCTATGGTAAATAAATACACTTTCAAAAAGCCTAGTCGAAAATCACTTTTACGAACACCTATGAAAGATTTACAATCTCGTTCTAGTATTGTCAATTCACCATATTAACTATTTTATATTTATATAAAATAATTTCTTATAATATTCATTTTTAGAATTGTACTATATATTTCACTCAAGATAGAAAATATATCTATCTATCATCAAATGAGGTACGTTTTTATCTAACTAAAAACTATTTATTCTCTATTTAACCTTATAAGATTCAAAAAAAAAGCCTTTTTTATCAAATTTTCATAAATAACAAACAAAAATACTTTAAAAAACTAAATAACTTTCTAAAATACACTCAAAATTCTTTATATTTCTATATAAAAATATGAACTCTCATATACAACAATATTATTCAAATTTACAAAAAAACAAATATGATAACTAAAGGTCTTGATATTTCAACCGAATATAAATACTCCAAGTATAATAAAATAAAACAATCTGGATTAATACAATCCTACCATTACTACAATCATTACAGATATATATTTTTCTTAAAAATAGTCTTATATTATTTTTCAAACATTTATTAAGACATTTATCTATAAAATATCTGCTGTAATAACAATAATTTTATATAAAAAACAGCAAAAACAATTTTTAACTCTAAAACATAGAGTTTTTTAACCAACTAAAGGCTTATTAAAGATTTTCAATAATTTTTAACATATTTTTTACAGATCAAGAGTTTTTTGATCTACAGCATTATCAGAAATATTTTATAAAGATACAAAAATTAGATAAACAGACAAGTAATTCAAGGACAATCTAGACATATTTTTTAAGATTTAACCTCTTAATATATATATATAAACCAGTACCAAAAATATCAGTTTATATATATATGAGAGACACCTAAACAGAATATTTCATATAAAAAAGTGAAAAATATACAGCAAAATACTGTGTAAAAGAATATTCTATATAAATATAGGCCTAATATTTATATATAAGGAGTTTTCAGGGATTTTAAATATGTTAAATTGCTATTATAGTATTCTTGGAGTTGATCAAAAGGCTTCTTTGGACGATATTAAGAAAGCATACAAGTAAGACAATATATATTGAGAGATTATGTATAGAGCTATATGGCTTTCTATTTCTGCTGTTTTTTGAGCACTATTAACGTTTTTTTTTTTAGACGTCTTGCTTTGATTTATCATCCAGACAAAAATAACAATAGCAAAGAGGTTTTATAGCCATAAAAGCATTATATATTGTCTTAGAATATATAGGCAACAGAAAGGTTTTCTTTAATTCAAGCAGCTTATGAAGTTTTATCAGATAATTCAGAAAGAAGATGGTATGATACACATAGAGAAGAAATCTTCCGTCAAAACAGCAGGACAGGCTCTGAAAGAAGCACATTCACTGCTATAACAGTAGAAGTACGTATTCTGCTTCTTTCCTCATTTTTTTATGTAAAATTAAGGAATTAATGGCCTTTTTTGATCCTACTATTTCAAAAAAAATGGATGATTCAAGTGATGTACAAAAATAATACAAGATATCTCATTATTTTAATGAAATACAGGGTTTTTATACAAAGATAAGGAATTTATTTCAAAGAATAGCATCAGAAGAGCTGGCATATGCAGATGAACAAGTTAATATAGAAAAATTGCCACCATTTGGACACGGGAAATCCCCATATATTCCAACAGTCAGAGATTTCTATGAGAAATGGTCATGTTTTTCTACATTAAAATCATTTTCATGGGTTGATCAATACAAATATAGGAATTCAGAAAGAAAAGCAAAGCGTATTATGGAAAAAGAAAACAGCAAGCTCAGAAAAATTGCAATAAAAGAGTTCAATGATGCAGTAAAAGTATTTTAGATACAAAAATCTATTCAAAATATTAATTTATTAAGTCTTTAGTTAATTTTATAAAAAAGCGTGATATAAGAGTCAAAATTGAAAAGGTTTCAGAGACAGATCGTCAAGCATCTCTCCTTGCTTCTTCTAAAGCACAGGCAGAAAAAGATAGGGCAGTATTTCAGGCTAGTCTTGGTGTTTATGATGAACAAGAATGGGCAAAAATAAATATTAACATAGAAGTGGAGGAAGAAGAGAAAGATGAGGAAATATTTGAATGTATTATATGTAAAAAGTCATTTAAAAGTGAGAAGTAGGTTGTGCTTTTTTTTAAACTTTAATTTATACATATAGACAATTCATAGAACATGAAAAAAGTAAAAAACATATTAAATCAGTGAATATTTTTAAGAAAATATTAAAGAAAGTTCCAGGAAATTTAGATATTAACAATTTAGGCGAAGAAGCAAATTTATCAGATAGTCATGAAGAATATTTTACAGGTGATGAAGAAGTTAATTTTGAATCAGATCAAAAACAGGATTTAAATAAGCAAAAACAAGATAATTCTAATAAAGATAATGACAATTCTATTAATGATGATCAATTGTTTCAAAGTTTAAATGAAGAATTAGAAGAATCAGATATAATATATAATTCAGAAACAAGTTTTCTAGAAATACAGGATTATGAAGACGATATAAGCAAAGATATTGATTCTTTATCAGATATTGTGGACAAGACTTTGACAATTAAAAAAGAAAATGCTACAGGCAAGAATAAATATCCAAAAAACTCAAAAACAAAAGGAAAAAAAAATAAGAATACGAATATTAATAGTAATACATGTACATTTTGTTTAGAAAACTTCCCAAGTCGAAACAAATTATTCGATCATTTTAGACGCACTGGTCATTCACAACCATTACCTCAATTAAGACGCAAAAAATAACAAATACTTAATAAAGAATTAATGTCTATATACGAAATAATATTATATGTTTATTAAATGCATCTCTAAAGCAGTATGAATTATGTATTATAATGCTATAAAAACACTATCTAAGCCCTAATTTAGTCGTTTTAATCACAGCCATTACAGGTACTTCAATTCCTTTATTATCAGCTGCACCTAATCCATTTCCTGCGATCCATCCTAGCTTTTCTAGCATCATTCTTCCTTTATTATCTTTATCTATTTCAGGTGCATCTTTACCAACAATATCACCATCGTGATATTTATATTTATGTTTATCCTTAGGAATTTTGCCATAATTGCCTTTTGATTTATTAGAGTCTTTCATTCTATAAACCTTGCGATCATAATGCTCAAGATTCTGTAAAATTCTATCAACATGATATTTGGAATAGTTATGAACTCGTTTAGTTTTATATAAAACTACATGTCGCAATTTCCTTTGCCCAAAAGACTTTGAAACAATACCATAAGCATTAGCCAACATATGAACTGTATTTATATTAAAATGTCGCAATTACTTTTTAAAAAAATACCCCATTTACGAGCGTGGGAATCCATAGGAACAAGATCAAGTCTATATCATTAAATAAATCAACAAAGTTATTTAATCAACGTACTCCATTAAATCAGAATCAGATAAAAAACGTAATATTATATTATTAACATGTAAAAGCAATTCTTTAAAAGTTCTTCCAACCATTTTACCTTTTTTATTTTCCTTTTCATTTTTCTCTGGATTTTTCATTATAGAGAGATCTCTATAATGTTTTTGAGATCTTTTTCTCCCTATACTTTTCTCCAAATTTTCTAAATCATTATAAAAAGAAAAATAATTATCATCTAAAAAACAATTAAACATAAAAAATTCAAGATTTCTTTAAAAACCTTCTAAATCATAATTCTTCTTAAATTTCTTATTTAAATAAGATAGAGCTATTCTATTATTCTTCCAAGCCCGACGATCAGATCTTGGTATAGAACTGGTATCAAATCCAAACCGATTATATATGTCATAATGTTTTTTTTCATCCAAATCATCATCACTATAAATGACTACATCTCTATCATCTAAAAATACTGAACTTGATTCATATTCTTTTAAAAGTTCATCATAATTTAAACATTCGTTAGCAGTTATATTCTATTTATAAATGTAAAAAATACATAAAATAAAACAAATATAACAACCTCAATGTAATCCAACTCTGCATTATCATCTTTAACATACTTAACCTTATTTTTTAATCCTTTTGCTTTTCGAGAACGAGACAATGATGGCTTTTGACCAGATTTAAGATGTATAAAATCAGAGTTCTTAGTCAAATCATTTCCAGATTTATTCTCCTTAGTTGTTTCATCATTTCCTTTTAAATCAACCTTCTTTCAAAATATATTTTTATAAAAAAACCTGATGACTTATATTTGTTTTTATATACATGAACTACCTTTTTTTTTGTTTCTTTAGACCCTTTTCCAACAAAAAGTATTTCTTCTGAAAAATTATCTGATTCTAATGCACTTAAAGACCTACAAGACAATTCACAGTGTATATTTTTTGTATCATTTAAAGTTGATACAGATGACCCTAATAAACGAGGGTAAAAACCACATACAACATTCGGTTCCGATAATACTGTTTTCTTCTTCATTTCCTAGTCCTTTTCCATAGAAATACCTTTTTTTTATGTATCTTTAAATATCTTTTTAATAAAATAAATAAAATTCGTATTTTTCTCATAAAAATAGATATCTTTTTCTAAAAAAAAAAGATATATATATAAAACCTAATGTTTAATTTAAAATATTAACTTTAAATCCAATGAATCATAGACATATTAACCACTTTTACAGTATTTTCCTGAAATTATTTTATGTAGTTGATCGAATTTTAAATCTTAGTTGAAAAAATTAAGAAAATTATATCCTTTTTATGTAAAAAAAAAACAAATAAATGTATCAACATGTCCATGTCAACAAAACATTATAATAGAATTGAGATCCAAAGTTCATCAGTAGAAAATATTATGTTATAAAATATAACATAATCCTAAAACTAAAGAGTCGTATAAAGAAATACAGTATTTTATCGTATTATTTATTAAGAGATGATCAATGATTTCCATATAAGCCAGATATGATATAACATTATTCGTTAAAGCTAAAGATGATATTTTTAAAAAAATCAATAAAATTTAAAGTTGCACCAACATTCAATAAGAATTTGTCCATTAAAAACAGAATACTTTTAGACATCAAGTTAAAAATCCTTTAACAGGCCAATATACAACTGTAATAAATAAACTTTTGTATAAACAGAAATTCCACAAAAAAAAGAATAAATGATTCAAATACCAAGACACCCTAAGAACAAAAACAGAGTAATAAATCCTTTTAAAAGGATGAAAAGCGAATGATATCAATAGATTTTTAAAATATCTCAATCCCTCTAGAAAAAAGATATAATCGAAGATTATACACAAAAAACTCATAACCCTCATTCGATTCATAAACAAGACACTAAAAACCTTTTTATTTTATTCATAAATTCATTATCGTCGATTTTAATTTCAATATTCAGGAAAAATTAAACCTGTTTTACCATTAAATACAATTAATTCATTCAAGCAATGAAACAAAATGTGAAAGAGTTTTTAACGGTCCTAATCGATTAACCTGCGATGCAACCATCAAGGCGTACATATCCGTTAAACTCTCACCTATCTAATAAAAATAAAAAACTAAATTAATAAAAAATAAATTATACTTCAAGACATCTTAACGCTTTACGAGTAATACCCAAATCATTAACTGGTGATAATGGCAAATTTGAACGTGCCATATTCCGTAAAATGTATTCATCTGATCGAAGTGTAATAAATTCAAACCATTCCATTTTTAATATAGCTGGTGTAAATTGAACACAAAGATGACCTTCTGCAACAACCTGAGACCCATTTGAATACCAATAAATAAGTTTCGCTTGAGGACAAGCTACTACATAACCATGAGCAACTGTTATTTGCTCTTTTACAGCTCCTAAGACAAATTGCATCTGTGTAACTCCATTTTCATGATTTGTCCATAAAAAAATTGGTAAAACAAGAGTAGATAATTCAAAAACACGAGACGTATGTTCCATTTGTGAATTCTGTGCTGTATATGACGTAGAATAAGACGTCTGAGGTGAAACAAATGATAATCTCATCATAGCATAGTCTGTAAAATATGAATGAACAAAAGCTTTCCATCCAGCCAAATCATATCTCTGAAATATTGTCATTTACAATATAAACCTTTATTTAATACCTTTTGTGTCGAGCTTAACCCATCAATAAACTGTAATAACAATAAAATAGCTACTCCAGGCTGTGCTGTTTCTGAACAGCCAATCACACCATTTTCTGAGGGATAATTGTTATGAGCTCGACTCATCCCAACTCTTAATATTATTTTTAATAAGTTTAATCGACTTTTCCCTAATATTTTTTTAAAAATTTTAAAAAATACAAACCCTCTTTCTTAAAAACGAAAACATAATTGATAAAAATGATGAAAAATAAGATAAAAAACGGATCGACGCTGAAAGAGAAATATTCTTAATTTTCCTTAATATTTTTAAGGAAAAATTCTGATTTATCCTTATGTTTATTTATATTTTTTTTGACGGTTAATTTAAATCTTATTTTTATCTTAATTTTCTAAGATAAAAATAAAATTTAAATTAATTTGTTAGTGCTCGATGATGAAGTCCATAGCTTTACATTCGCAGTTTTCAGTTAAGTACGATAGGTATTTGAACCCAATTTAATCGTACGATGAAACCTTAATCCTTCCTTGGATGTCTGAGAGCTTGTATTTGTTTATATTTAGTTTTTGTAGATAGAAATATGTAGTTGTAAATAATCCAAAGAAATATAGAATAAAAAATCTATAATATATTTTCCATAGTAATAGTTTTTGTCTGAAGTTTTTAGAAATTGAGTATTTTAATAAATGTAATTACCGTATTTTCAGTTTTATAAATACCAATGAGCCTTGCAGCGAGTTCAAACATGTTATTTCGTAGAGAAATAACAATAAACTGGGCATTTTTTGTCCGGTCCTTGATAAAATTAGAAAAAAAAAGATATGTAATAAAATACCTTGATGTAATTAGCAACGATAGATACATTACGAAAATCCAATGCAGCATCTATTTCATCCATGACATAGAGAGGTGTTGGTTTATAATGATGAAGTGCAAAGACTAGTGCGAGAGAACTAAGTGTCTAAAAATATTAAAAAATTATAATATAAATGATTGATTGATTAAAAAAGACCTTCTCTCCACCCGATAAATTAGAAATATTTTTCCAACTTTTTTTAGGAGGCATTACACTAAAGAGAATGCCTTCAGAAAAAGGATCTAAGCTATCAACTAATTCCAATTCAGCATTTCCTCCCATTGTTATCATCTAAATAGGATAAATAAGAAGATAAAAAGCTTAAAAAGATATTTAACCTGATACATTTCCTTTAAATTTAAAGATATTAAATTAAAACCAACCATAAATTCATTTAGTCGAGTTTGTTTTAATTCATTTAAATGAGAACAAACAGAATTCCTTTCATTAATAATTTTTTCCAAATCTTCACTTCGTGCTTTATATTCTTGTTCTCTTTTTCTATATTCTTCCAACACATCAAATTCAATTTTTATATTTTGATTTTTTTCTATATTATTATATAAGCCAAAGATATAATATATTTATATTATTGACCTTCCAATGCAAGAATTTCTGCTTTAAGTTTTTCCTGATTTATATTCTCAAGTTCTTCCTTAGTAAATATTTGCAATTCCAATGGTTCATTATCTTCAGAGGAATCACTAATATTTTGAAGTTTAAGACTTTTTAATTTATCTTTCCAATACTTTGATTTCTTCTCATTATCAACAAGAACTTTACTATATTCTTCTAATTTATTTTTTGTTTCAATCTAAAAAATTAAAAATAAAATAGATAAGTCAAAATATAAAACCTCTTTTGCACGTGCAGCATTATTCGCTTTTGTCTCTTCGTTTTGCCTTGATTTTATTTCTGACAATTCATCTGCCTTATCATTTATTTCCTATATTATTTAGGATTCACTAAAATATATAAAAAATCCCATACTTGTTGAATTTTTTCAATCTTAGAACGCAAAGTATCAATCAATTTTGTTTTTTTAGCAATATTACTTTTAACATCAGAAACCTGCGTTTCAATGACTTGCAATTCATTTTTACTATCGCTTATAGCCTTCTCAAATCTTAGTTTATCCTTTTCCTTTTTAATTTTCAAAACATCTGCATTTGCAATAGACTCATGAATTGTATTAAGCTGATCTTGAATATTATCCACCTTTGTTTTTTGACTACGTAAACGAATCCCTCCAATTTCCATAATACGATCTTGCAATTGTTTGATTTCTTGTTCAATTCCAACCATATTTTTACGAGTCATAGCATTTTCTTTCTCCAAAAAAGCAGCTTCATTCTCCAATTCTTTTTTCTTTTTCAATTCTGCAGGAGACATTTCATACAAAGAACTTTCATTAGAATTGCAATACTCATAATATTAATATTTAATACCTTACTTCTTTTAATGTTTTCTTCGCATCAATAATATTATTATGATATGTAGAGAGTTCTAAAGAAAGAATTGATATTTTAAGATCCAATTCAGGGATTTCTTTAGCTATATCATTTATCTTAGTCTGAAGTTGCATGAATTTCGAATTAAACGTCTGATATGCTTCCTCGATAACCTTTCGTTCTTGTTCATACTTTGTTATAGATGAAATTGAGACATTTGACTCTAATTTACTACTCATTCCACCTCGTAAAACCTTATTCCCTCCACCTGTCATTGTACCAGATCTATTAATTAATTGTCCATCTAATGTAACTACTCTCCATCTTTTCTTCCCATATGCTATACGATTAGCTTGTTGCAAATCATCCACAACAAGCGTATTCTGAAGAGCATTGAAAAACGCAGGGGAAAATTTCTTTTCTTTTGGTGTAATAAGGTCAAATAATCGTGGTACATTTTCAGGTGTTTCAATAGGACCCATAGATCGAGATGGTAAACGATTTAATATAATAAATACTGCTCTTCCAAGATTGTTCTCTCTAAGATACTCTAAACATTGTTGACCAGCTTCAACTGTCTCGACAACCATATGATTTAGAGAAGGACATGCTGTTGATATTGCAATATCATATTTATCAGGAATTGTTCCAAGACTTCCTAAACGCCCATAAAATCCATCAATACGACCTGATTCCTTAAGCTTCATAAGCCCACTTAAAACAGAATTATGATTTCGAAAATTTGAATATGAAGCTCTTGCTTCACCTTCTTTTTGGTAACATTGAGAAAGCTTTTCTTTAAACCTTTTTTCCTCTCCCTTCATTTTTTCATATTCTTCTTTAGCATAAAGCAATTCCTTCTCTTTATTTTCCTTATCAATTTGACATTGTTGTATCGTCTTTTTTGCAGCAGTTTCTTCCTCTTCAATTGTTAGAATTCTTTTTTGAATATTATGAATTTCCTGAACAGATCTATCCTCTTTATCTGCAAGTATTTTTATTTCAGAATGAATAACATCAATTCTAGATTGTCTATCATTTATTTGTTCAATCCAGGGATTCAATTTTTTCTGTTTTACTTCTAATTGATCTGAAATATCATGGGTTTTATCTAATAATATTACAAAAATAGGATTTTTTTAAAAAAAAATACCCTTAAGGTTATATCTTATTTTTTCTAACTCTTTCGTTTCCAATTGTAATCTATTCGTTAATTCAGAAATTTCCTTTTCATAAGATGCAATTTGATTAGTATAATTTTCTATAGATCCTATGGCTTCTGAATAAGAATGAGAATTCTAAATTATATTAAACATTTTTTTCCATATCAAAGAAAGACCTTACAGTTTGTATTAAAGTATTATTTTTTTTCTGTTTTTGTAGTAAATGCTTCTGTTTTTCCTGCAATTTGATATTTTCTTGATCATACTTAGTAAACTCTTTTTGAACATTTGATAAATCTATTTCCAAATTCTAGATAATAATTAATATTTTAAAAATATTAATATAATAGTTTACTTCGTGTTCTTTTAATATTTTTTCATGCTGTTTTTCTAATTCTTTAATTTTTTTAGAATTCTCTTTATACATAAATTCATCTGCATCAATTATCTCTCGTAACTTTCTCTAATAAATAATTAGATATCTCAATCAACTTAAAGAACCACTACAATATGCTCTTTTGTTGTTTCAATGTTTGTGTCACATTCAAAAATATATGCTTGATAAAGTTTTGATTGTTTCATCGTCAATGTATTCTCATCTTTAATATACGATAACACTGTTTCTTTACGAGCCTAGAAATAGATAAATATGAAAATAAAATATATGAAAATCATTAAATAATTTACCTCAAGATTATCCTTTTCCTTTTTAACTACAGAAACTCGATTCAATCGCTCTTCACAAAGCTCATTTAATTGATCCAATTTAATTGATGTCTCTTCTATACGCTTTTTATAATTGGATGTACCTATAATATCTTCCAAATACTCTAACAAACCATCTTCATGATCATTTGGTGCTTTAGGCTTCATTTGTGCAATTGATTCTACTTCACCCTATGAAAAATGTCTTAGAACGCAAAAAATAAGACTATTTAGAATAACACTTACTTGTAAAATAAGAAATCGCTTATGATCCAAGTCAACACCTTTTTCTCTAAGAAGTTTTGTAATCTCCGTATAACTACTTTCCCGATTATTCACCATATACTTGCTTGTATTGTTTTTAAAAGCTTTACGTGAAATAACCATACGAGACTCAGGTTTAATAACATACGAAACAGGTGAAGACTAAATTTAAGGTTAAAAAAATGAAAAAACCAACAAAATTAATAATTAAACATTAGAATTCTCAATTTCTTGTATCTCTTCAAAATAAATCTCAACGCTGCAAAAATCAAGATCAGGATAAGCCAAAGATTTATGAATCAATGCCGATATTTTGCTTTGACGCATCTGGCTTGCCCTAAATCCAAAAACAAACAACAATGCATCAATCACATTCGATTTTCCTGATCCATTAGGTCCAACTATTGATGAAAACGACTATTCATGTCATTTAAAGCACTAGAAAATACTCCTCTTACTGGATGAAATGGTCCAATACATTGTCGTCCAGCATACGATTTAAAATTCGTTAACACCAATTGAGAAATCATTAAACGTTCTGTTTGTTTAGAATCATTTACACCTCGTTCTGATGAGATCAATTGATTAAATATCCCTAACTTAGCAGGCGTAATTGATGAAAGTCTCCGAATCGGAGAATTATGCCCCAAAGACGATAATTGAACAAGAGGGGCCCTTTCTACCTTAGATAAGGGTAATTTCTCCACCATTTTTATATCTTTTTCCTTGGTTTTATCAGGACTAGTATACACCTTTAACGATGAGAATTCCATCGTCAAATTCTCCTCTTTTTTCGGCGACAAAGCACTCATAGAAGATGGATTCATCGATCCCATTGATATACATGTTATAGGCGATCTTGTCGCCTCTTTTTCCTCTTTATTCCTCTCATTTTCTGCCTCAGATTCTGATGACGTAATTATACGTCCATGGCACCGTTTTTTCTCGGAAAAATTCGCCCTGGTACTTCTTGAAGGTCTAACCATTGTTCCAAGGCTGTTAAAGCCTTTATTTATATGCTAAATATCCTTATTTAATATTTCTAGCCTCACAGCGTTTTATATGTCGTCGTACATACGCACGATAGAGCAGGTGCCCAGAGATACCTCAGTAAGAGAAAAATATAGCTTAGCAGAAGATAATTGTGTTATAAATATAATTAATAAGAATATCTAATAAAAATGAATATGATTAGTATTAAGAATTATAATTATCTTTTTTTGAAATGTTTCAAGTATAAAAAGGGATAAAATTGAGTCGAAAGGATATATATATAGAGATTAAGCTTGAAAAATAGAGCCAGTTCTGTCATAAAATGTTCTAGCACGTATGTAAGGATCCAATTGCCAATAATTTGATTCGATATTTTTTGCTAAGAAGTTACGTTGTTCTAAGAGAAGATCAGATTGTGCGATATCGGATTCTTTAATCCATTTTATAGTCAATTGTTCGAAAGAATTGATTATATTTTTTCGTTCTAATAATAAACGTTCTTTGGTTAAAATATCTTGCATTTTGATATTTTCATTTTCTTTGGGTTCGATGTATTTATATTCCCAATCCTTTTTTCCGCCCAATTCTTTGATAATCTCTGTATCTTTGATATAAACTTCTAAATCTTCGTTTGAATTTGTAAAACAAACTTTCTTAACAACAACAGGATCAAGCCAAGTTTTAATAACTTTCCAAATCCCTATTTTATGTTAATAAAATTTAAAAAAAATTCTAAAATACCTTGAAATACCCATGGTGCTTTATGAATAATACAGATACCAAGACTTTCAGGATAATGTGCTTCAAAACATTTAATTAAAAACTTGATGGGTATATAATCCATATTTTTAAGCTAAAAAAAATATTAAAAAGTTCAATATAGAATTATAGGAAAAGAAATATCTATAATTTTAAAAGACTTACCGAAAATTTGGTTAAATCAAACAAAATCGTCGCTGTTTGAACAGGATATGTAATCATTAATCGTGCACTTTCCATTAACAAAATAGTATATTGATGAATCGTTAGATCAGGTTGTTCCCCTGCCCTATGCAAATGCGTTCGAATATAACAAATAGGACGATTCTCCCGATCAACACCTTGAATAAAACTTTTCCCAAGTCTTAATTGTTTCATAAACGCATCATCCCCCGTTTCAATAGCACCTGCTTCTCCCTTTCTAAGGATTTCTTCAACACCTATTTCCTTACGCCAATAAACCGTTGTTGCTAACATAATAAACGATTTACTGGTATCCCATTTTCTTGCCCTTAAAAAACGCAATAATACAACATCTGGATGGTCCATCTTAACCATCTCCCAGAATACATCATATAGTGAAAAAAAGCAGCTCAAAATATGCCTTTCTTTCAATAATTTCTTGGAAACATTTTTATTATCAAAATGTCCCATTTCTTCTGAATTTTTCGGGAAAAAATCATTTTTTTTTCCAAATCCATAATTCTCCTCATTTAATAAAACATATTCTCCCAATTCTTCTGTATTAATCTTCTTAAAATGTAGAAAAATAAGCAACCAAAGGCATTTTAACGCTTTTTCTTCATTCCGGTTCAATTCATCCATTTTTTTAACAATAGAAACCATTTTAACCCTCTAATATAATAAAAGACCTCCTGATTATCCTCTTAACTCCTTATTACTTAGTTTTTAATCTTTTTTTAGAGAAAAAAAACACAAAATCCTTAAAACTTTAAATAAAAATATAGAAAATAATGAATCAATTTATGGTGCTGATTCTTCTTTATTTTTAAAACCTTAAATCATACACCATGTAGAAGAATTAAGTATATTTAAAATTGTGAGGTTGACTATCGATAACCTTTAATATTTAAAAGAGTACCTTTGAGAAAAAATGTAAAAAGAAGAAAGAATATAAAGAAAAAATCCTTAAAATAAATATGAATTAAGTGGAGAAAATGGGATATTTTTTTTATATAGAAATGAACTTTAAGACGAATCTTATTAAGAATAAATTGCTATAATACTTAGTTGTCACAGTAACGCGTTTCTATAGTAACGCGTTTCTACAGTAACGCGTTGTCACAGCAACTCATCGTCATACTAAGCAGTTGTTATAGCAACACGTCACCACAGCAACTTCTCACTATAGCAACCCATCACCATAGCAACTCCTCGATAGCAACCAACTACCTGAGCACCGTTGAAAACTACTTGACTTAGTGAAATGCCGTTTAAATCAAAATCTCGCCCAACTACTCCCCTTAGACGTATAGAAAAAGGAAGTTTATCACATCTTTCGTCCTCTAGAAGTCGTCAAGATCCATTTCCACTGGATTCTCTTGCACCAGCATTTGCAGAAATGACAGATGCGTTAATCGACGTTCAACAAAATTTTGAACATGTTCAGTCAATACACTCAAATCTTGTTAGATTTAGTGAAAGCTTTGCATCGTTTCTTTATGGTCTTAATATGAATGCTTTTTGCGTTGATTTTCCTGAGGTTTAAAGGGAATTTTTCTTTTATTTTTTCAATTAATCTATTATAATAGGCACCCGTACAGGAATCATTTAAACGCGCACAAAACGATCCAAACTACACAAACACCTCTCAATCTACTCCGTCACGAGCCTGGAACAATCAAAATCCTCAAACACAAGGATTAGATCTAGCAGACACTACTTTTACAACAAATGAAACTTCTTTTATTGAACGCCCCTCAAAACCCTCTAAAACAACTACTTCTAAACGTAATAACAAATCTGATCGAACAATTCGTACACAATCTTCAAAAACTCGTAATACCTCACGACCCCATTGATATATATATCACGTGACAGCCACGATATTGAGCTATGATAGTTTATTACGTATGGTTTGAGCTATATTTTCAAGTGAATCAGAACCAACAGATTTTGCAGATTTAAAGTCTACATAGAGTCCTTCTGAACTGGATGGTTTAGGAATCAAATGAAAATGTACCTTTTATGTATTAATTTTTTTCTCAAAAAAAAAGTATAGGATTACATGAAAAACAGCTTGATAAGCTAGAGAACCATTGTTCTTATTAATATATTAGTTATGGAGAAGGAAAGAAGAGAAATACCTGTAAGAGATTATATTGTTCAAGACCCATAGCATTAGCAAGTCGTTTAGCGATCGGTAGGATATCAGCTAAAAAATCGTCATTTAGCTCATGTAATTTTTCAGCATGTTTTTTTGGAATAATAAGAGCATGACCCGTACTAAGAGGTTGTATGTCAAGGAATGCGAGTCTAATTTTGGTTATTTTGTGTATAATATTAAGATGACATACGATTTCTCAGTTTCAAAGAGCTTATAGGCGGGTAACTCGCCTATAATAATGCGACAAAAAATGCATTTAGAAACAGTCATAATACGGGTTAGAATTTTCTAAATATCTAAGAAATCTCTATGGAAATATTTATAAAATGACTCCAAAACACTTTTTACTAATATTTTTAATTTTGGGGCTGTATGGCTAGCGATAGTACTAGAATTTAGCAAAACAAGTCGTTAAAACATATAAAGAAGGGAGAAGAAGGTGTAAAAACATACAAAACCTTTACAGAATAGTGCATATACTTGGAAATACATGCATATAACTGCTGAATCAGCCTATTTATTTAGAGTATTTAAAACATATATTTATTGAAAAAGATCAAATCAGCATTAAACTTGATACAAACGCTTAGTACAACTGTTTTGAGACGTAGAAAGAATTCCTGGATTATCTTTGTATATTCATTTAGAGATATACATAAAAAAAAAAACATAAATATATAGATAAGGAAGAAAGAGGATAAAAAAATACATATTTTAAGGATCAAGATGTCTAGAATGTGTACATTTTGGATGCCATGTGTTACTGAAAAAAAAAAGGAATCGGATAAGGAGATATATACACCAAAAATTGAAAATGTTTCTAGTGGAGAAACTGTATATCAAGTAAAAAAATAATAGGGAATAAAAAATAAAGATTTATTAAACCTAGCGTATTATTTTGATCTATGGAAGAGCAGGAACAATGGATATGAAAGGAGGGACAATTGTTGTTCATCATGATAAAAATAGTTTTCCATCTCAGGCATGGCCATGTAATATTTTTTGGAAAAATAAATATACATATTATAACAGGATTTACAGGCACAAAATCATATTTTAAATCATTGGTTCATCTAAATGAAGGAATGAATTGTTTAACATTTGAATTTTTTCATCCATATGACATGTCTATACAGTCATCTACAGTTATTTATTTGAATTATGTCAATGTAGTTAAGAATCCGCCGCTTTACCTTGCAATTTTGTTGGCAAAGGATTCACCGGGTAAAACCATGTGTTCATATATGATATTTATAAAGAGTTAATATTTTTTCCCTTATAGAAGAATATGATGCATCGCCTTCACGCAAAGAAAAGGAAGGAAATGGATTAGAATTAGCTATAAAGAAACTTCGAATGATTGCATATTTGTGGCAAGCGTTTACAGGTGAGCAAATGGCAAGAAATGGATTTGGAAGGAGATGTTTTCGTTTTGAAGAAGAAAATTTAATAGATACATTATCCTATCAAGAAGAAAACGTCATTAGACCAACAGCAAAGATCCATATCATTCGATCTAAATATTCTCTTGAAGGTTAACTTAAATATGAACATTTTTAAGAGTTAACAATTTTAGAAATTCGAGATGTTAATTTGGCTCAACAGAATCCAAAAGCTACAAGAAGGGATGGTTTATTTGAAATAACAATTGAAAGCATAAGGGAATATGGAGATGTATTTAAATCAGAATCTCCTGTTCATGTTGCTGCATGTATTTTAGATAGTCATTGGGATGGAAAATTGATTTTAGGCCATGCAGCTTTAGGAGGAGGAGATGGTAAGATTAAATTGAACGTATATATATATATATATATATATGTCTATTTTAATGAATAAAAATTAATTTATTTCTTTAGATTCACTACGTTTAGCTATATTTGGATCTCATTCTATGCATTGTTTTCCATCTTGTATAGAAGAAGTGATACCTACTTTTCTAGACGATACACCAATTGATACGAGATATGTTGCAAATGATAATGATGAAAGTTCTACAGTTTGGGAATGTGCAAATATAGGGATTGGTGCATTTTTACATGAAGTTGGCCATCTATTAGGCGCCCCTCATCGACAGAGTGGAGTTATGCATAGAGATTATATAAATTTAAACAGAACATTTTCTATTACAGAACCATTCTCAGAAAGAGCAAAAACAAACCCCTGGAAACCATCCCTTTTAAAATCTGAATGTTCATGGCATTATTTAGACATGATTAGATTTCGGTATCATAAACTTTTTGCCCTTCCTAGTGATCCCGTAATAGAAGCTGGAAATCTTCTTTATTATTCTATGAAGGATAAATTTCTTGCAATATCAGATGAGGGAATTATATTAATTGAAATATACGCAAACGATATGTATTATGGATATCTTGATTTTCATGATAAACCGAAAAAAGAAATTTATCTAGAAGAACAAAGCCTTCGCAAACATGCAAAAATTCCTAATAATATACAACCTTTAAAAGCTATTATCATTTCAGCTGCATTATCCGAAATTACTATCAAAAATTTCAAAAAAGAATTACTTGAATCAACTATTTCCTTGGAAGCTGGATCATGTGTTAAAAGCATGCAGTTTGGTGCATCAGATGCAGAATTATTAAAATTTCAATTCGATTTTTCTAATAAACTTGATAAACTATGTAATATTTGTATGAAACATTCATTCTACTTGATTTTCTTATATTCTAACTCATAAGGCATACGCTCTGGCTTATATATCGATGGCTTAAAACTCATCTTTAATGATGAATCGGTTATGGAAGCATCAGGAAATGGGGGGAATTCAAACGATTTCCCCATAGATGGACCAAAAGGAGAACGTATAAAAGGCCTTTATATTTGGTCTAACATCTGGATCGATGCTTTACAGGTAACCATTATATTTTAATAGGTATCTAAATTACAACTAAAACTTAATATATATAGATCACGACAACATGGAATAGAATAAGGCAGGTATTTGAAATGAATGTTTCTTTTTTAATGATAGAAAATAGCCCTTTATATGGAACTGCATCAGGTCATTATAAATACATAGTCGCACCCGAAGGATGTGAAATCGTTGGTTTTTATGGTTCGACAGGGGTAATTTCCAATATTATTCTGACAAATTCTGACTATTTTTTTCTTTCCAAAGAAATGGTGCAATACATTAGGAGTTATTTATATAGACATAAAACAATTGTAAATATGACCAATATAATCCCTCCTAAACCAATCGCACTAGAAAACTTCAACCATTGACGTGTCATTTTATGAATAAAAATAATCATCTAAATCATAGATATTAAAGAACCATTTTTCTTGCCCAATGCTAATTAAGCATTCTTTATATAACCCTTTATAATTGATATGACCTAATATAGAGACATAAACAATACTCAATGCACATAAGACCTTTTAATTTATATAGATAGCTCTCCGCCAAGCTCCATTGAACCTGTATCTACTCTTAACGTAGGACCTGGTGTCGCTGGAGAAGAAGATAAAGGTAATGTTTGATCATATGTTAATTTTTTTCGTGCAGGCGTACTTCCCGGTGTTCGAGAAGACCATGCTACTTGTGCCGGTGAAGGTGTAATATTAACAAAGTCTGAAAAATCAAAATTCTGAGGCGTATTTGGCGCTAAAATTAAAAAATCAATTTACCTAATAAAATTAAAGAATCTCCTTACGAAATCGAGTTGATAATGATGCATGAGAAGGTGATGTTGCTAAATATATTAATAAATCAACTCCTTCTTCTCCTGTATGAGGTGTCATTGTACGCATAGATGGTCTATATGGCGGTGTTCTAGGTGGACTCGATTGTGTTGGTCGTATCAAATGATATGTATTCAAATAATTTGATGACAAAAATGGATCAACCGAATGGTTTTTATGAACCGGTGACGATTGATGTAAACGAACCCTGTTCGACCAGACCGGTGTATTTTCTGTTGGGTGAGACCGCTTCTTCGATACAAAATCTATTCTTATGATAAGTTATCGATATAATATAAATTTCATTTTTAACATTCTGATTGCGTTGTAGGCACAATAAAAGGATCTGAACGATGATTCTTACTCAATTTAACCTCCTGAGTAAGACGGGGTGCAATATTCTCAAGTGCAAGATTCTGCCAACCACGACTAGTCTTATATGTAGCCAAAGTAAGTCGAGATTTTAATAACCGAGTCATCTAATGTCAAATCAAAATTAGGTGTCTGAAATATATTTTTAAAAAACACGTTTAAACTACTTACACGTGATATTTCTGCTCTACGAAGTACCTTAGCTGCAACACAATCCTGTTGTGCAGAGCTTAACGTCATTTTATTATAAGAATTGGTTTATTTCGGGTTTTTTTTTCTTTTTTTTTTCACTTTTTATTTATCTTTTGAAGCGCGAGACGCGGCTCAAAAGTAGGTAAAAACCCTGAAGAGTAAAAAATAAGGTTCATAAACTATGGAAAAGAAGGGAAAGAAGTAGAAATGTTTATTTTAAAGGTATTTTATGGTGTAATTTTGTAAAAAATAAGGAAAAAAAGGAAAAAAAGGGAGGAAAAACGATGAAGGGAGGGGTAAGAACGAGTTGCCATAGGAACGGGAGTTGCCACAGGAACGGTAGTCATGACAACGCGTTACTATAACAACACGTTACTACGGCAACAATTCCCATGACAACGCGTTCCTATGGCAACACGTCGCTATAACAACGTCTTAAATCTCGTTTCTCTTCTTCTTCTCTCTCTCACTTTTTTCCATCAAAAATGTCACTTCCACCTGGCTTTAGAGGCCCCATTAATGGGATGGAAATAAAGATAAAAGATCCTATTCAAGTTCAACTTGATGAAAAAGCGCGTAAATGGAAACAAAGTCAAAAACATCGCTTTGAAGAGAAAAAAAAGTTAGGATATATTGAAACACAAAAAGCAGAACTACCAGCAGAGCATTTAAGAAAGGTATGAATAAGAGTTTTAAGAGGAATGATTTGTAGGGGAATGAATTTGAAGCGCATATAGTCAGAAATATAACGCATATATGCCTAAATTACTCCTCTTTTTGATATTTCATTGGGGATTTTTATCTTATCTTATCGATATGATCTTATCGATCTTATCTTATCGATCTAATCTTATCTTATCTTATCGACTTTATCTTATCTTATCGTAGATTATTAAAGATCATGGGGATATGAGTAGTAAAAAGTTTCGTCACGATAAGCGTTCATATCTTGGGGCTTTAAAATATATGCCACATGCAGTATTAAAGCTTATGGAGAATATGCCAATGCCATGGATGGAGATAAAATGTAGGAATTTTAATAAGAGGAAAAAATAATGAATTTTATAGATGTACCTGTATTATATCATATTACGGGTGCAATTACGTTTGTTAATGAAATTCCGAGGGTAATTGAGCCACATTTTATTGCGCAATGGGGTACGATGTGGATTATGATGAGACGAGAAAAGAGGGATCGACGCCATTTTAAACGGTTAAGATTACCACCATTTGATGATGAAGAACCGGTTATTGATTATGGAGAAAATATAGCGGATGTAGAGCCTCTTGAGGCTATTCAGATGGAATTAGATCCAAAGGAAGATGGAGCAGTGAATGAATGGTTTTATGAGCATAAAGCATTACTTGATACGGTTCATGTTAATGGACCGACATATAAACGATGGAATTTGAATTTAGCACAAATGTCTACATTATATCGATTAGCACATCAGCTTTTGTCAGATTTAACGGATCAAAATTACTTTTATCTTTTTAATCTCAAGTAAGAATATAAGAAAAAAAAAAAAAAAAGAAAAAAAGGTTAACGAATGATATTTATAGTTCGTGGATTACGTCGAAAAGTTTAAATATGGCGATCCCAGGAGGTCCCAAATTTGAACCATTACATAAAGATACCCTAGACGTGGATGAGGATTGGAACGAGTTTAATGACATATATAAATTAATTATAAGACATCAAATACGTACAGAATATAAAGTAGCATTTCCATACTTGTATAATTCGTATCCCAGATCGGTCAGGTTATCGATATATCATGAACCATCGACGACCTATATTCGTACAGAAGATCCGGATTTACCGACATTTTATTATGATCCAATTATTAATCCTATTTCTATGAGGTCATTTGTTGAATCCTTGCCGATAGGATTACATGAAGATAATATTTTTCAAGGGGAAGAAGTGGACATATTTAGATTGCCGGAAAATGTAGAATCTTTTCTTAATGATGTTCCATTGTATACGGAAAATACGTCTATGGCTATTGCACTTTGGTGGGCGCCACATCCATTTAATAAAAGAACTGGAAGAATGGTTAGAGCAGAAGATGTTCCATTAGTGAAACAATGGTACTTGGAATATTGTCCTCCGGGTAAGGAGTATATATTAATGATGAAGATTTGATAAATTTAACTATACTTTCTTAGGACAACCTGTTAAGGTTCGAGTATCGTATCAAAAATTGTTAAAAAATTATGTTTTAAATGTGCTTCATACAAAACCACCAAAATCTCATTTAAAAAAGGATTTATTTCGACAATTGAAGAATACAAAATTCTTCCAAATAACAACGATTGACTGGGTCGAAGCAGGGCTTCAAGTTATTCGTCAAGGCTATAATATGTTAAACCTTTTGATTCATCGTAAAAATTTGAATTACCTACATTTAGATATGAATTTTAATCTGAAGCCGGTAAAAACTTTAACAACCAAAGAAAGGAAAAAATCTAGATTCGGAAATGCATTTCACTTAATGCGTGAAATTTTACGGCTTATGAAATTACTCGTAGATTCTCATGTTCAATATCGTCTTGGAAATATCGATGCATTTCAACTTGCAGATGGAATTCATTACTGCTTTAATCAGTATTTCAAGATTTTCATTTAAAACGAATACTAATATTCGCCTTAGCATTGGTCAATTAACGGGTATGTATCGTTACAAGTATAGACTTATGCGTCAAATTCGAACCTGTAAAGATTTGAAACATCTGATATATTATCGATTTAATACAGGCCCAGTAGGTAAAGGCTTTCTCATTCTTTTCTTAAATATGGATAAATTAAAACATTAAAATTTAGGCAAAGGACCTGGATGTGGATTTTGGGCACCATCATGGAGAGTTTGGCTTTTTTTCATGAGAGGTATTGTACCTTTACTTGAAAGATGGCTCGGAAATCTTCTTGCTCGACAATTCGAAGGACGTCATTCAAAAGGAATCGCAAAAACGGTATAATCTAATCCTATCTTTCTTCCTTTTTTTCCTGCAAGCTAATAAATTTAGATAACAAAACAACGTGTAGAATCACATTTTGATTTGGAATTGCGTGCAGCAGTTATGCATAACATTCTTGATCAAATGCCTCAAGGAATCAAAGCGAATAAATCAAAAACCATTTTACAACATTTATCAGAAGCATGGAGATGTTTTAAAGCCAATATTCCTTGGAGGGTTCCTGGATTACCTGCACCAATTGAACAGATTATTTTAAGATATGTTAAGGCAAAAGCGGATTGGTGGATCTCTGTTGCTCATTATAATCGGGAACGTATTCGAAGAGGTGCTACGGTTGATAAAACTGTTGCAAAAAAGAACCTTGGACGTTTAACGAGATTATGGTTAAAAGCAGAACAAGAAAGACAACATAACTATCTGAAAGATGGACCTTATGTTACAGCGGAAGAAGCGGTTGCCATTTATACTGCTACGGTTCATTGGTTAGAAAGTAGAAAATTCAGTCCTATTCCATTTCCTCCTTTATCATATAAACATGATACGAAACTCTTGGTTCTTGCATTGGAAAGATTAAAAGAGGCATATAGCGTTAAGGGTCGTTTAAATCAAAATCAGAGAGAGGAATTGGTATTAATCGAGCAAGCCTACGATAATCCTCATGAATGCCTTTCACGTTGTAAAAGGTTTTTATTGACACAAAGAGCATTTAAAGAATGTGGTATCGAATTCATGGATCAATATTCATATTTGATACCTGTGTATGATGTAGAACCTATGGAAAAAATCACAGATGCATATTTAGATCAATATTTATGGTATGAAGCGGACAGAAGACATTTATTTCCATCATGGATTAAACCTTCAGATTCCGAGCCACCTCCTTTATTGGTCTATAAGTGGTGTCAAGGAATTAATAACTTGTCAGAAGTTTGGGAAACGGATCAAGGGCAATGTAACGTTATATTAGAAACTTCATTAAGTAGAGTTTATGAAAAAATTGATATTACATTATTAAATCGTTTATTACGATTAGTTGTTGATTCAAATATTGCTGATTATATATCTGGTAATTCCACTTTATAATTTATAAAATTTTTAATCAGGAATAGGAAAAAATAACATCAATCTTACATACAAAGATATGAATCATATTAATTTATACGGATTAATTCGTGGGCTTCAGTTTTCATCATTCGTATTTCAATACTATGGATTAATCATTGATCTTTTAATCTTAGGCTTACATCGCGCGAGTGAAATGGCTGGTCCTCCTCAAATGCCTAATGATTTTTTGCAATATCGTGATGTTGCAACCGAAGTCGTACATCCCATACGATTGTATTCACGTTATATCGATAAAATACATATATTTTTTAGATTTACTGCAGACGAAGCCCGTGATTTAATTCAAAGATTTTTAACTGAACAACCTGATCCGAATAATGAAAGTATCGTAGGTTTTAATAATAAACGTGTCTGGCCTAGGGATTGTCGCATGAGATTAATGAGGTTTTATCATCATTTTATTGAAAAAAAAAAAATAATTTACTCATTTATTTTTAGACATGATGTTCATCTCGCTAGAGCTGTATTTTGGGATGTTAAAAATCATATTCCTAGATCTTTAACAACAATTGAATGGAGCGATTCATTTGTTGGTGTTTATAGTAAAGATAATCCTAACTTACTTTTTTCAATGTGTGGTTTTGAAGTTAGAATATTACCTAAAATAAGAAGTGCAACAGAAGAATTTACACTGAAGGATGGTGTTTGGAATTTAGTGAACGAACAAACAAAAGAACGCACTGCTCAAGCATTTCTTCGTGTGACAAAAGACGATATGGCGAAATTTAATAATCGCATACGTCAAATTTTAATGTCATCAGGATCAACAACATTCACAAAAATAACGAATAAATGGAATACTGCATTAATTGCTCTTCTTACATATTACCGTGAAGCAGTTGTATCCACTCCTGAACTCCTAGATTTATTAGTAAAGTGCGAAACTAAGATTCAAACTCGAGTAAAGATTGGATTAAATTCAAAAATGCCATCGAGATTTCCACCAGCTGTTTTTTATTCTCCTAAAGAACTTGGTGGTCTTGGAAT